TAGAAGATGAAAAGTAGGGAAAGGTGATGTAGTTAATATAGCTAGTGGGAATGAACCGTAGCAATTATTAATACGACGTAATATTGGTAATCCTTAATCAGTAATATCCTAGATACATGTATATCAGAGGATAATGAATGGCAAACGTTTCCACATCAGTGCTAAAGAGCATTAAGTGCGATACATTGTGCTTCGGAGTTTTGCCATTGCCTCTGTGTCGGGCTCCCCCACCGCGTCACTACGTTTCCTCCTATCCACTTTGTTGAAGAGGTTCATCAACCCACACCATATAACAACCATGTTGGCAAAGAATAGTGCAAAGGCGAGGAAATTGGACCCAAAGGCCAAGCCGCAAAGCACCTTGGTGTAAACCGTGACATCAGTGCGGTTTCCGGACCGGGATGACTCAAAGTTCTCAAAAACATCATACGAAAACATATGCTCCACCCGGAGGGTGACGATGAAGCTCACGAACCACAATACCGTTCCTAAAAACTGCACAGCCGCGGAGATTTTGATCGCACTGAAGGACTCTCTCGTGGGGATGGTGGAGGCGGCGACGGGTAACAAACATGCACTAATTGCAAACTAGGAGGTTGGTCAATAAATAAACAGAGATTTTCAGTAGGTTTACCATACCATAAAGATCCCGTAGCACCCGGCTATTACGTTTATCACCGGTCGATTCTGGATATCATCGAACGGAAGGGACATAAAGTTGACAAAATACTCCAAAATCAAGATTGCCGCCGAGCAAAACATCAATACCCGCACCTTATAACAGGAATAGATGCTGTTGATGGTTTCAATGCTCTCTCCGTTCTGTAATCTGATGTTTTCTCGGATGTGTGATTTCCTCATGGAAAAGATGGTTGAGGGTAGAGGGATAACTGAGGGCGGGTTTCCGGGTGTTCTTTGGATAATTATTGCCCCATACGGTCGCTGGTATGTTACGTTATCTGGAATTACCGTACTGGGGTTATTGAGAGATGCCATAGTGGGGTCCTCTGTGTTCATATCTCAACGCTTATTTCAGCGAATAGGAATTTCGGATGTAGAGTAATATAGACTATGGAATTATGTGAAGAACGTTGTCGCAATAATTTCAGTTACCGTTTTGATTTTGTGTCGCAGGCAGCGTCTTTCAAGTTTGGGGCATTTGGGGCTCGAGTGCTAAAAGTGTTCCATGACTTACAGTTTTATTTTATGGAAGATTCTGGTCTATGATGTACCGAATATGACTAATTGGTGATAGATATAAAGTGAAATGAAGGGGGTGGGAGTCTAGTTTTGGTTTGCGGGACTATCTAACAAAACAGGCTTCAAAACCTGCTCATCAAACTGGGTAAACCACTTCCCGTGGTCCTCGGACGTCAACAAGTCAGAGAAAGTGAGGTTGGCAGCCGCGTCAGAGACACGGGATGACGTCCCTGTTAGGTCGTCACTGGCAATCTCGTCGTCCAACATGATGTCGCTGTTGCCTAAGGACGTCTGGGAAGCATTTCCGGATCTGAACCCATCACGGTAAAGTTGAGATGGCGGACCGTCGTTCCGCTTGTGTGGCACAGACACCCTTGGCGTCTCGATATCAAACTCATCGTCGGAGTTATTGCCCGATTCATCGACACAGCCGGTCTTGATCCCGCAGATCTCCAACATCCCTGCGGTGGTTCCCCCAAAGAGAATGACGGTCAAAACCACCACCACCAACACAGTGGCTAGCAAGGTGGATTTGAACTCACCTTGAATCCCCATTGCTAACGCAACCCCAACGGCCCCTCTCAAGCCGGCCCAGAAAGTCATCATCTGGTACGAGTACGGAATCTCGTCCGGTACCGACACGATGCCTCTTCTAGCCGCCTTCTTCTTGATCACCCAGTTCATCAACCGCGACAACGGGAAGACGGCGCACCAACGAGCCACACAGATCGAGATGAACGTCACAATGATCAACATTGGCTTGAAGACTAACTCCACCTCCGTGAACAACGACAAGCCCAAATAGATGAAGATGAAGTTTTCAGACAACTGCGCGAGTAACTGGAAGATGTACTTGGTGGCAATCTGCGTGCGTCTGGACATGTTATAGTACGCGTAGTGCTTCAACGTAATGCCACAAAACAACAAGGAGACGATCCCGGACATGTGGCAGCCATTGGAGAAGAAGTAGGACTCGTACGCAAAGAGCAACACCAAGCAGGTTTCAATCTGAGGATAGCGGCGGACGTGCGAGTGCTTGAGAATAAGCGCCACGATCACCCCGACGATCACCCCGATCAACAAAGAGATCGTGAAGGTCATCAAAAACAATCCGATACCTTCGAAGAAGGATCCTACACCGGCGTTAGCCTTGCCGTGGAACTGCTGGCACGTCTCGAACATGACGATGGAGATGGCGTCGTTGAGCAACGACTCGCCAAAGATGATGGTGTACAACTTGGGGTCGACCTTGTACGCGTTGAAGATGGACAAGATGGTGACAGGGTCGGTCGCGGACAACGTCGCACCCACGGCCAAGGCGTCCAAAAAGGTCAAGCTAATCTTTTCCAAGCCCAACCACGTCCAAATGTAGAGAATGATTCCCAATACCAGCGCGGAGATGAACGTCCCGGGAATGGCAAACGTCAAGATGGCGCCGATATTGCGGAAAAAGTTTGCTTGGTGTAGCTCATACCCGGAGTTCAAAATGATTGGCGGCAAGAGGATGTTGAAGAAGTAAGACGACTTGAACTTGACTGCATCCTGAATGTAGTGCCCCGGGGAAATCCGGATGATCAACCCGATAACCATCCCGTAGAAGATGGACAACACGGTTTCGTGAATAGCCTTGATCCGTCTCTGCTGCAAGAAATAGGAGGACCAGAGCGCCGCACCGAGCAAGAAGAGCAAAATGAATAACGCCCAGCTGGAGAAGATCTCTTCCGTCACGGGATCCGTCTCCTCCAAGCTGTCGTCCACCGGCATGGAGACATCGGGAACATCGTCGTAGAGGTCGCCCCCCGGCAACGCTCGCTTCAATAAGAAACTGGCTAGCGAGTATGTTAAGCTGACCATGAGTGTTTATCGAGCAATTGTGATGGTTATCAGGGTGTATCTTGCGGTGCGTTTTGACAGGTGGTCGTTGCGATAAAGAATAGCCATGCACTACTTTTGCGAGCGTTGCAATCTGTTACACTGATGATACAACACGGATTGCAGTCGGAAGAGTCACGTGACGCAGATAGTGAGCTGCGGTACCGGATATGGCACCAAGGGATTGGTATACTTGGAGACTATTTTAGAGAAATAGCTATTACGGGGAATAGTAACAAGTCTGCCCCAGCTTTCGTTTATTTATAACACTCAAAACGGCCCTAGCTGCCACCGATCTACACCTTCACGTAAGTGCTTTCTAATTTGCCTTTTGGAGGTATCTCTGTAATCAAACTCGAAAATTCAATCACGCTTAAGCGTAGGTAGATTAGATAAACTGCAAAACTCCAGACGACTTACAAACCGACGCCCTTGAGATTGCCAACAAGCACAGACAGATCTTATAACTTACCTGTATCGATTATAAGTAAAGCCTCTCGCACGGCATCAACAACTTCTTGGGCATAGGCAGTTTCCTTTATATCGTTCCACGAGTGTTCAAATTTGATGGCTGAAGTACCGCTTGCGCTGGATTCGATATGAACTCCGGATGTTTCCATCAACGCAATGAAATGGTCTATGTCACACCCATTTGGCACCATGAAATAAGAGACAACGTGTGCGGCACACAATGGGCCCAAAACAGCCTTGAATCCCAAACCAGAGAGCTCATCCTGGAGAAAATCCCTCGTTGTTCTATACTTCTCAACCCTCTGAGAAAGAGTTGTGCTTTGAGTTTTTTCGTCCAAACCTTCACCCACTATTTCCCCTAGGGCGGCTTTCAACGAATGGACCAATTCCACAGAAGACTTTGGAAAAGTAGCATGTTCCCCTGCCTCAAACGCCTTCATTCGTGGGATCCATTTGCTCATACTGGCACTATGGATCACCCGTTTCTCTTCTTTCGTCATTTTTATGACAGACCTCTCAGAAGCAAAGCATATGTTTAAACCAACTGGAAGCCCAATTTTTGTGTGTGATGCGGACACCACGAAATCAATACCCCATTTATCGAATTGGATCTCCTCAACGCCGAGTGACCACGTAGCGTCTACGATTACCAACGTGTTGGGCGAAACGTCTCTCACTGTGGTTGCTATCTCTTGAATGTCTGAACGCAACCCGGTTGACTCTTCAACATGAGTTATGATGATGGCATCGTATTTGCTTTCTCGTAACTTCTCAGCAACCTCACCAAGTATCCCTGACGACCCAAATCTTCCCTCGACAGGAACCACAGTAATTCTATGCATTTCTAAAGAGTCAGAAACCATTTCCGATGCCTGAGGACTCGCTACTGTGAGAATTTTATCGCTGGGGTTGGCCAAGTTTCCGGCAACAATGTCCCAACCTAGCGTTTCCGAGCCCGGTATGACGATAGGCTGAGATTTTGGATCGGTAGACCCGAACAATACCCTTGCGTTCTGCAATACTTTTTGGAAATCGCCAGCTAGTTCTGTAGTCGGGTTAGTCTTGGTGGCAAACAGGTTTTGGATGGCAATCCCGTTGAAGCAGGGAGCGCATGATACGGTAGTAGGCGAAATTTCAGGTAAGATGCGATCGCTCGGGGTGTCGCATATTCTTGGGAGCTGACTAGACCTGGCCTGGTTAATAAAGTAGTCTTCCCTCTGGTGATCGTACATTTGTGGAAACTGGGGAACCATCTTGGTTGGGTCCTGTGCGTTGAGGTGCGCCCCAAACATTGCAAGGCGGTTTCTGGAACTTGGTGCCATATTGAGGTCTAAACAGACAAAGGGTCAGTTGAGGGGGAAAAAAGCGTTAGCGTAAAAAAGCAACCGCTGTGAAGGCTGGAACTGTGGGAGAAGTAGGGTAGGTGAAACTAGGAATTGGTTAGACAAAAAAAAACCGCCGAAAGAGTCTGAAACTTGACTAAACTTGACTAAAGCTTGAGTCTGGAAAGATAAATCCCCATTTGTGAACGCTTGTGGTGAGGTTTAGGGCTTGAGGTTGGGTGAAAAATCCCTGGCAGGAAATCATGCATGCGCATCCATCACATTCCAATGTTAACAGGCTGAGCTAACCGCACGTGATGAATGCTAAGAGGCTAGTCTAGTCAACGGATATCTACAGGATTTTGGATAATCTCCCATCTTGCTTGGTTACTTGAACTGGGTATTTTCTTTGGAGCTGAGGTGGTCCAACACATTGAACCTATAGCAACAACTAGCATGAAAGGTGTCAAGTCTTTTTATGCTCAATACTTTTATGAATCTCAACCTTGGGAGCTTATTATGGTCGTTCCATTACCACTAACCTGGTTACCACACACTAGTACGTTTATATTTTTCAGACACGTTTAAAAAACACCTGGTTGTAATTTTTTAGCCGTATGTCCCTTATCAGAAGACTCTCTGCCTCCGCCATGCCATCCCGTCCTATTGTCATTTCCGGTCCATCTGGTACCGGTAAGTCTACCTTGTTAAAGAAGTTGTTTGCCGACTATCCAGACAAGTTTGGGTTCTCCGTCTCGAACACCACCAGAGCCCCAAGAGCCGGCGAGGTTGATGGTAAAGACTACAACTTTGTGTCTGTAGACGCCTTTAAGAAGTTGATTGATGAATCTGCCTTCATTGAGTGGGCCCAGTTTTCCGGTAACTACTACGGTACCACCATCAAGGCTGTCCAGGATGTTGCTGAGAAGCAGAAGCGTACCTGTATCTTGGACATTGATATGCAGGGGGTCAAGTCTGTGAAGAAGACAGACTTGAATGCCAGATTCTTGTTCTTAGCGCCTCCATCCGTTGAAGAGTTGAGAGCCAGATTGTCCGGCAGAGGTACCGAGACCGAAGAATCTTTGAACAAGAGATTGGACGCCGCTACCGCCGAGTTGGAGTACGCCAAGACCGGTGCTCACGACAAGACCGTCGTCAACGACGACTTGGAAAAGGCTTACGAGGAGTTGAGAGAGTTTGTCTTGACCGAGAACTAGAAATAGACATTGATCAGTAAGGCAGCGTAGGGGAATGTAAGATAAAAACAGGTATGTGATAGGCGAGACTGGGATGTTGGCCATGGTTTTTTTTTGGGAATGATTTGCATCTCAAGTTAGACTATCATCCCAGGTTTGACGATGATCATAATGGTAGGATGCTCAAGTTACCGATTTTCGGTTTGTCTTGCGTTAGACGTAGCTTCAACTCTTACATATTTTCACCGTTACTGGAAACCACTTCAGTTTGATCGATACTTTATACTCTGACAATCAAGTGTTGTATTAGACACCTTTTTGGTATTGCCAGATAAATTTATACAGTATGGAAATACGCCATGTCTCACGACACAAACCAGACATGATTCATGATATTGATATATTTACAGGCTGAGCGATGTCACTCAAGGTCTTTCCCTAGACTTCTACTCATTATCGTCAGTCATTAAGGCTTCAGCCTTTGAGACTTCGACCCTAGGGGCTAACTCAATCTTCCCAGCCTTAGCCTCCTCCATGAGTTCCAACTCCTTCAATGCGCCCTTTTCCTTGATCGCTCTAACCCTCTCGGCCCTCCATTTTCTCTGCTGCTCCTCCTGGTCACGTCTCTCTAATTCTTCGATCCACAAACGCTCTCTGCTTCTGGCTTTCTCCTTGATCGCGTTGTCGTGGATCTCTTTCTTATCACCCGTCAACGGACGGTAGTACAATCCACCACCAACCAAGGCCACCAATGTGAAAGCCTGAGCAATGACCCTGTAGCGGAACCACTTCTGTGCCCCCGCACGGTTACCGGTTCTGACATTACCGGCGGCAAGGAAAACGGCGGCGAAGGTGGCCAACGTTCCAATCGGAACCAACGGCTGCTGCATGCACTGGAACTTTGCCTTTTCGAAAAAAGTCATCTGGGACATGTCCACGTGTTCATCAGTGGATAACGGGATGTTCTTGGATGCCATATTGTAGTTGCTTTGGTTGGATGTAATAGGCGTGGAAGGGTTGGAGTGAACTTTGATCCCCAAATTTGAATAAAACATTGTGGATGGGTGTGGCGGATGGGAGGCGAGTGTGTGTAGCGCACGACCAGAGAATTCTATCCAGAGTTCTGGAATGGCGAGTAGGGTTATATTCGACTAAAGATGTTATACTGTAAGCCCAATACATATACTGGAGGGCTATACTAGATGCCAATGTTTTACGAGGAGGTACCGGCTTGTTCGGACGGGAACCCTTACACACTAGGTTAAATTCATTGTTCTACAGCTCTGTATTCACATCTTACATTGTAATCATATTGGTTCTATACTGACAGTCTTACCTGGTGCCACTTCTCCGATATATAATGCTTCTACTTACCCCCGGTTGGCGATTGGAACATGAACGGTGGTGGTACAAAAAACTGAGCTCCGTTTGGCATCACGGGCATCTTTGGGAGTGCTGGCACTCCCACCTTGGCTCGCTTCTGGTCGGCAGTTTCCCCTTCTTCATCGTGCAGTCTCTTCCCAGACAGTTCATTCGCCTTGATAAACTCATCAAGCTTTGCCTGTATATCTTCCGCTGGTTCTAGACTATCTAAATACACCTCGGTTTGTGAGCAGTTAGGACAAACAAAGTCAGAGTCCAAGAGCGCATTCTCCACGGACTCAAGTGAGTAGACCTCCCCGCAACACGGCGTCTTGACAGGTTTGTTGAAGATGTTTCCCGTAAGCGGGTCCTTCAATTCCAGGGGCAAGTTCTCGTAGTGCTGGACCTTTGTCTGCTGCGACTTCTTCTGGTACGCCTCCCAGGTGCTCTTATCGGCCATAGCCACGACGTACTTCCCGTCCTCGGTGATCATATAGTTGTTGGCGTCATCGTCACCTGGGTTTGGGTTATCGGCACTGGCGGGCTTTTCAATCGTCTTTAAGTAGGACTTTGGAATACCAGTGGTGCGCTTGATACGCTTGCCCTCCCAATTGGGATCGTCGTTGGTAGGACAATTCTTGATCCAATGCTCCTTGGAGCCACATCTGTAGCACATGTAGCCCGGAGGAGGAGCATCTTCGGCTGCCTGGACTGCCCCGGGGACGGTTTTGAAGTACACTGCGGTCTTGGTGGACATGTCGTCCTGGGTGGTCTTCCAGACATCCGCCTGGGTTTGGAACATCAATTTCACCTTGTCTTCCTCAGAGATATCACCATTGGAGGCAGCCGCCGCCATCGCAGAGGCGCTCGCGGAGTTTGTGATCGCGGCCGTGGTGACCGCAGTTTTGACGTTGGCATTTCGCACAATGCGGGGTTTCCCCGTAACATATCTCAGCGCGGAGCCCTTCCCGTTGCGGATAGCGGGTGACCGTCTGGCAACCACAGATGTGGAACGTGGTATGACCTGCGTGTCATCGCTGTATTCTTCCTCGGTGTCGGCGTTGTAGAGCCGCAAGTCAAAGTCGGCGCCTGTGCCGAGCTTGTTGAGGAAGATGATCTCTTTCTTCAAGTCAAAGACTGTGATACCCGTACCGTCAAAGAAAAGCCGCAGGGTGTCCTTTTGTGATTTAAAGCGGTAGAAAATAGTAGAGGACATTGTTGGGGTGAAATGGAGAGACACTGGAGGTGGCGTTTTATGTACATGTTGTAGACATGCTGAGGCTTGCAGGAATATTTTTAGGTCTGTGCAGAGCACTACTATTGCCATATAGTGGCTTGACGCATAGAGGGGCTCACAAATTTTCGATGGAATTGAACATTCAGATCTCACCCTCACTGTTTTGCGTTAAAAATCAATGATTTATGTCAAACCCTAACGGTTTGTGTGGATTGCTACCAATATGTTGTCTGTAAAAAAAAGGTCCCAAAAACTATTCGCTTTGGCAGACACTAGGCTCTACCATTGAGTGTACCCCTTAGACGCAATATCGAGTTCTACCTCTCTAGACTGTATTGATACCCCTCTCTATGCTTTATATCATAGCATACATTTATTTCCAGGCTCTATGGAAGCTTCTTCTCGACTCTGGCGGCGCAGCTGTACGGATAGGCGATAAAACTGTCCAAGTCCCAGATACCCTCCTTGGCGTAGATGTCCTTCTTCAAGAACTCCAAGATCTCTTCTCTGGACTCTGCGATCAAGTTGAAAGCGGAACCAGCAAACGGTGGCTTCTCATCGGTGGCTGGGTTTGGCACGGTGTGGAAGATGGCACCAACGTTGGTGACAATACCGGCGGTAACGGCGGCTGGAATTGCGGCCACGTGTTGTGGACGGACCTTGGATCTGTCGGTGTTTGGCTTATCGTAAACAATCACTACCCACTCAGTCATTTTCTTGGATAATTGGCGTAAAGGAAGGGTCAATCTCATCGCACCGCGTTATTTTCTCTTTGGTCGCGGGTAACTCGAGAGGGGAGCTATGCACTACCTTATATACGCGGCTCAAGGTGTTCCCCGCACTTGGATCGGACCCAGGCCAGCATCCGGACTGATTTTCCTTTATATTAAAGCAGGTTTTTGTGGAGCTCTATCAGGGGCTTCAGCTAAACTAGAAATTGCCTTAGTCGATCTGCACCGCAGCTAACATGTGTGATTTAATTTACTGAATCGCTCGGTTCTCGATATTCCCATACTTGCAATTGGCCCAGGATCGCTGTGGGTCACCTTTGCGGAGGATAACCCCAAGAGAACGCTAAGTGCTCCCATATTCTCCTCTTTCCTACACTCCTAGTAGCCTCGTATAGGAATATTGGTTACCATATCGGTTTAAGCTAGAACCACATGCTTCCCAATTGATCGCAAGGTCCATGTTAGGTGCGCCACCTGAAGCTTGGCAAATAGCTGAGGGCAAAACACATAAGTTAAAGCGTAAATAAATAAATATAGAGAAGAAAGAACTGAAGAGCAGTGACTCTTCAAGGAAGGTAAATGCAATTAATCGAGGCCGCGGAGGGGCGTTCGCGCACTGTAATGATGAGAATATTGTGGCACACCTGCAGGGACGCACCCCCCTCACTGGAATGGCCGTAAGACGGCTGCGGATGGGATTTATATGGAGTTAGGATACTTAGTAGGTATCTGGGAACTGTTCCTTAGGGAAAGCTTGATGGTCGACCTTCTTGTGGGCCTGTTCGTTGTAGCCTTCGCCGAATCTGGAGTCTCTCTTGACCACCTCTGGTTCGGCATAGCACTTGTCTGGCATAGATCTCGGCTGTGGCTTTCTGCTGACAACCTCCTCGACATCGAGGCCACCACTGATGGAGCCTCTGCCCATTGGGTGGGCTGGGATGGAGAAGGATACACCGGCGTTGTGGCTGCCGTGGAAGCCACCCTTGGTGTTGTTAACCTGGGAGCTCTCGAAGATAACTTGCTTTCTGGTGTGGTTTTCTTGCAATTCGGTCAAGGTGTTGTCCCACTGGGCAATCTTCTCTTCTCTGGTTCTAGTGGACAAGAAAGCGCCTGGATGGAGTCTTGGGATGTACTGCATGATGAAGGATTGGTCATGTTTTTGCTTGTAGATGGATTCGGAATAGATGAGGCCGGAGAAACCAAAAAACAAGGCCCACGAGGTTATGTTTCTTCTGGTGAAGAAGGAGACCGCTTCGGTCAACGCTGGACCGTGGCCGTGACCGCCCATGGCCTTGGCGGAACTGGAAAAGGTTCTGACAGACTGGGCAGCAGTTCTGGAAGTGGAGCGGAACATTGTATGTGCAGTTGTTGCTGACGTGCGAGTATACTCCCGGTGTAAAACTCTGGGCAAAGCGTGTCTTTTTAGTTGATGCCTGCAATTGTGGATAGTTCAGGTTACATGCGTGGGATTTTCACCGTTCAGCCAATGAGTGTCTGCCTGAATTGTAAGCAGGACGTGTCCTGAGAAGTACGCAACATGCGTAATGTGAGGCACGCTGGTGGGGACACGAAACGAGGGAAGGAGCAATAAGGCGAAGATAGAGAACAGCAAGCATCTGATTTGACGTCAAATTTCGCTATCTCAACTTATTTTCCACCAACGATGGTGTTGAGTTCAGGTTAACCGACAGACGGAACTTCTGAGCTTTGCATGTGCAGTCGATTGTAGATTATCACCGCTTCGAAGTCAATGTACAGTGAATGTCACGTGATTAAACAGAAGGTAGCACATATTGTTCCTGCAGGTCTCCCGTTGTAATGGTGTCTTGGAACGTAAACAATACTGAGATAGATGTCTAACCTCGGGTTATACTTTCCAAAAAGCACATAATTGGTGAACCATATGGTATGCAAAAAAAAAGTTACTTGTACGCTACCAGTTTATGTTTTTAAAATTTGCAAAAGAGATAACGTATGGCGTGCTAATCACCTTGTTTCACTATATGCTGCCTCACTGACAGATTAACAGCTGGGCTATGGCTAAGAATCGACTAGACGGCGCCTATGTGTTCCAGGGTATTTCTTGTCTACGGACCGTAACACTATGGTGGGTATGTATCATCCTATCGTATCAAATAAATTCGGAATATGTGATTAAATAAACTGAGGCAAATAGCTTTAGGGGCGTCCTTCGCTCCCCTTCTTGGCCACTATCCAGAGAACGATATCTCCAGAGAATGGTATCTTCAGAGAATGATATCCTTAGAGAATGACACCTTCAGAGAGTGATATCTTCAGGCCGGACTGCTTTCCAGTCATTACAACCAGCTTTTGCCAAAGGCTCTTAGTAAGAGTCTGGTTACTTCCTATCGTATGCGATCTCTACACGGAAACCTTTGCCTTCCTACGGAAAATCAAAGCTCTTATATATTAAAGACATATGCAAGCATAGCCGGATCAGCAATGGGTATAAACGTAAAAATGTGTAACGAAATAAAAGAATTAGTAGCCAACAGAGATGAGATAATCAGCCAATTGTTCGACAATCTTGGTCGCTTCACCGGCCTGGATACCGGCTGGGTAGTGGGCAACCAAGATGGCCTGCTTGGTTCTGACGGCAATGATACCCTCTTCCTGGTGCTTCCCATAGATAGATCTATCATCAGCTCTCAACAAAAAGAACTTTTGCTGCTGAATGTGCAAGCCCTGGGCCTGGATCCCAGATGGATCATCAAAGGCCAGAGCCAACGCCGCAATTTCTGGCGCGTACAAGGTCAAGTCCTGAGACTGGGCCCAGACAGAATCACCAGCTCTGGAATAGATGGCAGCCTTATCGAGCTTGCCGGTAGCGACCAAGTTGTCAGTGTAAGCTAAGGGGTTAGTACTGGAACGAGAGAAAGCCACGTCGACTGCGCGAGATGTTCACAATTGCCTCGGGGATTGAGACTATTTCACGCAAACAATGGCACCAAAAAGGCCCGACATACCTTGCCAAGACATGTTTGTGTATGTTTGTGTAACAAGAGCAAGAGATGGAATGAGATGGATTCGCGGTATATATAGCAAAGAAGCGTGTATCAGATCATGGCGTAAGGGTTGAAGCAGCCGTAAGTACAGGCCGTAAAGGGAGTTACCCGGGCGCCAGTGTTTACCGAGTGGCGCACGACCGTGTACAATGTACAACGATGATATTTGAGATCAGATGAGTAAGCCGATGGCTGGGGCTGCCTAGACACCAATGTCACTGTTCAGTTCCAACCGTGTATCGCTATTCAGCGATAATGTCAACATTCATCAGACACTAGTAAGCGTTGTTTTTTGACCTTGACCTTCTGAGTGTCTACTAACGCCTAGACTGCTCCTTCCGACGCATGGTACGCCTCTGTGTGGGACAATCTAAAGCCGTGGTCTGAGTTCTTTGACTACAGACGCGTACATTTTCCACAGTTCCTGACGGTGGCGCTCCGAGCCAAAAAAACAACGATTCTAACCAATCTCGAGTACTTTAAGTTCAACTACGTGATTGTATTTTCGCTCATTGGGTTCATGGAGCTCTTTACGAACATTCCGTTGCTTCTCGATTTGACGTTTGCCGGCACTGCAGTGCACTATATCCGAAAGATCCGCTCCAAGAGTGTCAAGCTCCACGTGGCGGGGAAACAGGTGCGCCTCACGATCAGCCAGTTGTACATAGTGGTCGCTGTAGTCTTCTTCCCGATTCTCTTCTGGAGCTCGCCCGTCATGACGTTGGTGTGGTTGATGTTGACTGCCGGCAGTTCTGTCTTTCTACACGCGTTACTTCTTGACAAGCCGCTTGAGATTTCCATCAACGACTTGGTCTGATATGGTGGGAAATAGCGCCGTTAGTTCATTCAAAAAAAACGTTCCAATTTTTGATTCTCGCACAAACCGTGACGTCTTTGTCTAGAGCATGGGCACGTTCTTAGATACGTTAATACACTTTAGCAATTGCGAGTGCAGTCGGTTTGTCGATCTATCTGTAGGCATTTGCGGATTACTGTAGGAATGAGCTTTCAAGAGGACAGAGGGATACCTGTGAGCATAACTGGACGAGTTTGAGCCGGTAGGATTTCAAATTAAAAGTCTACTCGGAAATAGTTTCGGGGGGAGGTTCGAATATGCTCGCCGGAGAGGTTTATTCTGAGAAGGTGCCAAGAATCCGCACCACAATTATAATGCCATTCGAATTTAACATGTATACGCTTCAACTTCATCCTAGCTAAGTCACAGCTGTAATCCCTTTATACCCATTCTAGTCAACCATTCCCGTCGGCCGCAACTACAAGTCATCCACTACACGCCTGATAAAGGCCATTCATGGATAAGATCTATATATAAGGGCCACCTCACACCTTGTTACGGGTTGGGCCAAACTTGAAGCTATTTACCAGTTGTTCGCGGCGACTTTTAGCAATCCCAAGAGCAGTCTGATAACCCATCACAACTTAGCTAGAACTGATGCGTGTTCGGGTTCTTTAATGTCTCCACCATTTCAATCGCACTCTTCGGATCTCTCTTGTTGTATACAAACAACCCCTGCAACTGCGCAGTGCTCACATTACTCGCGTTCAACCCCAAGCGTGCAAACTTGTTGATGAACTCTTCGCACAATTCGTTCTCATTCTCATAAAACCGCAAAAACATTTGCTTCACCTGGAACTGTGAGGCGTTGTTTATAAGTTTCTTAAAGTCAATGCGGCCGGGTCTTAACAACGCTGGGTCCAATTTTTCTGGGTGGTTCGTGGTCATAAATGTGATACACTCCTCGGCAGAGGCAACCCCGTCCAACGCATTGAGCAAGCCGGAAAACGTGACGCCCGCGGTGTAGCCCTTTTCCTCTGTCTGGTCTCGCTTATTGAACGCGGCATCGATGTCCTCCAACAACAAAATTGATCTTTCAGGGATGTTGTTCATCAAGTGGTTAAGTCTATCATCCGTCAAATTCGACTCGGAAAGGTTTAAAATGCAAATGTTGTAGTCCAAATCACCGGCTAAGGCCTGGATAAAACTGGTCTTCCCGGACCCTGGCGGCCCGTACAAGAGGTAGCCACGTCTGTAGGGAATCCCGCGCTTGTGGTACCACTCGCCACTGCTCAAAAAGTCCTTCACGTCCAGCAAAATTTCGTCTTTAATCCCGCTATCCAAAACTACCGACTCGAGCAATCTCTTGGTGCGGGGCTGGCCGAACGGCCTCCAGTCTTGGCCCCAGGACGTGAAGATCACGGTCTTTCCCTCACGCGCCTTCAAGGCCAACTTTTTTGCCTCATCGAGCAAGTCGGGGAACAAGAAGCGGTCGCGGTAGAGCGTAGTCAACTTTACCGTCTCAAAAGGCGTGCCGTTTGTCATGTCGATCATCTTGCCCGAACGCTCTCTGGTAACCAACATATAAGCGCCTTTATAGCGAATCAAGTGCTTCCCCGGGCCCGGCACAAGCGAAAACTTGGTGGAAACTGCACCGTTGTCGTGCTGGGTGTAATTCGTCTCGACCGAAAGGTGGCGCGACGTGCGGTGCTTGTACTGTGCCATCCACTCGAGAAACCAGAGGTACGACTTGTCTTTGGACGGGATTTCCAAGTCCACCAACATCTGGCGCGTCACAAAGGTCGCTCCCTTCATCACGGTCAGGCGTGCCACCGCTAATCCCGTTCCTAGAAGCATCAATCCTCCGCCTGCAGCAAAGTACGGGTTGGATTTGAGCACCTCGTTGAACACAGAGCTTGTCATTCCCGACACGGTTCCATCTGATTCAGAAAGCGATTTGGAAAGATCCATCAGCTTTATCCCCGACGGCTGTGACATGGTGGGTGTGGAGTGGGGAAAATAAGAAAAGGAGGAGTAGTGAAAAATCGACTTAAGGCATCTATACCCCAAGGCGAACCTGCAAATTGGTCAGTAACGGTCGGAGAGCAATATACAGGAGGTGTAGAGCACGGCGTTGATGAGTAACCCATCATAGGACGAGAGACGCATTCGGACAAAGCGCCATAGATTGAGCCCGGATCGGCTTTCAAGAATACGTGGAAGGGCAAAGATACAAGTTGTGGACGAATCTATAGGAGTTTGGCCGGCCTCGACGTAGCACGGCAGAACCCTTGCAAAACGTCAGCATGCGGCTCAGAGATATGGTAGGATCTACGAAAGTGGATTTGCCAGTTGTAGAACGGCAAATATTTTTATTTGGATCACCATTCAAAAATAAGCAGAATGTCTGTGGTTCAAAGTTGCCGAATCGACCGGTAAGATAATGTAAAAACGTACACGCTAGTACCGATGGAAGTACAGGATGCATCCCTTGCATAACAAATACCCCGAAGCCTCTAAACACCCCGAAGTCTCTAAATACTCTGACTGAGTCTGAACCTCATAACAACAGTTCAAGCCTACATAATGTCGAAGGACCGTTTCACATCTCATCTCTCCCGGCTGAAGACGGAGGATTAGCCTTGGCACTCCTCTGCGGTATGCACACGTCTTTTCGCGTGCAGACTAACCCTCCTTTGCGTTTGATTTAAATGCGCCCCGATTCAACCCGAATCGCCACGTCTTGCACGATTGACATACCATGACCAGTATGTGTGACCCTGTATTTGGTTAAATTGGTACTAACAAACAGACCACGAGTACAGTATTATCCCCATCCAGGGCGTCTCAATGGGAGATCTGGATATGCCCGATGTTGCTACATCTCCATCTGTTCCGTCTCCAGACATTTCTCCAGATGCTGCACTGCCGACCCCGCCGTATGCCCCCATCTCCCAATTGGTGGACCTCCCGGACAAGGCACCACCCAAAATCCTTATCTCTGACCAGGATCTTGCCACATCGGTGTTCAAAACATCCGACCGCATCGTCAGCGATATTCTCTACGACATCCCACACATCCTCTCGCACGAAGCGGGTTTGCTCGGACAACGTCCAATCGCCTACTCCCATTTTCTCTCGTCTATCGCGGGAATGCACTACGAGATGAACGTGTTGAACAACGCGTTGCCGGAGGCGCCCAAGTCCGAGGATCTCGCCTCGGTAAAGATCCTCAGGGGGGTGCTCGCCAGCAAAACCCCAGGATCGAGCATCTACCACGTGAAAATTCTCTACCAAGTCCATGACCGGTTAAAGATCTGTCCTAAACACACCTTCTACACCGTTTCAGACGAGCGGCTCTCGCTATTGCGCCCTAGCTTTTGCTGGGAGATCGACCAGGGTGCCACCACCGCACAGCTTACGGTTTTGACAAAAGCAATGCCAAAAATCCTCGACTCTGCCACGTTCTGCTGCTCCAACTGCTCTACTGTCTTTCGAGCCGAGATCTCGGCCCCTGAGTTCGGCAAAGACCTCGCCGACTTTACCCCCGAGGCAATTGCCGCACGGTACGAGTCCTTGGGAGAAGATTCTCCCGTCCCGACCCCCGACAAGTGTCTCTACACATTATACAAGGTGCTCAAGGGTCCGCTCCTTCAAGCGCCAACGGACGAGGTCAAGAGTATCCATGCGGACAACCTCCTGTTGCGCAGTCATCTAGATCTCCGCTTGTTATTCGACAAGCTCTTCTTCACCCAGCACGACGGCGAGTTGTATCCCCCAAACCTCCACGAGTATCTGGAAGACAACCTCCGCGTCCTCCGCGAGTCGTACCTCCGCAAGATGAACGAAACACTCTACTTAGGGCGCCAGACGGGCAGCACGGTTCCACTCTTCCAGTCCCTCACGTATAACACGAACAACGCGTTGCTCTTTGCGCTTTTTAACGAGCGCGACTTTTCAAAGTCTGTCCTGATGCTCCACGAGCCGGCCAATCTCACCGAGAACTACCTCAATCTCTCGGTGTCATCCCATTACGACGACCGCATGGTCATGGAGTGCCACCAGCGCACGGCTCTCTCTGACGACCCACTCGTCTATTTTGACAACGTGTATGAGATCGCGGAGTCCAAGTTCTACCATTCCACGGTGTTGCGCCGGTACATTACCGAGTTGAACGCAGCAGGTGCCATGGGCATGAAGGCGTACCAGAAGGCGGCGCGCGATCTCGGGGTTGACGCGCCGCAACTCACTGCACTCCCTGACGACCTTTTACTCGCAATGTACCGCACTGAAGTGGGTCTGGACCCTGTCGCGTATTACCGCTTGCGTGCGAGTCTTGAAGTGATCAACAAGGTCCGCAAGAGCCGGACCATCTCCGAGTTCTGCAAGACCGAGATCATTCCGTACGAAGTTGCGTTGACGAACCTTGGCTACGAGGCCAGCACCGACGACGAGTTCGTTCTCAACACGTGTTTGATGCAGGCCGAAGCCGGCGTTCCGGATGCCGAGCGGTCGGTGCTCTCAGTGGTGTTGCACCGCCGAAACCCCAGGTTGCTTAGTTTCCTTGAGAACAACTACAGCGAGCTTATGCGCCGTCTCCCTGGCTTGACCCTGGGAGAGGCCGCGCGCATGCTCGATCTCCCTGATGTAAATGTGAGCGACTCCGAGGTCATTACGGCGTTCGAGCGGTGTGTGCTAGGAAAAGAGGAGACATTCCAGTGCTTGGTCTTGAGACGGGCGTTGTACGTGCTTCAGAACGTGTCGGGGTCCAAGTTTCTCATGAATTACTTGCAAACTGGTCAGATCGAGAAGTCGTTGTTGCCTCCGTCTGAGACGTGGCCCCGTGGGTTGGACAACATCGGCAACACGTGTTACCTCAACTCGTTGCTCCAGTACTTTTTTGCATTGAAGCCGCTCCGAGACGCGGTATTGACGTTCCATGCGTTTGATCCTGCCGAACCAGCGCTCCAAAAAGTGTTGGCAGAGCGGAAGGTTGGTAACCGCAACATTACCGCCGCCGAAACCCGCCGCGCCTTTGAGTTCTTGCACCACTTCAGGGTGCTTTATTTGCAGATGATCGAGAGTCAAGAAAAGTCGATCACGCTTAACAAGTCGTTTGCGTGTCTCGCGTTGGCGTCGAGTTTCGAGGAGATTCGCTTCGCCGATGAAGCCCCTGGCGAGGCGATGGAAATAGAGCTGGAAGATCTCGACCGATCTGATAGTACAGACATAGCCAGACCCGAGGTTAAAAAAGTTAAGCAGAGTCCTTTTAATCCGTTTAGAAACTCCCCAGTACCGCTGATGGTAGCTGAATCCGGTGCATCCCATGAAGATCTTGCTACTAAAAGCGATGTCGATGAAGCAAGTGCACATGTTGATGAAACTCCTGAAACCGCACAGGTTGATGATACTCCTGAAACTGATGCTGAACCCACTACAGAAACAGATATTACCAAGGCTGATGCGGTGCCTTTGAACCTGGAATACCCTCAGCCACGCGAGGTGTTGATCAACGATTTCGACTCTCAGGTGGGACGACAGCAGGACGTGGGTGAGGTCATTGACAATGTGGTCTTCTGGTTCCAGTGTGCATTGAAGCCAGACACGCTCGACGCGGACGGATACCAGTGCGACCTCATCACAAAGTTGTTCGACGGGCGCTACCGAAAAGTCACCGACAAGACCCCCGCCTGCGACAAACGGCAGTACTTGACGGTAAACGTGGTGGGGTACCAGCCGCGCGACATCTATGACGCGTTGCAGAACTTGATGGACGAAGAGGCGTGGGTGGTGGAGGAATTGCCAGAGGTGCTCCAGATCCAGGTTGCACGCGTCTACTACGACAACGGAGTGCAGAAATCGTCGGCCCAGTTGCCCTTCTACGAGCAGATCTACATGGATCGGTACTTGGAGTCGGGTGATGACACAATGGTGGCGAAAAAGGGCAAACACCTGGAGTGGAAGAAGGACCTAGAGGTGTTGAAGACACGGCAGGCGGTGCTCAAGGGGCACGATGACAACGGGTTAACCCCACGCGAGTCACTCGTGCATGTGATGGAATGGATTTCCAAGTGTGAAGAGTCGATATCGCCCGAAACGCTCGCGGTGTTGCAGCGCAAGATAGACAATTTGGAGATTGAGCTGACCCGCATCGACCAGGATATCCAGAAGCTTCAGATTGACATGGACGGTCAGTTCAGGGAGTACACCAAGTGCGGGTACACGCTCTTTGCCATCTTTATTCACCGCGGGGGCGCCTCCTACGGTCACTACTGGATCTACATCCGCGACCTCAAGAGCGGCATCTACCGCAAATACAGCGACGACCGTGTGGAGGAAGTGTCGGAGGCTGAAGTTTTGGATTTTTCCGTCAACAACACCGCCACTGCAAACTGCATTGTGTACGTGCGCGACGACTTGAGTGCGGAGTACATCGATCCGATCAAGCGGAAGACGGACAATGCGGCTGATTTATAGGTTGGTAATTTGTAGAATAGAGGTTTATATAAGCTATTAAAATGTAGGCGTCAATAATATACGTGAGGTGAGCTCGTCGTTGTGTTTAGAACCTCAGGTGTCTCGCCTGGGTGTCAATGGAAGGCCCTCCGGGGAGTCTGAAACTTTTATGCTTAAAGTCTAAAGCAAACTATAGGGTGTCTTGTGTAGCGTAACTGCCAATAGTGCCGTCTTGTAGAGCCTAGGTCTACTGTCAGTCTAAGAAGACATGTTGACAAAGACAAAACTGTTAGCTCTATCAATGTGAGTGGAACAATTCATTAAAAGGTTATGTGCAGCAAGGGCACATCAATGTTTACGCTCCTGGAGGAAGTAAGGTAAGAGCTTGACTCGCATGCCATATTGGAAGGGTATATTATGTTGATTTACATTAATAGTGTTGGATGTTCACATACACAGCTACAGCCATTAGATACCAAGGGTTTGTGCAATAACCTTTGGGCGCGAGTCGAGTGGGTAAACCAACTTTAGCGACTCCTCAATGCGGGGACAGCTGGGAAATGTCGCCGAAAGGTCTGTGTTTGGATGTAATTTTACTGGATAGAATATAATAAGTTGGGTTTTTGGCCAATATCTTTTAAGAATCACTACACTACATCTAGTCATGAGAGAAACCAATCATTAATGATGAATAGAAGTAAGCATTAAGGTTAATGGCGAATCAAAGCAGACATTAAGGTTAACGGCGAATCAAAGAAAACGTTACGGCAAGATCTCATCCCCCTATCAAAGTTATCACCTATTATTTCATTCTTAAAGTCATATTCTCAAAACAATAACCCTTTTTTTATAGCTCTGGAACATTCCTTTACTCTGTTTACCTCACTTCTGATCCCAGTGTACCTCTCACTTATCCTGCACAACATATCTCCGATCCTCATTGCCACGTCGTGTGGATATCACTCCGGTGTTTTTCACAATTTAGACCAACCCCTCCTCCCGTCTTCTTCAACCATCCAATTGCAAGCAAACGTACAGATAATGTCTTCAGGCTTGCAGAGACGCCGTGGGGGCAAGGCTACCCACGAGACCGAGGACTCCCCGGAGGCCCCGGAGCACAAGATTGCATACGACCCGCGCGACATGGAAGACACGACGGAGCTGAAGGCGCCGCTCTTGACATTAATGGAGGAGGTGTTATTGATGGGATTGAAGGACAAGGAAGGTTACTTGTCGTTCTGGAACGACAACATTTCCTACGCGTTGCGGGGCTGTATTTTGTTAGAGTTGGCGTTCCGCGGCCGCATCGCGCTCGTCAACGACCCCTCCAGACGCCGCTTTGAGTTGAGCGAACGGTTGATCGAGGTCATAGACGCGACACCTACTGGCGAGGTCTTGCTAGACGAAACCTTGAAGCTCATGAAGAACGATGAGAGCAACTTGAGCGTGTCCAACTGGATCGACTTGTTATCGGGCGAGACTTGGAACTTGATGAAGATTAACTACCAGTTGAAGCAGGTCAGAGAGCGCTTAGCCAAGGGTTTGGTCGATAAGGGCATTCTCCGCACCGAGCGCAAAAACTTTTTTCTCTTTGATATGGCGACCCACCCCGTTGCGGATGCCACCGCGAAAGACGCCGTCAAAAAACGCGTTTTGGGGCTTGTCGTCGCGCGCAGCGCGCAGCTCACGTACAATGACAAGTTCCCGGAGGCTGCAAAGTACAAGTACTTGCGCACGATCTCCTTGGTGTGTGCAGCATACGCCGCGAACGTGTTGGAAAACGTGTTGAACAACTTGGGCTACGACCAGCGCGATGCGGCGTTTGCGCGCGCGGACGAAATCCTTGCGGGCTACAGTACCGCGCCGTTCACGTTGGGCGCATCCGTATTGGGCGTCAGCACCAACTTGGCGCAAGAGGTGAGCGGCGAGCTCGTACAGGATGGTGTGTCCGAACTCCAGGCCGAGCTCTTTGCGGCAGTGTTGAGCGTGTTTTCCAGAATGGACTCTATCTTGTAGGTCAGTAGAATCGCAAAGGCGAATTAAATGTATATCAAAGGTTATCTAATGTATCAAGGGTGACATATATTGTCGAAGGCTCGATGTAGCGTATAAAGGGTAAAGTATGGTCCGAGGCCGATACTAATGGCGATTAAATCGTGTTAATAGTCAGTTAGGGCGTGACCTGTGGGAGTCAGACGTGTTTGGATCTCAAAATTGGCCTTTACATGGAAAGTGAAACTAAAAGCATATAACCTACAAGGCGCTAGTGTAACGGGTAGTCCAAGATGCTCCCAATTCCCTGATTCAGGTACGCTTAAGTGCATTATTTATTGGCATGGTTGGCGTCACCCCTGTCACTTTCAACACTGCACGTGTAGCTCATTGCCAGTCAGTCCTAAATCCAACATTCACCTAAATCGGCTCAAATTCCATATCTGGAACCTCTCAAACACCCGCTTCAAACCCCCGTGAGAAACGCGCTGGACGGGTAACTAAGGTTGTTTTCGCACCTTTCCAAGCAATCACTCCCGAGAGTGGCGACAAAGTTGTGGAGAGTAGACCGCTCCAAGTTAGCGTAGTCCTCACCGCACGATTCCCACCACATGGCCCCGCCTAAGCCGTTGGACAAAACATACTTGGCCTTGATCTTAGCTGACTGCTGATTGTCATAGACCACCAAAAGTCCCTGCACCGGTTCGTAGCAAGAGGCACTGACCTTGCGGTAGTCAAATTCCTCGGTGGTTCCTGGGAGCGGTAATGTTTTGTACAACCACACACCTGCGTCGCCAGAAGAGCCAGAGCCCACCCCGTTGAACGTATTGCCAATCTCCCTGGTGGTACCGCTGAACCCCCGACCGTAATTAGGCATGCCTATCACCAACTTCTGAGGGTTTACCCCCTGTTGGATATAGTACTTTACCGCCAGGTCGGTGCTCAACGCACCCCCAAAGAGGTTCGAGTGGTAACCCGTTTGGCCCGACCAGGCGCCGGTGTAGTCGTAGCACATGAGGTTCCAAAACGAAACGTACTGGTCGATTTCTGAGGCCTGGAGGATACTGGCTTGTTCCGGGGCTGCCGGTGCCGCAATGGACAATAGCATGCTCCCAGATCCAAGATTCACCACTGTCTCCAATTCGTCCAACCCCGATCTTAGCCTTCTCAAAAGCTCCACCAATCTGGCGGCTTCAACCGCATTCTGGGGATACTCCCAGTCCACATCGATCCCATCAAAGCCATACTCTGATACGAAAAACATGCACGACGCAACAAGGTTGGCAAACTTTGCTTCGTCGGAAACGATGGACACGAACGTCTCGCTCGTCCCCCAGCCGCCAATCGACATGGAAACCTTGGTGTGGCGGAACTTTTGCTTCAACGCATAGATTTGGCCGAGGGAGCCCTTACACAGCACACCGTTGATATCCAACTCTTTCTGGATATCCGCCCATTCGTCAGAGAATTTCAATTTCCCTGTATCTATATCCATCGCAATGAAAGCGTAAAAGAGATTGGTGACGTTTTCAAGCGGAATGTCTCGCGCCTGGTGGTTCTTCGGCTCGTAGACCGACCAATTGGTGTAGTACATGCAAGTTCTAATGGACATGGCAACTATTGGGGCCAATAATGGTTTTAGAAAAGGTTCAACAGTTTCCTAGAGCTTATATCGGAGACTGTGTCTGCTATTTAGAGACAGCTATGCGGCTCCTGCAGAACGCCGCACGCCTGTGTAACTTAAGTCCCCTTGGTAAATGCTCGGCTTAACTACTCGAGCATTTTTGAATCTGGCGTCTACAAAACATCGCAACTTGTCGTCTTAACACACAAACGAGCACGCACACATGAGTGACTTATCTAGAGCGGCCTCGGACGCTGAATCTGACCGTGATACTCCCTCAAAGCAGAAGGCGCTCCAGTCGAGTGAAGACGAGGATGACGGCGGGTTGTTTGGCGACGATGACGACGAGCCAGTGGTCAGGGGGCTCCAGAGCGACGACGAGCTGGTCAGAGGGCTCCAGAGCGATCACTCGGATGACGAGAGACCCTTCGGGCAGTCTCAGGTGCCTGACCGCGAACAGAGAGAAATTGACATCGACGTGCCGTTCTTCGGCACCAACTCAAAGATGAGCTCCTCGCACTACGAATTGAAGCTCCCGTCATTTCTCCTGATGGAGTTGAAACCGTTCGACCCCGCAGAGTTCCGCAGCACGATTGATGAAGACGCGGACCGCGAGACACAGTTGGCTGACAAGTTGTTGGCAGAAAACACCATACGCTGGAGATACTCTAAGGGTGCGGACGATAACCAGATCTCCAAGCAATCCAACACACAGGTTATCGAGTGGTCCGACGGGTCGCTCTCCTTGCAGATTGGCCAGGAAATCTTCGACCTTCCGGAGCGTAAGTTGCACGACCAGTTCTTGGCGGTGGCACGCGAGGCGCAGGAGATCTTGCAGACGGAAGCGGTGCTTGACAAGTTGTTGACGGTAGTTCCAACCTCATCGGACTCCTTGACCCACAAGCGCTTGACCAACGCGATCAGGAACAAACAGAAGCGCCAGCAGGTGTCGACGAACAACGTCATCGTGCAAGAGGATCCGGAGTTGGCCGCCAGGGAGTTTGAGAAGGCCGAGAACGAGAAGTGGCGGTCGCAGAGACGTCTCGAGGCCAAGAGACGCCTCGATGCCGAGCGCTTGGGGCGTACCTCGACACCGGTGGCCGCAGATCGTGGCGCCGTCTACTCGAGCAACTCCTTCGGTGCTGCGGGTAGCGGTGAGTACGACGAGGAGGACGGATTTGTTATCGGCGATGATGAAGACGAGGAGGACTTTGACGATTTGGATGACGAGGAGGGGGAGGAGGAGGAAGAGGAGGCCGAGGAGCGGTTGAGAAGCGTCAAGGCCCAGGGCCGTGCCAAGTACAGAAGCGACGACGAGGAGGACCACCGCAAGGCCAAGAGATCGTCTGATGCGGAGGAAGACCAAGCGGCTGCAAAGAAGAAGAGAAGAGTTATTGAGGATGACAGTGACGATGAGTAGCCATAGGGCGTGTATATTAATGTCAATAGATTTGATTAAACTTCAGAGGAAAAAAGAGTAGACAGTGAGAATGGTAGGTTGGGTGAGCAAGTTTAATGAGGGAACCTAAGTGCAGTTGTTCCAGCGGTTTAATCCTGTTTGTCGAGCACCCTCGGGTAAATGTGTTACGGGGCGGAAGACCTACGTTTGTAATCTGGTACGCAGGCGGAGGACCTATGTCGGTAGTATAGAATCCAGACTGAAAACTTACGTCTGCATATGGCAGAGCTCAGATAGATTCTGGAGTAAACTGGATGATATCTGTATTGGAATCCCCGGGTAATACGTATGAAGCCGCCAGTTTTGGCGAACTAGGTCAAACCTACACTGCATTTTACCAGAGATGTATTAGATATGTAGACATGACATAAAAAAAAAAGAAAATGTTGGCTCTACAAGCATTCCCATCGGTGGCCATCTTGGGCACGCCTTGGAATGCGGTCACTCGAATCAATATCCTACTGATATCTGAGGGTTTGCATCTGTCGGCATCTCCAGCCGGCGGGACAGTAGGCAGGTATTACGCATCACCGGCCTTCTTAGAGTTACACGCCACGATCTTGAACTTGTCCACAGTGACGGTTTCGTTGGTCTCTAGCTTGATGTTCACATCCTTGATGATGAAGGTCCACACATCGTCACAGAAACGATACGTGTGCAAATGGCCCTTAAACGTCAACTTAGACTTGGTCTGCTCCTTTAAATTTTCCGAAACCACTCTGTCAAACTGGAAATGTTAGTATGGCTTGAAGAGTGATTGTGAAGCCAAATACTCACGTTGCTCAAGACACTCATAGCCAATTGTGGCTGGATCTTCTGGTCCAAAATCAACGTGTCCAACGCATCAGTCAAAGAGGTACCGATAGCACTTCGTCTGTATAACTCATAGTATCCTGGGCCGTTCATCTTCGTTGCGTATGGCTTGTCTTCTGTAGCCTACAAACACCTAGAGAGTGGCGCTGATAACTGAATCATGTCTTTGGGTGTCTCTACTTAAGTGGGGCTTGGCGAGACACGACTTTTGCCCAGGTCTGCATGCATAATGCTCACGATGGCGGTTGCACTCTCAAATATTTCCGTTAATATAATATGGGTTTTTATGGAAATGTACAAATTATCAGTCCCCGCCTCCTTTACTTAAAATCTTCCATACATACATCCTTCCAATCCGGTAACCTCAAAGGAATATTGTCTGGGTACAATTCGGGATACGTCTCCCTGATCACCTTCATAACCTCGTCGAACATTAATAAGTATCCCTTGCCGGTAAAGTGAATCCCATCTGTCAACAAATCACTGAAGCTTCCCTCACCGTTAGCCTTCTCGTAAGCGTCAAATTCCTGCCACAAGTCTGCAAATCCGACATTTTTCTCTTTTGCCAAGGCACCCAACGCTTCTGAGTACTGTTTGTTAACCTCTGTGGTGCGGTAGATACCCTCGGCCTTCCCATCCGGTCTTATCGCGTACCATCTGTCCTGATTGTGCCAGCCCGGGCCGATGAGCACGACCTTGATCCCCTTGCTGGTCGCTCGGTCCACAATGTAGGCCATGTTTTCAAGATATCTGTCAATGTCTACGTGTTGGGGGCCACTCACAGCTGCGTCATTAGTGCCAAAGAAAACGGTGATCAAAACGGGCCTGGTGTATTCGCTTTCAGGCGCATCAGGCAAAATGTGGTCAATCAAGGCACGCGCGTGCTCGGAGTTGTAGCCGCCGTACCCACGCTGTACCACATCCATTTTACGCGTGTAAGCATTGGTCATGCCCGACCCGTACGCAAAGTGCACGTCGTTGGTATCGAATGTTGGGAAGGAGTTGTACGCGAACTGGGTGATGGAATCACCGAAGATGATCACCTTGTTGAAGTCTAAAAGCGGGCGTGTCATAGTCGCAAGTGATAACCGTGTATGATTGGCAATATTAACAGCGATATCTGTCTTGGTCTTCTAGTGGGCTTCGATGTCTCCCGTACACCAGGGGGTAAGCCGAGGCTCAAGGCCGTCCCACAGTTGTCCATATAGTAGTGTTATGACCGAAGATGTGGCCATACACTACCTCATTGAGCGGGTGGATGAGATCTGAAGACAGTGGGGAAATGCCGGATACCGCACTTTATGCGGCACGCCCTTGCCTGGATGCCATCATTCTCTCGCCTACAGTCTGAGGTCTGCCCCTAATTTCCAATCCTCTGATTGCATTGCTACCAAATTTTCTCCCGGCACATAAACCCATCCCCAGCCTCCCAACGAGCATTGGATTCTACTCGATACCACTAAAGAATATCCCCTTACACCGTGTCTGCTGATTGGCTCGTTATCACGAGACATTCCTGGCCGCAAGCGTTTGGAGCATCGTTCTACCCACTTTGCAGAAGTCGCCCCAAAGTTCACCGCCAACGGTAGTAAGATCGTCATGGGTGGTGGGATCTTCGACTCCAATGAGGCCCTTGTGGCCGACGGCTCCGTTCCATTGCCTCCATTTGCTGATTCAGCGTTGATCGTGAGAGTTGACACCAGGTCATTGAGTTGTTGAAGGGTGATCTTTACGGCCGTGAAAAGGTCTGGGATCTTGATAACACCGACATCTGGCCGTTTTTATGCGCGTACAGAGAGGAAAAGAAATATGATTAAAGTGGTTCATTGTAAATAGACCAATAAATCAAAATATTAAAAGCAAATGAAATAGATATGGTTTTTATGCATGTTGGGTTTCTCTGATATTTGTTAATGCCTCTTGGTGTGCTCTACCTTGGCCATGATCGAATTACTTCTGCATAAGAGGCTCGGCTCACAGCAACTCCTGTCTCTCCCCTTGGGCGTATATCCCACCAACATAACTTAATCTGTTCTACCCGTCTCTGCGGAAAGGGCGCATCGTTATTAAGCCATCCTTGTTATCCAGGTACTCTACACGAATCTTAATAAATATTATATTAAAGGGCTATACAGAGAAACAGTCAGCATCAAGCTGCAACGCATTCTCCTTACAATTGGTTGGCGGTGTGGAAGATGTGCAAAGCCTCGGTGATTCTCTTGGACATGGTCTTTTCACCTTCTCTCACCCAGACACGTGGGTCAAAGTACTTCTTGTTTGGCTTGTCGTCACCGTCTGGGTTACCAACCTGGGTGAGCAAGTACTCCTTCTTGGTCAAGACGTAGTCTCTGATCCCCGCCAAGTAGGCGTACTGGCAGTCAGTGTCCAAGTTGACCTTGACAACACCATTCTTGATGGCAGTGTCAAACTCCTCCTGGGTGGAGCCGGAGCCACCGTGGAAAACCAAGTACAACGGGAACTCAGAAGCGGAGGCCCCGATCTGTTTGGCCGCGTACTTTTGGTGGTCACCCAAGATCGATGGCTTCAATTGCACGTTACCTGGCTTGTAAACACCGTGAACGTTACCGAAGGCAGCGGCGATGGAAAAGTCTGGGGAGATTGGAGCCAAGGCCTTGTAGACGGCAAAAACGGTCTCTGGTGAGGTGTACAACGAGTCCTTGGAGACGTGCTCGTTGTTGACACCGTCTTCTTCACCACCGGTGATACCGATTTCCATTTCCAAGAACTGGCCCATCTTGGTCATTCTCTCAAAGTACTTGGCACAGGTGGCAATGTTTTCGTCGTCGGTTTCCTCGGACAAATCCAACATGTGGGAGGAGTACAATGGCTCGCCGTGCTGCTTGAAGTAGGCTTCGTCGGCTTCCAACATCCCGTCGAACCATGGCAACAACTTCTTGGCACAGTGGTCGGTGTGCAAGATCACTGGAATGCCGTAAGCTGGGGCAATGGCTCTGATGTAGTGGGCAGCAGCAATGGCACCCTGGATGGAGGCGAACTGGTCGGTGTTGGACACACCCTTACCGGCAAAGTAAGCAGCACCACCCTGGGAGGCCTGCAAGATGATTGGGGACTTGGCGTCTCTGGCAGCCTCTAAAGCAGCGACAACAGTGGACGAAGAGGTGACATTGATGGCTGGGATGGCGAAACCCTTTTGCTGGGCGTAGGTGAACAAGGCACGGACATCGTCACCGACGATGACACCGGTCTTTCTCTTTAAGACATCAGAAGCTGGCATTGTGTATGGATTAAAATATAGGTAATATATCGAGAGAGAGAGAGAGGGGAGAAAGCAACTTGTGAGGGGAGGAAGTGGTTGCGTATTTATATCCCGATCCTTGCGCCCATGAGGTGATGTCTGAAATTTCTCAGACCCCCCAATCCTCGGCTCTCCCCTCCTTAAGCGTGGGACACATGAAAGTGTCCTGCCAATTGCCGGGGATCTTTGGGTGACGACTCCCCGGACAACAGTGCAGCGCGTGGCGTGACGAAACAGGAGAATGGGACCGATGTAAGCGATCGGTCACGCGATGTGTACGGTTGCATCACCTGACCTCTAGCTAGAGGTGGCCCCCGGTGTGCATGCCGGGGTTACCACCTGATGTGCACTTTTCGGGGTTGTAAAGGGAGGTGATACGTAGAGGCCCAGGCTAGCCGGGATGTCTCCATCTTATCCAGGGAGACCACAAGGGCACATTATGCTGGCAATCTGTCACAATTTTCAACAATTTATTTATGTTCCACTTATTATTGTAACATCCTGATGCATAATTGTGCTCTCTCCGGGGTATAGCAGGACCACGTGGCTTGGTTTTTTTCTCCGGGGAGCATGCTAGCGTATATGTACTGGCCGGCCCCTTTCGCTATAAAGGGAGTTTTTGTATGTACGGTGCGGGAGGAGGGACAGCGTGCGCTCTTGTTCTTTTCCGAAAGTTTTTTTCTCGCGTGTCACTGAAAAGCTCCGGGATGTTCCGTGCCCAACTTTTCGGCAGATGGCTTTATATACGTAAGTCATATATGTAAGCCATATATACGGTTTGCAAAATACAAGCCCCGAATTATGCGGATGAAAGGTGAAATGGCACATTGGGCTATGAACCCTTGATGGGTCGGTCGGTATTCGATGCGTGGGCCCATGATGCAGAATATGTCAAGGCATCGGAACCTGGACTCGGATATAAGAGCGCCATGACGGCGACAGCAATCGCGCCTGTATTGTGTATGAAACAGTATGGCATTGTAAATGGATGTGTTTTGGTGAATCAGAGTTTGTTAAATAATCCAGGTTGGCGCAGAGGAGCATAAGTATGTAACACATGGGCGTAATAGTGCTGATGCATGTGCCAGCTGCTGGCTCCAAAGGCCGCTCCACCAAAATAGCCACCCAATGGATTCCGATGATGTCTACATTTCGTGCTAAGTCTAAATATTATTAAAGAAAGGTATAATACACAGGCGGCCAATTAAAAACATACAGCGCTGTAATTGGTCGTCCTAAAGGCTAAAAATGCGAAAAGTTGAAGGGAATCCAAATGGATTAAATGCATGAGTAATGTTTGAAAATGATCCAGGTAATTTAGAATTCGCAGTCGTAGACGTCGGCATCGGAGTCGGAAGAGTCGGACGAATCAGGGGAGTCGGATGTGTAAGACGAGTCAGACGAATCAGAATCAAAGTTGGCAGCTTGCAATGGGTATTCGATGACGGCATCCTGCTCGGAGGCAGAGTCGGAGTCGGAAGTAGTACACTTACAGTTCTCGTATTCAGCACACTCTTCACTGTCACACTCTTCGCAGCCATCACATTCCCCGCACTCCTCACACTCTTCGCATTCCTCATCGCTGTCGGAATCTTCACCGTTGCGGATAACCTTGTAGATGGTTTCATCTTCGCTTTCGGGCTCGTTGGCAAGGACCTTGTAGATGGCTTCTTCGGCATCCTCATCGTAAGACTCATACATCGAATCATCCATAGATTCATCCGTGGACTCATCATCAGAATCGTAAACTGGGGCCCCACCTCTAACAGGGATAGAGACAATCTCTTCGTTATCAGACTCGTCGTAGGCGTTAACCTTTGGAATGATGATCTGCAACTTGTCTCTGTTCTGACCAGTGATCTTGGAGTGGATCAACTCGACTTCGATTTCACCAGCGTTGAATTGGAAATGAGTTTCGAAGTTCAAGTTTTGCAACTCAATTTCGTTGTCGAATTGGTTTTCATTTTCAAACTCGTCATTGATGGCCTCCAAGATTTCACTTTCAGAAAGAGACTCATCGGAGTCAGAGTCAGACTCGGAATCGGATTCGGATTCAGACTCAGATTCAGACTCAGATTCAGATTCTTCAGCAGCTTCATCATACTTTGGCAACAAAACTTCGCCACTGATAACCAATTCATCGTCCTTGACGAGGTAGTTCAACTCAACAGTATGTGGCATGATGCGAGAGTTATCAACTGGGTTGAACAACTTGTAGGTCAACTTGTAATGAGTGTCGTTGTTTTCCAAGTTATATTGCTTGAATTCTGGCTCTTCAAACTCTTCTCCGTCGTTGTTAGCGAGGTTGAACTCATAAACTTCTTCGTCCGAGCTGGTCTCGGAAACTTCCATTTCAGTGTCAGACTCGTCAAAAATGTCCAACAAAGCTTCGTCGGAAGCCTCTTCTTCGTCAGAGGTGTTTGGGTAGTAAACGACTTCGTCAGAGTGTGGGAAAACCAAGTCTTGGTCGTATTCAGCCTCAGAGTCGGACTCTTCGGAGGAAGACTCGTCGGAGGAAGATTCTTCGGACGAAGACTCAGAGTCGGAGGAGTAGTTGGCTTCGTTGTAGAATCTTTCAGCAGCAGCCTCAGCAACAGCAGCATTAAACTCCTTGTTGTACTTTCTTTGGGCAGCTGATGGCTTAGAGACCTTGTAAGCATTATTGTGGCGGATTGGTTCCTGGGAGTAGTATCTAGCCATTATGAGAGTGTGTTTGTATAGTGTTGAGAGGATGGCAAAACAAAAGTTGTTCCAAACGGGAAAACTAAGTTTATTATATAGGGGACAGTGAAAAATTCTTTCTGGCTGAAATTTTTTTTAAGGATGACATGTCTCTGCATATTCCAGCCCCGTATCTAAAGTGCTAGATAAATCTGAATGCAGGCCGTCTATGCAGCTTCCGCCCCCCGTACTGCTGGAGAAAATATTTTTCGCTCCGGTGTCCCAGTTAAACGGAAGCCCATGCTGTATCGTGCATGAAACTTACATCCGTCACATGACATATGCGGCGGACTGACCCTTTGGAGTTCATATTTTGCCACCTAGATGCAACTTTGCGTGCAGGCTGAGGCTCGAAGAAATTGTTAGAAATTTCCAAGAAATTCCATCTGGTTCTACCAGGTTCTACGCATTGCTTTTTTATGCATGCTGGCATGTCACCACCAGACACGCACACTGGCTAAGTAGCACTTACAGACTCCGTCCAGTTCAGTACACGATATGTGGAGAGGCTCCTTCGAAGACGCGTCTAACAAAGCATAACATATTCGAATTAAGGAGGGGAAATAACGATCCTTTGCCTTGGCGGGTTAAGCAACACCTTTTTGATCAATCTATTAGCTCCTTCGTCACTTACGTAGCCTAGGCCGCAGAAGAATATCAGGGGCTCCCTCGGCGACTAATTAACCCGATTAGGTAATATTTGAGCGTGTCTCGTGGCCCCACGATTTACGTGTGTAAACCTAATCTCGCGCTTCCTCTGGTTTACGCGCTCACAAGACAATAGACTGTCTGCTTTGTGTATTGATCGATTAGGTAATATCTGTCGATTCTCCATGGTGTGGAGTGAGCCCATATCCGCACGTGACGGCTCACATGCTGCCTCTCCACTTAGCGCGAAGCCGCGCGACCTCGCCCTAAAACGGACAAGAAAAACAGGAGCAAGGCAAAAAGGCATGCGAAAAAAGCAATTCATGGTAATCCACTACCCCTAATTTACCCATCCCCCTCCGGTTGGGCCAAAGTCTTTAAAGCTCATTCACCCTTTCCTAAGACCTATATGGCGGTGTTATCAATTATAAACACCATATTACATGTCTCCTTAGCTTCTAACTATGGTAAAGAGCCATGTATAAGTAAAGATCCATCGGTTTTGGACCCTCTCTGGGTGTCATGGCCCACAGTGCAGCTGCCCCACTGGACGGATGCGTTGCACGCCGTCGTCGACAACGCTGCACGAACGCCGACCGGGTTTTTCTTTTTCGCGCTTTATGGCAAAATTTGCTACCATTCTCCATCTGGTCGACAAACCGCACTTTCACCAGCGAATCTCGACTCTTGCGCCGACTCTTTAATACAAAAAAGCTTGCCACCATACATCGCTGCCGTAGTTCGTCATATACATCTAACCAAATAACACTTTCTCACGTCGCCCGATTAGAAGATACCTATTACATAGTCAGAGTTATCAATTCACACATTTAAACACAAATACCACTACAATGTCCACAATTTCACAGACCCAGCCTCGAAAGAACAAGGCTCCTTTCAAATCCGCCAAGAAGTTCGTCAAGAAGGACGAACCAGAAGCCAACACAAACCTTGCTACTTTGTTAGAGTTGTTCCCAGACTGGGACCGCGAGGACTTGGTGCCACTCTTGGAAGAAAATCGCCAGCAATTGGACGTTGTCGTCGAATTGATTGTCAGCAACAAGGTCAACAAGTGGGACCAGGTCAAGAAGGAAAAGAAGGTGGTCAAGAAGGAACACAACTACGCCGTTGCTACTGAAACTCCCCAATTGCATAACAATACCAACACCTTCTCACATAACTCACAGCACAACACCGATAAGGCCAAGTTCCAAAAGGCAGCCGCTGCTCCAAGAAGAAAGGAATCTGGTGCCAAGAAGCCTGCAGCCGCTGCTCCCGTCGCCGCTGCCCCTGTCGCCGCTGCCTCCACATCCGCCCCAACCTCTGGCTCCTGGGCCTCTGCCTTGGCCAAGCCTGAGAAGCCGGTTTCCGCACAGCCACAGGCTGTGGAACATCCAACTGAAGAGGAGCCGGTGGAAGAAAAAGCACAACCAGAAGAACCAGCCCCAATCGAAGAAGAACAGCCACAGCCGGTCGAAGCCCCTGTCGCAGCCCCTACCCCAGCCGCCGCTCCAATAGCCGCCCCGGCCACCAAGAAATTGTCGTGGGCCGCTATCGCGGCACCAAAGCCGAAGCCAAAACCAACCCCAAAGCAAGCTCCCGTTGAACAAGAACCTGCCGAAGAAACTGCCCCGGGAACCGAAGAGGTTGATCAGTTGGCTGATAGCATTGCTGAGGCTATCGTGGAGGAGGCTATTGTTGAGGCCATCGTTGAAGAAGTTGTTGAGGAGATCATTGCCGAGGAAATTGCCGAGGAGGCAGTTCAGGAAATCATTGAGGAAGCCATTGCTCAGGAAGCCGCTGTTGTCGAAGAAGAGGAATCCCAGGCCCAGCCAAAGTTCACCAGAAGATTGAACCAGGACGCTGCTGTTGTGTTGCCAAACTCGGCCTCAAACGTTCCAGCTGTCGGCATCTCTTTCGGCTCGATGTCCTTGTCAGAAGAGGAGCCAAAGGAAGAAGCCGCTCCTGTCTCCGCGCCAGAACAGGCCCAGCAACAGCAACGCTACAACAACTACAACCGTGGTTATAATGGTACCGCGGCCGCCAACAATGCCAGCAGCTACAACAACAACCAGTATCAACAGTATCAGCCTCAGCAGGCCCAGCCACAGCAGACTCAGCAGCAGCAGACTCAGCAGCAGAAGCAACACTACGACTACTACAACCAGTTCCAATCGCAGGTTCCTGGCTACAACTACCCAGAGTACTCATACAACTATAACCAGGTTTCCTCTCCAGCTGCCACCGCCTCTAACTTGTACAGTCAACAGGCCCAGGCCCAGGGCCAAGCCCCTGCCCAGGGTCAGCAAGCCTACGGTATGGCTCCACAGGCTCCATTGCCTCAAGGCCAGCAGGATTTAGCCTCTGGGGCCGCCGCTGGCGTTGCCCAGTCTCCAATGAACGCTAATGCCCTTCCTCAGTCTGCCGCTGCCTTGCCACAGGGCTCGGCCGCCGCTGCGGCCGCCGCCGCGGCCCAGCAGCCATTCAACCCGTACTACCAGATGCCATACTACCAGGGCTACTATCCACAGTACAACCAGTTCTACCCAAACCAGTTCTACGCTCAGCAACAAACCAGATACAACCAGTACTACGGCCAAGCTGCTACCTCTGGCGCTCAGGGCCAACTGCCGCAATCTGCTGCCGGCAACGCGCCAGCCGCTCAACAGGCTCAGGAACAACAGCAAGAACAAGGTCAGGGCCAAGAGCAGCAGCAACAGCAACAGGCCCAGCAGACTCAGGGTCAGGCTCCACAGGGTCAGGCTCCGCCACAGCACATGTACGGCCAGCAGCAACAGCACGCTCCATTCAACGGTTACACCTACCCAGGAACTGAATACTCCCAGGCCACTCAGCGTGGTTGGTACTGAGTCCCGAAACACTAGCCTGCTTGAAGGCGTTTCATCTACCAAAATACTTTCATTCATTTCATTCATTGCTTTTTGTCAAAATTTACTTTTTATCCCTCCTGTTTTATATGTTGTGATATATACATCTAACCGTACTCGGTTCTCTCTAGCTATCTATCCTACGTTCTGTAAGAATCGCGTAAACTATATTGATGGCAGAAATATGGATAGCTCAGGGACTCCCTTTAACATGGCCCTGGGTTCTTCTCTCAATCTTGAACTCTTCTACCTCATCCTTGATGAGAACTATTCGTGGGGTGTTAGCGTGTTATAGGGGGATGTGGTATCGGAATCACTTACGTTTTAAATCGGTTATGGACGTTGCATAGCCCTCGAAACTGAAGTCAAAAGGTTTGGTACAGTCGGGCTCATCGTTGTAATCACGTACGGCGTTCAAATACGGATGGTTGATACACTGCTGAATTTCCAAGCGCAACTCGGGGTCCCAGTCCAAGAGATTCTCTAACAAATCATGGGCAAGCTCGCTGGCATACGGATACACGTGGCTCCACGGGATTGCCCTGTATTGGGGCTTTGGGGGGGAGAAGAAATCACAGGCCTAGAGAGAAAAAAATTAGTAAAGTAATTCCGGAGTCTTTCCTGTAGTAACATACCTTGTGTGAACCATAGCGGGTGAAGACATCTCTCGGGGGTGTCCCCAATACCTTTAAGATTTCATTGATTTGGTGAATCTGATCGTTCCCGACAAATAACGGGCGCCTTCCGTAGAGCTCGGCAAAAATGCATCCCACCGCCCACATGTCAATGGATTTGGTGTAGTTTTTGTTGGACAAAATTAGCTCAGGAGCACGGTACCACCGAGTAGCAACGTAATTGGTTATGTTTGCGGACCTTGTGCGGAAAAACTTTGGGTTCACCCCTCTGGCCAACCCAAAGTCGCAGATTTTTATGGATCCTTGGGTTGTGACGAGGATGTTGCCTGGTTTTAAATCCCTGTGAATGACATCTGCCGAATGAATGTACTTTAACCCACAAAGAATCTGGTATAAAAAGCTTTGTACGTGAAATTCCGAAAATTGAACGGCCGAATGGATCACCCTGGCTAGATCGTAGTCAACTAGTTCCTGGAAACAGTAGAGGCCGTCATAGGGTTTGATGTAGATTATATCCAAGTCCACCAAGTTGATAATCTACGGATATTGTTAGTGCCTAGTCTCTGGGTGCAAGTCGGATAACATACGTTTTTGTGTCCCTTAAAGTGTCTCATAAGCTTTAGCTCGCGGATGGCTCTTTTTAGCAAGACTTCTTTGTGAAAGATGTTGGACACTTTCTTGATTGCAAGGTAGTGGGGCCCAGGGCTGGTAGATGTGCCACCGCAGCTTGTTGGTGCTATTGTATCAATTGCTGAACACACGGTACCATATGACCCTTTCCCTAGTACCAGTTGTACCTGATACCGTGAGTCAAGGTAAAAGTTTGCCTTTTCGTACACGCTGTATTCTCTAGGGTTTTGGTTGGAGGTACCTTGGAGTCCTTGGGTGATTGAGGCCATTGTTCTGTATAGGGGCTACGGATTCGTTGGCTTTTGGGATATGTGTTAACAAATCGTCTTCACCAACATACATTCCCCCACACTGCAAATATGAGTCTGAAGAACGATCAGAACGTGCGGATGCCCCCGAAGTGAGAGCCAAGGGAAGCAAATGTGAAGCAGGAAAGGAAAACTACGAACGGAGTATTTCGTTCACTACTGATAGGCGGCTACGCAATCACTGTACATTATCCATTTCGATTTATTTCTGGGGCAAATAAAATCCCTATGTACGTTAATGCATCATAAACTGCATGGCTTGTCTACATGACACAAAAACAAGATCCACATTGTAGATTACCAGAAAAATCTGCAGTAAGTTGGGTGTTATACAAGATTTGGGTAGTGTCCAGTTTCGTTGATCGAATATTAAATGTATTAGTGTAAACTAATACAAGATAAAAACAATTATGAAATAAAATTTAATAAATGTAAATTTAGTTATAAATACGATGTGGAAACGTGAATGAATATATGCCTATATATTTATGATTAACTCTAAACCCAGTACAAGGTAATTATAAAACAATAAAGAAATTATAAAACAATAAAGTAATTATAAAATAATAATAACCATAAAACTATTCTCATATATCGGCACGAAACTGCTACATGTAGTCTTTAGCGGTGATTAACTGTATATCAATACTTTCGTTTTATTTATAACACTGGGAAAAGACACATGTACATACAGGGTAGGGAAAATCAGAAAATACAAGTCCAACCGCGGACTGTAACCAAGCAAATATTAAGAAAAGAAAACCGTCAGTGCAACCACTGAAAATGAACCGAGACAAACCATCCAGAGAGTAATTACATGATAACATAAGAGCCACCTACACCCCTGTCTGGAATGTGACTCAATTCCAACTGCTGGAAGCTATCGGTAGTCTTGTGGAAGTACAACCCAGAAATACTTCCGTTTCTCTGGTCAAAGCAAACGTAGTAAAAGCCGGAGAAGGAAGCACCCGTAATATCGGTAATCTTGGCATCCGGTACCAAGAACTTCTCCTTCCACCTCATGTAGATGATATTTTCGTCAAAGATATCTCCCGCAGACATCCTCTCAACCAACTGAGTGATCATCTCGGGGGTCACGGATTCTCCGCTGGTGTCAATGTCCACGTCAAAGTGGGACTGGATCAAGTTCATAAAGGACGGGAACTTCAACCAGTGTTGGATGTCCACTCGGTCGGAGGAGCCCCACTCCTCGTGCCTGTTAGTGAGAAAGGAAACCGGCGCCTCTCTCTCGTTGGTGCGGCATCCGATGATTTCTGCTTCAAAGTAGGTTATGATCTCAGGGTACCCTTCGGTCAAGCCCGAAATAGAGAGATATCCGGACAAACAGTTTTGCGAGAGATCCACCTGTTTGAACAGGACCGAAACTTCGTAGGCAGATTGGCGAGACTGCTGTGAGCCCATAAAGGTAGAGTTAGCCTTGAGGAAGCTGGTATTTGATGCCTGGCGTGCCGGACGGAGCATATAGCCAGCGTCTGGCAAAATGGGCTGGTACTTTATCCACGATGCATTTTGGTGCAGTTGCGCCTGGCCGAAAAATGTGGAGGGCTCAGCGGCTGCCTGGAGAAAGGGGATTTTGGTCTCAAGATTGGTATTTTCGTTGTCCAGCACGGAGGATAATGACAGGCGCGAGATAGACGGGGTGAGGGAGGCCAAATACGAGTGATCGTATGAAGACGACACCGAGGAGCCTTCGGTAGCGGCGTAGCTCATCTCAGATCTCGGTGCGATCTCGTCATGGGAGGCGGCGATGCCCTGTAGCTTCCAGGGATCAACCTCCGGAATGTGGATGGCATGGGTGGCAGACGGTGTTGGCATTAGATAGCTTTGGTTTTGCTGCGAGTAAGGAAGCTTTGGGTATATGTCTAGGAAGAGATGGAAGCAGATAAATGAGGTAGCAAAATGAGGATCTGTCAAGGGTTTTATGATTCGGACTTTCTCTGAAAATGCACAGAAAAAGAAATGCTTGCTGGGCGCATTATGACTCTATGCGCGTCTGCGCTTAAATGATCGTAAGACGTCCGAAGACGGCGCGCAGAACCTCTGATAAGCCCGATAAAGGCTGCTCCCCGCGCCCTGGTACGTTTCGCAATCGCGCGTCTGCCGCAATCCCGCAATGTCCCTCACTGTGGGTAAATTGGCTTCGGGTGTGATTTGTGTCGGAGTTCCTTTTTGACGTGGGGCCAAATTGCGAGGTTGGTTGAGAGAGTTATTGACATGTTTAGCCGGACCTAACGTTTATATGGTCCACGTGTTCGTAACCTAAACGATCGAGTACAACTAGCTAAATGTTTCGTTTTCCCTTCTCCGTAGTGTGTTCTAGACGGTGGTTACCAAGTAGGGTTTTTGCTAGTGGAAACAGTATCTGTCTAACCCAAATAATTCAAGCTATAACTTTATATGCGCTTTATTCATGACATATCGCTTGATACTTGTCATTTGAATGGCTGGGGGTGCAATGAAACTCCGAACTACTCGGACTAACCCAATTTATTAGGTTTAGGACGCCGGTGGCGGACATTGCTTGGGGCGGTTACCATTTGGGAAGTCATGCCGGAACTGCCTGAGCGCCGCGACACGCATGTGTTCAGCAACCCCTCCTCGCCTTTCCGACCCCCTCCCACTCTTGTTTTTCCCCACAGCTACCCGAGTCACCATCACGTGCCTAACGGGGAACTACGTCCGCGAACTGTCCTATGTAAGCGATATCGTGCGGCTATGGGTCACGTGTATCCAGTGATAAATTTATATAGACAGATCGGAATTTTCCACTCGAGAGCTAGGTGACTGTGCTGCTCTTTAACCTCCGAGAACCCTAGGCCCGCTTGTTTTTCTATTTGAACGCACACATCCCCCGTTTCCACGATACTAAGAAAGGCCCATATATTCTGCCATTCGCACTTCGTAAGTCCCACTATGCCTGAAGAAGTTATCCTCGAGGAAGATCCAAACCGTATATTCAAGGACCTCTTTTCCGGTACCGTCGGTGGTATCGCCCAGGTGTTGTCCGGCCAGCCGTTCGACACCACCAAGGTGAGATTGCAGTCTGCACCTGAAGGCACATACAAGGGGCCGATGGATGTGGTGCGCCAGTTGATCAAAAACGAAGGTGTTTCCGGGTTTTACAAGGGCTCTTTGACTCCCTTGGTTGGTGTCGGTGCGTGTGTATCCATCCAGTTTGCTGTCAACCAGTACATGAAGCGTTTTTTCGGCAACCTCAACCAAAAGAGTGGGTTAGCTGCCTTGACCACGCCCCAGCAGTACTTATCGGGTTGCGCCGCTGGGTTTGCGAACGGTTTTTTGGTCTCGCCAATTGAACACATCAGAATCAGATTACAGACTCAGACCGGTACCGCAGCCTCCGCTGCTGCCGCGGGTCTTCCGTTCTACCATGGTCCAATAGACTGCATCAAGAAGTTGGCCCAGGTGAACGGGGTCAAGTCTGTCATGAGGGGGTTGGGCCCGACTTTGGTCAGAGAGACCCACGGTGCTGGTGCGTACTTTTCCACCTATGAAACCTTGGTTGCCAGAGATATGAGGAATAATAAGTTGGCCAGAGCTGACATTCCGAGCTACCGATTGTGTGGGTACGGTGCATGTGCCGGCTATGCCATGTGGTTGACCGTCTACCCGGTAGATGTTATCAAGTCCAGGTTCCAGACGGACAACATTGCCAAACCGGTCTACTCCAACTCCATTGCCTGTGCCAAGGCCATTTTCAGGAGCTACGGGATCCAGGGCTTTTTCAAGGGTTTCGTTCCAACCATTTTGAGAGCTGCCCCGGCCAACGCCGCCACCTTCTGTGCCTTTGAAATGACCATGCGTGCCATCGGTTAACCGTACATTATTTAATTAGAAAACTTAATATAGAGCGCAGCAAACTGTGGTAGACTTGGAGACGCGAGGACTCGCTGTTTTTGAATAAGCAGAATTCAAATACAGATAAAAGCTTTGGTTTATAGAAATTCAATATCAAACGTAAACATAATACAAAAATACAAATACATAAAAAGTAAAAAAATAAAAGTAAAAAAAAAATAAAAATAAAAAATAACGGTACACTCCGCCCAGACCTCCAGATATACCAGGGATACAAAGGAAAATAACACGTCCAGCACCATACAAGACTTATAAATATGCCATCCACAAGCTGTCCGCCCCCGCAAGGTTCCGCGGATTCACCGCCTGTGAAATCAACTCCAACACATATTGCGTTGCAACCGAATTACCGCTGCTCACGTGCCCCAATGAGGCAGTCTTCTTCACGATAAAGTCCACGTTCACGCGCACAATCTCGCGCAACTGCGGGTCTTGTGCGCTCGGGCGGTGCTGTTGGGTGAACCATGAAATCACCTCATCCCTGACAAAGAGACTCATATACTGCTCCATGTCGTACTCAGGCTCCGAAAGGCAGTTTGCAATCGTAAGAATATACGTCGACAAAATCCCCTCTAACCCGCTCTCCCCGATTAACTTCTGGACGTTGGGGGTCAAGCGGAACGGAACCGGCTCGCCGTTGTGGAAGACGGGCGCTGCGCGCTGCGTCGACACATCCATATTGCTGCTCGCGTATGCGGTGGTGCTGACGCGACCACTCGGCACCTTCGACGGAAGCATGTCTGAGGTCCAGATGTTCCCCGAACCCGCGTCAATATGGATCTTCTGCGGTTGGCGGCCATTAATACACATCATATACGTCATAAAGATGAAGGACGCATACTGCGAGGTGAACTGCTTGCGGAACAACCAGAAATCCTCGTACTGCGGATACAACGCGGTGAAGTGGTTTTTCAACACGGTGCTTGGCACAAGAAGCGACTGCACCGCGCTGAGGATTTCCACACGGATGCTCATCACGTCCGGCTTCGGCAAGCGTGGGTCGTACGCCGCCCGCAACTTCTGCACCGTGTACACAAACGGCTCGTCGCGGTTCTGGCCGCGGGCACGGCAGAACTGCTCGTACACCGCGTGCATTGACACGTCATGCGCATTGTCAGTGAGGATGCGGATGTGCGGTGAAAGCGGCACCGCGACCGGCAACGTGAGCTGGATGTTACGCCGGCGACTTTGCACCTTCTTGGCCAAGCCGTCGTTAAAGATGCGGAACAACTGGAAGATACGCTCCTCGCGGCGCAGATGGCGGGCGGCCGGAAACTGCACCGCAAACGCGTGGACCGAGCCGTCGTGTCCGCGGATACGCATGCGCTTGTAGCACGAGTTGGGCCCGCGCACGAGATCGAGTGTCGACAAGAAGCGCTCGATCTTGATGAAGTGGTTGTTGTTGTCCTTGTTCATAAGGTATTGCCCGGGAATCTCAATGTCTTCAAACTTTTGGTAGTGGAACTCGCTGAGGTGCGGACAGAGCGTTTCGAGATTGACGCTGCCGAAACGGCGGTCAAGCTTCGCCTCGAGGCGATCGCGCCACTTACGCAACTTGCGAATATACGTTTCCAAGTTTGGCTTGCTGTCGATGAGGTCACGCTGGAATTCCGCGCGGATGTGTTTCGGAAGGACCGTTCCCGCAAAGCGCGTGATGTTCTGCTCCGTGGCCTGTGGCAATGGAATGTCATCGCGGGGGTTTGGGAGGCGGTTGAGATACTGAACCCCGTCGTTGAGGAGCGCGATGACGAGGCGGTATGCATCCTCGTCCGCGTTGCACTTGAAACGCTGGGAGATCTGGTCGACAAGCGATTCGAGGGAGAGCGCTAGGAGGGGGTAGGCGGTCTTGAGGATACCCATGATTTCGTCCACATGCTCCCATGGTTGGCGGCCGAGAGACGCACCAGGGGCGGAGCCATTACTACCAGCATTGGTATTCCCAGCATTGGCATTCCCAGCATTGGCATTCCCAGCACTGGCATTACCACCAGCATTAATAGCATTACCATTAGCAGTAATTTCACCACCAAGATTGGCCGCACCAGAATTAGTCGCTGCAGGGTTGGCCGCTCCAGAGTTTGCCGCAGCAGGGCTGGCAGCACCAGGGTTGGCCGCACCAGTGTTGGCGCTTGTGTATGCCGCCGCCTGGCGCTGTATCACGGCAAAGTCTTCCTTTGTCGTTCGCAACTGGAAGTGCAACGCCTGCGGATAGCTCTTGGCAATTCGGATAAGAATCAGCCTCACCAGCGACGCCTCCTTATGCGACAACGACGTGAGTAACTGCGGAATGAACGTAATCCAGTACCACACCGGCACCTCGCCCCTGTAGTTATCAAACGCCTGGGTAAGCGTCTTCCCGGCGTCATCCAAGCTGAGCAACCACAAGATCCGCGAAAGCAACTTCCGCGTCTTGCCGTTCTTGTACAACCCCGAGGCCTGCAAATAGCACGAAATCGCGTTGTTCGCGTAGACGATATCCGCTGGATTCTCCTTAAACCTCCGGTCATTAAACAACCCCCACTCGGCCCACGCCTTGGGCAAGTTGAGATCGATCTGGACGGCCAGCGCGAACGCCTGGTTGGCCTCGTCCTGAACCTTCAACTTGGCAAGGAACATGCCCTTGAGCGTGAAGAACTCGGCCTTCTGCTGAGTGCCAAAGTATACAAGGTTCGTGTTGCTGATCACGTCCAATCCCGTGTTGAGCTCGTTCATGTTTTGGTAGTGGCACTTGGCCTGCTCGCGAAGCTTGAGGAATGCTTCCTGGATCTCGATGTTCGGGAGCGTGTAGATCTTCGCGAGCTGGTTGATACACACCTCTGGCATGTTGTGCGTGCGCGCGACGTGCGCGAAGCGGTTGATAACCCACGCAATCTCGTGGTAGCCGCGGTACGCGTACGAGTTGGCTGTCGCGTTACCGTTCGCCTGCTGGATCGCCGGAATGAACGGGACGTACGTTCGGTTGATGACCCCGAACGCGTGCTGGCGCCACGTCACAAGGTCATTCCAGCAGTTGATATCGTCCCAGACGTTGGGCAAGCGTTCTCTCCACGCCTGCAACACCCTTTTGAGCTCCTGGGATTTGACGTCAAGGTTCTGGGCCGTGGTGGTGAGGAGCGAGCCGTACACCTGGCTCGCCTCCATGAACTCCACGTACTGCTGGAACGTGTGGAGGAGAGGTACGTGTGCCTGGGTGAAGCGCAGCGGGAGCGCGTGCCACTTGCGAAGCGCCAACTGGATGCCCTCGTCGCAGTACTTGGACAACTCCTGGATCGTCTCCTTCTGTTGCGAGTAGCCCTGGAGACAGAGGAACGTTTCGAACACCTGTCGCCGCGGCGTCGGCACATCCATCACCGTCTTCACCGACTGTTCGAGCGGCTCCTTGTCCGCGGTCCAGTCGGCCACGCGCCATCCGCATTCGAGCAAGAGATCCGTGAACCCCTCGTGCTTTGCGAGCTCCGTGAGTACGTCCCAGTGCTGGAGCTTCTCCGCGCACACGATCCAGTTGTCTTCCCAGAGGGCGTACTCAGCCTCACCGTACGGCAACGCGCCGCTGCGCGCCTTGATCTGGGCCGCTTCGTACAACTGAAGCGCCTTGTCCCAGAGCCCGAGCTGTTCGAACAGGAGCGCCGCGTTTGTTTCAAAGTACTTGGCACGGCGCCTCCACAACCCGTAGAACATGTCGTCCTCCTGGAGCGTCGCGTACATCTCCACGAGCGCGTCCTGGTTCGCGTCGCGCACCTTTGCGTTTGCTTCGGTCGCATCGACCGCCTCTAGCAAACGGATCGCCGGGTACCACGCGTCATACGTGCTCCCAAGGTACTTGACAAGGTGCGGTGGGAGCTGGAGGTCACAACGCCCGACACCCTCCAAGAGCGACTGGATCACGTTCGGCCGGCTGTCCATCTGGCGTGTGTGATAGTCCTTGGAGAGGAGGCCGACAAGTGAGCGGGAGAACGCCATCTTGTCGTCAGGAGGGATGGCGGAGTACGCTACGGGGAAGAGGTTGACCCACGCCGCGTGGATAGTTTCGGCGCTCTGGTAGAAGATGCCAATGAGGGGGGCGAGCAAATCACCGGCAGAGAGCGTTCTAAGCGAGGTGAGGAATGCCTGGTGGGAACCCAAGATTTTAGAAAGGGCCTGACCAGGAACGAGCTCTCCTGTAACTCCACCAGATTCGGTGGAAGCATCAGCCGGAAGCCCCTCGGTACCTTCCTCCGCAGTACTCTCGACTAACCCTTCCGTGATATTGGATAATCCCGCGAGTCGGTACTCCCCATCCACCAATCTCAACTTATACTCCCCATCAAACGAACCAAACAAAAGCTGAAGCGCCTGGTTCGTCCACGGATAGTTTGAGATTGCCTCCCAAGACTGCTCGCGCACAATGTAGTACAACCGCTTGGCAATATCTCTCTCGAGACTATCGTTCAAGATAGCAACCAAGCGTTCCCGCACCTTCACGTCGCTGAGATGGGTTCCCACCAAGAACGGGTGCTCCATGCGCACTGTGAGCTCGGTGCAGCTTAATGTCTTGTCCTCAAAGATATCCGTGACAATCGAGTAGTACTCACGCGCAAGTTCCATCTCACCGCGCGCCTCAAAGACCATCATCTTCTGGAGGATACCCGCCTTCTCCTTCGTTGTCGGGAACAAATCCGTTTTGGAGAAGACCCACCCGCGTACGATTGCGATGATCTTATGGAGGAGGTCCTTGTCGAGCGAGCGCTCGATCAACTGCGCGAGGAGAGTGAGGAACACGCGGCGCTGGTCGCCGAGGTTCAGGATCCGCATCAGCGACAAGTTGAGGATCTTTTCAAGAAGCTTTGTCGTCATCTTAGCTTCGTACTCTGACGTCGGCGCTTCTGCACCGTGCGAGATCGCGATGTGATCGTTGAAGAGTTTGCGGAACGTGCGCATGATCGGTTGGAGTAGCAGGTCGAGCGACGCGGGGCTGTGCGTCGCGAGCGTCCAGCATATCGTCACACCTGCCGCGACCGAGGACATACCCCCGAGGTCATCCTGAACAATCGTGGTAAGCGACGTGAGGAACGCGCGGATCTCCTCAGACTCCTCCTCCTGCGTTTTCTGGTGCTCGTTGATCGCCTCGAGGATGATCCGTAACACGCGCTGGAGCACCTCCTGGACATCATGGTTATCAGAACGGAGACACTTGTCGAGAAGTGTCTCCAACTGCGTGAGATGCTCCACGATCCACGCGGCCGTCTGCCACTCGAGCGTGACCGCGAGCACCTCGAGTGCGTTGAGACAGAACCCGAGCATGCTGGTATTGCTGAAGTCCGCTGACACAAGGAATTTGTCAAAGAACTGGAGCTTCACCACCACGTCAGACCAGTAGACCGGGCCGAGGAGCTGGTGGAGGGTCGTGAGCGCGCGCTGACCGAGGTCGGACTCAGACGCGCGTGTCTGGCTGAGGCACACGTAGCGTACGAGGAAGGTGATGCACGCTTCGCGGAGGCCGTATGGGATGGTGTAGGAGGTTGGGGTGGTGTCGGGGGAGGTTGCTCGTTCCGAACGCGACGCACGAGGCGTGAGGGAGTCGCTTTCGCGCCTTTCCGTACGTGCGCGTGAGTCCACGTGGGCAACCGAGTTCGAGTCCTCGCGTGTATCCTCGTGCGACTCGGTCGCTTGACCCCGTGTGGCTTCGCGCTCTGCGCGTGCGCGTTCCTCCCAGCGCAAAATCATCTCCGCAAGGTCAATGGCCAACACCTGGTTCTCCACCGAGGGGTTCGCAAGAATCGTGAGCTTCCCCATTGCCGTGATCACGTTCGGGATGAACTGGTCGCGGGCGACATAGAACAAATCCGGGTGTTGCACAATGAACTGGTACACGTTAAGTACCTGTGTCACCGTGAACCCGTCCTCAGAGAGCACGCGTCGCGGCCACTTGAGCCAGCTAACAGGCGAGCCCTGCGCCATGCGACTCGGCATTGCGGGTGCGAGCAAGTCGAGCGCCTGCTTGACCAAGTAGCGAGTGTCGGCCTGATGTGCCCGCAACAACGCGACAAACACCTGGGTGACAATCTTGACGGGGGTGTCGTACGCCGCGATGAAGTAGGATGTCACCACATACGCGGTCTGTTTGGTGATGTTGTCGTCGAGGCGGATGTAGTTCCACGAGAACTTGATCACGTCCTTACGGAGTTCGCCCACCACCGCAGGCGCCCACTTGATGCAGATCGCCGTCATCTGCAACAACTCAAAGCGGTAGCTGTCCACACCGCCCGCGGTCGGCACCGTGATGATATCGGAGGACGACTTCCAGACCTTTGCATGTACAAGCTCCAACCATGCGGGGATCTTGCCGTCGCGCTTTGCCACGAGGCGATCGAGGCTACCGTGGCGACGGCACTCGGACATGAGGATTGGATTGACAAGGTGCTTGAAAAGGAAGATCTTGGTGGGGAGGGATGACGACGCTGTCGCGAATGCGACGCACTGCGCAAGGAACGTTTGCCGGAGACTCACGTCGTCGCTCTGGATGACTTCCGAGTGGAGAAAGTCCTCAAAGGTATGGGAGAGGGGAAGCCCCAGCGTGCAGAGGATGTCGAGGAACGACACCACCGAAGACACGGCGGTGGCGGTATCTAAGACCAACGGAGCCTCCACCGCGTCAGGCTTGACTACCAAGGCTTCAGAGTCTTCGGGTTTGGCGGCGTCCTCCATTTTGACGTCGGCATCCTCAAGGGCCTTAGAGGGCTCAGCCGTCTCGGGCTTTGTCTGGGCCTGAGTTTCGACGAAAACCACCTGCAACTGCTCAACGGCTTGGGATACCTGGAAGTGGACCGGGGAAATGAATGGCGCCTGCGCGCCGATAGCCAACACGTCCTTCATGACGTCTGCGAGCTGTGCGAGCATCGGGCGCTGTGCGCACAACCAAGCCGCGTCGTACGGCGCGATAGCGCGGATCACGTCCACGAGGTTCGCAAACATTACGCATTTGACTTCCGGCGCCGTTTGCGCGGCCAACGCGTCGTACAACTTGTCCAAGTTCTGCTTCACATGTGCGCGGAGCTGGGCGCACGCCTCGAGCCCTACGAAATACGCGCAGCGCGTGCCGGTCTGACGCACGCCAAACTTGAGTGCAAAGTACTGGAACGTCTCGGGCGCAAAGCGGTTGAGGAACTTGGCAACGGGCGCGCGAAATGGCGATGTCTGGCGGCGGTGCAAGTGCTCCTCAAGGTACTGCAACGTGTTCATGATCTCGTCCATAAAGGTGAACGCCTTTGGCGGGAGGAGGTGGAAGATGTTGAGGATGGCGACGATGATCTGGACGGTTGGATTGCTGTCGAGCTCTTGGGCCGAGATTTGGTGGAGAGTCGCGGGCTGCGCCCACGCCATCAAGTGATCGAGCAACTTGCGGCCAATCTCCACCTTGAAGTAGGAGATGAGGAGCTCCAAGAGTCTGGCAAGCGCCTCGAGGCCAGGTACCGTGAGCTTCTTGTGGTCCAGGAGGTTCATGAGCATCGGGCGGAGGCCACTCTGGAGTAACTCCTTCGGCACCTTGGCGTTCTGCGAGAGCACCAGCTTGAGCCCCATGTGCGACGCGTTAATCACCTCCGACGACTTGGCACACAACGTCTTGAAGAACACCGCGAGAATCTTGATGCGCGTTTGGCCACCGCGCGACGCGACAAACTCTGCGTTGTTGAGAGCGAGCGAGAGGAGCCGGATGCACGCGACGCGGAGCTTCACCAACTGCTCCGATGTACGGTACTCGAACACACGATTCGCAGAGGTGAGTGACTCGTCCTCCGCGTCCACAAGCGTCAACGCCTCGATGAGCAAGCGGTTAAGTTCTTCGTTGAACTGGAGAAACGTGTTCTCGAGCCCAAGACAGAACGTGATCGCGTCGAGGTTCCCGATCTGCATTGGGAACGGGAGTGCGCGGAGCGGCTTGCCGAAGATTGGGGTGAGGAGCACATTCTTGGACGGCTCGATGAGCTTCGCGAGTGGGATATTCGTGGTTGTCGCGAGGATGCGGAGCGCTTCCTGCGCCGTTTCGCGCACCTCCAGGTTTGCGTTCCCTAGGTCGTACACCAACGACGCGACAAACGTCTGGAACGGCTTCTCTGCCGCCTCCGCCGCCGGGAGGTCACGGTTGCACTCGCGGAGAAGCTTGTAGATCAAGCGCCGTGCCGTCGCACGCACCTCGTGCGGCGCGTCGCTCGGGCTGTCACGCAACACGAAGAAGAGCGCGCGCGTGCACTCGAACTGGCGTGGCGCAAACCACGAGACCGGTACGTCGAGGTCTTCGATCAATGTTTGGAGCCCGACCGTACCGCCAAGTTTGCGGTAGTATGCTTCATCGTAGCACGTATGCACGAACGTGTTGAACACAAAGCGGAGGAGTGGGAACTGCGTCGCGGACGCAAACACCGCTGCACTCACGCGGAACACCGTCTTGATCGCGTCGACCCCCGCGCTGCGTACTTCCTTTACGTAGAAGCTGAGCGCATCCACGATGGCATCCACAAACACACGCTCGTCGATGAACACACGGCCCTCATGGTCCGCCGTGGAGAACGGCCGGTCGTTCTTGCGCTTTTGGACAAGAAACTTGCCAATGTATAGGAGCGTCGCGTGGGTGTAGAGGCCGGCGAGAAGGGTCTGCGCGGCATCTGCCACCTCGGGAATGGAGACCGCGTAGAACATGGCCTCGAGGAGGCGGAGGAACAAGGCTTGCTGGCGCGTGAGCTTGGCTTTGTCGACGACGATGCCTTCTTCAAGCGCTGCGGGAGCGTCTGCAGAGTCTGTGGCCGTTTCCGACTGTGCGGCCAACACGCGCGCGCACGCGGCAATCTGGTGTTCAAACCCGTCGCCCATCGCCTCGGCATCCACGAACAACTTGAGCACGCCTGAGAGGTACTGGAACGCGCTCACACGGTAGTGAATCTTCAAGCGCGGGTCCTCCAAGAGCGTGAGCGCCGCGGTGATCCCCGATGTGATACTGACAGGCGCCTCTTCCGGCAAGCCGTCAATCTTAAAGAACGCCTCCACCTCCTGGTCGAGCGCTGTCTGCGATCTGAGGTTCTGTGCGGGCTTAACGAACCGCCGGTTGCGCCCGCCAAGCTTGCCGAGCACGCGGAAGGTGGTGTGGGAGTGTTGGTGGTAGTATGGCAACGGCTTAAGGTGCTTCCAGAGCGCCTCCATGACCTCCTCGATGACGGGCTCGATGATGGGGTCAAAGTACTCGGCCGTGAGGTTATCCACGCAGAGCTCAAGCGTACGGAGACCCTGCGATACGAGTTCCTGCGACCCGTTGAGTGCAAACACGAGTGGACGCATGAGGTAGCTAAGGTGAGGCACGAGGACGGATAGACGGACGGGGACGGTCAAGCAGAGCTCGACGTAGATGTCGCGCTCCTGGGGGTGGCGCGCCGTCTGAATCATGCGGTTCAACGTCTCGAGGAGCACTTGGAGAAGCGGCATGATCTCCTTGTAGAGGTGCTCGAAGCGGCCGCCGCCGATGCTGCGGAAGAGCGTGCGGATGAGGTAGAAGTACACCATGGGCTGCTTGGCGGTGGTGGTGAGCTGGAGCGACTGGAGGATCAAGTCGTTCAAGTGGGGGAGGATGACTGCTTCGTTGACGGTGGGAAAGAGGTTCACCGACATGAAGCAGAGTTTGAAGAGGCGGATGAGAATATTCAGCTTGACCACATCCACCTCACCGAGCTCTGCTAGCTTGGATTTGGCAAACAGCGTGAGGAGCCCCAGGAAGTTTTGCGACGTGATTTCGTTCGCGAGGAAAAATTGCGGAATGTGCAACAACGCCAGGTTCTCAAGCATCGCTGCATAGAGGAACGGCATCTCGAAGTGCACGATTTCGTTGAACGTGGCCGAGTCGATGTGGATGAACATGGTGGCAAAGATCTCCATGATTTCGTTCTCCTCCTTGCTGGAAGTGACCGGGATGTTTGGCCCGGCAATGTCAAACGACGCGGGGCGTGCCTCCGGCTTGGGTGTCTGGAAGAAGCGGAGTCCCAGGATCCCCTCGCGGAAGAGCGAACGGAGGATATTGATCTCTTCATACGTGAAAATCTTGGCGGACGTGTTCCACGTCTCGAGGTTGTAGTCGGGTGTGGGCGGTGGTGGGTTGCACGACTTGAGTCCGAAAATCACGGACTTGAGGAACGACATGAGCGAGCGGAAGAGGTAGCACGCGTCTTTGAGCGGGTCGGAGGTGGAGGGTGGAGTGACGGAGATCAAAACGTAATCTGAAGCAACCGATGGGTCTGAATCCCCCACCGTCTCTTCGGAGGGGGCCAGATTGTCAGTATTTTCATCCTCCATTTTAATGTCACCGTCGGCATCAGCGACACCAGCAGATATGGAGGGGGTCTCGCCCCGTGCCGCAAACGCCTCCTTCCGTTTTTCCACCACCTTTCGCTTTCTTTCAAACTCGCGCTTCCCCCACATTACCTCGTCGTACTTGCGGTTCAACGTCACAAACCGTTTGCTGTGCGCGTCGATTATCTGCATGAACAACTGGCGGCTCTCGCCCTTCTCGGGCAACTTCATAATGCTCTCCACGAGGTTCAACAACAACTTGGAGCTCATGATCTGCACCGTCAATGCCAACGTGTCGTCCTGGAGAATGCGGCAGAACATCTGGACTGTTTGGAAGATCTGCTCGGCCGTCAACTCAGCTCGCACGTTGTGAATGAAGTCTGCGACGGTGCTGTACGCCAACGGGCGGAGCGTGTCATGTGCGGTGAGCCCGTCGCCGACCAACACGCGCTCGTCAAAGAGGAGGTCACATTTTGGGAGGAACATGGAGCGGAACGGCGTCAGGAGAATATGGCGTGTCGAGTGGAGAAGCTCCTTACGCGCACCTGAGAGCTCCGACGGACAATCCTGGAGGATGCGCATAATGAGATCGGGAATCGTCTTATGGTACGGCTTGAGGAACACCGGGGCGTAGCCGCGGATGAAGATGTACGCGAGAAACGACGCGGCCTTGACCTGGCCGAGCACGAAGTCGCCAAAGGCCGCACGGTTTGCGATGCCCGCGGCAACAGACGTGAGGCGTTCGCCACGCGCCTCAGCCACCGTGCGCGCGGCCGCCTGTGGTGCGGCCTCGAGCGTCAAGATGTCGATTACGTGTGGGATAAACACCGGCAAGCACGTGTTGACCAACGGCTTGTACGACGAGTAGAGCGACACCATGGTGATGGGGCACTCGGCGACAGTTTTGAACGACGCCATTGCGCGGTTCAACGGCTTTTCGTCCATATTCTCCGTGGCCGCAAACGTCTCTGCTACGAGCGGCGCAATGTTGGTGTAGATCTCGATGATGAGGTCAATGAACGCCTGCACGTTGTCCACGAGCACGCCCTTATACGCCTTATGGAGACTGGTGATGATCTTGATGCACAACACCCCGTTGTCCTCGTTTTCGTCGCGAAGAATCCGTTGGAGCACTTCGAGAATCGGGAGGGCATACGGCTGGAACGTCTCATTCATCACCGAGCGGTGGACGATTTCGAGCACCGTGTTACGGAGCTTGTGCTCTGGCGACTGCGCCGAGAAGCTGATGGGCACCGTATCGAGGTATTCAATGAAGATGGGCATGAGAGACTTCAAGAAGTACTCGTACTCGGTGGAGCCGCTGAAGGTTTCAATCATGTCGAGGAGTTCTGAAAGGATTGAGTGTTTCGTTTTGCAATCGACATCCTCCTGGAGGCGCGACACAAACGCGTCGAGCTGGGAAGAGTACGACATGGGGAACAAATAGTTGATAAAGAGGATTTGAGTTGAAGCGTGAAAGAGGATATGAGTTGAAGCGTGAAAGGAACTAGGTTGAAGCGAGAAAGAAGTTAGGCTGGAGCGAGAAAGGAGTTAGACTGGAGCTCGTAAATTCGAGATTGGATTCGTAGGATATACAGCTTAGGCTGGGTAGCTGGTACTACTGGATAGAGCTCCGGGTATGTCAATGGATAAATGTGGATAACCCTGTTGGATAACCTGTGAAACAACCTTTGCAAGACAGTCACTAAGCGGATCACACAACCGGAGGAGAAAGGGTGGAACCGAGGATTATACACGAAATAGACAATGTTGCAGAGCAGGGATGTATCTAGCAGGGAGTGTCAGACAGTGCAAATGGCAATGAGTAAGATGGAGCGGAGAGATTCAAAACGAGACGGTATGTTTTTTTATCCACTGTTGACGCTGGGTGGAAAAAGTGGAAATGCTACAGACCTGGAAAGGCCTACATCACGTGAGATTCACGTGAGGGGAGGACCGAAATGTTTATGTCGATTATTAATGACGAGTGGCCGTAAGTAAGGGTAAATGCTACCAGGAGATATTAGCCTGGCCTTTTTACCGATTGATTGATGGTGAAAGGTGTATGTGAGAGTAGTGCCAGATTGGTTCGTAAGTGCGGACGCTCGCGTCGGTTTCCATAGAGCTTTGGTCCTCGCAGTGGGTATGTCTTGTTTATTTCTCAGGTCAATTCTACTGTTCAGTAGTTAAATGATTACTGCTACGTATATGCCTTAAACCTCCTTGGATTATAATTACAGGTCTCTGTGAATGAATACTTTAGCAGAAATGTTGGTCATACGGAAAACAAGGTCTGAATTAGGTGCCAACATTAACTGTTTTTATTTGTTGACCAATGCACCAAAGAGTTCATGTGATGCAGTTTTCGTACCTGGATTGATACTTCCATACATGTAAACTGTAGACCAATAAACTAGCTACTTTTGCACGGCTCGATTAGCGCCACATTGATTAGTCGAAAGCACGATGTGTAAAAACGGGAGTTCATCTCGTGTGGGGTGTAACCATGGCGTGCTGACTCCGATACGGCCAGAAGAAAAGTTTCCAAAATCCGTCAGACTAAAGTCCTTGGTACTTAGCCCCTTCTGCTTCCATCTATAACCTCCTGGGAGCGCCTTTCCATACCGTCGAGCAAATCCCTTTGGCGGAAAATATCTCCTACAATGCTCACCACACACTCGTGCGTGAGCTTTGCAGTAAAGGACGTTTCCTTTCCCTGTAGTTTAAGGGCCTTGAGACCAAGATGCCGCACATAGGACGTGTCGCTGGCCTCCAAAACCTCAGGAACCCGAACGAGTAACGCTAATACCCAACGCGAGAGACTGGCATTGGTGCTACGGTTTAACCATTTCGTTGCGTAGATCACAAGCTTGATAGCTGTCTGGTGGTCCAACAGCCGCACGCAGTTCATATCTGGATCAGTGGTAAAAAAGAGGCTGCGCCAGCCAGCGAACGTGGTGGGGAGGATTGTGTTTACGGGTTCCAATGGGGCCGATGAGAAGGCTTGTCGCGTAGCTGAGAACCTGGCCACAAACTCCTGGTGCCATTCAGCGTGGATGACTGATTGGGGGTCAATGCTGATTCCTTCAGACGTTACAGGGTCAGTCTCATATAATACAGCATCAAGAGCTACAGGCGACACCCTGGACCCTGTCTTTGATTTTTTCGTGTCTGAAAACATAATTTGATGCTTTGTTTCCGCTTCAACCCTGCTCCTTATTAGTAATCTGAGAAACGGGAAACCCTCGAGGGAGCTCACACGTACCTCACCATGCTCAAGTACGCTTCCACGTCGGTGTACGCTTCCTCCCAATTGATTTGCAGAGCATTCGTGATGGATGCCGCCACGGGAAACGCCTGGCGTTGGCCAAAAATGGGGTCTAAGGGCCCGTTACCCTTGTTATCCACATGTGGGCTGTAGTTCAGTTCGGGGTCTTCATAAGAGCGTTTGGGCGGCATTGGTATAGATTACAATGCAAATATATGGGTTATAACAACTTGATGATATTCTGGAATGTATCAAGGCAATATATACGTCAACAAGTTGGGTGAGGGAAGACTGGACCGAGAATATTGAGCCGCAGTCATACGCATATATCACGGTAACAAAAAGTGAGAGACATACATTCACGTGACAATCCAACCACGGCGCGTTCAGGCAAAGGCCAAGGAATATATTAGCTTGCTTTTTTCTTTTTCTTTTTTTTTTTAGCTCTGACCATACGATTTTTTATAAAAAAAAAGCACGTCATTGCATCAACAAACATACCGTGGTGTTATATTCAACCATATCAAAAATCCTGGGTTTATTCATCGATAAATATACGATATTTTATGATGTCAAATCTGTGGAGCCCTTCCTCGTTATTTGGCGTCCTGCACGTACTACGAAAAGTTGTCTAGGATTCATCAGCCTTTTGCATTCTAAAACCTCGCACCGTTTCTCTGTTCAGTGGCGACCGGTTCTATCTTACCACACCAGCTACACCCCATAATGGATGCAATTGCAGAAAGCGTGTTCGACAACACCATGCCCCACGCGGCGGTCGACGACACGCCGTCGCATCTCTCGGTAATTCTTGAGACGTCTGCGGCTGGCTGGCTCGCAATCCCCCAGACCACGTTGAAGCAAGTCAGTGAGGCGCTTCTCGTGGCGCTTAACGCACACCTTGCGTCCAACACGTCCAATCAGGTGTCTGTGCTTGCCAGTGGTGTCCAGCGCTCGGAGTTTCTCTTCCCGACCCCGGAAGACACCCACGCGAAGCACCACAACGGCACCTCAACTTTGGTCAGCTCCAAGTTGTACTCGCTTTTCCGCCACGTGGATGAGGAGGTGCTTCACAGGCTCGACGCCCACATCCAGACAGAAGGCAACGGCTGTGACAAGGGTACGCTTGCAGGCGGTACCAGCATGGCACTCGCGTACATCCGCCGGTGTCAGGCCGAGACTGCGGCTTTGAAGGCACGGATTTTGATCATCAGCATTACTGACGACTCTGCTATCCCCTACATCCCCGTAATGAACTGTATCTTTGCGGCGCAGAAGATGAAGACGAGTATCGACGTGTGCCAGCTCGGGCCGGCCTCCAGTTTCCTCCAACAGGCGGCGGACGCCACCGGTGGTGTTTATATGGACGTTAAGCACCCCCAGGGCTTGATTCAGTATCTAACCACCGCGTTTTTTGTCGACACGTCGCTCCGACCGTTCATGGTGTTGCCCTCACAGAACAATGTGGACTTCAGAGCGAGTTGTTTTGTGACCGGTGGGGTGGTCGAGCGAGGTTATGTTTGCGGGGTGTGTCTCTGCATCTTGAAGGACGTTCCACAGAGAAACTTCTGTCCGGTGTGCGGTTCTCGGTTTGATGATTTGGTGATTAGCAAACTCAGACGGGGGCCGGTGGTGACACGGAAGAAGAAGAGAAAGACAGACGCTCTGCAAACTCCACTGACCCCAGCTGCAGAGCAGCCAGAGGCTGTCACTGATGATTAGCCAACCTAGTGTTGACTGGGGGTATTGGGAACCAAAGGTTATGAAGGAAATATACTTGACAATTGCCACTTTAAAGATTATCTCAAAGATTACGAAGGCGTCTAGCAGAGGATAGATTACTGGAACACTTGATGGAAGGTTGTCTGGCTCTTGTAGTTCAACGGGGATCTTCTGACACTATTGCGTTACAACCCTTTGGAACTAGAGGGAAACTCTGATTCTTAGCTCTCAAGGGATTTTATGGGTGGATGCTTGCCTGAATTATGTCTACTCTGAATTTGGATAGAAAGCCTTGCTTCTTGGGCCTATTGAATTAAACCTGGCGGATATTTATGTGAACATATTTCTCAGTTATATTGAGAGCTAGTTGGACCATGGTGTCAAGGTTAAACCATTAACATCAATAAATTGCATTTTTTTTATTGGTACACCTCCTAAGTTAGTGTCCAGAGGGGCTTTCGTACTAGACCAAGATATTAATGATTCTAATCTATCCGTAGTGTAGGGCTCTGATTATAACAGCAATAAGGACATACAGTGTATCATGGAGCTGGGCTCAACCCTCAGTTATTGAGCCATAAATCTACTATTCATTATTATGGTATAAATTTAAATTTATATATCAAGTATGCATTTGTGCGCCTCACTAAAAAAACCCCCCCACCAGAAATGTTCAGCCCCCTCTCGTAGCACAAGGTCGTGCACATACCATCCACATAAACCTTTAAAAACATCAACCACATATTCTCCTCTCCCTATTATCCCTCTATATTCTCAGCCATGTCGATTAACAGCGAGGAACTTAACTACTTGGTCTGGCGATACCTCCAAGAGTCGGGTTTTGCCACCACTGCCTTCCTGCTTCAGGATGAGTCGCGCTGCGACCGACTTGATGAGCAGTACGCGCCCTACATCCCCGCAGGTTCCCTTGTGAACTTGACGCAGCGGGGTATCCTCTACTGCGAAGCCGACGAGCTTGTGGACGATAAGGGCCACATTGCCGATAACACAGACACGATAAACAAGTTCACGCTCGTGCGGGCGTTGATGAAGGACCAGGAGTTGCCGACGGAGCTCACACAGCGCGACATGACACCCCACTACGCCAAAACAGAAACCAACGAGCCAGATGTACCAGTACAAGAGGAGAAAACCACCGACGACTTTATCCAGGTAATTGACAGCACGTTCACGTTCCCGGCAGCCACCGCAGCGCAGTGGAACCCCGTTTCGTCGGCGCCGGTGCTCGCGTATGCCAGCTCAACCGCTCAGATCTGCGTCGTGCCCCATGCGGACACGCTTCTTACACTCGCGCACCCGCTTGCGCAGTCTATCAGCTGCTGCGCATGGGCCCCTAATGGTGGGCTCCTTGTGACGGCACAGGAGTCGGGCGAGTTGCGCTTGTGGAGCACCGACGGGAAGTTGCGCAACGTGTTCTTCTTGCACCATCTCCCGGTGGTGACGGTCAAATGGAGCGAAGATCTGAAACACATTGCCAGTTTCGATGTGGGAGGCAAGCTTATTGTCTGGGACATTGCCAATGCCAGTGCCATCTACCAGTCCACCCTCTCGGAGCAAAAGGAGGCTCCGGGGATCGAGATTTGCTGGCTCGATCCGTCAAAGTTGGCATTCCCAGCCGAGAATTACACCATCAACATCCTCACCTTGGTACCCACTCCAGCGGTCATCACCACTCTTGTTGCCCACACCGTCACCATTTCCGCGCTCACGTACGACCCGCGCGGTAAGCGGTTGATTTCAAGCTCGGACGACGGACAAATCTGTCTCTGGTCCGGCCATTCGACGTCCCCGGTGCAGATCATCAAGGCCCACTCGCAGCCTGTGGTGTACGCGGAGCCGTTTTCCGACGATTTGATCTTGAGCGCCAGCTTGGACGGCACGGTCAAGGTGTGGAACTCCCGGGGCATCCAGGTGGGTCTCGGGTTGAATGACATTGGTATTTCGTGCGCGGAGATGTCGCAAGATTCCAGATGGTTGGCCACCGGGAGCATTGACGGGGATGTGAAGATCTGGGATTTGTCCAGCATCCACGGCCCGCAGGAGGATTACAAGCTTAGAATTGTGGGCGAGTTCCAGGCTCCGGTCACGGGCGAGGACGAACTGTGCCCGGTGATTGTGCTTAACTGGGCAGGTCTGGAAAAGCTAGCGGTATGCTATGGCGAGGGGAAGGATGGTGTGGTTGTGGATTGGAAGGCCACGCCTGCTATACTGGCTGTGACAGCAGACGGTAAAGAGCTTTAGTTGGGAGGGTTCACACAGAGGATAGGTCTTTGGGCATAATTGCCATGGTGTGCACCTTGTATTATTACGGGTAAAAGTTAATAAATTTAAGGCGTTGTAAACAAGCGGTCGAGTATGGATGAAAGGGTGACAGATTTTTGTCTTTGGAAAAATAGATATATCACGCCTTGAGCCATCCAATCTCTTAAGGTGTTGCATCTTGGGGTGCGATGCCGCTCTCTACACCGGGCGTGCGCATACCGCCATAACACTATCACCATCCGTGCAGTTTTAACCACTTTTATCTATTCTGGCACTTCCACTTATTCCTTTATTTTCACAACCCAAATGGACGAAATACAAATACCCAAGCTCAGAAAACGAACGGCCAAGCCAGAATGGGCAGCCCCGGTAAACGACGCTGCCTCGTTTGAAACCACTGCTTCGCGAAACCCGTACGCCGAAATCAGCCAGCCGTTCGGCCAACCGTCCTCTTCGGCGCAGAGCGTGAAACCAAATGTGCTCTCAACCAAGCGGAATCGTAACGCGTCACGTTCCATCAGTCAGCGATTCTCGGTGCGCTATAATGACGACTTTGCGTACAATGCCGCAGACGCGCCGAGTCTCCCGAATATCGCCAACCTTAATCTCGACTCACAGGCACCACAGGACGTCCAGACACGAATCAACACCGAATTGGCGTATGCTGGGGCGGCGGAAGTGGTGCGATTTGCGCACGGCTTGAAGCAGGAAGATGAAGTGCTCACGGAGCAGATCAAAACCAACATCAACGACAACTATAAACACATCTTCCAGCTCAGCACCGACCTTGTGCTCACCGAGACCGACTTGAACCTCTTGCGGACGTCGATTACCGAGCTTTGCGGCGTGATCGATACGTTACAGGAGCGAGCACGCGCGACGGTGGGCCAGACCGCAGAGGGCGCTTCGCGCGCGCGCGACCGCTCATCCATCGTGGTGCTCGAGAAGATGTGGGCATCCGCGTTGGCCAGCTTGTACAAGCACGTGGAGGGTGCAGCTAAATTTGTGCCGCCGATTCCCGGGCGCCACGTGTTTGCGGAGAGCGGACGGTGGTCTGAGTTGAACGGGGCCAACTGGAAGGTGTTCCAGCCCATCCACCTCTTTGTGTTGAATGACCACGTGCTCGTGGCAACCAAGAAGAAAAAGACAACCAACGAACACGCCTTTAAGCTCGTGGCGGTGCAGTGCTGGCCCATCCAGGATGTCACGATGGGCGACATCACCCCCCCGCAGACCTCCCCCGACGTCTACACCATCAACATCAAGTATCAGAGCTTAAGTTATCTCTACCAGACGGACCGCTACGACCATTACACAAAAATCAGCACGGCGTTCAAGGAGGCAGCACACAAGTTCCGTGCGCAGGCCGACAAGCGGCTCTCGCGCAGCGACAAACGGCTCTCAGGCGTAATGGACTTGAGCACGCGCGTCAAGTCGCACTCGCGCACGCAATCGGAGGCGAATGCGCCGCAAGATGCGAGTATGCGTGAGTTGGGCGCCATTGACGAACGCGTCGACGAACTCTGCATGGCGGTGGCGCAGCACGAGTACGCGAGCTCAGTAGCGATTTTAGCGGAGTGCAAGGCGCGCGCCGCGGCGGTAGAGACACAGCATCTGGACGTGGCGGTGCTCGTGGACCTTTTGGCGTTGAAGTTGCGGCTGCGCGAGGACCAGTTGGTGCGCGACTTGGTGCACGCGGTGCGCACCGAGCACACCCGCGCACAGACCGCGGTATTGATGGCGCACTTTACGCTGTTGGGAATCTTACACACGGGCCGCGATGCATACCTTTCGCAGCAGTCGCTCCGCATAGACGAGTTAGTCAACGAGATCAGCTTTCTGAGCGAGGTGGAGGTGTATGTAACGCAGGTGACCATCGTCACATTCCAGTGTGTGAAGCGCGCCATCACAACATATATTGCGGCGTTTCCAGCCGACACGTTCAGCTTTGTGGTGACATGGGCAACTGCGGAGGTTACGAAGTACGCGCTGTTTTTGAAGAATCAGCTCCACGGCGTGCGTGCTGAGTCGGAGGTACACCAGGCATGTGTACAGATTGCACGTGCGCAGGCGGACGAGTTGAAAGCGGTCGGAATGAATGTGGATTTTCTACTCGAGTAGCCTCCTGGGTTGCAAGCATGGATCCTGTACAGCTGGACATGTAAGCGGCACTTCTCTTCTAATGAAATGCGCCGGCGGGAAAATGCATTCGTCTCAGATTATCCTATGAATGCACCGTGAGAGGATTAGCTAGCAGAGGTCTGTCAACCCGTCTCTCCCTGATCTCCTTGAATTTTAGTGTATTGTCTTTAAAAACGGATATAGGTGTCGCGGTGGGAGAACTTTATGTAAGCTTCTATAACAATTCAGGATAACACGGAAATCCCAACCTTAATGAAGGCCACACCGAAGGGAACTTTAGCGCTAGGTCATTCAAACAAATAATCTGGAATTTTCCGACCTCGCCTTATACTTCATTTATATTCATGGTGGGAATAAAATGCGAAATTCCAATCGAGCCAGTCTCACCTATCCTGCATATACTCTTATCGCCTTCGCTGTTTTGATTTCAGCCATCACATTCGATATACGTCAAACAGTTGACACCGGCTAGATACACCTCACCAGTCGTTGACAATAACATATTTGATACTGCATCCGGTTTAACTTTCTACCCAAAACTCATGCCTTCTTCTCCTTCCACACCGACTGCCTCGGTAACGGCTGGGGAATACCTCGAGTCGCAGCTCCTTCTGTACGTTTAGCTCCCCCCTTCGATCACACTGAACCCACGTATACTAACACCCCTAGCGAAAAAGAGGCCCGCGAGATTATGCCGTATGACCCAAACACGTGCTCGTACCAGTTTGGACCGATTCGCCAGCAGCTCTTTGCGTGTCTTACGTGTATTTCCAAGGACGGAAACCCCTCTGGCGTGTGTTACTCATGTTCCATCCAATGTCACGCTTCCCACGAACTCGTGGAGTTGTTCACAAAGCGCAACTTTGCCTGCGATTGTGGCACAACAAGAATGCGTGCGAACAGTGCGTGCACATTACGTGGCTCGCCGGGGGCGCTCGCCGACGACATTCCATCTGCAAGCAACGAATATAACCACAACTTTGCCGGAGAGTTTTGCGTTTGCGGACACCCCTATAACCCGGCAGAGGAGACGGGGACGATGCACCAGTGTTTTATCGGGGCTGCGTGTGGTGAGGACTGGTATCATGAGGAGTGTATCTTAGGGTATCCTCATGGAACGTTTACAAAGAGAGAAAGGGATAGAGATGAGAAAGACCATAATGAAAAAAAAGATGCACTGGAAGAGAAAAACATTCCGATTGACGTATCTTCTGACGACGAAGAGGTGACAATCCCCGGATTCCCACCCGCTGACTCTTTCGAGTACTTTGTTTGTTGGAAATGCACGTCAAGGTTTCCCAAAGTGTTCCAAACCATCGTGGAAGCTCTTCTGTCCGATTTACAAGTACTCCCATACACTCCGGTTAGCCTTGAACCTATGAGCAAAAAGAGAAAGGTGGACGGGCCCTACTCCCTCTTTTTTGACGATGCATTCAAGGCCCGATTGTCCCAGCTCAAGGATTCATCAGACGTGTCCAGTTTTGTCGAGGACCATCCCTTTTTGGTTTCTGATGACCCGGTGTACGAGCCCCCTCCGGATATCTCGGACGACGAAGGCAGCATATACGATATGGGCAGCAAGATGTTGAACAGCATGCCCCGTGAACAGGCAATCGAGAGCATCCAGGCGTACGAGAGCATCAAGGACAAGTTGAAGGACTTTTTCAAACCGTTTGCCGAGGGGGGCAAGGTGGTGACCGAGGATGAGGTGAGGAGCTTTTTTCTGAAGATTAAAAAACCATGAGTTGTATTGTGGGTAATACCATTGTAATGACGTAGCCCAGTTAGTTTCTTGAATATTTGATTGTCCATACCATCGTATCACTTGTGTAACTCCATAGTTTTTTATGCCATATATTTTCCAATGTTCCACGTGCAAAGTTACGGACCAGATGTCAAAATATGTCTAGAGCTAACTGTTAAGTTATATAAAAATAATAATCTAGTGAAAGTCTTCCGTGATTCACGAATATTTGTTTACGATAGATCTTGGCTGGTTATCAACTGATCCTACATTTGCCTGCGCGAAGTGGCAATTTTTCAGATCGCGCTACGCGTAAGTTTGACCTACATTTTGTTTACCTTTCGTTACACGCTCAGCCATTCTCACACTAAAATGTCTTCCGATGTCATTCTCATTGCAAGTGATGATGAAATTGCATCTATCAGATACCACATGAAACCCAACATTGTTCGTTCCCGAACGCCTGACCCCATCCAAGTGTACGTATATCCAAGCCGTCGCTGAGAGCTTTACGCTAACATCGAAACAGTATTGACATCTCCGATACGGGATCTGAAGACGAAATTATATTAATCGAGGATGTTGCTTCCAGTCCGAAACTGAACCGAAACAATCCAGGCCTCCCCCTCGGGAGCCTCGCCCCACAGCAGGCAGCGCCTCCCAGCCCGAACCGCCACATGGATTATTTAGAAGCAATCGCTATCTCAGATATCAGCTCGTTACATGTGCCATCGTCGCAAAATAATCTGACGTCGCATAAAGCAGTGCTACCAAAAAATACCTACAATCCTCCCGACTTGAACCCCGATTTATTCTTGCCATCCTCCCAAAGCACTGATGTGTCTCCGAAAAGAATTCACGATCTAACAATCCCCCCCGCTGAATCTCCCACCAACCCCGTTACTAAGGGCTCCACCATTCAAGACAGAGATTTGTTTGTGCCGTCATCCCAAAGCAGCTTTAGCCCTTCCAAGACAAAACCTCTTTCCCCTCCCAAGAAGCACACCGTGACCACGGTCCCCGGTAATGCTGAAGACGACAGGTTTCCGCACTCCAGTCCGGTACGACGGGTGGAATCCTCATTCATTTCTGAATTCTCAGACGAAGGTGTCTTCAGATCAAACCCTCTCACTGCTTCTAAGCAAGGAATCAAGTTTCTAGATGACTTTCTCGCCTCGGAATCCGACTCGGATAGGGATGAGATCGCAGTATTGAAGGCTCCGGACACCGTCAGGGTGCAAAAACACAGGCTTGTTTCCGAGATCATAAATAGATCAAAGCCATGCCCTCCTGTGAGCAAAAATGCGTTAAAGGTGCACGCAAAGGGGGGTAAGGTTTCCCTGCTTGATACGGCACCTAGGCTAATCCCGACCAGTCCCTTGCTTACCTCAGAGGGTGACATTGACATCTTGGTTGAGCCATCCTCTATGGGTGTTGTCCCTCCCAAACCCAAGCCTTTTTCTACTAAGGAACTAGCCAAGGTAAACAAGACCAGTCGGTCGCGGGAAGAGCTCATGCGAGAGATGATTATTCACTTTGAGGACGGCTTACACGCGGCTTTTTTTAAGGAACCATTGGAGGAGCCGTTCCGCTTAACCAAGGTGACCCACTCATCCAACTCGCTCCCCATCATCACTTGGAAACGCGTGTGTTCCGCCACATATGATGCCGAACAGGACCTCTTTGTGCCGTGTGTTCCTGTGGTGGTGCCTGAAAAAATTGCGGTGTTGCACTTTGACTCTGTGGATTTTGTAGAACGGTTGGTGCACCACAAGATTGGGACCTCGATAAGAAATTTGAGGGCACGGGAGGCGTATGAGACGGTCATCGTGATGGTTGAAGGGTACGATGCGTACTTGCAAAAGTTACGGACAAAGGACAACAAGCGGTACGAGTCGTTGGTACGATCGCACATTGGCGAGGGCACCACCAAGAAGCGAAAGACCGCGGTTAATGAGTTTGAGGAGGGCTTGACGGATACTGACGTGGAGGTGTTGGTACACGAGCTCCTGGTGATGCTGAAGGTGAATGTATTTCCGGTGAAAACCCGGCACGATGCCCTTACGTGGCTTGAGACCCTTACGTACACCATTGCGGGGGGCATCTACGACAGATCTGAGCGAAACTTGGACTTGGCTACCGTGGGAGTCGTGCGTTCCGGCGCTACCCCTAGCGAAGCCTATCTGCAAGCATTGCGGCAGTTGAAGTTTGTGACGGCACCGGTATCCGAGAAGATCAAAAACAAGTACGACAGTCTCTACATGCTCTTCCGGGCAGTAACAGTAAAGAACGGGTTAGGACGAGGCCCCGACGGTAAGCCCTTGACCCGCGAAAGTATCAGCAGCTGTTTGACCAAGTTGTTTACCAGTACCGACCCAATGGATATCCTCGAAGAGTAGATGCCAGGATAAGTACAAGGAGGATGAGATTATGAATGTTACCTATCCGATGGATATCGAGGAGCAGATGTTAGGACAAGTACAAAGAACGATATGGATGCCGTTCTAGAGGTATCCAAACACGCTGGTATATGAATCGCTATGGTATAGCTACACGAATTATGAAATATTATTTGTATTAGAATCTGATATTCACCAATGAAGGCTTACCTGCATATCACCGGGCAATCCATTCTACTTTGAATGCTGGAGCTTGATGTATGCCACCTTACAGAACGTCCTGAATGTAATGTTAGTTATATAGTACAAATGGCCGAGCTTAAAGAGTTACTTGCTTGACGTTCTGGTAGTCATCCTCGGATAATTGGTCCTTCATGCCTTCGATGCCCTTGAAAGCTCTGGTGACCGCAGCAACCTCGGTAGCCAGGAATGGGTATTTGTAGGAGGCCAAGAGACTGATCAAGTTCAACGACTTGTCAAGACAGCCCATGTGACCGTCTGGGGTAATGAAGCTGGTAATGTGCTTGATGAACTCGCCATCCTGGATCTCCCTGATCGCCTCCTCGTCAACCTTGAGCGAGAGCAACGCAGACAACAACGATAAAGCACGCAACTTGACGTTATCCTTTAACTCGCTGGAGTTCAAAATCGGACTAACGACAGCCCAGCCCTTGGCCTCGGAAAACTTGCCGATGATGGCCTCGTTGTTTCTGACGAGCGAAGAGAGCGCGTACAACCCCTTGAGTCTCACGGAGGTGTCCTTCTCCTCCTCCGAAGCGAGCTTGAGCAAGCCTGTAAGAGCGTTGTCGTGCTTGATGTAGTTGTTTTGGCAGTCGGGATTGTTCTGGACGGCAGTCCCAACGATGGAGGCGGCGTATCTCCTCAAGGACGGTTCTTCGTTGGTTAATTGGCTGATAACAGACGGCCACAACTTCATGTTTTCGATGTTGTTGGCATTATCCAAATTTTCAATCAACATTTCAAAGTTGTCAAAGGCAACTTCCTTGTTTTCCAAGGTGGCTTCCGGGTGGAGCATCACCGTCATGTTCTGCTTCATCAAGGTAGGCTCATCTGGGCCAGCGGCACCAAAGAGTCTGGCCATCTGTTCCGGGTCCGGCTGGCCAAGCTTTTCCAACGTTTCTTGGTCGCCCGAGTTGGCAGCGATAGACCACTGCAAAATCTTTTCCATTGTGCAAGCTGTAGATGAGAAATAAAATTCACCGCCTGTAAAAACCCCCTCTCATTTACTGGAGATGCATATATATATATTTCGGTATCCGGTATGTAAGCTGAATAATTTCGCCAACCTTGGAAGATTCTAGCACTTTCTAGGTGAGGTTCGATTGCATAGAGGGGATGTAGCAGGTGCACACTAAAGGATCTACGGTTCTGAGCAAAATGGCCATGTGTACAGATGCAAGTGGTTAGTTGTTCTCCTGAGAACTAGGGGCGATCTACGTTACTAGGAAAAAATCGTAGTGGTTCTGGCGCTGCGTTTGGGATGCTAGACTCAACCTACGAGGACCGTTTTCTGGTATCAGACCTGACGCATTCTACTTACATGCCCGGCCTAAATAACTATACACAAAAGAGACAAGAAATGTGCGCTCCCTGGTAAGGAGAAGAAGCCATTGGACGAAGGTTTTTTCAACCGTCCCACAACCGCTCCAGCTGGGATCACTATCATGTAAACATGATCTACTCTCGAACGCGTTGTAGAGAGTGGCAATCTAGAATCCCTCTCCCCGAAAGGAAAGGGGGCATTGACACTCTACAATAATACGCGTCCTGGGTACAATAGGGAGGAAAATCTGAGCAGAAAGCGTAGCTTTCGGAGCAGGTGCATGCCCCTTTATAGTCCATGTATGGCTCTCGACGGGTAACCCTATGCGGGTGCGATACTTTCGACTATTTATCTCGAATACGTTTTTGGTAGGGCTCCAAGATTTGAGAGATGCACGACTATCGAGGGGTCTGAAAGCAACCTAGGTGTGACAACAGGGTCTATAAGGGCCGAATTATGGTTTGATTTTATATAGAGAACTTAGAAGGGGAACTGAAATTAGTTTTCTGGGGGCTTCCATCAGAGTATAACTATTGTCCAAGCTGGTTGAATTGCGCTGCGCTGGATTTTATACATGAGCACATTGAGATTGCAGACCGGAATGTCTGCTTATGGACATGCTGATAGCAAGACGATGCTATCTGACAATAAATCTTGTGGTTGAAATGATCCCAAGAAAATAAAACTATAAAATATCTTTATAAATTAACTTGTAGCTTTCATAAAAGGTGAAAAGACTGGGCTATATGACATTCCAAAGCAATCTCTGTAAGCCGTCAAAAATCCATGCTGTCGAAACCGATAATCGCGTGTTACCAGCCGCTTTGTCTACAATAAGTTTAAATATGAGAATATCAATAAGAGAAATGAAGAATATTTGCGTACTGATATAACAAATCGACCGAAAGGAGCACACAAATAAACTCTGGAACCAATGGCAGGATGATAAATCTATAAAACAAAAAAGATAGATAGTGAAAGGGGAGACGACATTAGGGAATGACGTGGTAGAACATAGTTCAGGTTTTGTATTTTATAGGCTGAGCTATCAAAGATAACTCAAATGGGAGGATTAAACCACAACAGTTCCCATACAAGGCGAATCAACGATTGGATGGAAAGGTGTTGAAAGAGTATGTCGTGAAAGTATCATGTACGAATGCCAGATACTCTACTGACCAGTCTCCTGTGCAGCGAGGGTTGCAGTTTAACACACGACGTCTTGAGTGGCTCTGGAGTTCAACAACAAAGCCACAATCAAACCGTACAAACCCAAGACTTCGGCGAAAATCAAAATCAAAATCATACCAACAAACAATCTTGGTTGCTGGGCGGTACCTCTGACACCAGCGTCACCGACAATCCCAATGGCAAAGCCAGCAGCCAAACCGGACAACCCAACGGACAAACCAGCACCCAACTGGATGAAGCCGGTGTACAAGGCCTGCTTCTGCTTCAAGGAGTCAGACACCAAGACAGACACGACCAAACCGTAAATAGCGATAATACCGGCCATAACGACTGGAACAACGTTCTTGACCAACAAGTCTGGTCTCAAAACGCAAGTGGCACAGATACCGACACCAGACTTGGCAGTACCGTATGAAGCACCGAAACAGGTGAAGACAATAGCGGCGGTGCAACCCATAGAACCAAAGAATGGCTAAAAGTGTTAGTACTTCGTTGCGAGTGGGCCCCTAGGCGTTGGCGTCAGAAAAGAGCTCGCCTAGGCAAGCATCATTCGGATTGATGGATGTTACATACAGCGTAGACAGGACTATGGCAATTGGGTTAGTATTCTTGCTTTGAAGCCATGTATTAACGCGGTGGGGGTATCAACGCGGTGAAAGGCACTGGCACAGTAGAAACTATACATACCAAAGATCAGACATTATATATTGATGTAGCGGGTAGTGATATATCCTTGATAAGAACTGGTTCCTTAAGTATGGGGTGCGACATGTTATCTTTCCGTCCCAACTTATCGAGGCTGACCAAGTTGGAGCTGCGAGGAAGGGACACAAGGGAGCGAAGCGTTACCCGATCATCGACATTGGGAGTACCGAAATTTACACTTGCTAAGTGGCGTTTACGCACGCATGACCGGGGCGCATTTGGGTAATACTAGTCGGGAGCCTTGAGTGGCAAATATCCGAGAGCCTCCCAGAGGCTTTCGCTAAAACAGTATGACTGGTTCAAGCCTATGGATATTGATAGCTAATTTTTTTTTGTATTACGATGGTTGTTACGCGTTTTCCCGAGTAACAGTGGGCGAGGGAGTGGCTCTTCTCAATGCCCCTCGGCGAGCTTTAGATAAGGCGGTATCGGGCAGGCGCACGTTTTGCAGGCGAAGTAAAAGTGCCATCCTGCACCTTCCAGTCGTGTCCGTCACAATACATCACCTGACCCTCCACGTGATTTGATATGCAGAAATTTCTTTTGCTGCGAAAATTTTTTATGTACTGCACGATTTTCACAAAAGTTTTACTGGCATACTTAACCTTTACTAGATCCCCTTTCCTTCTCTTTCTGGTTCCTCATAATTATTATCATTTATTTTAGGGGCGAGCCACAGCAAGGAACTCCACTATTATCTTAACCTCATAACTAAACATGTCTGCTCCAAACCCAAAGGCCTTCCCGCTCGCCGACTCCGGCTTGTCCCAGCAAATCTTGGACGTTGTTCAACAGTCCCACAACATCAAGCAATTGAAGAAGGGTGCTAACGAAGCCACCAAGACCTTGAACAGAGGTATCTCTGAGTTCATCATCATGGCCGCTGACACCGAACCAATTGAGATTTTGTTGCACTTGCCATTGTTGTGTGAAGACAAGAACGTTCCATACGTCTTTGTCCCATCTAAGGCTGCCTTGGGTAGAGCTTGTGGTGTCTCCAGACCAGTTATTGCTGCCTCTGTCACTTCTAACGACAACTCCCCAATCAAGAACCAAATCTACGCCATCAAGGACAAGATTGAGACTTTGTTGATTTAAGTTGAATCGAGATATCTTTTCGCATTAAAAATTACTTAGTTGACGGTTTCGGTTTAGCATTTGGTTGCTGGCTGATCTGCCTGTATATTATTATGTAATTTTAAAATAATCATGTTTTCCTACCAGCTGTAGGTCTGAGGTACTGCATCTGTCAGGTACTCTACTTGAACTGGGCGGCCTTGATGGTTGGCGCAAACCCCTTGTACGTGATATGCAAGTATATCTTGGGTATCAAAAGGAATGGGAACCTACGATTCAACCGTACCGATACTTCACCTAGAGTATGAAGATACGGTTAATCCTTACTCTCATAGATTACAAAAAAAAAACTACGGAATTGGTGCTAGTCACTGGCACCAGTCCATTCATGGTGAATCAGAAACCGCAAACCAAACTATACAAACTAGTCAGAATCCCTTTTTATACCAAATATAAACCCATACCGTGGTCTCTGTACAAACACAATAGCCAAAAAGCTCCACCCCTTAAATAGCACTTGATCGCATGATACTTGCCTCAGCTTTGTTATGCGCACTTCATGTGACATGTGATGGGCGTTCGAGGATTCTAGACCTTACTAAGTGAGCCCATGTAACGGACTTTGCAGAGACCGAGAATGCGCCTCGCGTACGATGCACACAAGTTGCTATGCAGGCTCACACGACAGATCTTTAGATATAAGCAGTTCCGCTGTCTAAATCTTGCATTTTAACGGCGCCCCTTTTACCAACCTCTTCCTATACCCAGCTCCACACCTATTTTCCTGCCTTAAATCCGTCATGTCACAAACCATAGGACGGAACCTACGATACGGTGCAGTATGTATCCTATATTCAGGCGGAGCGTAGTTACTAACATCCACAGGTTGGGACATTCATCGGCGTCACAATCTACAAAAGAATCGATGCGAAATCAATCCTCGCGCACCACTCGACGTTTGCCCACACCAGCCAGTTTGGTCTTGTGAACGGGTTCCTTGTGCTGTTGTTCCTCCTCGGCCAGTTCACGAAATGGCTCATCTTCGGTAAGCTCAACCCTGCCGAAATCCGAAACTTGAAAGACCACATGTATTTCACTATATGGGAGTTTGTGCTCGGGTTGCTCATTGTCCATCGAATAGGTACCTCGAGGCATGGTGTGGATGGGGGTGACAACTACATGACCTCGGTGACCTACTCACTCAAATACGGAGGGCTCTTTTTGTGCGTTTTATTGCTCAAGTCTTTTCATTTGTTGTGTGTGGACCGGGTGAACACCATCTTTGCAAACCACGATAGATCCGTTGAATCCAGCTGGTTTGGACTTCGGGCATCCTTCCAGCAGAGGAAGTACACGCTCACACACTTGCGCTTCTCCTTGGGGATCGTTCTCTTGAACTTTATCGATTTGGTGTTGATTCGCAGGTTCAAGAACGAGGTGTATCACTACAAAAACTACAACTTGTTGCTTGTCATCTTTGGCTTCGAAATCATCAATCTCTACCCCTTGATCATCTTTACCAGTATGAAGTACTTCTTGAACTACCGCGAGTACTGTCAGAGTCTGGGGTCGGACGAGGAGCCCCTGGGCTCCCACAAACAGCAGTTGCTCAATGCCCTGGAGTTTTTGGTCAATGCCGTCAGATTTATCAACTACTGCATCTTCTCGATCATCTTTGTGCACCTATTCACCGTCCCGCTTCACGTCTTGCCCTCCTCATACAAATGCTTCCGTATTGCCGTCAACCGCACCCGTGTGTTGATCGAGTACAAGAAAGCCAGCTTGCGGTTGCTGAAAATGGCAAGGCACTTTACCACACCCGGCATCGAGGGCTTACAGCTGTGTGACTGGAGATGTACAATCTGCTACGGAGATCTAGTTTCGGCGTCGGGCCGGTGTCGAGTAGAGTCGGGTGATGTTTCAGCCTTGAATGAAAGCTTGACGGGCCTTATCTGCGGGCACGCGTTCCACTCAGAGTGTATCAAAAGCTGGCTAGTTTGCTCCACAACGTGTCCTATCTGCAGAAGGGGAATAGCGGAGAAATAGAATATGCTATATACCATCGTGACTAATGCAATATGAATCCTTTAATAATTATGTGTAACATGGAGAGGTCGTATTTGGGGGGAATTGCCCAACGAGGTTTAGCAGGAGGGTGCATGATTCGTTTGGCAGGTCAAGGTGGCTCCGGCAACCTAAAAAAAAGTATATGCCCTAGACACATGGAATATCTGAGTCTGCCATTTTATAAATTTATGCCGATATCAGGTCTTTACTACAATAATAAAACCAAATGCAGCTAGTATACAGATAATACAAAATTTACTCGTCCTTCCACTTCCCAAACTTCTTGTAGTCATCAAACAACGTCTTATAAAAGGCCTTGCCAGACACGTCCAACGATGACGAAACCAAACTCAACTCGCTGGCAGACAACACATCAAATACATTGTAGATACCCGGGATAAGCTCCTGCTTCATAGCGTTGTCAAACAGATACTTCAAGGATATATGGACAAAGTTGATCAACAATACTGGCACATGCTTACGCAACAACCGCTTGATCAAACTGTTTGTAGAGGTCAACGACGTCTTATCCTGGTGGGATGCCACTGCATTGGTCTGTGGCTCGCACAAATTGCTGAGTAAACGGGCGTAAGCTCCAGCAGCCTTGGTAGAGGCTGGAACGACATTAGAAGCAGCGGTGGCCTTCTTCTTGGACCTCAAAGCGAGCCCGTCCATGAGCACCACAAAGGTAGAAATGAGTAAGTGGTTACGGTTGGACAAGCGGTACCGGTGGAAGAGCAAGATGTTCGACACCACCTGCGTACACAAGACATAGACGTCAACCTCGGACGCCTGAGCTGTCCGTGTGCCGATGCGGGAGGCAACAACCGTGACCAACATCAACATGACCTCGATGGAGTACTGGGTCAAGAGCCACGTTGAGTCAACCAAAATAGCCTTCACCGACGTGAGAAGAAGACACAACGCAGAGTTGGTAAAGAGGCTGGTGCTTTGTGCTTGCAACAATCCACAGGTAGCGGAAAGCGAGCGCGAAAAGAAGTCCTGGGAGACCGAGTCCTTGCCGAAGTGCTTCCAGAAGACAACCAACAACTCCACGTGGCACTGCATAGAGGTGGCAGTGGCGGCCGAGGGTGTTTCATAGGACGCGAGCAAGAACTCAAGCGACTGGGAGAACGCTGCAGGGGACAACGCCGCCAAGTGCTGGGCATATGCATCGGTCAAGGCCGGAGTGTATGGCACGTCAGCCTCACGCAACGCAGTGTACAACGCCAGGAGGTAGACAGTTTGAGAATAGGTGCGGTCAGCAATCTTGGACGCGAGCTGGAACAAGCTGACACGGATGCGCACATCGCCACGCGCGTGGAACTCTGCGCCTATACTTTTGACGAGTACACGTGTCGCTGCGGTGTGTGCCCCGCTGCGGTCATCGTCAACCACGTACAACGCGTTCAAGAGCCAGGATATGTTGTCCGTGCTATCGCTGGAAGCCCGCTCTGTGATGGCGGTATTCACACAGCCGGTGAAGGAAGTGCGCAATGCGACAAGCTGTGCGTGAAACGCCGACTCTTGCTCGGCCAACTTTGCGGAACTTGTAATCACCGCTAACGCAACCCTGAGTTCCGGGGCAATACCCTTGGCGCTCTTCTTGAAAAATGTCCGCAACGACTTGAATGTCGCCTCCACAAACACATGATTGTGCTTCTCTGAAATCTGGTTAACCTTGTGGCGCCAGATCATGCTGAAAATCTCTATAACGGAGTCCGCGGGTGCGGCGCCGAGTAACTGGTATGTGACATCAATAGTGGACTCAATATCTGACAGAATCGCCGGTTGCACCAACAAGTGCTGCATAGCACAGAGTGCGGGAGCCTGAACCACCGCGTCGTGCGCAAGCGCGGTGAGGATATTCAACAAGCTCGTCTTGTGGAACTTTGACATGCACTGGACCGGGATCCACATGAGCAACGGCAAGAGCTGGGCAGTGTTCTCCCCGCCCTTCAAAAGTGACGTGACCTCATCAATAACGGCATTGGCCAACACCCGCTGCTCGTACAAGGTGTTGTTCTGGAAAAGCTGGCACAAGAACTGATCGCTAGGTGCGGAAACGAGCGCTTTCACAAGTCGCCGGATATCTTCCTTGGAAAACAAGCAGTTGACCAAAACCATCCAGCGGTCCATGAAGCGCAGCGCCAAGGTGAGGTCCGTTTTGCGGGTCTCGAAGTACACAAGGAACTGTGCCGCTACCTCGGAGATGTCATACGCATGCATTTCACGAATTCGGAAAAGCGCGTAAAAGACAAACTCATTTTTGGGCTCCACCTGTTGTGCAACCACCACCAAGCGCTCCAACTCCTTGACTTCGTAGTCTGCGTACAAACAGAGCAAATTGTACTGGAACTTCCAGAAGTGTGCCGGCCCGATCTGGACTACCTGTTGGGTCGCAATTGGCTTCATCAACAAGCCCCGCACCAACAGCACGTTCTTATCGGTGCAGTCGAACAAGCCTTGGACGATAACGGTCAACGGGATGATTCTGGAGTTGAAATTGCCCTCCGTCTGGATGAATTCGAGCAAGTGGGAAACCAACCGCTCCAACTGGGCGGAGGTGAGCTCCTTGATCCGCGCGGAAACCAAGTCCATGAACGGATCCTGTGTCCACACGCTCTCTGGATACTGCTGAATCGACGTTGACCACAGCGAAAAGAAGGTTGTAAACTCACGCGCCTTGATGAACGCCACGAGTAAGCTTTCGCAAATTTGTGACATAGAGTATTCAGCGGGCAGCGCGGTCGCTAAAAACGCAAAGATCTGGTTGCCGTATGTCAAGGCCAAGTCGACATCGAGGTCTAGTAAGTGGGAAATGAGCACCCAGTTCTTGGACGCGGCCGCAAACTCTGTCGCCATGATGGAGCTCAAAAACTCGGGGGACAAGGTACGATTTGACTGCGACAAGAGTGATAGCAAGGTTTCGGTCAAGTCGGGGACAGCCGCGGTAACCACCTTGAAAATTTCCTCACAGAGCCCGAAATCCGACTTGAACAAGAGCTTGATAGTGGTTTGGAAGAGGTAGCCAAGGGAGGCATCTGTGAGGGTCGTGTCACCCTTGAGCAATACCTCAACGTTGAATTTGAGATTCGGCACGCCCAGGTCCCTATGGTAAAGCGTCCTGGTGAACATAGTGTCAAACATGCGAAGGGACGCTGCAGGAAGGGACGCAGCGCTCATGAAACTGAGCATCTTTGGCACGCACGTCCGGGTGAAGGCAGTGGTGGTCTTTTTGTTTAACTTGCTTGCAGTCCCTAAAACCGCAGAGTGGAAGATGGTGGACACAATCTCTGTCCAGGTGTCAATCTTTACCAGAGGCACGTCCTTGGTCAACGTGAGAAGGGTCAAGTAGTGGGAGAGGATACTGAGGCCCATATTTTCGGAAGTTTGCTGGTAAAAGTCATCAAGAATGGTCTTGGCGGTGTCTAATGAGGCATCCAAAACCTCCAGAACCTGTTTCGGTGAGAGCCCTTGTGCTTCGACCGCAGTGTACGTGGAGACCAAAATATCGCTAACCTTGATGCTCCGCAAGCATCTACTGCGGGCGGCTTCGGCCTTGGAAGCGTTCCAAGTAACCTTCAACAAGCGCCAAACCTCTGGATCCACCCGGAACTTGTGAGTTTTGGAGTCATTCAACCGATCGCATAACAACTCGAGGACGAAGCTCGTCCTGTTCGGTAAGTTAACATCGATCTCGCCGTTCACCAAAGCGTACGCGGCCTTAGTGATGTCCGTCACAGACGTGTCTTTGGATCGCAAGTATCTGGTGATACCTTCGGCGGTATTAAGAGACATTTAACGAGAGGTGGTACGTAACTGATATGTCGATTGCCAGTCTCGTACAGTGCCTTAGATTTTTCAGCGGTCTGAATTTTTTTATTTCTCCGGTATATAGCTGAGCCGCCGGGGATTGTGCAGCGCACGTACGTATAGTGCTTACTTTGGTGCTGCCTGTATAGCGGACGTACCCGATGCTATTGATGTTGAAAAGCTCTCCAATTGTCTAGGAGGTAGCCTCTGCACGTTGACTGATCCCAGTTTTGTGTTTCGCAAATTCTTTCGAAAACCTGATCGAGAAGCTGGGTGTATCCAGCAAATGAGAGCCTCGCGTCGGACTGGCAGTTGCACTCTAGACTGTCCGCCGACGAGCTGGCCTCTGCGCTCGGGAGCGATATCTGGTTCAACGTCATGTCGGTTTCAATTAAAAGGCACTCTGGGGGGATATGTTTCACAATCTGCTTGAACAAGAGCATTTTCGCTTCGTTCTCCCGGACCCCGTTGATCACCTGAGAGAGGGAAAAGTACACGTTTAACCTTTCTTTCTTGAAAAACTTCACCCACATCATGGCTTGGTCAAACGAACCGGTGTACGAGTGCAAGCAGACGGATGGAATATGGTTGTATACCTCCTGGTGCGCGGTGATCTCCTCGTAGAGTGCCCCCTGAGCCTTCACGCAATGCACCGATACCGGTTTCTCTAAACTAGCAGCGAGACGGAGCTGTTCCTGTAGAATCCGTCTCTGATGGTTGAAGTCAACCTTGTATGGGGAAAACCTTCCTTGTACACCCTCTACTCTAGCGTTGCTTCCAAAGAAACCGGCCCAGGGAACCCTGAAAACCTTGTCAAGGCCAATTTCACCCATGAACGACACTTTGTGTTTTACTAGGTACGTTTCTAATTTCGTTAAATAGGAGCTGAACAGCGTTGGAGGTGGAAGAATGCTGAGAAATTCGTCGGAAGGGGCAGGCGATAACACCGCTGAGTAGTGCATTTTCTTGTCGACTGTTTCATCGAACGTAAAGAGGTGGGAATACCACGGATGCACGCCAAAACAGGGCACAACTTTGGCCGAGTGGTCTCCGAGAAATTCAACCAAGTCAATGTCATACTGGCAAGTGGACATTAGGCCGAAGAAATTGTCCGGGATGGGCTGGCTATCTATGAACGCAAGAAGGCGGGAGCCACTAGTCTCATTGCAGTCCGAGATTTCCAAATGGCAATGGGCGTCGTATAACATGATGTACAACTCATTCGGGTGTCAGATATGGAACACGGTGTGTCTATAGAATGGCAGGTAGGGCTAGGATACCAAGTCCAGCTCTTGTCCTGTATTCTGGTATGCGGCGATCATGGTTTGAGATTTGCGTCTGTATGCACGGAACAAGCGTCAGAAATACCAAGCCTCAGGTTTCCATTTGACAATAAATGATAGTAGATTGCGTTACAAGGGCATCAACCATGTCAATGTGATGAAGATATTGAGAATAGATCAAAATAATATTCCCCACCGCAAATGGTTCCCATCTGCCAGCTACGATTAACTTCAGTGCTTGGGAACTTTAGTGCTTAACCAGTCGTACTGTAGAGCGATTGCATTGCGACAACCCCATGTCGTTAATGATAACCAAAATATTAGCACAGCTGTTGGTATATTCTAAACAGCAAACCATGCCTGATCCTACAATCCGGCTTGTCCAACGTGATCTGGTCTACACTCCGCAGTTGGGGTAGCCGCGCCATCGAGCGCGCCGCACAACTCTGCATCCCGGTACGTACACGCCTCCTCTTTGTCCACATGGCGGCTCGATTGGGACCACCCTGCAGCATTGTTAGCACTTTCCCCCGGTTGCTACTCCTCAGTCCGAGGATTTAAGACGCCCAATTCAGTGCCAGTGCTACCAAACACATTCGCTATAATATCCACTGCCAGGCTCCCTTGATCATGACCCTTATTGTTGCCTCATTGTATGTACCAGTCATTGCCGCTATTGACCACTAGCTAACCCACCAGATTTCTCCCGTACTCGATTGAGTTTGAGGTCGAGAAGCAAGAAGAACAGCCTACCCGCCCAAAACTCGTCTCACGCCAGTCCAGTTCACTTAGCGTTCCACGGCCGGTTCACCCTTCCAAAACTCCCACGCTAAGCTCCATCTTTCCGGCGTTAATTGCGCGCGCGAATAATACGACACCCGTGCCGGCCGCGCTCTCGCGCGCTCCTGGCACCGAAAGTGGCGACGAGCAGTTCTTCTACAACCACAAGAGCCAAACCGTCACCCCCAAGTCCATCCAGCCAACGTCCAAGGCGAATATGCTCGTGAAAGCGTCCATCGTTGACGGAAAGAAGTGGACAAATGAGGTGCTTGGTCTTCCGTCGCTCCGGGTCAGCAGAAGCTCGTCCTCCACACAGACGCCTACCTTGGGCCAGATTGCCAAAACCCTCTCTGCGTCGCAGGTGACCACCAGCTTGGCCGAGCTTTCCCTTGGGAATGGTCGCACCAAGACCAACACCAACTACCGCGAGTGGAACGCCGCGCACACGATTGAGGACATTGAGGACGAGCTTCCCGCGTCTGAGAAGAGCAAGCTTGCCCCGTATGGTGGCTTTTCCAAGCCGGACATCCAGGCGTCGCTCCACAGTCAGAACGTGTTTGAGTCTGCGCCGTTCACCGTCGTTCCCTTCCGCAAGGGCAACGGGAGCTTGAAGAATGCAGTCAAGTTGTCAGCCGAACACGGGGTAATTGACCGCTGCCGGTGGGTCGGGACGATCGGGATTCCGTGCGACGAGATTCCTGATGCCAAAAAGAGTGCTATCGCGGCCGAGTTGAGTGCCAATTGGGGCTCTGAGGTGGCGTTTGTCAGCGACACCACGTTCCTGGGGCATTACCGCTCCTTCTGCAAGCAGATCTTGTGGCCAACCTTGCACTACCAGATCCCTGACAATCCTAAGAGCAAGGCATTTGAGGAACACTCGTGGGAGCACTATTGCGCGTTGAACCAGGCCATCGCAGACAAGATTGTGGAGACGTACAAATCAGAGGACGACATTGTCTGGGTCAACGACTACCACTTGTTACTTGTGCCCCAAATGGTCAGAGAGAAGCTCCCCGGCGCAAAGATCGGCTTCTTTCTCCATGTGTCGTTCCCGTCGTCTGAGGTCTTTCGCTGCTTCGCTCAGCGCAAGAGGCTTCTTGCGGGTATGCTAGGTGCGGACTCGATCGCCTTCCAGACAAGCGAATATGTGAGACACTTTCTCCAGACGTGTAACCGGCTCTTACTTGCAGACGTGTCGGCAAACGGGATCTCATACGACAGCCGTTTGATCAGCGTGGAGGCGATTCCCGTGGGGATTGACGCATCCGCGTTGCGCGCGCAGCTCGCCATGCCGGAGGTGCGCGAGTTCCGCGACTTGGTGGCGGAGCGCTGGCACGGTAAGCGCTTGATTGTTTCGCGCGACATGTTTGACAGAATCAGGGGCTTGAAGCAGAAGTTGCTCGCCTACGAACGGTTCCTCAACACCTACCCTGGCTATGCCGAAACGACCGTGTTGATTCAGATCTGCTTGAAGGGTGCGGGGGACGAGGAGCTTGAGAGCGAAATCATGCCGATTATTGATCGAATCAACGGCTTAACCACCAGTTTTGCGGACTCCCAGCCAGTGGTCTTTCTCAACCAGGACATTGACTTTGCTCAGTATCTCGCGCTTTTGTGTGAGGCCGACACGTTTGCGGTGACGTCCATGCGTGAGGGGATGAACTTGACATGCCACGAGTTCATTGTGGCGACAGAGAAGCATTCACCGTTGATTTTGTCTGAGTTTACCGGTTCGGCATCGGTGTTGGAGGACTCGGCGCTCTTGGTCAACCCGTGGGACATGCACGAGGTGTCTGAGGCATTTCTCCACGCATTGACAATGCCAGCGGGGGAGAAGGCGGAGCGCTGGGCAAGCGCCTATGAGGTGGTTGTCAACACCAACTCCCAGGTGTGGGTCGAGACGTGCCTCCTGGCCGTTGTGGATGCCTGGATCGAGCAACAGGTGAGGAGCTCGTGTAACGTCAAGTTTTTGACGGCAGGGGACTACGCTGAGTTCTGCAAGCCGGCGTTGCAGCGCTTGTTTCTCTTGGATTTCGTGTCTTCCACCGTGACGGTGGTCAAAGGCGATAAGTTGGTGTCGAACCAGACACAGCGCATGATCCAGGTGCTCAACGAGTTGCTCGCGGACCCCCTCAACACGGTGTACGTCATCTCCTACTACAAAAAGTCGGTGCTAGAGCGGATGTACCGGAGATTGCCCCAATTGGGGCTTGTGGCCGAGAATGGGGGCTACGTCAAGTTTGGCGGAACGGATGAATGGGTCGCGATTGTGGACGAAAGCTCGTTGAGCTGGATGGACCCCGTAATCAAGGTGATCAACTCAATGGTGGTGCGCTTGCCGGGGTCTTATTTGGAGGTTGAGGACTGCACCGTGCGCTTCAACCTTGCCAAAAGCATGGAGGACGACACTGAGCGTGCCAATCTGGTCATTGGCGACTGCATCACCTATGTCAACGACTTCTTCAACGGTGTGGACGTTCACGCCACATGTTTGAAGGATGTGGTGATTGTCCAGCAGAGCAACTTGTTATTGCAGGCTTTGACTCGCATCTTGCACCGTCTTTCCAGCGACGGCGACTGTGTATGGTCGAGCTCCACGTCCTTGGCATCCTTGGGCTCCACTCCAGTCCCAGATGTGGAATATCCGGAGCCGCTCGGGTCGCTCTTTGTCTGTGGCCCTTCCACCTACATCTTTGAGCCGGCGTTTGAGTACTTTAATGACTTGGAATCCAACGGCAAGGCCCGCAACGTATTGAGTGTTGCCATTGGCGATAACAACGGCACGTATGCTAAGATGGATGTCAAGGGGTTTAATGACCTCTTGACGATTTTAAGCAAAGGCTTGAAGTGAGGTCTATAACGGTGTGCAATTGTAGAATATATACCTATATATGTAAAAGTTCTAAGGTGGGGTATTAAAGTTGATGGAACATAATATATACAACTGTTTCGGTATACCTGAAAGAATCACATATTGTATTGACTTGCGTCTCTCAGACCAACCTCCAGATTCGTCCCGTGACTGCTGTCAACGTATGTGTTCCCTGGGGGAGGGTTTCCGCCTAAATGGCTAAAACTGTGCAACCAGATAACTATCTTCCGCGGTGGCATTAATTTCGTCAAGCTCCTTGAGATCCTCGTCGTTCAACGCGCCGTGGCTGTCGTACACCTTGCGGAACTCTGCCACTGAAATCCCGTCCTCAAGGCGGTCGACGGTCCACAAGCTCTCCTTGGCACGCTTATTTCTCTCGCGGTCCGCCTCGATGCGCAACAAGATCTGTTCCTTGGTCAATCGCAACGAGGGCTCAGACTCTGGTTCGCGCCTGAACTCGCCATGCTTTACAAGCCACACACGCTCATACTTTCCCTGTCGCTTGCGATCAAGCAAGACCTGCCACGCACCATCTAGTCCCTTACCCTGGTTGATGGCGTTTTCAAACGGCGCCTTCCGCTCGATCCGCTCCATATCTGCATCCGTCAACCTTGCGTTGTACTGCTCATTCCAGAACGAGCAGTCCCACGCGAGGAGCTTACAGATGTTCTTGATTGTGACGTATGTGCTATGCAAATTGATCAAAGCGTTCGGCCCCGCGGGCAAGACTAGCTCGAGGCATTGGGGCATCTTGGGGAGGAGCGGCGCGATGTAGGGATACGCCGTCTGGGGGTCGTAGCTCTTGTCTGCCACAGCCTGGAACACCAACACGTCGATGAAGGAGAAGATATTAGCGCGGCAATTGAGATCGGTGGCCTCTAGGGACTCGAGAATGCAATTAACAAAGTCCTCCTGGAGCTCTGCGTTAGCCATCGCAAAGGCAGCGGCGCGGGTGAGCGACTGGTGTGACGGCGTGAGGTTCTTGAGAAGGTTGATAAACTTTAGGCGCGCTTCAAACGGGTCCATGGTGAATAATTGGTGGTAAACGGTCCGTGATATTTGATGACCCGAATGGCCCTTCTCTTTGTCCTGTGATGTACGACATGTAGTCGTGTGGCACCCATTCGCTTACCTAAGCCCGTGGAAATTTTTTCACATACAAAAGAACACGCGAGGATTGAATACGAGCCTTGTAACTCCTCCCTATACACAAAATCTATTCAAAATGGCCAAAGCTAAGGGTAAGGGTGGTAAAAACAGAAGAAGAGGTAAGAATGACAACTACAACCAGAAACGTGAGTTGATCTTCAAAGACGAACAGCAAGAGTACGCGCAAATCACCAAGATGTTGGGTAACGGCCGTGTTGAAGCTTCGTGCTTTGACGGGATCAAGCGTATGGCCCACATCAGAGGCAAGTTGAGAAAGAAAGTCTGGATGGCTCAGGGTGACATCATCTTGTGCTCCTTGAGAGACTTCCAGGACGACCAGTGTGACGTTGTGCACAAGTACAACTCCGACGAGGCCAGAGCCTTGAAGTCCGCCGGTGAGTTGCCAGAGAGCGCCAAGATCAACGAAACCGACACCTTTGGTCACGATGACGAGGACGAGGTCAATTTCGAGTTCGGTGCTGATGACAGCAGTGATGACAACGAGGAGTTGGACATTGACGATATCTAAATGGGTCAGGTGGCAACGAAGTCTGTTGCTTGGAATATTTATTTTTTTCCTGGGTGTAAACTTTTAGTCCGGTGTTTGCTAATAAATTCGATACAATCACTGATGTAGAGGGTAGTAGATACGGTGGGTCTTTTATATAGAGAGTGGTAGATACGGTGGGTTCTTGATGGTCGACAGGGTTCTGCAGGCTGTTATTTCATCAACATATTCTCTCGGCTACCCTGATAAGTGCTATTATATGTAGTTGTAATATGGTGTAGTGAATTGAGTCAATGTTCACGATACTCCAACATTGTTTGGCCACCCGCAGCCTCTTAGGATTCTCCACACCAAGCATCCCTTCTCTCAATTTGTTGTTTAGCATTTCATTTACTTTATTTATGTCGCCGTAAACACCTAAACCTCTGTATTTAAGCATTAGTATGGGTTTAGACTGTTCACGCATTCCCCACTGAATATCTAGTATAGCTCATATTATACATGTCCTATCGGCCAATACCCCATCCCCCGTACCATACTTACATTCACCCCTCACCCGCTTTAGCCCAAGGCTTTCTGCATGCTCTATAATATATACACTTGACCTGGAAGCTACACTGACTCTGGGAATCTATGCCAACTCTGGGAATCTACGCCGACTCTGGGAAATTACGCTGACTCTGAGAATCTACGCTCGGTGCACACTGACGAGCTTCTCGATGCTTAGCCTGGATGTGGTGGTTCTCTTTAGAATCTCCCTTCCTCATCACTAATTTCGAAACTGTCCACGCGCCTCAACCCAACTGTCTCCTCGTCGTTCAACAGCATTCGCGTACGGTTCACCTGCATGGATCTTCTGGCGGTAAAACCGCCAACCCCGTTGTCCATCGGGATGTCAGTCACCCCGTTGCCGTGGCTGAACAACTCCTGGTGGTCGGTGCTCTTACGGGAAATGTTCAACAAGTAGACACCGCTGAAGATGATCAAGAAGCCGCAGATGAGCGAAATGATGTTGACGGCGCTAGTGGTGTTGAAGCCCTGGAACAAGATAAAGGACGCACACAACGTGGCGGTGGTGAAGGTTACGTAGTACAACGGGTTGACGATCGACGTGTCGAACTGGTCCAACGCCTTGTTGAAGTAGTTCATCTGGGTCAAGATGCACACCACAACCAAGAGAATGAAGAGGTACGTGGACGCGTGGGTAAACTGGTTGTTCCCCTCCAAGGTCAACTTCAACGCAATCCCGAAGGCCTTGATGGACATCACAGACACAGACCCGACGGTGGAGCAAATAGAAATGTAGATCATCGGGTTCTTCGTCCCGTGGTATGGCGCGATCTTGTAGATCATGAAAAGCGCAAACACCGTCACCGCAAACACATAGAAGAGAAATCCGGGCTTCACCGCGTACCCCAAGATCTCATCCACCGTCTGGATGTCCTTGTCAGGTGGCGCGTGCAACACAATGATGACGGCCCCTAACAAGCACGTGGCGCAGCCCATTCTGCCCAACGTCCCCAACTCCTCATGCAAAAAGAAGGACGCCAACACCGCGCCGATAATCACCGACAACGCGCCAAGCGGCGTCACCAAAACTGCTGGCGCAAACGTGTACGCCGCAAAATTGGCAACCTCCCCCACCGCCATCGTGGAGATTCCCGCCCACCAGATGGGGTTCTTGAGGTACGCGGAAGCGTCCGCCAGCGCCGCACCGCCCTTGTTGGCGGCGTCAATAAGGCCCTTTTTTGTGATGATGAAGGAGGTACCGATGGCGATCGACGACGACACGGCCAAGCCAAGTCCAATGTATTTTTCTTCAACCATAATGACTGTGATGTTGAGGGAAAACATTGGTATGTCGCCAAGGTAATGTAGGCATTTATCAACGTGTCTCGATCGCGTCCCACGTTTCTTTTTAGATTCACGGTCCAGGCACGTCCAGGACTGATGAGCCCTATCGCTTAATCTATAGTGGACACAAGTCGGGGAGTAACTTAGACGAAGGGGTATATAAATTGGGAAAACGAAAGAAAGTACATATTTCGAGAGCTCAAATAGGGTCTAAGAATTTGAAACCGTGTTGAAGAGAATGCTAGCAGAGCTAGAAACTTTACCAGCGGGACTGAATGCTATTATGATGCCGTTTTGGTAGAGCTCCATAGTTTCGATTTAGATATTTGACCGAATATATGTTTCGTATCGTTGCTTAGGGTTCAGCTCTGTAGCCATCCTCCATTACGTATAGTGATAAAATATACAAGATATACAAATTGAAAGTATAAATCCGGAATAACGGTATCTTATTCGGATACCTCTACGTAACTCTATCTCTGTTTATCACGCTATCAATCTCCCCAAAAACTCTTTTTTTTACGACTTTCTATGATATAAATACGAGAATAAATACGCTTGATGTAATTAAGTAGAATGCGTATATCTGCTTTAGGTCACACCTCATGACGTACATTTCACTTCTCTTGCCAGTTTGTTCTTCGGATTGACCTTTTTTAGTCACCGAGTGACTCTGCTCCTTAAAAGTTATGGCCGGACGTTTCCCGTCCCTGGCAAAAGAGAACCTTCGAACTATTCTTCCTCTCCAGATATACCAGTCCCAGAACCAACACCATTGATGATCACCCCAGAGTAGGTGAGAACCTATGATAGGCCGTGGAGGCCCTTCAGACGGCCACGTTATCAAACCATGAGTATTTTCAAACTAGACATAAATCACTAGTTGGATATGGACAGGTACTACTGGCACTATCTCGAAAAGAAAAAGAGAATCTTCCACGAGTACGGGGACACAAATATTGCCTCGTTACCAGAATCCGATGACGCCTGCTTGGAGTTGGTGGAAACCGTCCGCGCCCATATACTGAAGAGATACCCCTTGTTGTTCCAGTCCAATGATGGTATAATCGTGTACAATAACTTGACCGATGAAGTTTTAGACATGACTGAGTCGTTAAAGGAACATCCGTTGATCTAAGTCTCTAATATGGCCAAGGAGGATTTCTTTATGGTTCAGAAACGCCCGGATGGCATGTATTACCTGGTAGCCGCAGAGGTTCCGTTCCCAGGAGGCCTGTTTGGTGTCAAGGAAGAACATGGATGTGATCCACAGTGAAGTTCCGTACTACGAAACCGAGCTTAAACTATTGATGGAAAAGTGGTTTTGCCGCATGCAACCCGCAGACCTTATAGAAAGAGCATTTTGGTACTATAGCTAGAACCACATTGTTGAAGAGCAATATTTACGCCTAGCAAGCCGATGAAAAAGTAAACTCTAGTGTGCCACCAACAGAGTTCAATGTGAGAGTAGAAAGACAACCCTTGAAAAGGTTACCAAACACCCTATATTTTACAGCATTGAAGAAGCGAAGGATGAACCCATGGTTCCTCCATTGTATAAAATTTTTTTTCGAAGCACCTGAGGGCATTATCAAATACAAGTCATTTGAAAAAGTCAGGAATCATATTTTGGACAATTTAGATAGTTTAATAGATCGTCAAATAGAGCTCGGCTTAATTAAAAATGATCCGGTGAAAACGTTACCATCGTACCCTTTTGCACATTTTATTCATGTCAAGGATGAATTGTAATGACTGGAGGAATCCTTCCCAGCACAGAGCCAAGAATTATATAGAGAACGCAGTGAGATAACTAGGAATGACAACTGAGTTAGGGTTGTTTTCCCTCGCTGATCCAGCTCTAGTCTTGGACCAGTCAAAATTTATATTCAAACCGCCGTCTATATAGGTAGGTATCCGAATTTCAGGTGCTTAAAATGTATACGGGGTAGCATACCGCATTTCTATAGCTAATTTTATGAATCAGAGAATGTCTAGTAATAGCTTATCGAAGGCCACTCTTCCGGAGATGGATACCGTTAACCTGATAAATTGCGTACACATCCTACTTCTAAACCTTCTCTGAACGTTTAATCTTTAATTCTGAGTGATTTAAAATTTCCAAAGTATTCCCTTCTAGGAAAAAAGGGTGGATTGCATCTGCATCCGATATTGCAGTTTTCGGCATAATCAGAGCTTGGACGTGCAGGTTGATGCTTTGCATGGGCAGACAGAAAGTCGCTTTTGAAAACCCCTTCGAATTCACAATATTCTGGACTAATAAACCCAGCTTAGGGGAATTGAATTTAGGTCGTTATTCCACCCTACATGTTTTTCAGCCAAGATTTACTATTGAGCGAAAAGAGCGGTGTTGGTACCATCTGGTGAGTGATAAGCCTCAATTCCGCAGAATGATCACTAACAGATATTCTCGACAGGATCCTTGCCACCCTTGGAAACAATTCGTTTCAAAGCAAGGTTGTTAAAAAGGATGTTCTATCTGCCTCCATCCCCGATGCCTGTGAGATAATTACCAACCCTTCCTACTCCATGGCATTGAGGTTGTCGTCAAATCTTTTATACGGGGTTACCTTGTTGTACAAGCAGAAGGTGGATTACGTTTATCTGGACGTTAGTATAGCCCGTTTAAAATTGCAGAGAGATCTCTTCCGAGGGGCTAAAGCTCAATCGGCATTGCCAGATCACAAAGGCATCAGAGCCCGGACCTTGCCTCTTGATAACGATCCTCTGTTCAACATAAGCTTGGACCTATTACCCGTGTTGAACTTGGAAGACCTATTTTCTAGTTATATAGATATGGGATACGAACAGGACGATAGAAGGACAAGAATCAAATTGCAAGATATGACACAAAACCATAACGACTCACCTCTTGTCCAAATATCAGATCATTCTCTTGGCGTTGAAGCTGCATACCACATTCATGGAGAAGGGCAGATCAGTACTGTACCCCCGGTTAGCCATAGCTGGAGAGATGTTGAATTTGGAAACCCTCTTGGAGAGGATTTTCTTGGCAACTCAGACTTTGAGTTTGATGAAAATGGTGGTTTAAGGAACATGGCAAATGTGGAAATTTCGAGGTTGGTAGGCTGTAGTCCCCGTCTGAAACCTTTGAGTGATTTTGATCAATCCATACGGCAAGATTTCGAAATGGGTTGTGATTTTGATATTCCCGAGGGCAGTACGCTTAGTGCTTCGGATTTGAATGGTCAACGAAACGATAAGACAATACTGCTGAGGGATTCGTCTACCAGGGCCGTGACCCTTGTCGTTCCCAACGCAACAAAAGGCCCCCGTCTCCGGAAACTCTCAATTGATGAGACTACTATTCTATCCAATAAGCAGCTCCGGGGGTTTAGGGACCAATACTTGGAGGAAATGGCGGAGCGAAAGAACAAACGCGTTAAAAAGAATGAGACGGGATTGAAAATCCAAGCCTTGTTCCAGAAAAGTACAGGAGATTCCGCTGTCTTTAATATCACACATGGAATGATATTTGGTCCCCATATTACCGGAAAGATCCTGGGGTTCAAGCCTTGGTTTATGACTGAGGTTCTGCCGTCCACCGCCGAAGGTCACGGTTACCTGGAGACCGAAATCCCCAGAGGGAGACGGGGCTCAAGTAGTGATTATGAAATTGGACGAGGTGGCTCCAACCGAAAAAGCTCTGCTACCCGATCCAGTTTTGGCAGCATAACCATCCCTCTTTTGGACGATGGCTTTGAACCCCAAGATTTCGACATGGGCGATTTCAATGTTGGGACCCCAGAGCAATTCCGCCCTTATCCGTTTGAAGATTTCAACATTTTGTTTCCTGAAATTGATGATTTTGAGATGGAACTAACGAGAAGTGCTTCTAGCTCCTCTTCTGGTCCGCGCGATAATGATCTTAATCGGAGTGGCTCAAACCCCAAGAGAAAGAGAAGGTACACCTCGGGGGCGGTACTGGTAAATTATCCATTGATCGAAGGTATGTTATCGGCTATTTTACTATATACTTTCATGAATTGACTAACGTTTAAGTTCAGAACCAGATTCTTGGGATGATACTGCCTTCAACCCTGCAAATTCTCGGAAACTAAGTCCGCAAGACGAAAAATTCTATTCGTATGTGAAGTCAAAGGGGCAGATTTACGGGAAAATTCAAACGAATAGAAATTGCACTAATGTGATATTTGCCGATTTGCTACCATCTACCTCAAAAAGGCAGTCCGTTGCTGCTGCCTTTGCGGGAATTCTACAACTAGCATCCATCGATGCTATTGGAATATCCCTCACATACCTGGCTGAGCTTAATATTGATCTTGGTCATGATGTCCTAAAGGCGGATCAAGTTAGCATTAACATCTGTACTAAAGTTGGCTAATTCGGTGCATGTATGTGAATTTGATAGGCTTGTACCGTATACGTATTTTGCTATATACTATATATTTGAATTAAACTTATAAAATATATTTATGCATGCCTATTCAAGCATATGTACCACTTATTTATAAAAAAATTCATGATCAGCATTTAACTATAAACTTTAAGATACTAGCCAATGATTTTAGAGATAATATGCAAAATACACTTCTATACGTTCGCATATATCATAGATTTTTTGACTACAGTCGAAATTTAAATGCGGCGCATATGCGCGCTCATGTGTTTGTGACCCCTGATGTCGAGACCTACATCGCTGATAGACACCAAACGGTAAATGCCAGCGTTAACACCCGCCATTAAATCCTAGTTCTGTGATTAACTATACCTGGCCTGTGTCTGGACTTGTATCGAGTACATACACAAGCCAAGCCTGTATTACCGGCTATACATCTGTTATTCAGTCCATACGCTTTCTGATAGACTCCAAAATGTATCCCCTGTATTCCAGCTGGACGTCTTTCATCGTAGTAGCTTGCTTGATCCAAGGCCTATATGCGTCTATACACCCCATTACCATCCACGGCCAGAAGTTTATAGATTCAATCACCAAGGAAACAGTACGCAATACCCCCATACTGAATACCCGGTCGAAATATTAACGAAGCACCCCCCCTATTACAGTTTCTTATCAAGGGGGTCGATTATCAGCCTGGTGGATCGTCGGCGGTTACGGCAAACTTCGATCCACTCTCAGATCCCAACACCTGCGCCAGAGACATTATCCTATTCCAAGAGCTTGGTATCAATGTACGCTTGACCAAAATATCCCCTTCAGTAAATTACTAATGCGTTGGCTAGACAATCCGTGTGTACTCGGTGAATCCAGACCTCAACCACGATATCTGTATGACCCTTCTTGCTTCGGCGGGTATTTACGTGGTGATAGACGTGAACTCTCCCTTGGAGAACCAACACTTGAACAGATATGAGCCATGGACCACGTACAACGAGTTTTACTTGGAACATGTGTTCAAAGTAGTTGAACAGTTCTCCTTTTACAACAACACCTTAGGGTTGTTTGCCGGAAACGAAATCATTAATGATCGAAAATCTGCCAGAGAATCTCCGGTGTACACAAAGGCCTTGATCAGAGATATCAAGACATATATCGCCTACAACTCTCCTCGTTCCATTCCCGTAGGCTACTCGGCCGCAGACGACTTGAATTACCGAATGCCTCTTTCCCAATATCTTGAATGCGCAGAGGACGACCCGTTTGTATCTGTGGACTTTTACGGGGTAAATTCTTATCAGTGGTGTGGAGAACAGACGTTCTATACCAGTGGATACAATGTGCTCGTCGAGGACTATGCCAAGTTCACCAAGCCAGTATTTTTTTCGGAGTTTGGGTGCAACGAAGTGACTCCCAGGTTGTTTGAAGAGGTCAAAGCCATTTTCTCCGAAGACATGGTTGGGGTATTTAGCGGTGGGTTGGTGTACGAATACTCCCAGGAAGCTAATAACTACGGCTTGGTAGACATTGATGCGTCTGGAAACGTGCAGATGTTGGAAGACTTTGAAGCTCTAAGAAACCAGCTCGAAATGGTGGAAGATAAACCCTTTACCAAGACTAAGCACTCGCCTCACCGGAATATCCCGATGTGTGAGGAGACGTATAAGAACCTAGATGTCTCAAAAGGCCTCCCAAAATCACTTGCCGAGGATCTCATTCTTGACGGGGTGAGCGTTGAACGGGGAAACTTTGTAGACCTTGAAGTTTCCAACCTTTTCACCAAGTACAAGATATTCTATCCAGACGGAAGCCGCTACCCGGAGGACATTGGTGTGGAAATTGTTCAGGATCTTTCGTCCGTCGATATTTCTGCCTCGGAAAAGCCGCGAAAGAAAACTCACATGCTTATGGGATTGTTCAATAGCAGGGCTTCAACCTCCATGTCGATTACAGCCATGCATTTGGTGGTGGCCGTGATTTCCATCATGGCTTCCATCGCCGCTTAGGATATTTTCGCCAGGGGCTCTAAATTTCATACCGGATCTTGTATTTGAGTTCCCATACATGTCGATCCACAGTTTAAAACGATACAAAATGACGGGCGTAGTTGCATCGTGCATATCGGTGCCAACGCGTTTAACAAACGTACAAAAAAGCCACCATCGTATACAACCGCTAAAGAAACGCGTAATAAATTAAATCTATCAACCTCAGTGGTAAGCTTTCCGGCCCACCAATCGCTACCGAGTGAAACGTTAAAAACAGTCGTTGTTATGCACCCCGGATATGCGGCCAGATGTGGGCTTGGAGCCCGCCAGCCTTACATACGTGCGTCAAGGAACTCAAAGCTTTCTGTAGGCCGGGTAACAATGTCAAAAGACAACAATCAGATGGACCTAGGAGACACTGCATTCACTGGGAGGCTGAGCAGGGAAGAGCTCGAGTAGTAAAGCTCTGGATTATATATACCTCAACACCCATAGCTCTGCGCTTACCCTACATCTAATCCATACTTGCTCTCCGTGGCCTCAGACCCGTCCTACAGCTCTATAATCCTTTGTCCATTGCTCGGTAGACTATCCAACCCAATAACTTCACCCCTCCCCAGAGATTCAATGGTTGAAATTGACATTAGCATCAACCAAGAACTGTACACTAACTTTGACACCGTTCAGGGCGAGGCCACAGTGACAAACGATGCCGAGCTCACATTGGATCGCATCGAAATCAAGCTAGAATGCGTGGCACGGAGCTTAATCAGAGTGCAGAGAGGCAAAACCACACTGACATACACTGAAAAGCACAAGCTTGTCTACCAGAAACTAGTGGTGTTCCCGCCAGAAAACGTCTTGAGTGTCGCAAGCCCAGGCGTGCAGTTCACCTTGCCTCCAGGCAGACACCGCTACCAATTTCTGTTTAAGCTTCCTGCCAATAACGAAGACGAGCTGATCTACCACCGCAGCTTTGTGTTCCGCCAAAATAAACACATCCTGTGCGCTTTACCCCCGTCGTGCAAGAGGAAAACCATTTCCGGCATGTCTTCGGCAAGTGCGCAGGTGGAGCATTTTGTAAAGGTTGTGGCAAAGAAGAAGGGGATCATGAGCTTCAACACCCGCAAACACAAATATTTCACATTCTTGCCGATAGACAAACACGTGGGGCACCTGAATCTTGTGTTTGAGGCGGAACACACGTTTGTGGGGAAGATGCCGTTGCGGGCTGATGAGGAAAAAAAATCGAGAGACGTTCCTCTGGATAGTACCAAACCCTCGCGCTTATCGCGCATTTTTGGCAGCAGTGACACACACAGCGGCCCTGTGATATCCCCCGGATTGGCTAAAAACGTTCCAATCAACTTCCAAGTCAGGTTTTACGAAGTCCCTGGCGTCCAGGTGAACGCGCCGGCCAGTTTCCGCCTTTTTGTCACGACGCCCCTACATCCCTCCACCTTCCAGCTCTCCAACGGTGAAACATCTGGCTTGGGGGAGTTGTACCTCAGTGAATTGGAGATTCAGCTCGAAGCACTCACCGTCGTCACAGCCCAGGGGTACAGGCGATCCGGGGTCAGAAACATCCGTTTGTGTAAATTCCAAGGACTCCATAAGATTGATCTAGCCAGAGCAGTCCCGTCACACGAAGGACACCTCTTTGAGGTGGAATTGCCACGTGATGTGTATAAAACAACCATGGTCATGGAGGGCGTCGTGCCGGACTTTTCGGTGTGTAATATCAAGCGGTCATACGCCTTGAGGACCGATGCTATCTTCAAAGCCACCAAGGACGAAACGGGATCCTTTTTCGGATTGAAAGCCCGACACAAAATCCTGCTTAGACACCCAGTTCTGGTTTTGAGCGGCATCACTCCGGAAGCAGACATCCAGGCTCCAATCTATGTGCCGGTGAGCGCGCCCGACGGCCCGTTCGAGCCAGCTCCGCCTTACGCCGATCTGCAAGCATGAAATATACAGCCAAACCGAGCGTATTTTATATCGTAACCCCAAGGTATTGGACTATAACGTAATTTTATTCAATCTGTCGGTTGTTTGCCAAGCTTTGGTGCTATACATTAGCAATTATCATACACGCATCTAAACTTCCTTGTACCATTTCTCTCCGTTCCGAGCTCAAAATACACCCCACTGAGCACCACCTCTCTCAATCGTAGATTGCTCCCCATGAGGAACTTGATGTACGCCTCCATGAAGTGCGATAGAACAATCACCAACGGCGCAAAGGCGCTCTGGTTGAAATCGCATTCAAAGTCTTCCCCACAGGTAATGTCCGAGTACCCGTGGAAGCCCCATCTCGCTACACATGGCGGAGTACTCACCAACTCAAGGTCTGACACCTGGCGGACAAGGCGCTTGCTCATCGCATCGCCAGCAGCAGCAAAAAACCTTGGGGTAATCACGTCCCTAAAATCACCGTCCTCCACGTCGTAGTACTGGTGGTGGATAATGAAATCGTCGAGAAGCGACTGAATCTTCTCGCAGAATGGACACTGACAGCCGTTCCAGAGGAGATCGGACATCAACACTTCGTAGCATGCACACGATTGCATAAAGGTCGGCGCCACCAACGTCTCCAAGGAGGCTAGCTTGGGCAAGGCATTTTCGTACAAGACCCGGCGACGGATATAGTTGCCGTCGAGCCCGTCCTTGATGTTGCCATCAACGGGGGTGTAGTGGCGGATACTCAAGTAGCGGATAGGCGCCGGGATTTGGATCAAAAACCGCAACACCGCCATGTCCCACTTCTCGGAAAACTTGTGGTCCTTGTACATGGCTTTTTCGCTAATAGAGACGTGGGTAAGCGCCGTGAGTTTAGGTGCCAAGGTGTCGAGGTATTCCGTCATACACTCGCATTCATAGGCGTATTCACACCCCAATCGGAGCTCAAGACGGGCAAGCTTGGCGAAATCGAGGGCGTTGAGGAACGCGTGGACCTCCGTGCGCAATTCATCGTTGAAGCCGTTGAAGCCGTGGTGGAGATTAATTGTGAGACGGGACAAGGTAAGAGGTCCGGACGCACTCAATGCCTTGAGCGTGTGGATATAGCTGGTGTTCTCCCCGAAAGCGATTCCTGTGGCTCGGCGAAGGCTGGGAAGCAACCGGGCGGCGATATCGGGAGAGTCGCGCGCGAGGTTAAGGTTCACATGGGAAACCTGCACTGGAACCAGTGGGTCATTCAAAACTGTCACGGCTTCAATCAGAGCTGACTGCTGGAGGAGAGGGTTTACCTGTGCTAACAATGTCTGGTCGACGATCTGGACGTTGCGCAAGTTCGGCCCCGCCGCAACCACTTCAAGGAAGGCAACAATGGAGGCGTGAGCATCGGAGCCTGCAGCGTAGAGCTTTGAAACGCGTACGACCTGGATGTGGGCTAACAACTCGGGGTTTAGGGTGACGGAGTTGGCCAAGATGTTTTGCCTTACCGTCATCAACTTTTCGTCAAACTCGGCCGACATGAGGACGTTTTGGAAACCACTGATTCCGGTAGCGAGCGAGTCAGCGAACCCAGTGGGGTCTTGCAAGATGACATGCTCCTGGAACGATAGCGAGCGGTAGAGGTGTTTGGTGGAGAGTTTATAAAACCGGAACGACGTTTGGGCTAAGTGGAGTTTAGATTGTTGCGGTAAGAACGCAACCACACGGTCGAGAATGGCGTCAGGGAGGTTGCAAAAACCGGTCATCCGTGAGCTTCTAAGTAGAACCAGTAAAGGGATTTGCTTGGAGGTTAAAGCAGGAAAAAAACCTCCCCATCAATTTGTGCTTACCCCAACAAAAAGACTGACTATGCCTGCGTGCGGCGGGAAGTAAGCCTTGCATACGTGAGCACACCAAAAGTCAGGTGACCGGCAGGATTCCAACCAGAGTTGGTCTCTCGTGTCCATGATTGTATATGAAATGGCCCCTGACCAGAATTTATCTAAGGTGCGAGTAATGGGATTAACTTCTATTGAGTGGGATATTCACAATTCAGTTTGTATATCCATCCATGTGCTGCAATAAGAACCCCCGTCCGTGTTCTTATCCTTCATTGACCTCTGCTTATGAATATACAGTGGGAGCAGTAATATTGTGTGACCTACATGGGAGATAGATATTCATTTCATAATATTCTCTTCAAGACAAAACATATAAAGTGGAAGGATTAAATCAAACTCCCCCATCCGGCACACATCAATGTTTGTATGGGTCCTCATCCTGCATCTTGGTGAAAAATTTATATACGGTCCATCATGGGATCATTCCTTGTACCATTTCTCTTTTCAACAACCATGTCTGTTGAAGTGGGTAGTCTAGGTCCCACCGCGGTTATCGGTGAGACCGAAATCGTTGCGGTCAAAAAATATCTCATCGCGCACAAGGCCACGGACGCGGAGCTCTGTGCGCACATCACCCAGCTCTTCCTCCCGATCTACAATTCCTTACAGGCCGCCTCTGGGTTGTCAAAATACCGAATCAACGTCTGTGACACGTTGGCAATCTGGTTTCTTCGAGCGGGCCAAATATTGCATGCAAATCCTAGTCAGAAACCGTCCTTTAAGGCTCTTTTGGACCCCGTGGTGGTTGACTACTTGTTCCATTACGTGATTGACTTTTTCAACACCAGCGGCGCGGCCTTGGGGAACTCGTTGAAGGAGATGTTCTCCAAGTTGGTAGCGCTTTTGAAGGACGTGCGCGATGCGGACGCGCGCACACGCGTGCTCCGTGCGTGGATCGACTTCGCCATCACCAAGGTCAGCATCACCTCGCGCGCGTTGTACTTCATGGTTGAGGTACTCTCGCGCGAAATCGACGCGGCGTACATCCTCACCGCATACCCCACGTTTGTCAACTTTGCCATGTCGGTGATGAGTACCGGTTCGTTGCTGAGCACATGCGCACGTGCCATCACCGCCATCTACAAGAGCCTGCTCCAGGCAATGCTCGCGGCTGCATCGCATACGGATGCTGAGCGTGCATGGTTGGAACTCTGGCAGGACACCGTCATCCACAATTTGCACGATCTACGCCTCCGCCGTAACCTCCAAATCTACTTGTTACCGCTGCTTTTCAAGCTCTCGCACGCCAGTTACCGCGGCTTCATTCGCGGCTTGGGCGCAACGCTCGACTTAACCCGCGATAGCGACATTGACTTGTTGCTCGGGTGTGTGCGTATCGGTCAGGACTTAGCAATCGTGGAGGAGCCGTTTGACGGCGATGCGCTCATCTCTATTGAGTACATGAAGACGCTACTTGTCCACCAGACAACGGACTTTCGCATCGGCGCGTTTGCAGTGCTCACCGCATCCGCAAAGGGCTCCAAGTCGGTCAAGAACAATGTCTATGACGTGTTGCGCGAGGTTATCGCTGGATTCTTCCTTGAAACCGATGCGAGCTTCCGTGACCGCTTCCAGTCGTTGCTTCGTGCATTCATTGCGCGTGTACGCGACTCCTGCTATAGTATGAACCGCGACATTGCCAGGATGCAAAAGGGCCGCGCTAAGATGAATGCGGCGCTTGTGGACGCCAGAATCGCCGAGTTGACGCTATCGATTGACACTGGAAAACGGTTCTTGACCTGGCTTGCAGATACCGCGTATGCCCAGATGAGGCCCGGTACGTCGTTCCAGCGCCTCGACTCGGGGTTCAAGGTTATCACGGCGTTACTAAAGTCTGGCTTGGACAACCGCGTTGATCGCAAGTTTTTCGAAAAGAACCATTTGGACTATCCCTTTTCCGTGGACCTCTACTCACACGCAGCTGCACGTCTCCTCATCGACAACGTCACCAACGAATTCCAAGCCGTGCGTGAACACGCGATCCAGGTACTCTTCATGTGGCCGCGCCCGCTCCTCACGACACACGTGAGCGCGCGCGCGGTGCGCGACTTGTGCACGGGATCGTTCGGTATGCTCGCGGCAATCCGCGGGCGCAACGCAGACTCCGGTGCGCGTATTTTACAATTCGTCTTTAGCCTCACGCAGGACAATGCATTATTGGTCGAGCTTATCGACGCGTTACTCAGCGCCGTCGCCTTTGCGAAGCGCGACTTTGCACGCGCCGCGTACACCGAGTCCGTGCACGGCTACTACAACGCCATCAGCGTGCTTCTCGAGGGCTTTGGCTTTGCAGAAGACCCGATTTTGGACCCAAAATTGGACCAGTTGGTGGCGTCCATGTTTGAGATCTGGGAGGTAACCCAACCGTTGATGGCGCACGAGTCGCCAGAGGGTAACTTGCCGGCCGCATTCCAGCAGAACTTGCTCCCCGAGCTCGAGGCGAAGTACGGTCCGGCCGAGCAGGTGGTGTTGTCGTACGCGTGGCGTGCGGTCAAGGAGTCGTCGAACCTCATGCGGGTAATGCTCGCACGCGCGCCCGCACGCTTGATGGGGGCGTGGGTAGTCAAGAGCGGCGCGATGATCGTCCAGCAGCTCTTGGTCATCCGCCATCCCGGCGCGTTCTCCTCGGTGTACCCAACGTTCATCGCGTGCTGCGCGCGGTGCAATGGTGACGTGGCGTTGCGCGCGCAACCGGAGCGCTGGTTACGCGAGAGTTTGGCGTCGATCCAGACAACTAGCTCGTACATTACGCGGCGCTCCGGGGGCATTCCCTTCATCGTGACGGGCGTGTTGACGGCGGAAACGGATAGGAACAGACCGTTGTTAACCCGCACGTTCGCAGAATTGATTGCGATCGCGGATGTGCCCGTGGACGCCGCGAAGGAGGAGAAGAACGATATTCCGCAGGTGCACGCGTTCAACTGCATCAACCACATCTTTGTGGAGTCAGCACTCGGTGACGCGTGTGCGGCTCATGTGGACGCGGCATTGACGCTCGCATTGCCGCGCTTCGCGTCCCAGAACTGGTCCATGCGCAACTGCGCGGTGATGTTGTTCACGGCGTTGCAGAACCGGCTCTTTGGCTCGGACAAGGTGGGTGCGTGTCTTACAAAGGTGCCTGCGCGGAAGTTCTTCTCGCGCTTTAAGGCTGTCCGCGCGACTTTGCTAGCACAGCTTGCCGCGTCGGTGGAAGGCGGCTTAGACACAACGCGGACCATTGAGACGGTATTCCCAATCTTGACGATTCTCTCGCGGTTGGAGGCGGTATCGGGGTATGACGGAATGGCAGACTTTGTGCCGTGGCTCCACCGGTGCCTCGCGAACCCCCAGTGGAAGGTGCGCGAGATGGCCGCGCGCGCATACCCTGCGGTGATCGCGCCGGAGGCCGTGTCGCGCACGTGCGTTGCGATTCTCGAAGAGGCGAGTACCAAGGATCAGAACGGATTACACGGGAGCATTCTTGCGGTCCAGGAGTTGATCAAAAACAGCATTCGGTCGTACGACACCGCGCCAGACGCACGATTAGTGCAGACCACGTACGCGCAGCTTCCTAGGTTCTTGCTAAGCAACAGCTGCTGGAGTACGGCCAAGGCGTACGTGAACTTGGTCTCGTTGATCAACAGCTCTGTCATGGAGCTGAAACTCTCCGAGACGTTTGTGAGCGTTTTAGGTCACTTTTTTCTCTCCCAGCACTTCCCGTCAAGCTTCTTAGATGGACCAAAGATGTCGCTTCTTGCAGATACCGCGGCCGTTTTACTTGCGCACTATCTCGCAACGCAAAATGCTGCGTTAGGCGATTTTATAGCATTAGCGCTTCGCTCCGACTTCCACGAGGTCCAGACTACCGCCATTGAGTTCGTCAGTGATAATATTTGTGAGATAAGCATGGCAACCCGGCTCGACATTGTATCCGCACTCTGGGAACTACTCAGCGGAGACGTCTGGAGTTATGTCCAGGCACAGGCTCTCCAGCTTTTGCAACGCCTTCTCACCGACGCGGGTCTGGCGTCGCGTGAGCGGGTGAGTGTGTTGATCGGGTTTACCGCCGACCACCTCTCGGAGGATGTTCGTTCCACGGCGCTTGAGGCAATGGGGCCGTTTGTAGGGAGACTATGTCTCGAGGGGGACAACAAAGTGTTTGAGAGGTGGATGGGGTTGGTGGTTGAGTATTCGAAAGATAGCAAGCCGTATCAGGTTAGGTTGGCGGCGTTGCAGTCGCTCATTGCGTTTGCGAAGGTATGTGAGGGGGCTACGTCCGCCCAGTGTTTCGCTTCGTACGTATCGCTTGTCCACTTCTCCCTCTATCTCTTTCTCTCCGACGAAGATGAGGATATCCGCAACACCGCCGCCACCTCCGTTGCTTCCCTTTTCCGTCTCTCCTTCACACCCATCCCCCGCTTCGTCCAGGACGCCTTTGTTGCCCGGTACGTCATAACCTTTGGCGACTCTGCCCTTGAAGCGTTGCAGGCTCACCATGCCACTGCCGTATCTATGACTTTGCGCAAGTTCCAGCGCACCCTCCACCCCGACGAAGCTCTTTTCAGCACAGAGAAGGAAAACTTCTACCGCAACGACCTTGACCAGCGCGCCGAGGGAAATACCATGTTGCGTCGCGTTGCGTCGGCCTCAGCCTTGCTTCCGAGCGTGGAAATCGAAACCACCCAAATGTTGAATTTGGTTCGTGGTTTGCAGCGTGACGGGTTTGCCGGCTGGGCAAAGGATGAGGACGCCTTCTCGGGAATCATGGAGGTGTTGTGCGACTTGGCGTTGGTCAAGCAATTGGACCGCGTACTCTATGACGCCCTGTTTTCCTCCAGAGTGGAAGAGTTCCGCTGCTTGGCGATAAAGCACGAGTTGCACAACCTAATTATCGATGCCGTTCACGAATTGCAATCGTAGATTGTATGTGTCTAGGGGGCACTCAGTGTATAGAATGGATCATTTGTGGTTAGAATATTCCGATGTATATGAAAACCGTTCCAGTACTAATACAGGTATTACCCAAGCAGCTTTAAGTCTAAGCTCTATGAAATTTTGCGGACCAACTATGGCAAGTTGTAATGAGCAGACGATTTTAGTTTCAATCCGGGAAAGACATACTTAAATCCCTGCCTACAGATCTAAACCAGAAATAGCCGGTGTTGAACTACATGGATTTTTAATAACATTATATCCAGTCGCTTGCGACGAAAGAAAACCATGGAATACCCTAGCCAAATAAACGAAAAGCACGAAACCGTAAGCTTGAAAGAAATATGTATGAAATAGGAAGTGGAAAGGTCAAAAAGAAATGCATTTAGAGGAAATACCATGAAAAAGCCTGTCTTTAAATCAGTAAAAGATCGCTAGTCCTATGATGCTTCAGAAAACCACCAAAGATGCCCTAAGCAGGATTGAAATCACCAGAAATACGTTCAGAAGGGTCGAAATACTCACAACCTGGTAAGCTCCTTGTATAACCCAAAACACATGCATTTAGGTACTTAGATCATCAAACGAATACATCTTCACGTCTCCGTTCTCAAGCCCCGCAACAAACGCCGAATCGCCCAACGCAACGCTCGATACACTCGAAAACGCACCAAAAGTGTTCATGCACTTCCCCGTCTGCAAGTCCCAGACTTTGATCAAACGGTCGTGGGCACCGCTGATAATGCGGAAGTTATCCGCCGCGATCGACCATACACCCTCCAAGTGACCAAACTGCGTGCGGATGCACTTGCCGGTGGCCACGTCCCACACCTTGATGGTGTTGTCAAGGGCAGACGTGAGCAAATGGGTGGGGTAAAGGGGATTCAACGGAGGGGTGCTCTCGACTTCGCTCTGCACGGGATCGGTCTCGGAGTCGCTATCAGCGTGGTCCTCAACAAAGACGTCGTTGTACGAAAACGGAATCACGCATTGGACCTGGCCAATATGCCCACGATTCTCCATTCCGCCAAAAACCTGCAAACAGCGGTTCGATGTCATGTCCCACATGCGCACAGTGGTGTCGTCGCTAGCGCTGAAGATGGTGTTCGATGCTGCGTGGATCTTGACGGAGTTGACCCAGTCAGTGTGCCCGCGCAACGTGTAGCACGTGCGGCTGTCGACATGCCAGACCTTGATGGTGTGGTCGGCAGAGCCGGAAACAATTGTTTTGTCGTGAAAGTCCACTGAAACAACCGAATCGGCGTGGCCCTTGTACGTCGAGATGCACTGGCCGGTGTGGTAGTTCCAGACCTTGATCACCGAGTCCAACCCACCGGTGATCAACTTCTGTTCGTCAAACGCCAACGCGCGTACCCCCTTGGTGTGGCCGGAGAGCGTTCTGAGGAGCTTACCGCTGGTGACGTTCCAGATCTTGATTGTGGTGTCGTACGAGCCGGTCATGAGGTACTTGTGGTTGAACTGGAGGCACGTCACGCCGTCCGTGTGACCGCGGAACGTTTTGATGTTGTACGTCCCCTTGCGCCAGTTGCGTTCCACCTTGAAACGTTCGGAGTAGACGGACTTCCACGGCCGTTTCCGTACTTCCGGTTTGGCTCTCTTTACAGGGGCGTCGGTCGCCATCTTTCTCTTTCGTTCGCCTTGGGAGGCTCGAGGCTCAGCCTGTATCTCTGTCAGTTCAACCTGCGTCCCTGTCTGTTCAATATGCGTCTCAACCTGTTCAATCGGCTCACTCTGGGTCTCAATCTCTTCGATCTTTCTCTCAGGAACTTCTCTGGCACGCTTCATGTGCATCAAGGGGAGGCCCCAGCCGCACTGCGGACACTTTTTGTCAATATGCTGTTCGCACATGTGATGCCAAACACGGTCGTCGTCGGCGAGGCGCTTCCACTTGCGCGACACCTGCGCGGCGTTGCACAAGGACGCGCAGTCGAGGTGGCAGAGGATCTTGAGGGCCACCTCACAGGGCAAAATGGAGATGAAGTCAATCTTGATGAGCTTGACAACCTCCTGCGATACAAACGAGAGGTGTGGGAAACAGCACTGCGAGAGAATGCCCTGGAGGATGAGTGTGCGGTGCGGGTTGGGCGCGGCGCTGAAGATGGACCACACATGACTGATGGCCTCCTGGTCGCTCAGCGGTAATGTCTCGAGGTCGCGCTGGATCTGTTTCATCTTTTTGTGGTCCGTGAGTTTGTTACATTTGATTTCAGGGTTGTGGCGGTAGCAGAACTTGTCAAAGTTGTCAGAGGGGATGTGACTCTGGTCGTATAGATGTTTTGTGAGGAACGGTGTTACCACCGAAGTGGTTTCATGCGGTATATGGTCTTCCATTGCCTTCTTCACTGTATCATTGGTTATGATCAGAAGGAGGTTCAGCGGGTCACCTTCGGTACAAGTATCTTGGAGTAGATTCAGCATGGGGGGAAATGGGGTATATAAAGGCTGGTAAACAAGCAAGTATAGCTGAGGATGTAAACCGGACGCAAATTAGGCAAAACCGAGGAATCTGGATAGAGTTCTGATGTGTGTGCAGCTGTGGTGGGAGCCAGTTATTTATTGTCTGCTGATCAAATTGTGGAAAAAGCTGTCAAAAGAAAAAAGAAAAGCTCTCCGGGGTGGGCGTCACGTGAGCAGCCACACTTTCCACGTGCCGTTATCGTGTAAGGGCCGTGACTAACGCGAGTCTCGGACGATCGCTCATTGCACGTGACGTGATGAATCATCGAATTGTCGGTGAGGGGTTCCCGATTTGTAAAATATAAGGGAAATGATATATGAAAAAGACTAGAAATAACTAAGAGGCCGTTGGTTGAATGTGCCGAGTCGGACTGTTGCGAGCTTAAAGGACTGTAGTGAGGACTAAGACAAGCCATGAACTGTGGCAGCCACAGTGGAAACCCTGTCACTCCCCACGCCACCCGAAAATATGACAGGGGCTGTAAAATGCGGTGAGCAGCCGCATGGGTGGACGGAGAATGCCTAATTGATTGTTTCGTTATCATGTGGTGCCGTACTATGAAAACCGAGCCCACAGTCACACTAGAGAGGGGTATGCATCCGCAAGAATGCTTATCTGTGAAAGTTTAGTTACGTATAGCTCCATGTATGCATGCGATTGCGACATCACGAGGCGTAATAGTCTTTCAATTGCGCAGCTACGTCATTGACACTTTAACTCCATGCCAGATTAGTGAACGTCGTTACAAGGAGGCTATTCTAAAAATATAAACATAACTATTAGTCTGGCATCTTACATGATGCTTGGGTCATGTCAGATTTTGCGCAGGCAAGTCGATGTTGATTCACTGCGTGCGCAGTTCTCGAAACAACGGTCTCCATCGATTCTACCGGTTCAGGAGCATCAAAATCTTGTTTATATTAATATTTATATAGCACTAACTCTTTGTTTGCGGTTGGTACTGAAAAGGGTAAGCTGGAGTGTACCGAGGCTGAACTTCTGAGGCTTCATGCATTCACTAAATCCATTAAGGTTTTGGGGTGGCCATGGTGAAATATTCTGAATGGCAACGTGGTTTATAAATAGCACATTATCAGCTTAACCCCTCAATGTTGACATATTATGATACAGATTCGATTCAGACCTGTAACTGTATTCGTAAGACATGGTAGCAGATTATATTCCCGGAAAAACCATTGAGGCTTTCGAGCAATACCGCATATGCGTGGTACATGCAAGAACAGAAGCCTAGCTATGGTTACCCTGGTCTGGGCCCCTAATTCTCTATTGCGTAGATCTAATCCATATTAGCTCTAGAAAAAGGGATAATTGATGGAATATGGGGTCTTGCAGCTCCAGACAGAAATTCTAGAGCCAGTAATTTTGTATCCCCGTTGGTTCAACAATAATTGTTACGGCCCGGTGCGATAAGTCATGGCATAACTCGATCATATCCCCATATGGTTGTGCCCTATTTCCTATTTAAACTAAATGAAATCATTCGTTGTTATCACTTTATTCTCTGTCGCTTCCTACGATTTTTGGACCCGATGATCCTACCATCACACTGTTATAGGGGATAGGATTTACCTCAAAAGTTCTAATCTCGGTACCTTGCAAATCTTAGATGATTCCACTGTCAGGACTTCCGATGATCGGTTCTTGATCATATACATGGATAGTTCAATATGAATGAATTCCGCGGGAATTTCTGGCTCCGAGACTTTCTCTCCTGAATCTGGTCGGGTAGCAGCTCAATTTGTGCATGGTTTTTTCAGTAGTATATCTGCAATATTGTAGGCTCTGATGCCTGTACTGACTATATCCAAGCAGATACAGTCACTTCCATTGGCACCTTTGTCTCCTTTGTGGCTAGTATTTCAGTCAGCTTTGCTTATTCGATATTTTTTTTTTTTTTTCATATTACACAGTATTCACCATTTTTGACTATGGCGATACACCCGTATTGACGCTAACCCGAGATTACTGTAAATTTCGCTACGTGCCAGAATAACAAATATCTAAATAAAATACAAATAAATAAATACTACTTCAAGTACCCACCCTGTTCGCACAAGCCGTAGAAGATCCCGTTCTTGTCAGCCAACAAGGTTGCAGGAGAGTCAAACTCCTTAACCTCACCCTTGTCCAACACCACAATACGGTCACAGTCCATAACGGTGTCCAATCTGTGTGCGATGGTCAAAATTGTCTTGGAAGCAAACTCGCTGCGGATTGTCTCCTGGATGATTTTGTCGGTTTGGACATCCACGGAGGACGTGGCCTCATCGAGGACAAGCACAGTGGACGTGTTGAGCAACGCACGCGCAAGGCACATCAACTGTTTCTGGCCGACAGAGAGGTTGGAGCCCCCTTCATTGAGCTTAGCGAGCAAGCCAACGGCAGCGCCTTCTTCGCCTTCTTCGCCTTCTTCACCAGCGTCACCCATAGATGCGACATGCACATCCAAATGCGCCAACTTCAACACCTTCCACAACTCATCGTCCGTGTGCTGGTCAAATGGATCCAAGTTGCGCCTGACAGTTCCCTGGAAGATCTGCGAGTCTTGCGGAATGATGTTCAAGTTCCTTCTCAAGTCATGGAGCCCCATCTCGCTGGTGTTCAAGCCATCGATAGTGATGTGGCCTTCGGTGGGCTCGATCATGCGGAACAACGCCAACGTCAATGTGGATTTACCAGCACCCGTGCGCCCTACAATTCCAACCTTCTCGCGAGGCTTAATGTCAAGCGAAATGCTGTTCAACACAGGGTCAAGGTTCTCACGGTAGCGTGTGGTGTAGTTGACAAAGCTGATTTCACCCTGGTCCGGCCACTGGGGCTGCGGGCGCTTGCCCTCCACCACTGGCTCTGCCTCAGGGGCCAACTTGATGTACTCCATGATACGTTCAACACAGACAATTCTCGTCTGAGCATCCACCGCTAACCGAACAAACCAACTCAAACGCATGGTGACGTCCACGGAGGATGTGATAATGAAACCAATCATCCCGGAGCTCATTGGGCTCGCAGTGGTCAAGGAAAAAATGCACAAAGAACTCACCACAAACAACGAAATGGCACCTAACACCCTTAAACGGTAGGAAATCCAGCGGTTCGACGACATGTTTGTGTACGCCGACTGCAAATTGTTCTCAATATTGGACACATGGAGGAACTCGAAGCGCGCGGTTTGGCCGTATGCGCGGATGGTGTCAATTCCGCTCAAAGTCTCCAGAATGTGGGCAAAGATTGGCGACAAGGTGACACTGGTGATACGCTTCAACTCACGCGACGTCACCTGGTAATAATTCTGGTAGTAGACGTAGAACACGAGCATGAGCACGATAAATACCCCAAAGAGCGGAAGGATATATGTAATGGCAATGAAAGCAATCACAATCTCAACAGACGTGGAAATGACCATGTCAAACACCCGGGGCAACCCGTTGTCCGCCTGATTCACGTCAGACGTGAAACGGTTCATTACACGGCCAATAGGCGTGGTCTCGAAAAAGGACATCGGCGAGCGGATCACTGCCGCAAGCATTCCTTCGTGCAAGACCTTTGATGCCTGAAGGCAGCACAAACACCACATCACCAACGCCTGGAGATACGACCCCAAAGAGGAGGATAAACCAAGCGAGAAGTACACCCCGATGTTGAACCACGCGTCGAGGTTGCCGTCGTTGCTTTCGTTGTCCTCGGACCAGTGCTTCAACCACAACTTGCTACCAAGTCCGAGAATCGGGTTAGAAATCACAAACACTGTGAGGAGAATACACGAAGAAATCCCGCACGCGCGTGCATATGCTTTGTACACCTCCCACTTGACATAACCGGTCGCGGATGCTTCCGATGCCTGGGCGGTCTTGCGCTCGTCTTCATCATCCTTAGGACGGGGCTTTCTCTCGAAAGTAGCCATACTCGCGCGTCTCAAGGTGGGCTGACTACCGCGACGAGGATTATCGAGTTTTGCAATTTCGATCAAAGTGTCCTGGTCAAGACGCTCAGGGCCATCTGGTCCTTCAGCGTCAATCAACGCGGAAGAAGATCCTTCAGCAGACCCCGCTCCCTCAACCAAACTGGTGGTGTCTGAGTCTGCTTCGCTGGCACTGCCAATGCCGTGCTCCTTGATCAAGTTATAGATCCCCTCGGCCCGCAGCACCGCCTCCTCGTAGCTCCCTCTCTCCACAATCTTTCCCCCCTCCAAGAGAAGGATCTCATCTGCATGACTCAAGATTGGAATCGCGTTCGTCGTCAAAACCTTTGTCTTGGATGCGAGTAACCCCTGCGGACCCAATACGTGGGTCGTGAGGTGGTGTGCCACATGGGCATCAACAGCAGAAAGCACATCGTCAAGCAAGTAGATGTCTGCACGCGCGTACACCGCACGCGCAATAGCGATACGTGCCTTCTGGCCCCCCGAGAGCGAAATCCCCTTCTCTCCGACCTGGGTCTTGTCGCCATCAGGGAACACCTTCATATCCGGGCCCAAGGCACACGCCTCCACCGTCTTGGCGTAAAAGTCTGGGTCAAAACGGCACCCAAAGGTGATGTTGTCCTGGACCGTCCCGTTCATGATCCACGGCGACTGCGCGCAGTATACGAGCGAACCGTCAATCTTGACTTTGGAACCGCTGAGGAGTGGGAGTTCGCCCAAAATCGCCTTCAACATGGCGGACTTACCGCTGCCGACAGTCCCCACAATACACGTCAACCGGGCCTTGTGGGAGGAGAAGGAGATATCGTGTAAGGCAATCTTCAGGCGATCCACCGTGGCCTCTTCGTCCGCCTTGGCCTCAATTCTGCTCCAGAGGAACGTGGAGTTCAGCACACGGATGGATTCGTCGCCCGCGCGGAGTGTTTGCGAGTCGCTTATCTCGATCAAGTCAGTGTCAATCTCACCAGAGGCTAAGAAGCCAGACAATCTGACGAGCGAGACTCTGGTCTCGATGATCGCAGAGATGAGCCCGGGGATCTCGTAGATGAGGTCGCCCATGATGGTGAACAAAGCCAAGGCTGGGAAGATGATGTCTGGGGTCAACGGGGCGGTTCCAAGGACGAGGAAGGTCGCAAAGGTCGCAAAGGTGATGAGGAACGGAAGACCCTCCCAGAAGAAGACGGTGATGGAGTCGAAGATTCCGATGCGGCGGATGTTTTCCAACTCGAGGTCATTTCTGATATGCGTAATCTTCTCCAAGACCGGTTTTTCCCACGCGTACAATTTGATGGATTTGATGGACGTGAGGAGCTCATTGATGGCCTTGGTCCGCAAATCCTTGGTCTTCATCTGGACCCCATAGAGCTTCTCCATCTTGCGCGCGATGAGCACATTCACCGGCACCAAGAGCACAAGCACTGCCACGCCCCCAAGCACCGCCCAGCCCATGAGGTAGTAGAGCGACATGATACACAACGTGGACTTGAAGGGAAGCGACACAAACGATTGCACGTTCTGCGACATGTTCTGGAGGTTGGCAACGTCCACAGACACGAGGTTGACAACGTCACCTCCCGCGTCCTCGGAATCGTCGCTGCTCTTCAGCTTGGCCTCGGAGGACATCCTCAACGTTTTTGTGTAGAGCAAGGCCATCATACTGGTTTTGCAGTTGAACCCGAGCTCCAACACCCGGACAAAGTAGAAGTTGAAAGAAAGGAGCTCGAGCATGGAGTTGACAAACATCGCGACCGAGATCACGGCCCCGAAAAGCAACGGTGGGGTTGTTTCGGGTTCGTTCTGATATGTGGAGAAGAAGCGGATCAAAATACGGAGAAGGAGCGGCTGGATAAACATGACGCAGCACTCCACCATCTGGAAGACCGCCGCGAGGGCCATGTCCCACCCGAAAACCTTGACCAAAGCGCGGACCAATGAGGGAGATGGCTTGGCGGTTTCCTTCTTCCATGCCTGGGAGACCTTGGCCGCGTTATTAACAACGTTGACGGCCGGTGGAAGTTCGGGGATCATCGACTCGTCGAGGGTCCCGTCGTTGTAAGACTTGGTAATGAGCGGGGTCAACCAGCTGAATGTGATGTACTCGAAAATGTTAGGAACGGTCAATGTTTGCGAATGGATGGTGTAGTAACCAATAAGACGTTTAGCTGGTGACCAGTAGGAGTTTTCCAAAACAAGAATGATGACGGCATTGATGAGGATGAGAATATCGAGCGTTTCGGTGCCCGGGAGGATCTTCCACTCGGTGGTATTCTGGACAACTACACTGGCCTGGAAAGTCGCAACCGTGAGCCAATAGACAAGAAGACCACCAGAAGCGGTAGGGCTGGAGGTAGTCTCTACGACGTGCAAGGGCAAGATGAAAGCGAGAAGGGTTACGGCCGACAAGAGATAACCCGCGGTCCGGATGTCCGAGGAGGTGTAGAGCACGTTAGAATGGATGGTAAGCGCAAAGAAGAAGACCGCCTGGACCAATGTCAAGGCGACGCGGAGAAACTGGGGTACGCCTACGTTCTCAAGGCTAAAGTAGCTGCCGTGGGTCTTACGCGAGGCGAGCTGCGCAAACTGAAAGAGGCACAACAAGCCAAAGAATGCGGAAATACCTATGTACATAAGAGACAAGAAGCACGGGTTAAACGCGTTGATCCGGTGGCCCGCAAATGGGGTCTGGAACACCATCGCATAAGCCGAGAGGGGGCAGTCATGTGGGAGCCGTGGGAGCGTAGCGTTGGCGGAGAGGATGGTCGCTAGGAACGGCGACTGAAGCGTCGCTAGGGGAGAGTCTATAGACATGGATTCGGATAATTGTAGATGGAGAAAACAAAACTACTGTGGACTCGCCTTAGTTTATATAAGATGTGGAGGTTTGATTGTTCCCTAAGCTGTAATTTCACTGATAGCGATTGCTGTAAGTGAAAAGCTTATGCAGTGTGTACATGCACAGGATAAGCCCATGAGGCTTCTTGCGTCGAAGCTTTCAGGGGGGCAAGACGTGCCCAGTTAAACGGCAAATTGGGGTAAAATGGGGGGACAAAAAAAAAGAAGCTGGACCTGCCACAGGTATTGACTTGAATACTACTTTCAGTCAAGCTTATTATCTTTGATTTCTTGTTGTAATGTAACATCTTTGGTTAATAGTGGGAGGGGTGGCAAAATGTGGCGTTGACAGAGCCGTGGACCCGAACGGCAAAAAGTTTGCCACCCAAATTGTTAGACACCGGCTAAAATTTAATATGGATCTGCTGGTCTAGGATCTCACAGCCGTACGCCACCTGAACTTACCGGGCAGACGAGCTATAGGGACGGGCATATCAAGGGTTGAGGAACTAATCTAGTTCTGGTGTAGGAAATGCATACGATTGTCCAGGGTCCACAGAACCAAACTTAGGGATAATCGAACCGATGGATTGAGGAAATAGTTTACGCAACTCTATTTTGCAAGCGATGGCAAACACCAAAGAAAAGGTGTGCGGGGATCTATTGTCTGAGTCAATCTCTGGCTTATAAATTTTACTAGCGCTCGCGTGTAGAGCTGGCGTGTGGTATTGAGCGACTTTGCTGCGGATGCAGGATACGCCTCTACAACGGACAAGGATAAACTCATAGATGAGTCAGTAGGGTTAGTACACGCAAAAAGATTGCACTGTCTTGCTAATGTCCATGATTGTCACGTGGTCTGCCACTGTAAGCTATACTTTAGTGCTGGATGCTGGTTGATGTCAGGAACTTTAGCACCTGTTTTGGTTTAGTAGACCCGTCTCTTAAACACTGCAATTGTTTGCGGTGCAATTTTCACAGGGGTATCCTGTTATCTTAGTGATCTGTTCTTGACGTGTATATCTAGTCTTGAGAGTGCTAACTGGATGGCGTACGCCACAAAGTTCGGTACGCAGAAGGGTGGTTGAAACTTTTAATACAGGCCGATATAACGGCAAAAAGAAAATTTACTTACGCCAAACTATCCTCCTGGATGATGTTTCAATGCGGGATCTAAAAACGATGCGCCAGCCCGGAATCGAACCGGGGGCCCAACGATGGCAACGTTGGATTTTACCACTAAACCACTGGCGCATGCTTGTTGAAAAATGTTTGAGGTTTTTAATGATACGTTTTTGGTCTTATTTTGTGGTTTATGTACTATACCACCGCTATTTAGCTGGAACAATTAACCTTCCATAAACATGAGATGATTGAAGATAACATCCGGGTACTCATGGGGGCCTTTGATTTTGTAAAATGTGAACACTATAGGATAGTAAATCAATGAGAAAGCATGAGTACGAAACAGAATTGAGATAGAACAACCCTGGGGGTATTCTGAAAACTGGAAATATCCATTAGAAAACTTCTCCGGGACCACAGCAATACTTTCTTCAAGCGATAAGACGACCTTTTTCGACGTCGCTTAGCCTAACTATTCCTTCCAGAAAGGTTAATTCAAAGCAGACGAGAGGCTTGAATTACATCCGGTGAAATAACGGACCGAGTAGCTCAAAGCTGGACCAATCGACTTTTTCCGATTCGTTATAAATCTTAAAATGTTTCAAGACAACGAAAATTTACAACTGGTTAGACTTTAACTCAGCAACCCCAAATGCGTTTTTGGATCATGTCTCAGGTCCACGTGACGCGACCCTCCTGCACACACCAGATCAAAACAAACAGCGGTGTGCGCACGCCCACAAGCAGATCATTTAACACGGCGACTTCAAAACACAACCACTTGTACTGCCCAACTCTCTACTCAATACACCATTGCTATGTCAGCCGAACCAGAACCATTGTCCCCCAAGAAACTCGGCGACTTTGCGTTCAACTTAGCACAGCTTTTGCAGGGCGCCACGAAAGCCGACGTCGTGTGGTTCCACAGCGTCGCGGCGGTTAAAGCGTGTGCAGAGTTTGCCGAGGAGCCCGCGCCCGCCACCCTCTTTGTCATAAAACATGAGCCCGAAATCACTGATTCCGAACTCGAAGGCGCTGAACTCGAGGTTGCCCGATTCACCATTGCCAGCACATTGACCCCCAATGCCTCTTCCCTCGCGTTGATCAAGGGGCGAGCCCCGCTCACGGCTTCCCCACTCGATGCCCAGATTCAGGTGGTCAACATCCCCCATCTCGGGTCGTCGTTTGAAAATCTCCGTTCGTTGGTCTCCCTCGGTCTCGCGCCGTACTTTGAGGCCGTGGCCCAACTGCCAGGAAGAGAGGAAGAGACGTCTATTGGCTCTACCCGCAAGAAGATCAGCGAGCTCGCCCTCTCTTTACAATATCTCCAGCAAAATATCCAGGTGGCCGACCTCACGCTCTCTGTCCATCCTGCTATTCGCCAGGCCATCGCCACCGCCGATGGACCTGACTATCTCAGCTCTATCCCTTCCGACCTCCTCTCCGATTCCAACTTCCTCAACGGCCTCCAGACCATTGTCAATGGCTGGGTGAAGGCTACACGCAGTGTCACACGGCTCACACACGACCCCAGCAACGGCTCCACCTCCGATGAGGTCAACTTCTGGCTCTCCATGGAGACCGCCTTGGCGAGCCTCCAGCAGCAGCTCTATAGCCCGGAGGTCCAGCTCACCCTCGACGTGTTGAAGCATGCCAAGCGATTCCATGCAACCGTCAGCTTTCTCTCCGATACTGGCATCAAGGAGGCGACCCAGACCGCCCAAACCTACACACAGTTGCTCCGCGACCTTCCCATCGGCGAGGTGCTCTCGGCCTCTAGTCTTACAAATCTTGACGAAGCGATTCTTCTCGTGTTTGGCCACTTGAAGCGGCTCCGAGTCTCCCAGTACCCGCTCGACCGCGCTATTACCCTCGTCGAAACCATCCTGGCGGACGTGGATGCAAAGTTGAAGCAGCTCATCCGCGGAGAGCAGCTCATGGAGCTAGAGCACGCAGACTTTACCACTGCGGTCGCTGGCATTACCTCTGTCTTTTCCACATTCGACTCCCAAATGAAGGACTTTGCCAGCCTCGCGCGTGAGTTGCTCCGCAAGCGCTCGGAAAAGTACATGTATGTGAAGGTGCTCAGCAAGACGGATGCGTTGGCAGCGCGGATCGTTCACGTCTCGGCGTTTCGTGCACGCCACGAGGAATTGCTCGCCATGGTCAGTGCCGCCTTTGCCGAAACGACGGAACCATCCGACATCTCCTTGGACGTTTTCGCGTCTGTGGACGTTGCTGACACCTCCGCCGAAGGGAATCGGAGGTGGAACGCGGCGGAAAAAGCATACCAGACGCGCGCGGCCCGCATGGAGAGTGCAATGATCGCCACCTTCAAGCGCGAGCTTGCGGCCAGCGGCGCCACCTCGAACGAAATGTTTGCGGTCTTTGAAAAGTTCGCCTTCTTATTGGCCCGTCCGGCTGTCCGTAGCGCTGTCCACGACTACCAGTCGCAGTTACTCGCGGCGGTCGAAACGGATATCCACAGTTTGCAGGCGCACTTTGCGCAGCAAGGCACGGCAGCCGCGCTGTACCGCCTCCGCGACCTCCCACCCATCACTGCGGCCATCAGCTGGGCAAAACAGATCGAACACAAGGTAGACAAGCTTGTGGACAAGCTCGAGCTCGTATTGGGTCCCAGCTGGACGTCCTACGCCGAGGGCCAGCGCATCCACACGGAAACGTCAGTGTTCCGGCGCAAGTTGGACACCCAGGCGCTCTATGATCACTGGGTGCAGGCAGCGGCGCAGGGTACAATCCAGGGCCCGGTGTTGCAAGTGGTCAAGGGCAAGCGGTGGGCGTTGGCCGTCAACTTCGATGAAAGTATTGGCTTGTTGTTCAAGGAGGTGCGCAACTTGTGCTGGTTGGGCTACGCGGTGCCGCACGCCGTCGTCGCGCGCGCGCGCACCGTGCGCAAAATCTACCCCGAAGCCATCAGCTTGCGCGAGGCATTACACACATTCACGGTAGCGGTCGTGGATAGCGACACGCTCGGCGATTTTCGTGTAGTGGTGGCGTCGTCGCTTGCAGAGATCTACGCGCTATTAGAGCGGTGTCTCCTGGTGACGTGGGAGGACTTGGCGCGCGCACGGGACCTAAGCCTCGCGCAGACCGACTTGGACCTTGTGGAGACCCAGAACGCGGCGCTAGTGCAGAGGCTCGTTGCTGCCATCGGTGCGTTCTACGAGATGGTTGAGGGCCTCAAGCGAACCAGCACGGAGGTAGCGCGCATCTTTGAGGCGTTGATGGTTTGCGAGTATGAGATTGAGGCGATGGCTTCGCTAGTGGCCTCTGCGCAGAAGGTTATCGATAACATGATTCTCGACGGCTCTCTGAACGTGGCACTGGTGGTGGCCCGTCTCAACGCCCGTCTTGCACATGTGTTTACCGCACGGTGCACAAGCGAGCTCGAGGTGTTTATGTCTGAAATCGCCACCGGGTACGAGAAGAGCCTCTTCCTCGCCCCCTCCAGACACGAGATTTTGCTTCACGACCAAAAGGTGGTGGTTTTGCCGCCAATCGAACACTCACGCTACCAATGGACCCAGGGGTTGCACCGCTGTGTGGGTGTCGTCTGTGCCCAAAAGACTATTCACAGTGTCAGCTTTGACGTCCGCGTGGCAAACCCCGCAGCGGAAATGTTCCAGATCGACGTATCGCCGGTGGTGAACCGTTCGTTGCAGGCCATCCAGCTGCAGATCGTGCTCGCGGAGCGATACGTGGCCAGGTGGCTCCAGCTCCAGAAGCTCTGGGACTTGGAGTCGGGGGATGTGTCGTCCCACCTAGGCACCGCCGTTGAGCACTGGATCCAGGTCTTGCTCGAGTTGCAGAGGGTCAGGCAGACATTTGACACCGCGGAAACCAGTGAGACGCTCGGCGCTATGATTCTCGACTACGACCAGGCCCAGTCGAGGGTCAACGCCAAGTACGACATCTGGCACCGCCAGCTCATTGCCAAATTTGCCGAGGTCATGTCAACGATGCTCAAGGAGACGGACTCGCTGGTAGTGCGCGCGCGCAAGGACTTGGAGGTGGTTCCAGACTTCACCTCTACGCCTGCCACCACCGCATTAATATCCCATCTCGCCGGCCATCGAGCATCGCTCAGCACCTGGACGACCGCGTTGCACCGTTTTCAGAAGGGCCAGTTACTTCTTTCGCGCAACCGCTTCCGGTTCCCCTCCGACTGGCTTCATGCCGAACAGATGGAGAGCGATTTGGCCGCATTGGCAGAAATAATCGACAAGCGCACGGTCTTGGTGGACAGCCAGATGGACGTCATCACCACCCGTATTCAGACCGAGTGCGCACGTGTCCAGCAATTGATGGTGGCTACCCAGACTGAATGGAACACCAAGAAACCGGTCTCCGGCAAGCTTGAGCCGCGCGTCGCGTTAGGCGTGTTGGACGGGTACGAAGCAAGGCTTGAGGAGATTCAGGCCGAGAAGCAGATGCTTGTAGACGCAGCCGCGCTTCTTTCCATCGACGTGGTGTTGGTTCACGACTTTTCCCCGGTGTTGGAGGAGACCCGTGACCTTAGGTCAGTGTGGTCGTCGATTGACACCCTCTGGAAGGCCATCCAGGACTTGCGCGCGATTCCGTGGACCTCTGTCCAGCCCCGTGCCTTGCGTCGCCAACTCGAGGAGCTTCTCGCCGCCGCGCGCAACATGCCCGCGCGGATTCGTCAGTACCACGCCTTTGAAACCATCCAGGAGAGCGTCAAGGCGCAGCTCAAGGCGAATGCGATTGTAGGCGACCTTTCATCGGAGGCGCTCCAGCCGCGCCACTGGAAGAAACTCTTCTCGCTGCTCAGCGACCGATACATTCCGCTTCACAACATGAAGCTTGGCGACGTCTGGGACCTCCACTTGTTGTTGAACGAGGCAGAGATACGGGCGACAATCGCGGTGGCCAACGGCGAAAAAACCCTTGAGCATTCCTTAGCTCTGATCGAGGAAGCCTGGGCCAATCTCGCGTTTGACTTGGTGGGCTACCAGAATCGCTGCCGGTTGGTCAAGAACTGGGAGGTGCTCATCCAGAGGTGTGACGATGATCTTGGCGCGTTGACCTCTATGAAACACTCACCGTACTATAAGGCCTTTGAGGAAGAGGCGCTTTCCTGGGAGAGCAAGCTCAACCGGTTGTACGTGTTGTTGGATGTGTGGATCGACACCCAGCGGCAGTGGATCTACCTCGACGGGGTGTTCGGGGAGAACGACATCAGCCGCGTGTTGCCGACCGAATCCGCGCGCTTCCAGAATGTCAGCGCCGAGTTCATGCTCGTCCTCAAGAGCTTGTTCCAGTCGCCGTTCGCCATCCACATACTCAACGTGGCAAACGCACAGAGCAACTTGGAGCGCACCTTAGACTCCCTCACGCGCGTCCGCAAAGCTTTGAACGACTACTTAGAGAAGCAGCGCGAGATCTTCCCCCGTTTCTACTTCATCGGGAATGAGGACTTGTTGGACATTATTGGCAATGCCTCTAACGTGACCGAGGTTGGGCGACACCTCCAGAAGATGTTCCCGGGAATCGCCAGTATTGCCTACGACAAGCAGCGGTCGTTGATCACTGCAATCCACTCGGAGGAGGGCGAGACGGTGATCCTCGGCACCCCTGTGTCGATCGCTAAGCACGTGAGCTTGCACCAGTGGTTAAAGGAGTTGGAATACGAGGTGAAGTGCACGTTGTCGAACGCCGTCTTTGCCGCCACTACAGAGCTCAGAGACATTCTCTATGACTCACTGTCGAATGACCCGCGCTCTGATGCCCTCACCGTTTGGATCGCAAGGTACCCAGGCCAGGCGTTGATTCTTGCCTCCCAGGTGTGCTGGACAACCAAGGTTGAGGAATGCATCACCCGTGGAGACTTTTCTGCCAGAAACTACTACGTTCGTGCTCTCCGGATGCTAGCTGGCTACGTGTTGCTGGAAGCCAACGTGGTGACCCGCAAGAAAATCCAAACCTTGATCATCGAACTCATCCACCAGCGTGACATCATCGATGCGGTGCGAAATGTGCGGTCGGTGGACGAGTTTGCCTGGCGATCCAACCAGCTCTTCCACTACGACGTTTCGAATCCCGACCCGGTGAACCGGTTGACTGTGGTGCAGGCCAACGCCACGTTTGTGTACGGGTTTGAGTACTTGGGGGTCCCAGGCAAGCTCGTCTACACACCCTTGGTCGACAAGTGCTTCTTGACCATGACCCAGGCCCTCAACCAGCGGCGTGGTGGCTCGCCATTTGGGCCGGCGGGTACCGGCAAGACAGAGTCGATCAAGGCGTTGGGGCACAGCCTTGGGAAGATGGTGTTGGTGTTCTGCTGTGACGAATCCTTTGACTTCCAGGCCATGAGCCGGATCTTTGTGGGGATTTGTGAGGTTGGTGTCTGGGGGTGCTTTGACGAGTTCAATCGATTGGAGGAGAACATGCTCAGTGCCGTCAGCACCCAGATCGAAAAGATCGAGTTGGGGTTGGCAAGCTCGTCCAGCATCCAGTTGGTCAACCGGCCGGTGTCGGTGCACCCCGAGACCGGGATCTTCATCACCATGAACCCAGGCTACGCCGGCAGATCCACCTTACCCGAGAACTTGAAGAAACTTTTCCGGAGCTTTTCAATGGAAAAACCCGACCGCGAGATCATCGCCGAGGTTATCCTCAACTCCCAGGGCTTTACCTTTGCCAGCGAGTTGGCAGCACGGATCGTGCCCTTCTTCCAGGAAATGGAGCAAGCCACGTCAACACAGTTGCACTATGATTTCGGACTCCGTGCCTTGAAGAGCACTTTGCTGAACTGCGGCAAGAGCAAGCGGCAAAGCGACGGGGATGAGTTAGTGGGTGAGTTGTCGCTTGTGTTGGGAAGCATGAGAGAATCGGTGGCTGCCAAGCTCGTCACTGACGATGAGGTAGTGATGCGCCGTCTCGAGAACGAGCACTTCCCCGAGGTTCAGTACGCGGCGCCGGAGGACACCCGGCTCATTGAAACCGTGCGGGAGATTGCGCTTGCCAGCGGTTACGCCACCGGTGACGAGTGGATGAAAAAGATATTGCAGCTCAAGCAACTTATTGATACGCACCACGGGGTCATGATGGTTGGTAAGGCTGCATGTGGCAAGACCGTGATGTGGAAGACCCTCCTCGCGGCCCTCTCCCAGCTCGATCAGGTGGACAGCGTGCACCACATCATTGACTGCAAGGTACTCTCCAAGGATGACATCTACGGGTGTTTGCATGCAACCACACGCGACTGGACTGATGGGTTGCTCACAGGGATTCTCAGACGGGTCACGGAGAACCTCCGCGGCGAGCTTTCTAAGCGGATCTGGATCGTGTTTGACGGCGACGTGGATCCTGAGTGGGTGGAGAACCTCAACAGTGTGTTGGATGACAACAAGCTCCTTACCTTGCCGAACGGTGAGCGTCTCGCGCTTCCGTCCAACGTCCGCCTCTTGTTCGAGGTGGATAACTTGAAACATGCGACGCCCGCTACCGTCAGTAGATGCGGGATGTTGTGGATGAGTGAGCGATCGATCGTGCCTGCTGATCTTTTGGCGCACTACATGGTGACTTTGCGGACCAAGCAGATTGCCGAGGTCGGGGAGGAGCAGATTGTCCTCCAAACGGCGCATAGCTCGGTGCTTGCGATCCAGAACCGGTTTGCGGACCACCTCCGGCCGTTTATGGACGGGGTGATTCTCGAATGTTTGGAGCACTCTGCCCGTTTGGTCCACATCATGGGCTACGATGCAACCCGCTTGGTCATGACCTTTGCCACCATGATGAACACCTACTGCCGCCGTCTTGTGTCGTTTGTCTCCACCACCGTGAGCTTCCTTGGCGAGGACTGGAAGGCGTATACCGCAAAGGCCGTGTTGCTCTCGCTTGTGTGGGCGTTTGCCGGCGATTGCTCGTTGGAGGACAGAGAGAGCTACTCGAAGGATCTTCTTGGCCGTCTGTTCGGAAGTGGCGGCGGCTTGTTTGACGGAATGAACTGTGACGGTTTCCTCCTTGACCATGACATTTCCCTCCCGGGGGCCGACTGGGTAGCGTGGAAGGTTCCGGTGCGGGAACTCGCGGCCCATTCCATCGTGGAACCGGACGTGATTGTCCCCACCTTGGATACAACCCGACACGAGGACCTCTTCTACTCGCTTTTGGCCGAGCACCGTCCATTCATTCTCTGTGGCCCGCCAGGGTCGGGTAAGACCATGACCCTTCTTGGCGCCCTCCGCAAGTCACCGCACTTGGAGGTTCTCGGTCTCAACTTCTCTAAGGAAACGTCGCCTGCGATCTTGCTCAAGAGCATCGAGCAGCACTGCGAGTACAAAAAGACCGCGAAGGGTACGGTGTTGACACCACGAAACCGGGGCAAGTGGTTGGTGGTGTTTTGCGACGAAATCAACCTCCCCGCCGCCGATTCCTATGGCAACCAGCGCGTCGCCTCCTTCATGCGCCAACTCATCGAGCAAAACGGGTTCTGGCGCAACGACAAGCAGTGGATCTCCTTGTCGTGCGTTCAGTTTGTGGGTGCGTGTAACCCGTCCACAGACCCCGGCCGCCGCGAGTTGAGTCCGCGATTCTTGCGCCACATGTCGTTGGTTATGGTGGATTACCCGGGTAAGACCTCCTTAACGCAGATCTACACCGCGTTCAACGCCGCCGTGCTCAAGTGCGCGCCGAATCTCATTGGATTTGCGGACTCCACCACGGGGGCAATGCTCGACGTATACTTTGGCTCGCGCGCCCGCTTCACCATGGATATCCAGCCCCACTACATCTACTCGCCTCGCGAATTGACCCGGTGGGTGCGCGGTATCTACGAGGCTATCAAGGCCACAGAAGAGCTTAGTTTGGCCAGCTATGTCAGGCTTCTCGCCCACGAAGCGTTGCGGTTGTTCTCTGATCGGCTTGTGGATGCTGAGGGCGCTGCCTGGACCATGGAGTTGCTTCGTGCGGTCTTTTCCCACCGCTTCCCCAATCTAGACATCGCGGCAGTGCTACAGGGCCCGATCCTCTACACCGACTGGCTCTCACTCACCTACCAGCCGGCCGACCGTGACCAGTTGCGGGTGTTTGTGCAGGAGCGACTCCGCACGTTCAGTGAGGAGGAGCTCGACGTGTCGCTTGTGCTTTATGACGACCTTTTGGACCACGTGCTCCGTATCGACCGGGTGCTTCGCCAGCCGCAGGGCCACCTCATCCTTGTGGGTCCCAGCAGCAGTGGAAAAACAACGCTCAGTCGGTTTGTCAGCTGGGTGAATGGGCTCAAGGTTTTCCAGATGAACGTCCACCGCAAGTACTCGCTCAAGGACTTTGACACCACGCTACAGGACCTCTTGCGTCGCTCTGGCGCGTACGGGGAGAAGATTTGCTTTATCGTCGACGAGTCAAACATCTTGGAGACGGCGTTCTTGGAGCGCATGAACAACTTGTTGGCAAATTCCGAGGTGCCGGGGCTCTTCGAAGGCGAAGACTTTGCCGCGTTGATGGCGGTCTGCAAGGATGAGGTGCAGAACCAGGGGTTGTTACTTGATACCCAGGAGGAGCTCTACCGGTGGTTTACCCAACAAGTAGCAGAAAACCTCCACCTTGTATTCACCATCAACGATCCAAACAACCCGGACTCGCCGCAGATTATCTCCTCGCCGGCGTTGTTCAACCGGTGCGTGCTAAACTGGATGGGCGACTGGTCGGACGTAACGTTGGGCCAGGTCGCACGCGACATGCTCCAGCTGTCGCCGATCGACAGCAATGGTGTGGCCGATGCGATGGTGGACATACACCGGTCGCGCAGCGACTCGACAGTGACCCCGGGCTTCTTCATCCAGTTTATCAGAACCTTCAAGGAGGTGTTCAAGAGGCAGGGGGCGACGTTGGAGGACCATCAGCGCCACGTCAACATGGGCCTCGACAAGCTCCGTGAAACAGTTCTTAAAGTGAAGCACTTAAAGGAGTCGTTATCGACCAAGAAGGAGAGTTTGACGGCGAAGGAGAGTGCGGCGCGCAGCATGCTCAGCGTGATGCTCAACGACCAGAACGAGGCGGAGCGGCGCCAGGAGGCATCGCTTGACATCCAGGCCGCGTTGGAGAAACAAGAGGTGGAGATTAGCCAACGCCGTGAGCTGGTGATTGGCGACTTAGAGCTCGCAGAGCCGGCGGTGCTTGAGGCGTTGCGCGGGGTAAAGAACATCAAGAAGCAGCACTTGACCGAGATCCGGTCGATGTCGCATCCGCCGGAAGCGGTCAAGGTGACAATGGAATCGGTGTGCATACTCCTCGGCTACGAGGTGCTGAGCTGGCGCGACGTCCAGACGGCGATCCGGCGCGACGATTTCATTGCGAGCATTGTCAACTACGAGAATGAGAAGCAACTCACGGCAGAGATCCGCACGTACATGGAGCGGACGTACCTTTCACGTGCCGATTTTAACTTTGCGACGGTGAACCGCGCCAGTAAGGCGTGTGGGCCGTTGCTCCAGTGGATCCTCGCGAACTTGACCTATTCAGCCATCTTGGATAGGGTGGGCCCGTTGCGGGAGGAGGTGTACTTGTTGGAGGAGCATGCGCGGAAGAACAAGGCCAAGTTGCTCGCGATCGAGGAGATGATCGAGGAACTCGAAGGGCGGATTGAGCAGTACAAGGACGACTACGGCGCGCTCATCCGCGATGCAGAGAACATCAAGACCGAAATGAGCGGGATCGAGCATAAAGTTGAGCGGAGCATGCGGTTGTTGGAGTCGCTCGGCGCGGAGCGACAGCGCTGGGGCGGGAATATCAAGGAGTTTGTGCAGCAGCGGCAGTATTTGGTGGGGAACGCACTCCTAGCGTCGGCGTTCGTGGTGTACTGCGGCTATTTCGACCAAAGAGGCCGGTCTGAGATGGTAAAGGCGTGGCGTGCGCGGTTAGCGACGGCGGGCATCACGTACGAAGAGGCGGAATCGGTGGTGGTGGGCATGAGCACCAACGAGGAGGTGTTGAAGTGGCAGGAGCACGGCTTGGAGAACGACCAGTTGTACATTGAGAACATGGTGGCGATTACAAACACCGATCTGGTACCGTTCATCATTGATCCGTCGGGGGCGATTGTTGACGTGTTGATGGCGGTGTCGGGAAGAATGTCTGTGGCCAGTTTCCTCGACGACGGCTTTGTCAAACAGCTTGAGAACGCGTTGCGCTTTGGGGGCACGCTTTTGCTCCAGGATGGCGAGCACTTTGACCCGGTTGTCTCCCGGATTATCAACAAGGAGTTCCAGACGACCGGGGGCCGCACACTAGTCAACGTTGGGAAGCAATTGATCGATTGTTCGCCGGACTTTAAGCTCTATATCCACACGAAAGACCCGCGCGCACGTATCCCGTCGTTCCTCCTGAGCAGGGTCACCGTGGCCAACTTTAGCGTCACGCGGAGCAGTCTCGAAACCAAAGTGCTCAACATGACGTTGCGAAACGAACATCCGGAGATCGAGGAGAAGCGGGTTGAGCTTCTCAAGCTCCACGGAGAGTACCGGCTCCGGCTCCGCGTGCTCGAGGAGACGTTGCTTGTGTCATTGAGCGACTCCACGGGGAACATCCTAGACAACAGTCAGGTACTCGCCACGTTGGAGACGCTCAAGTCAGAGGCCACCCAGATCAATCAGAAGATGGTGGACACGGCCGATGTGATGCAGTCAGTGGATGAGACTCTCGGTCGGTATAGCACCTTGGCGGCTGCAAGCTCCGGGGTGTTTGCTTTGTTTGAGCAGTTTGCGTCTATCGATCCATTGTACCAGTTTTCGCTTCCGTACTTTGTGGGGATTTTCGAGCGGGTGCTCAGAACGTCCGGGGAGACCGGTTCGGAGCTCAGCAAGCCGATAGACCTTAACGCTGAACTTTTCCGTGAGGCATTTGCGGTGGTTTCTCTTTCCTTAAAGAGGGAGGACAGGATCACCATGGCCTTGTGTATGTTTATTCTCTCCCACTCGGTCGATGGTTATGCGTCCTTTGCGGAGATTACCGCCGCGTTGATGCGAATCATTGCTGATGGCAAGGCGACAGTGGTGGCGAGCCTCTTGCCGGTTTTGAAGGCGATGTCGATAGATGCCCGGGAAACCACGGTGGAAGGACTTTTCTCCCAATGGTCCGAGGAGCTGTTTGCTCAGTTCCTCCCCGACGACGACCTTACGGCATCGCTCAAGCCGCTCGTACGGGCGGTCATGTTGGTGAAGGCCAATCCGCGCGTGCTCATTTCAGCCTATGCTGAAGTCTGTTTGTTCTTGGATGCCGGTGCCGGGCCGTTTGACTCGAAGTATGTGCTCGATGATGTCGTGAGGCAGCACGCGCACCCGTTGAGCCCGATCATTCTCTGTACGCAAAAGGGTGTGGATCCCACGTTCAGGGTGGACCGTTTGGCCAAGAGACTCTCAGTGAAGTTGTCTATGATCTCCATGGGCTCCAACGAGGGGATCGAGATGGCTAAAAAGGAGATTGGCCTGGCGTTGAGAAACGGCCACTGGGTGTTGATTCAGAATGTGCAGATGGCCCCCGCCTGGTTGGAGTACTTGGAAAAGTACTTGGAAGGGCTCACAAAGACGGAGAACTTCAGGTTGTTCTTAACCTGTGACGTCACCTCCTCCATCCCAAACACGCTCCTCCGGTCATCGCGTGTGGTGTTGTTTGAGACCTCTCCCGGGGTCAAGAGTGCTATGACTGAATCGGTCAAGCTCATCTCCCAGGAGCGGCTCGCCAGCGGGCCGGTGGAGAAGAGCCGGTTGTACTTTTTGCTTGCGTGGTTCCACTCGTTGGTGCAGGAGCGGGTGCGTCTAGCCCCGGTGGGGTTTTCCAAGACCTACGACTTTAATGATACCGATTTCGAGACCGCCATGGTGTTTATCGACAACTGGATGCGGTTTGTGTCGAAGGGGAGGGATAACGTCGCCCCAGAGCTGATTCCGTGGGAGGGAATTCAGTATTTGGTTGCCAGCATTGCGTACGGTGGCAAGGTTGACCGTTCCGAGGATCTCGATATTCTTCAGGGTTTGGCTAGAGATATTTTTACCCGTAGTTCGTTCGATGCGAATTTCACTCTTGTGGAGGGTTTGGCCCCTCCAGAGGGCAAGACGATTGATAGCTATGTTGACTGGATCAAGGCGTTGCCTCTGCACAACTCACCGACGTGGATCGGGTTGGAAGAGAACGTTGAAGACGTGTTGCAAGCGCTTACTGGGCGACGTATCGCTGGTAAAGTGGTGGAGTTGTCTATATGATTGTTCTGGTTACCATATTTTATATTTATGTAATGTGATATTAGTATTCATACATGTAGAGATATATTGATTAATATTTAATATGATATTATGTATGGTATTAGTATCTATTAATTCGTATCTATGATATTAGTATCTATATGTAAAGATATATTATTTTTTTAAGTGGAAATATATTATTTTTTTAAGTGGAAATATATTATTTTTTTAGATGAAAATATTTATGCATATTTGTTTGCTTAATTTTCGTACTTTTAATTTTAAAGTTTAACGTCACGATCATGCAAAGTCTCAAATTTCCAACAAAAATTGGACTAGCTAAAAAAAACTGATCTTTAGATCAAGATAGCTAACGCTAGGCGTCAACCTCCAAATATCATATCCTTTGATGGTATATGCTAGCACCTCCCTCCTGATGCGTGGTTAGGAGGGCCCCTAAGTATCGATCACGTGACCTACTATTGGTTGAAAAATTATGGGCCCAGAATACATAATACCGATGAGCAAATTTCCAAGATAAGCCCTGTTTCCATTGCATTCCACCCTCAGTTCCCGATGTGGTCGAGTATTCAGCCCATACGCCATATCACGAACAAAACTCCACCCCGACTAGCTGTTCTCTTATCACGGAGACTCTTCCAGAAGGCTCCTGAGTGCAAAGCCATTGCCAGAGCGGAGACGGCCCCAACCTTCAGCATAGACTTGCCATTTCCGTCACATAGCACATCCATAAAGGCAGTCAAAACAAAAGTACCGGGTTATTCTGAATGCCCGGCGCTAGGTGAGACGTGCGTGGACTTGGCACTGCGGGGCCAGTTCCGCGAGCTCGTACTTGAGCTCACCTTCAATCTCCAAAGGCACCAATGTCTCCAGATCCGCCACCTTGTACATATTCTCAGCCAGCTAAACGAACTGGAAAACTTCGCAGCCGTTGCGAAACTCTATAGCATACACGTCCCACTCTTCCGACTCCACGCACCGCCACAGGCGGTCAAGGAGCAGTTCATGTTCGCCTTCTACCAGTTGGGCGCCTTGCCCCAGTTTGAAGTGGTCTTCCAGAGCTACTTGGCACACAAACCTATTAGCCCGCACTTTCTTGTGGACGCGCTCCTTCTCTACGTCAAAAGCGGAGATGTGAAGCTCGCCAACGAACTCCTCCATCAGTTCTTGACCCAGGACTACCCCGCGCTCCCCGGTGACACTCTCCATTTGTACTTGCGGAGCCTCATGAAAGCAAACTGCACGCTCAGCTCCGTGCAAGACGCCTTTGCGATTGCCCATGATAGCTTGCAGCTCAACGACGAGACGTATGCTATGATGCTCGAGGCATACGTTCGGCTTGGTTCTCTGGAAGAAGCCACGCTCTACCGCGAATACCTTGCAAACAAAGGCTTGAACCGGTTGCTCCCCGTGCGAATGCAGGAGATTATCGAGCAGTTCATTGCTGAAAAACGAGACAGTGCACTGTTGGCGGTCCTAAACCGCCGGTATTTGGCTCTTATCGAGGAGGTACGCTGTCTCGTGCCCAGTAAAACGAACTTTGACATCCACCGGTTCCTTAACCAGGCATACCTAAAGCTCTTGCGGGTAAACGGTGCCAAAAACAACTTTGAGGATGTTGAGGCCGTCTTAGCAGTCGTACAAAATGACCCCCTCTTCGATAGCGACCAGCTCCACTCCACCGTCGCACAGTGCTTCGCCAAGGTCGGCGACGCCGAATCCATCCACATCTACATGGACCGGTTGCGTTCGATAGGCCACGTGCTCAGACCGGAGTACGTGGTGTTGATGTACAAAGCGTTGTTGAACCGCTACCCGTACCTCGGGCGCCAGTTCTCTCGCGACTTGATGGATCGTTTGCATGAGCTTCCCACGAAGCTCCAGGTGGCTGTGAGTCGCAACTACCGGTTGGCCTTAAACCGCAGAGGCTACTACCTCAAAAGCGGGAACGACCGGCTCATTCGGGAAATCTGTTTGGCTGATCCCACGGACCCGAGCGCCAAATTCCGCGTCACAAACCCCGATGAACAGGTGGTGCAGTCGCTTCGAGCCATGGTGCGCAGCGGGGTTAAGCCCCAGTTCCACCACCTCTGGCAGATCTTGCGACACTTTCTTGGTCGCAAAAGCTTTGACAGCGCGTTGGCCGTCTCCCAGATGATGCTGGAGTGCCACTACCGCACGCCTATCAAGGTAGATCTTGCGTGGTTGAAGTACAACGTATCGCAGCCGAAGGAGCGGGCGTCCGCGGGGAAACGCGTTTGGGAGTTTGTCCAGGTGAACAGACGGCGCTTAAACGCGCAAAACGTCTTGGAGTTGGGTGTCTTGTGCACAGCCGTGAGGAACTACGAGCTCTCCGTGCAGTTGGTCATGGGTCTCGACGATGAGTTGTCGTCAGATGAAACCATGCTCAAGTTCTTGGTGTTGTTCAAGGCCTACATGTACCAGCAGAACTTTCAGGGTCTCGGCGAGCTAATTGCGGAGTTCCGGGGCAGAGACGTGGTGTACAAGCCGTTTTTTAACGACGAGTTGAAGAAGTATGTAAAGTACTTGAAAACCATGAAGGTGGAGCATGCGTCGGTTGAAGAGTTGATTGGGCTCGTGAAGGAGGTTCAGGTGGAGTTATTCAACGAGCGCTTTAAAGCGCACAAGCAGGCCAAAGAGATGCTTGATCTTATTGTCAAGTGGGCCAGACCGCAAGCCTAGATTCCAGGATATCTGTATATATTCCCTGGTAGGCAGGCGTCGATGGGGGATATATGGGAGAGTTTGGCTATGAGAGGTAGAGACCAACCCATAAATATTCTGAAAGGAGATTTGTGGATGGAGATTTGTGGATGGAGTTTAACATAGCATGAATGGGGTACTCTAATTTAGTAGTGAATAATATTTTCACCAAGTGTCGCCATATCTACCCATGGTCTAAACTTGTATTCAATTCTCGATCACTCTGCTTATGATCTCACGCTCTGATTTTTAAATCCACCTATTTCACGAAGCCCAAACTTCTGAGATTCATAATCAAAGATAACGACATCTAATACTGGTTATCAATTCGTACTTTATTTTTTAGAGAATACCAGCCAGCACCTCTACATATATCTAGACCAACTCGGTAATCAACTCCGAGCGGCTGACCTCATATCCTGCATATAACTGATTCATATATAATTTTTGACATTTTGCTTACCCCAGAGCCACTTCAATACCCCGACTCTTCTCTACCCCTCGATTATCTGAGAACATGTCTAGTTTATCGGTTGAAGACGTGGTTCTCAATGCAGTAAGTACTTCTCATAATCGCTCAAAAACGCATACTAACCTTCAGGAACCAAACTTGACTACTGCGCTATTAAAAAGCGTCTACGCCTCCACGGTGTGTATCATCTGCCAGGAAATGATGCACATTCCGTTCTCCACCACCTGTGGACACACCTGCTGCTACGAGTGTTTAAACGAATGGTTGACCCGGCAGCCCCAGTGCCCCCATTGCCGCACCCCCATCTTGAAAGAGCCGGTGTTGAACCGATCCATCCAAAGCGTGGTTGAAAGCTTCGTGGAGACCGCTAAAATCATCAATACTAATATTACGGAGCAGATTGAAGCCGAAATCGAAGCGGTGAAGAAGGTCTACGAGCATGACCGCGTCAAAAAGATTCTTTTCAAAGAGATATTCTCCAACGCCACGACGTGTGTGATTGACCGCTCGGACGGCGTTCCGCGATGCGGCAGCTGCCACTGGGAGGCCCACGGGACACAATGCTTGAACTGTGGCGTGCGGTTCACCATTGCCCCCGATGAGGAAGACTACTACGACGGCGAGGAAGCGTATGATGAGGACCACTTAGAGGGTTCCAGTAGCGACCACCCGCTTCCCGGAAGCAGCAACTTTATGGACGCGATCCAACGCCACATGCTGCGGAGGTACCGTGATAACGACGAAGACGACGAATCTGGGGCCAGTTTTATTGATGACCGATCGGACTTGTCTGAGGTCGACAGTGACCATGTACTAGATAGCGAGGACGAAGTGGGTGAATCGTTGAACGAGATCCGGACGGGCATTCTGGAAATGGAGGAATCTACCCAAAATTTCCGCGACTGGTTGAGCACAAACGATAGTCCGAGAGTCCCCCGCGCGATTATCGAGGACAGTGACTCTGAAGAAAGCGAAGATGATATCAATGCCTCGCTCAGAAGGAGTTTGGGTGGTCCGAGAAAGAGAGTGTGTCTAGCGTCGGAGGATGAGGAACATATGGATAGTGAAGATAACGAGTCTGACAGAAGACCAGGCAGAAGGAGACCATTACACCTCGTTTCTGATGAGGAAGACGAGGAGAATGGTAGTGACCTAGGTGAGGATGAGGAGAACGTGAATACATTTGCTGAGCTAAGCGCAGAGGAGGATGTTGAGCGCTCTTCGGATGGGGAACTTTCGGATGAAAGGTGGTGAGCAACGCTGCTCAATCAGTGGGCTATATTTTGCTGTGAGCTGCCGTTAACAATTTATTCGGATATGCTCAGATGAATGTATTATGAAGATTTGCTCTAATGACGAAATTTACTCCAGATTATCATAAATATGGTAAAGCCTTTTATCCATCTGTAAGATAGCCAGGTCGGAAATTGAAATCCAAAGATAATTAATCTTATTTATTTCCATTAATCTCCATCCGTTTTCATTCATTCTCAACTTGGTGCCGCTTTAAGTTGACCTCTCGTGGGTAACGCATGTCAACGTATAATAGCAAAGGTCGTGCACCTACGAAGCATAACTGTCGCACCGTTTGTGTGCATATAGCCGGCCTGTACACTAAACTCACCTCTTTTTTTTCATTCTCAGTGATTGGCTTACCGAGCGCCAGACATACAACTAGATATAAGACTGGAACGCACGCTATACACTTCCGTTAAGCTCTTCACACACACAATTAATTTCATGTAAGTTCGCCTGCTATATCAGCTGTTATAACAAAAACAGCACGATACATCGGTGCTCACAGTCAAAGCGATATACTAACATACTCTCTAGAATGGCTCCAGATCCACAAAACATCATCAGATTGCAAAAGCTCTACCAGAACTCTCCAAAGCCAATGTGGTTGAAGCACCCAAGATCTAAGTTCTACATTTACCCATACGTCGCCATGTTCGCCGTCGGTGTCACCGTTCCTTTCTACTACTACGGTAGAGCCGTCTTGGGTATTAAGGCCGACAAATAGATTTAACGATACACCAACATTACCGCTTTGAAACCTACAGACAGCTTTTAGCTGCTGGTTCGGGTTTGTTGGGGGGAGCGGCCACTTCGTCTTTTCTACAGCGAATACCCGTATTCGCATACTTCCCCAACTTCCACCAATCTCCGACCCCAGAGTTGTCTCTTACGTTTTAAAGCGTGCCTACGTCTATCTTATTTATTTCTTTCCCAATCCGTTATACCAGATTTGCTATCGGTCCATAAATTAGTGAGTTGTTGAAATGTATGCTTCAACCTCGATTCCTCTATCTTATCCCACCGAATCACATTATTCTTTCTGAAATGTCGACCAGACTGTCCTTAAAGTAGATAAGTAAACCGTGTTTAGAGTGGATTGAGTTTCCCCGCTGTCTTCAAAGTTGCCATCTGTTTTGAATGACTTAGACAATTTCTGGTGCCTGGAAAATCAAAAAAGTAAATACGGGCCGAGCAGGGAATTGAACCCTGGGCCACTCACACCCAAAGCGAGTATCATACCACTAGACCACACGGCCGTACTATAAGAATGAGAGAACCAATTGTTATATCCACCGTTCTCTAACCTGAATTTCAAAGCGACTATTGGCATAGACATGGATCAGAGTCAATACCAGCAACATATACTAATTTTACCCAACTAGCTATAAAAAATCACATTAATTCATATCCGTAAGTCTGAAAATAAACATTAGTGCTAGCGGAATGGACTACCATTCTCCTGATATTCATGATACGGGAGACGCTTCGCCTTGGCATTGCTGGCTGAGTTGAGCCTCGTTTCATAACCCCCTCGTTCCGAATCTCCTCCAGTGTTGGACGCATAGGAATACCCACTGGACAGAGGGAAAAGGTGCCTCTGTCGTTCACTGTTACTCTCCATAGATACATCCTCAGGGAAAAACTGTCCACTCTCCCCGTACCTGGGCTCGGCAAAAGGGCGGCCTTGTTCCCGTTGAAGGCTTGAAGAATATTTATACATATCCGAGCGTTGATCCGTAAACACCGGCTCAGGGGTCAACACTTTCGGCATCCCAGCAAAGTTATCGTCGAACGCTTCCTCCAAGAGGGGGGAACGCTGCTCCAAGTACCGGTCGCTGGAATGAACACTGAGATCGGTGTTTGTGCGGGTGGGGGCAGGCGGCTCGAAGTACGGCTCGGACCTGTGAATACCGTTGATTTCCGCCTCCACGTCATCAAACGGCGAGCGTAAAGACTCGCGGAGGCTGGGATCGGTGCGCTTCCTGGGGGGGAGGATTTGCAACGGAATATCCGTATGGCTCAATCCAATAGGCTTCTGAGAGTCAGCAAGGGAGAGCGGTACCTGTCGCCGAGGTACGTACCGCAGAGCTGCTCCACTATCCAAGACCGAATACGGCTCTATTGGCCCCACGGATTTTTCAATATCATCTGTCGGTAAACTGAAGGCCAAATTTTCGGTGGAGCCAACCAGCCGGTCTTTGCTGCTCCTAGAAGCGTACATCGGTGGTCTTCTGGAAGATTTGGACAGACTATCGCTCATGCTAACATACGGAAACGAGTTCTTGTGCGAGGTATAGGGTGGAACACCATATGTGCTGGAAAAGAGATCGCAGGTGTACGCATCTTTGGTATTTATCGTCGTGAAGGATGTTTCACTGAATGCTTGTGGAAGAGAGACGGTGGCTTCGGGCTTTGTGATATCCGATACGGAACTGCGCAGTTCATTGTAGAATCTCTGTGTCAGGTATTTGTCATACTTGGCGACCAATCTCTCGACCTTTTCATTGACAATATCGACGTAGTACGCGTGGAATCCCGCGTAGCCGCGCTTCTCGATCATGCAGCAAATGGGGATGGCGAGCACGATTGCAAGTACCAACTTGAGGAAGAAAAAGAGCCAAATGGTGACGGAGAGCGTCATAAACGAAAGCACCGCGGCCTCCACCGTGTTATCGACATTGGCAATCAGTTTGATCGCGGTAATGAGATTGTGGCTCTCGTTCTCGTTATATAACGTTGAGTAGATCAGGAGCCCGTTGATCACTTGTCTGGGGCCGTCGCAGACCACAAGCGGAATCATCCCGTTGACCTCAAAGAAGATGTAGAATACGCACCAGTCAAAGAAGTTGTCAGTGGCAATGCCGTTGAAAAGGCAGAAACACGAAAAATTCTTTACACTGTACCAGTTCCGGGCCATAGGGTCAATGTAGTTCAGCGACACAACACGCGTGCGGTATGTCCGGATCGCCATGGCCGTGTTGAAGCAAAGAATCGAGAGCGACGCGAGGATACACGCCGCGAAGATCCACCGCGAGATGCGGTATGGGATTATGGGAGCCACATTCAGCGCCCAGCGGTTGAACACCAAGAGGTTGACACACGTGTAGCAATCGGAGGCCAAAAGTGCTATAGAGAGGAAGATGACGATCCACATCCACAAGTAGTCGCGATTGGTCGCCGCGCGGAAGTTCCGAAACAGATCAATGTCGACCGAGTCAAACCGGATGTCCTTGTTCGTCCCTTCCGCCGCTGACTTTCGTCCTATAAACCACCACATGTTATTGTAGGTTGCAAAGGGGTGTAAGGGGGTGGTAGAATAGGGGGCTGCTCAGGGGTTTGCGGAAATAGCACTATGTGAACAGAGATCAAGGTCGGAGACTGGCGTGTAACTTGTACGTTTTGGGACCGTTCAATGCGGAGTATCGACTGAGCTTGGGGGCTTGGCTGAATGCAATAGTACGGATGCTAAGGAGTGGTAAGTGGTCACAATAGATGAAGCTCCTGGTCAGGCTCGAGATGCAAATCGAGTCCTTCCTGATGATTGGGGCTTGGTCTTCAAACCGACGCGCCGCACACGCAAAGGGATGTTCAAACAGGCTTTTGGATATAGCAGGGCATATGCATGGCTAGACAAAAGAGGTATCTTGATGGGATTATTACTTATTGCGGTAATTAAATATACAGGCCAAGCAGGTATCAACCAACGGACACGGTGTAGCCGCACGAAATGCGTCGAGCCGCAGCGGTACACAGCCTTCATGGAAGTTGAGGCAGCGATGAAACAGGGGGTTCTAGTCTGAGCTATCGTTGAAATAAATTGCAAGGTGAGGGTGTCATTGCGTGAGAATAGTCCCAGATGGTATGCAATGTAAAGTAGCCTTGTAATGGCAGCTACGTTGTGATAGGATTACCGGGGAGTCGAAATACGCTCCATCACTGAGAGATAAACCCACCGAAAACTGTCGTCCAAGGAGTGATAAAAAAAACTCGGCTAAAACTAAATTACGAGAGGCATCAAATAAAATAATATTGCTAAAAAAAAAAGGTGAACGTTAAAAAAAGAAGAGCGACTACTCAGGATCGAACTAAGGACCAACAGATTTGCAATCTGCTGCGCTACCACTGCGCCATAGCCGCAATTCTGAAAAATGATGAAATACAATGCGCCATATTCGACTGGTTATCTCATTACTACGTTTCTACCGTGATCAACATTATATAATGGAACATATTCAAAAGTTCGATCCCGCCACAGCATCCAATTATAGGCCAAGGCAACATGGTATTTTCCATATAAATTCATAGCACTCGCATCTACCGGTGTATTACTGCCAGAAGACATACATATCCCGTGTGTATTAGCAACCCCATCTACACTTATCCATATTTCCACCTTTTGGAATACTCTAATCCTGCCGATTTTCTTTTGTCTCAATCCGTAGGCCATATCCTCTACTAAAAGGGGTCCGTCCCGCCGTGCATGTTTTTCGGCCGAGGTCCAGCCTGCGTAGCCGCGGGGAGCGTTTTGTAATGTGAAATTTTTAGCCCGATTTGACACTAAGCAAAACGCTCCACTGCCGCTTTCGGCTCTGACATTGCATATTGTTTAACCAAAACATTATCCGTCAAGTATTTCACCCATCTCGAGTAAAATACCCCACCTATTCAAAGTCGACTATTTCCAGTCTGATATTAGCTCAAGACCATCCCCCGCACTTGCTACTCAAGCAAGATCACTATCCTTTGAGCTCGCCTTTCAATGGAGAAACCTGCAACCAGTCTGCAGTCACTGGAGAAGCGCAAGACGCTGTCGCCGCCCAGTCCCAGGACCAAGAAGCAAAGAGGCAGCGGTAATACACGCGCGTCGCGCGCTTGTAGCGCCTGTCGAAAGCAAAAAACGCGTTGTTTCACATCGCCAAACCACCCGGGCTGCTTGCGCTGCGTGTCGTTGGGCGCGGCGTGTAGCTTCGATACGGAGATGCCCGACGATGAGGAACGAGTGTCGGTTACGCGCGACACGCTCTTCAGTGCAAATAGCGTTAGCTCGGGATATAGCAACATGCGAGCGTTGCCACTCACGTTGTCATCTTCGCGCGCCCGCTCGACGCTGGACTCGCGCGCACATTCGCCGCTGGTGCTGGCCGTCGCCGCTGGACTCGGCTCTGCCTCAGACACTACAACCATCCTTAAGGGTATACAGGAGATTCTTGCAATCTTGCGTCCCCGCGAACCTTCCGTACCTCCCCAACCGCTTCCCGACCGCCCAAAACACCGCTCATCCATGTTGGAGATTCTAAACTCGCACAACTACCTGTACCCCGGGGTTACAACCCCCATCTCATCGGCGGTGCAGCCAGAGGTGATTCTACCGCACTTTGATACCCCCTCGGAAGCCTTCCTTATCTCGCCGTTCAACTCCATCGGAACCATCAGCTCGCCCAACCACCTTCCCCTTCCCCTCCAGCAGCTTCTTCAGCCAAAGATTGACTTATCGTACCAGGATATCATCACCCTTGGCATTATAACCCAAGACCAGGCGATCCAGCTCCTTCAGATCTTTCGCGACCGCTACGGCCGCTGGGTGTCGTTCCCGGACAAGATTCCCACCGCGCTCTTGGTCGATAAGTTCCGCTTCAACTCGTCGATTCTTCTCACGACCTGCTGCTGTCTTGCACTCCGCTACAGCGACCCCTTCTTCAAGAACCAGGTGTACCACTTGCTCCTTCACAAGTTGCAAGTCGACCTCAACAACGCGCTCACACAGTTGCCGCAGCCGTTAGAGTTCATGCAGGCGCTTGTGATTCTCCTGATCTACGGGCTAAGTCTCTCGTCTGAGACGTTTGTTATCGACGCGTGGTTCCTCTCCGGCATCGCACTCCAGCACTTTGTCACCAACGACACCTTGGGCACGTTGCTCAGTGAGAGCACGCTCCACGGCCCGCGCGACCCGCTCTATGCCGTAGACCGCGCCTTTACCGAGCTCACGGTGTACCGTGTCTGGAACCACTTGTCGTTGGTGCACCTTGTGAACTGTAACTTCTCTGGGCGAGCGTGCATTATCGATGAGGCAAGGCTTACGGGCTTGATGACGTCGTTGTCGGCGTTTAAGAACGTGAACAACTTTGACGGAAGAATGGTGGCAGAGATTTCGCTACAGTACATTATCTACTGTTTTATCAAGAGGATGGAGGAAGCCCAGGACCGGGAAAATTTACCAGAGACACATGATCAAGCCCAGGAAAACTCCCGGGGAAATAGCCCGGCTCAGAACTTGCCGCTCTCCCCCCTCGCCCACACCAAGGAAGAACTCCGCACCTGGCAAGAAAGGTGGAAGAAGCTCCTCGAACAGCCTGCATCTCAGTTTGTCGTTCTTGGCTACCACTACGGATATCTCATGGTCCTTTACAACTGGAACTTCATGAAGCTCTCCACTGCCGCGCGCACTAGAGCATCCAAACCCCTTGCCACTACATTGGCACACACAGACTCCACCACGCTCCGCCTGATGCTCTACCACGCGCGTAAGGTTGTGCGGGAGATTTTGAGTGTCGCGAACGACTCCTACTTCGCCTTCTTGTCCGACCAGATCCACTTTTGTACATTGTTCAGCGCCATTATGTTGATTAACATCTTGCGCTTGGTCGGTAGTGCGCGCACAGGCGACATTGATCTGATCTCGCTCAGTAGCGGCGAGCTAGCCGGGTACTTGTCCGAGATTTCCGACTTGGCGAAGCGCTTCCGCCGCGTTGCTACCGGTGAGAGCGACGTCGTAATGAAGTACGCGTTGACCATCGAGGAGGAAATGCGAGGTGTGTTCCCCGAAGAGCAAATTCGGGGTGCGTATCCCGTGGCCAGGAAGTGAAATTTGATGTTGACATGAAATAGATATGGACAATACAATATATTTGGTCATAGGTTGCTAGTTTACCCCAGATATCCTTTATCGTCCACCCTCTGTTATGGATTACATTTGAACTAGGTAAACGATGAGCGTTGGCTAACTTTCAGATTGAAGCTTAATGTAATAGAAAATTTAAAGTCTATAATTGGATGCGGGAATGGGCAAATTCAAGACTGGAATTTAGCTCCAGGTAGCTATCTGATAGCTACTGGAGTTTGAATAGGAGGGATGTTGTTTCCTGTCTGGGTATAAATATAGTTTACTATGGATCTGACGTCCGCTTCCCATACTTTCATTACCACGTTTATGAACCTACTCTATACCCAGGATACCATCGCCAATGCCCCCCCCCCCTACAAATCTATTTCCCGAAGCCTTGCTTCTATTGATCTTTGATTGATTGAAAATTAAATCCCCTGAATTCTTGGCTCCCATGTGCCATTCATTTTTTTTTTAATCCAGATCGAGAACGTCGGGAAAGGAGTTTTTTGGGGCACTTCCCACATCCATATTCGGCAACAACCCCTTCACACGCCACCTCCAGCGCAACCTCTTCTTGGTGGCGTCCCAGAGCTCTCCGCCTGAACCCTTTCTACCATCACTCATAAGTTCGAGGTTTTGTAGTTTGGTGACAAGCTCGTCAGAGAAGCCCTGGCCCTCCATTGCTATGGCTCTGGGTTTTGGCGATCCAAAAGGCGAACGGTGGTTGAGGAATGAGGGTAAGCACGCCTTTTTCCAGGGTGAAGCCGGGGTGTGTGCTTTTTTCCAAGGCGAAAGCAGAAGTTTCTTCCGGGGCAGCGTTCGTGACTGTTCTGCGAACATGGTGTTGTAGTCCTGATCCACCTCCTGCTGGAAGAGTCGCTTGGCTGGAGGGACATAGGTTGAGGCAATGCGGCCTTGTTGGCGCTGACGCTTCCGCAACTCCTCAACCACTTGCAATTGAAAGTCAAAGTTGGACTCCTCTGGTGGTGCCTGTTTCTGCAACAATTCTTCGTATTCATCGGTGCAATCCCCGCAGATGAAGTTTTCGTAATTGTTAGCGGGCAACATTGCAGATCCATCGCTTTTGTCAGCTTCCGTCAGGGATAAAAGGGACGAGAGTTCGTACAATGGCTTTTCGCAGATATCACAGTGCTTCAAGAACTCTGTACCGGGAATTTTACCGAAAATTGATTCCAAGTTCTCACCCCGAGGCCTTTTAGATGGGGTGGAGAAATAGTCGTCGTTGGTGGCAGGCATGGTCAGCCATCGGGTCGTGGCGACCGTGGGAGTAGCGGCCGTGGGGGTCACGGGCCGCGAGATAGTTCGTGTGTACGAGAATCGGCGGTTTGGCGGGAGAAGCTCTAACTTGTCGTTGAAAGGCTCCACAAGAGTGTTGGAGTTGGACAAGATGGTGGAGTCGGAGCAGGATCGGGAGGTGGACTCAGATAGATAGCTGGAACTATGATTACCACCGAAAGTAGAAGATATATAGCCGACCTTGGTATCGCAAGGCATGTAGCTGGAGCTAGAGAAAGAAAAGCTTGGTTCAGAGTCAAAAGTGGAAGAACAGCATGGCTTAGAATCAATAGCAGAAGAGCGGCTCGGGTTGGCATCGGAAGCGGAACACATTGTCGATGTAACCGGGCTATCATTGGAATCTGCACGGCTCGCAGAACCAGTACTTGAACTGATACACGTGGGACCAGAACCAGCGCCCGAACCGGAGGTTGTCGGAAGGAGGGAAAGTGCGCCGGAGTTTGGTTTGTCCACCGAGTTGAACCCTGAAGCAAAACACGAGTCGCAACCCAATCCTATCTCACCAGTTTCCATTACTCCCTCAGGCACACATCGCGACCGTTGTGAGGTCATTTGCAGAAGCGATCGCTTGACATTCGCTATGGATTGCTTGCGCTTGATGGTCTTGACAACATCAGAGTCCTCGATGTAATCTTCAACGAGACATAACTGGTCGTGTCGATCCTGGAGCGTATGGCAGAAGCTATCGTTCACCTCGGGGTCTTTGGGAGAAGCTAAGGTCGAGGGAGAGGACGGGGGCGGAGGCAAAGGAAGCGATGTGAGCGTATGATAGTCGATTAGATCCAACTTGGACGTCTTGTGAGAGATGATTTTTCGACCGCAGCTCTTGGGGTTCTTTTTGTTGGCAGTAAAGTAGTCGTAACTCTTCTGCTTAATTGTCGCCTGCGACAGAAGCGTGGAGAGGCTATAGAGGTCTTCCACGGTAGTACTGGCCTCCAAGGAGACAATATCGGCAGATATCATGAAGAGAAATGGTTGTGTAAAGTATTAATGCTCTGAATGGTAAGGTAATGGGTGGAGATGCTGAGTATGGTAGAGTTTATTGTTTCTAAACCAAGTAATGCTTCTGAGATGGGATACTAGTGGTCTCGGAAGAGCGTCAAAGGTTTGGACCAGATTCGAAGGGCCAAAGTGGTAGCGGTTACAGGCTAAATCTATCCTGCAACGGCTAAATCGTAATAACAATCTTTTGGATGCAAAATTATTCTTTTGGATGCGAAACGGATAGTTTCAGTAGCGGATGCTCCGGGCGGCGGCAAATTCCAGTTTGACCAGCTTTCGAACTTTCTCACGGTTGTGCAGAGTCTAAAACGAAAGGTTGGATCAGATCCTAGTAAGGTTGGGCGTAACAAATTATTCCAAACGGTAGGCGTTTTTGGTGTGATATTCCATACGGTTAACGATACAGCTCAGTGTGAATTAATCTGCCAACAAATCGGATCAGCTTGTTGGACGGTACCTGAACGGTAACTATGCATGCCATAAATCCTGTACCCATGCTACAGGTGCAGGCTATTTTGGTTTTGCTGCTTTGAAGATGAAACTCTAATGGTGTTTTGGCTGTCCGGATCGGGAGATTGTCCAGGAACGGGCTTTCGCGAATACACCATATCTATTGACGAGATTTAACTTTGAGGGTGGAGTCAGATCCATTGTTGAGAAAGTACAATATGTTCTATTCCAAGGCATATCACATAGTTTGTGCCAGAGATATCCCGGGGTTAAAACTACAGTTCGATATGAAATAGCCCATTTCTACTGTGGTGGCTAAATTCCCGCGAAAGGTCCCTTACACTGAGTGCGCCGAGCGTGTTTTAACCATGCAGCGTTGCTGTGGCCGGGGTGCGCCCCAGAAAAAAGAAACCTGTCAAACCGCCAAAACGGTATTGTTAGTTGTCAACATCACGTTACGCCTAATCAAGAGAGAAGAGAGGAAAAGAAACGGGAAGAGAAATAGGCTATAATAAGAAAGTAGAAAAGTTTTGCAAGTCAAGATTAGAGTGAGAGAAAAGAGGCTGCGAGTTGGCGGATTTAGGTATGTCACCATAGCTACAACTGAGAAATAGGACCACAGGGTACAAACCAGTGCGGTAACTCCCTCTCGTCAATAACCCCAGTAATTATACTTAAGTCTAGACCCCTGTCTTCCTCCAGACAGAAGTAATGTTAAATACTTTGGTGATGCCATACATTGGACGGCTCCCCCACTACCAGGCGCGAAAATTTAAGTCTTGACACGTAAACACGTAAAGCACGTGCCTCTTCTCGTGACAGACTCAGGCAAAGAAAGTTTCGGAAACATGTGTGCCCCACAATTATGTTCCATAATAGCCCTACGTCTATCACAATAAAGCTATGCTGGATTGTTTTTATAAATTACCGCCCTCAATATTGTTTTATGGTAAACAGACACACGACTACCGCATGTGCGGAATAAGCGCTGGCCCATCCTTTGGTAGGGCCTGATGGGTCGCACCAATGACGTCACTAACTGAAAGATTAGAAGAAAGCGTTTTTATTTGAGTAATGACGCAAAATATCCATGTGATGAAAAAAGCACAAGAGGCTGTATTTTCAAGTTAGTAGCTCAAAACAGTAGAAGGACGGGGACTCAGAACTCTGGGCATATGTCAGGGAAAGAGGTAATGAAACACGGGCGCTTCATACAACAAATGAAGAGGTAGAAAACCACAATTCCAACGGTAGTTTAATAAGTATAGACAGTTACACCGACTCATACAAGCAATACCAGAAAGTATTGGGGAAAAAAATATACCAGTCAAGACCTAATATATACCAGCTGTATAAGATTGGGAATAGACAGTAACCACTCGCTGAAAGCTTAAACCCCAACCCGAGAATCAGCCCGTATGCATCCTGCGTTCGGAAAAATCCAGTCAACTCCTGAAACGACCCGGAATGGGTCCGCCACCCTCATTCGTTATCTACATCCATAGCCTTTTTCATACATTCATATCTAAGCATACCCTTTTAACAATAGAACCTTTTTCACCATGTCCACTGCTTATGTCTCTACAGTCGTTGGTGCCTTGGCATGCCAGCGTGACTCATATTTGCGCACCTTGACCACGAAGGTCGTCGGGTGCCAGGAGCTCTTACCGGAAAAGAAGAGCAAGAAGGCGTCTGAACCGGTGACAAAGTCCTATGAAGTTGAACTTGAAGACACCGTTTTGTTCCCTGAAGGCGGCGGCCAGCCATCGGACACTGGTTCCATTAACGGCTCCATCCCCGTCACCTATGTTAAGCGTGATGGGCTCATCGCCAAACACATCACCACGGAACCGCTTCAGGTCGGGTCAGAAGTTTCCTTAACGCTCGACTGGGACAAGAGGTGGGACCACATGCAGCAGCACACTGGACAGCATCTTCTTTCTGCCGTTTTAGACCGCTACGACTTGCCAACGTTGAGTTGGTCCATGGGGGAAATGCTCAACTACATCGAGCTTCCAAGAGCTATGTCAGCGGAGGAAGTGGCCAAAGTCAGCAAAGAGGTCAACGGTGAGATTAAAAAAGCGACAGCCATCGCAGTGGAAGTGCCAAAGGACAAGGACGAGGTGAACCAGGAGAAGATGCCACTGGACTACGATGTTAACAAGGGCGTTTTGCGCATTGTCACCATTGGTAAGCTCGACTCCAATCCGTGCTGCGGGACCCACCTTGCGCTGACGGCGGAAATCGGCGCCATTGCGCTCTTGAATCAGCAATCCGTGAGAGGCACCAACTCCCGTTTATTCTTCCTCACGGGCGATAGGGTTGTGACTTATGCTACTATGGCGCACAGCGTGTTGAAGACGTTGAACGCAAACTTGTCATGTCAGACAGATGGTATCTGTGACAAGGTTGCGCAGTTACAGATGTCCTACAAGAAGGCAATTACCAAGGAAACCAACTTGATGAAGGAGTTGGCCACGTACGAGCTGAGGGACTTTGTTGCCAAGTTCAAGGGTGGGGCTTGTTTTGCTTACGTCTACAAGAGCGACCTTGGGCTTGACTTTGCCCATAATGTCACTCGCGAAGTCGGAGTGTACTTTGCGGAGGAGAAGGTCACTGACAAGACTGTTGTGGTTTTGACCGGAGAGGGCAAAGATGGCGGTGCGTGCATCGTGATTGGCGAAAAGACGGACGAGATCGTGAGTGAGTTGAAGAAGAGGTTGTCAAATTTGAAAGGCGGTGGCAAGGGCAAGTTCCAAGGCAAGATCTCCGCGTATGAGAAGGGTCAGTTGGAGTCTGTGAAACTCTACCTCGACAGTTTATAGGGGTTTATGCTGTATCCTTTTATGGGTTGCTTATTATATATGTACCGTCGGATTTAATAGCTCTGGCTGCCTAATATATGTGTTATTTATTGATTTATTGACATTCTTGATGTTTTTTTTTGTCCATATCCTAAGGGCGTAGGTGTATTGGTGTTTCCATGTGAGCTCCAGCGCCAGCTTTCCGATCTTAGATTAGACACCAAAACTGTGTCCACAGCCTCTCCCTGTTCCCTAGGTGACATGTCTCAGACCCGATTATAAGCTTGCTTCATGTTTCCCGGGCTCCATCTTCACTTTTTAGAGGGGCGGATCCGAAATAAAAATTTCAATGCCGGTGACATTAGCTTAGTCTTTGGTTTATGAGACCTAGTAAGGAAGCATATATGGATGAAATACAGAAATAATCTTTGCTTATACTTCTTGGTGCTTATTAAAACAGCCAGATGATAAATATGCAGCCTAAACTGGAGGTCCTAACTGACTAAAACGTCACACCATGATTGTCTTCGAAAAAACAATCAAACACGGGCCCATATATGAGACCACAATCTACATACAAGACATCATGGATCTAGCACCCTTAACTATATACTAAACTTCACTTATAGTAACTTCTTATCTCGTTTATTAGCTCACCCCAACCAAACCCTTCATCGCCAGGTCCGATCTGAGGAGTGATCTACAGAGCTCGCTTGGAAACGCTTACTCCTTCTTAGCATCTCTCTTTGCCTTCTTCAACGCTCTCGCACGAATCGACTTGTGCATGTTCAAGTTCAACGTGTTGGCAATCTTTGAGTACACCCCAACGGTGTTTTCGATCCCCCAGTGCATTAACGCGTGTGACCAGAACGGCGTGGTAGTGCCAAACCTTTCCTGAGCACCGTTGCGACGCCCCGCACTGCGCAACACCGATGCGACAAAGGTCTTTGGGTTCGGAATCGTGACAGAGGTGCGTCTAATCTTGGACATTGCCGATGTCACCAAGTACGAGATCACTAGTTCAACATCCACGCCCTGTGGCTTTAATTCACCAGCCAAAGCCGCAGACCACTGCTGTAAAAACGCTTTGGACCCGGAGTAGGTTGCAAGGTACGGGGTAGGCAACAAACCACCGAAGGAGCCCATGCTCAAGATCAAACCGCGCACAGACTTTCCGGCGACGGTGGCCACAATCTGCAGCGCAACCACCTGGGTAATTCTCAAAGTGGCGGTGTTGTTGATGGTGATGATGTCTCTCATCTCCTTCTCTTCGGTTTCGAGGAACGGAACCGGGATGGAGTGGGATTGGCCAACGTTGTTGACCAAAACGGTGACCGGCAAGGTACTGATTACCGCAGAAAGCTGTTCGTAGTTGGCAGTTTCGTCGGTGGACACGTCAAAAGCAAGCACCTGGGTGGCAACCCCGTACCTTGACTCGATATCGGCCGCAAGGAGCTCCAACTTGGACTGCGTACGCGATACCAACACCACATTCAACCCCTTCTTTGCCAATTGCAAGGCGTACTCCTTCCCGATCCCGTCGGAAGCACCAGTGACAACTGCCCAGTACTTTGCCTTCTTTGCGGCGCCGTATTTGGCAAAGTTGACCGCCGGGAGGAGGAAGCAGTCGGCAACAAGGGCAGCAAAACCCAACGTCGCAGTCGTGGTCTTGTACACACCGACCGCAAGCGCGAGGTAGAGCAACAGGGTGACAAGTTTACAATCGGAGCAGGAGTCAATCGTTTCAAAAATAGACATTCTGGTGGGTGATGGACAAAAACGATATGAGGGCAATGGTGGGAAAATGGAGTCGTTTTGTTATCGAGGGTGGAAAAACTACGTCACGTGATAAGCTATTTCTGGCAGTTGCGGAGCTTTCGCAGGGCACGTCAATAATTCTATATATTTGATACTAACGACTGGATATTTGACTATTGAGCATTTATATGGAGTGGGGACACCTTTTATATGCCTTTACCTTCTTTCGGTCCCACACAGCAGGATCGGTCATGTCAATTGTGCTACAGTTGGATATTTACATGAGCACATATATTAGCCTTTAAGGTATTTAAGAGCCAGACTGAGTGCTGGCCAGGCCACCTCATCCATGGGTGGAGGTACATCCCCTGCTCCTTTGTTATAGGTCTAAGACGAACCATCTCATGCCAAAGTTTAACGTATGAATATCAGCATTGCAGATGAGCTATCTGGCCTTTTTATAACCCATCACATAAACGTAATATTATCAAGATTTTCGTCCGTGAGCTGAACGTTTAACTCATCCCTTGCCACCTGCCCCGCCAACGTCTCGAGATGGCGTTCCGTCTTGAACCGCTTGAGCTCGAACTCCATCAATCTGGACTCGTTCTCCTGTAGCGCTGCCTCTCGCTTCTGGAACTGCTCAGCCTGAACACCCATCTTCAATATCTTCACCCACGGAGAGTACACCTTAGGGACGTGGTCCTCCGCTGGCTCCACTGTTTCGGACGCCGGTCGGTTATACGCCTTGTGTGGCTGCTCCGGCTGGCTCCTGGAATCGTCAAAAGAGCCATGGTTTCCGCTGTAACCACCACGATTTTGCGGTCTGAATCCACCCCTGTGACTCTCTCTATCACCTCTGTGACTTTCTCTATCACCTCTGTGACTTTCCCTATCACCTCTGTAACTTTCCCTTTCGCCTCTATGATTCTCTCTGTCTCTATCACCCCTCTGGCTTGGTCTGTGCCCTGAGCTGTGTCTTCGGAGCTCTTCAGAGTCTGGTTTGGAACTTTTCCTAAATGGATCAATATTCTCTGACGCCGAGTAGGACTTTCTGCTCAAAGATTCAGGTCGCTCGAAGTCACGGTCGTGTGCCTCGTGGTATCTTCCGTCGACATAGTCGTCTTGGCTGGACTCTCGATAGCCTTGATTGTCTCTGTAACCACCACGCCCACCTCTCTCTCCACGTCCGCGGTAGTTGTTCCCGCGGTAGCCGCCTCTACCGCGTGGTGGGTGGCCATTGGGCTCTCGGCGGTATGGATAGTCGGACATCGGATATGTGAGTGCAAAAGCGGTAAAGGTTTACAAGTAGAGCTTGAAACTAGAAGGGAAAAGGTGCCTGGTGTTGTCTAGCTTTGTTTAGGAGTCGCGTGTACGTTACTTAATTTGTTCTACAAAGTGCGTAATTCTTACCTGACTCCGTTTTGCGATGTGATCGTATTGTCCTGCCCACGCTCTGGGTTGCGCACTCCTACGTTGCAGGACCGTCAATCTCACTCCAATCGACCTTTGGCCGAATAAAGGTGGTAATCACAAATCTCCAAATTTCTAACTTACCGTCAAGTTTAGGAATACAATGTGGATCAGTTTACTCGGCTTTTTTTTTTCATCAATCTCTTAGTCTTAGGCCTCAAAACACATAGTGAGCTAAGTTTTATCTGCAAGGTATAGGATAAGAGGTGTAGGGCTGCTAAATACTTGGTTTCCTTAACTGTACTAGATCTGACGGAGAAAATCCTCCAAAAATACGTCATCTAGGTGGCTGGCTCCCACCCAGTGAGTTCGAGAAAGTCTCTGACCTATCCCCATGAATGCCTTGACGGGACTGCAATTACAGTATGTCACGTTGAGCTGCCCGGCTCTTTGCTTACATCTCTCACCGAGTGAAGTAACTGGTATTATTTGGAAAGTCCAAGGGTATATACAATACTAGTTACATTTAGGCTACGAACAAACCACACGGGATTGCCAGAATTTGAAACACATGCCGATAGGTGGACTCGTAAAACCCGTTTCGATCATCCATCAGCTTTAAATATCCATGCTTTGGCGAGATGCAGCGCATTCCATTTATAGCTCTTGGTTCATCTCATGGCTTGCCATTTTGCATCTCCATCATTTTCGTCATTCGCCCACTCTAGGAGATCCCGGAAGATGGCCTTCGAGATCTCAACATCCATCGCAACCTCAGCGTGCGCCATACGTGCGGCCTGCGCGTCGTCAAGCGTGAGCTGCACGCACACACCGCGCGCAAACTGGCGGCGTTTGAACTCAACCACACAGCGGAGACTAGCCATGCGACAGTGCTTGATCTCGAGCACCGAGAGTCGCGGCGCCAGGTCCATCTGCAAGAGCCGTCCAACGGAACGGTCAGTCACATTGTGGCAGTTACTGACGGCAATACGCTCGAGCGTCGCGCCAGACCGCGTGGTAACCTCCCAGAGGCCCTCGTCACTCACGTCGCAGCCCGCAAGCCCGAGCGTGTGCAAGCGGCCACTCCGGCCCAAATGACGCACACTCGCGTCTGTCACAAGATGGCCGTCGCGGTGTCTGCCCAAGTTGATGAATTGGAGGTCGCGGCAGTTCTGCGCGATGGAGATAATACCGGCATCGGAGACCAAGTGACACGCGCGGAGGTCGAGCTTGCGCAAGTCGCGGCACCGCGCACCAATGTTGTGCAACGCCGTGTCATCGACGAGAGAGCAGCCCAGGAGAACAAGAGATTGTAGGGCAGTCGATAAGAGAGTCGCTGGGAGCGTGAACTTCGGACACATGAACATCTCGAGGTGGCGGAGCTGGGAGGCATCGACGTTCGCAGCCATGGCATGGACCGCCGCAGCGGTCGCGCGCGTGAGCTGGCTGAGCGCGAGGTGCGACGGCCGTGCTACTGGTTTCGCTGTCCGCACATATTGCACAAACTTTGCGTCGTTGCGAAAGAGGATGCGCGTATCCAAGCACTCCCGCGCCGCGCGGTACCACAAGCGATTCACCTGCAAGCACGAGTACAACGAGCCGGGGATGTGGTCCGCATAGCCCACAATCTTTGCAACTATTTCGGGGAGGTCAAAAGGAGAAGCATGTGACGTGATAGGGAGTGTGTGTTGCAAAGGAGATTGGGTGAAAGGAGAGGACGTGAAAGGAGAGGACGTGACAAGAGAATCAGACGTTATGGAGAAAGGGGCGTGAGGAGAAGCATCGGAGACCGGCAGGTACGGAAAGACTTGGGGCGTGTTTTTCCTGGGGGTAATGGGGCTGGTTCGGTGGCTCTTTCTGCGTGGAGTCGCGTCGTCGTGGAGCACATACCGGATGCAATGTTTAGAGGGTGGGCAGGTCCGTTTGGCTTCAGGATACATCGTTGATCGAGTTTTGGGGGAGGGGGGAGTACCAATGTTAGCAAAAACTTGATAGAGGAGAGATGAGACCAATGCTATTAAGGGAAGGGTGCAAAGGAGATGCAAGATGAATGCGGTGGTGCAAATGCAAAACAAAGATGGTTTACGAGAATACCACCGAGCGGTCTAGAAGGCGCAGAGCGGATATATATACAACCTCACCTCCAGAGGCGTAGGCAATCTTTCACAACATACGGCTGGTAGACCAGCCATATAGTGTTGTCGATTAGCGGCACCTGCCTCAACATAGCGTATCCTGGCGTGCATGCTCTGCATGGGTGAGTCGCGACAAGTGGACGGAAACTGTAAATAATCTGCGTGGTTGGGTGCATCCATGCGCATTAGCGTGGGTTTTGACGCGCCGGACCGTTCCTACAGTGCGACAGTAAATCCCGGTGCCATTTTAAGGTTATGAAATGTGAGACATACGTTTACTAGCTCCTATTACTTTCCTTGTCAACCGAAATTTTTGGTATCGCGATTCAGGCGTATTCTCTGCGGGTGACAACAGCGCCTAGCGCCGGATGGGCGAGCCATAAACTGGATAACCCACAGTCCCAATGCGTATTACAATAGCAAAACTGGTTTTACGAGTTGGTCTAGACCAAATCTCGTCCGAGCACTTTGAAGCACTTTGAAGCACTTGGCTTGTCTATGGCACAAAAGCCCTCTGGCCCTTTTCACGTGCATCAACAAAGCCATCCATCTCACCCTTTCACACATGCTAGAACGACTTGTCATGTAAAATTTAAAACAAGACATGGAGTGCACCTCAATCTTACTGAGGCTGGCCAGGTTATTTCAGGTCTCGACAAATATATGCCATCGATCTATGGTAAAGGGTTCGTTTGAGAGATGCTGCAGGGTTTCTCGCACGACAAGTCCTGCGCGCTCTGGCGGCTGGTTTATTTTCCTCGTCTCCGATGCTCACCCGCCATGCTAAAAACAGAGTCACGTGACACAATAAAGATTTCAACGTGTTTATTCAAGCCACAGGATAAGCCGTAAAGGTCGGTGGCTTTAAACCACTTTGAAACTGTCAAGGCCGAACTAATAAATTGCGACTTTTACTCTCAGACAGACCCCGCTTGCTTCATTATAGTGCTAATTTCGTGAACTATTGTAGAGCTAATTTCAGGAACTATTGTAGAGCTAATTCCAGGGACTTGCAGTTAAAATGAAACCCCCAAGCAGGTCAGTCCCCTTGCTAAAGTTTAAACAGCCCCCCGGATGGAGTATGTTTACATCTGTCCTAATTGAACTTATACTGCATTGAGTCATCTGATGGTAAGAACAAGAGTACTTTGACCTTCTATGACTACAGGTTAAGCTTCCATGATCCCCACTCGGTTCTGGGTGCAACCGCGTATTCAAATATCACCTAGACGTCTCAGCCCCGAGACCCCTATCTGGACTTCGCAGGATGTGAATCTGGCTGGGAGTAATGCCTGGGTACTATTGTATTTCACCAGTGCGATAGGACCTTTCAATTTTTTTAGACAAGATCTTTCGTAAACCAAGCGGTTCTTAGTGGTGCTGTCTGACTTCCAAAATCAGCATCACCTTTCAGAACCCAAGCCCCCAGAAGCTAATATTATTGAAAATTTCTCATCGTCTCTTGCCCCGAGAAAAATTAACCAAGCCTTGTGTGTTTCGTTGGTATATGGCAGAGAGGAGTGCTGAGGGACAGATAAGTTAAGCAATATTAAAAGCATTTGGGCATGTGTCCAGCCTTATAATTGCGTGCTTGAATCGCAGCTAGGGGTGTTCCCTGCGAGTGCGCACAAACGAACACTAAAAATGTAAACGACATGCAATAAAGTTTCACTCACATATCAAGCCCAACCTCCTCATGGGCGAGGAAACACACTGTGGGATACTGGGGTCTACAGATGCGAGAGATTCAGACTAATCTCAGTTTATATATGAACTACATAGCTGTAGTGATGTGTATACTGACCGGGCATCTGCCTTATCACCTTTCTGCGGCTTAAAATCTCCTTGCATATTCATCTGGTCATAATCACCACGCCGTGCACAATTATTAAGGCCAGAGAATAAATAAAAAGAACTGGTTCTGGTCTACCACAAAACAGAAGTGTCTACAGAAGTGTCTTCAGGATATGTCCCACGCTTTAGGACTGCATAATCTATGGACTTTCAGACCATCGTCTAGAGGTTTGATTATTTATTTTTTTTAGCCTATGCGCGTAAACACGCCATTCACATCACTAATTCGCAGAACTGCTGAGCTAAAGTTTGGTTCTGCATTGGTTCTGTGTGGTCTACTCACTTGACGCACGCGGGTATATAATCACTTTTAAGCTCTCCGCTACGGAATTCCCAGTCAATGATAGTTCTGCGCCCAGGTTTGAACAGACCGTGTCTGTTTCGCAAGACTCTGTCAAGAAATGTATAAACAAGTTGAAGCACTGTGGGTGTTATCAGCACTACAAACCTCGCTACAACGGGGTGCACTTTCATAGGCATTACCCCCCGAGCAGGTCAGAAGTCGTGCGCCTCTCACTGATGTCATTTCACACGCTCTTCCCCATGTTGTAGGCCGCCACGCAAAGCCTGCAATATCCGTCGGCTTTTGCCATGAAAAACTGGCGGCTAAGCAAAAAAATTGTTTCGTGAATCAGCAATACAACTATACAAGTTTGATACTCCTCAGAATCTACAATGCACAATTTGGATGTTCTGGACGGAAACGGTCTAGATAGGATGGCTGAGCAACACCAAGCGACACAAATGCAGGTTCCAGCCGATACGCCGGAAGATGTCCCGATGGAAATGCCATGTGAGACGGCAGAACCGGCAATAGACGAAATAGAAGCACCAACCGAGACCGAAACATCAACAGAGACCCTGGCCGGAGCAACAACTCCAATGGCGTCAATCGAAACTGAAACATCGGCCGCCACAGTATCACCCTTGGCCACCGAAAGACGTCTCAGAAAAGACGAATACACTGCCTTCAAGGCTCAGGTCAAGCTCCTCTTCTCCCAGATCGACGTGGATGCCATATTTGAAGGCGATTTATGGTATCAGATTCCCACTCCGTGGCTACAGGCCTTCCTTGAGACCGATTTTGGTTCTCTCCACGAAGCTAAATCGCGCCTCGGACCTATCAACTACCTGACATTGATTGATAGTTACGGAGTCCTTGTTGCTACCGCTACCTTGACACCCATCCCCACAGAGGCGCTTGGCATGGTCTCCACAGCCTTTGGAGTGGTGGGCGACCCCATCGAAAGCTACGTCATCCAGGACAATGGCCACAAGGTGATGGAAAACTTTCCACCCGTGTTTGAGATCCACACGCTACAGACTTCCGTGAAGGTTGTGAAGCGCTACTCCGTCACCGCACTAGCCACCGTCGGCGACCTCCTTGCGGAGTTGAAGCAAACCAACGGCATCCTGTCAGAGATCCGTCTCTGGCTCTTGGAAAACTACGTCTCAACCTCCAAAAACCATAGCTTCACCCTAGAGGAGTTTGTGAATGTCGAGTCCAAAACCTTATTGTCCCCCAAGGACTACCACCGCAGTCTACGGGATATCAACCTCTTGTATGGCCATTTGGTGATAGACACCGCCACTGGCGCCAACACCTTTGCCTCAGACGCGGTTCCTTCTAGCAGCGAATACGGGGGGGTTGTGGGCTTGAACAACCTCGGGAACTCGTGCTACATGAACTCCGCGCTCCAGTGTTTGATCCACTTGCCCGAATTGTGTCTTTATTTCAAGGGCGGCAACCACACCAAGGAGCTAAACCCTGGCAATCCTTTGGGGATGAATGGTAAAGTGGCTAATGCGTTTGGCGCCTTGATTCAGCGGCTCTTCAGCGCTTCGTCGCATGATTCCTACGCCCCCAGAGAGTTTAAAAACATCATCGGCCACTACGGCCCGATGTTCCACGGGTACCAGCAACAGGATTCGCAGGAGTTTTTGGCGTTTTTGCTTGACGGGTTGCACGAGGACTTGAACCGGATCTTGAAAAAGCCGTACGTTGAGAAGCCTGAGTTGGAGGACGCCCAGGTGACCGATCTGGAAGCCATCAAACAGCTTGCGGAGACCTGCTGGGAGCAGCACCGCATGCGCAACGACTCAGTGGTTGTGGATTTATTTGTGGGGCTCTACAAGTCAACGTTGGTGTGTCCGGAGTGTGATAAGGTCTCCATCACTTTTGATCCGTTCAACGACTTGACCCTTCCGTTGCCAGTGGAAAACCTCTGGAGCCTCACGGTTAAGGTGTTTTTGGATGCCCAGCCACTACAGACCTTGGACGTGGAGCTAGCCAAGTCGTCCTCCTTCAAAGATTTGAAGCGGTATGTCGCTGAAAAGACTGCGGTCGATGCCAGCGAGCTTTACTGCTTCGAGGTGTATGGCCACGATCAGTTCTACCGCGACTTCCAACGCGACGACAGCGTGGGGTACATGCCCATTTCCACCTTGATCTCCACCAGCGACGAGATCTACTTCTACCAGATCAAGAAGGAGGTAGATGACATCATTGTGCCAGTGTTCAACGTGATTGGCCCCGATCCGGAGAGCACCTACCGAAACACTACTGCCTTTGCGTTCCCGTACTTTGTTGCCGTCACCCCCGATGAGACCCATTCGTTTGGCAAGATCCGCATGAAGCTCGAAGCCAAAGTCAGTCAGTTGTCCACCTACACCTACTTCCACTCCGTAAGGGACAAGTTTGGTCTGAGCTACAAAGTGGCCGACTTTCCGTTACTTATGAATGGAGGAAAGAAGGTCAAGGCTCAATCTGCTGTTAAAGAGGCTGACAATGTTGAATTGGGAGACGCTGGTAATGCCGAATTGGGAGACGCTGGCAACGTCGAATTGGAGGAGACTGACAATGTAGAATCGGGGGATACGGTGATGAAGGATGTGGCTGGCGATTCTTATGACGAAACTAGTGATGCTTATGACTCAGATATCTCGCTTGCGAACCCGAATATCTCCGGAAATTTTGCCTTCGATATCAAAATCTTTGACCACACCAACGACAGAAGAAAGTATAACTGGAACAAGGGAAGCACAGACGCTTCTGATGTCTGGGTGCCAAACTCCAGCAACTTTGGGAACTTGCCCAGCATGCTTGATCTTCTACCACCACGAAAGAAGCAGTTTTACATGCATGATAACTTGGAAAAGGAGATCAACTCGATTGACGAGAGTCAGAGTCTTATGGAGACGAATCTTACAGAGGCAAACCTTACGGAAACAATCCTTGAGGTTAAACAAGGGGAAGAGGCCACCAGCACTGAAAATGTCTCACCTGAATATGTCATGGTGTCTTCAAACACTCCCTCGGAGGAAGTCTCCTCCGACGGTGCCGACCAGAGTTTTGACTTGTTTAATGACCCCCCTAACGCCTTGACGCATGCCCCTGAAGCTAAACCCTCCGTAGCGCATGCCGGTCTGCTTCGTTCCCCGTTGGTTAAATTTAAGCAAGCGTTAGTCTGCGAATGGTCGCAGGACTACTTCGACGTTTTCTTCACGGGGTTGGAGGAGGAAGGGGGGATAGAGACCTTTTCAAACCCAAAGCCCATCCCTAACGCCGAACTCGAAGCCAAACGCGCTCTTGCCAAGACTGATCAAACCAAGAATATCTCTTTAAGCGATTGCTTGGAATTGTTTTCCAAACCGGAGGTGTTGGGGGAACAGGACTTGTGGTACTGCCCCAACTGTAAAGACCACCGCCAAGCCACCAAAACCATTGAGCTCTGGAAGACTCCGGACATCTTGACCATCCACTTGAAGCGGTTCGAAGGGCAGGGCCGCACGGCTGATAAAATTGATGCGGTTGTGGATTTCCCCGTCGAAGGCTTGGATATGCTGAAGTACGTGGTCAACCAGGAAACGGGCGAAGCGTTGGTCTACGACTTGTGTGCCGTAGATAACCACTTTGGTGGATTGGGCGGTGGCCACTACACTGCCTATGTCAAGAACTTTGTCGACGGGAAATGGTACTACTTTGATGACTCCCGTGTCACGGAAACTCTGGCCGAAAAGTCCATTGCGGGTTCAGCCTACTTGTTGTTCTACCGTAAACGAACTGAAGGGCTATTGGGCGGCGAAAGACTTGCGGAAATGATCAAGGCTTCGGAGGAGATTGCCCAAACAGGCTTGGAGCACAGGGCCGTGTTGGTGAGCAACATCATCAACCAGAACGAGGCGTATCGCAGTGCGTTGGAGGCCCTCGGCCATCCGGAAGAGGCCAACCAATCGGATTCCTCTGAAACAGGAACCGAGGTGGATGAGCTGCGTTACAGCTCAGAGGAGGTTTGCTCGGTGAACTGCGGGGTTGCTGGCGACCATTTACCCGACTCTGAGAACGAGATGCGCCGGAAACAGAGATTACTCGGCCGCCATAAGAAGAACAAGTACCTTGACGATGTTGTAAAACTTGACTCGGAAATTGATTCTGTGGAGGGCTCTGTGTGTAATTCTCCTTTTTCGCCGAATTGTTCTCCTCCAAGTGACACCCTTGGGCACGCCAACAGCGATTCCGATCCCTTGGCAAGTGTGGATTAACCGTCTAGGAGAAATGAATAACGAATTATATAATATGTAGCGTAGAATCAGGGGGGGGGGGGGGGGTTCCCTTGTTTTCTCCCTTAAATTGTCCAAACTGTCAACGCTCAAGTTTAGAATCCCAGTCTTGATAAATACCAAGCGGGTAAACTATGGCCCCATAAACGTGTTTCCGAAATTTCAAATTCCCACTGAATTTATCTTCGAATTCCCTTTCTTTACTTTCGTCTGACTTGTCCACCAAGATACATACTCAGTGGTTAGTGACCCATCGGCTGAGTCATGGCCTGCTTACAGAATTGCTGGGCAAATTATATATCAGTATTTTTTTTTTTACTTCATAGCCTCTAAAACTTCCGCGTGGGTCGGAATGCTTTCAGCGGCGCCCTCTCTCTGGATGACAATAGAACTTGCCTTGGAGGCAAACGCCATAAGGTCGTCGATAGACTGGTCCAACGCCAACTGGCCCACAATAGCCCCCAAAAACGTGTCTCCTGCGCCGGTGGTGTCTACAACCTTCGCCACCTTCTCAGCCGCGTAAAACTTGGCCCCGTGGACCATATTCGCGTAGATGGCACCCTTGGCCCCGAGCGTAATCACAACAGTGTTGAGGTTATCTCCGTTAATCTTATTAACCAAAAGGGAAGCCAACGCAAGATACCCTTCCACAAAGGAAGACCCAATCTTTCCATTCACCTTTTCTAATGCGGGCCCGGCTAACACGGATTTTGCCAAGTCTGCAGCCTCGCCCTCGTTGATGATCAACACATCCACCAAGCCCAACACGGCTGGATCCGAGACTTCGTAGAACGGTGAGGGGTTATAGGCGATATTCACCGCGGGGTTATTTTTTTTCAACATCTTCATATTCTCCGCCGGATCGGGTTGTTCATTCTGGAGAATCACAAACTCTGGCTCTTCGGATACCGGGAAAATCGCCGCAACCGCCGCCTCATCCAATGAAAGCTTTCCGTTAGCACCAGGAGTGATCAAAATGCGGTTTTCCCCAGAAGCCTCTACTAAAATAACCGCCACGCCAGACGGAAGCGGCTCCTCGGTGACCTGCGACACATCCACGCCTGCGTCCGCCAAACAACCTTTCAACTCCTGGCCGAAGGAATCGTTCCCTACGCGACCCACCATGCGCACTTTAATATCTGCTGATACTGGAAGCAACTTGGCGGTCGCAAGGGCCTCATTAAGCCCCTTTCCGCCGTTGTGGGTCTGGAACGCGTTGGCCTGGTACGTCTCCCCAGCCCCCGGCACCTTGTTGGTGTACGTGACTAAGTCCTTGTTTAATGATCCAATGACGGTGATAATTGTCATAGTGTTTAAGCGAGTATATAGAGTTGAGAGGATTGAGGAAGGAGGTAGATATTTATAGACGTCGGAAGTGGACTTTCGACAGGTTTTTTTCCAGTCTCCCCACAATCTGGCGATGGCTTCACTGGGCCGCGGGCCGAGGATGTCTGTGCAGGATTACATTTAAGACGCGTTCGTTGGTGGGTGGTTTACCAGCACCATTTGTAAAATTAGTCACCTGTACTGAAGAGTTCTTCTGATACTGTAGAGTCATCAGTTGCGGGAAACTACAATTCGTTAAAGTGGCCTCGAAGCTCATGGAGCATGCCCGTTGGTAACTACGTTTGGATCTGAATCCAAGCTCTTTGTTCCAAGACGTTTCTAGATAAGGGTTAGTTTTCTTGGGAAAGGTGGTGAAGCACGTTTGTATAACCAACTCCTTCGTATAGCTCGTTTAAACTGAAATCTCCTCTTGGACATCGACATCTTTCGCGTCATGTTCTTCCGGACTCTCTTTTTGATCTCCTGGAGCTTCAGTCTCATCTTTTCTGCTTTCGTTTTTAAAAGTGTCGCAGCGGCCAGCTTGTCCAACTTGAGTTCTATGCCCCGCACATTTACACCCACGATGTCTGTTAGCCCGGTACCGATGAGGTTTATGTTCGCAAGACCATCCGGGAACACAAACTGCTCCAAGTCATAGCCGGTAAAAAGTTTTGCGTTATTACTTAAGTTAAGCGCTTTCAAACCTGCGGGGAATGCCACACGGGTGAACTTAGGACTAAACATCAAGGAAATTTCCTCACCGGAGCCTATGTAGTTGTCCACCATGTTGAGTTCTACCAAAGTGGAAGGCAAGCGTTGCACGAAATCAAGCGTCGTTATACGGCTCCTTTCGACGGACAAGGTCCGTAACGACCTCGGATACGTGATCACTTCCATTGCAGCAGAGGTCAAGCTGGATTCGTCGATTGTAAAAACTCGCAAGCCATCGTTCAAGTCTATTCCAAGCTCTGTGAGGGATGTGGAGGTAAAAAGATGTAATTCTCGTAAGGTCAGAGGAAGGACAACGCCAGCCAAACTTCCTAGAAGGCTGCACTCAAGAAATAATCTGGTTAACGTTGAGGGTAGCTCTAGCCCGTAGAGATCGGGAAGTTTGTCGGCCCACAACCGAAGGGTTTTCAATCGGGAGGGATACCGGAAAAACAAGGGGTCCTCCACTTCGAGTTCTTCTAAATTCGGAACTCCATCGCATAGGCTGTTCGTCCACGCTACGCCAGATAAACTCAAAGCCTTTAGGGAGCGAGGGAATCTAACCCGGCCATGTCCTGACGCGTAATCCCTGTCGACCGAGATATTGAGCTCCTCCATCCGTGGTGGAAATACCATCGATCCCCAGTCAACGCTATGGCATTCCAAATCAAAGTGGCGTATGTTTTCGAATAACGGAACCTCATGCGGATCAATGTCATTTTCCGGCTGGCACCAGTCGATTTCGAGATATGTGGCCTGTTGTATCCTCTGCACCACGTGCGGCGGTAAAGTCTGGGGGAAACTCAACACGAGCTTGCTGATTCGGAGATTGGTAAACCTAGGGTCGAGGACAAAATCACTGAACTCCTCTACCGTCATATTCTGGTACTCATGCTTTGTAGAGTCTATGTCATTGTAAATATGGATCCGCGAGTAATACCGGTTGAGCGCGATGCGCTGCAACTGGGGAACGGCAAGGAATGGGGTAACATGTTTAAGGTGGAGGAACGAGAAGATTCGCTCGATAATCTCATCAGGTAGGTCTGACCAGTTTAATGGCGCTTCCATCTTAATGGCCACGGCAGAGTTGCTGGTGTCGAGTCAGGTAGGGCACGTTTAGAATGCCAAAAAAAAAATCCCAGCGAGTCCCACCGCTATTTTAATTCGTCGTTGGTAAACGCTTTTCAATATCGGCCTTTAGCAGTTCGCGGTGAGCTGTAAAACTGTACGATGTACAACGGTAACCGCATACCCGTAGCGTGTGACACGGCAGAATATCGTAAATTAAGAGTACCGTACTGATTCACCGTATAATCCAATCCTTCGAAAACTCTTGGACGAATCACCTAGCACTTTTCTGCTACAATTCTCAACCTCTGTCCCGGTCACGTGCGCGAATATTTTTCTGCCGCACACAAAAACTTTTGCATGTCAAAACTCCACCTCGCAACACGCCCCTTTTTCCATATCCCCAGCCATGTCCGAAACTGATAGCGGCCTCAGACCTATGGCGTTTGCGCCAGACATTCTTGCGCGCATTGCCCCCGAATTATCCTTGCAAAGGCATCTTGCCATCGGGCTCCGTCCGTCGTTGCGCAACTTTCACGAATTCCGCCCGGTCCAGACCGGTGACGGCGGTTTGAGCCGCTACACCAGCTCTTCCCAGAACGATTCGCCGGTCTTGGGCTCGGCCGTGCTAAAATCTGGCAACACCACCGTCATCTGCGGGATCACCGCCGGGATTGTGGAAGAAAAGCTTAGTGAGCAGGCGTTGGCGGAGGCCGCTAGTGTGTACCCAGTGGTGGAGATTGCGCGCGGCCGGATGGGTGCGCCCACAGATGAGGAGATGATCTTGTCGCAGAAGTTGTTTGAGACGGTGCATCACGCTGGAGTGCTCCAGAAGGCGGCGTTGAAGGTGAATGTAGGTATCCGCTCGCAAAACTCAGATGGGACGTCTGAAGTCTTTTACCCCGATCAGAACTCTGAGGACGATTTGATGTTTAAGCCGTCCCGTGAGTGGAGCTTTGTGCTCTACGCGCACTTCCAGGTGTTTTCCCGCGAGGGCCCGATGTTTGACTTGTGCTGGGGTGCCTTGGTCAAAGCCTTGCAGGCCACCCAGTTACCGTATGCTTATATTGACGAGCGCATTGCCGATATTAAGGTACCAATCAGATCTCGTGGCCATTTTGGGACCGTCAGAGAGAATTACATGTTAGCCTGCGACTATGCGCGATCCCAGCCGTTGGAGATAGCCGGTAAATGTGGCTGGAGCTCCTCCTTTGGGGTTGTGGACGCGCACTCTGAGGAGTCGGGGGACATGTCTGGGGACATCCAGATGGATGAATCCGCGGTATTGTTGGCGGACTTGCAGGGTGAGGCCGAGGAAACGAACGTTGTTTCCAGGATTACCGTTGTAACAGCTGGTGAGCTCTTGCACAACGTGAGCATCGTCGGTGGCGGCGCCACCATCACCAAGCAGTTTTTGAAGCAGGCCATCGAAGTTTCTCGGAGACGAGCCGCGGATCTTTTGGCCTAGGCAATGTGACATACGTGTATAATAGAATGTGTATATTCAACTTGAGTGTAGAGGATAGCAAAGCTCCCAGAGATGGTCAAGGAGTAAGGGTAAGCGGACTTTGACGTCAGAAAGCTTTAAACTTCGCCAGAGACCGTATCCTAGCTTAGAGATAAGCCAGGTTACGGTACCTCGGGAGCATTCAATCTCAGTACCTCAATCGGCAAAATAACATTTGCACCTGTTTGAATGAGCTCTGGAAACTGGTGAAGGGTTTTCCTTTTTGGACGAAACAACCAGATGAAAAAGAATCGATTATCGTAGAGAGTCCTTGGCTCACCTCGTTTTTCCCACGGCTGCTTTCCAAGCCTTGTATCTGGTTCAGGTTTTTGGCTTCGGCTAAGGGTGTATCACTGGGTGATGGCAGCCTGTTGATATGCCTGGGTTCCAGTACCAAGCAATCTGTCTCGCCATTAATAAAACTTCTATATCGATTTTGGAAAAGAAATCCCATATTGCATGCTGTGTTATTATCTGATCAGCGGTTGCACTTAGAAAACGCCTGGCTAGCTCAATCGGTAGAGCGTGTGACTCTTAGCAGTACGCGATCACAAGGTTGCGGGTTCGACCCCCGCGTCGGGTTTTCTCTTTTTGTAGTAAAAGCGTCCCTTGCCACCGTCGACGAGATATATATAGCTGACTTTCAGTTCTTTTTTTCCCCCACATAATCAGATATGTCCCAATTTGAGGGCCGCATTGCAAAATGGATAGCACTCGACCACGGTACTCGCCAGGATTCCCCCCCCCGAGAGCAGTCAGACTTTAGCCGGAAAGGGTCTACACTAACATCACGAGGGCATTATATTTAGGGTCTACGAAAGAATATATGGAAAAAAAGATGAGGTCCAAAAAGGGTTCTTTTTGAAGACAGCCCCAGAGGGTTGCAATAGCGGCGTCGGAATCGCAACTATGTATGTGAGGATGATTATGGTTGCAGGTCAACGGAAGGGCTAACGAGCATAGAAATAGTCATGACTGAGGTAAATCTCTCGACACTCAGGGGGAGCTTTCTCCCTGGATTAGTTCTTACGACGAGTAGCCACCCCCTCGTACTTCTTCGCACCCGAAGACTCGGTCTTCACATATTCGTTCACCTTGGCGGCAACCCCACCGGAAATCGACTGCACTCTCTTCGATCTGGTGGTTCCCTTCTTTCTGTACACGTCGATGTAGAAAGCAATGAACAAAACAAGGTAGGAGGACAAAATAGCACAGCCAGAGTAAGCGGCGATCATGGTGCCCGCACAGTCACCACAGTGCGGCAATGATGGCAAAAACTCGGTGGCAATCTTCTGGTAGGTGGCAAAATAAACGAATCCTAAATCCAAGATAAACTGCATGATCTGGAAGCGGGTGACCCACTCCTTCCACCACACGCGGATACCTCTGGCGGCCAAAAAGTAGTACCAGTACATGACGACGTGCACCGCGAGGTTCAACACGATCGGCACCCACGAGATGGAGGTGATCCCGATAAGCTGAGTGTAGCACAAGAGGGCGGTGGCGCCGTGGTGGTAGGTGTGGAGGAACGTAAGGCGTTTCTGCTTGACCACGAGGAACACGGTGTCGATGAACTCGAGGAACTTGGTGATGTAGTTCATGTAGTAGAGCGTGACCATCTGCGGCGTCCAGGCATCTGGGTGACAGATGGCGTAGTAGAGGCCGTGGTGGTAGATCATTGGTACCAACTGCTCTATCATCAACACCACCAATGTGAGCGACACTGACGTAAGAAACAAGTTGTGCAACTGGAAAAGCCCGTTGAGTACCAATGGTGGGATCCCGAGAGTGCGGATGACCGCTCTACCGCCAAAAATCACAAGGTAATACAACCCGATCGCGTACAACACCGGCTCTAACGTGGACAATGGGAGTTCACCTTGCACGAACTCGAATTCGCCAGGCACAAAGTGGCCCTGAGTGAGAAAAGCGACAGCAGTGTCAAACTTCGGCCATAAGTGGATGCCGAACGGGTAGTCAAAAGAGGGGAGTGGGAGAGACATAATATGTTTGTTGTGGGGGAAGAAGGAGGGACAGGGAACAGGCGCGGGGACGCTATATATGCGTAAACGGTAACGCGAAAATTTCACCACTCGGCAGAACATGTGATAGAAACGCGTGAGGAGAAGGACAGTTTTCTGTGTGTGGTAGCGTTGATGTAAGCGGCAGGTATGCCGGGGCTGAATCACACGACAGGCCGATGTCATGGTTATACTCAGTCTCTGAAGATTCCAAGGTAGGATTAATGGACTGAACATCCCATTCAATCCTCTGGTTTTTGCGTTACCTTTAATTAAATTGAGTCTATCAGTATTGTAGTTTAATGGTAGGCAGGTAGTGACTCGCGAGAGCCGTGAGTCAATTGAGTCAACCACACCGCGATGTGCATTTTGGGTGAGTCGTTGCCGCAGTAGAGACTTGTTTCCTGCCAGACTAGTCAATAAATTTCGATCACCCTGTTGAATCTCAACCAAGCGCGGAGAGGGTAAGATTTTGGGTGCATTGGAAACTTTGGGTCCTGCATCATTGATTTAAGGGTCTGGATAAAGATAAGAACGAATGTAAAGAGTATGGGCACCTAGTGTTTAATTATGGGTAAAAGTTAATAGCAAGCTGGTAGTACAGGAATAATACAGCTAGGTTTGGTAACAATGTCGAAATTGCCGATATTATTATGTTAGATTGAAATTTAACATGGGCATATACGTATGTGTATATACCTATATTGTCCTTTGTTAGCATCTAGCTCATGCAGTAACGTAATATACATACATAAAAGACTATAAATTTTAAATTTATATTAGCAAATAAAATATAGGTTGCAGTATATAGCCATAGCAGGTATACCTAACAATAGTTCCAAAAACACTCTCGCAAACATAACAAATATATTCATTCACCGTTGTAACAGAAAATACGAAAACTGAAAAGCAACCTTGAAGCACCGCCGAAAACCAAAAATAGAGGGAAAAAAAATTAAACACCCTAAACAAAATCGTGAACAAAACTGTCAACGTTACAAGCTCCAAGGAAAACGCACAGAAAACTTCAAGCAGGTCCAGCGTGAGATAAAAGTGCACACATTAACCAGACTTTTTGGGCTCATCTAATGGAGGATTGAGGATCAGCGGCCGGGGAAGGGTGGAGCCACGCTCTTGCGACGGTGGAAGCGCCACGGCCCCCAACGTATCGATCGCGGTAGCGTGGCGAGCAGGGGTCTCCCACGGCCTGTACCGCGGCGGCTCGGTGATAAACGACAAAGCACTTTTGGACGACGTTGCCGGAGCGGGTTCGTTCAATAACAGACTGATGGAACTTACAGGAAGCTTAGCTGGCTTCTGAGGACTAGACTCAGGGTTGAGCAAACTCATGACAGAGAACGACGGTGTTGGCTTCTTGGCCTCCACTGGAGGTGGCGGTGCCGGTCCTTCGTTCATGAGGGAGCGCACTGAGTTTACCGGTGGGTACGCAGGCAGAGGGTTCGGAACCGGCGCGTTGTAGTTGTAAAACGTTCCCATTCCAATTGGCATGCGTTCATTTTCGCGTTTCTGGTCGTAAAAGTAGCCCAGAGGGGGGGTGAGATATGGCGGCTGGTAATATGCCGGGTATGGAGCGTATGCAGCGTGGGGGGTACCGTAGGTATGGGTCTCAGGGGGCGAGGCACTGTTAGTGGTGTTCGGAGGCGCCACCCCAGAGACTGGGGCGGAGGTAATCAGAACGGCAGACGAAGATCTGTCAGCAACCTGGGCAATCTTGGTCCAGTCTTCCCTATCACCGTGCCGTTGGAAGTGGTTTCTCACCATCGTGGCGGTCTTTGTCTGCAAGTCACGGGCAATGAGGTCCCACTGAGTGCCGTATTTCGCCAACAACGTGGGAAACAAGTTCATCTCGTATACACTCCAATAACTGGAGTTCTGCGACCGACGCTTAGGCTCAGGGGACGGAGGACCAGCGGTTATAGGAACATCCAAAAAGGAAACGGGTTTGATCCCCACTGCTGGCTGTAGAGGAACCTCAGGTCTCGGCTGTATTTCAGGGACAGACAATTCACCATAGCCGGTCCCGAGGTGGACCTCAGGCTGAAGCACCAGCCCAACCTCTGGACCGGCCTCCGGTGGAATCTCCTCCTTCGGCAACGTAAGGACAATCTTTGAATTTTTGCCGTTTTCTTCACGCTTTTTCCGTCCTTTCTTCTTTGGGGGCTCAACCTTCTTCTCTTCTAGCCCCACCGTCGCGGCAGCCCGCTTCAACCGGCCATTCTCATTGTACTCAACAGCAACCGGAGCAATATCCAAGCCCGGAATCGGCCCAAAAGTCATCCCGCTCTCCACCTTGGGGGTGCTAGGCGTGGAGCCAGACGGAGTCACGGGGTTGGTTGACGGCCTGGATGTCGTCACCTTCTTCTTAGCCTTTTTCCCTCCCTTCTTATTCCTAGTCGCAAGCAACTGCTTGTAGCTGGTGGTGGTCTTTTTGGTACGATAGTAGTGTAAACAGCACTCTTCGGGGGTTCGAATGCCGCCCATAACCTGAGAAATGCGCCCAAACCGTTTTGGCGTCACGAGGTAGGCCTCGCAGAAGGCTTCATGCTCGAACGGGGTGAAGTTGTCGATGTGGTCGGTCTTGTAGCGCTCTGCCCACGCCTGCTTGTCCTCGCAGATGTTGTTCGAGTCCATAAAGTGGACCTTGTCTCGGAGGACCGGGTCCATGATCATGTCCGGGATAACAGCAGCGTTTTGTTCGGCCCGGTAGATAGGATCCTCCTGTTCTAGCATGGCGATAACCTCCAACATTTCTGCCTCCGTGCGCACAGCATCGCCTTGGTGGCGGGCTCGGCGACTGGTTTTGGTGCCAGCACTGGTGCTGTTTTGGTTCTTGAGATGCTCCTCTTCCTTTGGGTGGAGAAGCTTCAACTGCTCCTCCATCTTGGCGCACCGGCGCTTCCAGATGTTCTCCTGTTTACCTTGCTGGTACCAGAGTAGCTTGCCGTGGTTGTACACACGCAGACGGAGGCGGGAGAGCTGCTTAAGAAGCACAGAGTGACCGGCTTGTTTATGGATAAGGGTATTGCGGGAAACAAACTGGTACTGGTTGAGATCCGTGATTGGGGTAGCACGGAGGTACGGTAACGGGGGGGAAGAGGCAAACCGGCATTTCATGTTATAGTACTGTGACTCGAGGAACGTTCGCGGGAAGGGGGCACCAGGAGGCGAAGAGGGAAGAGGGTTATCAGTTTCCGGTACCGGACTAGCTGACGAGGTGAACTCGAGCTTCATAGGTTCGGTAGAAATGGGTGGGTGGTCAGCTGCTTTGACATTGGCAGTCAGTTCAGGTATCGCAGGCATGGTAGGAGCAGCATCAAGAAGAGCCGGTTCAGAACCAGAGACTATAACCTGCACTGGTGCTTCCAAGGACGCTTCGACGGCAGAGACGGGGACTAGGATACGCTCCGAAGGGAGTAGTTCGGAAATCGGATTGACCTTGGTAGTATCCGCGGCAACAAGAGGCTCAGACACAATGCCGGTGGTACGAGCGTGGGTGTGAGAAACCACAGCCGAGCCCTCTTCTTCAAGGTACGGCTTCACCAAGCCGTGGCTTTGTGCTCCTTCACCGGTCTGCTCGTCTTTTATCTTCACGTCATCTATAGCTTCCATCTCCACGTTTTCCTCATTAACAGAGGTAGGCACCTGGACGAGATCTACCTTAGCTTTGACCTCAATACCCGGAGTTGGAGGTTCACGAGATTCAATTTCGAATGCTTCCACCTCAGCTACGGCCGTAGACTTGTCCTCCGACCGAAGCCCCTCGGCGATGGGACTACCATGTGCAATCGCACCAGGCTCGAAGACAGCTGAACTAGCCGGCGGAGCATCGGAAACAACAGAGGCGGGGGTAGGAACGGCAGCAGAAACAGCCACCAGCGAATCTGGACCGACTTCAGCCACAGTGTCAGACGTCGGAAGTTCCGCAGAAGCATCCTCGATTTTCACCTCCCCTTCAGCTCTGTGTTTCTTTTCACGCTTCTTGTCCTTCTTCAGTTTGTGCTCCTTGTCGTGGTGTTTCTTCTTCTTATCCTTCTTGTCCTTCTTGTGCTTCCTCTCGGGGTCTTCGTCTCTGTCCTTGGCATGTGTGCCATAGTCACGCTTATCCTTGTGTTTTGAGCCCTCTTCATATCGCGCCTTATGTTTCTTCTCGGGCGCTTCGGGTTCAGCCTGAGGCTGGTCTTGCAGGCCCTCCCGGACAGCTGTAGAATAGACATTCTCGCTATTCGGACCGTCTTGCCCGTGGCCCTGGTTATGGGTATCGTGGTGACTCCTCTTGGCCTCGTGCCCGTTAACATTAGCCGGCTTTGACGAGCCACTGCTATTTCTGCGAGCCTGGAAGAGGTCAGAGTCGGCATTGACCGACGCGTTTTGGCTAGAGTTCAGGTCGGAGCGCTTCCGCTTCTCGAGAACGCCAGAGGTATATACACCCGTCTCTGGCAGAGTAACCGCCGTCGGAATGGTTGGAGGAATAGAACCGCCTCGGCTCTTCGCCAAGACTCGCTGTTCTCGTGCCTCTCTAATGTCCCGAATGTCTTTCAAGCTTTGGGACGAGAGGCCCTGGATTGACACGTCACGTTCGTTCTTGGGGTAATAAGAGTCTTTCTCCGCACTGTGGGTTTCGCGGTCTCGCTTGAAGGAGCCGTCGCGACGGCGTTCGCGAGGACGATACTCGTTACGGCCGTAGAAGCTGGCGGGGCCTGTATTCGCCGCAGGCAACAGCTCCTCCCTCCGGTACTCGTCTCGCTTCGGATACGGGGCCTTGGCACCGGGAGTCTCTCGCTCTCTGGAGCCTGAGCTGGACGCGGGGTAGGGGTATGAGTTCTGGTACGAGCTGTAGTAGTTCGGGGTATTGGCGTATGAGGCACTAGCGGTGCTGGGGTAAGCGGGGTTGAATCTCTCTCGGTCATTTCGGGGCGCGGAAGTTTTATTCAGGTCGTAGTAGTTGCGGCTTGCATGGTTCGAATACTCGCGGCGACTCGAGTTTTCCCATCGCGAGTGGTTACGGTTGTATGTGCGGTTGGGGTTCGGCGGGTTACTGGAGGTACTAGCGCCTGCGTTTGGTTCATAATAGCTGGCACCGGGGGCAGACGAGGGTTCTCTTTGGGGATACTCTTTTCGCAGGTATGCCGCGGGCTTTTTTCGTCTGCCGTGGTTGTAGTCGAGCTCTCTATCTAGCCGCTCGTCGTACGCCGTTGAGTGCCGTTTATTGCGTGGTTCGGACATAAAGACGTGGCGGTAAGTGGAAATTTAGCAGGCGTGTGAGAGGGGGAGGTGATCGATTAGGCGTGGAGGGGTATCATCAACTTATTGGCAATTCTCAACCGACTGTGAGGGCACCGTTAATCAAAGGTAGATATAGGTGGAGGATATATTAGAATACGTGGTAATCACGGGCTAATGGTGACCGCTGGGTGGTTGGCGTGTAAACTGCAGTGTTTGTAAAGAGCGCCAAAAGAGTGAAGGCTTTTTTTGTAATCAAGACAGTGGGAACACAAATACGAAAAACATCAGTTGCATTTGTTCGAACCCACCTACATTTGAGGAATTTTCTGCCTTCAAGGTGGTTTGTGATGATAGAGAAATGGGCGGCACACGACTATTGCTTATGTAAGCCAAGCTCTTTTCGTAAATACTATCCCCGGTATGGCTCACAATAACTAATATTTGGCTATACTTGTGGGGTACTACAATTTAACGTGATATCCAACCGAGATACATGGGATGGCCCAAACGAGACGTTTCTCGGGGTTTCGCAGTCGACTGCGCCTATTCGTAGCTCTCTGGCATGATAGATTAGGTTATCGTGTCGTTTGACAGCTATACCACTTACAGTTCAGCTCACTTATAGAGGCAATAAGTGCATTTTACTCTAAAAGCCAAGAGTTCCCAGGGGTAAATGCTACTAAATGATGCAGTGGCTAAGTTTTGTTCTGCTCCTTTTCGAATCCTTCCACGCGTGGACCTGGCGCCGATCGTGGCCGCTTGGCAACCAAGTGAGCTGAGCGATACTGGCATCACAGTATGGTACGGCTAGCCACTCTATACATCACTGTCGGAGATACGGAGTTGACTCCAAACATTTAGAGTTACGTTGGTATAGTTTTCAATTAGAAGCTATATTCTATACTCGATATATAGACCAAGTGATGTCCCGTTCGCTTACCAGCTTGCGGGATTAAACGCGTGGCGCCGCGACTTAGTAAATGGCTGGCTGCTTATGTCAGCCAAAAAAAAAAAAAAAATCGCATCCAACGACTATATGACGTGACTCGCTTGAATATCCTGTGCAGAAGAACTTGGCTACAATCTAAATATCCACCTCTCAGTCTACTGTCCGTGATATGGGTAGGTGGATGTTTCAGAGCTCTAAATATATCATACCATGCATCGAGTAACTTATATCGGGAGGTATTCCTTTACCCGAAGAATAGGTGTAGACTGGACATTGAAGGACTGGTCGTTTTGAAAGTTTGGCTTACGCTCAGAAGGGAATTATCGGATCCTCCCTTGTCCCCCCACAGAAACAATCCAACCCAATCTGAGTCCATAACCTTTGAACAGCCTTTCCAGTCTCTAGCATGGATTAGTAAAACGCCGCCAGGATGCTAATACGCAATGTTGGCGTACCTTCATACTTTCGCCGGTTAGATATACACCGAGTCTCAGTGAGACCTTAACCGAGATAGGATCCGCACTTGCATTGTATCCAGTGCCGATCAGCTTCCTATACCATAATTATTTCCGCCACTTCCATGGCCACGCAAACACCCAGAAAGCTTTACGCGACATTCTGGAAGTTGGGTCTGCTTACATGCCGGATACTGGTAACGAAACCAATGCATACGCATCAAAACGCGCTGTCCTCAAAAAGCTGCTTGCCCACTCTTCTCCGCTCAACAATGGAGAAACCTAGCCAGGAGGATATTCTTGCCAGATCTGCCGCTGGGGCGACGCTCCTCATTTTCGGTAGCCTCTTCACCAAGATCCTCACGTTTGTGATGAACAACGTGTTGTTCTGGTACATTTCGCCGACCGCGTTCGGGATCCACATTCTCTTCGAGTTCACCGTCTCCTCGGCGCTCTACTACAGTCGTGAGGGCGCACGTCTCGCATGCCAGCGTGTCAGTGTCAAAGACAAGACAGACAAGCTCGGAGGCCTCTCGGCGCACACCTCCGCGGTCCAGTCGATCATCAACTTCGGGTTCATTCCGATCATGATGGGGGTGCCGATCACATGGGCGTTTTTCACGCTCCAGCATAAGTCGATTGCGCTTGAGGCAAAGAACTTGGGCTGGTACCACTTGTGTGTCAAACTCAACGCGATGGCGATCATGGTGGAACTTTTGGGCGAGCCGTGCTACTTGGTGAATCAATTTCGCCTCAACTTCAAGAAGCGTGCGCAGTACGAAAGCTTGGCGGTTGTGGCCAAGTGCGTAGTGACATTTGTCGCGGTGTTCTACTGGCACGAGGGCGACGGCGATGAGAACGACAACTTGGCGATTCTCGCCTTCAGTGCCGGCCAGTTAGTGTACTCCACGGTCCTCACCGTGCTATACGTCCGGGATTTTACGCGCAAGAGCTCGCCCTTCCGGTTTCTCCCTACGAAGATCACCGGCAAAGGCTCGTACTATTTCGACTCCGGCATCTTCAACCACTGGCTCAGTATCTTTGGCCAGATCGTGTTCAAGCACTTTCTCACCGAAGGCGACAAGCTTATCACAAACCTCTTCTGCACCTTATCTCAGCAGGGCGTGTACAACCTCGTTAACAATTACGGCTCGTTACTTGCACGGTTGCTCCTAGCGCCGGTTGAGGAGAGTTTCCGCTTGTACCTCACCCGAACCCTCTCCCACTCGCACGGGTCGTCGCTCAGCAATATCCAGCAAGCCCACCGCGTGCTTCAGCTTTTGCTCAAGGCGTACACATACTTCCTGGTGCTCGTCTGTCTCGCAGGCTTCAGTAACTCGTCCTTCTTGCTCGGCTTGGTGACAGGCAAGCAGTGGCAGGCGTCCGAGGCTGCGGACTTGCTTCCGTACTACCTCTGCTACGTGCCGTTCCTTGCGTTTAACGGGATACTCGAGGCCACGTTCACGTCCGTCGCGAACCCCCAGGGCATCGCACACCACTCGGTCTGCATGGGCGTTTTTTCCGTGGCCTTCTTTGCCATGTGCTACGTCTTTGTCCAGCAGTGCGCGATGGGTTTGTACGGCTTTATCCTCGCGAACGTGGCCAACATGCTGCTCCGCATCGCCTACTGCGTGTGGTACGAGCGCCGCTACTTCCGCAAATTTGAGATAGAGATGATACCACGCTTCAGCGCCAAGATGGCCAACGGGGTGTTTGCCAGTGTTGTTGCTGTACTCTGCCAGTGGTTCCTCGGTGTCAGCACGAGCGTTTTCGGCGTGGCAAAGTCTGCGGTCTTATGTGCAATCTTGGCGGGGTACATGGCGTTCTTGGAGCGCGAGTTGGTGGCAGAGGTGGTTACGCCATTGGTACGGGGAAGAAGAAAAGGGAATTAGTGTAAATAGAACGGAGTGTCAACCTGCATATAGATATTCAAGGTGTAGCGTAGATAGAAGCGATGATAGCAGGAGTGGGATACCTTGCCTGTGAGTGTTTCGGTAGTGCGAATCAGGAAAATTGGAATGCGTCCTGATACCGTTACCTGAGGAAATAAATAGGATATAAACGCCTTGGTCCGATTGGCTATGAATGAGACTGAGATAGCAAGAGTATTATTCCTTGCGACTATCTTGAGATGATTGGCGTGTCTTGTTTATGCGACAGATCTGAGGGTCAACTCTAGGTTCACTTGGGTTAATAAATAAACTCGCCAAAGAGTGCTACCGTTAGATGGCCCACCCGAGCTGCATACGGTTTATCCCCCCTCTACAGCAGCGTGCAGTCTGTTTTCAAACTTCAACCAGAAGCTCAGAGCAAGCCCTCTTTATCTCCACGCATATCCACCTTTTTCGATTTTTACATATCCACCTTTTTCGATTTTCACATACATGCTCCGCCCCTATCACCTTCTCCTTGCGGTGTTCTGCCATGTGTGTATTGCGTACACCATCTCCGGCCAGCTCTCCAATGTCACGACCTACGACCCGGCCCGGATCTTCATCCGCCTTGTCTCGCTAGAGGACTTTTCTGTACAGCAGACGACCCTCCACACAGACTATTCTTTCCTGTTCGAGGTTGCGGAGAATTCCGAACACGAGTTGTTTGTGGAATCGCTCGACTACCAATTCGTGCCGAATCGCGTGTTTGTGGAGGTGGTTGAGGACGAGGTCAGGGGCTACAGACACTCTCCAGGGACGCCGTACGTGGCCAATAACAATACCGAGGTAGCATTGCCGCTCGCGGTTGAGGTGGAAAGGCCGCGCCAGTATCTCGAGGTGAGAAACGACGGCTTGTTCCAGAGCGGCCCGTTAGCCGCGATCTGGAACAACAAGCTTATGCTATTCGGGATCTTGGTGACTGGTGCGATCCTTTTCGGTCCGTCCGTTTTGGAAATGGTGAACCCGGAGTATATTGAAACGTTCAAGGATGCGCAGAGACAGGGCATGCAGACCCCCCAGGGTATCAAATTGGATTAGGGGAAAGATTTACCGAAAAACGATGTGTGCGGTGGATTATCTGACAAATGAACTACTGATTTGTCATTATAAATTTGGAAATATGATACCATGATATGTTCTATGAGTGGCAAGGTTCAAGTAAAATATTCAAACTTTCGTAGATCATAGTAAGTGAGATTGCGAACCCAGGCTACATTTCAGACTGATCAGAGAATCTGGGAGGGCAGTTTTAATTCACACCAAATGTATTGCTATCCAACAAGATCTCCAACCCAATGGGAAAATGTACACGTGGTGTAAACGGTGGAATCGATTTTCCACCAGAAGTCCAATAGAGATTATTACACAAAAATCAATAACACCCTAATGCCCCTTTTAGTTTTTCGAGGATCGAGGTTTATCCGAGAGACGTATATATGCCGCTTATCTCTGTCTTCAAGACGGCCGGATTTGTACTCCTGCCTCTTCAAGTCTCTCCCAGACACCCAATAATGGACAATACTCAGTCTGACTCCTACCGCAAATCTCAGCTCACAATGGACTAACCGAGGCGCCTCGGAAATATCTACACGGTGTTCCCTGTCGAATCTTACGCGCAACGCTCATTCCTGCACCCTGGCTAAAAATAGCCGCAGCCACATTAACACCCTTCCGCTCTTTTCTTCTTCCCGACTCATTCACAATTCCCTTGTTTCCATGCCCTCACCAATCCTCCGAATGTTGCCGCCCATTTCGGTGCGAATCACTGGCACATGCCTCGTGTGGTACGCGGTGTCGTCCTTCACGTCACAGTCCACCAAGGCCATCTTGACCGTATTTCCGTACCCGCTTTCGCTCGCACTCTGGCAGTTTTTCATCCTGGCGGTGCTCTGTGCGGTGTTTTCAACCATCGTGTCGCACTTTCCGGTGCTTCGCATGCACTTTCCCAAGGGCACCGTGCCCGCACACAACGACGCCCGCGCTGTGTTGCTCTCGCGCGCGATCTTGAAGAGCACCCTTCCTCTTGGCGTGTTCCAGTTCGTGGGAAAGTTTCTCAGTTTACAGGCCATGTCCTTGGTGCCGGTAGCGACCGTTTCAAGTGTCAAGGCCTTGTCGCCGATTCTTATCGTCACCGGCTACCGGCTCGCGTATGCGGTGCGCTTTCCGCTTGTGACGTACCTCTCGCTAGCCCCGTTGGTGCTTGGCGTGGTTATGATTGTGGTGGCCGATAAGAAGCTCGAAACCGATGATTTGCATGATTTAGACCACGTAAAAGGTGCCCTTTATGCCCTCGGGAGCGCCACCGTGTTTGCGTCCCAGAGTATTTACGGAAAGAAGGTCTTCACCTACAACTCCCAGAACATCGACCCCGGCACCTTGGCTCTTCACGGGAGCGTAGAGGATGTCCAAAAGTTGCGGCATTTGCCCGTAACGGAGGACAATAGAGTCACTGACAAGGAAAGAGAGATGGTGGGTCGAGATTCCACCTACCGTCTGCGCGCCTTATCCATCTCCAAGCCGTTTACCGAGAGTGTGGATATGATGAATGAGTCGATCAAACCAGATAAGATCACTTTAATGATGCACTGCCTGATTCTTGGTTGTGGCTTCACCTCTGTCGCGTGGATGTGTTCGGAATTCTGGCCGCTTTGGGCAGCGCTCGGCAGCGTGGAGGTCCCATGGCTAGCCATGTGCGGGAACGGGTTTTGTCACTTACTCCAGTCGTTGCTCGCCTTCTACCTTTTAGGGTCGGTATCTACCGTCACCTATTCCATCGCCAGTATGTTAAAGCGTATCGTAATTATCACCATCAGCATTTCGCTCATGGTGAACGGCTATGGTATCACCCGCTACCAAGGTTTGGGTCTCGGGATGATTGTGTGCGGATTGTACTGCTACGACCGCTGGGGATCAGGGTCCAATCGGTAGAAAGAGGCTGGCATTTATGCCGATGTCTCTTAGATAGCATTAGTTGAGCGCCGTGTATACCAAAACAGCATGAGCCATTCACGTCCTATCAAAAAGGGGTGGCATTTTTTTGCGAAAAGCCCAACCCGAGAGCTAATATTAGCTTGAGAGGTTTTTTCCTAGTGACCGCTACCCTCAGTTTGAGCAGTTGACTTGTGCCCGAGTTTTTGACCAAAGGATTGTTTGTGGGTGTCGAATTGTACGCATTGAGCCTATCGTGAGCAGGAGTTGAACGGTTTGTTCCATGCTTTAAGTTGGGCTCGCATCCGCTGTTTTCTTATCGTTTAGTGTATGTTTAACAAAAAATTAAAATGGCATTTTCCAGAGAATGCTCCAGTCTAGTGCAATTACTTTAGCGAGAAGATCTTGTGCTGTTTGGAATCAAAAAAAAAAAAAAAAAAAAGCCTAGCCGGCTAGCCACCCGCTTCGAGACAAACATCTCATGGGGCCAATCCTGAAAATATACATGACTTGCAGCCTACACGTTCACCAGTGACGACATGCACAAGAACCTTCAGATTGACTAGACCCCGATCGGTTTCCAGATATCTTGATTCGCATTCAACGAGAATATATTACAAGTTAACCCTCAACCGTTACACCATAACCAGCTATCGCCACGCATAGATCTTTCCGCGGGAATCGCCACACACAAGCTCAAACTTCTGCATCAACGACGCCTCCTCATATTCAATCTCTGATGTGAGCAACAACTTCATCCGTGTCACCTCCGCGTTCTTGTCGATCGCAAAGCTCCGCGCACGGGTAAGGGTCCACTTTCCATCCAAGCCCACCCGTAGCTTGTACACCACGACAGTGCTACCCATACCTACCGCCACTAGCTCGTCCTTAAAGTATGCCCGGCCGCTGCATCGGCCAAATTCAATACACGAGACGCTTTCACGGCAATCAGAGACAAGGATTGGCTCACCGTTGAGAGTAAAAAGGTGCAATAGCAGGCCAACGCTGTAGCCCACACACCCGGTTTCGCTGGAAATCCCGATGGCCAGAACCAGCTTTTCCTCGCCCAGTTTAAACCTTCTTACAAACTTGTACCGAGAGAGGTCCCATAGAAGCACCGCACCTGCTTCATCCACGCTCAACGCCATGTTGAACGGCCGTGAGCATTGGATATCCCAGACCCCGCGGATATGGCCGCGGAGAATCTCCTGGAATTCCAACTCAGTCTCGCCTCCCACCATGGTGTATTTCCAGATGTGGATCGTTCCATCGGTAGAACCCGTTAAAAAGGAGCTCTCAGTTGCAAACACGAGGGCAGAGATCGGCTGATTATGGAAGCTTTCAACGATCTTGCCATTAACATACAACGAAGTTGGCGACGGTCCTTTTTTCATCAGGACTCCCCCGCTGTTCGAGGTGAGGAATGGTCTGCCCCTCCAGGCCCTGGTCTTTGTGCTCATTTCAATCTGGCTCACCGGCTCCTTGCTCTTCAGCTCCAACGTGAAAGACGGACCGTCTAGGATTTCCTTGGTCCAATCGACCGAGTCTAGCACCCCCTTGGCCGAGTGCGGCTGTTTAAAGATTTGCAACGGCGTCTGGCCAAAGTTGTGAATGATCCCGGTCATGGCACTCTTCTGCATCTCGTCGGAAATATCGTCCAAGTTGACCGCTCCGTGATAGCTGAGATTGTGGAACACGTTGCCAATCGCAATGGCCTCTGGTCCGTTTTGTTTGTACCCGAATATTAAATCAATCCATTTGTGCAAGTTCTGCGACACGTAAGGGCTTTCAAGAGCCTCCCTGTTCTTTCGGATAAAGATCTTGGGGTCCCCCTTGGCCCACGGCGGAAGTTCCACATTGTTGATTGTCTCACCCGACTGCAACTTTCCAAACTCAAAGTTGTTGTCGTTGGTCAAAAACTCGGGGAGGTAGAAAAACTCAGGGATGAGCTCACGAACGTCGGAGGAGTTGTCACGGGAAGCAGAGGTCCAGGTCTTGGGAATGGAGTAGAACAACCGGTCAGCGTGGTCAAATCGCCCGCCCTGTAGCAACAAATACGACTGCACATACGGCTCAAGGCGGATCAAGTAGGAAGTGACAATCATGGAGGAGGAGTAGTGAGTGCCATAATGGAACGGTGGGGCGTTTCGGTCCTCCAAACTCTCCAACGCCTCGTAGCGCTCGCGGAACTTTCCTAGTCGTTCCTCCGACTGAGCCCCCATGGGCTTGGAAAGGTCTCTGAACGATTTGGGGTCGTCTAGGTCGAGCTCGTCGCTGGTGTAGTCTGCGATGACCCAGGGAAACACCGGGTACTGGGTCAAATCGTTGCAGGTCCGCCCCGCGAGGGTGTTCACAAGCATCAAGTAGTATAAGTTGGAGATCTCGCCGCGTTTCCACTTCTTGGTGGCCGCAAAGATCCCGATGTTCATAGAGTTGAAGGCAGAAATGATCTTGGAGGAGAAGAAGGAGGGCTTAGCGGCAACCACGGCCGCCGAGGAGGCTGCCAACTTCAAAGCTTCGGTCAAGTCGTCGCTCAATCCCTTGCCTGTCGCACTTTGGGACAACTTCGAGTGTACAGAGTCCCGCTGCTTGGGGTTCAAGCAAGTAAGCAAAACCGTTCCGCCATCCACAAAGAAGAGCTCTAGAGCCACGTCCCGAAACAAAAACTGCTTCTTCGAGATGGAGGCAAGCTCGTCAAGCCTCCAGGAGCGGACCCGATGCGTAGTGGATGTCTCTGCCCGCACCTCTGACTCTCTCCCCGTGATCAACTTCAAGTACGGGTCTCTGGAGGCAGTAGGGGCATCCTCAATGTTCACCACTTCGCCGTTGGTCCCGTGGAAGTAGTTGTCAATAAGGTACAAGTGGGTGTTGCCAAGAATGCACAACCCCTCCACCGCCGAAAGGCCAAGAATCTGGGAGATGTTCCAGATGTGGGTGATACTATCCCCGACCGCCAAGCTACGAAGCACCTTTCTGTTTTTATCCTCCTCGATGCTCTGAGACTCCTCGACGAGTTCGAAGGTTTCCATCAGGGTATCAGGCGCCTCCTCACTCTGAAGCACGGGAACATCGATCGAGTAGGAAAGGCGCTCCGACTCGTGGACATCGTTCAACGGCAAAAGTCGCATCCGCATGCGGTCCAACCCCTCGATGGAATCCACATAGTACTTGACATCCGCCTCCTTCTTCAAGAGTCGCGAGGTTTCGGTCTTTATTCGGTTGTACGCGGTAATGTAGAACTGAAGGTTATCCTGGTGGTCCTGGATATGGCGGTGGAACTTCGACACCTCCATCTGGAGAATGTTCTGCGTCCACTTCTGGTTCTCACGCTGGAAGTTGTCGATCAACTTGCTGTTGAAAATGCGGAACTCCTGAATGATCCGCTTGACCCGGTCCCCTGCCAGGGCAGCGACCGGGTACTGCTCAATCCTCCTCGTTACAGAGACTTCGAGCGATCCCACCAAGTTGTAGTTGGCCGCAAGCTCCAGCATCACCTCTTCGTCGGTAGAGGTCACACAGTGCTCTAAGAACCCCGCCAACAAACTCAGGCCAAGAAGCCGGTTGATCTCCTCGACGTCCTTGCTTCTCTGGAGGTAGAAGCTCCTGAGAAGGGCCACCACCTGAGTATTGACAGAGAGCAAAAGGCACGCGAGGAACGGGCCAGCGAGACGGTTATCCAAGACATCCGCACCAAAGATCGTTCCCTGGTGGAGTAAGAGCAACTTGAGCAACCGCTCGCTATAACTAAACTCCTCGGTAGAGTCTTTGCGATCCCAAAGAACCATGTGCAAGAGCAACGAGCCAAGGTTCTGCTTCAACACCCTTACGCAGTCGTCCTGGCTACGGCTGTTCACTTCGATAACCGAACACACACACGACACCAACGCGTTGGCCTCTGAGTGGGTACCTCGGTAGATCTGGGTGTGCTGGACGCATTGGCCGAGCACCTGAGTCAACTTACGGAGTAACACCGGATCCTGGAAGACATCGGGGGTCATCAACACAAACTGATTAACGTGGTCGACGATTCCCAGATAAAGAAACTGCACCGTGAGAAACTTGAACTCGTCACCAAAGGCACCATACATGCGGGCGAACTCATCGCTAGGCTCAAACAACCTCTCGATAAACACCTTCCCCAAGAAGCGTTTTAATGACGTAAAAGAGCCCTCCACGCCAACATCAGCCGTCTCCATGCTTCTGAGCATCTCCAACCGGCCCAAGATGACCATCATCTGGCTCAACCACGTCTTGTTGTAGCAAAATCCTTTGATTGGCGTCTCTTCGAAACAAACCTCCATGGCAGCGACGTAGTCATTGATCAAGAGGAAGGGGGCTGGGCCAGACGCCGCCACCTTCAAAGAACTCAAGACGATATTGTTGAAGAGGTACATGTAGTCGGGTGCCTTAACGGAGACGCGGGTATGTCTCAAGGGGCCTCTTGCACATTGAAGCAAGGAGTACCCCGCGTCCGCCTGTTGGTCGTTGAGAATGCCAAAAGCGGCCGCGAAGATTGCCAGGCTGACCGATCCGTTGCTCCACCACTTGCCCAACGCGTGCGTCAAGATCTCCAAGCCGTTAAACCGGATAAAGTTGTCGTACACGTGGGTTCCGAGCACAGAGAGCATCTGGGCGAGAAGGGTGAACCCGAGCCGGATGACCTCGGCGTTGTCGCTGTTCAACACAAGGAGAATCCACCGGATGCTGACGGCCTTGGAAAGATTGCGGTACATCTGGGAGTACCGTTTAGACGACAGCCCCACCACGGGGGAAGCCGCCTCTAGCACCACATCAGTCAAAAGGCGGAGCACCACCGTCCCGCATTCTTGCTGGAGGGACCCTAGCTCTAACCCTTGGGGCTGTGGTGTCTCATTGCTCTCCAGCCTTAGAGGCTCGCTCGCTCTGTAGTTGAGGGCATAGATGATGTAGGAGGTGAGGGAGCGAATCACCTCCACCGACGGATTGGCCTTGACCAAGATCGAAAGGGAGTTATACACCACGGGAAGCATTTTGGTGTCGAACGTGCCGCACTTTAACGCCTGAATGAACCGCTTGATGATCTTCATCTTGATCAACTTCTTGATGTTAAACTGATGGTAGCGGGAGTCCTGACCGAAAACGGTGAACTGGTAGATAAGGAATTTGAAGGAAGACGAGCTGGTGCTGAGCTTGTTCCAGATGTCAAAATCAGTGATCAACGAGCGATAGGCGATAGGATTGATGATAATGGTGTCGATAGGGTTGTCGAAGTCAAACCCCACCTTTGCCAACACCAAGTCGAGGATCTGGTGGTCGATAAGGTTGGGCTTCGTCTTCAAGATAGTGGCGAGGATGTCATAGCCGTTGAGGGACTCCATTTCCCTGATAAGGCGCCAGTCGCTCAAGCACCGAAACAACAACTCTAGGGCGAGGAGGATGGTTTCTGAAGTGTCCGACGACTCGATAAGACGCAAGAGGAGTGCCACTCCTCCTATGGTGTATAGTGAATGGTAGACAGATGCTGCCCGCCAGACCGCCCGACTGGCGTTGTTGGCGGTGAGGTGGAGAAGGACGCCGGAGGGGTCAAGCATGTTGGAGAAGTCAACCGGGGCGTTGGTTTTTGACCATTCGATCAACCGGAGTTCAAAGGCACAGAGCGTGTCGTAGTTGAGGAAGCTCAAGCAGTTGCTCTGGTAGAGATCTGTGTACCCCACACCCATGTAGTAGCATAAGCTAATCCAGGTCTTTGGCTGGATACGGTTGACCACCAACACGTTTGTGAAGCTTGTCTGCTCTCCCATGGTCATTGTGAACTCGTTATTCGGATTAATTGCCTTAAAATCCACTGCGTCGCACCGGTCGATGAGCTCGCCGTTGACGTAGACCTTGAGTGCCAGTGCCGCGTACACGAGGGTCAAGTTGTAGAATACATGGGGCCGGAAGACGTACTCTGCGGTGTAGATATCATTGATGACCAATTTGGCATCTACTAGGCTGCATCGCAAGGAGTCTCTGTGAGCAGAGGCTCGGTCGTTGTTGTTGTTCGTGAGGGTGAACAACACCTCATCGATGGAGGTCACCCGGAACCAGGTCTGGAACGTGAAGCACTGCTTGCGTAAAAGGCGGATATTTTCCACCGGATCGCTGCCTGTGAAATAGTCACAGCAGACGGGGTGGTGGATAAGGATTTTATTGAAAAGCGCGAGAAAGTAGGAATCTGCAAGCGCCGCCTCGAAGAGCAGCAAGAGCAACGGTGCCTCACATCCCCGCTCCATCTGCTGGAGGAAGAGGTTTTCCAAGGATAAAAGTAGTTCTGTAGATTCGGGAAGCAACGCTGTGTCATGGTTTTCCTTACGAAGCGCTCTACAACAGAGCTGGAGCTGGGAAAAAAGAATGGTGGCAATCTCAGGGACTAGCAATTGGCGTCTGAGATCGCCAGTGATGTAGAGATGAATGATTTCGTACATTATCTGGCAGAATCGCGGCTCTTTGAGCGTAAAAACCAACTCTAAAAGGTGGAGGAACTGGATTGGGTCGACTGTCTCTATCTCTAGCAGATCTGCGAGGCTCGCGTACGACGCTTCCTGGATATCAGCATCGCGCCAGTTGAGCAAGAACGGCGCAATAACGCTTATGTCTTCGTGGATGATCGCGCTGAACAAGTATGCGAGCACGGCATCGGGGGATTCTGCGTAGAGCGACGAGTTGGTGATGATGGCGGGGTCGTTAGCGCCGAGATACTCTCTAGCCAAGGTGATGGCTCTCTCCTCTAGCTTTGGGATATCCAGTGGTCCCACGGAATTTTTCATTGGAGGAAATGGAGTCTGAACTGCAAAAAAAGATCAGTTTGAAGTGGCTTTTTGCTTAGCCGCCGATAACGATAGCAACGGAAAAGTGCGCCGCACCTCGGCCGAATTGGGTCGGTGTGTGCACAAGAGATGGGAGGGTTCCGTACTAGCCCGAACCCTGTCTAAGAGTCCAGCCTAGTGTGTAATACTGCTTAAAATGTTGGGTTAGGTTAGACAACTTGGATATTTGTTTAAACCGAAAACTATTAACCCAAAAACCATCGGCCTGGATCCATAGTGTCTGTCCTTCCTGTTTAGACACCGCGCCCGGGGCCTAGTCCGAATGGTGCGCGCACGCCGGAGATTTTTCTCAACCAATACACAAGAGACCGGGATGAAACCTGGGTGGGCCGACCCCACACTCAACCCCAAACGACCGAACGCGCGCTTAAATTATTAATATCTCACCCAAAATGGACGCGCTTAACATTGATACAAGAGAAATTGAGCTCCGGGAGCAGGACCGGTGGTTGCCGATCGCCAACGTGGCGCGGTTGATGAAAAACACGTTACCGACGACGGCGAAGGTGTCCAAGGATGCCAAGGAGTGCATGCAGGAGTGTGTGTCGGAATTCATATCGTTCATCACGAGCGAAGCCTCAGACAAGTGTTCGGCCGAAAAGCGCAAGACGATCAACGGGGAGGACATTTTGTTTGCGATGAACAACTTGGGCTTCGAGAATTACGCGGAGGTGTTGAAGATCTACTTGGCAAAGTACAGGGAGCAGCAAGCATTGAAGCAGGAACGCGGCGAGACCAGGAAGAAGACCGCGGCGCTGGCGCCCGTTGCCCCCAGCGTCGCTGAGCCCGAGAAGGAGTTCGTCGAGCCACTGGCCGAGCCCGCGGCGTTCGGCCCGGGTATTACTGGCTTCAACAACTTTGAGGACGTCGCAGACTTGCACGCATTGGCGGGGATCAAGCAGGAGGAGATCGGGCTAGACTTGGAGCTGATCTCGGGGGCCGAGGCACCGGCGGAGGACGTGAACGCGTTGTACTCGTTCCAGGATGAGTTTTAGCGGGAGGGCTGGCTCTGGTGATTACTCTATGTATGTGTACTTTTTTTATTTATTGTCATCAGAACCACTGGGGATACTTTTATGGCAAATGTTGATATAGGTTAGGAACTAAGGCAGTTATGCGTCTGACTGAGGTGTGTTTATGAGTATAGTTCTGTTAGTAAAGTTAGTAGCTATCCGCAAAGCATACTGATACGGTTTGGCCAAACAGGGGTAGATATGGTTCGGTTAGAGAGAGTGGATATGGTTCGGTTAGAGAAGGTGGATGTGATTCGTCTGCGAACGACCAACACTGGTAATAATCTCTACGCATGAGATACACGCCCAGATGTGAGAATAAGGCTGTGTATTAAGAGAATCCTTCTAATATCAAAATTTTTAGAGAATTTGTAAGATTTGTTTAGAATCAGATGACAAACTACTGATATCCTCATTAAGCAAGAGGGTAAACTGAGACGGAAGGGTAGGAGCTGAAACTTAGGCGAACTGGGCTAAATAACTTTTATACCCCGAATACAAGACATTGAGATTAAATTGAAATAATAACTGCTTTACTTTGGACGAGCTCATGAAATGGCTTAATTATTGCCATGTCTTTTGGTATCAGAGCGTACAAGCGATGCTATCGCATTCACGCTCAGAAAGGAAATTCCGGAACCGTAAAACCTTCCTATTCGTATGGCTTATATATGATGGACTATCCTGGCCAAATCCATGTCAAGGGATTACTCGGAAAGAACAGATCCGGATCCATAGCTTGAACCGGAGGCTTGAAAAAAAATGTATATCTGAATGGGGACTGAATCGGTAGACCCATTTCAGTCACGTGAGAATTACAAAGATCTACCTCTAGTTATGTCACACCTGGATATCCACCGAGTTTTTTCCATCTCCCTACTACACACACACTACCTCAGCCAGTACCTACCCCTGGTAACCCAATACACCGTTGTTGTTTTTATTGTCTCCCGTAGAAGGGATACACCAGCGATACCACCTACTTCTGGAGGTATCGCTGTTCGCCCTCTGACGTCAGTCGCGTGGCTCTGTATACAGGCCGATTAGTAACGGCCTTGCATCTCCGGGCGTGCACCAACCAGCAATACCGGCACTCTGCGTGGCGCTGGACGCTGAGTATTTTTGACACTTCTTGCCGCCTACCTCGCTACTCTCCCGGGCCCCACGTTGCTACCATAGAACATGATCCCTGCTTTGAGGGCCAAGAAGCTGCTTGTAGCTCTTGTCAGAAGAGCCTCCGCGGCGCCGATGCTCGCATCCCGTTTGCTGCCGCGCCCGGCCTCCGTCGTCGAGGCCTATCCCGCGCGCGCGCCCCTCGCGTACGCGCTCAGATTCGGTTATCCCTTCCTGCTTGAGGTGAAGGCGAAAAAGGAAAATGATGAGCCGATCGAAAAGGACGAAAAGAACATTGAAAAGAACATTGAAAAGAGTGAAAAGAATATCGAAAAGAAGGAAAAGAAGGAAAAGAAGAAGCAAAGCATCACCCCGGAACAGATGAGGGAGTCCATTGCTGCGACCCTCCCTGGGACATCCGCCGCTAGCTCTGGCTCCTCCTCTGGTGCGGCCTCCGGCCCCGACGATCCCGTGGAGCACTTGCCCAACATGATGATCATTCCGTTCAACAGCCGCCCGCTCTTCCCGGGCGCGTACCAGGCGCTCAACGTGACCGACGCGCGCGTCATTAAAGCTGCGAAGGAGTCGTTGCGAAGAAAGAACCCGTACATTGTGATCACGTTGCCGAAGGACCAAGCCTTCGAAGGTGACGTCCCGGGAGATGCCAGTGAGGTCTACGACGTCGGTGTGTTGGCGCAGATTGTGAATGTCTATCCGTCGAGCAACAAGAAGGGGGAGGAGTGGCTCGTGTACTCGCATCTGAGGGTCAAGATGGACGAGTTTATCGCCCCAAAGACGATTGTCAAGGTGGACGAGTCGAAGTTTGTGGATGTCGAAGCGCGCAGGGCTGAACTCCAGAAGAAGGTGAAGGAGATGGATATCACCTCAGATCGCAGAGTTGAAGTGCCAAAGGACCAGACGCAGGAAAAGGAGATGGATAAAGCACAGATTAAGGAAGTGGCACATAAGGATGGTGAGGAAGCTTCTACATCTCCTGAGTCCAAATCAGCGCTTACCAACCAGATCATCCAGTCTGAAATCGCGATGGTGCGCTCACCTAAAACCATCAAAACCATCAACATCGCGGACGAGCTTAACACGGCGCGGTACCTCCAAGACTACGGCGTGGCGATTGGGCGGTTCCTGAAGCTCGCAAACGAGTCGTTCACGATGGACGTAGCGATGCAGAGCTTGCTCGACGAGACGTTCACCGTGTACAAGCACATCTTTGAGGTGAACCCGCACGGGCTCCACCAGTCAAACTTCTCGCGCTTCAACTACGCGCAAAGCAAGAAGGGTGTGGATCTCAACTTGCGTCCCGACCTCATGGCGGACTTCATCTCCGGGACGGCTTACAGCGACGGCATCGTCGAATCGTTACAAAAGATCCTCGAGACAACCAACATCGAGCAGCGCTTGGCTCTCGCTCTTGATGTGCTACGCATCGAGCGCGACCTCGTATTGAAGAAGGCGAAGACGTTGCCGGAATCAGGGCTTCCAAACGGCGGGGCTGCCACGTCGCAGGCTGAAGAGATTGACGTCGTGGTGGAGCTCGAGAAGAGCGCCAGCAAGGTGTTCATGCCGAAGAAAGTGCGCCGCGTATTCGACTCGGAGTTGGCCGCGCTCCGCCGCGAGCGCGCACAGGCCAACACCTCCGGGGCTGAGAGCCGCAAGTCTTACCTCGAGTGGCTCGTGTCCATCCCGTGGGGTCGCTACACCAAGGACGAATACAGTATGGCCAAAGCCGCGACGGTGCTCGATGAGGACCACTACGGGATGCAGGAGGTCAAGGACCGCATCTTGGAGTTTGTGGCCAGCGCCAAGCTCCTGGGGTCACTTCTGGGCAAGATTGTGTGCTTGCACGGGCCGCCGGGTGTGGGAAAGACGTCCATCACGAAGGCACTCGCAAAGTCGTTGAACCGCCGCTACCACCGTATTTCGCTTGGCGGCATGTCTGACGCGAGCGACTTGAAGGGGCACAAGCGTACCTATCTCGGGGCATATCCGGGTAAGGTGGCGTTGGCAATGAAGGATGTGAAATGCCAGAACCCGGTCATTGTGCTCGATGAGGTGGACAAGATGAGCAACATGTACGGTAGCCACGGGAACCCGGTGGCGGTGTTGTTGGAGATGTTGGACCCGGAACAGAACGCGAACTACGTGGATACCTATTTGGAGGTGCCAATCGACTTGTCGCGCGTGTTGTTTGTGTGCACCGCGAACGATATTGGCCTCTTGCCCGCGCCGGTCAGGGACCGGATGGAGCTTATTGAAGTTCCAGGGTATACCGACAGGGAAAAGTTCCGCATTGCGAGAGACTACTTGGAGACAAAGGCGAAGAAGCAGAACGGATTGGACGGGAGTCATATTTCGCTCACCGACGAGGCGGTGACCAAGTTGGTGGCCGAGTACTCCCGGGAGAGCGGCGTTAGAGGGTTGGACAAGTACTTGCAGAAGATTTATAGAAAGGTGGGGATGAAGGCGTTGAAGGAGTTAAAGTTGGACGAAGGTCTGGTAGAGGATAAGACCGACTCTGAAGTCAAGGGATCGGAGGTCAAGGGATCGGAAGTCAGGGAAGTATCTGAACCTGCCGTAGCCCCCAGCCCAGATGCCGTTCCGGCCCAACTTGAGAACCCTGTATCAAACCCCAAGGCAAAGCCTGAAGCCAAGGCTGAAACCTTGATGGCTGACCCTAAGCCAGTAACGGAGGCTGTCGCCCCGGGTAGGACCTCCCGCGAGGCCCTTGAGGAGGATGACTACGCGGATACGTTCCCGCTTGCGGAAATTACCGTTGATCGCGTAACCTTCCCTGAAACCTACACCAAGGAAATCCAAGCCTCTGAGTTGGTCGGGCTCCTTGGACCGTCCCATCCCGACGTCCGTCTTTTTGACCAGCCGCCACCTGGCTTCACCCAAGGTCTCGCGTATAGCTCCATGGGCGGGGCTGTGTTGCCGCACGAGGCCGTCTTGGAACATCCCTTGTTCTACTCGCAGTCTGGGTCCTTCTCATCCACCGGGCTTCTCGGCGATGTCATGAAGGAGTCCTCGGCGATCGCCTACTCCTTCTCGAAGATGTACTTGAGCCGCTTCTACCCGGAGAACCGCTTCTTCGAGCGCGCGCGCATCCACATGCACGTGCTCGACGGTGCGATTCCAAAGGACGGTCCGTCGGCGGGTGTCACGATGGTGTCGTCGTTCCTCTCGCTCGCGCTCAACCGCTCCATTAGTTCGGGCATCGCGATGACCGGGGAAATGTCCTTGAGCGGACGCGTGAGACCAATTGGGGGCTTGCGCGAAAAGACCATGGCCGCGAAGCGCTTCGGCTGCACCACCATCATCTTCCCGAAGGAAAATATTGCCGACTGGGAGAAGGTGCCGGACTACATCAGAGAGGGTTTCACCTTCCACGCCGTGGAGAACTACTCTGAGATCTTCAACGTGATCTTTCCGGGCATGAACGCGACCGAAGGGAATGGTGTCTGGAAGGCTGACTTTGACAAGATCGAGGCTGAGGCCAAGAAGAAGAAGGAGTAATGTGTGTAATGTAATGTAAATAGCAATAGATATGACAAAGAATCCTACTCCCGGTATTAATACCGATGTATATATAAAGTCGTTAATCCTATACCTCAGCATCCCCATGGGCGATCATGCTATATCTAGCATCACTCGGACCAGTTTGCCATCCATGTCAGACGCAGACATTTTATTAATATTTATCTAAACGGTTCTACGTGTACCCTATCTGGGGGGGGGGGGGGGGTTTCAACGTCTCTCGGGCGCACAAACGGACATTCTACTTACCATTACGAATAAGTGTCAACCGCACCCTACCTTTGGTTTATCCCCCCGATGACAATGCTCTTTACAACCGTGTAGTCATCAATCCCGTACTTGGACCCTTCGCGGCCCAATCCACTCGCCTTAACCCCACCAAATGGAAGCGCGCTCTCGGAAATCGCCCCCGTATTGGCCCCCACCATGCCCACTTCCAAGGCCTCGCCGACCCTGAATACCCTGGCATAGTCCCTGGAAAAGAGATACCCGGCCAAACCAAACTCGGTCGCATTAGCCAACCTCACCGCTTCCTCCTCAGTCTTAAACTTGAATAATGCTGCCAACGGCCCGAACGTCTCTTCCAGTGCCACTTTCATATCGGCTGTCGCATCTCGCACAACCGTGAGCTGGAAGAAATTCGCCCCCAACTCCGGGACACCGCTTCCCCCGGTCAAGACCGTGCCCTGCTTTGCCACCGCATCAGCAATGTGCTCCTGTACCTTTTTGACAGCTCTGGTATGGATCAACGGGCCGTGGGACACGTCGGGATCCAACCCGTTGCCAAGCTTGAGCTTTTCCACCGCTTGGGTAAACTTTTTGGCAAACTCCTCGTAGATTCCCTCCTGAATGTACAATCTGTTTGCACACACGCATGTCTGACCAGACTGACGGAACTTGGAGCCAATGGCCCCAGCCACCGCTGCATCGATATCAGCGTCGTCAAACACGATGAACGGTGCGTTTCCACCCAATTCCATCGACACTTTCTTCACCGTGCCCGCCGACTGCGCCATTAGCAACGCCCCGACCGGCGTAGATCCTGTGAACGACACCTTGCGCACGTCCGGGTGTTCGCAGATGATTTTTCCGGCTGCCGGCGTCCGCTCGTGGCTCACGGGAACCACATTCACCACACCAGGGGGGATTCCCGCCTCCTCCACGAGCCGTGCAAACGCGAGCGCGCTCAATGGCACCTCTGAGTCAGGCTTTATCACAGAAGTGCAGCCTGCCGCCAACGCTGCCGCAACCTTGCGTGCAAACATTGCCTGGGGAAAGTTCCACGGTGTGAGGATCCCGACGACCCCGACCGGTTGGCGCATCGTGAGGATGCGGTTGTCGCCGTTGGCAGACGGGATGGTGTCGCCGTACATGCGTGGCGCCTCCTCTGCGAACCATTTGTAGAAGCTGGCCGCATACGCGACCTCGCCCCGTGCGTCCACCAACGTCTTACCGTTCTCCAACGTAAGGATGCGAGCGAGATCCTCAGCGTTCTCCGTCATGAGCTGGTAGAGCCGGTAGAGAAAATCCGAGCGCATACGTGCGGTCGTATGTTTGTACGTGGTAAATGCCTGAGTTGCGGCATCGATCGCACTTTCAACGTTCAGGTCGGTCATACACGCAACCTGGGCGAGCTCCTGGCCGGTGGCAGGGTTCAACACCGTAAATTGGCTGGCGCCGGTCACCCATTGGCCGTTGATGAAGCCCTGAGTCTGGAGCAACCCTGGGTTACGCAAGCTGTGGAGGGCTCTGCGAAACGATCCCGCGGTTCTGGCACGGATTGAGATCATTAAAAAGGAGGTTAAATGGGAGTGGCTGCGTATGCTTGGGTAAACTAGTGTGGGCTTGTAATAACAAGCTTGTAGATACTGATTTGTGGGTAACCTTAGCGTATGCCTTTCAACTTGGTTGTGTGAGCTCTTATTGGGGGGGCAAGATCCTGGTAGACAATGTGATAGCCTCGAGTGCGGAGTCCGCCAATCCTTACCCCCCCCTTTGAGGGGCTTCCCCGGATAATGTTGAAAAATCACGTGCGTAGTTTCTTTTTCTATCACGTGCGCGGAAACGTGACTGGATAAATTTCTCACACCGAAAAGTTACCCGCAGCGCGCCGGGCAGGAGCCAATGAGGTCTGCCAGAAAAACGTAAGCGTAAGAAACGACAGAACGATATCAAAACGCATACATAAAAATACTCGACCCATTTTCACAGTAGCACCACTGAACCCCAACACTCCAACAATGTCTTCCATTGCCTTCAAGTCTGCTAAGAGCCTCAGAGCCTTGGGTAAGTCAATATATTCAACGCCTGCCGGGACAAAGAGGCTGGCGTTTGAACCCGTGCCAATACTAACACTCCAGGTGCTCAATCTAGATTATTCTCGTCCTCTGCTGTCGCTGCCAAGTCGAACTACAACCAGCCAGACTTTGGTGCCTACACCAAGCCAGGCCGCGCTGATGATAGGTCCAGATCCACGGCCTACTTCATGATCGGGTCTATGGGTTTGTTGACCGCCGCCGGTGCCAAGTCCACTGTCGAAACCTTTTTACACACCATGTCTGCTTCCGCCGATGTCTTGGCCATGGCCAAGGTTGAGGTCAAGTTGAACGCCATCCCAGAGGGTAAGAACGTCATTGTCAAATGGCAGGGTAAGCCAGTTTTCATCAGACACAGAACCGCTGCTGAGATCGAAGAGGCTAACGAGGTCGATGTGTCCACCTTGAGAGACCCACAGACTGATGCTGACCGTGTCAAGACCCCAGAATGGTTGATTATGGTTGGTATCTGTACCCACTTGGGTTGTGTGCCTATCGGTGAAGCCGGTGACTTTGGTGGTTGGTTCTGTCCTTGCCACGGTTCCCACTACGATATCTCTGGTAGAATTAGAAAGGGCCCAGCTCCGTTGAACTTGGAAATCCCAGCCTACGAGTTCTCCGATGCCGACACCTTGATGGTCGGTTAAACCTCCTCCCGACCCCTCCAAGGGCCTGTAAATACGTGAATAAAGCTTTGAGCTGAGGCCTGGATTGGATAATTAATAGACATCAATTCCGGTCAATGGGGCCTTTGTTTGCGTGGGCCCTCCATTCCCAAAGCCATTCCTTTTATTTCCTTCCGCTTCTCTTTTTTCTCCTATTTATTGTTTTTTGCGCCCGCAAACCCCCGTGGGCTGATAAACTGACAAAAAAAACTGCATTACGTTCTGTTTGTTGTAGGTACATTTTGATTCTTGGCTTTAGAGTCTTGGGTTGAGCGCGAGTAACCTCTCTAAATCGTCGGGGATCACACTGTAGTCGTACCCGGTCCCAACGGAATCGCTCTCGGCGATGTCAGAGCTATACGAGAGACTATGGGTGTCACCCAAATCATGAAACGGTCCGTCCCAGATATCTACCCCTCCGTGAAGAACCCGTGGAGGTAAATTCTTTGGATTATAGTCCTCGATAAGATGCTTCCGGTAGAACACGCTCCAGTGGATCAAAGGGTTGTCAGGAACACGGCGATGCCTTCCTAAGTTGGGAACCATTCGACTTTTCCATTCGCCGTTCTCATTCTCAATGAACGTCCCCACGGGGACCAATTCGATCAACCACCACAAAAGCGCCTGTGTAAACGATTCTTCTGCTCTGGAAGCAAAGCGTAGCACGTTTTCCCCGATGCTTGACTCGTGGGAGGATGACCTTGGAATCACAAAAGTTTCCAGGCTCGAGCTGAAGTTGTCGAACGGTGAAGGAGATTCTTCACCCGTGTCTCTGGTGAGGCTAAGTTTCCTCCACGAACTTCTTTTCTTTTTGTTGGTTATGAAGTGCGTGGTTTTGTTCTCAGACGGGGCTCCATTAATGATACGGGAAAGGCTTCGGGAGACCCAATTTGCGTCGCTGGTTCCTTGGGTGTACTTTCCTTTGGTTCTAATGCGTAGAGATAACGCGTCGTGGTGGCCCGCGTACAAACTATCCTTAGACGGATACCTGACCGCAAACTCGTGAATCGACCCTTCCTTGAAAAGCACCCCATACTTTACCGCGTGGAAAAGCATCCAGCGCAAGGGAAGGTTGGAAAGAAACTGGCCGTCTGGAGTTGGGGACCACCCACCTCCTACGTCTGAGTGCTCTCCGGGAAACCACATTTCAACCAAATCAGGCGACGGCGGAACATCAATCCTGGTATTTTTCTTTCGACGGAGAGGCTTTGGCAACCGGATAGGGTGGGCATACGTAGTGGGACTGTTTGACAGAGCGTAAACTTCGTTTGCCGCGATATTACAAGAGGCAAGTCCCCCTGGCGAGCGGCAGTATCCCCCAAGCAAAGCTGAGTATGTGTACGGGAGAAATAAGTTTTGCTTGTACTTTCCGCGGCGTTCGTCTAGACTAACGGCGTGTCGAACGTGTTTGACAATGTTGCTTCTGGCGGTAAAGGGGAACAAACGGTCTCTCAAGAGTCCCACGGAGTTGACAGAATCCCAGAGTCCCATGAAGTGGATCTTCACTATTCCACGGGTAAACGCGCTCTTAAACTCCTCCACTAACGTAATGGTTAAATCTCCTTGCTGGGCCGGTTGTCCCGCATACTCCCATGTCTTGTAGATAGACCACGCAGTGTCCACCATGTCCTCCAACCCCGAGTTTAGCAACCCCACTCGTTCGATCATCCCCGCGAGAACTCTGGCTGTAAAGGCCCCGCGACTAGATGCGTTAATTTGCTGCATATATGAAGCTATCGTGGTAAACAAACCTAAATCCAAAGAGGTAGATCCTGTCACCTTTGGCGTAGAATTTCATAAGATATTTGTAAGCCGCTTTGGCGTGGGCATCCAAGGAAAACGCAATCATCGTGTCAATGTCAGCATCTACTCGACCCAAAGCACATCCCAAAATGTCTGAATGCTTAAGGCTGGTGGCCTCGGCCTGGAAGGATGTTCCAATCCCTGGTTGGTAGTAACACATCTGCTTGTCATAGGAATCCTTGGCTAGCATTCGGAAGAGTTTCAACACATTCGTAAACGGCTTAGGGCCAAACTGCTGGGAGGTACCATCAAAACACAAGATGAGGTTTTTATGTGGGTGTATCTTGTCCGGTTGGCTGTCGGGGGTGGAAAAGGATGGATCTGATTCGGAGCTTGGTGGTGCCTCTGTTGAGTAAGCAAGTCCACTGGGTTTTAGCCCCTTCAGTGCCATTTTTTTGTATATCATGGTGAGTCGTTAGCGTTACAGTGTGTAAATCGTGTAATATAATGAGACTGGCGTGCAATTTATATCCCTGGGAGGTCGGCGTCTGATTCAGAGAGTATTGGGTATGTGCATAAATTGCTGAGCGTCACAAAGATCAGATGAAGCACAGATAAATGTTTGGCTAAAAGTCAGTTATCAACAATCTAGTAGTCCTAAATGGTTGGCATTTTGATTTTTTGGGTAAGAAGTTAAAGTGAGAGCATTCAGTTACCTATAGTGAAAGGCCCCTACATGCTGTATAATCAATTTCCATTATACCTTTAACTTTGAAGTATATAAACATACATATTTCCTAGATCGAGAAAACCACGCTATGATTATTGTCGATATCGCCCCAATTTTAATTTTGGATTATTCATTCATATTTACACGTACTTAATCAACCATTTGACAATCTTTAATCATATAATCAATATGAATATTATATCTACCGTACGCTTACACTATGTTACAGATTTCTCAGTTAAATCCTGCACACATCCTCATCTCGAACCTTTTCCGCTGAAAAAAAATACCGACCCTGATCCTTCCAATCACTGAAAAACCACACCATTTATATACCCACAACTATGAGCAGCACAGGTCAGCCGGAATTACCACCACAGTTGCAGAACACTGCGCAGAAGGTGGACGATGTGATGAAGGAGTTGAACCGCATGCCCTTCTTCATGACCCAGCTCGACGAAACAGACGGCGAGGGCGGAGAGAACCTTGGCTTGGAGGCGTTAAAGGCGTTGGCATACGAAGGAGAACCAGACGAGGTGGCCACCAACTTCAAAAATCAGGGTAATGATTGCTACAAAGGCAAACAGTACAAGAACGCCATTGAGTTCTATACGAAGGGCTTGGAGATGAAGTGCGGTGTGGATGCCCTCGAGGCCTCGTTGTATCTCAACCGCGCGGCCTGCAATTTGGAGTTAAAGAACTACCGCAAGTGTGTGAATGACTGCAAGTTGTGTTTAAAGATCGACCCAAAAAACATCAAAGCCTACTTCAGATCGTGCAAGGCCTACTTTGGAATGGACAGATTAGATGAGGCAATTGAAGTAGCGGAGTACGCGTTAGCCCTTGAACCGGAAAACACTGCCATCAGGTCTGTTCTCGCGACGGCACAGCAAAGAAAGGGACAGTTCAAAGCGCTTGCCGATAAGAAGCAGAGAGAAGCACAGGAGAAGCAGATGAAGCAGGTCATTCTCGCAAACGCTATCAACTTGAGACATATTCTGGTAGTGAAGACCCCCAAGCCCGCCGCCTTGCTCGGAGATGCGAAGCTCCGGTTGGAGGATGAGACAGACTATGGGTCCCAATTGATCTTTCCAGCGATGGTGGTGTACCCCACCACCGACGAGTTCGACTTTATCGCCGAAATCAGCGAGTTGACGACTCCGGCGGAGATGATGGAGATGGTCTTGAACAGACCAGCCGCATTTTTTGCCGAGCCACAGCACCAAAACTTCCATCCAAAAAAGATGGAGGCGTATATGGAGACCGAGACCGGTGGCTTGATCAGGGTCGGGAAGAAGGTAGCAATCAATAACGTGTTGATGGCCGACAAACCGTCTGTTCCATTGTTTGACAACTCGTTGAGAATCTACTTTGTGCCAAAGGTGGATTCCGTCGCGTGGATTGCCACCTGGGACAAGGAAATTGCCTTGAAGAAGCGTTTGTAAGAGGGTCATAGAAAAGGAGAAATGACCTAGAGGCTCAGATGGAAGAATGGCGCAGAGGCTCAGAAGCAAGTCATGGAGAAAAAGTTGATTCTCCTAGGTTGGGGAATGTCGTTTGACATAACCAAAAATACGGTAGGATTGGTATTTCCCACCCTGCTCTACCCAGGAGTCTATTTTCTTCACTGGTGGATCTGGAGATACCAATATTTTAGAATTAGTATACTGCTTGACGGCGAAGCTCTGTATTAAGTGTAGCAAGTGACTCTGTGGCGCCGCTGGTTAGGTAATGCCGTTCAAGAATACTCTGCCGTTTGAACGTATGGCAGGCTCTCTTTCAATGGTTGACTAACACTGGTATGCAGATGGACTTGCGCCGTACTGCTCTATTGTAAAATGTGATCCAAGGTTAAAAATATCATTATTTCCTCGAAAGTTCTGATGGAAATCATTTTCATATAGTAAGCTGGTATGGCGCAGCGGTAGCGCAGCAGATTGCAAATCTGTTGGTCCTTAGTTCAATCCTGAGTACTAGCTTTCTATACTTTTTTTGGGGGCCATCCTCAATCCCGCCAAGTCTTGCAATAAATCACTGCACATTCGCTCTTGCAACAAAACTGAGGAGCTCTATACGATTTGGGACTTTATATAGTTATTTACTTGGCCGCAAGGCTGGAGAAAGGTGGAACATGTGAGCATGGAACTAGAACGCAAATGCCTAGCAGCATACGCACATGTGGCCAGCCGGAGTAGGCAATACACATTGGTCAATACGCATTAGTAGCTTGTTACAGATCCGAGATTTAAAAATCGTCAACTTTACAAATATTTGATATTACCCTGAGACTATGAGCGTTCACCAATTCCAGGTAGCATCATGATGTGGCCATAATCCGTATCACCTAAACTATAAATGCAGCCACACTCATCAGTTCAAACTCAAATTTTTATGCTTGTTCGCTTATCTCTTATGTCCAATTTTTCGGTTCTCGGTGCTTGCTCCCCCGGTGCTTTTACCCTCCCGGTTTTGGTGCTCGTTGACCGGTGCTTTTTCACTTTCCGGTTCTCGGTGCCCTTCCATTTTCGGTTTTGACGCTCGTTCCCCCCCGGTGGTTTCTCCCGGTTTCGGTGCTTGGCGCTAAGGAAAACTTTTTGCACAGTGGAAAATACTTTCCATCACGTGAATTCCTCCTTTGGGAAGTTCTGAGTCACAAAAATTAAGCGCGGTTCGTAATCAACCGTGGGTGGAAAACTTGGCCAGATTGGAGGTATATAAGTGCGCTGCCAAAAATTTTCACCCCCCATTTTTCTTCCTCTCGAATTCCACTCTTTACACACACACACAGTATGTATCAAACAGCTCTCTATATCTGATTGCCATCGTATATTCATGTCATACTAATGTCTAGATGTTATCTGCTTACAGACTCGCGGCCAAGACGCCGTTCGTGAGAACCTTGGCCACCAAGGCCAGCGGCTTGAACAGAGCCACCTTGTCCCTTAACAAGGGCCCAATCTTCCACGGTTCCTCTTTTGGAGCACCGATGAACGCCACTGGGGAGCTTGTCTTTACCACCTCGTTGGTCGGCTACCCAGAATCGCTCACCGACCCCTCCTACACCGGCCAGATCTTGTGCTTCACCCAGCCATTGATCGGTAACTACGGTGTGCCAGCGCAAACCAAGGACCAGTTCGGATTGTACGACTACTTTGAGTCCGGCAAGGTCCAGGTTGCCGGTGTTGTGGTGGCCGATGTTGCTCTCGAGTACTCCCATTGGACCGCCGTGGAGTCCTTGCAGCAGTGGTTGACCCGCGAGAACATCCCAGGTATCACTGGGGTCGACACTCGCCAGTTGGTCACCTTGTTGCGTGAACAGGGCTCCACCCTCGCGCGTTTGTCTATCGGTGAGGAGTACGATGAGGTGGAGGACGCCGGTTTCGTGGACCCTTCCAATATCAACTTGGTGCACAAGGTGTCGACTAAAGAGCCATACACCATTGCCAACCCCGGTGCTAAAACCAAGATCGCAGTCATTGACTGCGGTGTCAAGCAGAACATCCTCCGTTGTCTTTTGGAGCGTGGTGCCGAGGTCACCGTCTTCCCGTACAACTACCCAGTGGACAAAGTCATCGACCAGTACGACGGGCTCTTCCTCTCCAACGGTCCGGGTGACCCTACCCACTGCACTGCCACCGTTAAGGTTTTGAAAAACATTATGGAAAACACGCCCAATACCCCGATCTTCGGGATCTGTCTCGGGAACCAGCTTCTCGCCTTGGCCGCCGGCTTCAAGACCGTCAAGATGCCGTACGGTAACCGTGCCCACAACATCCCAACCCTCAACATGCTCAACGGCGAGTGCAGCATGACTTCCCAGAACCATGGCTACGCCGTCAGCTCCAGTAACATGGGTAAGGAATGGCAGCAATGGTTCATTAACTTGAACGACGAGTCCAACGAGGGTATCAAACACACCTCGCAGCCGTGGTACTCCGTCCAGTTCCATCCGGAGGCCATGTCCGGTCCTGAAGACACCGTTGGCTTGTTCGACTTGTTCTTGGACGACTCTGTCAAGTTCAAGGCGGCCAAGGCCTAGCCCTGCGTCCATCTATCTACATGTATATTATTTCAAGCTAAGCAAGTGTAGGTTTTGATCATAAGCTATATTTGAGATGACGGGAAGTAGCTGTTACTCGCAATATCCAAGGTAGGGTTGGTTTTCTCCGTACGTTACTTGTCGATATCTAGACCTTCAAAGTCCCTTGAGCTTGTTGCAATCTCGCATAAATTAACAATTACTGGCTGATTGCAACAAGCCCAGGGGAGCAACTCTGCAGCAACACAAGCTCAGACCACTATAGCTCGGAACCGCCCATTACCGGTTCTAGATCCCTATCTAGTCGACGAGATTACTGGTACACAACTTATAAACCACGTCTCGAAGACCGAAGCTGTTTATCTTTAGCAACGTGTTGACGCAGACGTTGTCGACTGATAACTTACCTCCGATAAGACAACAGGTCATAGCATTGCCCTTGGACGCTTCGGAGCCCTATCTTCCTCAATATAAGGATCCCTACTTTGTCTACATCTAACGGATAAAAGGTATTATATTTAGCCTAACTAAGTTCCGCTTATCCTAGAAGGATTTACGCATTCCTGGTGACAGTGACGATACTGGTGGAGATCGGAACAGTGTGAGTGTTAGAAAGAGTGACAGTCTTAGTGGTCATCGTCTTGGTAGTAGGATTGGTGACAGTGACAGTCTTAATGACAGGTGGAGTGGTGGTAGCCTTGGTGATAGTGGTTGTCTTAGTGGTGGATGGAACGGTAGTAGGATGAGTGGTAGTGGTAGTCCCAGTACTAATCGACTTGGTGCTAGTGACGGTAGTCTTAGGAGTGGTTGTGGTCTTTGTAGGGGCCCCAGTCACGGTGACAGTGACATACATAGTGGTACTTGGAACGGTGGTAGGGTGGGTGGTGACGGTAACCGTGACGGCAGTCGACTTGGTAGCGGTAACCGTAACAACAGCGGCCGCACGCTTAAGAATAGGGTTGGCAAGCTTAGAATAACTCTGGCCAAACCAATCAAGTAGCTGATTCAAAGAGTCCGGACTTGAGACGGCAGACTTGTCAGAAGTGCTATCTGGGGCAGTAACGGCGGCACTGAGAACCGCGCTGGCAAAAGTAGCCGTAATGATTGCAGATGAAACTCTCATTCTAAGGTGGATATTTGAAGGATAAGATAGGTACTTGTAAGGAAGAAACTATATAAAAAAATAACGGTGGAATATGGGTATTTATATAGCATTGGTCTGACATCGGTGCGACGACCCCCGATACAGCTGTGAAAGAGACGATGAGGCATGAAGAATGGAGAGTGGGAAACAAAACTTGAAACACGTAAACGGGGGCTGGGCGCATAGCAACTATTTAATTAGAACAATCCGTTTGATGACTAACTTCAACCTTAATAGGATTAGACATGATAAAAGCGTTTCGGCTAATCCCTTTTGGTGTTGCTGACTCATACGAAGCAGGACTAAACGGTGCTATCCTTCACCAGACCCTGTCTTAAATATCTCTTGATCCATAAAACTCAGTAAAACACTTTTAAGCAGTTAAAATATCATTGATATGTTTTGTAGCTGAGTCTGATTGGCTTAAAATCCGTATATATGTCAAGGACAGTTATCGACGGTGGATTTATCTAAACCATGCAGCCTAAACCATACAGGCGAAAAAGGTTTTATTGTTTGGCAGCATCCAAGGGCCTGGTTACTTTGTACCCGTCAGCGCGCGTGCATAGCAATGCATATACAAGGCGGGATACTGGGCAGTCCGATTTGCTCAGGTACCGTCCATATTGAGTATGGTCCGATAATTAAGTCCCAAATTTACCGCAGTATTCATTAGGCTATTTTTGGAATTCTGGTGCTAGCCCTTTCTAATAGGGCCTGGCCAGGAAGTTATTTGTCACTATTACTCTTTTCGTATGCGATTACGATATTTACAAGACCCCCTAGGAAGCCCATACCCAGTGAAGTCAATAGTCAGTGTATTCCCTGCCAAACTGGCTCTCCTCTTGTATCTTTGGGGAGCCAGCACCCATCTCTCACCAGTCACATAGGTTTCAGTCATTGATATTACCCAGAGCATTATTTTCACGTGCCAAGAAACACAACTCTTGGATATTCCCCAGGCGGACGACGCTAATATTGCCTCGAATAGTATATATGCATGAGTGAAATTTCCTGATAGTTCCATATTGGCTCTGATATGCAGCAGGTTACCCAAACCCTTTGTCTGTATTGTTTCGGGCCTCTTCAGTTACTCCCTATTGGAAAAAGGCTTCTGAAAGCCAAGCACGCCCTGTTTCTTGGCCATGGCTGATGCTGAAAACAATACAATAATCTTCACTTACCCCCGATCCAGATGAACGACCCACGTTTACTCTTTCCTGGTTGGGCCATTCAATGTACCAAACGGTACACTGGGGGTGATGTACATAAGCGTTGGCCATCGAGGCATGAAAAAGTGAGCTCCTTAAATCTATTAATTATCCAACCATATATCCATCAGGGGTTGAGAACATATATTCTGAGCTCTCTCAGAAGTCCCTGTGTCTTCTATAAAGCTACAATCCAAGTTAAAGTAGAACCCCTGAAAGCCCCCAGAAGTTCTCTAGGATACTTTTATATGTAAAGCACTGCTCGCAGAATTTTCATGCTTGGGAATTGAATCTCTTTTCAACCCTTGAAGCACGTCTTGGGTTGGCAGCCCATCTCTGGCACCGGCCAAGAGCTAACTTGGATTTCTCTGTGCATTTTCGTAAAACCTCTCCCCTTCAGAGCTCCAGATTATGCTACAGCTCCTTAAGGGTTGCTTCGTAGTTCATTAGGACTCGTGAAATTTCAACTCATTCTCCCCTCATTCTAGCGTACCCCCGTATTCCCGCCTGGCTTGCCATGGTCCAAGCCTCACCAACTTCTCCGCCGATCCGCCTCAACGTCTCCCAGATCTGTGTATTCAAGTCTGGATTCACGTGATGCGCCGGCTCGTGCTGTGTCGGCTCGTGCTGTGCCGACTCGTGCTCACTGTGAGGTCCTCCGCCGGTCCACCTCAATGTCTCCCAGATCCGCGCAATCAAGTCTGGATTCGCGTGGTGCGCCGGCTCGTTCTCACTCTGAAGCCCTCCGCCGATCCACCTCAACGTCTCTCGGATCCGCGCAGCCAAGTCTGGATTTGCGTAGTCTGCCGGCTCATCCTCACTGTGAAATCCTCCGCCGATCCACTTCAACGTCTTCCAGATCCGCGCATCCAAGTTTGGGTTCACGTAGTACGCCGGCTCGTGCTCACTGTGAAGCTGAGCCTCAAACCTCAAAACATCCTTCTGCGTAATAATCCCACTAAGAACCCCCTCGGTCTCCACAAGCATGAACCGTGGGCCCAACTTGTGAAAGATGTCGAGGGTAGTCTCCAACGGCATGGACACCGTCACCAGAAGCGGCGCAAGATTCACCACCGCTGAGAAATCTATCATATCGTCCTCCACACCGTCCACGGCGAACTTGCACACAAAGTCGGGGGAGTTCTCCGAGCTGGTGGAACGTCCGCTGCGCATAAAGGTCTCTTCGACAAGCCGCACGTCCTGCCGCGATATATAACCGAGAATATGGGGCGCGGCGAGGCTCTCGACAACGGGAAAGTCCGCGAAGGGTGTCTCGCGCAACACGTTCTGAAGCTCGGAAAGGCGCAAGCCTATTGCGGGAAAGGCAACTACCGGGGTGGACATGGCCTTGACCGTAGGCGCATTGAAGTCATGGTCCTCCTTGTTATCAATAAAGGGCAAGCCGTTGAAGCGGATCATCTGGTCAGCGATCCCTCCGTGGCCCCACTTGTCGTTGATGCTCTTGGTCACGGCGACAACAATCATCGTCGGGAGAATGTACTTTAACGCACCCGTGAGCTCAAACATGATGACCACTACCGTGACGGTCAAATGGGTGATACCACTCAAGGCCGCACCCGCGCCCAAGAACGCGTACGTCCCTGGGGTGATACATGAGAGCGCATCGCCGTTGTCACACGCGCGGAAGTAGAACGCACCTGCGAAGCGCGTCTGCATCGCCTGAACGAGGATCCCAAGCGCGCGCCCGAACGTCGCGCCCGCAGCCATGGACGGCACAAAAATCCCGGCCGGTACCTTGCACCCGTACGACACCACCACAAGAAGCATCCGCACGGCTGTGGCAAAAATAAGCGAGTAAATGAGCGCGGATGAGTTGTTTTTCAGATCACAGATGCGGTGGTCCCAGTTCGCGTTGCACTCATGGAACAATATTTGCATGCTCTCAGTCATATCCAAACGCAAAAACTCGTTGAAGTAGCAAAACATCGCAGTGAGCGACGTTAGTAACACCACCTCGCGGATCGCAAAACTCGCCAAGTAGCGCTTGCGAAAACTCACCACGTAGATGTTGAAGCGCGAGACAACAATACCGTAGACCCCGCCAAACGCTCCGAGAATGATAAAAAACGGAATCTCAAACACGTGCCACTGCTTGTCGTAGGACACTTCGAACAAGACCAACTGGCCCGTGCGGAACGGGTTCATCAAGGAGAGCGTGGTGGTTGCTGCGAGCGCGCAAAAATACGCGCTCCACATCGTGCGAAGCTTGAAAACGTTGGAGATTTCTTCAATGGAGAAGAGAACGCCGCCCATTGGCGAGCCGAACGCAACCGCAACGCCGGCCGCAGCCGCGGCCGCGAGAAAGTCACGCGACTTCGCTGCTGACTCTTGGTAGGTCTTGAACAAGGAGGTAATACAGTTTCCCGCGCACGCGGCGTAGTGGACACTTGGGCCCTCCTTTCCCACGCTCAAGCCAGAGGCGATGGTGAGGGGCAAGCCGATGCTTTTGATCGCAAGCGTCCACCAGCCAAGAAACCCCTTAAGGCGGAACCCAGACACGATGCACTTGATTTCAGAGATCCCCGAGCCGGCCGCAGACGGCGCGTAGTGTTTCACTAGTAGCGCTGCGGACGAAGAAAAGGCGACGGAGAAAAGCACAAAGAGGACGTAGTTGAACGGCGCAAAGCGCGACCACTCGACCCAGGCGGTGCAATTCGCCTCGGTCTCGCCCCAGCAGCAGAACCTCTTACCGAGGTAGAAGTGGGTGGAGCAGCGGCCGGACTTGAGGTCTACGAGCCAGGCGGTAAAGATGTTGAGACACCCCGCAATGATCCCGATGAAAACACCGATAAGTGTGAGCACCAACCAGCTCTGAGTTTCGAGCTTGATTTTGCGGAAGATGGTCTGGATTTTACCCGTGGTGGTTTTGTTGGAGGCTTTGAGGAGTTGGCGCTGGTTTTCCTTGAGGTTGTCCTCGACCCAGTCGATGGTGGTGAACTCGTCAAAGCGGTCGCCGGGAGAGGCACGCGACCGATTTCTTAGTTCTGTCATGACTTGATAGACACAGATTGGGGTACTTGTCAATATCCTTTGGATGGTTTGATGAAGAGAACGGATGAGATTTCATGCGCTGTGAGCTGGCGCCAGACCTTGGCTGGGTAACGCGTGCAGGACATGTTACCAGAGAAAGTGATAAAGCATATGGTAGTGGGTAGCTGCGAGTAGGAACCTGCCGTAGAATGAATAGTACGATATTAATATTGAGAAAAACAAAGAGACATGACAGGAGATTTGTGGGAAATTATAGAAATTAGGATGGGAGCAAAATTGAGCTCGCAAAAGGCGCTTGCGGCTATTATTTTGTTGTAGCGATGTGCGGGAAGGGAGTACGTATTAACGGTTTATCAATAATCAATTGGAGCTTCGATATACGAAGGTAGATGTGTGGCAGGTATCTATCAATAAGGCGAGCTGATAGCTCATTTTATAAATGGGTGGAGTAGCGGCTAATTATGCAGAAGCTTGGTAGTTTGATGTGCTCGCAAGGTGAAGCTGGTTTGTTGACGTATAGACGTAGTAAATTGTCTAATTCCAATAACAGGAGTTTAACATTTCAATCTTGGAACGGGTTTGAATTTTGATATGGCCACATAGCATTTGTGAATAAATTCACAGAATTAATAATCTTCGTTAAGGTTCTCACTCTAAAGCTCGCATAAAGCCCCTCCCTCCATGTCGTGCACGGACCAGCAAACTTCTCGCACTACAAAACAAACAGAAACAAACGCTTTACCCCACAACGGCAATCGCTCGACTTCACACGCGATGAACTCGGGAAAGCTCGATATTATCTACTCTACGGTCTTCCTGGCGGCCAATGACGAGCTCAGGCGCGGTGTGCGCTTGGACCACAGGGCCATGTCGGAGGAACAGAACGTGTCACTTCTGGTGGACAAGAATACCAAATACACATCCACAGGGCACGCGATCGCGCCTGACGAGGTACTTGAGGGTGTCAAGACGTCTAATATCAAAATCCCATTGCTTGAGCGCGCGGATTTTGCTGGTGCTAAGTTGCCCGATTCGGACTTGCTCGCGGCGTTGCACTACTACATCGTGAACCAACTGGAGGTCTTGCCCGCTCGGTACAAGAACCGATTCCGCAAAGTTTTTGACGAAACTGCAATGTTAGCGTTAGGGGTGTTGGTGGAAGAGTGGGCGGATGAGCTAATCACCGAGGACAACGCGAGACTCTTCTTGGAACCGAGTGAAGAGCCGGGGGAAAAGACAACCGAGGAGGGGTCCAAGTAACCAAATGCCAGGTTTGATTAGGCAGAGATTGGCAGAGATTGGCAGCTAAGATCTGATGTTTTCTTAGGTTATGATTTTGCTGGCAAAAATAACTGTGTGCACTATACGAGATGCAGCAGCTTTACAGACTCCATTGAACTCAAGGAACTTCACATAAGCGCCCAAACCATGACGAACCTCTCTGGGTTTTTCGAGATACAATGTCGGTAGCTTATCGCAGACGAACCGGGAGATAGGTGGAATGCGAATGTGTATCAACAAATGGTAATTTCTGATATCGGTGGTCATATTGGTTCCTAGTTTTTGCACTCAAACAGATACAGGCAGTCTTGCTGATGAAAAGATTGGAGAGACCTTCAGCTGGACAATCCCCTGGTTTGGGATCTATGCCTTGGAAAAAAACGGTTATACAAGAACCTTGCACAATAACCAGTTGCAATTAGCTGTGCTTACAAGATGCGATTTCACGGAAAAGAGCATGTAAGATAGTGTATTCAGTCACGATAAAGGATGGCGCTATTCGTATGTTGGGACTTGAGGGGGGGGGAATCTGACGTTCGAGAACCAACTGGTTTCATAATTTTATCCTGAGAAAAGGCATGCTCAGCTGTCGAAGTAGATTCTTACAGTGATATACATGAAATGATATAAAGGTAAAATACAAATTCGCTTACTGGGCGGTTTCGGCTGGAATCTCAGCTTCGGCAACTTCAGTTGGAGTTTCAACGGCAGATTCAAACGGGGTTTCAGCGACGGATTCAACAGCGGACTCAATAGTAGATTCAACAGCAGATTCGACAGCAGATTCGACTGGAGTTTCACCCTCAACCTGCTTTTGCGGCTTGGCCTGCTGCTTATACTCAGCATTCTTCTCGGTGACAATACCAAAGACTCTGTACAACAACTCATAGGTCTCGGCCTTGCTCACCATCAAGTTAATAGAATTCTTGCCCTTCCACAACGGCAAGAAGAGTTGTTCCTTGCCCTCACCTCTGTTGACAGTCAAAAAGACACAGCCAATCTCAAACTTCTTGGCTTCCTCAACAAACGCAACGTCGGCCTCAGCCTCAGCCAAGGATGGCAAGTGTGGGAAAGACTGCTGGCACAACTTTAAAAGCATGTCCGGATTACAGGAAATGCGTCTTTCCGGACCCAAGGCGTGCTCCAAGACGTTCAAGGACTCGGATTGGGCTCTCCAGAGACACTCGCCCTCGCCTCTCTGCGAGACAAAGAGCTTGATACCGGCGTGGATGAATTTGAGCTTCTGCTCATTGGCCGAGAGGATATCCCTGATGGCCGGGGCGACGTAGTAGATGGTTCTGATTGGTTCGCCTTGGGCATTACGGACAAGGGTACAGTCCTTGGCAAAATCCTTTTCGATGTGGTAGAACTCCCAGCACTTGAGGAGCTGTGGGTGGTTTGGATCGAGGAAGACGAATGGCTCTTCGTTGGCGTCACGTGGAAGCTTTTCCTTTCTCATTTTGACAATCTGCTTAGGAGCAGCAACGGGAGCGTCTGCCGGAACTGGGGTTCCAGCCGGTGTATCGGCATCGATCTTGGCCTTCTTAACGGCCTCCTGCTCGTCACTAGCAGCTCTCTTCTTCTCAACCGTCTCGCCAATCTTCTCGAAAACGGTGATGAAGAACCCACCAGTATTCTGCTGGTGTGGATACACTCTGATACAGTTCTTAAGGTTAAACGCCTTAGCTTCCTCCTCGGACGGCGGAAAGACAGACGCTGCAACGTCCTCAGCGCCAATCTCTCTCAACTCCATGTCTTTGCCGAACACCGGCCAGTCGCTGATCCCTTCGGATCTGACCAAGCCCGGCAATCTGTCATCGCAGTTGACCAATCTGATCTGATTGCCCCACTTCCTCAAAGCAGCGGCCACCACTGCCTCGTTCTCGACTGGCGACATGGAACAGGTGGAGTAAACGAGGCGCCCACCCCTCTTCAACAACTGCAACCCACGATTCAAGATGTTGAGCTGGAGCGTGTGCAAACCGAGGGCATTACCGGTATTCCAGTCCTTCCACACGGTCACGTTCTTTCTCATGGTCCCGTCCCCGGAACACGGCACGTCGCAGAGGATTCTGTCGAACTTGACAAACTCCTTCTGCCCGTCGAGCCGGATCTTTGGGAATAACTGAGCGTCGTGGTTGACGACACAGAAGTTTGGCGAGTTGAGGCGCTTCACCTGGTGGATGAGCATGTGTGAGCGCTTGTAGTCCGAGTCGTTTGCCAAGACAAAGCCAGTGGCTGGGGTCACGGAGTCCTGCGCGTGCAAGGCCTCAACCAACTGGGCAGTTTTAGAGCCCGGCGCTGCACACATGTCCAAAACGGCGTGGTGTGGCTCAACGTCAAGCACCAACGGCGGAATCATGGAGACCGCCTCCTGTCGGGAGATGTTACCGACTTCGGTTTCAACGACAAGGAATCTCTGAGTCTGTGCGAACTGCTCATTCTTGCGCAACACAGACTTGGAAACGTCCAACTGCCAGCCCAAGTGGTCCGGGTACCACGACAATTCCTTAGGCGGTGCGAGCTTCTCGCCCTCCCACTCGGTGTCCTGGATCAACGGGAGGTGCTTGTTGACAAAGATTTCCTGGATCTCCTGCGCGTGCGCACGCGAGCCAGTGATTCTGAAGGTGAGCGGCAAAGTGTCCTGGCACGCCTTGTTGAACGCGTCCCATTCGGCTTCCGGGATGATGTTGAGCGCCTTGTAGTACTTCTCCCATTTTTCGTTTTCACGTGCAATCTCCGTCCAGCCGTTGTTGCGGTCGTCCACCTGTGGGCGCTTGCCGAATTGCTTCTTGCCGCCGCGCTTGAATCCCTTTCTGCCCATGTTGTTTAGCGTGAGTGTTTGTTTGCGGAAGAGGGAGAACATGGAGATAAATATGCGTGAAAAATTTCAGCAACCTGAAAAATTTTGTCACGTATGCAGGAGAATTACCTGCAGGTAACCTGGACAGGTTGGTTCAAAGGTGGAAGGGTAGCTGAACACAGGTGTGAATGATTCGACTTAGAAAATACATGGAGTTAATAGAAGTGAATTATAAAGGGCGTTTGGGGGGCTTTTTATCTGGCTGTGTGAGGGGTCTGAGTGGTGTGTTCCATGTGCAGGTTGTGAGGTGCCATTTGGCAGCTCGATTACGCCCTATTCAGGGCTAATCCACACAAGATGGAATTCTGATCGAAAATGCTCTGGATTCTTGGGGAAATAGTAGCTTAGCATTATTTCTGGAGATTTGGAGGGGATGGCCCAGGGTAGACTACGGTAGCAATATCCATCAGTCAATATGATATCCTCAAGTGTGACGAGTTATTTGATTATGTCGGAGTAATTTCAAGCCAGTACGATCTGCCGATCCCGGGCCTGCTGGTACTACAACCCAAGTTCTGTATCGCCATTTATCATAATCCATATCTATAAAATCCTAACCAGGTTGAGAACCTCTGTGCCAACTCTCCACAGCTCATCCACAGCTTTGCAGTTTCGCTGCTTATTCACTATGAGGCTAAATTCAACATGTAAGCGCTTCTTTTCTACCTCAACCCAAACCCGGAGCTCTCATTGATAGCCACGCTTAATTTCTGCTGAAGCACCTCCTTCGACCGATACTCATACAAACATAACTCGTTGAAACAGGTGTGTGCGATGGGAAGCCGTTCATGATGCCCTGATAACTTCACCACCTTGAAATTCATGGTGTGTACTCCCGTGGCCGGCACGCGATCCGACCCGGTGACAAATCGGAGCAATAGCTTCTGCTCCCTGTAGGGCATCTCTTCAAAGTAGTCCCAGAACCACACAACGATGTTTGCCTCCTCTGCCCGCTCCACCGAACCCCAGCCTGCGTACTTCGAGACCGACCGCAATATCTTCACATCGAGGCTTCCCTCGCTGCTGCCGCAGAGTAGGAGCTGGATCTCGTGGGCGGTAAATAGCGACAACGCATTGCCCCCCGTCACGTTGTCAAAACCCTTCTTAAACGGTCTAAACTGCTCAAGCAATCCCTGCATGAGGAAAAAATCCACGTATCTATCAACGTATTCCACTCGATTCTCGCTCGTTACCGAAATGTCGCCCCCCTTTGGTACCAATTCTCTCGTCTGCACGCTTCCGAAAACATCTCTGTAGGTGGCCTCAAACGTGAGGGAGAGGTCCTCTACGTTTCCGTCGTAGGACAAGAGGTGTCTGAGACCATTGGCTGTTTCCGGGTACAACTCGGAGTAATCTTCCAAGTCCAAAGGTTTCCCTAGCAAAGCCCTGAAAAGCGCAAACGGAAACACCGAAAGGTCGAGAATAGTGGAATTGTAGATCGCTAGACCGAGAACCACCCCGAATAAGTAGTACATTTCGTCGTTCTCGAGCGGTGCCAAGCTGAACCACAACAAATTAGACTCCTGGCTCATGGTGAACATGCCGTTATCGGCGTTAAATAGGTCTCGGCTTAACAAGAGAAACCACTCCTTCCGCAAGCCTCCCACGTCGATTCCCGGCTCCCCCACAAACTCGATCCGGAGCCCCTTTTTGAAGTTTGCTCGGTTATCCTGGATGCACCGCAAGGAGTCGGGCACAATGTGGGTCCGTCGCACCCTGACTCGGAAGTGCACGTCAAATACCATTTTCTTGTCTAACGAGTTGATAAACGCCTCCTCGGCCTTTTGCTCCATCGTCCGCCGCGCCTCGTACTCCAAAATGGATATTTTTCCCCCGAGGGAGATCAAAAACGGAAACTGGCAGAACGCAAAGTTGGTTCGAGTAGCGGTGACCGCCAGGCCCCCACAAATCGACGAATGGAGATAGCTCATGACTGACTCAACATCGGACACCACTGGGACGCTGATGTTGAGGTTGTTGTTGATGGATACAGAGCGATTGCGCCGGCATTGCTGCCAGCCGTCAAAATCCTGCTTCAAGTTCACGTAATCCACGAGGGAATTGTAGAAAATGGAGCTGTTGCACTTGAGGGCCTTGGTACCATTAGCCATGAAAAGGAACATAAGCACCTTCGCGGCTGTGGCCACGCGCCAGTCATTGGTATAGTGCGAAAGCTTCAACCGCCTGGCATCATCTTTCGGTTTCTTCGGAAACAATCCAAACGCGAGGGGAAGAGCTATGGACAGCGAGTTGGGCCGGGCTTCAGACTTGGCAGCAGAGTACTCTGCGTACTCGCTTCGCTCTTTGGTGGGGTTGACCACGACCTTCAGGAGCTGGCGGTTGAGCTGAAATGTGAGATACAAGTTGACCAACTCCACGGTCTTCAAAAACGCCGTGTCGGGGGTGTTTCGGAGCCAGGGCACGAGATACCGCAAAAGGCCTTCGTTCACATGCGCGAGCAAGCCAAAGACCCGTTTGGCGATATCGTATGAGAGCGACCGGACGTCAATGGTGTCCAACATCGACACCGGTTTTCGGCCGTGGAAGTCGCTGTGGATGAGACCGTGTGCGAGGAAGGGGATCTCCATAAAGACCAAGAGGCAGCGGAGATACTGGGTGTCCTGGAGATGCGGAGGGCGTTTCAAGAGCTCCAAGACCGCAGTCAAAGCCTTGAGCAACGGTCTACGGGTAGGCAAACGAGTCAAAAGGTGAAAATACTGGCGGACCTCCATCCGCATAATATTTGGGTCGTGGTGGTGGATCTTTCCTTGGGTCTGTCTAAAGGAGTCGTGGATATGTCGATAGGACGCAAACTGGCGGGTAACAAACGCCTCTAATGGCTTGAAGGTTTCAGCAGGGGTTTCACCGAGCTTCTGGGTGCACTCCTCGATGCAGCGCTGTAGTAGGGCGTACGAAATAATCTCCGGATGGCTTGGGGATAGTTCTGGTTCCGCCTGGACCCGGTTGGTGGTCTCGCACGACAAACACCGGTATTTGTGGGCATCAAAGGGGTAGCTAACCACTGTTCCACAGCATTGGCATCCTGAGACGAGTCGCTCCTTTGGTGGAAAGAGCGAAGGGGTCGAGGGAGGGCAGAAGCTCGACCTGCGCGGCTTCTCCTTAGCAAACCACCCCCACGAAGTCTTGACGCCGTCTGATCCGGCTTGCGACATATTCTCCGGGCGATGAATAGAAAAGAGTAGATTTTAAGTCTCCAAAACAGAGCTTAGCATTCAGATAGGGTAGAGATTGAGTTGGAAAACCCGATCTAGATCAGATAACAATCGCGTTTTGTGGCGCGCGGCACGGATCTACCGGACTGGGATATCACCTGGCTCAGGCTGTGCCCCCCTGCGTCTATAAGTCGGAGTCTAACTCTTTTCCGTGCAGGTTATACCAAGATATGCCTATTTTCTATTTGATTGGTAGGGAATGTATGATATTGGCGTATATAGTGGGGATATCAAAAGATATGACACGTCTTAGCCTCACTTTTTGTAAGTGGATTCGAAGTTCATCCTGTCTTATGTCTCAATCGCCAAGTTAGCATTCCAAAACTTCACCCATCTAGTGTTTCAGGATTCTCCTGCTCGTTGTCTGGAATTAGGGTGAACTATATATAACGTGTAGCTTTAAAATACACTTGGTCCATAAATTCCGGAGTATAGTTGTAACGTCACAAATTATCTTGCATTGGGGCTCTTCATATAGCCCATGCTCTCCCTGTCAGTACTTTTTTTTTCTCGTAAACTCCCGATGGCATATCTTCTATAAAACTGGAAACAAGTTTTTAAAGTCACCAAAGCGTTAAAGAAAGCTTTTTTTTTTGGTCTATAAAAGTATCATTACAGGATTGTACTATTAGGACTGGGTTCAATTCTCAAATTGATATCTACGGTAGTACGTCATCCAGTTTGGCCCGATACGGCCCGAACCGCGAAAACGGAAAATGGTCGGGGAAAAGCTCCTGCAGCTGTAGAGTGGGGGTCAAATTCGAAACTTCATATTATCCTGGGACCTTACGCCTGGATCATTACTAATCACGAAAATTGGCGAACTGATCTAGCGTAATCGCGCACGATTTTTCGTATATATGAGGATTGAGTCCTTTGTCCCGTACTCGGAGTAATCGTCATTTCCCAACTATCCCTTCCAGTATCATGTCCACTGAATGGCTTGTTGTCGTGAGAGACACCCCGGTTAACAACCGAATGGAACACCGCCCCCAGCACTTTGCTGACAGTCCCCCAAAGTTTACTGCCAACGGCGGTAAGGTGATTATGGGTGGTGGGATCTTCAACTCTGACAAACCCCTTGTGGCTGATGGTTCCCAGCCTTTACCACCTTTCGCTGGCTCTGCATTCGTCATTCGAGCTGAATCCAAGCAGGAAGTCATTGACTTCTTGAAGCAAGATGTCTATGCCCGTGAAAAGGTTTGGGATATGGATAATCTCGAGATCTGGCCGTATTTGTGTGCTTACAGAGAGGAAAAGACATTTAAGGCTTAGTGTGTTTCATGAAATACGATATAATTTATAATGCATTGAACGTAGCGTGTGTGGGCATATTTTGAAAACATTAGTACTTATGGTTTCCGTACACGTCCGACCCTAATCAACATATGTAAGAGTTATGTTGTCGGAATTATCAATGCTATTCCAGGGTTAGCTATCCCACGACTTGCTATCCCAAGACTTGCTATCCCAGGACTTGCTATTCCAGGATCTGATTTGCATCACAAGCTATAGCTCGTAGCTAAAATTTCGTCGCATCTCTCGGTCTTTGCCTCCCTGAGCAACTCCACCTCCAAAAAATTGAAGGGCTCGGTCTTTGTCCCGTTGCGGAGTAAAATCCCCCTGTAATCGATATACGCCTCCCGGGGGTTGCTCTCCATAGTTTGCTTGCGTGCCACCATATCCAACACCCCCTCCATCACGGTATCGTAATCAGTCACCTCTGTTTGCTGGAGGAGATACACCCCGCCGTTTACAGTGCACGCAATCGCTACCGGAACCATTCCTGGATTGTCCCTGCTCGGGGTGAAGCCGCGAATCCCACTCAAGGTGTTTACCTGGTCGCCCAAATTCACCATGGCTAACGTCTCCCAGGTGTTACGGTCCAGTATAATGACATTCCCGGTAGCATCGCTGGTGATTAGAGCCCTTGGAAGGACCTCGAGCGCAGTCAAGAAGTTTTGGTGTGGCACAGCAACCTTCTGGAGGTCCATACCGTAGTATTTGAGTCCTACCGGGTTGAGATGTGAATGTCTCTTCTTTAAGGACGCGGTTTTGGAAAAGTCCTGGGTAAGCTTGAGAGAATACACTGAGTTCAACACAGTAGCGAGGTAGATTTCCAGACCCCAGGCTTTCATGGTCAAGGAAAAATGATGAGTGGGGGTGTTATCGGTGACACGAATAAGCGCAAACGCATCCTGGTCACTATCATACACCAACTGGAATCCCACCGTGACGTTTCCGCAGACAAGAAAGAGGTTGCGGAAGTTGAGGACTGAATTGACCAAAACAGCCTCGGAATGGCCCGGACCGGTCTTTAAAACTTCGCTGGAACAGAGTTTTACAATCTTATCGTTCTTGACCGCGAAAAAGGACAAGACGGTATTGGAATAGTTTGTAGCCACCATAAACCCGGTGGCTAGCAAACCGAGGAGCTCTGGGAACATTGGATGGTCCAATTCACTCACCTGCGAGGGCACTGTTTGGTACTCCGCTGAGCAGATATCGGTACCCTCAACGCCATCGGTAAAGGTGAACGTATCCAAGACCTTGAAGTCAGAGTCCCGGATGAGTTTCAACCGGGTGGAGCCCTCTCTTTGTGTGAGCAATACAAACATCTCACGTAGGGCAAGCTTCTTGCGCACCAAATCTGCCGGAAGAAACAAAGTCCGGATGGTGTTAGCTGTAGACTCGAGCATCCTGATGATTTCAAGAGACTGGTCATGGAAGGATAGAATCACCCCGTCGGTGAGAGGGAGCACCACGTCCGATACCCCCAAGTTTCTCCCTGTGAGAGTCTCGGGGTCGTAAGAAAAGACAAGCGTGCCGCTCTGCGTCACCACACAGAATTTCTCATTGAGGTCAAAGACCCGGAACGGGCCTAACAGGTACGGCGCTGCGACCATCGCCGGGGAATCGATATCTGGAACGAGATACAAGTTTCCGTTTCCATCTCCCACCACCAAGCTCACCACCCCATGGAATTCTTTAAGCAATACACTGGTGATGGCGCCGTTGAACGGAAGATAGTTTACCGTAAAGGAACTTTTTTCGGTAATCACCAAGACAGCATTGTCCCATAAACCAACTGCAACCACTAGTTCACCGTCATTCAGACAAGCATGGAAGGCGGAGATGGATGAGGCGCTAATCTCGTGAATTGTCCGATCGGTAACTTTTATTGCATTTTGTGTGACATACACCATCTTGTCCCCCACCAAGCACCCAAAGAAAGCGGTGGCACCGTCGATTTTATCGGTGACTATCACCAAACGGCCATCCACCATGGAAACATCAAGAACCGTCTCTTTGCCAGTCAAGCCGCCAAACATTGGGTCTTGTAGAGAAGCCTCCCTGAGCTCGTAGTTTGCCTCTTTCTCCAGAAGCTCCAAACATCTCCAGCCATCTATCTGCTTCATCACAATTAAGCGGCCGTCTGCCCTCGGAAAGCTCCACGCTCTCGCGCACGGTCCCACGCCTTTGAATCGCCCGAGAACAGTCTTTGTAACTACTCGGCTCTGGATCCGCGCCACTTCTCCCGAGTTGTACCCGCCCTGGCAGATATCCAACGTCAAACAGGTGTTGTCATTCTGCACTTCCACATTTAAGATAGGTGGGGAGGATGCCACAAACTGGAGGATATCTATATGCGGGGCGGAGGGACGAACCTGGAAAATGACAGACCGTGAAAGCTGCGAAGGCGCGAAAAAGATGCCATTATTGAGGTGGATAAGGTCGTTGGCAACGGTCGCTTTCCCGAGGTCTGTGGAGCTCCATGACTTGAGCGTAGACTCTTCCGTGTGGATGTGGAGGATACAAATCTGGCCGTCAGCCGAGCCGCATATGATCCTTTCATCGATAATCGTGGCGGTAAGTAGTTCCATGGGCTCGGATAGCTGTCTCACAAGAACCCCGCCTTTATCCGCAACGGTCTTATCGCTGCTGGCTAAGGTTTCTTCTGGGAATGGAAATATAAACTGCTCGTATGAAGTGAGGCATAGAACGCCACGGGTAAGTGGCGCTAGCGCTGTCACTTCGTTGGTGAGGTTTGGTGACTGGTAGAGGAGAGAAAACCTGTGGCCAGACATTCCGTAGTAGCGGAAAAAGTGCTTCAAATTGGCATCTCTTGCAGCTATGGCAAGCATTGACTTGTCTCCAGACCGCACTAAACACATTTTCTGAACCATCACGCCGCCGATGGAAGACACCACCGTGCTTTGGAAGAGCCGCTCGTATTGCGCTTTCTTTGTAGCTTCCTGGAAACGTTTAGGGTATCGTAAATTCACGGGAATGGTTTGAACGTACCCCTGAAAGGAGTGGATGACGATAAATTCTCCCCGTGGATCCACCGCCACCAACGAGCTGGTGTCGATGGACGACTGGGACCCCGTGCTGCTGAACTGGACGTCTTCCATCACCACAAATCGCCCGGAATAGGCCACGATGTATAGTTTATCGGACTCTGTGACCACTATGAGCCAATGTTTGAGACACAAAGGCGGTTGGAAACTGGCGATGGTGGATATTTTGCCGTACACGGGTAGAGTGTGGGCGAGCTGCAAGCCCTCTGGCGTGACATCGTGGACCTCGATGCGGTTTATCTTTGCTATAACTAGCGATGGTTTTGTGTTGTCCGTGAAGCACATATAGAGCGACTTGAGGATCCCGTTCGGGGGTTTAATCTCGGAAATAACAAGCGTCATGGTTTAGGAGAGGAGATGTGTGTGACCCTGTTGAGTCTCATGGTGAGCTTTTATGCAAGGATAAAAGATTTAATGTGCAGGCTGAGACGGAATGATCCCACGCAAAACACAGTGAGATGGGTGGTTCAATTTCTCCGAAAGTCAAGTCAAACTGTAGCCTAATTGATTTGTTGGATGATGTGTTGGATGATATGTTAGATAATTTTAAGGGTATAGAATAGGGGAACATTTTGGAGCCATTTTAAAGGAGTATGGGAGTTCCATTGGTCTTGTCATGATGTGTATACCGGAGGTTAATGAATTTTAAATGTTTTCTGGGAGTGAAATAGAAAATTTACTGTCTTAATGACTCAAATGGGTTTCCAGTATTTTTTTCTCGCGTTGTATTGTAGGTTTTAACAAACAATTGGTTGTAATTGGTGGAGCACGCGGTAAACTCTACTTTTAGCTGAGGTATTAATTCTCCTCTGGTATGAACTACACCCTATTCTATTTTACAATCAGCCACATCTCAGTTTTTTCTTTTTTTTTTTTTTTAGAAAATTTACTTCAAAAGCTGATGGATATATCTCGGTGGATATATGCTTAACCACTTTTTATCTAAAGTACTAGGACAAGGTCCTATCGGTGCAGGACGTGAAAAATCCACTTACCCCGGCCACTATCGGATGTATCTCTCCGTATGCCAGCTTTATATTTCTATAAACTCTGCATCTATAGAAGCCTCCTACTATCATACTGTTTCACCACTAACCCACAATGTTTAAATACCCCTTACCTAAGCATACATCGCCGTTGCGTCAATTTAAATGCCTCTTGCCCAAACACGCATTGCCATTGCGCCAGTTCCGCACCACGACCGTGCGAGCAATGTACTACGGACCAGATTCAGACTCGCAATTGCAGGCGGCCCAGGAATCCATGGGTGATGCCTTATCCACCTCCATCGAAACGGTCGCCTTGCCATTTGAGAAGTTTGATGCCCCTGCGGCCTCCACTGCCAATCCGATGTTGATCTTTCACGGCTTGTTTGGCTCCAAAACCAACAACAGAACCGTTGCCAAGTACGTATAGTCAGCACCCTAGAACGTGGCTTCTGAAAGGCCCAGCCTTGTGCCCCGGTTATACATGGAACCAACCCCATATTTAACCGAGTTATCATGCAAGCACTTACCGTGCATTGTCCGAAGCAGGCTAGCGTTCGTTCCTCTTCCCATACTAACGTCCAGACAATTATCGGAAGCCCTCAAGCGTGACGTCTACTGCGTAGACCTCCGCAATCACGGTGAAGCCCCTCACATCGACCGTCTTGACTACCCATCGCTCGCTGCGGACGTTGAGCGGTTTTGTGCAGACCACAAATTAACCCACCCGATTCTTGTGGGCCACTCTATGGGGGCCAAAACCGTCATGGCGGTCGGCTTGCGGAGTCCTGAATTGGCGTCCATGATTGTTTCGGTGGACAACTCGCCTGTGGATTTGTCCCGCGGTACTGGCTCGGTGTTTGCGCGCTACGTGAGACAATTGAAGATCATCACTGAGAGAGTGAGACCGATGGTCAAGGATATCAAGGAGGCAGACGCGATTTTGGCTCAGGTGGAACCGCGTAAAGAGGTTCGCCAGTTTGTGTTCACCAACCTTACGCGTGTCAGAAAGCCTGCCGTGGGCGAATTCCCGTTGCAATCAAAGATCCCGTTGAAAATCATCGGGGATGCATTGGACAAGGGCAATATTTCCGGCTGGCCGTTTGATTCGAGCTACGTCCGTTGGTCAGGAGACATTCTTTTTATCAGAGGTTCGATGTCCACATACGTTACTGACGATTTGTTCCCAGAAATTGGTAAATTCTTCCCAAGATTTGAGGTGAAGGACGTGGCGGCAGGTCACTGGCTCATCAGTGAAAACCCTAAAGAGTTTATAGAGGTTTTAGTTGAGTACGTCGAAAGAAAGGAAGAGGAGCGCAGGGACGAGTTGGAGGGCAACCGCGACTTGTTCTAGCTTGAATAGATGTTAGACCGGTTAGTAATATGCCAAGGTGTGACTAGTTAAACATAGAGGTTTTATTTTCTAACTGACACAGACATGTTGGCCGTATCCCGTAGCTTCGTGTACCCAAAACAGAAATGTCACTCCAGTTAGCTGCTCGCATAAATGCACATATCTCCAGCGTCAGAATTTGCATGTGTAGCTTCCTCCCAAGTCCCAATCTGTCTACTCGAAGGTTAATTTGAACCCATCTACTGAATTCATGTTTTGAAGTTGGGGAGGCGGAAACCAGATATAATGCGGTTGATTGGACTACGTAAAGCTGCCGTTAACAGACTAGGATGCACACCAAAAGCTCCGCTCCATGCCCCCGATTCGGTCTAGTTTGCGCCTGCTATAGGACAATTCTGCCTCCACATGCTCCGTGTAAAGCGAAAGTATTCCATCCTCGCCGGTACAACGAGCGAGGCGCGGATAAAACCGTCTCTGATCCCAGTCTGCACCTATGGTGCGAGAACGTATCCCCGCTATGCACACTGTATGAGAGAATGTGCAAATACATTTGCCCCGCCTTGTAAGTCTTTGGAGATCTTCAAAACTCGGTAAATTCCTGTCTCAACCGACCCCGCTTACCTGACACTCTCCTCGATCTTGACTGGCGTCCCAAATCTGCGAGCTCTTGGCGGTGTCATAGCTGCATCATGCGGGGCTGTCAGTGGTGTTACGAGCCTCACACCGGCACGGTCTTCCGTTTTAGAGGGCCATAGCCCTGACTCCACAAACGCTATTAAACTCGTAAATTTGCCAATTACCTACAAAGAAACACGAGCTAAGCTGTATAGATCGAATCCTGGGCGAAAATAAGCCCGATATTGGATAATATCGCCTGAACACAAGCCCACCCTCTACTGGGCGTCCCCGTACCAAAGTATGCGGCCCCTGACGTATGCGGCTCGGTGATACAATTTAACGCATGCACGAAAAAACGGCCGTCTCTGATCGGCCATGGGTCTCTGTTGGTACTCGCCATATATAACCTTCCCTTCTTAACCCACTATTTCTTGGTTTACGTATCCATCCACTCAAAATGCCAGGTCCAGTCGAATTACAGGGCAAAAAGTACCCAGCCAAGCAGCACGCGCAGAAAGTCAGAGGACACTTCCTCACCACCGTTAGGGGCCAAACCGAGGGCTCCGCTTCCTTCTTCCTCTCTGGTGAAAACTTGAAGTTGCACCCGTACAGCGACGAAAACCAGGTCATGAGACAGAACAGGTACTTCTACTACCTCTCCGGTGTCAATATTCCGGGATCCCATGTCTTGTATGATTTGAAGGCCGACAAATCCACTTTGTTCCTTCCGGAAATCGACTTGGAAGAAGTGATGTGGACCGGCATGCCTATGAGCATCGAGGAGGCCCAGAAGACCTTCGATGTTGACGAGATCGTGTACGTTTCCGAGATGGAGACCAGGGTTGTCGCCGCTAAGGCCCATGGTAAGATCTTCACCACCGACGTCAACGAATGGAACCAGCACCTCGCCCAGCACCTCACCCCGGGCGACAAAGACTTCTTTCTTGCGTTGGACGAGTCCAGGTTGCTCAAGGACGACTACGAGCTCGCGTTGATGCGCCACGCGGCCGCAATCACCGACAACTCGCACTTGGCGGTCATGTCCGCGTTGCCGGTCGAGAAGAACGAGGGCCACATTCACGCCGAGTTTATCTACCACTCCATGAGACAGGGATCCAAGCACCAGTCGTATTCGCCGGTGTGTTGTGCCGGGCCACACGCCTCCACCTTGCACTACATCATCAACGATGCCGACATTGTGGACCAGAAGACGGTTTTGATCGACGCGGGTGCCGAGTGGAGCAACTACGCTTCGGACGTCACCAGATGTTTCCCAGTGGACGGCCACTGGACCAAAGAGCACCTTGAGATCTACGAAGCGGTCTTGGACATGCAGAGCCAGACCATGGCGTTGATCAAGCCGGGCGTCTCCTGGGACGACCTCCACTTGTTGGCGCACCGAGTCTTGATCCAGCACTTCTTGAAGTTGGGGATCTTCAAGGCAGAGTTCTCCGAGCAGCAGCTCTTTGATTCCGGCGTCTCTGACGCCTTCTTCCCCCACGGTTTAGGCCACTTGTTGGGGATGGACACCCACGACGTGGGCGGCCGTCCTAACTCCGAAGACCCGCACCCAAAGTTGAAGGGCTTGAGATTGCGTCGTACCTTGCAGGCCGGCATGGTGCTTACTGATGAGCCGGGTATCTACTTCTCGCCGTTCCTTTTGGAAGACACCTTGAAGGAGGACGGTGAAATGATCAAGTACATCAACCGCGATGTCGTGGATAAGTACTGGTACATCGGTGGGGTCAGAATCGAGGACGATTTACTTATTACCGAGACAGGGTACGAGAACTTTACCAAGATCACCAAAGATCCAAAGGAGATTTCCAAGATTGTCTTGGATGGGATTGCCAAGGGGAGAGGTGGGTTCCACTGTATTGTGTAAATCATCCGCAATAAGCAAAAGAAGCTTGCGAAATTATGACTAGTGACGCCATTTTGTTTTGTCAAGCTTTAAATAGCAGTATATGTCAATACGCCTTTATTTATTGTTTTTCAGCGCAGCATAGCTGCGTTTCTGACGGAAAAGTGCTTGGATTTGTGTAGCCATAGTGAACCTGTAGGGGAGGCCAATCAAATACGTAAAGTAGATATGATGATTACGAATTTGGGAACGGAGCAATAACATGAAAAAGCAAAGATTCGTTTCAAGAGGAATTCTCGGTGAGCCAAACGCGGAATTTCTAGTGCTGGTCAAACGAGACGGATTTGCCAAACACTCGAGAATCTACCGGAGTTTCCCTGGGGTTACCTTGATTAGCTACATAGTTTATTTTATCAGGGCTTGAATGCATTGGCGGGATTAAGACAAAGGGGCCTTTCTTCAATCTCAGAGCTTTGACTTTCCACTCTCATGGCATCCCGTCGTCAAAAATCTATTAAAAATAAAAAAACCCCTTTTTCAGTTCTAATAAAATTTACCAAACTATAACCTCAATCACCTATGAGTTATTTTTGCTACCGGGCCGTTGATACCTTATTAATATTTAATTCAGCCCGGAGGGCGACGCCAACACTAGCCGATAAGGCCCGGTCGTGCACACACTTCAAAGCACGTGTTTACACAAATGTCACGACCGCTGCGTGCATACGCTCTGCGAGATTTCCTATTGGGCCTCTAACCTCTCCCTTCTGCTCCGGTGTGGAAAACTCAACCAGATTCGCGCCGCGGTGTGGTGAAAAGCGCATAATAAAGCAACCACCTCAGGCTGTCCCCACTCCTTGTTCACCACACAGTATACCTCAAAATGTCTGCCGTTGCTGTAAGTACCATATATTTGATACCCGCCGCTGGTTTTCTGAACTGGCTCGGCCAAAGCATCGACTGCAAACCCCGAACGTGACTAACCTGTTAGAAATCTGTTTCCTCCAAGTTGGACTGGGCCAAGGTTGTCTCCACCTTGGGCCTCACCGGCTCCACCGCCGCCTCCTTGACCGCCTTCAAGAAGAGAAACGATGAAGCCAAGAGATCCATCGTCGAATTGTCCACTCAGGCCACCCAGGTTGACTTTGCCCACTACAAGTCCGTCTTGAAGAACCAGCAGATCGCCTCTGAGATCGAGTCTGCCTTTGCTGCCTTCAAGCCAGTCACCTACGACGTCTCCAAGCAGTTACAGACCATCCAGGAGTTCGAGGCCAAGGCTGTTGAAAACGCCCAGGCCACCGAAGCTGTTGTCGCCAAGGAATTGGCTGACTTGAAGAAGACTTTGTCCAACATTGAGGAAGCTACTCCATTTGACCAATTGACCGTTGAAGACGTTGTCAAGGCCGTCCCACAGATCGACGACAAGGTTGCCCACATGGTTAAGCAGGGGCAATGGTCCCTCCCAGGCTACAGAGAGAAGTTCGGTAACCTCAACGTTATGTAAGACACCTCGCGTCTCGGATGGTTCCCGCTGTTGCCAAAATATAGTTCAAAATACTCACCGGCCCAGTAAGCATAGATTTAGTGGTCTTTATTTTACGAATATAAAACTTGAAATGAAAAGATTTGTACGAGGGGATTTTTAGACTTTCTCGTTTCTTGATTTGCCACTTTTCAGGCAGAAGAAACTAAATGGTATGATCAGTAGGACTTGGAAAGTAACGGGAATTTAATAGGGATATATATGTTTGATGACGGAATATCTTACATCAAAAAAAAATGAACGATACGGGAATCGAACCCATGTCTCATGCTTGGAAGGCAGGAATCATAACCACTAGACCAATCGTCCGAACGACTGAAAGGTTATATTTTCGAGACCCTCTGCTGACCCGGAAATTAAGAGAATCGTATCTTTAAATTCAGATCCCTTGCGTGTATTCTAAAACTACAATCGGTTAACATAATGATAAAACAATATATTATAAGCAGATTATCCGCCAATATCCGCTATAGAGATACTCTCACTTCCAACACACTATCTATGTTAATACACTCATGTCTGTCTTATTTCCTGTCGTTTTCATAATTGATTTCAGCTTCCATACATTGAATTAGTTATGGAGCATACACACTCGGTTCGCTAGCGTACAACGAATTTAACAAAGAAATTATTCTATTATACAATCTATGCTGAATTAAATGAGAACGGATCCCCGCAGTTCTAGCGACACACCCTCTTCACAAACCCCTTTGCATCATTATGCGTCCAGTCGTGCAATCTTTTGTTCTCGGCAATCCCAACCCCGAGTCTCAATCCAACCTGCTTCAAGTTCAACTCCTGCTGTTCAAGCGAAATCTTCTCCCTCGATAACCGCGTTCCCTTTTGCGTCGTAGCATTCGCCGCCTCAGACTTGCCTTCGGTGATCACCAACTGCTGTTCAACGTAGCTGAGCAAGCCAAATCTGCTGACAAGCAAATCAGACCCCTGGTCAAGATCCTGAAGACGCTCCAACAACTTGAGAATCGAGGTCTTCATGTAGTGAGTCAAGTACGCCGAGTTTAAGATGTTCAAGCCCCACTCGATCACGCCCCTCAACTTAATCGTGTCCAAGTCTCTCTGGCACTTTACCGCATCGATCAATGACTCCAACAACCAGCAAATCTCTCTATAGTAGTGGGTTCCCTGCTCGTGGTCGTTGTTGCCACCCATGGACGTGGAATTGGAGATGGAGTTAAAGAGCGGAATATCGCCCGCTCTGATAACGTTGTTTGCCAACACAAACCGATACGCCTTCTCGTACAAGAAGTGGCCCGGGTTACTCAAGATCGGCACTAACCGCGAGACAAACTTCCAGGTGATTGGGGCAATAACCCTGCTCTCCTCTGTTTGCTGTTTTTGTAAAGTGTACAACACGTTGGAGAAAAATACCCTAAAGATATTCTTGTCCTTGAACGCATCGTTAATAGAGCTCTCTGTGCTCAATGCCTTCAACAACCCATGGAGATAGACCTTGGCAATCTTCTGGACGGTGACAGAAGACGAAGCAAGACAGAGCACCACAAATTCGACAACTCTGGCCTCAATAACCTTTCTGACATCAAACACCATATCCTCCTCCTCGGACTTTGTCTCGCGAAACATCTCCGAGTTGTTCACCACCAACATGAGCAACATCTCGGCATCGTAGACCGTTGCCCGGTAGCGATTGTCGACATTGACAAACCCGAGAGCCGTATAGAAGGCTACGAAGTTGGTCCAGGTGGCACTGGCGTTGTTGGCGACGGTTTCCGGCATCTCGAGGTCTGCGATGACAAAGTTCTTGATAGAGTTGCTGATAAACTTCTTATTGAGCGTGATGAGGACCTCGTTCTGTTTGTTCTTGGCGAAAAGCGGGGCTTCCCCGATAATTTCCATGTCGTATTCAGACGAAGTCTCCTCGGTAAACTCCCAGTTAACCATGTACTGGTTGATCCAGTTCCGGGCGGTGGTGGCTTCGATCTGAACCAAAACTCGCTTTAAAAGCAAGTCGTCGGCTCTGGTGGACCCGAGATAGAACCCCAAGACCTGCTCCTGGAGGTTGAAGTTGGCATTCTTCTTGGTGTCAAAGTGGAAGAGGTTATAGATTACCGCAGCCGCGAAGAAACGGACCTGGCCATTATCTTCCTTGGGTAACGAGCGCAACGGGTTGGCCTCGTTGTTGGCAAAGATTTGCAAGAGCTTTTCAAACTCTACAATGTTCTTTGACCCGCTGAGAATGACCAAATTGGCGTACTCCAAGAGCTGTGTGTGACTAATCCACTGCTTGCTGAAAGCCACGTCCAATTGGGCGTTGAGAATCGCCTTTGGCACCAATCGCCAGAGATGGAGTTTGGGGATCAACGCCTTCATCGCCGTAAGATAGGTCAAAAAGGTTTCGGATAAAGTCTCGCTCTCCGCAAGCTTCTTTGTGACATAGAGCATCGACGTGTGCAACCACATCTTGAGGAGCTCCTGGTCAATAGAGGAAAGCGATAAGGACACAAGTTCAGGGATCTCTGGGGTGTATTTCGCAGAGGTTAAAACGGAGACGAGGAATGGCGTTTTGACGTCCTCAGCGAGGAACTCGTGGGTGTTTATCACCAAGTTGAGGAGCTGCTGGTGCGTGAGTGCGCCCGCGACCCCGTCCATGAGAGCCGCGGCACAACCCGCAGCTCTGACAAGGAATGCCCGCACCTCCGCTGTGGCCTCCACGCTGCGGTTCATCGACGCCGCAATAAAGACGACCAAGCTGTCGTCCATCGAAGCAGCAAAGCCCTGTACCAATTCGTCGCAAACACTCTGTTTGGACGTCACCAACGCGCGCAAAATTGGATACCTGACGGTGTTATCCCCAAGGTCCAAGATCGCCCGGAGCAAGGGAGTCATCTTTTCGGCACTGAAAGAAACGAGTGAAAGGGAAACAAACCGCTTGAGCACAAGGCCGCTGGCAGAATCGAGCGCTGGCGCCGAAACAAGTGTCTGGAACTCCTCGTGCGAGAGGAGGATACGGCGGCGGAGTGTCTCGGAGAGAAGTGCAGAGAAGACGGCAGGCGCGGCGGGCGTCGTGCGGGCAGTTTGCAACTGGGTACTGTTCAACGACCACAAAGACTTCACCACCACGTTCTGGACCGCTTCCAGGTCACTGTTAAGCAACTTCACGGTGTGTTCGGCGAATTCCGTAAACAAACCGTCATCAAGAGTGTCCTTCAACTGTTCGAGCGTCTCAGTAACAAGCCCCGCCACGAAGAGCAAGTTGGCCGACGGCTCGACGTCAGAAACAAAAAGCGGTGCCCAAAAGAGCGGCTTGACGAATCGGGCGCCAAAAGTGGCATTGGTGTAGGTAAAGTTACCAACTTTCAGCAAAAGGTCCACAATCACAGACTTCTGGAACTTGGAAAGCGCCGGGCCCTGAACGAGCTCACGGACGCGGAACAAGGCCCCGACCGCATCAAACTCGGAAACCGGAAGGCGTGCAGCGGTGAGTTGCGACTCCGGGGAGGAAACGGCCCATTCAAAGAAGGAAGCATCAATGAGATCAGCCTGGGTTTCAACGATGCCGTCACTCAATTCAGGGTACCCCGAAAGCAACCCGCGGATCGCCTCTTCCGGCTCCCCGGTAACAATCAAGTACTTGGCAAAGGCGCGGATCCACTGGCAAACCGCCTTGCAATCCGTCTTTCTGTCGACAAACTTGAACTGCTCAAACAAACAGATCACAAACGGACTCAACATCTGGAGCTCCTTAGAGCGGTCCAAGTACTTGTATGGTGCCTTCACAGACCGCGAAATGGTCTCGTCAATGAGCCTCCAGACCTTAGCGTCTGCCTCCGCGACACGCAACGAGTGTAAAAGTGGCTCCATCTGACTCACGAGCGTATGTTTGCTGAAAACAACTGTATCATCGGTTAAGCTCGCGAGTAAGCGGCTCACCTTCAGCGCCATGGCGCGGTGCTTCTCATTAGAGCCGAGCTTGAGAAGAATGGTAAACAAGGAGTTACCATTGGTTCCGTTCCACCACTTATTATCGTTCTGCTGCAAGCTCAAGATATTGTCGAGAAGGACCAAGTCGATGCCCTGGAAGTCAGTGCGGTTGATGATGTCTGTGAAAAGCTTGGAGTTGGCAGCAGAGACGGAAAAACTCCCGGGGAAGAGCTCCGAATAGAGGCTATTCACCATGGCGAGCGTCAACACTAAGAGCTTCGCGTCGGTCTTGGTCATCGCCTCGTAGAGCGCAGCCGAAACGGTCCCCGCGTCCGGAATAATCCCGTGGAACGTATCCAACAACTCGTGTCTGGCATCAGTCCAGCCTTGTTCGGAATATACCGCCACAACAGCACGCAACTTCTGGAGTGCCAACACGAGTAGCTGGCACGAAAGCTGTCTGACCAAGAGTGTTTCCGTCTGGAGACACTTCAAGAGCGCGGTTTTGGAAAGGGAGGGCGGCAAGATGTTGTCGATAACGATAGTGGTGGCTGGAGCGGTGCTGGAGGCCACAAATGCGACGTTGTCCGGAACTGGCAACTTGATGATATTCGTCAAGGTCAAGGTCTGGCCGATCCAGAACGAAGAAAGCTTGGGGTCGTGGGATCCGTTGATTGCAAAAAGATAGTTGACATACGGAGCAACAAGCTCTGGTACTGCTTCCAAGACCCTTGTGACCAACTGGAGCTGCAACTCGTGCTCCCATGGCTTGAGGCACGTGAGCATCGTGTAGAGCAACTTGTTGTGGATCTTGAAGGGTTTGGAGTTGACTGTGAGAGGCGCCCCGGTGGAGGCAAACCACGCCTTATCGTCGTGGAAAACGATCCCGGCCTTGGGGTCAGTGGATAGCTTCAACATAAAGCCATGCAATCTCTCTTTCAAGTTATCGTTTTCTGTCACGCTGTTGTACAAGGCGACGGTCTTCAGGAAGAACCATTCGTTGAAGATCTTACACTTGGTGGATTTCTTGTAGCTGGGCTCCTCTAATATCTTTTCATCCCAGATCTCGAGCGTCGTCATGAGAAGCGGCGCGGAGTCGCTGGTCGCGAGGTGCTTGAGCCAGGCAGAGGCAATCTTTTTATTGTTGATCATGAGGTCTTTTCTGGCATAGGCCGAGGCGTTCTGGAGAAGACTGAGATAAAAACGAACAAAGTTGTATCTCATCGATAAGTTTTCGTTTTTAACCCCCTCAGCGAGCTCGGTCTTGGTCGGCGTGAGAATCTTCGGAAGTGACCCCAAGGTGAAGTCAAAATTCGCCACAAACTCGTCCACCAAAGATCCGTTCTTAAAGCTGACAATGCTTGTCATTAGACGTAACACGGGATTTGTCATAGATGGCCTCATGCTGTTCAACGCGCGGAAGAGCACCTTACTGTGGTTCGTCAAAAGCTCCTTGATGAGGTCGATCCCAAACGGCGTCAACTCCAAGTGCTGGTTGCAGATGTTGGTAAGCTTGGTCAACTTGATTGTTGCATCGGTGAAACTGGAGTGCTCGTTCACCGTCAGGAAGTAGCTCCACGCCTGGATCACCTGCGAGAGGTATCCCTTCTGGATGAACTCAATCAATGGGGACACGTTCTGGAGCCCCTCCTCAGAGAGCAACGTGTCCAATCTGGACACAATTTCGCTGTCCACCGAGGATTTGGGTGCGTACTTCTTACGGCTAGGTTTTGAGGACATTGGTGGGGTCCTTGGCGAGGCAAGAAGAGATGAGAAGAGAGAGGGTGATGTAGAGATATGTGCATGCAGAGTGAAAAATAAATTAAATTTTCAGCACCCGCGCCGCAGGGGCTGGAGGCGATGCACTTGCCTGATCCGGGGTGGCTGGGGCGCAGCATTAGCTGTAAAGGATACGACGGGATTCCTAATATTCGCGGTGGGGGGGGCGTTTTTATCAATTAGGAAAACAAAAACTTAAGCCAGCTATATAAATGGTATTGACCGTGGTGTAGCTATTCAGATAAAGCCACTAAGCCATGCTTGTGGCGGGTTTCAGGCTACCGCTATGTGGTGGTTGGATTCTGTAACTGCCAGCAAGATGGGCTGTAAATACTTGGAATCCGGCGATAGTAAACTAATAGAAACTATCGAAGGGCCTTCCAGACTAGTTCTTGGCTAATGACCTAGTTCTTGATTGATGATATGAAATTATGAGTTACCATAATACTCGTCCAGCATTTCCCGTAGATAAAATACAGGCATATTCAGGCACCCTCAGTCTTATAGAGTAATCTTTCAGTATAATATTAAATCATAAACCAGAATTCTTAACCAGCGCCTCCATTTGTTGCTCTGGCTCTTCATTGAATCACGTGACGCTTCCTCCCCCCCCCCCCCCCCCCCCCCCCCCCCCGCATGTCAAATTCTGTACACCTCGAGATATCGAATACACCCCACTTCTCAGGAAGCTATCCGCATGACCGACGCCTCGAACAACCAGATCAGCCTCACCACCAACTTCCTTGATGCCCTCGCACACGAGAAGCAGGCGGACCTCACCGCTACCCACGAGCTCCTCACGTCGCTCGCGCCCAAGCGACTTGCGGGGTTGGGCTTTGCGGTGCTCAACCTCTGCGTGGCAAACTTAAAGACGGGTATGGGCGGCAAGCAGCTCATCGAGCTCGAGCCGGATATGGCGTATGCGAGTAGCGATGCGATTGATACTCGCGGAGTCAAGGTGGGGGACATTGTCCGACTTGACCGTCTCGGCAACGCCAGCGCCAAAGTAGAAAAGAAGCTTCGCGGGTCCTCAAAGGTGACTGACGGGCTTGTGGCGCTTTCACTCGAGCTGGGACTCGAGGGCGTCATCTTGAAAATGTCCGCGCGAAGCATCACCGTGGCCGTAGAGGGCGACGAAGACAAGCTGTCAGAAAAGGCTCTCGCCTTGATGAATGAGCGGCTCTGGCTCGTCCAGATCACAAACTCCATCACGTACAAACGCATGGAGGTGATTTTGAGCAAACTTCGATCCATGAAGTGCTCGCTGTTGTATCAGACGCTTCTCGGCGACGCGGCGTACATCGCGCCGGGCGCGTCGCAGCACGCCGAGTCGCAGGCGAATACGGTGTTTTTCAACGCAGGCTTGAACGAATCCCAGCGTACGGCGATCACGTTTGCGCTCTGCCTGCCGCTCACGATCATTCACGGACCGCCGGGCACGGGCAAGACTTACACCGTGATCGAGCTTATCCAGCAGTTGGTGGTGAACCAGGGTGAAAAGGTGCTTGTGTGCGGACCGTCAAATGTGTCCGTGGACACGATCCTTGAGCGGTTAAATTCGACGCGACTCATCCGCGCGAATCGGCTTATTCGCATCGGGCACCCGGGCCGGTTGCTTCCGCTTAACTACCAACACTCGTTGGACATCTTGGTCAAGTCGCCGTCCTCGGATGAAGGTGCTATCCTAAACGACATTCGCGGCGATATCAACAAGATTGTACGGGAAATCGCCAAGACCAAAAAGTTCAAGCTGAAGCGAGAGATGTTTGCCGAGTTGAAGAGTTTGCGGAGAGAGCTCCGCACGAAGGAGAAGAAGTTCGTAGACGAGTTGATCGTTTCCAGCGACGTTGTGGTGAGCACTCTCCACGGCTCCGGGGCCAGAGAGCTACTCAGCGTGTATGACGAATCGGGATTGGTGAACGGAAAGCCGCTCTTTGACACGCTTATCATTGATGAGGTGTCGCAAGCGCTTGAACCGCAGTGTTGGATTCCGCTCATCAACCATTTGGGGATCAAAAAGGTGGTGATTGCCGGGGATAACAAGCAGTTACCGCCTACGGTGAAGACGGAGGACCATCCGCGATTCCAGAAGCTCCTCTCGCGGACCATTTTCGACCGTCTCGTGGGAATGTACGCGAGTGACGGGGAAGTTCCGTTCAAAAAGTTGTTGAGCATCCAATACCGCATGAACGAAGTGATTATGGAGTTTTCCAACCAGCAGTTATATCACGGTAAGTTGACGGCAGGTCAGTCCGTGAAGCACCATACACTTTGGGACTTGAAAAAGGGGGAGATTCCTGTCGAAGGAATAAAAGACTTGGTTAATGAGGACCCAGACGATCTGAATGCCGACTTGAAACTTCCGTTCATCTGGTACGACACCCAGGGGGGCGATTTCCCCGAGCGAACCGACGACGACACGTCCCAGGTCTCCAAGGGGAGCATTTTCGGGTCGTCCAAGTACAACGAAAGGGAGGCGGAAGTGGTTTTGGAGCATGTGGCCCAGCTCGTGACGCACGGAATTCCCCAGACGCTGATTGGGGTTATTTCGCCGTACAACGCACAGGTGGCGTATTTGAAGTCGATCGTGGCTGAACGGTTTCCGGACGTGGAGTTGTCAACAATCGATGGGTTCCAAGGGCGTGAAAAAGAGGCGGTTGTAATTTCGTTGGTGCGCAGCAACGACAAGCACGAGGTGGGTTTCTTGAAGGACGAGCGGCGGTTGAACGTGGCACTTACACGGGCGAGGCGACAATTGTGTGTGGTGGGAGACATGGAGTGTTTGGCGCAATCACGGAACGCGTTCTTGAAGGCGTTGGTGGAGTATGCGGAGGAACATGCGGAGGTGAGATATCCTTAAACCTGAGGGAGAAGCGATGGGGTTTCTAGAGAGCCCTTCAGCAAAGTGATATTAGTATAGACAGAATATTCATGGTAAATTAGGCCTTAAAAATGGCAATCTTGACACGGTAACCAGCCTTAGATAAACTAACTGGGAGGTTTTGTAGTATATCTACGTAGCTAATGGTATAACCGGGTAAAATTGATTGATCATCAGATTTGAACTGGGTGTACAAGGAAACGGTCAGTCAGTCTTTATATAGACCGACTGATGAAGCTATGTCTCACTTAAGATGAGGCACCTACCGCACTTTTACCACAGTTTTAAAGAAAAATCGAATGGCATCACATCAACTTTAAGCATTAATCGTTTATGAAAGGAGCCATCAGTTATACCAAGAAAATGAATAAGGACGCATGCAGAGGAACTGACCACGGTTTAATGTTAGTAGAGAAACCTGAACCATCGATACAAAGCTCACGAGCTAATCTGTACACCCTTTTGGCTTGGGTCAATCCATTCCTCACCTGATATTTCATTCATAATCTGAACTAGTTTACAGTGCCAGTTTTAATCGACCCTACCGGAAACTCCCAGGGTTTCTGCCTTTGTAGATATTCAACTTTTGGTAGCATTGTTAAACCACCCCCGGAATGCAATTTCCTTGGTTCCGACTTCTAGGCTGTGGCGGTGAACCCTCAACCTGTATGAAGTACGGCGGTCTGTGGCGCATTAATATTCTGTCGTGCGCCTACCACCTCCAGAAAATTCGCGGGACCGGCGCTTCACTCCATCTTCAGTTGCTATTCAAAGAGCTTGTTTATCTACCTATCTCCACGCTAATCATCGCTACACACCACCGTACCTTCTACTGGCTTCCACTGCCCTCTTTTTGCTTTATCTTCTACCACCCTCTCCATGGACGCACACTCGGTCGACCTCGACATCAGACGGGTGCAGGTGCTTCTTCGCATCAACAACATTCTCCTCACAAAATGGATCGAATTCCAGCAGCTGACGCCGCGGCCGACACCACAGAACCCACCCACACCCCAGCAGCAAGACTTTCTCCAACACGTAATGCGCCGAACACACTGCAACCTTACGTATCTCGCGATGGTCAATGACCGGTACCAGAACCCGAACTACGCGGCGCAGAGCTCGCAGCCCGCGTTTCCTGCCATCTTGACGCCGCCTCCTAGCATTCCTGAGTTGGCGGATTTGTACACACAGTTGCAACAGTTGTTTCCGCAGGCGTTGATGATGTTGCAGAAGAAGGCGATGCTCTCGAGGCAGCAGATGCTCAAGCAAAATGCCTCGCTGCAGGTGCCAACGCAGGTCCTGGCTCCGACTCCTGCCAGCGGTGTTAACTCACCAGCGTTACAGCTGCGCTTTTCCCAGCAGTTTACCCAGGGTTCGCCTGACCTTCAGCAGCAGCTGTTCCAGCAGAGTCTGTTTACAAACAACATCAATCCTCAGCAGATTCTCCAACAAAACCAAGCTATGAACCAAAACCAGCAAAGCCAAGCCATGAGTCAAAACATGACCCATCAACAAATGAATCAGAACAACCAGCAAATCCAACCGAATAACGACAACTTTGACTTCATGAAGTGGCAGTGAGCTCGGTGCCGAGCCGGTAAAGCCCGGCCTTTTCTTCTCGTCTTTTCTTGTTTCACTTTTCTACCTGTATAATAAAACGTAACTAATATTGCTCAGGATGTAGAGCATGCTGGTTCCTTTGTTGGTGAAGGAAAGATTTTTGCAAAAAAAAATCACTTAACCGAGTTATCCTATCATTTTATTGGTTAACCTCAACTATTCTGGATGTCTATCCAACACAATAAGCCCCTCCGGGCGCGCTAGTTCCCATCGGAACCGCCCAATATATACCATTCCTTACGATCACTTTTGATCAACCACAGAGTTTTATCGCCGCAACGTCCGATGACAGCTTCGCCCTCGTTTTATTATCAACCGCCACATTCCCGGTGTAACATCCGAGCCGCACCTCATCACGTCACGTGGACGTCTAACAATTTCTTTTCGTGCATAAAATTTTTTCTATTTTTCATCATTCACCGTCCTACTCCCCTCCCCACAAACCATTCCTAACACAACCATTATGTCGTCAAAGAGAAGATTCGACAAGAAGAAGGCGCAGACCTATGCGATGGTCTTCCGTTCGCACGAAGATCCGTTGTTTCATGACACAGAAGCGCCGGAGCACGTGTTCGTGGCGGTAGACAACCCCAACGAAGCGCGCAAAGCGTCAGTGCTCGCGGCCAAAAGCCAGGAGGCGGCCAAGAGACGTTTCAACACCGGTAAGGAGCTCGAGCTTGACTTTGAGGAACAAATCGCCCAGGGTAGCATCAGGCCCAACGAGGGTGAGGCCGCTGTGTACGGGATCACGTACGACGACTCCAAGTACGATTACATGCAGCACTTGAAGCCGATTGGGCGTGGCGACGGTGTGTTCATGCCGAAAAAGGGTGTTGAGGATGTCAAGAAGAACACTGGCGAACTCGTGTTCCGTGACGATGCCCCCGATATCAGGCAGCTTGTGGAGGAGAAGGAGCTCCTTGCGGCGCCGAGCCAGGTCCAGGTCAAGGCGACGTACCAGGATCAGCAGAACGTGCAAGATGCGATCGCGGGGTTTAGACCGGATATGGATCCGCGGCTTAGAGAGGTCTTGGAGGCGTTGAACGATGAGGCGTATCTCGATGAGTCGCACGACGTTGACGACGGCGACGTCTTTGGTGACTTGTTGCAGGGCGGCGAGGCCGATGAAGCCGAGTTCTTTGGCGATGAGTATGAAGAGGACTGGGATCTCGACAACTTCGAGGACGAATACAGTCAGTACGACGAGCCGGAGCAGCGAGAGTACGTAGAGCAGCAGCAGAAGAGCGAGAACCCCGAGACGAATCAGGACTGGGAATCCCATTTCAAGTTATTCAAGCAGAAGCAGAAGGCTGTGGCGAATGACTGGGACTCGGACGACGATTTTGAAGCGGAAGAAGCGGAGGAGGACCAAGTGGGCGATTTACCGGAATTTGGGGCCAAAAAGGTGAGCAAGACCAAGCAGAGAAAGAAGAAGGGGGCCATGACCGATACTTCTGCGTTCTCCATGACATCCTCCGCGTTGTTCCGTACCGAAGGCTTGACCTTGTTAGACGACCGCTACGACCGCCTTGTTAAGAGCACATACAAGAAGTCGCTCAGCGGGTTTGGTAACGAGGACCGCTACGGAGAGGATGGTGAGGTGGCGTATTCGTCCGAGGAGGAAGAGGAGTATACACCGTTTGAGATGGCCAACGAGAGACCGGACTTTGAGAACATGTTGGATGACTTCTTGGACAACTATGAGCTCGAGGGGGGCAGGCGTTTAGTGCCGAAGGACGCGGAGATCCAAAAGTTGAAAGACGCGTCGGATTTGGTCAGTAAAGGAAAGTTGGCTGCCAAGAGAAATCAGATGAAGACCAAGGGGGTCAATGGAATCACCACAGGGTTGAATGCGTTGAGGTTCTAAGTGTATCAAATTGTATAATAAATTAATGGTTATGGAAACCCTTTAGGCTATGTTGTAGACAGGTTGTGGCCGTGTAACGTGCAGAGATACCATAAGGCTGAATGTATCGCCTCTGGGCCTGCCGGGTTGGGTTTGGTTAAAGTGTACGAACTGCTGTGAGGTCATTGGTAAGGGTAGCATCCATAAGTGGTAACCTTCCAGCTTACGAAATTTCTTTACTCCATTGCCTTGCAACCCGACAAAAGTGGATTTGCCACTTCTACAATCTAATCTTGAGCATAGGCTTCAAATAAATGTACGGGAAGATTTAATTCAAAATTACCTTTGGGCTTTCAACTGGCATATGGTTGGTTATTAGTTCATGAAATAAATAATAATTGAATATCGTGCTGGATAAAATGTAGGGGGGGTAATTCCCCTGGGGAATTATAATGGATCGAACCAGTTCTGCAACTTGGTATTCTTGAACACCCGCATACCCATGGTGTACCCCTTCCTTTCGTCCCCCTCTCTTCTGGCCTCGACAAACTCCGCTTGCTTTCTAGCCAATCTTGGCTTGAAAACACTGAAGCTCACGATAGCATACAACAAGCCAAAGAGCAAGTCGATGCGCCAGTGGTGGTCGAGGTAGATGGTAGCCCACCATTGCACAACCACGTACAACCAGCCGAAGAAGAATTTAGCGTAGTGCGAGCGGGCGTGGTAACAGATGAAGAAGCAGCACATGACCGCCATGGCCGAGTGGAGCGACGGGAAGGCGCCAAACACAATCGGCGACTTGTGAAAGCCCTGAGAATTCAAGTGGGTACCCATCGCCACGTCCACGCGGGTCAAACCGGCTGCGTAGCCTGGGGTATCGTAGTCGGCAGCCTTATCTGGACCGTAAAGGCTAATGAACCACGGTGGAGCATTGGGAAACACTAAGTGAGTCAATACTCCCGCAATGTTCTGGAACCCCAAGCACCAGGAAAAGGTCAGAAGAGCACCGGGGACGTGGAACACATAGAGCCAGATCGCCGTGAAAATCGGGGCTAAAAGGTGGAGCAACACATACAGAAACCACGCAAACAAGTCCTTCGGGGTGGAGATGTTGTTGGTGCCCCACCAATGGTCGGCATTGAGAATGATCCAGGAGAGTGCAAGAAGCAATGGAGGGGTAATTAAATGGGCTTGGCTGTTTGCCGCCTGTCTAGGCTCCGACATTTCTACAAGACAGTCTAGCAAAACGTAGTCCTCGCCAAAATTGTTCTCACTAACCTTCTGGCCCATGATGAAATTGCTGGAGGAAGAAATAGACGATCTGGACACGCTATCCGTGCTTTTTTTTCTCAAAGCAACCACTTCTTCATCGGACAGCATGCTGAACTCGTCTAACTCCTGGTTTTGGGAGTACGAGTCGCGTTCCGCGTCATTGTTGGTGTGCTTTTGCTGGTAGAACAAGATATAGAGGACGTAGCTCAACGCCACAATGGCTACAAAGCTGAGCCAGCCGGTGAATGACGTGATGGTGAATACAATCCCGTCCATTTTCATCATCAACGGCACATGAATGCTGGGTCTCCATGAGTGCGGAATCAAACCAGCATTTTTAAAGATGCAGAGCCATGCCACCACAGGTCCGAAGTTGAGGAGAAAGTTGAGGGGCAACGTGACGACATTTCTCTCGTTCAAGCCGGACTTGACGATCCGCACGAGCAATACAAAGAGAAACGTGAAGGGTTTGAGGAACGCGCAGACGATGGGAGAAATGTACAGGTACTTTTGTAATAGGTTTTGCATTCGGGGAGGTTTATCGGAGGGGTTCATAATGATCTGCGACGCCTCTATTTTGGTGGTTCGGGTAAATAAAACAATTTTTATGCTGATGAATACTGGCTTGAAGAAAAAGGCCAATGTCTGTTGATGTTTAGTGAAAAATCAGTAGCTGCAGACTTTGTGCATACGGAATCTCAGGATATGAATTGTTCCGGCAGTTGGGACACGAAATGCAAAGGGTACTCTAGTATTGTTCCTGAGTAGTCGTTACAATTGACAAATCTCGGATGCGTTTCTGGAACAAATAAACCGAGGATTGGTAGGACTAGGTCGGGTGAGACTAAGTTTGGTGAATCTAGGTTTGGTGAGACTAGGTTTCGGCGAGGGAAAAACTTGTCGAGATAATCAAGCGGTACTAACTCCTATGGGATACGAAAACAGAGGAGTGTAACGAAATCAAGAAAGACGGTGGGATCGAAGGGTGTGACGGGATCAACGAGTGTGAGCGGTACAACCTAGAATGGACGATGGATGATGGATGCAGGGGAGAGTATATATACCCGTATGGGCAGAGAGAGACTTTAGTCCGCTGTGGCACTAGCTCGGTTGTCAAACATGCACGAAAAAAAAAAGCAAAAACAATGACGTACAAATGTATGTATGTATGTTGATCGAAGGTTTCCTAGATTGAAAAAAAAAAGAAATTAAATAATGCAGTTCCTAGAGTCCCAGTAACTCCAACTCTTGCTACCTGTGTTTTTATCTCCGGTGATATCTGTTGTAAATACGGCGCTCTTGATCACAACTAAGGTCTTTGCAAATGTCCCAGAATTATGAGATGCATCGCTCCGTGTGAAATGCATCACCCCGTGTAGTGCTGTTTTACCGAAAGCCGTGCACGATTCAAACTCAGACGTTCGATGCAAGGATAGCCGCGCGTTGGCACGGTACACCGTTTTCTATACGTATCGTCCTAGCTATGAAACATACCCACTCGAAGAAGAGAATCGTAAATACCTGGTGAATGATACGAATCTGAATCCTGTACCAGGCAGCCATTGGGCGTTCAGGGATCGAGAGAAAACCAGGTTTAGTTCCGAAACCGGTTGCTGCAGAAATACATGGTGGCGGAGTAACACGAGTACTGAGTCAAACCATGCACGCGACTGGACACATCTTTCCGGGCGGAGTACATCGGATTTCCGCACCCACATTGTCTGAGAACCCCTTTTTCCCAGACGAGGTATAGCTCTAAGCTTATGTAATATGATAACGATGAACACTGTAGGGTTGTATTCTTGCTGATGACCAAGAAAATTTCAGGTCATGGTTTCACTCGAACCCATGTTAGTGACCCTCTTACTAGGGCCCAGAGCAGCTAGCCCCACTTATCCCAGGGCTGGGAGTCTCATGCTTGATTCCAAACCTCGGGCTTTAGCTTTCAGGATGTGCTTTCGCCCTATACTTATTTATCTGTAGCAAAAGGGGATGATGTTTTTATCCACGAAACTTGTTTAGATTCGGGCTCGAATGTAAATCTAGCTATTTACAGACACAGGTGGGGGGGAGGGGGGGGGGGGGTCCAAGGGTAAAGTCGGGACAACAATGGGTATGTTTTTCTGCATCCCGTGATCCATAAACAATAAGCTTTGGTATCCATATGAGCTCTTATTCCATGTTGGTCTTTAGAGAGCCTTGTTGATGGTGTGGTCGCCTAGGATCACGCTACGAACTGCAGCCCCGGTTATGACCTCCTCACGTGAATTCCACAAGTCTTAACTCCGTGCTTTTGGCCAGTGATTGCGTAAATTTCTATTTCGGGTACCTGTGAAAATCGAAGGCAGTGTATAATAAAAGGGAGATATTCACAGGATGAGACTGGATTGTATATTAGCATGAGTGGCATCTAATAAAATGAAAGCCTCGGCAGTGTTCTACCAGGCGTAAGGATGGATATTCCAAAGTCCCAGGAGTTTTCCATTCAGGGGCGTAGAGCCACTCTAAACGAGCCTTTTATTGGGGGGGAAAAAAACCCTCAGGCCTGAATTAGGACATCCTGGTCTTTCACTATACTCCGGTTTACGCCTTCATCAGTTCCACGTCTGGTAAATCTATACTAGCACCGTAGGCGTTAAGCGTTCGTATAGCTCTGGCAGCTTCAGAGAGTATAATTTCGGTATCCACATTCTTTCACAGCTCCGTAGATCTAGCGTTCTCCGCGTGACTTCCCGGTTTTCGCCTCAACCCGGTCTTCTAACCTTACAGAACTAGGAACCAATGACATTAGGCATGAAACTGAATTCACGCTGGGTATATTAACCAAACAGCCATGGTTTCAACTTGGCCTAGCGTTACGTGCACCAGATTTTCCCCTTTCTCTATTCCTTCACCCTCGCGTTTCTACGTTTTTTCGCATTTTCCATTCATTGCCCTAACTCTCGTTTTACAAAAGCCCATCTCTAACTACTCGTAGTCTTCATCGCCGCCCTGGACATCGGCGACCAAGTCGTGCCATTCAACACCGCCGAAGGTGCACTTGCTGATGCCCAAGTCACGGAAATGGAGCTTGTCGACGTACAACTTCAACAAGCTTTCCTTGGCAAGAAGGGCAATCTTGTCTGCAACCTGCTGCTGCGAGATCTTGTGCATGTAGTCGACGTACAACCAAGTGGCGTAGCCCAGGCCGCGGAAGTCTGGGTGGACCACCAAAGAGTGGATACCGATGACGCGAGAGGTCTCGACGTGACCGAGCGTTTTACCGGACTCTGACACGTTGGATCCGTTCTGCGGCATCATCATAGCTTCTTCGGTAACCAAATCAGAACCCATCTTGGTCGCGATGATATGGCCGATCAACTGTTCGGACTTGATCGTGGATTGACCCGGCAAATCGCAGCTGTCAAGGTTATCATCCTCCTCATCCACTTCAGTGGCAGAGCCATCAATCTTGGCAAACTGTCTGTTCAAGCGGTTTCCGTGTTCGTACGGTGGGTTGAATTCCCTGTAGAAAAGCCCTAAGCACAACTCGGGACACGCTCCGATCCGGTATTGGAACTTCTCCAACGAGCAGCGCTCCTCGGGTGGGAACCCTAAGCCCTCCAACACCACACACTGTTCGATGTCAGCGGAGGTCAATGGGCGAATTGCTATGCGGAAGGCGGCGTTTGGATCCATAATTAGCGTATGGGTATGGTACTAGTGTATAGACCTGCCAAAAGAGCAAAACTTATCTGATGGCGTAACTTTCTGCGGCATGTGTCCTGTAAACTGCTTATGTAAGCAGAAGAGCCGCCGGCAATATCAATATGCCTAAGAATAGCGGCCGGCAATATCTATATCAGCCTCGAAGCTAGTGCTACTCGATATTCCATCTGATTTTCTAGCATGTCCGAACAAACTGAAACCACCACCACGGTCTTGCCGTTGGAAATCATCGACAAGTGTATCGGCTCCCAGATCCACGTCATCATGTCATCCCAGGACAAGGAATTTGTGGGAAAGTTGGTCGGCTTTGACGACTTTGTCAACATGGTGTTGGAGGACGTGACCGAATACGCCTCCAATGGTGAAAAAGTCACCACCAGGTCCAAGATGTTGTTGAACGGGAACCACATTGCGATGGTATGTATCTTTTACTCACATTTTGTGTTTCTACTAACATTTCTAGTTGGTCCCAGGTGGTGCTGGCCCCCAGTAGCTAGGCTGATGCCTTGGGCGTTTTAAGGAGCCAAGAATATCTTGTGCGAGCACTCTAAGGGCTATCCCTGTCCAAGCAAGCCCCGGTGGCAATCCCTTTGGGTTTATCTGATAATCATCGTCTTCCCCATAGGGGTCGCTGGTGATGGAACCTTGCTTCAAGGTGTGTACTATACATTGTATGTTACTTTCGTTTTAATTGCATATTCGACGATATTGAACTTTGATAGTTGTAGGTAGTGCCTTTCAAGTTCGTTAAAGGTTTTTTTTTTCATGATGAAGACTAGGAAGTGGAGGGTTTTCAAACGAATATAAAGGGTTACGATTAAAGGGATTTTATAAAAGATATGAGAAGTTATAAAAGATGAGATGTTGTAAAGGATATGAGATATTACAAAAGATATGAGATGTTATAAAAGACATGAGATATTATAAGATATGACAGATTCTTGTCCTCTTCAAGTGCATGGGTCTGTGTTTCAGATGTAGTTGAAGTTTGTCATGCATCAACTTCCCATCACTTCCGTGTTCCGTTAATGTTGCCTGCTTTCGAGTCGCCGAAACGTTTTGATAGCACTCTACGTTATTGAATTGAGTCCAAAGAGTTAGAAATCTGTTTTAGTGTAGCGGCTTATAAAAAGCTAGGCCAGTTTGTTTGCAAACATGACACTCCCTGTGGCTCCGGGTTTATATATTGACAAAACTTTCCCCAGAAACTGCTTAGGTTTCAACCACCCCAGGTTTGCGATTATGAAATCATTATTTTATTCTTTTGCGTTGGCCCTTTATCTTTCGAACAATGTTGTCTCCGAGTATGTCGTGAAAGCGGGGCACGGATCCCAAACGCTGTTGACGATTGCAGGCGATAATCATCGGTACACAGAGGTCTTTACTTACGTCCAAGTATTGGCCTTGGGCTCTTTGGGTCAGGCATCCAAGCCTCCTTCCTCAACTTCGGAATCCATCGATGGTGCGGTCACTGGGACGGGAACCGAAACCGTAACTGGTTCTATTTCGATAACTGCTGTGGCTTCAACCCCTATCGCCGTGTATCACGATACGATATTGAAAACCCACAATCAATACAGAGGTGTTCACCAGGTTGAATCTTTGCTCTGGAGCCAGGCACTTGCAACATACGCTCAATCGAAGGCTGACAGGTATGATTGCTCGGGAAAGTTGGCCCATTCAGGCGGACCCTACGGCGAAAACTTGGCCTACGGCTATTCCGTTAAGGGTGCTATTAATGCATGGTATAACGAAGGATCTGATTACGCCTACTATAATGAAACAGCGTCGTCAGATGGCATTACAGACGAGGATATATTCAAGAAATACGGGCACTTTACACAGTTGTTGTGGAAAGGAAGCGGAGAACTAGGGTGCGGGATAAAAACGTGTATCAACCTGGGGGTGTATCTTATTTGTTCGTACGGGCCTCAGGGTAATGTGGTTGGACATTTACAAGAAAATGTGTTTCCTAAGTTGGTGCAGTTTTCCCCCTCTGTATGAGCCATTATCTTTTGCCCTGCATCATACAACGGTTTTCATGGTTCGCCTTTGACTATTTAGCTCTAGAGTAGCGTGGGGTTTTGAATACGAAATCGCGTGTTCAAAGATATTACAGTAACGTGCATTATTTTCTATTGTAGCAGAGCCAATTGGGGTATATCTAAATATATTGGTAATAGTGCCATCATCGATATGAGGGTACTTAGTTGAAAGCCAGAGAAAAACTACTGATCTCCCCACCTTTTAGTGTTTGGCCCCTTCGTTTGGTCCCTTCGTCTAGTAAGGTATCGTGCAAGTGTCGCTGGCAGCTGTCCCGCTAGAGACTTTTTTTACAGACCACAGCTATTAGGCAAACGTTCCAAATTACAACTACGCGCGGCCTTCGTATAGCTTGGCAAGCCTTAGAGGGAGAAGGGCTAGAGCAGCCCATTCGATAAATGAAAAAAATTACAAGTCTCGTAGGCAGAATCCGAGAGGCTAAATTAGGGCTGCCTACACGACAACAAGGGTGAGCGAAAACCTCGCCATGCAGAGTTAAGTTCCATGGTAGATCTCTCGTTGTATACGATTGGGAGAATGTGGACACCATGGCATTCGTGTGTTTTTTACATTTCGATGACAGTTGAACGAACGTTAAAGTTTTCTTTTTATCCCTGGACGCTCTTTACCTTTTTCCTAAAAAGGACTAATTGGCAAACCTAATTCACAGCGAGGATTTACCGGTCGTCGGAGGCTAAATCTTCACGTGCCAGAAACCGGGCCCTAGCCCAAGAGTACTCCCCCCCGTAGCGGTGCAATTCAAGATCAGTTACAAACTTTGGATATCGGCTCATGGTTTCAAATTATTCATCTAAACTATAGGTCAACTGGCACCATGAAAAAAAGTCATAAGGAAGGTGAGGGGAAATACAAAAAGAATTGAAAAGAATGTGGGTCAATGAAGAATGGAATGGGTCGTAGCTGCTGCAACTTTCATCAGTTAGATCAATGGCAAGACGTTGGCAGCGTCCTCGCCGATAAAGTTACCGGCAGGATCGTACGAACAAATGATGTAGGTACCCCATATGTTGTTACAGGTCTTGTAGCCACAGCCCAACTTGGTGGTGCTCTTCCAAATAACCTGGGTAAAGTGGTCGTAGGTATTGGCAGCGGAGTAGTCGTAAGAGGAACCCTCATCGTACCAGGCGTCAACAGCACCGGTGGTGGTGTAGCCGATAGCCAAGTTTTCACCGTATGGGCCGCCAGAGTGGATCAAGGCACCGGAACAGTCGTAGTTGTCAGCATAGGCCTGAGCGTACTCGTACAAGGTGTTGTCCCAGGTAAGAGCATTGACACCGTGCAAGGCACGCTTGGCATTGTGTTCGTCTAAGATAGCCTTGGCAAAGATAGGGTCCTTGGCGCCGGAGAATTCACTAGACGAGGTGGTCTGAGCAGTGGTCTGAGCAGTAGTCTGAGCAGTGGTCTGGGCAGTGGTCTGGGCAGTGGTCTGAGCGGCAGGGGTGGTGGCAATAGTGACAAAGGTGGTTGGAGTTGTGGCCTTGGCAACAGTAGTCTCCTGAGCAGCGACCTGCTTCTGAGTGGTGGCAGCCGCCGTCTTGATGGACGAAACGCTGGTGGAGGCCTTGTTGGTGCCAGTTGAGGAAGCAACCACGGCCTCACCCAACTGCTGGGTCTGACCCGGAAGGATGGTGACGTATTCCGTAACGAATTCCGTGACGACTTGGTAAACAATCTTGCAAGTGACCATTTGGGCCATCAAGGGCAAAACAATAGCGGAGGATAACTTCATGGTTTAAGGAGTGGAAGACAAGGAGTGAAGGGTAGGGAGCGGAGGGAGGGTGTGTCAGACTTGGAAAGAACGTGGTTTTGGAAGGAAGGTGGTACAGATATATTGATATATGTACAAGACGTGCAACTAGAAATGGCGGGCGGTGACTGAGAGAAGAGAAGGGAAAAATGACAAGTCTCCCAGGGCACATATGTTTACGGTCTAGATGGGGGCGACATTGAGAGTCTGGCAGCGATTTACAATGTCGAATATACCTATCGCACGTAAATAGAGTAAAAAGAAAAAAAAACCAGATTTCATCCTGATTTAGTACGTGTTTCGCGTTAGAGCAGATAATCCCATGCATATTAGCATACGTCCCATACTAAATTGTTAGGGTGACGCGTGATTCTATGTAAGGAGAGGGTACTTCTGCGGCTCTTCCTGTTATAGCTGCATGTTGCATGCATGCGACCCGCCTAACAACGCGCCTCGAAACTATAATTGTTACCAGTGACTGGGTTTCGCCCGATGACGCCGAATTAAACTTCGTTCTGGCCTGATATGGTACCCTGTTGTGCATTAGAAAGTCTGGGTTCTGGCTGTTTTAGGGAACTAGCAAGTGAAATTGGGCAAGGATCTGAGGCACGTGCAATTTTCAAGTTGGGCTTACATTACATACATACGAGCGGTTACTTTTTTGCCTAATTAGGAATATTGTTGTGCCCTAATGGGGGATTGTTGAAGACTTGGGCCAAAGGATTGGCATTGCTATCAATGAACCCACAATGAAGAAACTCTGACGATCGGCCTAATTTTCTCCGCCAGATCATATAAACTACGAAAAATAGACTGGAGGCTAACGCAAGCAGGCGTCGGTAGTGATGCTTAGAGGTTTGGAGGTACCCACCTTGTGAGTTAACGGTCTGTATCACCTTTGGGCATTGACTAGCGATTGCCATAAAAAAGCCATCTTCACTATGCGCATAAGAAGTCATAGTGTATTGCAATGTTCAACATCTTGGCAATGTACATGTACATGTAGCTATAAGTTACTGGAAGAACTGTCTTTGTAGATTATATATAAATATATGATAAATATCAATTACTTATGTATAGCCAATTACCATTCTCACTGTTAAATTATATAATATTTTCAGGTATATTCAAATATTTATAGCCTTAAGTACGTATACATAAAGTACTTTGTGATCTATAATTACGTATATGTTCAATATTTGTTTAATGAGATATCTCAATAAATGAGAAAGAATGTCACGTATATCTACTAATGCGGTAGATGGTTAGTTTCGTGATGCCATCATACTTTAAATGGCAATATCTACAAATTATGGGCGTGTGGCGTAGTTGGTAGCGCGTTCGCTTAGCATGTGAAAGGTCTCGGGTTCGACTCCTGACTCGTCCATTTTTGGTTCTCCATCTGTCGCTAACACCCCCAGAAGAGATATCAGTCATAAATTAAAATTAGCAATTGTTACGCACCGGAATGATAACCAAGTGTTCACAGAAGCATTACTCATGCACTAGTTAAGGCTATCTCACCGTACTGCATTCATATCTAGACTTACATACTCTCGCATATTACCGGCGATCGGGTATGAGGTGAAATATTTTGTTTCAATGAGCCATACAAGGCTTATACAGTGGCAATACACATGCAAGGAACCGGAACTATTACGTTATCCCCACTTTAGATAGGGGGTAAAACGTTAGCCTGAAACTGGGAGAACACGTTACCGTGCGGATCGTACTCGCAGATGATGTATCTACCCCAGGCCCCCCCACAATCGATATAGGCACATCCAAGCTTGGTAGTGCTCTTCCAGATAAGCTGGGTGAAATGGTCGTAGTCATCTTCAGAGTTATAGTTGTAATTGGCCCCCTCATCATACCAAGCATCTACAGCTCCAGTGGTAGAGTAGCCAGCAGATAAGTTTTCACCGTACTTCCCCCCACTGTGCTTCAAATCACCGTTACACTTGTAAGTGGAGTCAGCATAGTTCTTGGCGTAGTCAGCTAAAGTGTTGTCCCAGGTAAGGGCAGGCACCCCGTGCAAGGCACGCTTCTCGTTATGAGCCTTCAAGATGACTGCAGCAAAGTCATCCGAATCCGCAGACGCAGTACCGCTAGTCTCACTGACAGAGGTACTGGACGTCGCTGGGGTGGCAATGGTAGAGGTGGTGGTTTGGGGGGAGCTAGGCGCCGTTGCTGTTGGTGCTTTTCCGTGGGTAGAGGTTGAGATAATCAGTGACCCCGGGGTATCAGCTTGAGTAGGGGTAGCATTAGTAGAGGCAGCCGCGGAGGAGGTGGTCGTAGAAGAGTCAGAGGAACTCCCCTGAGGAGTTACTTCTTCGAAGTTCAAAATAGTGGTCGTCTCAGGGATAACCGTTGAAGTATCTTCTATAGGTGCTTGAATGGGTATTGAAATAGTTGTTTGGGTGGAGGTGGAAATATCAGCGATAGCTTGAACCGAAGTTGAAGAAATGGCAGCTGTGGTATGAGGACCAAAAAATTTGTAAAAATTAGCAATTAGAAGGGCCCAAAGTTCTGCATTCTCTTTCGGGATGACAAGTCCAGTACTAGCAACCTTAGCATAGGTAGTAGTTGGGGTTCTGTACAAGGTAGTCAAGGTGGTTGGCACCGGGACAGGCTTGGAGACTATGGTATCCTCAAAAGTTGACTGTTCCGCATTAACGGTCACGACATGAGTAGCCTCAATGGTAGGTTGGTTTTCGCCAACAGTTACGACATGGGTAACCATAGGAGCTGTATGTGTTACATAGACGGTTTGAAAGACAGTTGCGCCAAGGGCCGTGTTGGCTAAGATAGCGGTGAGGATCGCTGATGAGATTTTCATTGTGTGTGGGTTGGTAAAGGAAGGTGATGGCGCAATGCGAGGAAACACTTATAGCGTAGGAAGTGGGATATCAATGCTTTTATAGCGTTCCTTCTTGGTATGCTTATGACGCGCTTGCCTACTGATTTGTTTTATAATTGATGTAATTGTTTCTAGGGAAGCCATGCGTGTCCCTTCACCTATGCAGTCTATTCATGGGTTTAAAAAGGCCTTGATGCCCTCTAGGTTTGGAGGAGTAGTACTAAAGTTAGAGTTTTATTGTCACTCCGGGTCAGAGATCCGTGATCGCGCCTGTTTGGTACCATTCCACGTACATCTGCATATGCGCGGAATGTGCAGGTACATGGGCCAGTTTTTAATGGTAACATACGCGACGAAGATCCGGCACCTTACTCTCGTCAACAATAACAATAGGTATCCCTGGTCGGATTGATTCGGATTTGGAACAGAAGTTGTCGTAATAGGAGATTCCTAAGAATACGTTTCATTACAGAATGAGCCTGGTTCTGCCCGAATCCAACGGAAATAAACGATACCAATTCGATAGAATGTGATCTCTCAGTGAGAGACCTATGCTCACAGCAACGGCAAATATTTCGCAGAGCATCCTCGGATCCTTAGCTAGCCCATACTATCAACGTTATACGCCCGACCACAGGACTGGGCTAACTTTATCGGGGTCAAAAGAGAATGAAGCGTGCCCGACTAAATTTGCCTCGACTGACTAGTGCGAATTTCGTGGTTACCATTCTATTTCAACTGGTGGCTAGACTCCGAATAAAAACACATCAAAAGAAAAATGAGACAAGGTGGCAATAGCTCTGACACGTTGGATGCCTTACATACTTTTGTTAGAGACACCATATGTGCCTAAGCGGGAAGTTTAGTGAGTTCCTAAAATGGGAGTTAGCGGGCAACGGGATGTAAAGGAGGAAGCAGCGAGAGCATCTGAAACCCTTGTAAAACGGTCGATTCAGAACGCTTCATGGTTATCAAGCTGCTTGTGACCTCCATGTACACTCTACGCAATATAATTTACACAGGCGAGGCACCTTTCTTACCAGGGCTGGAGGAATAGAGGTGCCTGCACGGGGAGGAGGCTTGATTCCACAAAAAGTTAGATCTAAAACGTGGGAGTTTAAACCCGAGTAACTGGATTTTATTGTTACATCAGCATTTAACCCACTAGTGGTTTTATTAGGCATTCTATAAAGTCAGAAAAGGAGTATCAGAGAAAGGAGTGACCAAAAGGCAGTTAATGTTGAATACCAAACAGCTGTACCGGAGATGCCTCATGATTCTAGACGCAGTAAGCTTGGATAGGCAAACGAGTTTATATAAGCGAGACGAGGATGCGGGAAATAGCGACCGTTTTCCTTGGATCTTTCGCAATGGTTACCTGGTGAGGCAGAGCTAGCCAATAGAATTACCGAGGGAAAGCTCGAGACTCATTCTTGGAGAGGGAAAACGAGATGAAACCAAGATTTCATCCTGTTTGAATTTTCAAGGTTTTTTATACAATCAACGGTCAATTCATCTGGTCAGGTGCCGATGACGTTATTTTGGGGAACCTATTTTGTAACTAAGATATTTTAGACGACCTTACAACGAAGGTATGTACACTAAGCTAGACCAACGATCAGTTATGTAGTGCGCTTAGGCATTCGGACTTTGGAGTGATTTCTAGATCGAGCTATTTTACCTACCGATCGGTGCCTTCATGTGGAATGTGCATGTGTATCAGATCCACGGATCCGTGCGCATGGAGAAAGTGTCGGGTACCTTGCCGGATTTCAGATCAGAAACCAAAACTGATACGCCATTACGTTAAAGCAAATATTCACTTACGTTCCAGATTCTTAGCATTATGAGAGGTTTAATTTGAGATAAATGGGCTTAAGGTGACTGGAAGCTTGAGTCCTTTTTTTTTTTTGGTCTCAGGCTACTTCCGGATCGCAGCTTCTTGAAAGCACCATGGGGGGGAAGGTATGCTACGTGAGCCCCTTGAAACGGCGTTTTGACGCAGGAAGACTACCTCAAGTCGTTTACTTGCTGCTTTGACGTATGAAAATTCAGTAGCAGGTGCACGTTAGCGACGGATATTTGCATATCAATAGTCGGTTTTACATGCATTTATAGGCCATTCCAACTTTACGAAAGCTACGGCATTCTTTTAGACTAATAAAAACTGATAGTGCATACTCTCTCAATCGTGGCTTTAGAGATTTTGCTGCTGGCTTAGATATTTCCAAAAAAACAGCCAAGCCGTTCATTCCCTCGGGTAGCACCAGATTGAGAGGTGTTATACTTAATCAACTTATATTTATTACATAACCAAGTGCAGGCACGCATCAATGATCCACGGCCGTTACCTGTCGAGACATCTGGGATATAGACTTGTAACCACTTTGGCTTACTTACAGGGACATGTATCCTGGGTAACCAGCATGTAAGACGAGTAGATCTATGTAATGGTTCATCTGTGCCAGGTAGAAATCTTATGGTCTAGAGCGCTGTAAACACCTTCCACTAAAAAAGTATCGTTACACGGGTCTCACCTTGCATATCCCATGCATATGCAAGCCTGCACCATAGATCAGAGGTGTGTTTCGTGAAACTAGCTGATCTGGGCAAGAGAAGATGATACAATCCCCTTCGCAACATGCGGTTGGAAAATAATGGCATTCCATATTCTTCGATGGGTACCGCCAGGACTAAGCATTCCATATACCGGCCTATTGCTCTATTACCATTGATCACACCAGATGTGCAACATACTTGCAATAAAGCTCAGCGCATAAGTATGTCTATGTCTGGAAAGTTCGTATCAAAAATGGTTTACTGACTTCTAACTAGCTCCAAACCTATTTGAGAGGGAATATCTACGCTCTCAAATAGTTCCGAAAGCAAGACTCATCTATGTTATGGCTATTAGCGCTGGACATATGTTTTTCAGGTACAACTTGGGCGTGTGGCGTAGTTGGTAGCGCGTTCGCTTAGCATGTGAAAGGTCTCGGGTTCGACTCCTGACTCGTCCATTTTTTTTCGTTACCTGCGCCGCACCTCTATAACATCTGGTGGCGATACAAATCGCCGTCGACCCACCAACAATGTACCAAACCTGCCACTATTCTTCCCATAATGCGTTTAACAATAACTATCGAAAAAACTGACGACTTCTTTCCCCTTGATATCCCATCAGAGCTCACCCTCCTCGATTTTAAGGCGCTCTTGGAGGCAGAGTCGGACATTGATCCCGCCAACCAGACTTTGCTTGTGAACATGCGCGCTTTGAGCGGTGATGACCAATCATTAGAGCAATTGGGATTGCAGGACGATGATATGGTTGTTTTGAAGGACAAAATGAGCCAGGCAGCGCGTGCGCCCGCCAACCCTAATGCCTTGACGGACCAACACATTGAGGCCATCAGAATGCAGGCATTGAGTAATCCTGCGGTCAGCAGCCAGCTTCTTGCCAGCAATGCGCCGCTCCATGCGGTCCTACAAGATCCAGCGCGTTTCAAGGAGTTCTTTCTCCAACACATGGCACAGCAACAACAGCAGGGCCTTTCGCAGGCGGAAATCTCGGCCATTGAGCAGAATCCCGACGATCCAGAGAGCCAGCGCCGCATCATGGAGCTTATTAACCAGCAGGCGATCGACGAAAACCGCGAGATGGCGTATGAGATCTCACCAGAGGCGTTCACCACCGTTAACATGTTGTACATCGACATGGAGGTGAACGGCCACATGGTGAAGGCGTTTGTGGACTCTGGGGCGCAGACAACGATCATCTCGCCGCGTATCGCGTCGCTGTGTGGGTTGGACCGTTTGATTGACAAGCGCTACCAAGGTGAGGCCCGCGGTGTGGGAACGGGTAAGATCCTCGGCAAGGTGCACTCAGCGCCGATCAAGATCGCGAGCCAGCACTTGCCGTGCTCGTTTACGGTATTGGAAATGTCTGTGGGGATTATCTTGGGGTTGGATATGTTGAGACGGCACCAGATTATCATCAACTTGAAGCGAAATGTTTTGATTATCGACGAGGAAAATGGGATTGAAACGCCGTTTTTGGGCGAAGCCGATATCCCCAAGGAGTTTGGGAATGTGCCAGATGTTTCTCTGGCAAACGTTCCTGCCAGGGCTCCCCTGGAGGCTGCTGGAAACGCTGCTTTCAAGCGCGCTAAGACGGCTTCAGTGAATTTACCGGCTAGCGGCTCCGCTGGCAAGTTTCCTGAGGCGACAATCCAGCAGTTAATGGGTTTGGGATTCAGTAGAAACGAGGTGACAGTGGCATTGGAGTCCACGGGGGGAGATGCCGAAGCCGCCGCGTCGTTGTTGTTTTCGTTCTAGAATAAATGGCGGGAGAGGCGGGACAGACTTCTCTACTCTATTGGGTTTCAATAAAAACTCATATCGGCAGCAAAAGAGTTGACATAGAGTTAGTCAATAGAAGGATTGGGTGACAAGCATTGCTACATAGTACTTGTATTCAATAACAACGATTTCCAAAAACGGTGCGATCTGGGGTACAATTCGACTCTGAATAAAAGTCGGTCACGAGCGGTTTTCATACCTGTAGATAATAGTGGGAGGAAAGGAAATGATGTTCTGACGGTTTCCTTTGACGCTGGGCTAAGAACTGACATAGTACGAGGACATTTATTGCACTTACATAACGCTAAATTATCGACACAAGGGGTGTATAAGGCGAGCCACCGGAGAGCAAAGGCTTTAGGCGGTAACAGCTCCGCTATCCTTCAGATAGGTTCATTTGACCGAACATGACTTTAGACTAGAGAAGTTTTCTTATGGCCCGACTGCTGGCATACTAAAAACCAGCCTATGCCAAAGTCCCACGCCATGTCTACTCATCATCTGTTATCACTAGAGCAGCACTTGCCTATTCCCAGTCGTCGTCGTCTTCTTCACCTTCTGGAGTGGCCTCCACCTTAGGCCCGCTCTTCTTGGTGGCCACAACGTCCAACGTGGAGCCGTCCACGCTTTCCAACCCATACGTCACGTCAGAGCTGGTTCTGCTGGAATTGACGTTGCTGGAGTCGACGGTAACTTCTTTCGCCGGCTTCTCCTCCTCTTCATCATCCCAGGCAAAGTCCTCGGTCTCCCCGGTCTCTTCAGCCCCACCGGCCAACAACTGGGCGCGCTTTTGCTCATCTTGTTGGATCTTGGCCAACATGTAGAAGTAGCGACTCCAGAAGTCGGCGTAGGCGATCTTGGTTGGCACGATGGCGTTCATCAAGGAGTGCAATGCCGGGGTGGACTCCAAGCGCTGAGTGATCTCGCCGGTCTGCGAGGCAATGTCGAACGTGGCGGCAAACTTAATGTAGGAAGTATCTTCAACATCGGCAGCGGTCAAGTATAACTCGGGCGACGAGTGCAAAGTGTGCATCTGCGCCTCCGTGCGCGAATGGGCGATAACCGTCTGCTTCTGGTGATCCGCATCCGTCTCACATGCCGACTCCCCGTCCGCGTGCGGTGCCTCGATCGTGAGCGCACCCGCAAAAAACGATGTGAAGTTAGACACGAGATTACCCGCCGTGTTTTCCACAATCTCCAATTCCTTGTCGAGCGAGTCGAGGTAGGTGTTGGTCTTTGATGAGAGCAATTCCATCATCTTGGCCTGCTCCTCCCCGTCCTTGAACTTGACCAACGTGGATTTCGCCTGCTCGAGGTTTTCGTGTACCTTGGAGGTCAATTGCTCCACGTCCACCCTCGCCTTGATCTGGCTAAACTGCTCGTTAAGCTGTGACGTGGCCTGTGTGATATTTTCCGGGATGTGGATATTACCCCAGAGCCCGCCAAACGACGAGCCCCATTTCGAGGTCTGCTCTTCAATCACACTGTAAGCCTTCTCGATTTCTGTCTCGAGCTTGAGGAATTCTTGGTCGGTCTTGGCGTCCACCGGTGTGAGTGTGTCCACTGAATCCTTGGGGGCCAGTTCGGCCTCATAAACGTAGTCCATTATTGCGTTCTCTGGGTGGTTAATGAATGTGGTTGGTGTGTGTAGTTTAGCAAGATTTGGGGTGTGGAGTTATTTTGCTCCGCGTTCCTGACCTCTCAGAACGTGACACATGCGGGCTTATCGAAAGGCTGGCGCACGTGACATGCGATGACAATGCAAAGACTGTCGAGATGCGATATATGAATCCTTTCGTCAGACTGCTTGGGCCTTTATTGATAGGGCTTTTTTTGGCTAGGATTCAGAGAGGATCTTTGGCCCGGTGGTATACAAATAGATTTTTTAGCGGATCGGTAGTAGTTCCAAAACCTCCAAATTAGTTAATCTCATTGATCAGCCCCTAAAGAGTGTAATTTTATTTTATTTTATCCAAAGTAGGAGAGAAGAAATAAGAACATTCATAGAGATAGATATCTATAAAGGAGGAAACCCTATTTTCAGTAATATGCCAATCCTATAATTGTTGTCGTCTTGGAGTCAGCATATATGACTTTCCTCCAGTCTCTAATTGAGCGTTTGTGCAGACCACCAGCACGTGCTTCACAGAAAAGTGAGAGATTGGTGTTGGACTACACACGACTGCATCTCACATGACAGCAATATCTGGGGACCTGGCAGTTTACAAGATTACACACTTCCGGGGGACACACGTTTAAATCTGAGCCAGTCCCATACCATGTCTACACAGAACTCATTAATTCCTCCGTTGCGATACTGCACCATCCAGCCCAACTTGTACCGCGGAGCGTACCCGCGCGAGCTCAATTACAAGTTCTTGGAGTCGTTACAGTTGAAGATGATCATCTCGATGACGCCCGACGCGATTACCGAGGAGACTGACGCGAAATTTTACCACTGGGCACGCAAAAACAACATCAGGTTGGTTCATATCCCGTCCGCAAAAAGCGGTAAGGGTAAGAAGCGAGGGGTGCCCCTTGGCTATACCAGCATCGTGGGTGCCATTGAGTTGATTCTCGACTCGGATAACAGTCCGATATACCTCCACTGTCTAAACGGCGGTCAAGTCACCAGTTTGGCCGTTGCATGCCTCCGCAAGCTCAGTTTCTGGTCCACTGTATCCATCTTTAACGAGTTTATCTCGTACGCGAGCGACATCAGCGTGGCAGACAGATCGTTTGTGGAGAGCTTTGTGGCAGAGATTCACGTACCGAAACGCAAGGTTGCGTGGATATGGCTGGGTATGAGCAGAGGTGTAGTGGGGAACCATCCCACTCTCAGGTTCTACGAAAGTGAGGTGAAATAGAATAAACCTTTAACTGCGGCTGACTCGCGGTTTGAATGGACCAAGGGATAGGGTGCTTTTAGGAGAATGGAACTTTGCTTGACCGGGACGCTGAGCGTAACCGAAGATTCTAGACCAATTATAGCATGCGGCCAAGCCCTTAGAATGGTGGATTACTATTACCCAGATGGGACTCCATGGGGTTGAAATGGTGCCTGAATTGAACTATATCCTCGGCTCAGAAAGGGTGAGAGTCGATGAAAGATCCTTAGGTTATAAAAGCCTAATGCTTTGTTAACACCTAAAGCTGAAATGGAAGACATTGGGCTTTATTTAAACCTATCCCGCAATCCTTTTGGATCAACCGCTTATTACAAGCAACGTCTGGCTGGGTATATACACAATCGTGTACGATTTTCTCTTCAGCTAGACTCCCATTACTTCCTGATAGGCCATTTATTTATTGCAAGAAAATACGTACACTTCGAGTGCATACAGGTGCAATCTGGACGCCAACACAGACTTAATATAGAGCTACCGTATTACATGCTACTCGAATATTATGCTTAAATAAGGGAATTTTCAGTTGTTAGTAGCTATTTCAAGACTTAGCGCTTGGATTCCTTCTTCAATCCACCGTCCCCACAGTTTTGTTACAACTTACCGAGGCATTTGTAGTAAGTATGTAGCTGTCACATGGTAGGGATCAATACTCTATATAAGAAGGTCGATCCCTCTCTCCTTTATCCTATATTCATTATATAGGCAACCAGTATTACTATTACTATAAGTAGATATTCTACCCTTGAGGTAGAGATATACCACAGCATCGGAATTTCACGAGATAAGTGCACACGCTACACACTAAATACACCCTCTTTTCTCTTACCAGATATAATATAGGTCTAAGTTGTATGATATAACTCTAAACTATATGATTGGAGAGAGGATATAGTGATGATTCACAGTATAACGACCCATTAGCCTCGTTTATAGCCACCCACAACATTTTAAATGTGATAGTACTGAACAATCCTGCCTCTCAGAATTTCCACAGTCACACCTGTACCCAAGCTGAGAGCAGCTCCAACAATTCCTGGTACTCAGCCTGCACGGAGTGATAGTGTTATTTTCTCACGTGCCGTTCACGTGTGTATACTCAGGGCAAAGGATTATACAAAATTTTCTTCTCGATCTCGAACACCACGAGGAAAATACTTTTCACCTGCACGAACCAGTCAGGGTGGAAAACTTCGCTCCCAAACGCATGCCCTCGTTATGGGCGGTGTGCCCAGGCGCGAGCAGCGTTCCCCCCTCACTAAAACTTTGCGTAGCAGGTGGACGCTATATCAAAAACGGTACCGTCAATTTTCAGTGAATTTCTTCTCTTGTTAGATTACGTTTAACAGTCAAGCAAAGGTATGTCATATTTCAGTGCTACCTTCGCAAAGATCAGCACCAAATTTAAAGAATCGCCCCAAAGTGAATGACGGAAGTGATGCCAGGACCGACGGAGACAATCAACCTTACCATCTAATCAGAGCCAAATGAGGTCGACATCCCTGGAACCTCCAAGGAGAAGGGGTGCTTCCACCTTATATCCCAAAACTTGAGCACAAGTCGCCATCAACCAGTACATCGTAATCAAAGCCTGGTCCAACAGACTCCATAATCTCCTATCCCTCCGTTTTCATTCGTATTCGAATAGACCTCTGAGACCCAAGTACTAACCCGCTCTAGATCACAATGCAAATTTTCGTCAAGACTTTAACTGGTAAGACCATTACCTTGGAAGTCGAATCCTCCGACACCATTGATAATGTTAAGGCCAAGATCCAAGACAAGGAAGGTATTCCACCTGACCAGCAAAGATTGATCTTTGCCGGTAAGCAGTTGGAAGACGGCCGTACCTTGTCCGACTACAACATCCAGAAGGAATCTACTTTGCACTTGGTCTTGAGATTGAGAGGTGGTGTCATTGAACCATCCTTGAAGGTCTTGGCTTCTAAGTACAACTGTGACAAGTCCATTTGTCGTAAGTGTTACGCTAGATTGCCACCAAGAGCCACCAACTGTCGTAAGAGAAAGTGTGGTCACTCCAACCAGTTGAGACCAAAGAAGAAGCTTAAATAGATTATTTCGCCCGCTTCCATTATTTCTCTCCTTTCTGGTTACTTACTTTTTGGGTCTGGTACAAAATCAATCTATATGTTTTTTAATTAAGATATATCATTGTAGCATCTTGTAGTTGGACTTACAAACAATCTGGATGGCTGTGTCCAGCCCTGAAGGCAGCCGAGAAGCCCGTACGTCAATGTATATCATTGGTTACAAGGTTTGGGGAGGCTAGACATTTGTTAGTCCCCATACCTAGAAGGCAACGCCATTTGTCCATAATAGGCGTCTTTGGGGGTGGAGCCGGTATCGTGGAAACCAAATTTTGATGCGGTTTCTATGCTAATTGGCCTGAATAGACTCCCTGGCGTACAGTTCTGGAGCAGCCCATATAGCCGGTTAAACTAAGCTGTACGTCTGACGCTTCGAGTACGCTCATTTACTATGCGTAACCCAGGTATTTAGCGACGTAGAAGGTTTGTTTTCATTACACATTCATTAATTAAATTTATCCATGTAAAACAGTGCAAGGGCGGCCTTGTATATAATAATGCGATAAGCTTAGTAAACGAAACCCAAGATCTTACCAGAGACGTGCTTTCTTCTGGCTTCTTCGTGGTCCATAATCCCAGCAGAGGTGGTCAAGATAACGAAACCGAACTGTCTGGCTGGCAACAAGTTGGCGGTCCACTTCTCGATGTCGCTGATTCTGACGTTGAATCTTGGAGAGATGACACCACACTTGTTCAATCTACCGTTCAACTGAACGACGATCTTACCAGATCTGTGGTCATCGATGTATTCGAATTCACCAATGTAACCGTGCTTCTGCATGACAGACAAGAACTTGATGATGACCTTAGAGGATGGTCTGATCATGACTTGACGCTTACCGGTCTTTTCGGCATTGTTGATGGCGTTCAAAGCATCGGCGAGGACGGAGGTTCTGGTCATTGTGAGATGTTAGATATAGTCGTAGGTAAGGGTTACAATGGGCGGTTTTCTTCCGAAAACCTGTAAGCAGTCAGGTTTCTTCTATAGCATCCTGCCAGCTGCACCCAGCCTAACCTAACCTTCCTCGGTATGAGAACAGCCATACTATGGAGGCTAACAAACGTCTTCGGTTCCCGCACACCCATGGAAAAACTTTTTCATATCATTCGACCCCACACGACCTTTTCCGTGCGAGTCCTGTGTTAATTTTCCGTTGAAAATTGGCAAAACTGATAAAAGCAGTCACGACGCACGTGACAATTGCATAATGCAGTATCTCCCAATGCGGGAAGAAAATTTTTCCTTCTAGTGTGCAAGGAGGTAGTGCGCTGCATAGAGCTTCTGAGAGGGCGGCGTAGTTATTCCACTGGCACGGTGGAGGAATTTTCCCTCAGGGCAGAGGGCATCATACTGTCAGAGGTAGGGTAGTGGCATAGTGAACGGCATTTTCGTTAAAAGAAACGGTTAAAAATAACCCCAAGAGTTAAGGAGGTCCTTCTTTTTTTTGAATTATTGTTGTTATATTTGAAAGATGCCTGTATGTACCCATATACGTCTACGGACGAGAGCCAAGCTGGCAAGATACTGGGCTGTGAAGAACCGTGAAACGGCGCCTACGGGAAATATGACGAGGGGGCACCATGGATGTGATAGTTGATACCCAAAACCAGCTCTGTTTGAATGAGCTGTTGAGACCATTACTCAAAGATCTTACAAACCCTAACTCCCAATGAACTCTAGAGAATCACCTCTAAGAAGCTGGCTCACGGATGCCTTACTCTCACTTCATCTCTCTATTCTTCACTCTCCCTGTACCTTGAATGGTGTACTTTCTACGAACTCGTTACTAACTCTATAGTCCCAAAAATCCTTCAAGACCAAGCAAAAGTTAGCTAAGGCTCAAAAGCAAAACAGACCATTGCCACAATGGATCAGATTGAGAACTGACAACAAGATCCGTTACAACGCCAAGAGACGTAACTGGAGAAGAACTAAGTTGGGTATCTAAACAATGCTAGATCTTTATGTGAAGAAAGCCAAGACTGTTATTGACAGCGATGTGCTGGGGGTGTCTCGCTTGATGCCTATGGTTAACATTTGATGCCTGTTCTGTTTTCGGTTTATTCTGTTATCTTTAATTTGTTATGTATATCATTGAATGAATCTCATTTGTAAAATATGAATCTTTGAAGTTTAGGATACTATTCGTTCATCTGAGAGGATGAGGCATCAGCTACATCACCCAAAGCTTACAGTAATTTGAAAGGGTTAGGCGCATGTTCAGCTTAATCGCCGATCAGACATGCTTCGTGTTGTTTTCGTTAAGCGGTCAGGCATACAACCGAATAAATATATCGGCGATGGATAGACCATCGTTGTTTAACTAGACTGGAAACAGCAACCACATTCAGAAGCACTGAGGTGGCTAATCTTCGAACTCATCAGTGTAGAAATTGGTAGCATGCCCGCCGCTGCATAGATACAAGGGAAAATCCTACCAGGCACATGTCCACGACGCGGGTACGATACCGCACAGAATAGAGTGCACTGTGAACACAGCTGTTTAACAATTCAGTCAGCTAAATTCTCGCGTTACTCTGATATTTGACTTCATCTACTCTCGACCCCAGACTTTCAGATCCCGATTAGACACTTGGATACTCTGTGCTACCAGGCGTATCCTGTATGAACCCTAGCCTATATTAAAGATATTGTGACTGCTTTCTCCACTTGCTGCATAATTCTGATAGGAGGTGGTTGTGTAAAAAATGGTATGACTGTGTACATTATGGTATGAATAGAAGGTTGTGAGAATCAGACCTTGGTCTGATTTAATCACGTGTATATATCACGTGCCACATACTAAGAGAACGTGGAGAAAGCGTACCTGTTACCCGCACCGCCGAACAAAATTTTCCCTCTGCAGGTTTTCTCTACTGGAAAATCTTTTCATTTAGTGAGACACAGTGGTACGAAATTTTCACCCGTACGCGCAGTGTGTGGTGCTCACACTATGGGCACACCCCCAGCGGGAGGTAGCTTCCGTTTACAGTAGGAAGAATCAGCTAACCAACAGTAAAAAATAGGTGTATCAAAATTACGTAGTAATAAAATCACCCTCTTTTTTTTGAAGTATCATCAGACAGGATTATCTACAAAATGGCTACTGGTATGTGTTTATCTACTGTGGAATGACCATTCAGAAGAGACGGATTAGTTTGGCGAAACGAGCCAGCAAGGCGGCGCCCACCATCAAGACGGATGAAACCCAAACCACAACAAGTCCCGATGGACTCCCACCATATAGACCAATCTCGAATATGAACGCTGAGAAGCGTCCAAGTCTGATTTCTGGAGCGCCAGCTTTTGGCCTTCTACGGCCTCCGAAAGATTGATTCTCGCTGGCCCCTACAAACGTATCCTTGTACTCTGAACCGGTTCCTCTAGACGCAATACTAACATCTTTTAGAAAACGTTACTCTTGGTCCACAGTCCCAAAGCGGTCAGCAAGTCTTTGGTGTCGCTCGTATCTTTGCTTCTTTCAACGATACTTTCGTCCACATCACCGATTTGTCCGGTAAGGAAACCATTGCCCGTATTACCGGTGGTATGAAGGTCAAGGCCGACAGAGATGAATCCTCTCCATACGCCGCCATGTTGGCCGCCCAGGATGCCGCTGCTAAGTGTAAGGAAGTCGGTATTACCGCCGTCCACGTCAAGATTAGAGCTACCGGTGGTACCAAGACCAAGACCCCAGGTCCAGGTGGTCAGTCCGCTTTGAGAGCCTTGGCTAGATCCGGTTTGAGAATTGGGAGAATCGAAGATGTCACCCCAATCCCATCGGACTCTACCAGAAAGAAGGGTGGTCGTCGTGGTAGAAGATTGTAATTTCAGTCTCAGTTCTTGTTATTATTATTACTATTACGTGAGGAGCTTCATGGCACTGGCCTGATTGGCTGTGCCCTTGCATTTTCTCAAATCTCTTATTAATTAGGATCGTCTGAATCACAAATCTAAATACAACACATCATTTTCTATTGTTATTCCGATTGTAGCGGTGCAAAGTACTGGCATTCTTGGAGGGCTCGGATACCATTTCTGACAATGCCCTTTCCTTGCATTTATTGTGGTGATCTGACTCTGGTTAGCCAAGTACCGTACAGGTATAATTGATCTGGTACGAGGAGACCCTATTGCTTTTACTCCAGTGCAAGGTTTGGGGAATGTGCCTAGCTGTTCTAAAATGTATTCGGGCGTCTTACAGTGTACTAGAGCCCTGCGCCTACAGACCCGAGTATTGTATACGTATAAGGGCACCGAGTACCAAACCATAATGCACAGCTAGATTCCTGCAAAGGCAGCCTCTGCTTTACCACAATTCATTTATCAATCGTTTGGATCAGTTGTGTACACCGAAGGAACGGCGGCATCAATTACAGGTGATGCACCTATTTCACATTAGGGTTTACATCTCTATTGCACATTCTAATTAATGGGTTATAACGCCTATAACGTTATGTAAAATACACTAAACTTGACCGAAGCAGCAGTCTCCGGAAGCAGAGGCTTCTCCAATACCGGCCGAAAATATTACTGGTATTTGGGTGTGTGTGAGTTGTTTCACCTGGCTTCAGCACACCCAGATGTCACTTGACCCGTAGTAGGGCGTATTCGCTCAGCTCCAACTAGACAGTTTCTTCTTCAAACACGAGTTCGATAGGCTTCTCCATGAGGGAAGCATGGCCCAAGACGGTGACAGCGCTGGTACCGATCAACCACATCAAGGTGGAGATAGGGGAGGCCCAGAAGCCCAACGGAAGAGCGACACAGCACAACCCGGTGTATAATTGGCTGGTGTTGAAGGAGCCGAACGGGGTGTTCAAAGGCTCGCCACCCAACTTGTTAATACCCATGGTACCCAAAATGACAAAGGCCAAGACAAACATCAACAAGGTGTTCGTGATAAGGGAGTAGACGGACAACAAGCCGATAACCGCCAAGTAGTTGGAGCCAAAGTAGCCGACATTGTAAGTGACCCTCTGTTGGATCTCACCAAAGTTGGCTGGCTTGGAGACTCTTCTGACGTCGAAGAACTCCTGTGGCGGCTTAAGGTTGGCGAAACGGGTTCTCAAGTTGCCGGCCTCGCTTTGGAGGCGTTCCAAGTTAAAGCGGTCAGAGAACTGTGCGAACTAAAAGGTTAGGAGCTGAGACGTGTATACTAGACAGTACATACTGGAATAGAGGCTAATTGACCGAAGGACATTGTGATGGTTGGTATATTTGTGAATAAAGCGACGGCTAATGCTATTGTTTATAACGGCACAAAAATAGTTGGAAGGCAAGTGGTACGCGCGTTAATAAAAAACACGTAGACCTCGGGCTATCAGCTTCACGCTATGTAATTCACACCACCTCGCCGCTCCATCCGTTTCTTTTTCGTGCATCTCCTGCATTCCTCTTCTGCCGCACCGCCTCAAAGTTTAAAACATTCCAAGCCGGGGGACGCCACAGGGTAGATGCGTAGCACCAGCCACAGCAGTACTATGGCATAGCCTCCTCCAAGGTACTTTTGGGTGCTGATACGCCGCTAATCGCACAAGAGGCGAAGGGCGTATGTGTTCCTACTCGGGATTAAAAAAAAAAAAATAAGGTATAGGTCATTCGTGAAGGTGGGCAAGATTATCGAATGCAGTCATGGAATGGGAGATTTGTATGAATCGAACAGGTTTCCCCACATGGTTGGCTGGCTAGACTTGGAAGCGACATAGGTTGGGTTTAACGAAGGCTGGGTGGTGCTTATGGCATAGGCATACTATAGTAACGTTCAGTATCAGTCTATTTGGCAGTATTCCCGGCCCTTGCAGATTTAACAAGCCTCATTTGACTTCAACTACGAATAGGCACCCAGTCCTACGATCAACCTACAATTAAAGTAACCGGATGCATATATTGTAAGATATAGAGATGGAGAACCAGAAGAGGTTTTATTGCGAGTAAAAAGTCCAAAGGCCAGACGGTGCAAGATTAAAGCTGTAATTGACTATTAGTTACGTAACTCAGATCTATTCACTAACAACTTTGGTTCCGGGGGTCAAAAATCAGAACTGAAACACAATCATTTCACCTCAGAGGTTATAGGTTATTAACCACTGTGTAATATAATATACTCATTCCTTTGGGTCATATACTATCTAGCTTTATATATTGACAAAACTCATCATTGGTGTGATTGTGCTGCTATTCTGGTTTCTTCGGTCGTACTTGAGAGGACAGTGATAGTTGATGGTAAGGGTATACATACTCTTTGAACTCCTTCATATCACAATTCTGTGCGATCTTCCTTGTATTGGGAGTGTCTATGCTCAGTGTCCCTGAGATCACTCTGATATCACTTACTTAAATACTAAGAAAATTTTCCTAGTGCTCCCAGACGTCCAAAATCCTGCACATTGGATACACCCGGTGCTTGTGTAAAAAAAACTCTTAGGGCTGGGGCTTTCTGCACCCCAGGACTTATTGCTTGAACACGGGCCAGACAGAGCCAATAAAAAAGAATGGATGGTTGTACCAGGAGGTTGAATTCAAGACCTTTCACACGCTAAGTGGACGCGCTACCAACTACACCACACATGCATGATTCACCCGTAAGCAATGGTGACCCAAACCACTTGGAGACCTGGAATCTTAGTCCGGGAAGACGATCCGAGCTTGTTCCGCAAGTCGTAAACTTTTAGTTTGACTCGATTAACAACTTGAGACAGCAGGACTAAGTTTTATACTAGAGCTAGTCGAAAGTCCAATGTCTCTGGCCCGTGTATGCATAGTTAAGAATAGCTCTGTCAGTTGCCAAAGGGCTGACCTCGTATAACAACGTCGGCCTTTAGCACAAGAATTTTAAACCCAGGCTTAGACGACACATAAAAGACAGTTGGGTGTTGGATACGTGAAGGAGCAATTTTCTAACTATTTCTTCTAAACTAATCGATCCTGGCCGTGCAGCTGCATAACAATAGATCTGAGCTCATACGACCAGGCCCAAAAAGCGACGGTTTTCAAAACATGTGTCCTTCGAAAGAAAGCGCCTTGGGCTCTCTGAGCTCCGGTTAAAAAGTTGTATTAGTGTGAAATTATTGGCGTTCGTACTTTTTTCCGGTTTGGCCTATTTAGCTACTGGATTACAGGTAGGGATTATTGTACACTAAAGCGAATTGCAACCCTTTAGTTCCTCCCTACTATAGCGCGGCGTCAGTACCCTTCGCTCCCTGCTCCTGCACCAGGAAATAGCAAGTACGTGGAGCAGGTATACCCAAACGTATTCAACCTTGCAGGAGATTGCGGCTATGCCTAAGGAAGATCCTTGGTTCGTTGGCATTTCTATATCCCTATCAAAATTAAGCTACAAACTATATGGCAGGAAAACGTCGTTGTGACTCCGATCTGGAGTACCACGCAATATATCGCGATTCCACATGTACTTATCCAATGCCCTGGGAATCAGACCAGGCTATGTCAACCACGGTGCACCGCTATTTCATTTTAAACTTGTGAGGTTATTGTTCATGTTTTGTGGATTTCCCTGTCTGTCATTAGTCACGGTACCACGGGTCAATAAGCATCTACGTGGTACTCTGTGCATATATCCCATGCGCCTGTACGTATGCATCCCAAAGTCCATATTGTATACAGTCATTCTAGGAAAAGCCTTTTGGAGACACTCGCCCCTTACAAATAGTTCATCCGTTGGAATTATACGATTTACTCACTGGGATAACAAGATCCATTTCCCGGAATTAAACAATTCTGCTGTGGCCCAACCTCAACGTAAGTCCACGAAGGGGGCAAGTCTTTGTAGGGAGCGAGATGTGCGCTCTACGGATTTGACCAAGGTGCTAGTCCACGTGTCTCATATATGAAACTTAGCCGGCAAAATTGTAACCGTTACGTTGGGATTTCACGCACAGCGGTAAAATCACCTCAAAAAAAACGCAGGGACGGTAGAGCCATCTCGTTGGAAAATAGACGGATATTGCGTCGGCCTGTCACAAGTGCGACCAGCTAGATGTGGTAAAGACTGCTCAGAACCTTACATTTATACGGTATACCCCCAAGTATTTTAGCTTGACATGTGCTGAAATTATGCACGGTGCCTATGGCCAGGATGAACTTCCCAAACGCAGACAACCGCGATCGAACATTGCCCCAGATATGAGAATCGCTTGTAAGTGCCCCTAAGTCCTCCTCAGCATTCTACAAGGACTCCCGGGTTAAGGATCTTCGTATCCCCTAAGCATAAAAAGTATGCGCTTCGCCTTGACGCGGACTTAGGGGGTACGAGCACTCAGCGGCAAGCACTGCCACTCCTACCGACAACTGGGCTGTTGTCAATCTCCGTCGATAGCCCTACTGGTAGACCAGGTTTGACTAATCCATGGGCGATTTCACCTAACTCGTCTCCGGAACAATCCCTCCTATTTTGTCATCCCGTCAAATACCTGTCATGGTGACGACGGACTGGGGCATTCTGGCCGTTGGAACGTGCATGTAGTGCACATAATCGAAGCTAGTAGCCACATGAACCCACATGAAACCAGATTCTCTGGATTGTCGGCGTGCATAGCGCACGCACTTAAGGTTCGACGCCAGTGGAAATAGTCCACCTACCTGCTGGCGTGCATCGATCTTTTTTGGCCTCTGTGAATGGTAACTGGCGACCACTTGACACGGATGGATTCGGATTTCTGTTATAAAAAACAGCGATCCAAATTTCATTTGACACATATATTGCTCTCGTAAACCCTGAAAAAAGCGTGACGTCGCTCAGCGGCTGCAGAGCGTGCGTTTATATTTAGACGACGTGCGTCCTTGATCCATGCTGAATTCCTTTTTCCAATATCTGAAATTTCTTTTGCTAGTGGCTCAGAATTGCTTTTCTGCTGAATTTTGTTTGCTCAAATCGAGTCACTACCACGGAGATTTCTCCAGATCTGTAAATAATAGCAATAATTTTAGAATATCTCTCCGATGGGTAAAATATTATATATGGGATAAATAAATAAGATTATCAGTATTGTCGACTATCAGTCCGATTTCTGTTCCAGGCGTTTCTTTTCTGGTCGTCTTGCTCGCTTTGCTACGCTGTGTACAGGATTTTCGTTCTATTTTTTGCCTTGCCATTTCCCGCGCCTACTTAGCCGTCGCCTTACACCACGCTGTTAGCTTTCTTATAAACTCCTTGCACGCTCTTCTTTTACACACCATCACCCATCTCTTAGTATCGCTTCATAAGGAACCATCCGTTTATTGCTAAGTCGTCGGCTACCGCTACCTCCAACCAAGATCGCCCAGCTAAGATCGCCCAACCCCCGACGTTTACATTACACGCTCAGCAAGACGCCTCATCTAAAACCCCCGACCGCTTTGCACCCCGTCCCAAGCATACCGCAACCACATTCTAATCGTTTCGCACCGCACCCTCTCACCCCCAGGTTAGCCCTTACCCATCGCAACCAAGTGTCCCGCCTTAACCCCTTCCCGCCTATTCCTTTGCTACGATATCTTCCCCTCCCCCCGACATGAACAACAACCAGCAGGAGAACCAGGAGCAGGTTTTCTCCGAAGAGCAGTTCCGCGGACCGCTCCTCTTTGACGCCGCGAACAAACGTACGTGCCAGCAATCCGCAAACCCCAGTGATCAAAACAAGCGCGCGCGTCTCGACGCTTCAGTGCCGTTCCACCACCGCGAAGTGGTGATGGTAGCGCCGCAACCCAAGGCCGCGCAGCCTGAGGCAGGTGAGGCGCCCACCCGCGACGAGGTTACCGGGATCGAAGTCACGCTGTCGACGCCGACGGTCGGTTTGCCCCCGAGCAAAGACAGCCACATGACCACGTCGTCCGGGTCGGCCATGGTGTCCGCGCCGACGGTGAGCGACGTCAAGCTCATGATGAGCACGCTAGAAGACTCCACAGACGCGCGCGAGACCACTGCACGTGTGCGCACGAGCCCCGCACTTAGACCGAAGCACTCACACCACCGCCGCTTCCGCTCGCGGTCGTTGCCGAACTTGGTCAACAACAAGCTCGTGGGCACTTCCATGTACCCCGTGCCATTCCACCGTCTCCCGACGAACCCCACCAAGCCCTCCAAGCTCGGCGATTCCGCGCCTGTGCACCGCCACAAGCGCCAGTCCACACTCATCCCATTGACGGCGCCGTTGCCGCCGGTCAACTTGCAGTCGCTCCGCGAGATTGACCTTCACGAGATCCTCAAGAACCCGCAGTTGCGGCACGATATCCTCTTTGACCCGCAGTTGCAGTTCAGACCCAACTTGGACGGCGAACGCGGCCGCCGCAAAAAGGCCATGGTCGACAAGTATTGGACGGACGTGGAAAAGGAGTGCATGGAGTATGCGACCGCGACCATGCACGGCGGTGCGCCCACCAAGGTGTTCAGCGCCCAGTCGTCGCGCCTCCCGGCGCTCTTCACAACGTTGCGCGAAATCTTGCTCCTGCTCCTCCCGCTGAAGGACCGCCCGGCAGTAAATGACGTGATGGACACGGAGTTGTTGATCCAACAGTTGAACCGCGGCACGTTTGACTTTGTGTCGCTCGCGCACTGGCTCGCAGGTGTGTTCAAAAGCCACTGCGCGCCGATGCGCGACTCGTGGGTCGACGACATGACGGCCAAGTTCGTTGAGGCGGACAGCGAAAAGACCGTGGGCAAGCTTGTGGAGGGTCTCCGCACCATCTTTGCGATTCTCGAGGCCATGAAATTGGACGTGGCCAACCACCAGATCCGCGTCTTGCGTCCCGTGTTGGTCGAGACTGCCGTCGAGTTCGAGCGCGACTACTTCAGCCAGATGATCTCGCGCTGCAAGTTGGACATCACCGACTCGTTGAACTGGTACCGCCGTTCGTACGTGAAGCGCGAGAAGAAGAATGGCAAGATCAACAAGAACTCCACTCGCGACCTCCGCAACTTGTGCGTGGCCGCTATTCTCGACCTTCTCTCGTGCCGCTACATGGTGTCCGAGTTCCCGTCGTCGCTCACCTTCGACCACGCGCGTTTGGTGTTGCTCCGTGCCGACATCAGACAGTCTGTATGCTTGCAGTTGTGCACCGCGTTATACCGCCAGCTCTTGGGCAACTACCCGCAGTCCGCCGCGTACCGCGTCCAGGCGGTGCTGAAGGCGTCACTCGACGAGTTGCGCCTGGAGATCTTGGCCATCATTACCGACGACAACGGGAACGTGAAGTGGACCCGCAATGTAGGTGCCATCGCGCTCCAGTTGACCAAAAAAGCAATCACCCCACCCGCCAAGCCGGTCTCGTTGTTGAAGCCTGCCACTCCGCTCTCCGGTACCGCCACCCCGCCGCCGCCACCGGACTCGCTTATCGAGTTTGCGTTCAACTGGTTGATCAAGCAGATCCAGCCGTCCTCCGAGATCTACAAGTTGATGGAGGAGCGCGTCTTTGCACAGTTGCTCGAGAAGGTTGGCGAGAACTTGGATGCCAGCATGAGCAGTGGTGCGAGCGGCCCTGCCGCCGCCGCGCTCGACCCGGCCCAGATCCCGTCCCTGGCTGCCACGATTATTGCGCCTACTCCGAAGTCCGCCGTGGCTGGTAACCAGGACATCGTGGGTGTGCCTACCACCCCGGCCACTGCCGTGGCTGCTGCGCGTTCCCGCTCGGGGACGCCTGCGAACAACGTGCCGGACGATATCCAGACGTTGAGCATTAAAATTTCCACCTTGGCGAGGTTTCACTGGAACGTGTTTGGGTCGTACTACACGGAGTATGTGTCCAAATTCTAACGAGTGCGTAGCCTGAGCTTGAGCAACGCCGGTGTTACATTGGCTTATTTTCGAATGGAATACCTACCCTGTCTTTTTCCATGAGTATTGTGTTACCCGTCGTCGCTTCCACCGCTACTGCCCCAGATCTCGTTATATCCATCTTTTTTTATATTCCCCTCCCGTTTGATTGCTTATATCTGTTTCCGTATATATATGTATATATTGTGTATCCCGATATCTAATGAAGCATTTGAAAGATTTAAGGCCATAATATGATTTGAAACGTGTCCCACCCTTTTCCCTCGCATATACTGGACCCACGCATGTACTAGATTCATATATATATTTCCAGAAGTGGGTATAGTTGATATTCTCTCTGGCGCCTTATTAAGACACTTCACGTGACGCTATCTCTTAAATAATCGGCCGTGTGGTCTAGTGGTATGATACTCGCTTTGGGTGTGAGTGGCCCAGGGTTCAATTCCCTGCTCGGCCCGATTTTTTTTTCGATTGGAAAATAACTAGATTGCTTACATCGGCAGATTTTCTCGCTTCTGGCATGATACTATCTTTTAGCTAATGGCGTAGACTTTTATCTAATGTACCACAACCTTGCTGTATGTTGAAATGGACAGAAGCAGGGCTACTATCCTATATATAGATTCTAGTTCCTACTAATCGGATATACAACTATTACATAGCAAATATCTAAACTAACACTAGCCAGAAAGATACGACTTAACCCATAATTAAGTTAAAATGCTTTGGTAGTCGCTGTTGAGGAAGCTTATTGCCGCCTGTCTGTAGTTATCTTTTCCGGTGGAAAGACCCACGGCATTGATATACATCATGTTGTTGGCAAGAGCATTGGTGTTCTGGTATTGTGGCCAGTTGGTCAAGGTATAAATTCCACCGCCGTTAGGGTTCAAGTTATTGGCAAACGAAATGAACGCATTACGGTAAACCAAGGACCCTGATCCAGTGACAAAGTACTGCCAGATGAGGTCATTGGCGTGGAACGTGCCGAGAATTGGGATACCCGCTAATTGCTGAGAGACAAAGGTGTATCTAGTAACGTCTGGAGTGTGGTTTAATAAAAATCTTCTTGGGGCTTGGAACACGATATCACCAAGGAAAGATGCAAGTCTCTTATTTTCAGGCGTCAACGCGTTTAACAAACCGGTGTTAAATGGAGAACCTTGGGTGACATCCTGTGGATACAAAGTCAATATTTCAGCCAACTGGGAGGATGAAAGATTAGGGAACACGTTATCAATATACGCACTCACTTCAGCGTCAGTAGTTATGTTCAAGTTGGTGAGGGCGAAAAGAGTTCCCTCATCGTTTTGGTCACCGATAATGTATGGAACTCTCGCGTATTTGCCATCAGCAACCATCTGCATTTGTTGGTAGGGAATAAAGCCACCATCAGGTCTTGGCATATAGGATAATTGCAAAGACTCATAGGAAAAGATCCCAGGAACAGAGTTGCTCGCAGCTTGCATGTCGGCGTAAGAAAGACCTCTCAAGCACGCCAACTTGTCAGAGGCGGAACCACAGCCACCGGCATTGGCGACAGCATCAAAGATCTTTTGTGGGTATGCCGAATCAATGTCTAAAGTTGGAAGAACAGACCCGGACTGCATGATAGCAGCTCTGAATAATGGCTTTCCCTTATAGGTATTGTCGCCGTTGTTTGCAATCATCTGGTGGGCCACGGAAATCGAACCAGCCGATTCTCCAAAGATGGTAACCTTGCTTGGGTCACCACCGAACGAAGCAATGTTGTCGGCAATCCATTGTAAGGCAAGTCTCTGATCCAATAACCCAGGATTACCACTACCCTCAGCCTTGATCTCCAGTCCTCCCAAGAACCCAAAGGCGGCGACTCTGTAGTTGACGGAGACGTAAATAAAATCCTGGCCCTGGAGAGCCCCCTGCGCCATCAACTGTTGCGGTAAGTAGTAATTAGTACCACCAAATTCAAACCCACCGCCGAAAATCCAAAACATCACCGGCAACTTGGCAGTAGAAGAGAGACCTCTCTTTCTGTAAATATTGAGAGTCAAACAATCCTCGGATTGGGGGATGATTGCGTTAAACAACGGAGTTTGCATCACCAAGCTCACAACATCTTGTGGCAACAACCCGACGATTCCCGACGCTCCCGACGCAATCTCCATTTGAGGACACGATGGACCGTAGGCCAGGGCCTGGAAGCCGTTCAAGCTCCCGGTGTATGGCTGGGGTGGCTTGAATCTCAAGGGCCCGACGGGAGGAGCCGCAAAAGGAATACCCAAGTAGGATTCAAGGTTGTTAAGGGGTTCGTAGTTACCAGTAATGGTGTCTCCGTCGGACAACGTGACTTGAGGGCCCAGCAGACCGTAGACGGATGACGCTAACGCCAAAGATTGAAGGACCATTCCCAAGTTGGCCAAAGCTGATTTCATTTTAAGGATAATTTATTTTCAATAGTAATGGTGCATTTTTTTTTCTTCTATTGAAACCACTTTCAAAGGGATTTGCGGCATTTATATACCCTTTTTGGAACTTTATTGTCACCCGCGTTTAGCGGGTTTAATACCAGCCTACTCTGTAGTGGAATGGCTTTCAACCTTCAATGGGTCTACAATCTCCGCAGATTTTAGCTCTCATTTAGTACCTTGTCATTCACCATAACCGTGTATGCACGTGGAACTTACTATCACAAGCTAATTAATCTGGTAGTAACGATACCGTAAATGGAATCTCCCCCTTGATTTATCAAGCTTTTCGAAAAATAACGTTTCAGGCTCGGGTGATCATTGACAGGGGTGTTTGGATCAAGATATGTTTTCCATTGCCAGATACCTAACTGAAATGGAGATCCCAGCTCTAAGCATGCATGAATATGCATGATTTTTGAAGGATTGTGGTCATCCATGTATACCCCAGGTCGGTTAAATGATATACTGCAGATACAGAGAAAGCTGGATACCACAGAAAGGGCTTTGAAGTTCTCACAACCGATGGAAAATACCTTTGGGCTCGTATTAACAGGCTAGTCGGATCAGCCATGAAAACCTGTGCCTTTGGTATTGTGTCCTAGCATTACGGACATACTTCACTGCGCCGTTTAGTCATTATCTCCATCAACCCCCCGCCTAAACTGGCACATGCAAGGAGCTGAAGCGGGGGCAGGGTGCGGCTGTTTGCTGTCTATATAGGGCTTTAGTGGTGCCAGCTTTGTCAGACCCAAACGCCATATCATATGCAGAGTCACATGCAAGAGTGGCCTGAGACGTCTCCCATTCGCGAACAGGGTAAGCTGCAAGAGCAATTGACATTTCCTGCGCGGAAGCTTTTTGAAGAGTGGGGTAACATAGCCCTCCATGAATGACCAATAGTCATGTATTCACAAGCTGGGACAGGGTTAGATCGGAATAAACTGTCTGCATCCGATTGATCCAATACGTAGCGGTTTAAGCCTATTTCGAAGTCCACAGCATATTCAGAGAATCCTAAACGTATTGGCATGGTGGGTAAAAGCCCACTCTTTCCGGACCCTTCTGCCGATTGCAGTTTTAAAGATTCCATGCAGTCCTGCAGACGTTGTCAACAGATACCCTCTTCTGACGAAGAGTTATTCCATAATACCGATCGTACAGTACTTCGGTATCCTATCTCCCTCGAACCAATTTTGCATCATTTTATTCAAGCTTGCCGCTGCTGCTTCTGGCCCTTGGTGTTGAATTTTGAACTGGTTAATTTATTATAATGGTGAAGGGGGCGGAAGGTCTTATATACTGAGAATTCGGCCATCACAATGGAGAGATGCACGCCTGAATACTAATGGTATGTGGAAGGCCGTATAGCTTGGATCTGAAACACCTCTGTCTAACAGGGCCGCATCGGAACGTAGATTGTTCCGATTAATAGGCAAGGAACCGAGGCATCACGAATCTCGGTTCTCCGTCTGTGTATATCTTACGAAAAATACCTTAGCTAATGGTATCCGCCGTTACTTGTACCACAGCTTTTTCGAGGTGACGAAACAGGTAATATTATAGGTATTCCTGCGTAATCCTACATATGCACAAGTTCTTACTAATCTTAAAGTACATAGCTATTTAATCGAAAGGACCCCTTGATCAGTATTGGTTAAAAATAAAGAGCTTGGTAGTTAGCGTTGAGGAAGCTTATTGCCGCCTGTCTGTAGTTATCTTTTCCGGTGAAAAGACCCACGGCATTGATATACATCATGTTGTTGGCAAGAGCATTGGTGTTCTGGTACTGTGGCCAATTGGTCAAGGTATAAATTCCACCGCCGTTAGGATTCAAGTTATTGGCAAACGAAATGAACGCATTACGGTAAATCAGTGACCCAGAACCAGTGACGAAATATTGCCAGATGATATCATTGGCGTGGAACGTACCAACAACTGGGGTACCCGTTAATTGCTGGGAGTTATAGGTGTATCTGGTGACGTCTGGGGTGCCGTTTAACATAAATCTTCTTGGAGCTTGGAAAAAGATATCACCAATTAAAGATGAAAGTCTCTTGTACTGAGGCGTTAACGCATTTAAGACACCAGATCCGAACGGAGAACCCTGGGTGATATCCAGTGGGTACAAAGTCAACAACTGATCTAATTGAGAGGAAGAAAATTCGGGGAACAAATAGTCAACATACGTTCTCACCTCAGCCTCTGTGGTCACGTTCAAGCTACCGAAAGTGAAAAGAGGCCCTTCATCATTTTGATCCCCAATAATATATGGAACCCTCGCGTACTTTCCATCAACAACCATCTGCATTGGCAGGTAAGGAATAAGGCCACCATCAGGTCTTGGCATGTAGGAAAACTTCAAGGACCCATAACCGAGCACACCAGGAACAGAGTTACTTGCAGCTGCCATTGTCTCGTATGGAACATTTCTTAAACACTCCAACTTGTCGGAAGAGGCACCGCAACCAGCAGCATCGGCAACGGTGTCGAAGATGAGCTGTGGATATGCCGAATCAATGTCATCAGATGGAAGAACAGACCCGGACTGCATGATAGCAGCTCTAAACAATGGCTTGCCCTTGTAGGTGTTGTCACCATTGTTCGCAATAAGGTGGTGGGCCACCGACATCGAACCAGCCGATTCTCCAAAGATGGTAACCTTGCTTGGGTCACCACCAAACGAAGCAATGTTGTCGGCAACCCATTGTAAACCAAGTCTCTGATCCAAAAATCCTGCGTTACCACTGCCTTCAGCCTTGATCTCCAGTCCTCCCAAGAATCCAAAGGCACCGAGTCTGTAGTTAACAGAGACATAGATGAAGTCCTGACCCTGGAGAGCCCCCTGCGCCATCAACTGTTGCGGTAAGTAGTAATTAGTACCACCGACTTCGAACCCACCACCATAAATCCAAAACATAACTGGCAACTTGGCAGTAGAAGAGAGACCTCTCTTTCTGTACACATTGAGGGTCAAGCAGTCCTCGGATTGAGGGATGATTGCATTGAACAACGGACTTTGCATCACCAAACCCAAAGCCTCCTTTGGCAAGGAATTGACGAATCCCGCTTCCATGTTCATTTGAGGGCACGACGAACCGTAGGCCAGAGCCTGGAAACCGTTCAAGCTCTCGGCGAATGGTTGAGGAGGCTTAAACCTCAAGGATCCGATGGGAGGAGCGGCATAAGGAATACCCAAGTAGGATTCAAGGTTACTAAGAGCTACGTAGTTACCGGTGATGGTGTCTCCGTCGGACAACGTGACTTGAGGGCCCAGCAGACCATGGACAGATGAAGCTAATACCAAAAACTGAAGGGTTATCCCCAAACTTGCCAAAGCTGATTTCATTTCGAGTATTTTTTTTTTATTGTATTGGTACTTTTCTACTTTCTGGCAACACTTTTGAAGGGAATAGAAGCCTATTTTTATATCCTTTCTTGAAATTTTCAAGTACTCATATTTAATGGGTTGGTGGTGAACACTTTTGCGGCAAGATGGCCTTAGGCCACCTGCAGGTATGCAGGTGCTGACCACATATGCATGTACGTCTTGTTATTTTCATAAACTAAAGAAAAGTGGTAAGTTTAGTGGAACAGGTCATCCATGTGTACTCTAGGGATGATCGAAAGTTGTACCAGGGTACCAAAAGGGAAAGTTGAGTATGGCTGAAAACAATTCGAAATCCTTCTGGACGCACGGAAAATTATTAAGGTTGTTCCGTTTGCGTGCATATGCCAGTTAGCCCAACAAAAAGGCCCGCGCCCTTAGTATTGCTTCCTTGCATTACAAGCATTATGCTTCACGGCGTTGTTTAGTTTGTATCTCCATTAACTCCTACATATACGCTGGAACACACAACAAACCGAAGGAACGAAATATGGACATTAGATAGTCTATATAAGACTCCAGCGGAATCAGGTTTGGGCTAATCCTAACAGCAATATAATAATCGCAAGATCGCATGAGTGCATGGCCTACGGCTCCTCTCAATTCATGTAATGACTGGATACATGAAAGTAGCAACACCATATCCTGCACCGGAAGTTTTCCGGTGTAGCGGGGCTACCTGGCCCTCGGCTTATGAATAACCAATAACCATAAATTCATAACCGGAGGCAGAGATAGACCGGAATAAGCTTCTTGTCTTGTCTATATATGCCTTACCTATGAAAAGGGTTCTCTCGGATAACTAATAATATATACCGCTTACTATGTATGCAGAAGTTTATACTTGGAACCGAAGTCTTCAGTGTGAGACCTGCGTATGGGATACGCAAATCAGAACTTTACTCACACCGACTCCAGGGGTACTTTTTTTTCCGATTGCATTCAATCCCAGGCTCCATATTTGCCATTAATCTGTCGAGGATTAAAACCTGCGTCACTTACGCTAGGGTGTGCTAAAATGACGTACAGGCGATTACGCTGTTAGGCATGATGATCGTAAATTCCGCAACCACATCCGGAATAGCGGCGATTCTCTCATGCTTCCATAGCTCTCACGATGACTGTTTCTATGCATTATGCATTAACTAGCCTGAAATTGCATATATACTCGGACGAACGGGAGCTAACTTCGTTAGCATCTTCTCCTTGCGAACCTCTACGATTTCGGTCCCTGCCAGCGGCCTAGAAAAGCTCGATTGGCTCTTCCAGTCTGGTGCTCCACCAGTCCAAGTTGTCTGCAGCTTAGAAATGGTGATCAATATCCTATAACTGGTTATGCTATCTACTGGAAATTATCAGTGGTAGGAGAATTCTACCAAAGTCGTTGGCTTTCTGTACTTAGTATAAGCGCTCAATACACTGGTAACCCAATGCCTTAGTATAATTTCCCTTGGCAAAATCTCTCTGAGAGCACCGGGCATGTGCAACAGTATTTATTACTTCATAGCCACTAGTGGTTTAGTCCTCTAAGACCAGTTGTATTTTAACCCTCTTTGTTCAGCGCTCCCTTCACTCGTGTTAGAAGACAAGTTCTAATTGCTAGAACTTAAATCTGGTAACCACGCTCTATACCACATAATCTCGGGGGGTTTTCTAGCTCAGGTAGTCTTTATCGGAGTTAACCTTTCATATATTTGTGAACAGCTGCTTTACATCGTTTTTGTTCTAGCTAGAAATTCGCCTTTAGGATACTTCAAGCGGATTAGTAGATTCTTTCACAGTTGGCTGTTTGTGCATAACGTGGTCAGTTGTAGGATATTGGTCAACGTGTCTAACCCTGCAAGTCAGTGAGATCGTGGTGGATCAGTGCCAATCTTTGTCATAATCGGTGAAATGATCTCTGAGACTATACGTGGTATATGCCATGCCTATCAGATTTAAGTGCTTTCAGAACCTGCCTTTCAATACGAAAGGGATTGTTGAGTCTAGCAGCAAAGCCTAAGTGTTGGGCTTAGCGGATGCAACACTTGTATTTTAATATGAAAGTTTATATAATGAAGTTTTACGCTGCTAGTAAGTCTGTTTGTTTTATGATCTTTATTCCTGTGGGTATAATGGCCGGCTACAATTTCATATCCGACGATAGTACTATTGCTGGAGTCTCTCATAAGAGTTTCAGGGTTCCAGTGTCTGTTGGGATTCCAGTCGGGGAGTTGTAGTCAGTCATCAATTCACAAGATACTATCACAATCCTCATGAATAAAGATATTTCCAAACTAAGTTCCTTTTCCATCCACCAGAAACCACTTCTTTATATAGCCTTTCTAGGCTTGAGTCACCACGGCGGTTTAATCCATCAGAGTCTCCATCAGAGTCTCCATCTGTGTTTCTATTCATCGGAATCACGACCCATAGCCCCCATCCATCGTAAAATTTAACGTCGGTGTAGCTTTCAATTTTAGCAGAGTAAATTATGGGCGTGTGGCGTAGTTGGTAGCGCGTTCGCTTAGCATGTGAAAGGTCTCGGGTTCGACTCCTGACTCGTCCATTTTTTTTTTCAAATATTCAATACGAACCGTTACTTGGGTAATAGTCTCGTATAAACTGAAAGTCTGTCCGTATATCTATATCCTACAGTTTTACACCAGCCAAGATCAACTTTACATTTCTCATATCTATTTATACTTACATGTAGTTGGCTATAAAACCGGAACAATTAGCATCAGCTTCAGGTGATTAATATATATATATATATATTTAATTATACATTTTTAGTCTACGTATCGTCCTCTATTATAAAGTCAATTGGTTTATATGTGTATGCCGAAAAAACCAACGGGCAGCTAGCTGAAATCAGATATATACTACATCAATTTACCAAATATTATATTAATGCAGGTGAGAAGTAAAGGGGATTGTCATATGGACATGACATCGAAAATAATGCATGAAAGGATCTATAATGAAATTTTAGGCGAGTTCGCCACTCTTAGCCAACTTCGCGGCTTGCTTTCTCCTCCGAGCCAACTCCTTCGACGCTTTGATGTTAAACCCGCCGGTCAAAAGTTGTTGGGTTTCCTCCAACTCCAAGCCGCCCAATTCTGGATAACAAAACCAGATAAAGATGAACGAAACAAAACACAATCCGGCAAAGAACGAGAAGGTGCCGGTCGCGGAAATTTTCTGCAACATGGTCAAAAAGGTGGAGGAGATGACCAACGAGCCGGCCCAGTTGGTGGCGGTACAGTAGGCAGTGCCCACTCCTCTAACGTCCTGCTGGAACAACTCAGATTGCTGCCACGGGACGTTACCGATACTGAAGGCATACGTCGCGGTGAAGCAGATCATACTGACGATGATAACGATTCCCCAGCCGGAGATCCCCACGTGATTGACCACGGCGGCGCCATCGACAAATTTGATCCCAAAGAAGTGGAACGCAATGGCACATACAATCAAAGAGATCATCATCCCGGGAATACCGACGAGAAGAATTCTTCTTCTCCCAACCTTGTCGATGATGAAGAACGCAACGATGGTGAAGACAAAGTTGGTGGCAGCGACGATGATCGACACGGCAACGGAGTCCTTGAATCCAATACTCTCGAAAATGGTGGCCGAGAAGTACATCAACGAGTTGAACCCGGTGAACTGCTGAATCCCCTGCATACCGCACCCGATGACCAAGGCACGGAAGTTGGACGGAACCGTGTGGAGCTGCTTGATGGCGTTCCACGACTGGACAAACGGATTACTACCGGCCATGGAAGTGACGGTGAGCGACATTTCCTGGACCTTCGCTTCGATCAATTCCGGCGAAGCGTCGCTGTGGGTGCGGGCAAGCACGGACTTGGCTTCCTCCAATTTACCCTTGGAGATCAAGTACCGCGGAGTATCGGGCAAGAAGAAGAACATGACAAACTGCACGGCAGGAGGGATCAAACTCAAGCCAACCAAGAGCCGCCAGCCGTTGTGGAGGTGCGTGACACCAGCGCCGATGGCATACGCAACCAACTGGCCGCCGGTAATGGACAAACAGTTGATCACCACCAAACGACCACGGAAATGGGTAGGTGCAGTTTCAGAAATGTATAATGGCGCGATAAGAGAGCCGATACCAACCCCGAAACCCATGATGAATCTGCCCCCGATCATCACCCACACGGTATGGCAACCAGTTTGCATGGCAGCTCCCCAGAGAAAGAGCACGTTGGAGCCCAAGATGACCTTCTTCCGGCCGTATAAATCGGCAAGAATACCGGCAAAAATGGCCCCAATCAACGCACCAAGCGAGGTAGCAGAGGTGATGAACTGCTTCTCACCGTAGGATAAGACCTTATTGTCCAAGTCCGTGCCGATAACCACCAACGCCGAGGAAATGTAACCAGTGTCGTAGCCAAACATAAACCCGGAGATGGAAGCAACAAAGGTGAGAACAAGAACAAGGACAGTGGGTTTGGCCTGAACCAACTGGATGATAGAGGAGTTGCCTTCGTGAACAGCATGTGTTTCCTTTTCATTGACCACCTGGGACGTGACGGTGGAGAGGTCTTCGTTAGAGGCCAAAGATTTGGAGGCCAGACGTATCATGATCTGTATATGGGGCAAAGAGAAGCTAAAGAGTGGTGGAAAAGTGGCGGCTGCGTGGTATTTATACTTACTGGTTTTCCACGCCGACAACTCGGCGATTTGGGTGTACGCGCGTGGAAAATTTCCCGTCTATTACGCGCACGGAATCTGCGTGAGTTCTTTTTTCCGCTGCGGGCTCATGCACGTCGCTGCCGCCCGGCGAAAGTGCCGCCTCTTTCTCGGAAGGGGTACGCTAGGCCCCATTCCGGCGAACTGGCATGATAATAGGCGTTTATCGAAGGGAAGGACGCAGAAAGAGCGAGCGTTTACGATCGCCGGTGGGCTCTCGGAAAAATTCTTACCCAGAAACTCAAAGGGCATTGGTTATTATGCTTGATTAACTGCAGGATAGCCCACAGGGATAGCATACACTGTTGGTGGGGAGGCTATTTACAGTCGATTCTCTTGACGGATTGGGTATGGAGAATGGTTGGTGATACGAGGACTCTCCAGGAAATGGATGGGCCTTGCGATTATGTGGTGTTTTCCGAAACTGTAAGGTGGCTCGAGTCCGGCGCGTTCGGGGAAAGGGCTGGTCGGAGCCTTTTTCACGGTAATCACTCCTGTTGCACCCGATGTATCCACCATACCTAGGCAATTTTTTTGCTGTTTGGCATACGGTACGTACCGGTATGTGGTACGTTTCGCGTGGGGCTCAGACAGTGGCTAAGGAAGCATAAATTTCGCCGACCATCCGCCGCAATTTTGAGCCGGGTAATACCCAAGAAAAGTATACAGCGCAGGCAGAAGCGGCAGGAAGCTGCACGTGCTAGATGAGGTGAGTTTGGCCGAGCCCTCCCTGTGCGTCCCGCAAGTCAATGCACTTAGTTGACTCGCCTGGCCAGCAGCTCTTGCATATGTTTCAAGACCAAAGATCTGTGAGAACTGAAAGGAGGCCGGAGGACAATGAAGAATAATTGTATATTTTATGGCTCTAGGGGAGCATCCATAGTTTGGTGAACGCTCAGCCTCTGAAAGGGAAAAAAAAATATTTGAGTAGAGGACGCGTACCTTTTTATACCCCCTAGGTTGTCACATGGAGTTTTCTGGTTCAAATAAAAACCCCAATTTTAATACCACATAGTACAGACTCAGTAACCACTTAAAATATTCATCTTCGTGGGTCGCTTCCCGCCATCTATATCTACTTTACATACTTATCTTCATGGATCCAGCTTTGACCGATCAAGTTCGCCCCGCACGACTCGGCCAAGCGCAACCAGCAAGCGGCTCGCTTCAAGTCCTTTTTGCGCTTTCCCGCTTTCTTCTGGCTCCAGACATTCTCGCCAAGATGTGTCATCGCCTCGACATCGCCAAAAGAAGCCGAAAGCTCGAGAAACCTGGCGCCCTCGAGCTCATCCCTAGGGACGCCCCATCCGTTCAACACATATATCCCAATGTTATAGAGGGCCTTGCAGTAGGTTTTGTGGTGGGGGGTCCGTGTGGATTCCAGACTCAATTTGAGGGTCATGGGGTCCACCATGACCTCACACTGCGGGGTGCGAGGATTGACCAGAAAGCCAATAGGTTTCATATCTTCACTGCTGGCACACTTGCATAACCAGATAAAGCTATCGCTATGGTTCTTACGCACCCCCTTGCCGTCACAAAGACACTTCGCGTAGAGGAGCATCGCCTCGGTGCTGCCGCGCTCGGCCGCAAGCCGGAAGTGGTACGCAGATTCCATATGACTGCCGAGTTTCGCAAGCGACTTGGCCCGTTGTAAGAGAACATCCTGTTCCAGTCGGTAAGAGCTGTGGTTAGAGGAATTGTGTGGCTTCGGAGATGGCCGGTATCCGAGCAGGGTCGGCAGAGCGTGAGGCTGAATATCTGAAGGTTTATTTGAGTTATCCTGGGGATGTGTCTGTGGGTGATTACCAGAATTTTTCTTCGAAGTAGCCTGTAGCTTTCTCTGGCCAAGAGCAGTTTTGGTGGACTGAGGGTGGCCAGGGCCGCTCCCTGGCTCTCTCGAAGAACTCAATGGAACTTCACTGGAGGTTGTTATAGAGGCCAACGGAGCTTCAGGGATTCTCGCACTCAATGGAACTTCACTGCTTGATCTCAGCGTATCAGCCTGTAAGTCTGCGTAGCCACATACATTCGCCGGGGTTCCACTTCTCAGGGCTTTTGACGTATCGAAGCTGGTATTCCTATTCAATCCGGAACCATGCTTCAACTCGCTAGCAGAAGTCTCTGCCTCCATTAGGTGGAAGGAAGGACCCCTTCTCAAGGAATTACCCATTTCTGGTCCTATTCGCCATTGGGTGCTCAAAACTGGAGCTGACGGGGTTCTTTGTAACTGCTTGACGTTTGGGGGGCCCGGGCTATCAAAGCTGAAGTCGTCGGGGTCAGCTGATCCGTCTAGATCCGAGAGGATGTTTCCCGTAGAATTGGAAGCACGGTGTTGATGGAACCGCTTGGGGTCTTTCCTCTGCGGTCTGGTATCCCCATCATCTTCGAAAACTGCCTGTTGTGGCTGGATATCCGCGTTTGAGCCGATTCTAACCGGTTGGCTCCGCACGCCCTGGATCTTGACATTGAGCGCTTCTTCTGCCGATTGGGTAGCGGAATAGCACATAGTAGAGGGTGCCCGCTCCAGGAATTCCGGGAGGAGTCCACTGTCGAAAGCTTCTACAACCACGCTAGCATTGGACGTTACTAAAGGATTTCTGGTTTTCAGCACCTTCAACTGGGGAACCTCATCGTTTTCGGTCTCCCCCTCGGTATTGAAGCTTAGTTTTCGTCTGACAGATGGGTTACGGAAAACGTATGGTTCCGCTTCCTCACCTCTTAAAGCGCTTGGCACCGTTTCTTCAAGGAAGCCGTCAATGCTGCGTGCTCCGGGTTTATGAATGCGTATTGTATTCGCTGCCACTTGCGAGTCACCACATCTCAGCCGGAGCGCCGAAACGGAGATGCTGCTTGGCAGCGCCACTCCCGCACTGAACGAGCGGAAGTTGACATTGCCGATCTCGTCCAAGGGGGAGTTTGCCGACAGTAGGACAGTCATGCTGACGGACCGAAAGCTCCCGGGGGCTAGCGAGGGGTTGTGTGTGGGGTTGGCCATGGTGTCAGTCTGAGGATAACAGGGGATAGGTGAGTTGAAATGGAGACCGGTAGGAGATATTAACAGGACGGTTGGTATTTGAGCAAGGTTGAAGGGCCGAGAAAACGAAGTGGAAGGTGCTAAGTTGGGTTTTGGCTAGCAGGATCGGTCTATAGAACGAACCTAAGAAGGATCTATAGTAGAAGTAAGTCGATAGAGAGCTGCTTAATATTACGAGTCGATCCTATCGAGAATCGACTCGCCGTCTATTCTTAGCGCATTGCCAAATTTTCCCATGCGAATAGCCTCCTTGCAGGGTACGCCGCACGCAGATCGCGCACAGGTCTAAGTGAGATAGCGCGGTTGGGGCTGAGAAGGGCTGGGAAAATGTGCCACTAGCCGATGTTTTGCAACCGCCGACGAGATTAGGTGTAGCCGGATGAACCTCGAACGGTTGAAGCGAAGAGTGACTAGCCTTCAAGTCTGCGATAGATGACATCAATCAGCGGAAGCTGCACGCCGAGAATAAATCTTGGCTGAAGAGAAAGAGTAATGGCTCGGTAAAGACTTTTTCGGGGAGGTTTTATGGGTTCGCTGAGTTTTTAATGATTCTCATAAGGATGAATGGAAAGAGAGGATGCCTAGCTACGAGTTTTCGGCACACGAAGGTCCCTTTTACGTCCGAATCGCGTGGGCGTATGATGCGAGTATGCGTACATCCTGAAAAGGCATAGTTGCAGATCCCATTTCAGGAGGACCCCGACAGACTCTGTCAGTCGTTGCGGGGTTTCCTCAAAGATGTGCTTCAAGGAAATATAGGCCAGTTTATTAACAACCATGGGATAGCTTGATAACCACCTATATGGCTAATCAAATACACACTTAAAGATGAAACTCGTCGTCAGGTACTAAAATCATCTCGCGATCTTGCATGAACAATAAACCCTATTATTTCGGGACCAACCGCTAGCCCTTGGGAAACACCTGTGAGCGGATCCTGTAATCTGGACGAAATATTTTATGGCATTGTCAATTTGGCCTACCCCCCGTTTGATATTGACCTGGATGGGAGCTGTAGAGGTATCACTGTTTAACGCGTCAAGTGAGTACGCATAAACATTGTCTCTGCAAAAGTCATATCCCTCCTAGATCTACACTTCGGCTATAACATTTCAGATTTAATTGGTTATACTTTAGCTATAAAATTTCAGATGCAATAGGCTATAATACCTCTGCTATAATATTTCAGATGTAATAGGCTATAATACTTTAGCTGTAATTCTTCCTAAGTTTTATTCATGCACTTCTAGCGTTACGCTGCCCCGGCGATATCAATAATGATGTTCACCACAGACACAAATACCTCCACACTGACCAACACAATCACGACAAACTCCAAGTACTCCTCATGCGAATGGCCAAGCTGCTCCTTCAACATCTGCAACAAGTCGGAAATCACCTCAAGGCGCTGATTGAGCAACTCAACCCGCTGATTGATCTCCAAGTAGCCCCTGGTGGCCTGATAGATGGGCTCTAAATGAGGCTCCGCCCACATCAACTCGGGCGAGTCCAACACGGAGCCGTGCAAGTTGATGTTGATGCGCAAGATGAACAACTCGCCGATGGACTTCATGATCTCGTCGCGGTTCATCTCGACCTTCCCGGTGTTGGCAATCTGCAGCGGGATGTCTTGGGTGTCTTCGATGGTATTATCAACCAACTCCTCGAACAACGAAATCTTGACCGACTGTGAGATGGCGTGACTGACGGAGAGCTTCAACATGTAGTTGTTGTCGTCCCGCAACGTGATAAAATCGTTGTAAATCCGCGGCTGGTACGATCGCGTGATGTAGTAGTTGAACTCCTCGACCTGGATATCCTCCTCGGCCAACTTTTCGCTCTCAAACTTGGCCAAGTCCTCCAAAAATGACTGCTCCTCCCGCACTGAGAAGCCCCACATCACCACCACCCCGTACTCGAAGATGAACAAGTCGGACCGCTTGCTCGTGACATCAATGTCCCCTCCTTCGTCTGCTAAACGCATCACCACCGGCTGCGTCTGCTCATCGATTCCAGGCGACGCCACACGGTCTCTGACGGGGCTAACGGTGCGTCTGGATGGGGAGTCGGACGTCCGACGGTTGGTGCTAGACTTACGGCTGCCAGGGTTGCTCCCACGCCAGTCTTTATACGCAAACGGCGTGTAGAGACACTCGTCAAAGAGCTTGGGAGAGGTATTGTGAACCCGTTTGCGGTCCTTCAACCAGCGTATCAAGTCCTTCATCTTGTACGTCCCGGCCGTGCAATACGCCGTGACGCGCGGCAACAAGTCACGGTGCGATTTACTCAATGTCTCCGCGTCCTTCCGCGCCGGCGTGTCTTTGATCCGTGTGACCTGTGAGTACACGTCTCGGCCACTCTCTTCGCCGACGTCAATGGGGTCGTCCGGCAAAAGCCGCAATTTCTGTGTCGTCCTAGATGTTCTCTGGGGACCAAGGAGCTTTTTGGGCTTCGGGGGCGTAACACCATTCGGTGTGGCACTAACCGGCGTGGCACCATTCGGCGATATCAAACCAGGCACGGGTGTTTCTGCGCCAGCTGGCAACAATGGACTCGTTTCGGACATTATATTGCTTCTAGGTCTGTTCAATGACAATAACAAACACCTCTCAAGATGGATGGTGATTTCAATCTGCGCGAACCTCTTCGGGTCTAACGGGCAAACTCATCAGAATTCGCTAATATCTAAGGATAAGAATGTGCTATGTTCTATGTGCGCTTATGTAAGCAGATTACGTCAGCGGTCCCTGGACCAATGGCTGGGAATGACGACAAGTCTTTTTTTTCATTGGATTTATCAAAATGAGGTGAAAGATGGTTAGGATAATGAGGAAGAGAAATGGTGGTGAGGAGTGGTTTTAATTTTGCGAAAGAGGCGTTGGGTGGAAGCTGGGAGGGTTTGTGTGTGGAGGAGCTCTTCTACAAGATGTGGAGTTATGCACAAAACCGTCGAAAAAGCATCTGACGGTAGATAAATATTTTTAAAGATATATGAGAGTGGTCAGTGTAGAGAGGTTGTGAAAAGGACGAGGCAGAGGACTGATCGCGTGAAAGAAAACGGGTCTCACGACAAGCGGTCAAGACCGGTTATATAAGTCGGATTCCTTATTGTATAGTTTTGACAGATTGTTTTGACAGATTGTTTTGATAGGTTGTTTTATGACATCACTTAAAGTCATCGCATCCTTTGCTTCTCAATTTATTCCCTTTTCCTTGAAAGATAGCATGTAGATAAGGTGGTTGTACGGCTTCTGTTATTCCGAACTAGGCTATAGCTCTACAAAATCTGCTAGCTGTGCTCAGACCTTTAACCGCTAAAATTGTCTTAATAGTAAAATATTTCTGTACTAAGTTGACCATTACCATCCAACCATTTGGAACAGAAACAAACAACAAGCCAGTATACACACAAGTCTTGACAGTCCAGCCTTCGGCTCTAGCTCGTAGTCCTGCACCTACGCTCATCCCACGTGACAAAATATTTTTTCACTTACAAATTTTTCATGCATATTTATCTCCATACATCTCTCCTCCCATCTTTCTCACCACTCTTCTTCACACATGGGGATCAAACAGAAAACCACAAAGTCGTCCCGCCGCCACGCATACTCATCCTTCCGGGAGCGTATAGAGGCTATCAAGATTGAGCCGGCGCTCAAGCTTACCAAGCGCGCGCACGACTACGTGGAGACGTCGCACCTCCTCGCGACGTTCGAGCACTGGAAGGAGGTGAACATTTCCGGCGATTTCACCGAGTTTGGTTCCGAGATTGAAAGCTACGTGCAAACGCTCCCTCAGATCCTCTACCACCAGAAGGAAATCTTCCAGGCCTTGACCAAACACATTCGCAACAACGATGCTCACTCCATCCAGCCACTTATGGAGATGCTCGCACAGTTCGTCCATGATTTGGGACCAGACTTTCTTCCATACTACCAGGAAACCCTCGACTTGCTCATTGCCCTCACGCTTGACCGAAACGTGACCCATTCCGAGACTCTCGAGGCAACCTTCACGTGCATGGCCTTCATCTTCAAGTACCTCTCGCGTCACCTCGCGACGGACCTCTTGCCCACGTTCATCACCTTGAAGCCGCTTTTGAAATTAACCACCCGAGAGTACATTTCCCGCTTCTGCTCCGAAGCTTTGTCGTTCTTGATCAGGAAGACCAACCAGCAGAGCTTGGTGGCTATTATCGCTGAGTCACTTAACAACGAAAAGGCCTTGTTGGATAGCAACTACCACTACTGCAATGCCTTGAGCATCATGTTCAGTGAGGCCATGAAGAACACCCAGGGGACTTTCCACACCCGTTCGCTCATCATTGTCGAGCAGTTGTTGCATAACTGTTTGATGGTGGATAACAACGCGAAAACGCTCTCCGTCATATCCGACGTTCTCTTGAAAGTGTTCAACCACGGGACGCCCGAGTCGTTAAAGGGTTTCTTGGAAGTTACATTGGGGTCCATCACCGAGATCCTAACCGCCAGCGAGACCTCCTTGGCTAGTCTCACGAACTCTGATAGCCCCGCTAACACAGTTGTCTGCGAAAGACTCATTGCCGTATCGCAGATTATCACCACGCTCATTTTCGCGGAAAGCGGGAAGAAAATCGAAGACTGGTCGCCCCTCCTCGCGGTCACCGACCAGTTATTCGCCCACACCCAATCACTCACTCCTTCTTCAGAGCCAAGCTACGCCGATCTCTATTATACCCTTCTCGATTCCGTCTCCTTTCTCGCGGCCGTGCTCATTCGTAACTGCGAGTTGAAGGACCTCACGAAGTATCATGTAACGCTTTTCCGCCACATGTACGGGCTCAACGATGGCCACAACTTCCTCCCCTTCCTCGAGGTGGCGCTCAACCTTTCGACCGAAAAAACCCTTTCGTTTGCCGCGAAATACCTCCAGGACTTTGTCTCTTCCAAGTGGGCACACCCGGGCTTTGACGAAAAAATTGCACTTTTTCTCACAAACCTCGCGGAAAAGGACCTTTTGGCGAAAACCCCGACCCCCGGAAAGTTGTCGGTCGTCATCAGCCACAAGTTCCACGAAACCGTTCTCACCTACTTTGTTGGCCTCCGCATCGATCCATCTAGCACGCATGATTTGCAACAGGTTTATTGGCGCTTGTTGATCCTTAGACACACCAGCGGCGTCCGCGAGGCTGCGCCCCTCCTCCGCATCCTCACGCAGATCTCCACCGGCGCGGCAACGCGTCTCGGACACGATCTCTGCGGGATGATTTTGGAGTCGCTTGCCGTCCAGGACTTGTCCGATGAGGTTTACCGGACGATTTTGGCAAATATTATCGAAAACTTCAACGGCTTCAAGCTCAGCACGCCGTATGTGACGGGTGTCCTTCGCTTTGTTTCGGCGCTCTCCCACGAGAATTCCCGGGCCTTCTTGGTCGATAACTTCTCTGTTTTCGTCCAGAGCATTGCCTCGAACGTGTACCTTCCCCACCACGACGCCAGATACGTGGCGCTTCAGCTTTTGATTGCAACTTTGGAGAAGGCCGGGCGTGACGTTCCCTCGTTGATCTCCCAGTGCCGTTTGATCGAGGAAATTCCGTTGACCTTGCAAACCGGCAGAGACATCATCTTGCGAGTGAGGAACTTGGGCATGGACTTTGCCAAGGAAGCATCTGCCGATGCCCTTGTCACTGAAGTTGTCACCCGCTTCATGTTTGGTTTGTTGTCAAACAAGTTTGCGCCGTGCTGGGAGGCAGTTTACGAGGCTCTCCCAAGTCTTGTGAGCAAGGCCACCGAACAGCTCTGGGAATTGGCGTACGAGCTTATAGCCAGAAACTACAGGCAGTCCGCCACATTGGACGCGGAATTGGCTGAAAGCGAGGCTGGGGTGGTTCTCAACACTAGACTCGACAAGTGGCTTCCGTCCGATTACCGTTTGAGAGATACGTTCAAGTATAATAATCGCTACTTTGCCCACTTGATGCATCCACAGGCATCTTTCATCGTCTATGCCGATTCTAAAAGGGCCGAGGTTGACTTTACTGAGTTCATGAGGGGCCAGGCCATCAAGGCGTTAGCGACAGTGAAGGTTGTCGCTGAAAAGCATTCCCAGCTCTTGGTTCCGTTCCTTTTGAATGATGAGGATGAGGATGAGGATGAGGATGAAGAAGAGGATGAGGAAGAGAATGAAGAAGAGGATGAGGATGAGAAAAAGGAAACTACACCACAAACTTCAACTTCGTCTCGCCTGTGGAGTGTGAAAGACCGCAACGCCGTCGTCTCGCTCTTTGCCAAGTTTAACAACCTCAGAAAGGTTCACCGTTCGGCTGAGGTCTATCAGTATCTCCTCCGTCTTCTTGGTAACCGCAATTCCGTCGTCCAGAAGATCGCACTTGAGTGTCTCCTCAACTTCAAAAACCAACAGGTCAACCGCTACAAGAACAACCTTGAGTGTCTCCTCGAGGAATCCACATTCAGAGACGAGATCGCCAAGTTCCTCACCACATCTGAGACCAGTACGATCAACTCCCAGGACCTTGACCACTTGATGCCGCTCGTGATCCGGATCCTCTTCGGGCGGGCCCAGACCGCCAAGACGGGCGGAAACAAGACGGGACGCAAGTTTGCCGTTGTTTCCGTCTTGCCAAACATCCAAGACAAGTACATTGTGGACTTTTTGAAGTTGGGGTCAGACCGGATTGACCACGAAAAGTACTTTGGTGCGCTCAGATCGCCAGGTGAGACCTATGACCTGCCGCTTGGTTCGCTCTCAACTCGCTCACCTGATATCTCTGAGAAGGCGCTTCGCCGTCTTTCCGGTTTTGTCAACCTCCTCACCGACGTCTACTCCACTCTCGGACTCAACTACCCCCAGGTCCTTTGCTCTACCGTCGAACCGCTTCTCTACGCGCTCTGTGTCTCCCAGTACGCCGTGGACCACCGCACAGATCTTCCTGACCCCACCCTCGAGAAGGCCGCCCGTAACATCAGACAATTTGGGATGAGAAACCTCAGCGAGCTCTTCACCCTTCTTGGCGCCAACTTCGACTGGTCCCTGTATATTCCGCTCATCTACTCCCAGATCGTGTCGCCCCGCTTCGAGAACTTTGCAGAAGAGAACCTCCAGCAGCCGTCGGCGTTAATGAAGATGATCACCGGCTGGGCTTCCGCCGAGGCACACTTTTCCTTCCTCTACCACGAGGACTTTGCGGCCGCGCGTGCGCTTCTCTCGTTGTTGCCGAACGCGCACGCCAAAGACTCCGTTATTCTTACGATCATGGAGTTTGCCACGAGCATCACTGCGCAGTCGTTGGACGATGAAAGATTCATTCACCTTGTGGCATTGGTGGTGGAGTCATGTCTTGCAACGCTTCCGGCGATCTTTACACGTGTCGCGAGCCGTGAACTCAACGCGCGCGCGATCGCGCTCCTCCTCGCACTCATCGACCGTGGCTACATCAGCGACAATACCACCAAGAAGGCGCTCATTGACGCGCTTTGTCTCGCGATGGACAAGCCGAACCAGCACGTGGATATGCGCGACAAAGTGAGCATCCTCAAGGCCCTTGCCGCGCTTGTGGGCGACTTTGACTGCTCCCTCGTCGAAGTGACCCCTCTTTACGAGTCCTGCTCCAAGGCGTTCAAGGTCTACAGTGACCGCAACATCCGCAAGACGTTGATTTCCGTGTTCGAGAGCATGGGTGGCAGGTTTAGCGAGCTCGAGCGCGTGGGGGAGCTTATTTCCAACTTGAACGCCTACTCGGCAAAGTATCTCGACCAACCAGACTTTGAAAAGCGCTTGGCCGCCTACAAGACCATCAACGATGCGCAGTACCCGCTCTTTTCGCCAATGGAGTGGCTTCCGCTTCTCTATTCCGCACTCTTCCAGATCAACGACGACGAGTTTGGGATCAGAACCAACGCCACGTACCTTCTCAACCGCTTTGTGGATGCGTTTTCCCAGAGAGACTCGCCTGAAGAGGCCGCGCCGTTTGTCCAGTTGTTCAAGAACGTGGTGCTTCCGCACCTCCGCCTCGGGTTGAGAAAGGAGAAGGAGACGACCCAGACCGAGTTTATCTCTGTGCTTGCGCACATTGTGGAGCATGCGAAGTACTACACCGAGCTCGATGACATGAAGGTGTTGCTTTTTGGAGGGGATGAGGAGGTGAACTTCTTCTACAACATTAACCACATCCAGTTGCACCGTCGCCAGAGAGCCGTCAGAAGGGTCAGGGACGTTAGAAATGAGCTTTGTGATAACTCCGTGTCGCACTACCTTCTCCCGTTGATCGAGCACTATGCGTTTTGCAAGGATGACAAGTTGCGGAACCTTGCGAACGACAGTATCGAGACTATTGGCGCGTTGGCACGGTGTGTGAGTTGGAACCAGTACAAGGCATTGTTGAGACGGTATATCTCGTATGTTCGGTCGAAGCCAGAGCAGTTGCGAGATGTGGTTGGATTGGTTGTAGCCGTCTCAGGGGCGTTGTTAGCCTCGACGAAGGCAAGGGCTGTTGCAGAGCCAGAGGACGAGGTGGATGCCGAAATTGCCGACGTTGACATGGCTGGCGCGGCTAAGGCTGACATTACAGATATCATCCGTAAGATGCCCTCCAACCCTGCTGACATTATCGTCTACATCACTGGCGAGCTCTTCCCAAAGCTCACTAAGGTCCTCACTCTCCGTGACGACGAAACCATTGTCCACCGAATTCCTCTCTCGGAAGCACTCACCTCCTTGGTCATGTGCCTTCCAGAGGAGCAGATTCTCCTTGAGCTCCCCGGAATCCTCACCTCCGTCTGCCAGATCATGCGGTCGCGTTCCGAAGAGCTCCGTGACGCGGTAAGAAAGAACCTTGGGCGGATGGCGAAGCTTCTCGGGGCCCAGTACATCCAGTTCATCCTCAAGGAGCTCAAGGGCGCCTTGACCCGTGGCTCCCAGATCCACGTGCTTTCGTTCACCATCCACGCGTTGCTTGTGTCGATGAAGGACGAGCTTTCTCACGGGGACCTTGATGAGTCCGCGGTACTCATTGTGAACGTGATTATGGAGGACGTGTTTGGGGCTGCTGGCCAGGAGAAAGACGCTGACGGCTACACTAGCAAGATGAAGGAGGTCAAGCACAACAAATCGTTCGACACGGGCGAGCTTTTAGCGGCAAACATCTCTTTGAAGACCTTCAACAAGCTCATCACGCCTGTAAAGTTGTTGCTTCGCGAGCGAATCCAGCTCAAGACCCAGAACAAGCTCGAGGAGTTGTTGCGCCGCTACGCCTTGGGGTTGAACCACAACGATGAAGCGTCTTCCAGAGACCTTCTTGTGCTCTGCTACGAGCTCCACAAGCAATCAGTGGAAATTCTCGGGAACCCAGAGAACGACGGGAAGACCGAGGCCGCCGACCATTTCCTCGTCAAGCTTTCGTCCCGGCCGCTCAAGACCCAGATGGAGTACTCTTTGTACGTCTACACCCTCCAGAAGTTTGCTTTTGATCTCTTGCGAACGGCCATCACCCGTCACCAGACGTTGATGACCACTGAAAGCCTCCTGGGCTTTGTGCCGCTATTGGAAGACAGCTTGCACGCCGAGAACGAGGGTGTTATGGTGTCGTGTCTCAAGGCGTTGAACCTCATTGTCAGGCTTCCGTTCGCGGAGGAAACCGACGCTGTGTTTAAAACCTGCGCCAGACGGACGTTGACCATTATCAAGGATACGCCAAACACAAACTCTGAGCTTTCCCAGATGTGCTTGCGTTTCCTCGCGACGGTCATCCGCCACAAGGAGGACATCAAGTTGAAGGATACGGCTGTGAGCTACATCTTGGTGAGAATCCAGCCAGATTTGGAAGAGCCAAACCGCCAGGGGTTGGCATTCAACTTCCTCAAATCGGTTGTTTCGAAGCTCATTCCGGTGCCAGAGGTGTATGACACTATGGATAAGGTTTCTCAGATCATGGTGACGAACCACGCGAAGGAGATCCGAGACATGGCCCGGAGCGTCTACTTCCAGTTCTTGATGACCTACGACCAGGGGCGCGGCCGAATCGAGAAGCAGTTCAAGTTCTTGATCAGCAACCTTGAGTATCCAGCCCAGGCCGGTCGTCAGTCTGTCATGGAGCTTGTCAACTTGGTGCTCAACAAGGCCTCGTCCGAGTTGTTACAGCGCATTGCGCTCTCCTTCTTTGTTCCGCTCGCGAACGTGTTTGTTGCCGATGATGCCCACAAGTGCCGTGAGATGGCGCTTGTGTTGATCACTACGATTCTCAAGAAGCTCAAGGACGTGCCAAACTCCCGTGAGGCGGTGGAAAAGTACTTGCTTGCGTGGATCCAGCAGGAAGACAACGAGTTGTTGTCGATTTGTGGGTTGAAGGTGTACAAAACGTACGCCTCGGAGGTTGGGTTGGGTGTAAATTCCGCCTTGGACGCTGCGGCCTTGAAGCGGATCACCCGTACCCTCGATTTAGCAAAGAACAACGAAGAGGAAGAAGCAGAGGTCGAATGGGAGTCAGTTCACGCATCGTTGACCGTGTTTGGGGCCATTGCGGGCCAGCTAGGTGAGAGTGCATTTGTGGAGGAGCTCAGACCAATTTGGGATAACGTGACCGATTCGCTTTTGTATCCACATAGTTGGGTCAGAAGTGTCGCATGTCGTCTTACCGGGATGCTTCTTTCTCGCCTTGGAAGCCTTGCCGCTGGGTTCGGCTACACCGACTACGATGTCCAGACCATCGCCACGCGCTTACTCCGCCAGCTCTCCGCCCCTTCCATCGAGACCCAGCTTGGCACCCAGATTGTCAAGAACTTGGTTGCCATCACAATGTTCTGGACCAAGAACTCTACACTCTACCAGTCCAGGGCGATGGCGCCGTCGCACAAGCCGGTTATCGGCACGGTGGAGGAGGAGCCAAAGTACAAGTACGCCACGGACTGGATCGGAACGCGTATCTCGGCTATCATGAGAAACGAGGCCAACAACCACGCGATGTTTGTGTCAAAGAAGTCTGCCATTCAGTTTTCCGCGATGATGTGTCAGGTCTTGCCACTCGACCGCTTGACCGATGTGGCCCAGAACTTGATTTTGGCCTTGTACAACTTTACCGAGATGGAGACCGCGACCGACGCCGAGAAGGAGTTGGGCGACTTGGCCTTGGAGTGTCTCCAGTTGATGGAGTCCAAGTTGGGTGTGTCTGATTACACCCGTTTGTACACTACCGTCAGACAGCAGGTGACAAAGAGACGCCAGGATAGGCGGGCCAAGAAGGCCCATTTGGCCATCACCGCGCCCGACGTTGCCGCGAAGCGCAAGATGAAGAAGCATGAGCGTTTCCGTGAGAAGAGAAAGCACGAAAAGGATGACAACGGGTACTACCACAGCAAGAAGAAGAGAATGGTGTAGGGGTTGTATTTTTAATGTATGATAGTTTTAAGCTGAGTAGATGAGCAGGCCACCAAAGGAGAACCACCCAGATTATTTGATTTTTAATGTGCTTATAAGATTGTACGTTGTAAATGGGGTACAAAGTACACGGCTGATATATCCTTTAACCATGGTTATAAAACCCATGGGCATTAGATCAAACCACCGTACACAACTTATCGATTAGATCTGTCAAGTGTTTTAGACCTACAACGCATGTGGACGGACGTGAACTCCTTTTCGTCTCCTAAATTATTATCCCTGGCAAAGGAGTACATATAGTTAGAAATCCCTTGTAATACTTTGTCAACGTCCAAGATAGCCGTTGGCACCAAGCGCTTCCACAACTCCTCTTTCCCACCCACGTCATGCATTAAAAAGCTCAATATTACCTTCTCCCAAAGTCAATTATTTTACCTGCCAACCAATTTTGAAGCCCCTCTTTTCAATGTCATGATACTAAGAAAAACCGGTACGACTCCGTGTTTCTTAAAATCCCGCTCTCTTTTTTGTCCAGCTATGCACTCACTATTGTGCATGCATATAATGCCGCTTGCCTCTATGGCACAGCAGACTTCCGCCTAAGATAGAAAAATAATCTGAATCAGCCAAAAAAAAAAAAAAAAGTATGGAAACAATAATATGGCACTTTTTAACAAATGTCGGAAAAAGCCAATAATTTACCCTCGTCTCAAGTACTTTGGGTTCTCTACCACAACCTTTTTTTTTTTTTTTTTGACTCCTCCCGTTGACACATGAACGTACGGCCCCGAGCGGCGCATGCGGCTTTGAATGCTTCATTTTTCGAGCGGGCAACCAACCGCGACCCCCAACTTCTCTTTATAACCGCCTCCACCGCCTTTCTGACCTGAAACCACACCACTCCTAAGCAAATACCACAGATGTTTTCCCATATTTCCCCAAAAATCGCAGAGGTTGTCGTGGCGCACCTCCCTGCAGCCTCGCCAGAGATCGACCCCTCCACCAACTCCAACTACCTCAGCTTCGACATCCAGCACACGGCGTTCGACTGGGATGTTTCCTTCACCACCAAGACGCTTTCTGGGTCCGTTACGCACACGCTTGCCGCCAAGACGGCTGTCAACAGTATCAGATTGGACACCTCCTACCTTAACGTCACCGCTGTTTCCGTCAACGGTGCCACTGTTCCGTTCACCATCGGTGCTAGAACCGAACCGTTGGGCGCCCCGCTCACGGTCCAGTACGCTGCCCAACCGGCGGAAAAGCTTTCCCTCAGATTGGAGTACGCCACCACTGCTGAGTGCACGGCCTTGCAGTGGCTCGAGCCTGAACAGACCGACGGTGGTGAGTTCCCGTACTTGTTCTCGCAGTGCCAGGCCATCCACGCGAGATCGTTGTTTCCGTGCTTCGACACCCCAGCGGTGAAGGTGCCACTTTCCTACAAGATTGTCTCGCCGTACCCTGTTTTGGCATCCGGGCTCCGTGTGGAGGCGGGTCTGACCTCTAGCACGCTTGAGTTAGCCGCCGTTGCCAAGTCTGAATCCTCCGTCTACCACTTCAACCAGCCAATCCCAGTGCCGTCCTACCTTGTGGCTATTTCTTCGGGTGACTTGGTCTCGGCCACGATCGGCCCACGCTCACTTGTCTACTCCGAGCCATCCACCATCTCCTCGTGTCAGCACGAGTTCTGTGCTGACACCGAGTCGTTCATTTCCACGGCCGAGAAGCTCATCTTCCCGTACGAATGGTCGCAGTACAACATCTTGGTGCTTGTGTCATCCTTCCCATACGGTGGGATGGAGAACCCAAACATCACCTTTGCTACCCCAACGTTGATTTCCGGCGACAGGCAGAATGTTGATGTCATTGCACACGAGTTGGCCCACTCCTGGTCGGGTAACTTGGTCACCAACGCGTCCTGGGAACACTTCTGGTTGAACGAAGGCTGGACCGTGTACATTGAGAGAAGAATCGTGGGTGCGATCCACGGTGAGGCCCACCGCCACTTCTCTGCCATCATCGGCTGGGAGGCGCTTGTCAACTCCATCAAGTCAATGGGCGTGTCTGCGAATAGGTTTTCGACCATGGTCCAGGACCTCAAGGACGGTACCGACCCAGATGACTCCTTCTCCTCTGTTCCTTACGAAAAAGGGTTCAACTTGTTGTACCACATTGAGACCGTTTTGGGCGGCCCACAGGTGTTTGACGCTTTCATTCCACACTACTTCAACAAGTTTAGCAAGAAATCGTTGGATACGTACGAGTTTTTGGACACCTTGTACGAGTTCTTTGCTGATAAGAGGGACTTGTTGGACACTATTGACTGGAACACTTGGTTATACGGCGCCGGGTTGCCACCAAAACCGAAATTTGACACCACCTTGGTGGACCAGTGCTACGCCTTGGCCGATAGATGGACCGCCGCGGCGAATAGCGCCAAGACCGAAGCTCAGTTGCGCGAGGAGTTCTCGCCTGAGGATATCACGGAGTTCTCAGCCAACCAGAATGTGGTCTTCTTGGACACGTTGTCGTCACAGCAGGCGACCGGAGCTGCCGACTGGGCGAGCGTTCAGGGTCAATTGGTGTTGCGCACATTGTCAGGGATTTATTCCGAATACGCCGTTTCGAAAAACGCCGAGGTTGTGTTCCGCTACAGTAGATTGGCCGTCACCGGGAAGTTGAGCGAGTACTATCCGACCTTGGCGAATTGGTTGGGGACCGTCGGGAGAATGAAGTTTGTCAGACCGGGGTTCAGCTTGTTGAACAGTGTGGACAGAGAGTTGGCGCTCAAGACGTTTGCGAAGTTTGAGGGTGGATACCATCCGATTTGCAAGGGAATGGTGAAGAAGGATTTGGGGTTGTGAGAGGGCAAGCGACACGAGGTTTCCCGTGCATATATTTATATTTCTTATAAGCTCTTTAGAAGTCGAAGTGAGTGAGGCGCAGCAACGAAAGTAGACAGGTAATCCACGCTAAATCGAAGCAAGCATTGCTGGTAAGGCGAGCACAGTTGGACAATATAGAAAATGCCAACTAATAGCGGTTACTGTTACTGAAAGGTTCGATGTAAACGCACCCTGTTTAGCCCGTTTTAATTTGTGCTGGGTCAGAACTTTAGAGAATTGCAAATAATCCAGCTGCCTTCACGATGCATTCTAAACGGGTAATCAGAAGCGATACTGGGATGGTTGAAGCAGCTAATGGCTGTAATTGAAATAGCTGATAATCGGGTTCCTTACGTAGTCACCACCTTAGGGCCAAGGGAAATATAATAGCCTTAAATGACGAAAAGGTATTCAGGATAGCATGTGATCGAATAGGTAGCTCACCAAGGTGCTTGGTGCTTAATTCCTGGGATTGTCGAGAGCTCCCTTAACATTAGTGTTTACTCATGTGCTCATCCTAGGTCTCTACACTAATCTCTAATTAAACTAATCTATTGATCCGTGGGAACGGTAAAAATACAAAGGGGCTATTTGACCCTATTTCCTCTACTTTCTTTCCTTTTTCTTGCTCATCAAGTTGACTCTCTCCCAGACCCTCTCCAAGCTCATCTTGACATCGCCCTTGGCAAAGTTCTCCAAGTCAAAGTACTTCGGCGCGGCCTGGACCAACCATTCCGGTCTGACCCCGGTGACGGTTCTGATGTAGTTCTTGCTAGTCAACACAAATTCGTTGTAGATGACCCACTCGTTGTCCTGGGCCAACACGGTCGAAGGGTGGATCAACACGTCCTGATTGTCCTTGATGGTGATGTAACCCTTGTTACCAGATCTCTTCTTGGCAACTTGCATAAAGAACCCGGCGGCAAGCGCCTTACGGAGCGCATCGAAGTACTGTGGGGATTCGTACTCGGCCTGTGGAGACACCAACGGCAAGTTGTGGCGAAGCAAAATTCTCTCCAACTGCTTTCTCACGTTCTCGGCGGACTGCAAGGATCTGTAGGAAAGGAAGTGGTCACGACACCACTGGTGCTGGCCGGCGGTGAAGGCTTCCTCGGAGTTGAAGGCGTGGAACACGTTGACCAAGGTCAAGTGGTCACCCTCTGGGTGGGCAAACAAGTCCTTCATCTCGTCAGCTCTCTTACGAGCAGAAGCTGGACGGACAAACACGTTCGGCACGGAAAGCAAGGCGACGATGGAGAGAATTTCCTCAGAACAACCAAACTCTGGAGAGCCGATCAACATACACGCAAGGATTGGGTCCAACGGGAAGTTGGAAGCCAAGCGGCCGAGCGCGGTCATGTCGCCTTCGTCATCGAGACAGGTGAGGTAGTTTAACTCCTCCAACGCCCTCATCATGGTTTCGGGGGCTGGAGGGTCCATGAAGTCAAAGTGAACCAAATCGTCAACCCCCAACTTCTTTAATTCCAAAACGGTGGAGGACAAGTTAGAGCGCAAGATTTCTGGGTGGGACTGGTCGATCAACTCCTGCTTGAAGGCCTGCTCGGTGTACAAACGGAAACACTTACCTGGACGGGTTCTACCGGCTCTACCGGCTCTCTGCTGGGCAGAGGCCTTGGAGATTGGCGAAACCAACAATGACTCGACTCTGATACGCGGGTTGTAGACCTTTTGCTTGGAGAAACCCGGGTCCACCACATAGACGACACCGTCGATGGTCAAGGAGGTTTCAGCAATGTTGGTGGAGATGATGACCTTACGGCCCGGTCTGCCGTTAGGGGTGAACGGACCAGGGGCGGGGTCAAAGATCTTTTGCTGTTGCGCTGGGGTCAAGGAACCGTACAACGGGTAGACCTTCAAGGGACCGCAGCCCTGCTCACGGATGAGCTCGTCGGCCTCCAAGGAGATCTTTCGGCAGGCGTCCTCAATCTCTTCCTCACCGGTCAAAAACACCAAGATATCACCCTCCTCCTCGGTGGCATGGATCTGCAATACGGTTCTTATAGCGGCATCGAGATAGTCTCTCTGGAACTCGGGAGTGTAGTAGATCTCGACTGGGTGGGTTCTACCGGGAACCGCCAATAACGGCGCGTCGTTGAAGTAGGACTGGAACTTTTCGGCGTCCAAGGTGGCAGACATGACGATGATCTTCAAGTCTGGGCGTCTCTCGGCAACGTTCTTCAACAATCCCATCAAAATGTCGGTGGAGAGGGTTCTCTCGTGAGCCTCGTCTAGAATGATGCACGAGTATCTGGTCAAGTTGTGATCCTCCATGGCCTCTCTCAACAACATACCGTCGGTCATGTACTTCAAGATGGTGGTTGGCGAGGTCTTGTTATCGAAACGGACGGAGTAACCCACCTCCGCACCCAATTGCACATCCATCTCGTCCGCTACTCTCTTGGCCACGGACATGGCGGCTACACGACGCGGCTGCGTGCACGCCACCTGGGTGCCCAACAAGTGCGGCATCTCATCGTAGAGCACAAACTGTGGGATCTGCGTGGTCTTACCGGAACCGGTCTCACCCACAAATACCATGATCTGCGTGGAATGATAGATGCGGAGGAACTCGTCCCTCTGCGCGTGCACCGGGAGGTCGCGGCGGACCTTCAAGATGTCAAAGTAACGCTGTGAAAACTTCTGGCCGGTAAATGGATTGTTAGTGCCAGTTTCCAACTTTTCCGCCTGCTCAGAGGTGGTTTCGTGTCTCACCAAGTCGGCAAATTCGCCGGCATCGTGGTGCTGTAACTGCACGCGTTCGAGCGGGTGCGGGTGTCTGTAGCTTTCGGCTTCGGCCTTTTCAGCAGCGAGTTCCGCGACGGAGGTCACAGCTTCGATCTTGGACTTTTTGGACGGTCTTTCGGAGTCTGACATGCTTGGGGGGAGTGTGAGAAGGAGAAGGGAGAAGTTGGTTTATGTTTTTGTGCGTCCGAAATTTTTTTCAGAAAAAGAAAGAAAGTTTGCGCCGCATTCGCCACTGTGGCGCAGTCCCGAGATCTAGCCGTTCTGGAAACCTTGACCCTTTGAAAAGGCATTTTGCAATATTAGCGGACTGGATACTAAAAGTAAACGGTTTAAGGATTATACTTTGTGGTTAAGGTATGCATGGTTAACATTTAGTTATTTAGACGCTATGGTATCGCGGATACCTAAAATTACGCTGTCAACACTCAGGGTAATTCTTCAAAGACCATAAGCCTTGAGATGTACCCAAACAAACACCTACCGTTCAATTCCCATGGTTTTAGTGCTGGGCTATGACTTAATATCACATCGATTTGACATTTCCGCCGGATGGTTCAATCACTGACTGCAGAAGGTAAAAAAAAAATAAGAAAAGCTCCTAGCTCCTTTTATAATTCCTAGCTACTCCAGTAAAGCTACATCCCACTAGAATTTCAACCTCTGCCTCTTTCTTAATATATACAAGAAACGACCTAGCCTCTATTGGTACCCCAACACCTCCTTGAACAACGCGGCACAGTCAAACTCAGCATCCAACTTTGAGCACAACAAAAAGACTCCGCTCAACTTACGGTGCAACGAATAGGTCTCCTCTGGCGGCGGGCTCAATCTCTGCTCCAACATGAGTCCGATATTGCCCCGGACTCTATCAGTGACAGTCTGGGACTTGAAACTGTACGGCTTTCCCACAACATTATTCTCCGGAGAGAAGGGCTCACCGAGAACAAGCACAGAGTCGATGTGGGCCTGGACCATCGCGTCGCTTTCAAAGCCCGTGAGGTAGCCCAACTTGTGGGAATACTCTTTGACTCCGTCTCTGTCCTTGTGGATGGCGGCGCGCAACACCTGGATGTAGTTTTGGGTAAACTCATCACCAAAGTCGCGGGTAGCGCCAAAGTCCAACAACTCGATCTTCTTTGTCTTTTCGTTGTACAAGAAGTTGGCCCAGTTCGGGTCCGTCTGCATTAACTGCCACTTGATTTCCATCAAACACAACTTCATGATGGACGAGGCAATGTGGTTCTTAGTTGCCTGGTCCCAGTTACCCTTGACGATCTCCACACCCTGCATCTTTTCCATCGTCAAGACGCTTTCGCCTGACATGTTATGCATCACGCGCGGTACCTGGAAAACATCGGCAAGCCCTGGGGTGGACTCGATGATTTCGCGGAAGCGCACCAAGTTCTGTGCCTCGCGGATGTAGTCGCACTCCCACTTCAACTCCATACGCGCGTTTGCCACGGTCTTGTCGAGGAAGAGGCCCTTTGGAAGGAGCTGCGAGGCCGTAAGAAGCATGAGCAAGTTGTTCAAGTCGGAGTCAATGCTGTCGATGACGCCCGGATACTGCACCTTGACCACAACAGGCGTATAGTCGTCCAAGGTGACGGCATTATGGACCTGGCCGATGGACGCAGCCGCGAGCGGCACATCATCAAACGACGCAAAGTAACGCTCACGCCAATTATTCCCCAACTGTGCCACCATCACCTTCTCGAGCTGCCCAGCGGGCATATAGTGCGCAGAGTTCTGCACACGCTGGAGGATCTGCTGGACCTCGCGCGGGAGAATCAGCGCGTCCTGGAATGACATCATCTGCCCGAGCTTGAGCGCGGCACCGCGCATCTGCAGAAACTTGTTCGCCATGCGCACAATGTTCTGTGGAGACAAGAGCATGCTGTTGAGCGAGGGCTTGGTCTGGGTGGTGGCCATGTGCTTAAGGCCCTGCGCCGCCGCGCCCGCACCCACCGCTGCCGCGAGCGAGCCATAGTGGAAGAGGCGTCCGAGGCGCGAAGCGGGGACCTCAGAGGAGGTCATCACAACCTCTGGGGTTTCCTTCTCGCCGATTATTTTAGCATACGCCCTGGTGCTCGTGGCAAAGCCTCTCTTCTGCGAAGCAGTGCCATTTGAAACAGCATTTCCGGGAGCTTCACTTCTAGTATTTATCTTGACATCTTTAGCTCTCGCCTTACTTGAGACTTGGTGGAGATGTGCCCACATCTGATCATCTGGGTTCGAGTCAAACACAAACTGTCTCAACGGCTGGGTGGTGACCGATGTCTTGTAGAACGTGTAGGCATCCTGCTTGAGGATGCTGGTGGCCTGACAGGCAACTTTCCCGGCTGTCGCAGCAAGCTGCAAACTGGTGTAGAGTCCACTGGATGGCATGGTGATGGTTGATGAAGTGAAACCGAGTGTGACGGAAAAGCGGTTGATTCAGAAAAAGGGACGTCATAATGATGCTCACGTGATAGACAGCTTGAGTGGCTACAGTAGAGGGGTCGGTAAACGTAAAAATGATTGCAAAGACATGATTATATAATAGGAGATTTTTAGTACATTATAGGGTGATTATAAGAATCTTTACGAGAAAATAAATGGGTATAGGGGAAAATATGAGAGTATTGTAAGGAGGGGAAAATTTGTAGGTAGACGTCACGTGCGTGGCTGGCATCGGCACCTCTCAACCAGCACTGGTTTAAAATTCAGATACCTGCGAACGAAGCCAGTAATTGGAAATCTAAACTCCTGAGACATAGGGGAAGTTGAATCCATAAAATCTGGAGACTTTGGTGCTGATTGTGCAAATATTCCTTCGATTGATTTATCTGTCAATGTGGTCTGGTATTAATAGAGAATGACGAAAAATAATAAATGGTTTTGGAGAGATCCTGGCATGATGGGTCAGGAAACTGCTAGATTAGAGCTGTACCATTAATGTCTATCAAATCCAAATACCCGTAAACCCCCAACTCCGGTATTCCCCCAGCCTTTTTTGCAGTTTTACCTCTATTTATAACCTTCCTGAACGTCATGACCTTTCATCTTCCATATATAGCCCCTATTATCCTTGCATTGATTTTCTCAACTGGATATAGCCACAGCCACTTCCGTTGGGTTCGGTGTTGGTCATGTAGTATATCGAGCATGCCGGATAGGAGATCACATTGATGCGGCTGAAAAAGAGACTGTACTGTTAGTCACCTATTACTATAGCGGTGCCTCTAAAACTAAGGCGCTGTTATTGTAGAGTAATATGGATCTCTACGGGATACTGGGTACGTTGACATCTGGATTCAGGAAAAGTGGTACGAAAAGAGTGAAGGTCCTAGACAGCACCATCGTAGACTGGCACGTAAAGGCCCAAATTTTCCAAGACCGCAGCAAAATCCAGGGAGTTTGTGCGATTTCGGGGTTTACTACGCACACCAGACTTTGGTGGCCCCTTGCGGCTATCCTCTCAGCTAACAAAATACATTGGTTTATCATACAGAGGTATCTACTGAGACTCTTTTTTTACCCTTCCTGATATCACTGTAGAGCTCAATTGTTTAAATTTCTACGCACGTTTCATATTCCCCAGGCTATGGTCATCTCCACATGTACGAAATTGAATGCCGGATATGTCATTCCCGATAAACGGCTGATTGCAGCATTGAGCTTATTCGCTATGTTATACAGCGATGAGTGAAAGATAGCAAACACAAGAAAATCGCTCACAGCTGCCACTGATAACCCACACTGCTCCGTATCTTAACAAGAACCATTCTCCATTGTTAAGAACCACAATTCTTTAAGTGCCTCACCTTACGAAACCATTCTAGCTCTGGGACCTTAGACGTGCACTTAACTCTGACCTTCCACAAAGAACAGCACCATTCATTAAGCTCATTCCCCCAACTCCTTTTAAATCAAACATTTAGACCCCTCAAAGGTATATTCCGAAGCACTTTGGCTAAGATCAGGTTATAGTTTGCCCATCTACGATCCTACCTGCAAACGTTCGCAGCGCAACGCTTTGGTTCTGCTTTCATACCCACGACAAATGATCACTGGTATTCTAAGAAAGCTCTTACAAGCTAGGCCGTCTCCAGATCTGTGCCTGCTCCCCACCGACTATAAAGATAAATGCGACTACACGGTAGATGAGCAGGATTCTCCGTATGAGGACATCGACTGCCTGTCTATAGTAGACACCCTCCTTCCCGAGAAACTCAGCGAGTTCTATGTGTTTCTTGCCACCGAATCCAACTCTTTGGCCACCTACTATACCCCCCGGTTTGAGAAGACCCACCGTCGCGGGCGCACCGACCACTGCACCATCTGTTTGCTGACCATTGGCGCCCACGCCAAGATCATCTGCTTGCCCTGTAACCACTACTATCACTTCAATTGCCTCGTCCAATGGTTCTCGCAGAATCAGTCCCCTCATAAGAACTGTCCGCTTTGCCGGTTCAACATGAACGAGTACTACTGGGAAATCATATCGCGGTTGAATGTGAAGGAGATTTTAGCAGGGTTGCTTTTCTGTGCTGGATTTTTGATTGCAGGCGTGATTGTCTTCCAGATGGGACTCTCCTTAAAACACATCACCGTGGATGTATACTTTGCTCATGAAACTATAAAGCTTTAACTATATGCACGGTTGCATAGATACCGCTCAGAGTCGCACAATAACTATTTTGATTCTATAGTTTCCAAAAATAGTCTTCCACAAAACACATGATGATTTATCCCAATACTCACGGGTTCCATTTAAGGGAGATCGAAAAATAAACCGAGGGGTGGGTTTATCAGCTTAAGCGTCCGTCGTGCTACGTATGGTACTTCTAGTCGTACAACTGTTACTGGTTGGGTAAGGTACGATGTCTCACAATACATAAAAAGCGTAAAGGTATTTCTCCTTGTATACTGCGAAATTTTGGCACAAGCCCATCGCCTATTACTGGTCAGTGAGGATCAAAACACGATACGCGTGAAGGGTTAAACCCTTGGCGCACTTGTAAGACGGCTGAGCGCTGGCTTATAACCAGGCTTGTAAATTAATCCTTGACCAATACTATACGGTACGTTGCCTCTGGATCTTGACCTCTGTGACTGAGGTTTTCCTTACTCTGGGTGTCAATTTATTGCTAATCATTGTTGAAGGCTTAAAAGTGTGCCAACTTTAATAGATCTTTATCTGGAAGACGATTCAGGCGTATCTGTATGCATTGTGAAAAAGAATCAAATAATATTGTACGGAGCGTTTCTTGTAAATGGAGCTTGGCTTGAAAGAACTCAAAAGGGCTGAGCTTTTTGTATACTGCCTTCAATCCGCTGGTACCTGTCGCTAAGTCGGGCCTATAGCTGGATATCTTTATAGGGTAACATACGCCTGCTAGTATGCTGATCAGGACCCTAGACACCGTACACTGGTATTAATCAAATAATGTCGATTTTGGCACTCCCAAATGCCAAGAAAGCTCTCAACTCTTGGCGATATTACCATAATTTGATTTGCATAAAGAAATTTCGTACGGCTCCTATCCGTGGCTGTGCTTCGTGATGATTACTGAGCTCCTGTATGGCGTGTGAGAGGTGGAAATTAAATCTTAAGAAAACAAATAGCAAAAAGTGCTTCCAATGCTACCTAGATCAAAGGCTCTTTGCTTTTAGCATAAACCTATTGCTAGAAAACGGCTAGTGCCATGCATTATTGCTAAAAGCTGTCTAGCTCTGTGCGGTATCACTTACGCCAAGACCGATAAATTGACAAAATTTACCCCTCTTTATACCGTGTCTAACAGACTTATTTATTCTAAGCTAAGCTTGTTTCCACGATTGATATTCTCCCGCCTAACTCAAACTACGACTAAGCTCTTTCATAAACACATGTACCACCCCCAAGGACCAATACCTGTTATCCATGCACCTAAAGAGTATCTTGAGATACAAGCTGATACCGCCTTAACTCGCAAAAGCATGATAGTCCAATTGGTCCAATAAGCAATGCCGTAAAAGCTATATATGTTGTAACCCCGATATCTGCTACTCCCCGTCTTGGCTCACGATACCGATAAGCCCCGATCCTGCACCTACATCCCTTGACGTCATGCGCGCGTTTTCTGGGGCGGCAGCTATTTAAACTGTTAGTGGGCTCAGATTCCACCTCTTCTGGCCACCGAATCACCACTTATTTACGTAACGCCTAAAAATGTGGAAAGCTTTAGCTATTTTAGCCCCACTCGTTGCATTTACGACGTGCCACGAGTCAGGAGAGGCCCGGGCGATGTTTTCGCAAGAAGAGGCAGCAAAAGTTGCGCGGACGTTAATCCAGCGCGAGTCGCTTGCCAATGTCAACACTATCTACCCCGAATCCAGTCCTCATGCTGGTGTACCGGTATCGTTTGTTGAGTACTACGCGGACTGTCACCATGACGGGAATCCCGTGATGATTGTGGTTGATATTGGGACCACCTTCCGCAACGAGGCCAAGGGTTCGCCTCTTTCCTTGTCTGTCAGAACGGGAGACCACCAGGGGAACGACTTGGTGAACCCATCCTACCCTGGCGGTATTATTGGCTCTACTGCCGGCTCTCCACGTGTCAACTTGCGTGGTAAATTGCACCACTACGCCAAGGACGAGTTATCCGAGGAGGAGGTCCAGAGCTTGGAGCAGTGCTTTGTCAAGAGACACAAGGATGCAAAGTGGTGGTTCCCAAGAGAGGGGAACCAGGTCCACACCACCCACTGGGGGAAGTTCATGGTGGAGGATGTCTACATGGTCGGTGGGTTCGGTGACCGGGCGTACATCGGGGACATTGACGGAGAGTTGTACCGTGCAGCCGAGGTTGAAACCGACACCGAAACCACTAGCACCGAAGCTGCCGCTGCAGAGACTGGGGTTTCGCCGTATGAAAAATTGGTTGAACTCTCCAGGGAGGTTTTCCCCGATCAGGACGATGTCCAGAAATTTATTCGTCGGAAGATGGTTGACGCCCACCATGGAGGCTCGTTGAAGATGATGGAAGCCCACCACGGAGACTCGTTGCAGGTGATGGAAGCCCACCATGGAGACTCGTTAAAGATGATGGAAGCCCATCACGGAGGGTCACTGCAAATGGTTTTGAAGCACGCGAGCCATGGTGACAGCCAGGAAGACGAACCTTCTGGCTACCACCACGAGGTTAACAGAGTCCACAGAAAGGGACATGGCTCTTGGGCTAAGAACATACACGGCAGACCGTGCCTGAGATCCAGAAGACAGGGGGGCCAAAGAGATGAGAATTTGCTTGACAAAGTTGTCTCCTATTTAACCAACTTGGCTGCAAACTACTAGCCGCAATCTTCTCGCTGCTAGCTTTTTTTTTTTTACCAGATATCTGTGTGTTGTGCGGTTATCATTTTAGCTTGAATATATCCGTTTTCATGTTCTCCCTGAGCCAAACTTTACATTGATACCATTTTTTTTAAAAAAAATGCTCGTAAAGAAACGGCAAAAAGGTTACAGGTCGTACCCGGATTCGAACCGGGGTTGGTCGGATCAAAACCGACAGTGATAACCACTACACTATACAACCAGGTTCATGGAGCAACTGCTCCTAGGAGGCTTTAATCGACTGATTCCGGAAATATGGTAATTTGGTCGGAGTACATACGCACGTGACTATGGAGCTTAAATGGTTCGATACCCAAGGGTAAAAATAGTCGCATATTAGTCAAGCTCCTGGGATTTAGGATGGTAAACAGCAGGTAGTGGTTTCCAGCAGAGTCTATCTGCAGACCCCCGCGTTATTAACACGATGTATTAACCAACGGGACAAAACAGTCATGCATTAGCTCAGGGAATTGAGGCGAAATTTTAATCCCCCTGAGTTTTCGTTGGTTTTTAACCATCTTGAATCAGGGGAACAATGCACCCTTCTGAGCACAGTTCAAACCATCCTAGGTTGGATTTACCGAAACTTGGGCCTTTTTCAATATGATTAAAAAATAAAAATTATCTTGCCTCGTGTGTTACTCTTAAATACGCAGTTTCAGATGAAAAAACACTTCACCGACCCTCTAATGCCTCTTCTCGGTTAATATCACCTCCATATCTGAGCTTTTGTCAAGTACCACACTGTAAATAATGTCACTGTCCCCCACTGTCTTGCATGAGCCGCGTTAGTGGTTCTTAGCGTACGCCATATAGTAAATCGACGATAAGATCACCATCCCACTTCGCTATCCTTCCTGTAGGAACCTTTCTCTTTATCCGAAGATCCATTTGTTCAATCATAGTACTTGTACCAACATCTGAGGCATTTGATGTAGCCATAAACTAGTACTATCTCAGTAGTGCTCGCAATTCTGGACGTTCACTAACCTTAATCTCAACTTCTCGAAAGCTTCTTTCTGAGGAGTCTCCAGACAAAGCTTATTCTGACCTATATATATTCATATTTTATTTTATATACACCATTATGACCTGTCTATAACACCATACTGCATTCGCACACCTCTGCGATCTTATCCCACGTGGATAAACACAGCAACCTGTATGACATTAGGTGCTTTCGCATGGGATACTCCATAAGTTCTGGGAACACCAGTAACCATCTTCCCAGCGTTTGAATCTTACGTCAGCCCACCATGAACCGCCGTGTTTATAGCGCTGGCACCACGACAACATGTGTATCTGATCTGCTTGCTGAATAGCCCACTTAGATAAATCAGATATCTCCCGCTCGTTAGCAGTGGTATCACAATTATCACTGGTCGTATAAAGTGCCCAGCCGATCTCATATGTAATGGTTGCGCCAGTCTTAGTGATGGTGGTATAATCAGATCCCCTATTGCATAGCTGTTTAATCAGGCCACCCGTAGCTTTACCTGCGATGAAGTCTGTTATTGTGTCGATATTGGCCCATAGCAATATGGCCATGGCGGTGAATGCGTAATAATTCTCTCGTAACCATACCTCTAGTTTACCGTTCCGGAACTTCAGGATTAACTGATAGTACTTCTTCGTTAACCACCCACCACAAGTGCCTCTCTTGTCTAAGATGTAACTGCCGCGCGTGTGGATAGCCATTGGCGCCTCGCTGAAACCTCTATTGCTGTCATTCAAAGATACAATCCATACCACTGTGGCATAATCAGTCAAGCCTGCTTGTGACGCCACGGAATCTGCTATAAGTTCTCTCTTGACCTGCCTGGTATCCTTTTGATTGATCATCCAGTTAATAGACGTAAGGTTGACATGCATTTTCACCAACAAATCCAACGGGCCGTTTCTGATGTCGCCACGCTTAAGGTACTCGTACAACTCCGGAGCAACGTCCCACATAATCGGTCTAATCACTGCTGAAACAACTGATGTGTCTACCACGCTATGAGTGTCGTTGATTGTGTTGTTAAAGGCTAGCAGCGCGTCGACCACGCTAAGTGTGTTGTTGACTATATCGTTAAAGGCCGACGACGTGCCTATAAGCATACAAACAACGGTGGCAGCGATACCCTTCATGCTTATTTTCTAGCTAGAACAAAAACTATATAAGATAGCAATCCCCTCTTGTGTGTGAAATGGACGAACTTTGTGACACCTAGTGTAAGTACACGACGTACTAACAGACCGAACCTTTACCGCTATCTCCTTGAGGTCGCCAAGCACGCGTAACATGATGAAATGTACTCAAGCCATTTCTCGACATATAAATATTAAATACATATGTATATATTAATTAAAGTCTAATATTAATCATATCTAAATAAATATACTTATAAAAGTAGTACCTATAAATATATGAATATCGATATTAGTATACGTATTTGTACACAAGAAAAACAATCACAGCTATAATCTCGCTCAAATTTATAGACAACTATAGATATCATGAGAGTTATAGAGGATGAGTTTCTTGTTTTTTTCCAGGCTACACAAAAACGCATATAAATTACAACCCAACCACGAAATACAGAGGTTAATATTCGTCGATACCTTGACCAAGGTATTGTGCTAATAGTGTGAAGTCCAATAGCCGGGTCTGCTTGGAACTACTCTTTGGCTCTTGAACAACCAGATCCCAATAAAATGGCGCTAGCTTCTGCTATTCATCGGTGTGGAACAGTTCTAAAAAGATAAAGGTCGTACCCGGATTCGAACCGGGGTTTATTGGATCAGAACCAACAGTGATAACCACTACACTATACAACCTTTTTTATGAGGCTTTCATCCTCACTAGTGCTTTTGCCTAGAGACTTGATCGGAAGACTTATTTCACGTGACCAAGGAATAAGGATGGAGCGCTGGCCGGTTTATCTAAGCTTTCATATTCCGATAAAAACTAGAAAGGTACCATCGAATAATTTATTCCGGAATTTGAAGCGGCATGAAATATTAAGTTTGTAATCAATATTAACAGTAAGTTGATAGCGACTGTCACTAAGAGTTGGTACTGGGCCTAAGTTTCTGTTAAACTATTTTCCAGTACATCGGGAAGCATATCTGAGCCTTGGTCCTGTATGCACATTAACACAGGACATTAGCACTTTAGCCGCCTCTATTTATTTATAGGACTGCTATGTGATTATTACAGCTCATTCAACGGGGGTGCTCTAATGGATGTGTGTCTACACAGCTCGTACTTAGACCCACAGCCCTCTGCACTTGGTTTTGTTATACCTTACAAAGTTCTTTCCACTAAATCTATATCTAATCTAAACACTTGTCGGCTTAGTAAATAAACTGTTAACTTTTGGCAGCCCACTACTGAATAACGTTGGCATCCGTGGTGGATAATAGTTGGTGTATAATAAATTACTTGTTCTTAGGTAAGATAGCAAAGTCACGAATATGTTAATTAGTTATACTCGTTAATTATAATACCAAGGATAAGTAAAAATGAGGGCATAATATACCCTTTTATGGAGTACTTCAAACACACTAAACGGTCCTGTGACATCAACTGTGTACAGGAACGGATTTCAACAAATAGCAGATTACTAAAAATCAACATGAGAACCAGAAGACAATAGTGTATAAATCATTAACACGATGGACTCTAAGATAAAATCTCCTATGGTGCGATCAGTTCATGGTGAGAGCAGGAATTTCAAGGAAATAGCGCCAGTGGTTTAGTGGTAAAATCCAACGTTGCCATCGTTGGGCCCCCGGTTCGATTCCGGGCTGGCGCATTCTCTTTTTTTACCCGAATCTGCTTCTTCTCCCCACCGCTTTTGCATGGGACTTGGTTTTGACCGTGTTCGTCTGTTGGAAAGGCGAGAGTGAGACTGAAAATTAAGTATTCTAAAAGCGAGACCCGGCAAACAACTACCCCAGGAAATCGCACCAGGGACAGCGTGAGACCCTTATTGTTTATATAACATCTTTGAATATGCAAAAGCAGGTTAAAACGGGATTAGAAATAGATATACTTACAAAACTTTGACCTTTCTGTGTTTGAAGCCACCAAAGAAAGCTTGCGAGCGCTCAAGGTCTACCGTTATGGGCAGCTTCTGTCTTCACAGCCAAGCACCACCAAGCGTCTTTGGAATAAGCGCTGAAAGAGAGGCAAACCCTGAATATTTAAATCAAAAAAGCAGAACTAGAACTAATTGGAAGGGGCTTTGGATTGATTGAAAACAAACGGTAAATTTCGTTTGGAGGCATTTTCCAGGGCTACCCCACGCTAAGCACACACGACCTCGGTTCAAGTCTGTACGCAGCTCGTGCCGTTTTGCGGAGTTCGGAACCTTATAGGGGTTTGAAGCCCTGTTTCCTTATCAAATACGCGGTAATTTATTACGAGACGTGTGACCACCAACGGCTTATCACCCCAATATCCTATTATGTCTATCACATGTCCACCGAAACAATTTTTCTTATGCTTATTCATTTCAACCTAGCAAAACTGTGGAGGAGATTCCAACACCCGGCCACACCCTAATTACATTGTCGGTTGATTTAAATTCTCTCATTTAAACCCATTAGTGATTATATCCAGCATGGCATCCAGATCTATCAACAAAAACCGGCGCTATAAGTATGCCGCTGGTGCCGCCGCGGTTGTGGTGGGCGCTGGATTTTTATTGCTCAACACTTTCCCACACTTGAGACAGAATTTTTTTGGCCTTTTATCTAACCCAAAGAGCAATCCTAAGGATACGAAATACCAAAAACCCGCCAAAAGCGGCGAGGAAGAGGATAACGAATTGGCCGATGAGGCCCACGATGAAGAGGAGGCCGCCCATTCTCGCTCAGTAACTTCTTACACCGCACCACAGGGTGAAGTCGAACAGTGGTCGCACACTGAGTTGAAGGAATGGTTAGAGAGTGTACGTGCTTTTATTTCCACAAGGCTATCATTGAGTAAGGTGCATTCGGCGCGTGTTTCTACTGATACAGAAACAACCAACCTTTGCTACCTTCCCTTGCAGCTATTTGACCCCGAACTTACTGACTAACAACCAAGAAAGAAATTTTTGCTCCTGAAGATGCTCCTACTAATGATCTTGTCTCCTTGGCTAGTTCCCTTATTAAAGAGATTTAATATAACAAAGATGTTCCTAGCAAACCTCATTATCTATCAAAAGTCATTGAAAACCAACTCCTTTTGAATCGCAGACTATAAGCGATGCTGAGGTATTGGCTCCGGACCCCACTATGTAACAGCCTATCTTTGTTCTCAAAGGTTTACTCTGTATCTTACATTATCTGTTTCTCGCCGTCCAGACAGCTTCATTTTCTCAGTACTTCCATTCTCCTACTGGCCAGGCTCTGTGGCATGCGCTACGGGATCCTGTTCGTCTGTATCATGGCAGAACCTCGAGGTTTCTGCTATTCTAGTCTTTCGGCAAGCCACATGTGGTAGAGAGGCTAGGATGTACAATATATACCACTTTACGACTATTTACATGGCCTGTAGGATGTTGCGATGAAACCGCTCTTGTAAATTCGTCACGGATTCAAGGTGGTTGGATCCGAGAGTATAGAAATACCATATTCCGTGCGAAATAATAACGAACGCGTAGTGAAACCGCGCTCCAGGATTAATGCCAACTTCAAATATAACCGGGCCTATGTAGCCCATCAGAGCTGGGCAACCCTCTTAATAGGCACCTATCGATCACACACATCCCAATGAGAGGAAAAGTAGCCCCAACTCAAGACTCTGTGCCACTTGCTGAGGGTATGTATTCTCCACCGCAAACCAGCCGAGAGATACTAACAGTCTCCACCTTTACAGAAGAAAAGTACAAGGACAAATGCATAGAGTTAAAGAACCGAATCATGGAAATTGAAGAGAACAATGAGATAGCCACCATCGCGTTAGCCAGAACCAAATCATCCATTAAACGGTTGAGATTGGAATACTCGGTTCTAACGGAGAAACTCGAACAGAATGTTATCCTTGACGAGATTGATAGTGAATTCAACGTTGCCTCCATCTATGACGCAAACACCATAAATGGTGCGAAATACAGAGACCCATCTATTCCCAAGAGGCCCACAAATCCATATTTGCAGTTCTGCGAAGTTGAGAAGGACAACACCAAGAAAACCATCTCAAACTTTGCCGACTTGTCAAAGGAATTGGCAAAGAAGTGGAAAGCTCTAACCAAGGAGGAAAGTAAGCCATATTACAACTTATACGAGGAAGACAAGGCAAGATACCACAGAGATATGGTGGCGTACTCAGCCAAGCAGCTGCACCTGTCGTTAAAAGCAGAGACAGACACTGAAGTCCCTGCAGCTAAGAGACAAAAGACAAACAAACCAGAAACAGACGAGGAGGAACAAAAGGCCGACCAAGACGATGCACCATCCACCGAGGCGTTGGCCGTATCGGAACCAACCAAAGCACCAACTTCTGAGACCATCGAAAAAGTAGGCACAGTGAGTGGCTCCCCAAGCATTCAAACAAGAGAAGATTTAGCTGATGGCCCGACTCCTGCTCAGCAGGATATAGTTGAGGACTCCCAACCAGAACCGGACGCCGAGTAATGGATGCTCAGTGAATGCCTGTTGGATTAGGTGTGGTAATTAAAGTATTTAGATGAAAACTATTATAAAGTATGAGTTCCTGGGACCGAGTTCGGGGAAACACAACCGACCAAGCTTGGATGCAGAAGCCTTGGCATTAATCGCTGGATGCCGACTTCATGCCACCTTGGCGGTTGTTTTCTCGCCACTCCTGTAATACACGGTCGAAGATAGACCTGGTTAAGCCTTTGTCCCAGTCAGGGACGTGTGCAAACTGCACGTTTATTTTCCGCACGTCCTTGTTGCGGGACTCATCGTCAAAGAGAATGAGACTATGTTCCTTCCATGATATATCCAAGGTTGCACACGCCTTTTTGATATGGTTAATCTTGGTCCCTTGTCCCCACTGCAAGGTATCAAACATCTGAATTGACGACACCTTCTGTCCCGTTGCAGGATCCGTGACCTTCAAATACGTCAATATTTCTTTGGCCAATTTTGGGGCCGCGGTGCGGGAGGCTGCAATCAATAGGACACCGTTTTCTCTCAATTCATGAATGATTGACTCGACGTCCCGGTAAAACTCTAGCTGCATCCCTGCGCTATCGGTGATAGATCTACCACTTGCATGCGGCATAATTGGAGGCCTTAAGTGGGTATCACACCAGCAAGGCCATAACGTGTAGTCTAGATCAAAAACAACAGCCTTGGGATAGCTCATGGCTGTACTAATTGACGGAGCTTCCTGTAAGAGTGAGACAAAGTCTTGCTTAAAGCGAAAGGTAAGTTTCGCCGGTCGGGCTACATCTCTGCACGACCAGGAATGCGCGAAAAAGAAAAGAGAAAACGAAGCTATCTGCGGGTCGTCCAGGCGAATAACGATGGTTACTCAATTATTGCCAAAAAAATAAAAGATCCCGCAATGACTATTTATTTACAAAAGATATTAGAATGGCCCATAAGTTTCTCTCGGGACATACCAAAGAAGTAGCTAGCAAAGAGAAAGAAGGAGTTTCTTCTGTACACGCAGAAATAGTGATTTTTGGCAAACGTAGTAATGCTTTGGGAATATTTTCGGAGCTTTAGCGTGTACATCAGAGCGTCCGCTTCAACTGTATTCGCCTAGAAACCCGTCAAAAGCGATTGGTAACAAATTTCTCTGGGAAAGTGGAAATGCATTCTGCAGCCTCGGTTGCGTTGGTAGACCACAAGGTATCGCCTTGGATGATCGACCTATGTTTTTCGACGACTGGATAGCTGTAAATTAGAAATCCGATTCGGTAGGTTTTGGATACCTTTCCTTGTTGCTAAATACGACAACAAATCAAAAAAGTATCCTAATCGTTAGAGTAGGTAATCGATAAAACACCTCGTTAACTAAGCTCTTAACCACAGTATAAGTCCAAGGAAACCAAGAACATTCACTTAGGATACCAAGAATGCTCACCCAGGTAACTCGTGTCGCTGTATTGGGGCCTATAAGCTGAGACAGGAATAACCGGTGAAAATACGCCACGTGCTACGGCAGTCAAACTGGGTCCAGAATAATACCAACTTTTGAAACCCTTGTATACATGGGGTCAGTGGAGTCAGTGGTATCGTGTAAGGTATCGGGCTCAACCTATAAAATTATACCGCAAGCCAACTCTAAAAAAACCTGGGGCTTAAACAGTAAACGCCATTTGAATGGTAAACGATAGGAACAAAACTAGATATTCATAAAATTACGAAACCGCACGAAAATGTTATTCGGCAATCAAGTATGAACGAGATTAACACCTCCAAAGATTTAGAATTTGAATACCAATAGGAACAGGAACAAAGCAAATACGTCAAAATAGGTCGCCAGACATCATCTTAATCGACGACTCATAATAAAATGAGAGCCTATCTTTGATAAGCAAATTGAGCATCGAAATCAAAAAAAAAACAAACAAACAAACAAAAAACACCAATCCAAAAAAGATATCCAATAGACCGAATAAACGTGCTACCCGGTGCACACAAAGAACCATGCCAACTGATTCGGAGATCAAGAAAGGATTTCGAAAGAAGTTTCTTAAATTGATCGAGGTGGCCAGTCGTGAACTGCAAAACCGTACTTTCTCAGCCCGCTCAGACGCTAATATTACGCTAGAGGGTGCAAAATAAACAGTAAGCTGATCAATATAGAACAGCAATGTGGTTGCAACAAACAAAGGTCATTGAGCATTGAGGCTGGCCTTTATAAGCGTGGACAAGGAGGAGTAGCAGGACCAATAGCCATATTACAATATAACGGCAGAGAAAATTAAATCAGGGTAGCTCTTAAAATACCAAGTATTTAATAAGGCGAGACAAAATAAGATGAACTACAGAAACTTAGAAGCAATAAAATTGACAATCTAAATAAATAGTGGTGCAGAAAAACCGCAAACTACAGGCATTGGAGCTTGAAAAATTTCCCAACCTAACAAGATACACAGCGAGAAGAATTAGAGCTAGAAACGGCTCATCACAAGATGAAAATCGATATTAGCACAATAATACTCAGAAACCGCATAGATTTGGTACAATGTAAAAGGAAAGGTATTCAACCAGCCACCTCAGCTTACCCGTATATGCGAATAAACCAAACGTAGAAAATTCCAATCTCCCCCACAAGCCCTGAGCTTTACTCATAGCATATAAAACTAAATAGATAGAAGCTAGGATTGATCCTAGACACATATACCGATGATAGCGATTTAATAGTTGGCGTTGCATAAGTAAAGGAGCTCAAAGGTGTTAATTACAGTAAGCTAGGGTAGGGCGTGATATCACAGCGGTAAGTTGTTAGATGTGTAAAGCGGAGGCGAACTCTGACATAAAAGTAAAAACGACCTTTCGATTACCATCTAGCTGCATGTCACTTTTTTCATAAAACAGCACTAAACTCTCCCATGAGCAGGAGAAGAACTTGAATGCTACTAAATAACTCAAGAAAATCCAGGAACCATTGAAACTAAAGATTAAGGTTCGATAAATGCTATATCATTTGTGTTTCCACTACAAAGCTCTGACAGTAGACATATGTTCTTACAGCACGCAATATTTAGAAAGAATAGTAACCAAGCCACGAACCAGAGTGGTGAGTCAATATTTTAAAGTATCCAAGAAGCTAACAAGGATTCTAAAAGACGTCTAAAGGACAAAATGGATTCAAAGTAAAACATATACATCCATATTAACTCTTCGCACGTAGCTCAATCGGGCACACGGGACAAGTAACATCTCTACGTTGATGTGAGGCAGGTTTAGGCGAAATGTCGTTATAAACATACCTGGTATGAATAGTGGATGCTCAGCTAGATCAAAATGAGAGTCGATCGCAAGTGTTTGTAGCAAAAGTCAGACTTGGGTGGGTTCCATTCATCCTCCTCTTAAAAATAATCAATTTGAAAATGGCTTAAATATCAAAACACGACTTACTTTCAAAGCTGGTAGACCAGGAGTCTCTGGCAGGTATAGTCTGAATGAGATAAGTCAAGATATATTATTAGTGGGTTTGGATAACCGTCTGGGAAAAGAAAAACAGAATACGTGGAGTGAAACGATGATCAGATCGTACGCGTATATTTTGGAATAACCTCCCGGTAGAAACACATTAGGGACATCTTAAACGTCATAAGTAGTACCCAGTATATCCCAACCAGAATACTCCGTTATACCGCATACCTTCCACAACCTCCAAGTCATTACTGAAATGCCATAAACTTTTCATTTTGTAACATATATCATCACAGTTGTATACTGAAATATATGTTGACTTCTACTATGCAATTAATGTGTTGGTAACATGCGCTGCATAATGTATCCATTGTTTAAGTAAGTAGATATTCAATACCATATGTCAGCTGGTTACTTCAGATATAATAAGCGACTAAGATGGTGGAGTGATGTTAGAATTTGGGGTTTTGATTTCTGCTACTACTTAAGGTTACTTTGACTATTACTCCTTACCATATTTACTAGTTGTTACTCCTCACTTGTGAGCTTGCATTTCAACGACACTAAATCGGAAATAGTGGATACCTTTCGAGGGGCAATTAGCTTCTGGCTAATATGGTATTTTATTCAAATATTCGGAGGATCAGTACTCGGATGTACTATTGCTTAAATACATATATCCTAGCCAATTGTCCGATTATCCAATATAGTATAATGCGTACATATATATCTTTTCCTGAAAGCTAACATTTATACACCTGTAATAAGATAAACAACAATAGACAGAGGAAGAATCATAACAGATATAGAAAGACTCTCTATACTCGTGCGAATAGCGATGCGGGGTGATAGAGATAGTCAAACGGAGCCTTTACAGAGGTATCTGACAGGCGTAACTGTAGAACAGACAAGAATTGTGAAAAACAGAATGAAACCATAGGTGGATGTCATCAAGTAAACCTGGGGCTATATGTAGGTCTTTCGAAACAGTAACTCTTCTAGCTATCCTGATCAATATAGTTGGATCATAGACGTATTACTAGTATAGAATGGTTTGAAACACATGACAGTAACTTGACTCTGAGAGAACTACTAATACGCCCGGTTTTCCATGCCCCCCTCGGCATTACGAGACACAACTTTCGCATTTCAACGCGATAAGTTGTCTATCCACGCATGAATCTCTATAAGATAGCAGAACACACGTTCTCTTTATCTTTATCAAACATAACGAAGCATAAAGATACTTCGTTTACAAATGGTGATGACGCATCATATTTTGCGCTTCAATGGATCTCCTTAAACATCTTTGAGATCAACAGTTTACTTACTAAGTTACTAACCTTTTACGGGAATGGGGCTTTTAAACAGAGGCTATTATATAACTATATCTGTCTATAGGTATGTAATGCTCCCGTAAAACAGTGAAGGAGATAATTTGAAATTACATACCAAGTATTTGAACAGAGCATGAACTATAAGCCGTATTTATACCAACATATCTACTCTAAGACACCACACATAATGTAATACTCAAATAAATGATTGATACTTGCTTTGAATATTGTTCTCTTATACAAGAACTATCAGCATCATTATACTACTGAACTACAGAAGAACCACTATATTATAGGCTAGCAATATAATGTTAAAATGAGTGACAATAATGAATACACATAGGAATATCTCAAAGAAACATCGCACTACGAAGTAGATCCCCCTTCGAGAGTGCGAAGCTTTCCGAAGCAATACTGCTCATCACACTTTACATAACTGCACACATATCTCTGGGGTAATATCGTTTAGGACTAAGTTCTACGTACAATATTAGTGTACTAATCTCCAAGTCATAACTCTGTATGATAACTTTTTGTTACATCATATCAGACTCGTGAGGTAATATTCGATTCTTCAATTCAGTTCCGCGTAGGATAGTCTCAAGTATGGGTGTACAATGTATAAAGTACTCAAGGGTGAGTGCAACAGAGTCTACTATGGCTCATTATTAGTAATAATAGCCACAATATGGGGGAATGAAATCTCTAAACAGGATTCCTCGTACTCTAGACTGAATTACTTTGATACATATTCATTTATTGAGTAATGTATGGGGTGGAATAGTCAGTGAGTCCTAGATCCGTACAATAACACCTCACAAGGAGCAAATAATTATCTGTGGATAGTGTACATATAGGTACTTGATATGATTTTGGTACCATACGAAGGGATGCATCTATACAATACTGAATTTTAGTATCTTCCTTGAGCTTTCAAAATGTAGACATCTATAGTGATAAAAAATCAGCCTGCGTGTTTCTATACAATTTAACATCCTGGGATATTCGTATGGAGACTGAGAAATCCTTAATTCAATATCATTTGTATATTCAAGAATATGTAGTACACTTAATCCTATTCCAACATAATACTTATGTGTTTGGGTCAATAGTGCTATTTATTTCTCTAAAGAGACTACATGTTGATGATAATAGCCTTCTCGCATTAGTTTGTAAATTCGTCTTCATGTTTTGAGTTGGATGTCAAGCTAAAATTGTACTACGCTCTGCCAATATCAGTTGTATCTGATTATTGTGACATTTTCTCATATCTGGGACGTAATGATATATTAAGCCTAATTACCTATATAAAGATATGGGTTCATAGATTGGTAAATAACTAACCATATGCTTTAAAACGGTTTAGACATAAGCCTGACCTGGTCTTGGCTATCTGACGACTCTAGATTGTATATCTTTATACTCTAATAATAGTCACTCCTCACTATATTTGACACTCCTGAGGTTGTCTTCCATCAAACTTAAGGTAGAAATGACAGTTGTGATTTAAATAGCAATTATTCATATACGTATGTGCAAAGTATATTACTTTGATGACTCAAATTCAAACTTACCGCTATATAGCATTAGATTAATAAAATTTTAGGATCTTCAATAATTGTTTTTGCCGCCATGGTACAAGGTTTCAAGTCGTGTTCAGGCATCCAACCATTCGAATATCTATATAAGTAATCCACCAGCTGTTCGCCTTAAAGTATGCAATAGCATAGAAGTCTCCCAGCTGATGACTCTAGGATAATGACTAATACTAAACAATATGATAATAATGAAATAGAAAGCTCGCTGTTTGACAAATTTTAGAGTCAGTCTTCCTCCCCGAATTTTATATCTCTGAGTATTGCCTTTCTATATTCCTTTACCAAATTTGAGATTACTCCCAAGAACTACTCTTCCAGGCGCTATTTGATGATACCTAATGGATATATAGATACAATGAACGATGAATTCTTTTGCGTGCAATTGCATAAAAGTGTTGAGGAGAATCCAGGGAACTAGTAAGTAAATTTGGTAGGATTACACCATTGTACCTATAGTACTATTAGAATCTGTGAAGAGAACAGAAAGAACCGTTTATAAGATTATTTACCTCTAGTTTTTACATGCTAATCTATGAAGTCGTTATGTATAGTAGAAAGTGACTAAAATAGGCAAAAATTTAGCCAAGGATATAGGCCAGTTTCAGGAGGAGTTATAAATTGCAGTTGTAGGCCTTAGCCAGTTTTAAAATTACGTAAAGCATCTTAAATAGTCAACTGACTTGTGGTATTACAATGTTATTTATACTGTATAATACGAATTGATTTTGTGCATTCCTTACCCATGTCAACCATACTCTATGTTTCCGCTACTATTGTAGTGATACAGTACCTACCTACTTCTACAATAGTAAACGTAGGTAAGGGTCAATATTATTTTTATTCTTAACCACATGTGTCCTGTCAGGTGTTGGCAATACTCCTAGAAGGATTGATTCGTCATAAAACCTATTTCATGTTGTCTTACCTTTTCTTTGTTTATATGTTCATCCAAGTATTATTGCTCTAGGTGTAGTTTAAGAGTAGCGATAAGATTGTAGCATTTGATCCTAAATGTAAATGGCCAGTTCTAATACGAAATTGGCTAAACCTTGAATGTGGATTATTCACTCATATTTTCTTTGTTCCTGAGTTGAACCGCATGCTAGTTTATTTACGCACTTGCAATGATTTTATACGCATATCTATTGCTAGTGCTGCATCCAGGTGCTGTTTTGCTCAATTATTGATTCACTATCACCCTGTAAGAGGTTATTGATGTGATACACCTTTTCATGTCAGTAATTTGCACTTTTTTGCCTGCGTTTTATATCTCTGGTAACTTCGACCATGTTTTCTATATGATAATTCCTAGGGTAAGTAAAACTTGGCAAGGCAAAATAGGATTCCCTCTCGAATATTTATACTAACAGGATGAACGCAGGATCCTTTATGGGATCCCAGTGGTAAAACCCCGTTGTAATTGCCCTGTGGTTATTTTCTCCGAATACCAATAAATAAGGCTAAATATAGACGGATCTGAGACAATATGTCAAAAATATAAAAGTAGTGGAGTATTCCTTTACCGTATATCCGGCTTTTGTCTTAATCTTTGAAAGAGATAGATATCTCGCTCTGCGATACTTATTCACCCCGTCGATGACAAATAACAATCTTTCCGTTATTTGATATACCCCAACGATTTGTGTATGGGTACCCTTTTGTCCCGTGAAGCAATACCTTTTCATAATAGTGTTTCTATTCTGGTAGCCGTTTATGTTTGTATTTTGATGTGTTATATACCATGATTTTTATTTCTAGACCCCTGTTATGCTAATGAGCCTATGTTTCATGAGGTTTCTGTCTCATATCTCCTTCCTTAGTTATGTCAAAGGATACCTGTTCTCAAGGCACAGTCTTGGGAATTTTTTGTATTATTTATGTGATACGTATTTTACGAGCATTTTTTTATCTCCTTCTAATCGTGGATCTAATATGAAATTCCCACGGTTTTTACACCTTGATCTTTACACTTCATTTGATAATGACTCTGATTTTACCATCCTTGGGTTTTACGTAACCAGAGGTGGGGTTTATCCATCTGGATGATAGCTGCGTTTTATAGCGGCAAAAAATCCTACCGCCTTCTGCCTTCGATGGAATCATTTATGTTTTCTATTGAGTATCCTGATATTGATTATGAACTCGGCTTGGAACTTTTTACTATGAAATCACCGCGTATATATACCATTCTTTAGCTCTTCACTGTATTAACTTTTCCTCTTCCTGAGTCTGTGTGTTTGGAGGCCTTGGTTCTTGATATCATGTCTTATATTTCCGATAACCGATACTTGGCTAAATACTCTTGTTGGAATTGTTGTTATTGGAGTCCACGAGCTCCTGTGGGTTTCCCGTATGACGGCTAGATTTTGAGTGCTTTCAAACCTTTATGTGGTCTAAGTCAAATATCGCACCCCTAGTGTCCACTATGTTTTTATGTGGCATCTATCCAAAGTCCAAACTTCGAAACAGTATGCGTTATATTACTCTTACAAAGAGCGGAGAAATATAATTATATCCTTCTGTACCGGTACAGGTATTTGAACCATGACACTCTATCTGAGGGATTTGCGAGTTTTTATCGCCGAAATGATTCACGTAACATTACAAAATGATGGTGACACATTCACTTGATAGCACTTCAAAAATCCTTGTTCTGAGAGCCTTTTTTGGCCTTCGAAAGCAGCAACCTAATTCAGTGGTAAAATTTTCTGTTTCTCAGAAAGGTATCCCATGTTTCCCTTCACTAAACCGACGCCACTTTACTTTTACTTGTTGGCGTGCTAACCGCTTGAGACCCACCCTTTTCTCAATCTATTACTTTTGACAAACAATTCCCTTTTACATTCCATCTCCTGATATCCGGTGGCGAAAGTTCTAATCCCCCAGCGACCTACCCAGTGCCGAATTTGAGACTAACTAAGTGTATCTGCCTTTACCCTCCCTGACTTATGTTACCGGGTACCCGACTAAATGAAATCCCCGGAGGTTCGCTCAACCGCCAAGGTTGTTTCTTTGAACATCGCAACCTCTACTATTTTTTTTTCTTTTCCACTGGCAATACAAGGTTTAAGTCTTAGATATATCGTATTTCTATGTACCCTTTGTCATACGCCTCAAATCTCACTTTTTTTCTTATAGTACAATACCATGTCACCACCACTCTTCCAAATCGTCATCTTTACCGTCATCAATGTCATATCCAACGGCAATACCTTACCGTTGCAGTATATTTCAAGCCATTCCTCTGGAGGCTGGTTAAGCTTCATTTCCGGCGTTTTGCTTTCAAAGCGGTCGGTGATGTGGGTTAAAAGCTTTTTGACGCGTAAGGAGTGGGTCGCGTTCAATTTTACGTTGGAGTGGTCGATGGCTGGCAAGTTGTCGCCCTTTTTGGCACCGGCCTCAAGTTTCTCTCGAACGACGAAGCCAATCTTAGGCTGTTCCTTTTCAGGGAAACTGTTCATCAAAAACCCCTCACCTATCCATCGTGGAAGGCCATCTCTCACGCCCTTCATGAAAGCAGGATCGTCCAATCTCGTCTCCAAATCCGCGGCAGAAAAACAAAACAAGTCAATCGAGTTACCAAGACCGTTAAGGTTTTCCTGCACGATGATCTTGGCGGTGTTAGGCAAATTGGGAATGACCGGGGCCTCTACCGCCGCCAACAAGGAATCCTCGAGAGAGACGTCTTGGTGCATGTACTTCTCGCGCACTTCCGCGAGCATCGTGGAAATGTTGTCCTTGCTGATGTCATACTTAGTGCTGGCGGCGTTTTCGGATGAATCGCTTTTGCATGGATTACCATTCGGGGTGCCGGTAGGGGCTGGGACGGGTACTGGCGCCAGAGGAGTGGGGGCCTTCTTTCTACCAAAGAGCTTGAACTTTTTATCCCCCTTGTCGATGTTGGCCGTAGGAGTAGGATCCACAATCGGTGGGGCCATTTCAGTCTTTGGTAGGATGACATTCTGTGGGTCCTTCTTCAACTCAGTCAATTCATTGAATCTCAAGGCTTCGTCTAACTGGATTTCCTTATCCAAAAACGGCTTTAACAAGCTGCCAAAAATGATCTTGGCGAGAGAAACTCTTTCATCACCGTTCCGGGGCGTCTCACTATTGTAGCCGTCCCACGTGTAATTGGTAGAGAACTCGTCCCAGTATATTTCTGCGTCCAAGTACTGGTTCTGGTTGAATGAGATCACCATCTTCCCACCCTTGGTTTCCACTTTGCACCACTGCGGTACGCTTTCGCTTGGCTGGTTCTCGGAAACAAGCTTGTCAAACTTTTCGATCAACAAAGAGTGGCGGTGCTGGTCGTCGTTGGCGTAGTCATTCTCGTCAACCTTGATCAACGTGGCCTTTGTTCTCTTGAAGGTGAGCAAGTCCCACCAGAACACCTGGCCCTTGTTGGTCAAGCTCATCACGGTGCGTCTGTTGTTCAAGATAATTGCCTTGAGCAACGCGTTATCCGAGAGCGCCTGGAAGGATTCAAACGGCTTGGCGTTGAAGGCCCGGAAAATCTGCACCGGACACGGCAACGGCTCGCGGATGATGTCCACCTCGAACCCATAGAGTAAGTCGTCATCGGACTCTCCAGTAGGGAACGTGGTGAATTCCGTGGAGGCACCACCCATAGAGCATAGGAAAATGGTTTCAAACTCCTCCTCTTCTTCTTCCTCCTCTTCCTCGTCGTCTTCGTCGTCGGTGTTGTGGTTCGACCCGGAGCGCAGGCTCCTGTCTTCGTTGTTCAACTGCTGGTCCAAAGTCGTGATCTGTCCGATTCCAAACACTGTCATCCCGGGGTTCAGGCTCATGGATCTGATTGACTTTGCCCCGTGGAGGGGGTGGTGGAACACTTCCTCATCGTCCGACGACAACAAACTTGCCAAGTCGTTACCGGCAGCCACAGCCAGTACATCACCACCAGACTTGACCAACTCCACGTTCTTTGCCAACTGGTAATTCTGCAAGGCCTCTGTCCTTGGCAAAAAGTAGTGGTTGAGCGAGTTGTTGGTGGCGGACCACAAGGTGCCATCGCCCATCGCGTGGATATCCAAGATCCCGCTGCAGTGGTTGTTTTGTGAGACGATGGTGTGGATGCCTAAGGCATCATTGATGGCGGAAAAGTCAAAATCGCCCCCATCGTTCGACGCCTCAAAGAGTGACGGGTGGTTGTAGTAGCTCATGTCCGACATGACTACATTGCCGAGCTTGTCGCCCGAGTAGAACCGGTTGATATCACCGCTCACGACATCCGTCTCGTTCACGCACAACGACCACACCGGGGCGTTGTGGAACTCGAAGTTTTTTACCAATTTGTTCGTTCTGAGACACCAGAGCTTGATGGAGGAATCGGACGAACCGCTGAGAATGTACTTCTCGGTCAAAACCAACGCCTTAACCGTGTCCTGGTGGCCAGTAAACTTTCTGATCCCTAACGACAGGTTTGTGGCGGAATCCTGGGACACGCGGCTGTCTAAAAGCGCAACAATATTGTCCGGGCCCCCCGACGCGATCAAGGAGTTGTGCGAGGCAAGAGCGTAGATGGACCCGCGAGGGTGGGGATTCACGAAGCTAGTCACCTTTTTTTGCTTGGTTATATCCCAGACGGCGATCTGTTTGTCAAGCCCCCCGGAGACGATGATGGGCGAGCTAGGCGAGCCCTTGTAAGGGTTGGATAACGCCTTAACGTAGTCGTCGTGAACCCCCAATGTGGTGCTGCCAGAACTGTCCAGGACATTGGTCATTTTGATGGAGAGGTCCAGCGACGCTGACACAAGGAGCTGGTTGTGGTTCATAAGCTTCAAGTCGTTGATCCAGTCCGAATGGATGCTGTACTTTTCCACCACGTCGTAGTCCTGGCTCCGCGGCTGGCTATGCTCCATCCGGATGGTTGCATCTTCCAACTCGATGAAGTAGTCATCCGAGTAGTCAAAGTCCAAGCTGGTGGTTCTGGCAGCGATGGAAGAGATACGGTCATCCGTGGTGACCGGCTCGTCCCACTGCGTGACGGTTTTCGGTGACCATTGCAACACGCTGCCCTCACGTCCGGCCGTGAAGATGTCCTGCGAGTCTGGATTGTGCTGGATGGAGTTAACACCGAGGAGATGTGACTTTTGTTGCGGGGAGTCACCCAACACGATGGCGATACCCTTTTGAGACTTCATGGAAAGGGAAAATTCAATGGTTGAAGGCGCAAATGAAGTGAGAGGCAAACAACAGGCTGGAGGCGTTACCAATATGGTGTAGACAATGTGACTGAGGGCGTTACTAATATGATGTAGACAGGATGGCTGTCGGATAAGGTGTTTGTCGCCTGACAATAAGATTCCCGTTGTACTTTTCTTTACCCTCCGTTTTCGGCGCCCCCTCGTGCAGCCCGGAGAATGTTTCCCCGCGTAGAGACGTCGAGCTGTGTGCAGGTCAGTCGCTCACGGACAATGTTTCGGGGACGGCTGATGGATATAGTAAAACAGCTTCAATATCGTAGACCGAAGGAAAGGGACATTAAGGAAGTAGGTTCCAGCGGAGCGAAACAGGATTTTGAGCGTGTAGGTTTCAGTGGGATGTAAGAATATCTAGTCCCTGTACCCCATGGGAAATACAGCCACAACCCCGTGTGCTTACTGGGGCACACACAGCCCATCGCCAATTGGCTGAAATATGATCGAGTAGCATCGACATTCAGATATTGCAGATCTTGTGTCTTGGAGCAGATTATAATAAAGAAAAGGTTGCCGGTTCGTCCCTCGCAGGAGGGAAACGAAAAAATATCTCGGAAGGGTGATTCGAACACCCGATCTCAGGATTTCAATTTAACATTACAGTCCCGCGCCTTAGCCAACTTGGCCACCCCGAGTTATGGATGTTGGGACCTATTTTGTGGTAGGCATACCCCGCTGGGGCTCCACTAGTTTGCAAAAACTCTCTAGATGTTTAGGCAAAGTACCTTTCGTCAATATCCTTAAAGACTCCTAGGCCACCGAGATATCTGTCTATGCTAATACTCGCTCATACTTGTAAGCGGAAATGACTCATATGTCTATGTATCAAGCATGGCGGAGGGCTATCCGATGTCGTTCGATATTAACTTTGGATAGACCCCGTGGGTGATACATAGCGACTACTTACAAGAGTTTGCATGTTAAAGAGAATATATAGCCTCCCTCTAATCTTATATCCTAGCTGTTCTAGCCCGAGTTGCGTTTATTAAAAGCCCCTGTTCCTTAGCGAGGGTTTACTCTGACATTTCTCTTTAATAGGATCCTCCGAACATTGTTCACTATGGATACACAAACGAATGAGTAGTGATACCTTGCCTTTAACGATGTATAGTACGACTTGTTTGCCTCTTTCTGTTCTTTTTTCTAAGTGGTCAAGTTTCTGATATATGAAAATATTTGAAGGATTAAAAGGCTAGCTCTCAATTAATGAATACTGTCACCTGAAGCTTATGTTGGCGTTGGCCCACCGTAGTACAAACCAATGAATAATAGACATTGTTCAATATCAGTTTCCAGTTCAATATAACGCTTAGAATTTATTAATGGACTTGCAGTATAATAAAATCTAATTTATATTATACATAAATATTAATTATAAATATTAAATTTCAGTTTGATACATATAACAGGTGGGTACTATAATAATTTATATTTATGGGTAATATATATTTAACTGTCCAAACATACTGATTACGGTTAAGGATATACCCTGGGAAACTATACCTGTGGTATATCTAGTAGGTAATAAAGGATACTGTTAGCTAGCTAAAAGAGAATACTTTCCACCTGTAAGATATACGCGAGAGAGGGGTAGTCGGTGGCCTCATATACTGAGGCGGATACGATGACAGGGTATCCGCTTATCAGAGGTAATGGACACCGACTTCCGTTTAGTTAAATGGCATCTTTACTACAATACCAGTATAGGTATACAATTACGCTATCTGATATCTATATTGAGCATCGAATGGACCCCATTTATTTATATACAGGATATATCAGAACGATCCGTAGAACGCATAGTTTATGCTCTTACAAGGCTTTTCACCCCCCTCTATGCCGGCGATTTCCTGCGCGCTCCGTGATCAACCCCCACATCGAAAAGAAAACCTTTGTCATTACAATCATAATTTTCATACAACCCTCACAAATTAAGAATACCCACAATGGTCAAATTACACTGCCTTGCCGATATTTGCATTATTCCGGTGAGTACCTTTCCTGCTACCCTGAAAGTCAGTCAGCCAGTCTAACCTTGGATAGATCGGAACCCCTACGGCGTCAGTGAGTGACTACGTGACTGCTTGTGTCAACTATGTGGCTCAGAGCGGCGTCAAGTACACCCTACACAGTGCCGGGACCACGTTGGAGGGCGAGTGGGACGAAGTCATGCAATTGATTGGCGAGCTACACGAGTTGTGCCACAACGAGTTGGAAGTTGTTAGAGTTCAAACCGACATCAGAGTCGGAACCAGAATCGACAAGGCGCAAACTGCCGCTGACAAGGTCAGAGTTGTAAAGGAGAAGTTGGAGGCCAGGAATTCTCAGTAGACCACTTCCAGACGCCGTGCTAAGCCCCCGGATGGACAGCTAGATAGAGATATAGCAGACTATTGGTATCCTTTGGTTAGAACAGGCAATTTATACACGTCGTGAGCTGGGATAAATAATCAGTGTATAGTATACTTTGACAGTTCACACAGCTAAACTTGTAGACCAGCCACCGACGAGGATGCTCCTAGTTCCGCCACATAACAAAAACACAGATTCTCAAATTAAGCTACAGACGTTTCAAAACCAAATTTGTTGTTAAACTAATATACACGTGAAGAGAAGGGGCGATTACCGCGAAGTATGTTACATATCAACCATGGTCCGAACTTAAGCGGAGGAGGAAGAGTACTTGGTGACGGCTCTGGTACCTTCGGAGACGGCGTGCTTGGCCAACTCACCTGGCAAGATCAATCTGACGGCGGTCTGGATTTCTCTGGCAGAGATGGTGGACTTCTTGTTGTAGGCAGCCAACTTGGAGGCTTCGGTGGCGATTCTCTCAAAGATATCGTTGACGAAAGAGTTCATGATGGACATGGCCTTCTGGGAAATACCGGTGTCTGGGTGGGTCTGCTTCAACACCTTGTAGATGTAAGAAGAGTAAGTCTCCTTTCTGGTCTTAGATCTCTTCTTTGGGCCATCGGTGGAGGAGGCAGTCTTCTTAGCAGCTGGCTTCTTCTCGGCTGGGATCTTAGCGGCAGGTTTCTTTTCAGCTTTTGGGGCCATTGTGAATAGTTATGTAGGTTATAAGGGGTGAGAACCGAGAGTAGATTTGTTTAAAAAAAGTGGGCATTCCGAGTCTTTTATAGACGATCGAGCAGAACGCAGCCGGACCGAACGTGACAGGGGAAGCTTCCTCATGGACGGGCGCGTATTGGGCGGTGCACTCCCTGCGAGCGAAACCTGAGCACTTGCATGTTTTTGTTTACACTTAGTTGCGGTGTCTTTCGTAAACAAAAACACAGAAGAAAGCTGGCGCGTAATGGTAACCGCACGCATAACGCATTTTCCCTATCACCTTTCACCTTCAAGGTTAACAGAGTATACCACGGATCAGTATACAAGATATAGGGGATATTGGTATCATCCGATAGGAAAAGCACCAGCTAAGGAAGATATTCTACTAAATGAGAGGGAGAGAGAAACCAGATAAAGGGGTGACAGATAATCGTGTGTCCTTGATAAGTCCCCCCTTACAAACCAATACTCTGTAGCGGCGGTACAGACCCAAAAGGTAAACAAGCTGTGTCTGTCATGTCTTGTGTCTGATGTTAGGAAAAGTTCGCGTTTGCGTGTACTTACCATTACGCGCCAACTCTCGACTCACCTTGGTTTCTTTTTTTCCACTTAAACAACAACAAACAACAACAACACTTTGTATCCCGCAGCTCTACGGCCCTTGAACAGGTTGCCGGTCGCCGGCATATATAAGCTGCCTTCTCCCACCTTTCTGTTTCAATTTTTCCTCTCAATCTCTAATTAAATATCTGTTTGTTGTTGTTCTTCACGAAGCTTCTACAAACTCTTTTTTAAATTTCCTCAAAACACATACAAATACATACAATGTCTGGTGGCAAAGGTGGCAAAGCCGGTGGTTCTGAAAAGGCCTCTTCTTCCCGTTCTTCCAAGGCCGGTTTGACTTTCCCAGTCGGTAGAGTCCACAGACTCTTGAGAAAGGGTAACTACGCTCAGAGAGTTGGTTCTGGTGCTCCAGTATACTTGACCGCTGTCTTGGAGTACTTGGCTGCCGAAATCTTGGAATTGGCTGGTAACGCTGCCCGTGACAACAAGAAGTCCAGAATTATCCCAAGACACTTGCAGTTGGCCATCAGAAACGATGAGGAATTGAACAAGTTGTTGGGTCACGTCACCATCGCCCAGGGTGGTGTCTTGCCAAACATTCACCAGAACTTGTTGCCAAAGAAGTCCGGTAAGGCTGCCGCCAAGGCTTCCCAAGAATTGTAAGTGCTTCCCGCCTTACGCTCTTTACTTCTCAACTGATCCGGCCATGCCGCGTCTTCTGTACATTATTACTTTTCCGGGTTCTGTTCTAATAAGATGGTCTTATTAACCTTTTTACTTTTATATTCTGAAATATATCTGTTTTTAACGCAAACGTAGAACAGCTCGAATGATATCGAGATAGGACGGCTGATCTGAGCCATGGCTTAGAAGGGGAAAGTCTGCCGAAGCACTTCACGGGACTAGCTGCTTGTATATTCTCCTAGGATACGGTCAAGTAATATGAATAAGGCAGCAAATAACAAATGATTAACACCCTCTCCCATGGGTACCTGACCCGTACTGAGGAGCAAGAGGTGAAGTTATTATGCTAATTATAAATGTAATATTAATCTGAAGGTCTCTGTTATACAAGGCAGTCTCGTAAATTCTCAAAAGTTGCCACTGATGGAGCTCCGATAGTGCCGGCTGCTTAGTAAGATTCAGGAAGTCGTGCATATACCATCAAACTATGCTTAGCAATTCGTCCCATTCTTATCTGCTGATCATATTCTGATTTACAACCAATATACTTCTTTATTCGTTAGTTATTAGATACTATGAAATTTACCCTTCTTTCCCTCTTCACGCTTCTCATCACGGCGGTGGCCGCGCAAGGCGTACTCGAGCTCACGAAGAAGAACTTTGACGAGGTTGTGCTCCAGGCCGACAAACACACCTTGGTGGAGTTCTACGCATCGTGGTGCTCCCACTGCAAGCGGATGCTCCCACAGTACGAGGAACTCGCAGAGTTGTTCCATTCCAAGACAGACAACGTCCAGGTGGTCAAGATTGACGGCGACAAGTATGGCAAGTACGCCAAGCGGTATTCCATCGAGGGCTACCCTACGATCAAGTTGTTCAAGAACGGTGGGCTTAAGCCGGAGGATATTATCGAGTTCGAAGGCAGCAGAGATATGGAAAGTATGCGCAGCTTCGTGCTCGCGCATACCAAGGTCAGCTTGGAGCCGGTGAAGCTGGAGCCGGTAAAGCCAGAGCCTGCGCCGGTAGTGCGTCTTTTCGACGCCAACTTCGAGGCCAAGGTGTTGAAGAGCAGCAGACCGTCGTTGATTGCGATCACCGCTTCCTGGTGCGGCCACTGCAAGAACCTCCACCCGGAGTTTGAGGAGGTGGCACGCGTTTATGCCCATGACGACATCACCATCGGGGTCGTGCAGACCACAGACGAAGAGGAGACCTCCTGGATCAGGAGTACCTACGACATCAAGTCGTATCCAACAATCCTCTTCTTCGACGGTGTGGACCCACAGCCGACACCGTACTTGTCTGGCCGCTCATTACCAACCTTTGTCGAGTACATTAACGCCAGAGCGCACTTGTACAGATACCTCGACGGTGAGTTGCTTCCGCATGCCGGTGTAATTACGAAGGTACACGATAAGTTGCAGGAGATCTACGCCGGCGACGACGTGCACGCGGAGTTGGCCGAATTGGCCAGTGAGATTGAAAACGACGACTGGATGGCCAAATGGGACACCAGCAGCTACTATGTTAAGTTGATCAACAAGGCGTTGAACGGCCAGGAGGAGTTCTACACCAGAGAGCAGACCCGTTTAGGCAAGATCTTGGAAAAGTCCGGTGCCAGCCTCGTCCAGGACAAGAAGGACACCTTCCAGAAGCGCATCAACGTGTTGAAGAGCTTCCAGCAGGTTTCCAGGTAGACTATCGCGCCCGAAGGTTAACCAAACAGAAGAGTGTCTAGTTATTATCCGGGAGTCACTTTCAAATACCAGGATATAAAGGAGCTGGATAAGGATAATAGTAGCTTCCTATGCGATGGTCTAGACTCATTAATTCCAGTCTATTGTAGGTTTATTAGGCAAAATATGCTTACTATATAGTCATTTAACGCTAGATAGAATAGAAAGTTCACCAGAGGTCACGTAGCTGCCCTGCCAGTCTTTCTATTTCGAGTAGAAATTCAGAGATACAACTGAATCCAGTCCACAGCCTGAATATATATAAGTCGCACTTTGCTCTCTCTTTCTAAGCCTAGTTAGAAAGTTATCAAAACAGTAAATAAATCGATGAGAACCGAGTAATAAATATTCAGCAAAGTTTCGTCAGTTAAAACCCCAGTCTCTAATACCCAAACAGATAGTCTCCCGCGATCCACCGATTCACCATATCCAACGAATTTTCTGGCTGGTCAAACGGAACCATGTGCCCGGCATCAAAGACCCTCAAGTATGTGAATTTGTCATAGCTTTTCACTTCCCCGGCCCTTACCTCCCCGTTATACCACGGTCTTAACTGTGCCTTGTGGAACTGTTTGTGATGCTTATATTGAAGCTTTTCGGCCCACGCAAGGTTGCCCATCCAGTTGCACTGATAGTCTTTGTCGCCTGCGTAGAGCAACACTGGGATCCCGGCGTCGAGAACCTGGGCAACATACTGCATGTACGGCTTGGTGCGGTCGCCGGAGCCTATAAAACCCTGCAGCACGTCATTACTACACAGCTGAAACACCCGGTGGGTGTCAGCCCCTAGAGCCTTTTTCACCTCGTCCAAGTTCATGTAAGCCGTGATATACTCACCCTCCACGTAGCAACCGTCGCCCATGCACTTTCTACGAAGGTCGTATGGGTTGAGGTCCGTCTCCTGGGTGAGCGCACCCTTGATATGCTCCAGGCAGTAGACGTCCGCCGGAACGCACGTGAATACCGAGGGGTCGTCGTAGCAATGCTGTACTAGCTGGGCACAGGCAGGATACGCTGCGCGCATGGATGCGCACTTCTCTGGTGAGAGTACCGCATGGTAGCCACCACGGCCACAGGCCATAGGCTCGTACCACGCGTACTGCGTGAGCGAGTCCGTGATTCCGTTTCCGATAATCACCGAGCTCAAGTTGAACGTCCGGTGTGGGTGCTTCAAGATTTCTGCCGCAAACTGCGGAATGTAGTGGCCCGCGTACAGCTCGCCCGAGATATGGAAGTTGTTCAGACGAAAGTGGGGGAACCGGGCGAAGAAGAGCTCCATGAATGCGTACATGTCGGCGGCAGAGGCTTCAGTCGAAATCACTGACCCCGACGAGTACGAGTAGCCCACACCCACGGGTTGTTCCAAGAAGATTACGCTGGCGTTGGAGTTCCACGAGTGGGGATTGTGAATTGGCTTTAAGCCCTGCGAGATCTTTGCCGGCCCGAGCTCAAAGAATAGTCCCGTCATTGACGAGCACCCGGGGCCACCATTGATCCACAAAAGCACAGGGTCAGTCAAGGGGTCGTTTCGAGACTCCACAAAGTAGTAGAAAAAGTGTTTGTCTTCGTCCAGGATGTCCAAGTACCCAGAGTGCTGTTTCACGCTCGGGTCGATACCCAACCCCTCTGGATTGGTCACGCGGAGCGAGTGATACGGAAACTCCAAGGGGATTTTCGTTTTTTCGATTGACTTGGCGACCATCTCCCCTTTCTGGTACTGCGAAATTGTGTCGAGGAGGGTTTTCTGGGGGAGGGCTGCAAGCTCCTGCCAGAGTGCGGGGTCAAGGCGATGTTCCATTTGGTTTAGGATGGCAAGGTCGGGGTGCACAAAGACATGCTGGTCTAGCGGTTGGGCCCTGGTGAAGGTGCACGCAAGGAGTGCAAAGAGCCATGGGGTTTTCATCTTTTGGGGGTGGGTGACTGGGGGGGTAAGAGATGTGATTTTTCGAGCAGCCCTTGGGTATTTATATAGTGGAGTGCTCCGGATATGTTTAGATACAGGTTATACATATTCCGTTTCCTCAATCTAGACTTAACCCCCTTCAGGCAGCTTTCTACAGCTTTTTGTTACAACTGGGTTAGGATTCCCATTATACAAAGCGAGAAGATGCCGCTGATTATCTATTCGATAAATAAGGCGATTTTAGTGTGATGCAAAAGGGGCCACTATCCCCCTCGCCGGAATCTTTTAAAATCTCTGAAGGCTGAACTTTTATTGGAATACATCTCAAGGCAGGAGATTTGAACTAGATATACGAGAAGACGGTCAGCCGGCCTTTATATAGACCGGCTGGCGAAACCCTGCCTCGCTTAAGATGGGGGTACCCATAGCTTCATTCAGAATGGAGCATCTACAGTACTTTTACTACAACAGGTAATCAATGGCCTATGACCCACCATGTTAGATATGAATGTGAGAGGAAGCATCCACCAGTATAATCCTTTTTAGGCGTTTGACTGTGAATTATCCCACAGAAACACAGCTTACAAGCGATAGACTCCACACAAAGCCTAGTTATGGCAAGACTCTTATCGGTGTTAAATCTGAATTAGGAGCCCCTGGTTAAGACGGATGCATGAAATTAGAGCCGCGTGCTCAAACGTGAAAAAGGCCTCTTCCCAAAAGGGAAATGAGGGATGGCTCATGTCTGTCGCATACCAGATAATGACCGAAAAGCTAAAGCCCAAAGGGACTCCTGATAGGCCAACTAGGTACCGATAAGTCTTCTATGGGACTATATAAAATTTGAACCTTGAAGGCAAGCTGTCAACAAAGTTAGGAGATACTCTAGCAGAACGATTACATGATGCCTGGATTCTATGCAGTCCAATAGTATGCACGATTGTTGGGCAGGGCCACACTTATATAAGACCTCCGCATTTCTCAAATACGACGTCTAAGACCAAACTCAGCTCACAAAAACGACAATTATGAGACTCCACACATTCTCCCTTGTAGGGCTCAGTGCAGCCCTTGTCTACAACCCATTCAGAGATATTCAACATGCTTTCCAGAATCCCTCCTTAGGCAGTTCCATCTTCCAGGAGGCCCAAGCGTTGTTTGCCACCGATCACGTCTCCCAGGACCCCGAAATCCTCTCGGTTTGGACTGAGTTGGAACACTCCATGCCAAGTAAGTTGCGTGAGCAGATGCACGCCTTTGACGCTTCCCGCTCTCCAAGACACCCCAAGCTGGCCGTTAAGCCAGCCAAGTTTGACGAGACAATCTCCAAGGCAGATTTCCCTAACCACTCGCTCCGTATCAAGAAAACCAGGCCCGAAGTCTTGGGGATTGACCCCGGCGTGAACCAGTACTCTGGTTATTTGGATATCCTCGACGAAGACAAGCACTTCTTCTACTACTTCTTCGAGTCCCGTAACGACCCAGCCAACGACCCCGTTATTCTCTGGCTCAACGGTGGCCCTGGTTGTTCGTCCATGACGGGTTTGTTCATGGAATTGGGGCCAGCGGCTATAAACGGTGATTTGAAGCCGGTTTTCAACCCGTATTCGTGGAACTCCAATGCCAGCGTAATCTTCCTCGACCAGCCGGTCGGGGTCGGCTACTCATACTCCTCCAAGGCAGTTTACTCTACCGAGGCAGCGGCGCCAGACGTCTATTCCTTCCTCTCTCTCTTTTTTGAAAAGTTCAACCATCTTTCGCGCAACGACTTTCACATTGCCGGGGAGCTGTACGCTGGGCACTACATTCCAAGATTTGCAGCCGAGATCATCCACCACCCCGAGCGCAGCTTCAACTTCAAGTCCGTACTCATTGGCAACGGGATCACCGATCTGCTCACTCAGCAGCAGTCCTATGAGCCAATGGCGTGTGGTAAAGGTGGATACAAACAGGTTATTTCGGACGAGGAATGTGCACTACTTGCGGAAAAGTACCCACGTTGTGCTCTGCTTTCGCAGATATGTTACGACTCTCAATCAGCCTTTGCCTGCGTCCCTGCTTCTATCTATTGCAGCTCCATGATGAAGCCGTACATGGACACCGGGCTCAACCCTTACGACATTAGAAAGAAGTGTGTTGGTGATTCGCTTTGTTACGATGAAATCTCCAACGTCCAAGCCTACATGAATCTTGACGAGGTCAAGGAAGCTTTGGGGGCCGAGGTTGACGTGTTTAACTCGTGCGATAGGACCGTGGGCATGCATTTTAGTGCTACGGGGGACGTAGCGAAACCCTTCCAGGGCTATGTTACCGAACTCTTGGAGAACCAAATTCCGGTGTTGATCTATGCTGGGGACAAGGACTATATCTGTAACTGGTTGGGGAACCAGGCCTGGACAAACGCCTTGGAGTATTCGGGGCAACATGGCTTTGCCAAGGCTCCGGTCCAGAAATGGTATGTCAATGGCGAAGCCGGGGAAGTCAAAAACCACGGCAACTTTACCTTCTTGAGGGTGTTTGATGCCGGGCACATGGTGCCATACGACCAGCCAGAGAATTCTTTGGATATGGTCAATGGTTGGTTGGCCGGGGATTATGCTTTTGGAAACTAGTCTTAGCGCAACTCCAGTGTTTGCGATCTGGTAAACCATCTATAAGGCGTACGAAGAGAGCTTTACTATGGCTTAAAACATGTCTGCTCAGAAGATGGTGTATACTTAGCTTCTATCAATTCTTTATTGAAGTATTTCGTAAGTTTCAGCAATATCTGGGATGGCTCATTTAAATCTATATAAAAAGGGATGTATTACAGGTCCCCAATGACATTTCGCTATACACATCTATATCCGTCTCAACACTGCGACGTTCGCTTCCATTGACGACCTGATCCCGTTCAACACCAGCTGGGCATCGTAGCCTACCAGAATCCCCCAGTCCAAGACTTTAGACTCCAACACCATAAACTCTTGCAGCTGGCCCTGCTTAACGCTGGCAACTGTCTCGTCTCTCAACGCCTCCAACTGGTTACCGCACATATCCCTGAGCTCGTACACTTTGGTATACTTCTTTGGGAAGCTGTGCACAGACAAGTACAGCTGGACGGACTTGGCGAGCTCGGCAACCACCATATGGTGGTGCACTGCCTTCCAGGTTAACAACTCACTGCCCCGCGGGGCCGGCGGTGGGCTCTCCATCAGACTGAGCACCGCATCGATAAGCTTCACATCCTTAGAGGTGTGGTACTGCGACAAAGCTACCATAATCTCGACCGACCACTTTTCGATAGCGGTCAACTCTGGGCTCGCCCTTTCCCTCGCTAACGCGAGATTCATTTCCTTGTGCAACTGCTTCACCTTGGCTTCGCTGGTTTCGGTAATAAGCAACTCCTTGAGGAGCTGGAGCTGGCACCAGACGTTGGTCTGCTTTGGCCCAATAGCCATTCTGTCCCTGACCTTCTCGTTGGTCTGATTGGTTCCAAAGAACCAGTGAGTGCGGAAGTCTCTGTTATCGGACTTGGCCACGGTTTCAGAGCGGATGTTAGCAGCTTCGGTGTAGCCCGCCCTGACCAATGCCTTGTTCCCAAGAAGCTTCCCTAACTTGATCGACTCTACTGCCGCAATCATCTTGTTCACACTGCCAACAAGCTTGTTCCCGAGATCAACCATCAGGACGATTTTGTTGTAGCTGCCCTTTTCAAACGCTTCGTTGGTGAAGTGCTGGATCTCGTACGCTGTCTGGGGGTAGAACTTGTTCAACTGCTCCAACTTTTCGAGCATCAAGTTATCGGAAAAGTTGATGGTGGAGGAGTGCCTACCGAGCAAATGGTGCGACAAGAGGTCGAGCTGCATCTGCTTGATGTTCATGACGTCGTAGTGCTTCAACGCGAGGGAGGAGCACGAGAGGAACGAATAGAGCTTTACCAACCAGATCCGCAAGTGTGGTTCGTGGTGGTCCGCTTTCGCAGCAGCTTCCAACAAAACAAGACACTTCGCGGCGCTCTCGACAAACTTCCCTTCCTCCGCCTCGTCCAAAAGAAGCGCACAGTTCATGAGAAGAAGCTCGTCACCCAGGTAGAAGTCTGTCTTCTCTTTGGATTGAAGCAATCTCTTGGAGGCTTCATAGTATTGAAAGTTCTCGTTGATGAACTTTTTGGTGCTGAAAGCACTCGTTCTGAGCAAGAGCTTGAACCGCTGGTGGTTGACCACCCACGTGAGAGTGTCAATGTCGGTGACCTCCGGCTTCTGGGCCTCCAAGTACTCTATAAACTGCTGGGAAGCAAAAATTTCGTCCGCGTGGAAGCTTGCTAGGTCGGGATACCCGCACGGCTTGCTGCCAAAACGCTCGTAGTACGCCACCACCGGCGCGTGCAACGACTGCTTCAACTCGGAATGGAGCGCAATTGTCGCCAAAAGGGTGTTACGCGAGCCCTTGCCGTTATACGTGCCCAACAAATCCCGCACAATCTCAGACTTGTCCAATTTCAACCCGCTGGTGATGAGGTGCTTCCATGTGTTGTAATCGTCCAAGTTGTAGTCGTAGAGGATCCTGACAGCGGTTTCATACAAGGCTTTCCAGCTCTCCATCAGCGCCAATGTCTCGAGAAGAATGATCTGCAACTCCAAGTCCAATTTGTTGGTGCCGGTGAACGTCTGGATCGCGTCAACCACCAGTTGCGCCTCCTGGCCAGCCGCCTTGGAGAGCTTTGCGTAGATGTACACTTCCTGGCAGTTTTGGAACGGCTGGAGCTTCTCCATCATCCTCACGCCTAAACTGGGAAACAACTTCTGCTCCAATTCGGTCGTCCCGGACTCCAACTCCACTGCCATGTAGCAGCACAACGCGGCATAACACGTGTAGTCACGCTGCTTCGCACCTCCGAGCTTGGCCAAGTACATTGCCGCCTTCTGCATTCCGCGCGCATCCATGTTATCAAGATTCATGCTGAACCAGCTGGTAATGAGCGCCATCGTGGGGTACTTCTTAGCCGCGTTCTCGTACACCAGCATCGCTTTCTTGTACTCCTTTAAGCTCTTGAATACGATGGAGAGCATTTCCAAGGTTTGTGGGTCAGATGGTGTCTGAGCCGCGATCTTATCAGCAAGGGAACTTGCCTCTGAAGCCTTGTTGCCGTGGAGGTATGCGTATGCCTGTAGCGTGAGGTAGTACGTGGACTTTGGCTGTTTCTTCAACTGCTTTGTAATGAGTTGTTGCGCCTGTTTGTGCGCACCCTCATTGATGGCTGCAAAAATAAGCTGATCCTTCGCTGACATTGTGGTTGGAAAGTCAAGCGACCGTGAGTAGTACCAAAGGAGCTTGTTTTAGGTGATTTAAGTTCAGGTTGCGAAAAGTGAAATTTGACCGGCACATAAGTCCAAGCTAGACTCTTTGGTTAACTTCTAAACGTATTTAAACGGTTTTCCACGGCTTTATTTATATCCATGCCATGCAATAAGATAATTCAACACACCTCTACGTTTGTTATTACTTGATCTATTTATAAATAAAAATAGCTCAATCTAATATTTTTAGCTTAAAAGCTCAGAGCAGCTAGCTCAGAGCAGCTAGTTCAGCATCAAGCGCAGAGGCTCTGTGGTGGAGCTAGTTTCCAAAGGTGTAGTCCCCTGAAACCCATCTGTTAACCATGTTCAACGAATTCTCCGGCTGGTCGAACGGAACCATGTGGCCGGCATCGTACACCCGTAAGAAAGTGAAATTACCATAGTTCTTGACCTCACCGGCACCCTCGGCTCCAGTGATCCCGTGCCACTTCTTCATTTCCGTCTTGGCAAACCCTTCATGCTCCGTGTAGTCCAAGGCATCAGACCACGCATGGTTCCCCAACCAGTTGCAGATGAAGTCCTTGTCACCGGCATAGAGCAACACCGGCACGCCGTGCTCCAACAACTCCTTTACGTACTGCTGGAACGGCTTTGGCCCATCCCCGGAGTAGATGAAATTGCGGAAGACGGTATCGTCACACAGGGTGTATATGTCAACCTCAGCTCCCAAGGCTTCCTTGACCTCATCCAAGTTCATGTACTCGTCAATGTAGTCCATCTGCTTGTAGCAGTTCTCGCCGTCGTTCTCGCACTTCATCCGGATGTCGTATACGTTCAAGCCGGTATCGGCGTACGGCCCCATGAGCTTGTTCTCACAGTACAATTCAGCCGGAACACACGCGAAGGCAGAGCCGGTGTCGTAGCAAGACTGCACAAGCCTCTTGCAGCGGGGGAAGGCACTGTCCATCGCGGTACACTGTTCGTCGGTGATCACCTGTTTGTAGCCGCCCTTTCCACAGGCCATCGGCTGATAATAGGCGTACTGGATGAGCGAATCGGTGATCCCGTTGCCAATCAACACAGAGGTCAATTCAAACGAGCGGTCCGCATGGTTGATGATCTCAGACGCAAACCGCGGGATGTAGTGTCCTGCGTACGACTCGCCCGCAATATGGAAGGCGTTGCGCAAAAACTGAGGAAACTTCTGGTAGAAGAGCTCCAAGAAGGCAAAAACATCCACCGCTGCAGCATCCGTGGAACCAACCAGCTTGGATGAGTAGGAGTAGCCCACGCCCACTGGCTGTTCCAAGAAGATCACACTGGCGTTGGAGTTCCACGAGTGGGGATTGTGGATTGGCTTCAAGTCAGCCCCAATCGAGGCTGGCCCGAGCTCAAAGAACAACCCCGTCATCGAGGAGCACCCAGGGCCACCGTTGAGCCAGAGAATCACCGGGTCGTTCGCCGGGTCGTTCCGTGACTCGAAGAAGTAGTAGAAGAAGTGCTTGTCTTGGTCAAGGATGTCCAAATAACCAGAATACTGGTTAACTTTCGGGTCGATCCCAAGCTTCTCCGGGTTTGCCTTTTTTACCCTAAGCGCGTGGTTAGGAAACTCCGTCTTGGTGACGGTTTCGTCGTGCTTCGCGGTAGGACGCTTGGCCATCGGACGGGCATGGACCTTGTCACCCCTTCTCTGGAACTTGTCCATTGCCGCCTGGAGTTTCTGCGGCATCGACGTTTCTAACTCGTGCCATACTGCCTTCACGTCTGTGTCGTGGACCAAGGGGCTGGCGTCAAACAAGAGCTGCGCCTCCTGGAAGATGGAGAGCTTTTGGGGGAACTGGAAGACTTTTTGGTCAGAAAGAACAGGAGAGAGGCAGATAGCCCATTGGAGTATAGTTTGGAGTTTCATTGGGTAATGGTGTGGTAAGGAAGACGAAGGGTGATGGCTGTACAAAGTTATATCTTTGCTATGACCCCCAAGATTTTCCCCAAGTCCGGCACATAGTGGAGCCGTGTGAAGATAAGGCGAGGGCTTATCATGTGAACGCGAGTGACTCAGAAAGGGGTAGGGAGCGAGTATATGACAATAAGAAGCAAAATGGTATCAAACAAACGAATAATAAAATTAGGCACACCGGGATAAACATCTAACTCGTGTTACCAACCGAGGCACCCCCGAAGCTCAAGAGTGTCTTATCCTCACCGTCTGACAAAGCAACTTGCCTTTTTCCATGTGCAAGGATTATGGACTACAGACCGGAAAGGTTGTGCTGGCTCCGGTACAGCTCATTATAAAATGACTCGTAGAGATCCTATCATTTTATGTACGCTTTAAGTTCTTGTAATCTTTGAGACATGGGTGGTATAGTCAAGGATTGGCCTGAGCTCTTACACTACATACCAGTAGTCCATTGGGACCTGGTTGACTCTTCAAACTCGGTGGTCCACCGGTCTAAGTTGTCTGCGGTTTAGACATGTTGACCAGTGCTCTATGACACACTGATAAAGCAAGCACTGCAGTATTCTCTATACAAACATCAGATACACACAACGATACTTATTGCTCTACTGCATATTGCGTGGAGGGTTGGCCGAGTGGTCTAAGGCGGTAGACTTAAGATCTACTGGACTGTGTCCGCGCGGGTTCGAAACCCGCACCCTTCATTAATTTTTATTTTGACAACCGGATGTGCAAGAAGCTACGAGATATCAATCGTTAAGATTCGACGTGTACTCAATTCAGATCAACAGGTACCTGCTTGAGTGGTTGAAGGGGTTTTTTATCGATTCTAGGAGTTTGGTCCTTGAAAGACGCCAACCAGCTACCTCATCTTTTGGTTCTCATGATCAGCTTTCAGAGCACAATCCTCTCGGGGTTTACAGATTGCATCAGTTTCGTAAGTAAATTAAAGTAAAGAGGGAATAATAAAGAGTGACTCACATTCAGCAACACAATAAAAGAAAATAAAAACACTCCTACACATGATAAAAGTATTGAAAAAAAAAAAAAGAAAAAACCTGGTGCCACGACAGCGCAGCGCTTGATCAAAGAGATCCAGTCTCATGCTTTCTCACTTAGGCGTAATCGCTAGCCGATAAAACCTCGTAGTCAGATTCTGTGAGCTCGGAATCGCTGAAAGCTTCGGCTTCGGTGGTGAACTCCGGGTCCGTGACAGCGGCAGAAACGTTAGTGGAGCTATCCGGGAACAGAACAGGGTTCAAGGGTAAGATACAGTTTGGAGAAGTGACCTTGGAAACGGGATCCATAAACACTGAGATAGTGGACTGACTTGGAGAGCTAGCAATAGATGCTTGCTTAGGCGATTCCCGAGGCAACCTTGGTAAGACCATCACCGAGGAAGATTGCATTGGGTTGAGGAACGAATCTCTCATCAGCCTTTCTAAGATTTCGACAGCTTCAGGCACAAACCCAATCTTGACCTTGGAAGCTTCCATTCTTTCAGACGCAGTTTGATCTTCAGACTCAACCTCAGGCTCAGACTCAACCTCTGGTTCAACCTCAGACTCAACCTCAGACTCAACCTCAGACTCAACCTCAGACTCAACTTCAGGCTCAACCTCAAACTCAGCTTGTCCTTCTGTAACAGGCTTGCATTCTCCGATATCCAAGGCACAGCCAGAGCCGGTAAGCACACCCAGCATACTAAACTCAGAGCTGCCATAGTTGTAAATCTCCACCTTGCATCCATCCTTAAGTGACAAGACATTTTCCGAAACAATGGTCTTGGATCTGCCTGGAAGAATGGCATGATCGCCCAAGTAAACCATATGGGTATCCTCCGGATTCTCAGTTGCAACGTTCAAAAACGAAGCCGGTGGAATGGCAGATACCGAACCATTCTGAACCTTAACACGGCTCTGCTTGCCCTTGGAAAAGAATTCGACGTTACAAGCAGATTCTGCAGGTTGGGAGATTGGGACAGCGTTTGCGGCTGGTATAACAGCGGCTTCAACGAAAACATCCTCAGTAGCTAACTTGGATTCAGCAGCAACGTTGGCTGAAGCAACACTGATAGGGACAGGCTCGTCCATAACCAAACCAAGCTGAACAAGGTCCACCAACCTGTCCGCATCTCCACCCACAAACTCCAACAACTCAACGTACTTTGCACTATTGTCCGACATCTTCTTCAACCCAGAGATATCTTGGGTCTTAAACATCTCAATAACACTCTCCATCTCGTTTTGGTGGATTGTGTCAACATCGAGTACGATAGTTTCATCATTAGTCTTGGGCACTCTGTACTTGTGGCACCTTCTGAAACCACTTGCGTACTTTTCTGGGTTCTGGTAGAACTCACACACGTTGAAGATGTGGTTGCGACCGGCGTCGGTGTTGTTGATCTCCAACATGTTGTGCGTAGAAACATGGTTTACAGAGGAGTGCTTACCACCGTGACATGCGGAACACAAGTCGTAGTCAAAACACTGCATGCACTTGTAGCGAGATCCAGTGACTGGAAGGTCACATCCGTCACACAACACGTGCGGGTGAACCAACGGTATAGCCTCCAGGGTATCACAGGCAGCAGATGCGGTCGAAAAGGAAGCGGCAGCTGTATCATTCTTAACGCCTGGGGGAGGCCCAGGAGGTCTGACCACAAACGACTCATGGATCTCCTGTCTCTCAGCCAACTGCATGCAACTTTCATACACATTCATCATGGTGCGAATAAACCGCGTAGAGAACCGAACAGGGTTAGTGACGACCATGAACAAATGACTGGACTTGTGAAAATCCCCAGACACCTCCACAATCGTAGGAGCGTTGTCTCTGGCGCACGACAGACAGTAGTCCACATCATCACACTCCATGCATTTGAAGCGAACTCCCCTGATCATAGTATCGTCACAGAAGCCGTCACACGTAACATAGCGCTCCAATGACGAGTAGAAGCTCTCGTTGAAGGTACTCTCCGCAACCATCTGCGTAAAAACCGACTGTACGGCGGTGAGTGCATTCCTGAAGGCGTCGCTATTCTTGTGGGTACAGGAGCCATCGATTCTCAAGAAGGTATGCCAGTTATGGTGTCCACCGACGGTAACGTTGCTGTTGTAGCAGGCCTCACAGAGATCGCAGTCGTCGCACTCCAAACACTTGTACCGGGTTCCACAGATATAGTTCCTGTAACGCGGACATCCATCACAGGTGATGAGATTGTGAACCAATGGGGAAGCAGGGATCGGTTCCGAAAACATTGCTGTGGAGGAAAACGGACACTCCGAGCGGAACGGTTGCTGAGCCGGGACCTCTTTATTTAAACCTGCAGCAGCCTCGGCGAGCACCGACTGAATATGCAGGGCCAAGCCACCATTAAACAAAGACTGTACCGCCTCAGACTGCATGATCTTTTCAAACACCGGGTTGAGATCAAAGGTGGGGCCTTCCTTAGCCTTGGACTGGCTCTTTTCATCGTACTCAGGCTCTTCTTGCTCCGCGGGGGCTGGCTTTTCCTCAGCCGGAGGCGTTTCCTCATCAGGAACTTCCTCCTTTTCCCTCCTCTTCCTGATGTGCAAGTAGACACGGTTCTTGACCTTTAAGCTTCGCTTCAAGTCGCCCAAGTCTGCGTCGGTTTCAAGCGGCACATACCCGCTGTGTCTCTTGGACTTTCTTTTTACCTTAAAGTGGGCAACATCAGAATCTTCCTTGCAAGCTTCCTCCAACGGTGGAATGGCGCTGGCTAAGTAGCGAACAAAGGCGGTTCGGGAGTGTAACGTGCCTACGATGGTTTCGTAGGGGACCTCGACCACCCTGGTGGCATGGTCAAACGTCACACTAACCGCTACGGAACGGCGGGATTTTGGGCTCATGGCAGTCGTCAATATTGATAATAAATGAGGCTAATAACAAGCTGGTTGTGTGTATGTGAATGAAATGAAATAGGTGTGTGAAAAGGGTGGCAAACCGCAGCAAGCTTAAATTGTGTCACAGAAGATCGCGATAAGATAGGCGGGGGCGTAGATCAGGAGGCACTAATTAGACGATAGACAAATTAGGTGTCATGTGACAGGCTTGTGATACTTAGGCACAGTGGCGTCACTACGGATCACGTGATCAAAGCTGTCGGAATGTGTAATGGCTGGCATGTCTATTTCATCGATATCTCATGGAGCTTCTACTTGGTAATTTTACCACGAGGCTGATCAGAGTAATGGTTTGCGAATTTTATCAAGAAAAAAACAAAAAAACAACAAAAAAACAAAAAAACAGCCTCGTTTTTCGAGGTTCTGAACTTGTGAGCAGGGAAGGTGTAAAGTGCAGTATTGCACCCTAGGACACCAGCCCACTTTAGTCGTGCAAGGCAGGATTATCGGTACAGCCACTACATCATCTAACCGTTGCTTATACGCTCTGAAGGTTTAACGGCCGTCTTTGCTCCGCCATATTACCAATCACTCATTTGACCAATCATTACCGTTCCAAGCCAGGAACCAACCATAAGACCCGTCATTAGCACTCATTCAATGCTCGTGCCGCCTATGAACTTCGGACTTGTCGAGGAGGGGATCTACCGCTGTGGCAAGCTCGAACAGATCAACAATGCCTTCTTAGAGACCTTGCAGCTCAAATCGGTGATTCTCCTCGACGCGGAAAAGCCACCACGCCAGCTCAGGGTGTTTTTCGAGAACAACGAGACGGATATTTACCACTTGGGCGGGTTCAGTATCTCTTCGTCCTTTGCGAAGAAGAGCGGGGACGGCGAAGACGACGAAAAGGCCCACGTTTCCACCACAAACACGTCCAAGGCCAGCTCCAAAGAAAACCTCCAGCTTTCGGGGTTTAATTCCGAGGAGTTTACCAGCATGCCCTCCAAGAACGAAGAGTGGATGGTGATCAAAGGCCTGATCATTGCCAAGGTGTTTGAGTTGCTTCTCAACCGGAGGCTCTTCAATGTGTTGCTTGTAGACTCCACTGAGACGCTTGTGGGGGTTTTGCGCAAGATCCAGCGCTGGAACTACACCAGCATCATCAACGAGTACCGGTTGTACGCCGGGAACAAGTCCAACTACTTTGCAGAGAACTTTTTGGAGATGGTCAGGGTGGAGTTGCTTCCACATACGTCCATCACCCCAAAAGAGCCGGAAAAGACGAGCGAGCAGTCTAACGAAGCCCCAAAGCCACCATCCCCCGTGCAAGAGCTCCCGCCAGTCAAAGCAAAGAGGAAGAGTATCGACGAAGCGTGGGATAAGAGAGGCGAAACAGATGACGAAGACGAGGGCCATATGTCTGGCTCGCCCAAGATTCCATCGGCCTTGCTCCGTATCGTAGAGCTTCGCAAGCAGAAAAAGAGCCAGGAGAAGCAGGAACAACAACAGAAGGAACAGGAGCAACTACAACTACAGCAAAAAGAGTTACAGAAGCAGCAGCTTCTTGCTGGTCCCCAATCGTTTACATACTACAAGTCTTGGAACGATAGTGACGTGAAATTCAGTAAGGTGGGTGTCACCAAGATGAAGCTTCCTAAGGAGGAAGACTTGCCCAGCTGGTTCGTCAGACAAAGAGACTTCTGGGAGAAGAATCTTAATATCAAAGGTGAGACATACTAGATCCATAGTAAGACCCAGGGGAGAGGTACCACCGTTTTGACTAGAAGGCCTGCGCACTATACCCGTGCGACGTTCCAAGGAAGAGAAAGGCCAATCGGTCCACTTTTGTCTGTAGTCGGATCTGCATTCTCCTTCCCCGCCTGGCGTCGATATCCGGGATCCGTGTCTTGCCGTAACTGCCTAAAATGCTTTTACCCAGTTGGTTGAAGCTGCGATGCGGCATCCGGTGGCTATACGCTCTTTCCTTGCCATGTTTCATTCTTGGTTTGGCTGTTGGTCTATGCTTGTATTTGGTTGTCTTGTATTTGGTTGTATTGTATTTGGTTGTCTTGTGGGGTTTCCGGGACCTTCTAAACTTCGGCTTTTGCCGTTGTGCTGCTCTGAGAAATTCTCCCAACAACTCATCCTTGCTGGAATCGCCATGCTTGTGCAGGAGCTTCCCCATGCGATGAGCGAGCACCTCTCGCACCCCCTTCCGTGAAGTTCGCCTGGCCGGAAGCGTAACAAAGTCGTCGTCGATGTCATTGTTGGCCGTTTCACGGGGGCGTTTCCCAAAGCTCCATTTATGGTGCCACCCCCTGATTTTTCCCATAGCGCTGCGAGCGGACCGGAAAACACCGCCCAACAGCCTCAACTTGGCTTTGAGCGATGCAAAAAATCCGCAAAGCGTCCACCGGGATTGGTCTTCCCGGAATATGGAGGCCTCAGTATCGCTTGGGGTATTTTTTACCAGCAGGGTTTGGGGTTCATGGACATCAAACACTCGGCTTCGGTCAAATGTTCGCTCGTAGTCGAAAATTGTGATCCAAGTTGGAGGGCTCAACCCCTTTGGCGGTTGCAAGTAGTATTTATAATTTGACGGTTTTATACACGTGGGAGCACTCTTCACCGATTGACGTAAGATAATTGTGTTCCTAGGGGTGTTGAAGGTACCGGGATCTTTTTTATGACTGGGGCTGACGATGGAGCCAATCTCCGCGCTTGGCATCGTGTAGTGCTGCTCTGGCGAGTTATGTGGTTGTTGGTTTGTTTCAAGGTACACACCTAATCGTTTCAACACCTCTTTACCACCGTCATAGGGGTCCAAAAGCTCTGTTGTGAGGCCTGCAAGTAAGATGTCTGCCACCTCGCCAAGTAGAACCTTTCTACCCCATGCTTCGTGCAGCCGGCTCAATAGCCAGTCAACAACTCGCAATTGGCCCTGCGTACCAATATGTCTAATTCCTTGTTGAATGCAACCTGAAACATCTCTGCGCGATTTATCACATGAGGCAGAACCTTGGATCAATTTCTGGATCACATCGATCAAAACCTCATCGTTGATGCCCAGGAGAAGAGATGGCGAGTGTAGTAAGAGTTCCATAAACTCCACCGAGGCATCGGGGTACTGATTCTCCAAGAGCGGAATCACCAAACCTCGGACCACCTTATCGACTCGGGGTCTGAAATAATGAACAAAGTCTGCGTTGTCCATCCGTGCCCCCAAACGAGCACTGATCTCTTCTAATGCAATAGATGTCTCTTCAGAGTTAGAATACGGCAAGGATGCAAGGATCAAGCTGATGGCAGCCAAGTCCCCACTGACCCTCGAAGGTTTGCGAGGATGGCTGCACCCTAACTTAACTGAGTCGCTATCCCAGGTATTTTCTTTACCAGCAGGCCCTTGCTTTTCTCTACGGCTTGCAACCTTAAATGCACTTGACCGATTGGCCGTCGCGTTGAGAGACGTATCGGATGGCATGGTAGCGATTGTGCAAGAAAATGACACCAAGACATAGAATGAGAAGGGAAATATTAGAAGCTAATCAGCGTAAAATGGCAGTGGTGGCTTTTGTGATATTGCCACTAGTGGGACTGCAAGGCATTTGGGGCAATTGCGGCACCCGTTGCCGATTTATTTGCAGGGCCCAGGATTGATAAGGCATGCACTTTTAACCCAAGACGGACCTTTAGCTCTCTGAAGCCCCATCGCTTCGAAAGTCTAGGTTTTGCATTTAATCAGTGGGCAGAGATGTCCCTTTACACTACTCACCGTGAACTACAGATACTTTTTGTATTCGCAAGACTTTGAAATTAAACTAAAAAATCAATAATGAAATTGACAAACTAGGTTAAATCGCTTAATCGAACAAACCGAACCCCATGTCGTCATCGGATTCCTCAGCTTCCTCAGCAGCTTCTTCTTCGGCAGCGGCGGCGGCAGCTGGGGCAGAAGAGGTGGTGGCAGCGGCAGCCTGCTTGGCAGCCAACAACTCTGGGTTGTTCAACAACTCAATCAATTCCTCAACCAAGTCGTACTTGAAGTTCAAGGCAACGGCCAAGCCCAAGACGTTCTTGTAAGAGTTGACAACAGAGTGACCAACAGATGGCAAGGTTGGGTAGCCGACAGCCAAGGAGATGGAAGCAACAGTGTTGATGGCAGAGACAAAGTGGGAAACCAATTCATCGTCAGTGATATCCAAGATAGAGGATGGGAAGGTCTGACCGTTGTCGTAAACCTGGACAATGGTCAAACCGTAGGTGAACGGAGAAATGTTTAACATGTTCAACAAGGAGGCTTCGGATGGACCGACCTTGCTGTTGGCCTCGACAACCTTAACATCGTTGGTGATTTCAATGGTACCTCTGGCAATCTTGGTTGGGACACCCAAAGCCTGGAAGAAAGAGGTCTTACCCGGTTCCATACCGGTGTTACCGGCTGGGACCCAGACGTCAGCTGGGGCAACGGCACCAGCTCTGGCTGGAGCGGCAACCTTGTTGGCAACAACAACGTCTCTGATGGAAGACAAGTCAGAGTTGGTGAAGATGAAACCAATGTTACCCTTAACGAATGGCATCAACTTTTCGTATTCTGGCAAGTCGGTCAAGAGACCTCTCAAGGCACGTCTGACCATAGTGTTCTTACCCATCAACACGACACCTTCACCTCTCAAGGCCTTTCTGATTTCGTGCATCTGCTGGGAGGAGACATTGTCAACACCAACGATGAAGATGGACTTGTATTCTTCCAACAAAGTTCTCAACTTAGCGAAGTATTCGATTTTCTTTTCACGAGCGGCCCCCATTTCGATTCTGTTTATTTTAAGAAGATAGGATGTTTAAGGTTCTCAAAAATTGATAAGGAAGAAAATTTTATCCCCCTTGGGCGGTGTGGAAGAAAGACTTATTTTTCACAGGGAACGAAAAGTTTGGAGGAGGTTGGGCGTCGCCTGGGTGAAAATTTTAGACTCTCGCGAAGAGGCGGTGCAATTTGGAAGCCCTAAGTACTGTCACATGATATGCACGTGGGAGGACTGCTTTAGGAAAAGGTTTTGGTCCAAGTTCGATAAATTGGTTGGTGAACTACTACATGAGGCCGTTTGAGGCCTAGTTCTAGTGGCTGTACAAGGTATACTCGTATGACGTAGGGAGAGAGAGATTAGACCTTGTGAAGCTAAATCTACACTTTGGTGATACCATATTTATCATTTCTATAAGGGCCGGGACTTGTAGGCTACATAAATCCCCGTATGAGTGCTTCCTGGTACTGCTCCATGACACCGTTGAGCTTGATAACCACCCCTGCAGCCATACTGTTAACCTTCGGCTCGGTGATTCCCTCCCATGTGGCTTCTATCCAGCTCTGAAGCTCTGTAACCTCCGCCTGGTAGGTCTGGGCCAACCACTGCCCATCGCAGCAGTCGATCACGATGAGAACAGCCGTCAACATGGCCTCCAAGACGGGAAGGTCTTCGGTCCGCATGGTTTTCCGTAAGCCGGTGATAAGGTGCAACATCTCCCCAATCATGTCAGCCAAGTCCGGGGAAGACGGGTACGCTGCATGGAGCAATAAGGCTAGGGTCTTGACATAGTGGCCGCTCAACACGGGGGAATAGTGGCCGATGTTGATGCCACCGCCGAGCTTGTTCCAGGCAGCGACTAAGGGGAAAAAGAACGCCTTTCCTGCGATTTTAGTGTAGTTATTGGCCACTGGTGGGGTCTTTTGCGCCTCCTTTTGCCTGACCAAGTTTCTGGAGATCCGCAACACCTTCCCTGCCGGCACGAGGTGGTTTTCGAGCTCCTGTTTCGCCGCCTGCAACAGACCGTCCTGAATCTCATTAGCAATAGCGTCAACCCCGAAGAGCAAGCTCTGGTGGTCCTCACTGTCTGTTTCCTTGTTGAACACGACAAACTGTTTGTGGAGCTGTTCTGGGAGAAGCTTGGTCGGAAACAGCTGTTTCACATACGACTCGGTCACTGTACCATCCTGGTAGCCTCTGAGCTCACGGGCACCAAGACTGATGGAACTGAGAATGGCCAATCGTTGCTGCAAGGAGTAGTCACCAGCCATGAGAAGCCTGACCAAAAGCTGGGGCACAGCGGTGGGTAATGCCACAACCATCGCCACCAACCCGTTCAACTTCTTCTTTTCAAAGTCGTCCGTGCCATACTCATCACTCATACCCACAAAACACTTGGTGAGTGCCTCGTAGTACTGCATCACTTCCTGGCCAAACCTGGCTTTCTGGCGGATCAAGGTCGGTGCGATAGTCAAGGCCATACTCACACGGTCGTACGCCTGGGGATGGGTCTTTGCGGTTGTGAGATAGGAGAGCAAATCATGGACGTATACCGGTTTGGCTGGCTTGACGGCCGCCGTGACGGTTGGATCGTCGTCGTCGGAACTCTCGTCATCAGAGTCGATCACCATCCGCTCGAGCTTGAGCCTGTTGGAACCCTTGGCCGCTAAACTGCCTGATTGTGGAGGGATAACCGTCTGGTGGTTGGTTGGGACTGGTTTTGATACCTCTAGGGATTCCCAGAGCACGGTGCCCTGTCTTTCAAACGCAGCGGTCTCAATAAACCTTATTTCGCCAAACAACTCCAACTCCTGTTCCTTGGTGGTGCTGAAAATAGACGATTCACCGGCCTTTTCGCACATTTTGTCAGCCAAGACCATCCCGAGAGACTTGACGTTGTTGGAGAACGACCCCAAACGGGTGCTGATCCCCTCCAAAAATACAGGGCTCTTCAAGAAGCGCTGTATCTCTGACTGAGGCAAATAGTATACAAACACTAGTATAAGCTTTGAGTAGTCCTGTTGGGTGGTAAGCGGGGACGCTTTGACGAAGGAGGCATCGGACCAGATCGCTAGGAGGTGCTCAAACGTGTCGCCCAACACTCGGGTGTCCTGGGAGAGGAGTAATCCAAGGGCGATGATAACTCTGTCGTCGCTTAGTGTCACGTTTGCCCTCATCAAATGCGCCATATCCATGCGCACGTTGAACTGGCTAAGCAAGTACGCAAAGGAGATGACCTGGCTGTCTGAACCGGACACCGGAATCCTGGAAATATAGGCAACCAAGTTACGTGAGATGAAGCTGCGCTTTGCTATGGGCGTAAGCTGGGTGTAGAGCTGAAGCAAGTACGGCATGTTGTTGCTGGAGCAGAAGAGACCCAAGAACTCTAGTGACGCAGTAGCGTGTAAGGACAAGAGTGAGGTGACAAAGGGAGTAATACTACTCACTGGACAGCTTTCAGACATAGTTAGAATTTCAGTGCTGAGCCACCGGGAGTACTGTTTTATATCGAGGAACGTCGCTAGGTTGTGGCTGGTGGTTTGTTCGGCTATTGGTGACGCCTCGTTAAGAATTCCCAAAAGCTTCCCTTTGAAAAACATTTTTTCAATCTCCTTCAACTCAACCCTGTTTCCGCGTGCCTGTAAAACCAACTTTTCGACGGACCCCACTTGCAATACGTCCATAAGGACCTCAAGGAGTACCGCCACCTGGGGGTCTTTACCAAGCGTTAGCATCTGGATTCGGGAGGCCAAATTGCCTATGCCCACAATGCTGGTAAATATTTCGGATATAAGATGTTTGCATGACCCGTCTAGAGAGAAATAGAGGTCGGGGAGGACGTGACTGATCAAGCTAGCCGCTGCCTTTAGCTGGATAGACGTGGGCTGTGAGGTGAAACCGTCAGCCACAAGCTTTCTGAGGATATCTTCTAGCTCAGAGAGTGATGGTTTTAGCGACAACCGGTCGATTAAACCGGATAAATCGTTAGTCATTGCGTGGACGGTTGAACAAGGAGGAGCAGCTGAAAGAGGCGATTTTTCATGGCGGCTAAATCCCATGCGAAGGATGAGCTGAGCACAGGCTAAACGCAGGATATCTGGGGTAGCCAGGAAGTTTGTCTACCCGGCTGATGTTAGCTCCACTACACCGGGTAATTGATTAGAAAAGAGTGACATAAACCGAGAATTTATCAACAACGTGAGAAATAGGGATTGAGCGGTCTAGTACGGGATTTCCTGGGTAAAACAAAGTAGTCTGAGGCTGTACTTAATCTATGACTTGGTGTGATCGGTATTGTAGACGAGCATAGACCGAATTAAATCGTCCAAGAGGGAAGGGACATACTTCAAAGGGAAGTGAGCTGAATTGCCGATATCGGAGGTTCAAAGTGACATCAATATTCTGTCAGCTTCGGTTTGAGAATGGGAAATCATAATTTCTCGGAAAGGTCCTATTGGCGAGAGATTGAGTTTTGTCATTATTTGGGATCAGGAAATTCACCACCAAAGTTGAAGCTTTGAGCAATGTTGAGTTCACTGAATCTGACTACGAAAATTTACCAGCCAGTGATTACACCTAAGTGAGAAAGCATGAGGCTGGATTGCTTTGATCAAGCGCTGCGTTGTCGTGGCACTAGGTCTCCCCAATTTTTTTTTTGTACTTTTATCATGTGTAGATGTGGCCATTAAAACAGGCTAAATCCGGTCCCAATAATTGTACCTCAAGGAAACTAAAGTCAATGTTGCGGCACAATGACGAGTGGTCCGCTTTGCTGGAAAATACACCTAGAAATGGCAAGGTTTTGTAAAAAGAAATTCAAGAATCACTAGTATTAGGGAGCTTTCTCAGTTTAACCCTGCCACTATTTAGAAATGGGAAAATAACAGAAATCATGGGAGCTTTATTCTTAGAATGGCTTGTTATAGCCTTGAATGAGGGCTGGGCAACTGGCACGGCTGGTACTCAGGCCGGCTTTTATACCCAGGGTACCCTCCAACCAAAAGCGGCAACATGCTGCATTATTTCCCGATCCAGCATCGTTATCTGCGTTCCGACACGTAAGGTACCTCGAATGGCCAGGTGTGGTGCAAGTCGGCACGTAAGCCGACAAGCGAAGTGTACAGTTACCGGGACCTGAATCACGCTAAATTGTTTTAGGCCCAATTAGTCGCCGATTCGTAAAATAGAGATACACATTGCAATCCTCAAAAAGCGATATCTTACGATTATCCAGCTTCAAACCAATTACTATCAGTCATATAAGGATATACATTTGAGTTTGAGGTGCCACAAATTCATAACAATCAGACACTCAACCTTTGGCTTTGTTTCATATACAGATCAGTACGTATCCACTATCTACGGCGGATGGCGATTTGGTTTAAACGCAAACGTGATGGTCGATATGCGGGAAACGGGACATACAAACAACCACGAATGCTAGATACAACAACGTTGGATCCAGCGCTGAATGGGCCACCACTTACTACACATGTATTACCCAGACTCTACACTATAATAACCATTGTTTTACTCCAATGGACCACGTTACTCTCAATTACACTCCCCCCGAAAGTCAACATTTTTCAAAGACACGCTGCTTATGGCTGCCATTTACTGCCTTTAGCCATTTACAATCTCACCATCTGCTGACCCTTTCCGCTATCCATACTAACCCGCTAGATCGATGTTGAGACGAAACACGCGCGAGAGGTCGGACGCACACGACTTCCACTATGCGCCCAAGCCACGGCGCTCCATACGTGCGCTTGTAGTGCGTGCGCGGCAATACCGCTGGCTGTCAAAGGTCATCCTCATAGCATACCTCGTTGCCATCGCTATCGGCTGGCGCTTCTACAGTTACAATCACCCGGCGGCGCCCTACCGGGCCGAGCCCACTGAGGAGGAGCCTAACTACACGTTTGTCGACCCGCGGAATGACGATGCGGACGTGCTCTTCCCTGCGGGCCAGGAACAAGTCTTGGAGTCGTTTCCCTACGCGGCGGACGTCTCCGTGTTGCCCAACTCGCCATACATACATGTATTCGAGACTACTGACTTGCGCTCGACCTACACGATCTACCTCGAGACGATTGCATCGTTTTTGGTCGAGTCAGTCAACTCTGGGGCCTCCTTACAACCACCACAGGTGCCGTTCCACTGGCAGGACTGGATTGACTTGAACATCTTGAACCCGTTGAAGCGCGAGAAGCCCAACTGTTTCCGTGTCGGAGCCCTCGGAAGCACCAAGAGAACCGCGTGGGATGGCTGCGTCGAGGACAAATCCAAGGCCCGGGACTCCTTAGGATTCAGGTTTACGGCGCCCGCGCTTTCGCATGAAAGCGAGTTCCGCTTGTCACTTCGCGGCAAGTCGTACGTCCACTCGTCCGCGGCGAACCCGCAGAAGCTTGTTTTTTTGAGCGGCGACTTGGCGTTTGTGTTAAAAGTGGCGGAGAAACAGCGGCTCGTCAGCTCCAACTTGATCAGAGGCTATGTCAGCGCCAAGGCTGCGGCGCAAAAAATATCCACGCAGGAGCTCGAGCGCTTACCGATTCTGCCGCTTGTGGAGATGGAAGCCATTGCGAATACGTTGGGAAATAGCGTGGCTAAGGATAAGGTCTATGGGCCGGTGAGTATCCCAATGGAAAAGTTTACCTATGTCGAGGACGAGGTGTTGATTGCGGCCGGCTATGCGGCCCGAACCAACGGCGAAAAGCACTTCCATGACGTGTTGTACGAACGCGACGGCCAGAACGAGCAGTTGGGTTACGACTGGCGCTTTTTCCACAAGAAATTGAGCACGTTGCAGCACCGCGCGGCGCTCCACCACACCATCCGCGCGTGGTTGTCGTTCACGCACAGCATCGGACTTGATACGTGGCTTTCGGACGAGTCGTTGGTCGGCTGGAGCCGTAACGGGATTGTGTTACCGTGGGAGAGCGTGGTACACTTTGAGCTTCCGGCTGCCGATTTGGGCCGTCTTGCGGCATCGTTCAACCACTCCTTGATTGTGGCGGATCCTACGGAGGGAACTGGCAATTACTTGATCGACGTCCAGCCGTACTTCTTGGCCCGTGCGCGCAAGAACAACGGGAACGCGTCGCCAGAGGCCCCGGACGCCAGGTTCATTGACACTCGCACCGGGGTCTACATTGAGCTCTCAGGCTTGCTCACCACGGATAAGGCCGTCACGGTTCCGGACCAGACCGACGGGGCGTACCAGGAGGATGCGCGTGACCCCGCGAAGCGCGGCAACTTTTTAAACTCCGGCATGGGCCATTTCTACCACAAGGACATGATCTTACCGCTCCGCAAGACGCTCTTTGAGGGTTTGCTCGCCAACGTGCCGAAGGACGCGGAGGCGATTGTGGCCCGGAAGTACCCCGACCTTGTGCTGTCCACCGAGTTCTATGACTATGTGTACAAGGAGCATCTCCGTCTCTGGGTCCCGCTGAACAAGTGCCGCTACGTGCCAAACGAGGACATTGAGTTGTACGCCCTGGGTGGGTCGTCCTTCATCGGTGCCTGCCACGACGCCAACATCTGGCAAGAGTACAACATGACGCGCCTCGCGACCGCCTTCAAGGCGAAAGAAAACGACACCGCTGACCCGATGGAGCGCAGAGTTGCGCTGCATGACCAGTCGGCACCGTTGTACCCGGACAACTGGTTGGGGGACAGGATCAAGGGCTTGAACCGCCACTACGGGTATCCGTTACCGGTACATGCCAATACTTAGGTATATGTATAATAAGATAAGATTAATAGACGTAAAGTCTACGCCAGAGTTGGCGGGCACGATTTAGAATGAGGGCTTATTGATTATAGCGCGAGGTGTTTAATTGCACGAGATGGAAATCTTCCAAGGCGCAACATATGACAGACTGTGTTAGTATTGCTCTGAGCGGCGTAGCCAGAAACTGGCTGTACCTTTACTTAAAAGCTATAGCAGTTTTGTGTCTACAAATGCTTTTCTCTACATCAGAACTGGCTGGATTATCCCCTGTGCTTCTATCTTTGATAGTTTATAGATCTAGATCGTTCCAATGTGTACATTTGGTCTGCTAAGGGCCTAAGGAGGTAGCCTGTGTACCGTTTCTGTCTCTGTATGATTTGCCCTACACGAATATCCCAAAAATTATTACTGATTAAACCAGAGTTATTAGGCCTGGGTTGTAAGTACAATGCACTTTAATTCTCCATCCCGATCGATGAGCTTCTGAGAGATTATCTATTAACCCAGTCTATGGGTGTGACAAGTGAGAGAAGCTAAAGGTGCTTCTACACCCTAAGACAATGCTGAAATGGAAATACACAACCTCGATAGAGTGTCCAACCACTGAGAATTGTATAGAATTGATTCGTATTTCCCTTTCATTTTGCAGTAGAACGGTTTTTATGGTTTGAACGCCTTTGTTGGGGTTTTATCACTGTTTCCCGCTTGTATATCTCTTGCTTTAAAGGGGGATATACACTTTTTCCCTTAAATTATCATCTTAATGCCACTCTTTATGACTTTCCCCTTTCTCCTTCCTCTCCCTCCTCCTCTACCCCATCCTCATCTCGCTCCTCGACATTCGCAAGGTACTGGCATAATAACGCGCGCTCCGTATAGCTGAGCGAGGCCACAAGCGTTTTGATCTGCTCCTCGGGTTTCTCTACCTGCCCATCCTCCGGCTTGATCAACAGACTCAATTGCTTGGCCTTGGAGAGACACCGTTCTACGGTGAAGGCCGGGCCCAAGGCCACACTGACACGCTTCCAACGGGCATCCCAGTCCTGCTCTAACGCCAACATCAACCGCGTCTCTTCCTCGGCCGACCAACTGGCATTGCGGTCCTTTAAGCAGCGGAGGTAGCGCATCTGAATGGCCTGCCATGTGTGACGCGACGCAATGATGCGCGATATGTCCTTCCACGAGTAATTGAGCACCTCTTTGTAGTAGATAATCGACGAGTCATCCTCTGGCGTCCATTTATAGTGCCGCTGAAGCACTTTCCGCGGCGGCTCTTCTGCACGTTTGGGCTCTTCCGTCTCCTCAGACAACCGCTTGCGGTCGAGATCCTTCACGAACCGGATCGTGGGCTTCGGAGTGTTCGCCTGGAACGCTGCCGTTTCCTTGCGCGTCATGTCCCAGAAATTGGGTGGCGCAAAGAGCTTCTCTGAGCCATACTGCTGCTGCATGAGATTGCGTTCGATGGCAATGTTGGCAAGAGAGTCGAGGGGATTGCTATAGCTAGGAGCCCCTGTTGTTGGGTCGGTTTTAGCAGCGGTCGCTGCGGAATCCGCCGTAGGGCCAGTCCCCTGGGGGTCTGATGCCGGAGTCGCCTGAATGTTTCCGTTGCTCTCACCGCTGCCCTTAGTGCTAATGGCACCCGTACTGGCCCTTCTTCCTTCCAGAGGGAGTGTGGAGGTATCTGCAGCCTCTAAGTTTACATCTGTAGACAATCTGCTGGAAAACAGCAAGTCTCTGTCTACCTTGGGCTTTCTCGGGGAAACGTTGGGGGATGGCGCGGGAGGAAGATACGGGTTGCGGTGAGGGTCAAATCCGGCGGGCAACGGCTTCACAAGGTTACGTCCGACATCTGGCAGCAGAATTAGCGACAAACTTCTTTTGCGGGGAGGCATCTGCAATGTGGGGGTACGAGATGTAGGGCTCGTCCTTGGTGTGGAATGTAGAGGTTTTGGATTTGTGGGCGCTAGTGTTATCACGACTTTTTGCTAGCGTCTCAAGCGGTAAATAGCTGAAGATATGTGAATTCTGGGCTGGCTTAGAATAGCTGTATACTTCTAGGATACCAAAACAATGGGTGTTATGAGATATAAAAGTTAGAGGACCTTGTTTAGACGTGAGGCACACACTGCCACGACCTTGAGTGTGTTGTGCCGACTTTCCCCTTTGGGACATATTTGGTATGTCCCCTTCTGGTTGAGATATCCGATACAAGCACGTGACAGGCGTGAGAGGTATGAGAAGTCTGAAGATCTGAGGGATTCTGGGTGGGGAGTAACGTGAAGATAAAAAAGAGATTGGATCGAAAGGTTCTTGATCTTGTTTGAATCTCTTGTGTTTTATATAAAGTGTTTACTGGGGCGTGCGGCCTTGTCACACAAGGATGTGGAAGTATGATACTAGATTTCGCCGTTCTATACGCATCTGTTTACTGGTTTATAAGAAATGGATAACGGCCATTGATAGATGAGATTCCAATACAAGGCCTAAACTCGGTTCGATACACACTAAAATATAAATATGACTGCCCTCGTGAAAGCGGCGTAACATTAATTGGCCCTATTGGCGTGCATTACATCTAATCCAGCCGTATACTATGATCAGATCATTGCCAAAGTGACGACCAGATAAGGCCGAAGATCAGGTCGTAAGACACCAGGAAAAACCCGTAGCCCCGGATACAAATATCTGGCTAACGCCCAGAACCACCAGTGTGGCATGGTCTAATCCATGAGCTGGTAATGAAGAGCGGAGACGAATCTAGAGCCAAAAGATCTTCGCTTCTGTTTCTCAGTTACGCCTGGCCCAGTTAGCTCTCGCCCGAGGCGGCTGTCCCGGCTGGGATTGAGGCGCCAGCGATGCCTGCGGTGAGCCAACCTGGCTGAGGTTGTTTACACGGGAAGAATAACTATTTGTCGGCACCGGCTGGCTGTAGGGGGCCGGAGCGTTGCTTCTAGAGTAGGCGCTTTGGGTTGGTAGATTTGGCTGGGAATGACTTGAAGGGGGTCTGGGTTGACTGACTGGAGACTGACTATATGTATTTTGGGCCCCATTAGACACGTTCTGGGCCCCGCCCAGACTTTGCTGAGCGTTTTGGGGCCCACTTTGGTCATACAAACCAGGAGCGGGTTCGGCCCTGGCGGGCTGCTGGAACCGTGAGCTCGGCGTGCGGTTAACCCGCGGCTGATATGGTTGGGTCTGACGTGCCTGAGATGACTTGTTGTAGATGTCCTGGAGTGAATGGGACGGTCTGCGGTCGATCTGTGGCTGGGGCGCTGGCTGGGACGAGAGCCCCGTGTGGGACTTGTGTTGCTGGGGTTCCGATCGAACGCCGAGCCAGTCCGGAACTGGCTGGTTCTTTTCCTGATAGTACCGTAATAGGGCCTTGCTCACTAGCGTACTATCTTCGGAGCTGCCGTCCTGTTCGCCGATAAGGGAGAGGTTGGAGAAGGAGGAGTGGATGCCCTTAGTAGACGATTTAATCTTGGTCCAGAGACCCGTGCTTTCATTATAAGACATTGGTGGATTGGGAGGCATGATCGTTTTAGGTTAGTTGATATGGATCGAATGTAAGCCGGTTCCATTTGTATGTAATGCGGTGGTTCCTAGTGAGGTGGACAGATCTCAGACTGACCCCGCGTACCTGCGCACGACCTCGGGTTGGAGATAAACAGGGCACCTAGTGACACTTGTATAAGCTTTGACTAGGGGATTAAGAACTTTTTTTTTTATCATAAAAATATCGGACATGATACCTCATGGCTCTTTTGACCTTTTTGAAACTGGGTCTATAAATGAACCCGAAACTCTGACGGGAGAAAAGAGCTCCAGAGACTGTAAACCTAGCAAGTTCTTGGTCACTGATTTAATCTTCACTCGGCACAAAACTAGCTTCTATCCGTAGTTGATACCTTTAGAAACTCAATCTAATGCATTTGTCCTAGTAGTCTATCCGTTCAAACGAAGAATACCCTTGACCGGCAATGGATATTCCTACACCAGAACTTCCAGTCTCTACGGAAAAAGTGGTTGATCTCTTTACCCACGCCACTCAAAGTTACTGTACATTAATCTAAGCTTTTATACCGAGGCAGATCAAAATGTTCATCGTGGATCGGTCAATTCAAATGGAATGTCGTGAGGGCCGGTTTGCGGCGCCTACTGAATCGCAAGCGTGTTCACATTTCCAGACAATACCGAAACTACATTCTCTTCAATCCGCTTCTCTGCTGTCTCGCTCAAATGCTTCTTCGGGTCCTGCTTCCCCACGTAACGCGTAGCTAACTGCTCCTCGGTCAACTCCTTCTCCTCCTGAATGCGCTGCGAGTACTGTTCAGCGATTTTGACCATCTTGTGCGCGGCCTCCTCGTTGCACTGTTCCTTGTGGGAATAGCCCTCCATTCTCAAGCCAGACTGCCACTCCTTCTTGTGCAAGTTCAACAACATGTCCACCTCATTCGGCGTCTTGCGGTAGTCAATGTTCATGGAGTAGTAGTGGCGGTTCAAGCCGTGGATCAACGCTTGGATGGATGGCTTGTTCAAGTGCCCCACATTGGACGTCGACTGTCTCGGCTCCTGGCCCATCATCAACGTCGCGGTGTTGATGAGTCTGAATGCATCGATCACCACCTTCCCCTTGACCGACTGGATCGGGTCGATTACCACCGCCACCGCGCGCTTATTCAACTGTTCGAACGACTGCTGCGTGTTGATATCCACTGACGACAACCAGCACCCGAACCCCGGATGCGAGTGGTACCACCCAACCACCATCTCATCACGCCCCGTCTGTCTCAACATATCCATCATCTTCGTCTGGAACACATCGTCCACCGCCTCCACGGATACCCCCGTCCCCGACTGCGGCATCGCAAACACATCCGTCACATGCACCGTGAACTCGTCCACAAACTCGCCCAACATGAGCCCCATAACCTCCATCGGCACCCCCGCACGGCCGTGTTTCAACATCTTCAAGAGCGCGAGCGATGATATGTACACTGTCTCCGCGTTGTCAATGGCTGGCGCGTCGGTGGGTGGCGGCCCGCCCATGCCGCCGGTCTGGCCCAAAAGTCTCTGTAATCTTTCCATCGTAGTTGTAGGTTTGTAGATTATCCAAAGAAAGATGTCTGAGGAATTGAGAAGGGACGGAGATGTTAAGTACTCCGTTTTGCTTTTGGTGGCGCCTGGTTATGTGCAGGGTTGATTACCGAAAGGGGAAATACCGCATGTGGTCATGGAGGGCTAGCAGTGACACAGTAACGAGGAGATTAAGGATGAGGAAAGGCTTATAAAAAGAGCATAGAGGTGTGCAATGGACCGTGGTGAAACAGTGCGATACTGACACGGTGGTATGGGCTGTGCGAACACGAAGAAAAGGAGACAGTCCATACCACTGTATGTACTATGGTGGAGAAAAATTGTTCTATTTTAATACTGACAAGATCTGTTATACCATAAGATCTGCAATGCCAAATAAATGGCGAATATTCTTGACATTTAGCACGTCGGGATACCCAAAAGTATAGATTATACGTAAAGCTATTTTTTACCATGCTAGGAGGGTTGTCTCTGTATGCAACATGTAGACGTAGCACCGTGGATCCGATATCATTTACAGGCTGGTGTTACATCGTGATTGAGCAACAGACAAAGGTTTACAGGCTTCAGACATTACGGAATGGAATATTTGGTTATATATAAAGGTACCCCCGAATAATCCACATATTTGCTTCCCAATTGTGTAGTTTATGAAACCTTATGAGGCTCAAGGGGATGCGTGCATCTCTGTGATTCAGAACACAAACATGTATCACGGTACAAGTCATTGTTGTGCCATAAATATAATTCCTATCGGTCGAGGTTCAAAAGGTTTTTCTGTATATTCATCCTTAAAAATACAAGATAGCTCCTCTCAGTTATGCGCTACAGTACTCTTTCGGCCATTGCCACGCTTGTGGGCAGCGCCCTATCCATCTACATTCCTACAGACCCATTCCACACCTTAACTCCAACAGGTGCAGCTCCGCTGGGGGCTGTTAGTGACTACCACTATTCGTTTGGAATTGCGGTGAATCCTGTGACTGATATGGATGCAACGCCAACCCGTCTCGCGGAGGTGAAACAGCTCACGAAGATCTTTACCAAGGTTTCAGTTCTCACCACAACCATTAGACCTACATTAACTGCCGCTATTGCTCACCAAATTGGCGATGGACAGGTACAATTCTTTGCTACTCCAACTTCGTGTCCAGAGGACGGAGCAGAAAGTGAAGCAGAAGGTGAAGCAGAGGATGGAGCAGAAAGTGAAGCAGAGGATGAAGCAACAGAGGGTACCGAATTAGAGTTTGTGCCAGACATTGAACAAAACACGTTGAAGGAAACCTCAGCTCCAAACCCAATTGTCAAGACCTCTGCATCCTCGAAAAATCTGCACGCGAAGCGGTTCACTGATGACAGAGAAGAGGAGGACGAGTATCCAGAGCCGGTACTCGCGGTTGCGTGCTGGAAGAATAACACTTTGACAATGTCGTTGGAGAGTTCCGTTCTTACGGATACTCTTGGGCGTATTGGTACGATTGTGGGCAACAACCAGTTCCAGTTTGACGATCCGCCTCAGTACGGATGTAAGTATGCTGCAGGGTGGTCGATCACCCAAACAGGCCAGTTGGCACTTGGTAGCCAGGTGATTTTCTACCGCTGCTTGTCGGGTGAGTTCTACAACCTCTACGCGGAAAACATTGCTCCACAATGTGGGCCAGTGACCTTTGACGTGGTTAACTTTGTGGACTGTGACTCTGAAGACGCTTACTAAGGGCAAATTAGCGCAGAGTATAGTTTATCGGACATAAATTTTGCTTAAGATCCGAGGAGTAAGTTAGAGTAATATAGCTGACATGAACTGGTAGAGGATAAACTTTTAGCTTGGGTAGAGATACTGGTTCGGTCTGTGGATACTACAGGTGCCGTATACTGGTCAGGAAACCACAATTTGGCCGCGTGAGAGCCTTTCCAAAATAATGCCATGTTTAACACTAGATTTTTAGGGTTCTCATCCTCGCAGGAGCCGTGTTTACGGACAGTATTCCTTTCCTTTTTGGTTCGGAAAATGTTCCAGCCGATGCCATTGACGCGCAGAGAATTTTCGGGGCGCACGGGCCACCCCTCAGCCCTCAGCGATCACTACTTCGCCCGCTGTTGTTTTGGTTATGAAGAAAAATATACTAGAAACTTTTGGTCACCAATACTCTATTACTTTCAAGGACGATCGGATGAGTGTGCACGAGCTAATGGTTGGCAACTTACCCCACCCATTTATCTATGCCACTTCACGAAAAAACCACTCCTTTGCATGACCTAAACCATGGGCTTGTCCCCACCGTGTAAAAACGTAAAGGTGAACCATATCAGGATGAGCCTGGACATATGGCATGACGAAAGATTCAAGTTTAACTTTCCACCAACGAAAAATGCGGGGCGGGTGGTTTTCGGTTTGTACCCAGCTAGAATCTGGGGTAATAAGGGAAGAATATCATGGTGGGGCAGCTAGACTTAGCCCCTCTTTCACCGACATTGAGGTAGTGCCATGACGAAAAATCAGCAGAGAGATTTAGGTGGTGCGTCTCAGTGATCGAACACGGGCAGGGAGGGGTCATCTGAAGGGGGGTATCGGCGTTGTCGCTTCCAAACGTCCGAACGTTCATCCTGTATAGCTCCTGCATGTGTTATCTCGCATAACGCTAGTCACGAACTAGACGATTGGGAGGTTGTATCATTGCCCGAGAATGAATCAGTTACTGGAACCCATGAGCCATAGCATTACATCTAGTGTTCTATATTTTTGGCGCGGAATCTACTACGGACATGTATATTGGGGGTCTACTACAGACATGAATATTGGGGCCCGATCTCTCAGGTGACGCACAGCGACATCCTGGCAGCGCTGTTATGAAGTATTTATCCGTTCATTCACAGCTAATGGTTGGCTTTAGTGGATGAACGGATAAATGGACGTTCGTATACGGGGTCTCCCGGTCACGCAGAGAAAACATAAAGTTCTCCTGTAGTCAGGGCCTACTGTCCGGGTATTATTAGCGCTGGTGCCTAACAGTCACCCATAGTTTTTGGTTTGCCCCTCCTCTCCAGAAATTACTGGTCGAAAATTGTACAAAGCAAGCTTAACACTACCCCTCTGGAACATGCACTTAGCGAGGGTTCGCCTCCAGCCCAAACCGGTTTAGAGTTGGCCCCACCTGTCATTATTACTACACCTTGTCGCTCTGTCCTTATAAACTACGTCATCGCTTATTACTGAGTAGTTGTCGCGATCGTTCTCGTCAATATCGATCCGGGAGCCTTGGGCGAGTCTGGTGAGGGGCGCAGGGGGGGCTAATTCGCGCATGCAGGCATGGCGAGATGAGGGTGCGGCTTCATGCATGTTCAGAATCGTATCACTATTTATCCCTTGGACTGGACATTTTTCAGGGCAATTGCGCTCGGGCCAAAAATATATAAATAGCAGAGCTGTTGTCTTTATTGGAATAATATTTTATCCTTTATCATCATCAAATATTCTCCTCTCTCCGGACCAATACTTTGAATACTATCCAACATGACTGTTCCACAGACCCAAAAAGCTATCATCTTCGAAACCTCCGGCGGTGAATTAAAGTATACCGACATCCCAGTCCCAACCCCTAAGGCCAACGAGCTCTTGATCAACATCAAGTACTCCGGTGTCTGTCACACCGATCTCCACGCTTGGAAGGGTGACTGGCCGTTGGACACCAAGCTTCCGCTTGTCGGTGGCCACGAAGGTGCCGGTGTCGTTGTCGGAATGGGTGCCTCTGTCAAGGGCTGGAAGCTCGGCGACTATGCCGGTGTTAAGTGGTTGAATGGCTCCTGTATGAGCTGCGAGTACTGTGAAACTGGCTACGAAGCTAACTGTGCGCAGGCTGACTTGTCCGGTTACACCCACGATGGCTCCTTCCAACAGTACGCCACCGCTGATGCCATCCAGGCCGCCAGAATCCCACCGGGTACTGACTTGTCCGAAATCTCCCCAATTTTGTGTGCCGGTATCACCGTCTACAAGGCCTTGAAGACGGCAGACTTGGTTGCCGGCCAATGGGTTGCTGTTTCCGGTGCCGGTGGCGGGTTGGGGACTTTGGCCATCCAGTACGCTGTAGCCATGGGCTACAGGGTTGTCGGTATCGATGGTGGTGACGACAAGGCCAAGTTGGTTAGGTCGCTCGGCGCTGAAGCCTTTGTTGACTTTACCAAGGAAAAGGACGTCACCGCTGCCATCCAGAAGGTCACCAACGGTGGTCCACACGGTGTCATTAACGTTTCCGTTTCCGAGGCTGCCATCAACAGCTCCTGCGACTTTGTCAGGCCAACCGGTACTATTGTTCTTGTTGGTTTGCCAGCCGGTGCCGTCATCAAGTCTTCCGTGTTTACCCAGGTGGTCAAGTCTTACAGTATCAAGGGCTCTTATGTTGGCAACAGAGCCGACACCGCTGAGGCCATTGACTTCTTTGTCAGAGACAAGGTGAAGTCTCCAATCAAGATTGTCGGGTTGTCTCAATTGGCCAGTGTTTACGAATTGATGGAGAAGGGTCAGATCTTGGGTCGTTACGTCGTTGACACTTCCAAGTAAGCGCCTGAAACCATGGATCTTCTGGTCGGTCGCGCTCTGGTAGCTGCGTCCCTTGTGTCCTTTTTATGACTTTCATATATTTCAAAATTCTCCCGATTTAATAACTTGTAAGAGCTACTAGCGAGGACTGACTGAAAGTGCTGGCGAAAAACATGCTAGGAATCTTAGAGGCTATCGGCTGGGTAGCATGGAAGCGTGGATATTGAATAGAGAGCACTGTTTATGGACTATGAAAATGAGCAGGCTTGGTAAAAATCCGCCTTTAATAAAGGCTGGGGGATCCCGATATATATAATGCTGGAGATTAGACTATTTGGACTGCTCATAAACTTAAATTGGGTACCCCAGCGGTTGTGGTTAAACCTTAGAGGTCAGCACTCCCCAGAAGCGTGGGACAATAAGGTTTAAGAAGTGGGTTAAGCACCTTGGGGGTTCTGGCGTACCTCACAATTACCAGCACAAGACAAATGCGGATACAGTTTCCAAACAGATCCAGTGGTTGGTGCATTCAAGTATTGTTATACGGAATTATGTGGGGTCTTGTTTCAATATCCAAGCTTAGCCTGAAAGTTAACATGAGACAGATATCGGTATACCCATTACTGCACGGATTAATAGGCTGAAGGGAGTTGTATGCGGTTATACGATTGTTCTAGAGTTATGGAAATGACTCTATAAGCTGATGCGGAAAGATAGAAATATGAATATGTAGATTATGAGGCGTTGACTATCCATTGAGCAGTGCTGGGAACATTTCTCGGGCACCAGAGATTCAGACTAAAAGGACTGCATATCCGCAGGGGAATTGTTAAAGCACCCTTCAAAAATACACATCCTTCGACTACTAGGGTCCCCAGGATGAGACTATCCGCAAAAAGATATCGACAACGGCAGGACTCGAACCTGCGCGGGCAGAGCCCAAAAGATTTCTAATCTTTCGCCTTAACCGCTCGGCCACGTTGCCTAGCAATTGTGGATTTAAAACGTGTGGTAAGTGAAGCTGTGATATAGTATACTTTGGCTATTCTTAATCAGAAGAGGTTTCAAGTGGATTAAAAATATTGTTAATATCTAGATATATTCCATGAAGACTTAAAAAAGAATATATATAAACTCATCATATACTATGTATATACATTTACATATTTAAACTTATGCAACTGACGTTTCATCGTTCCCCACACATTTATATATCAACAAGAAATTATTTGCATATTTATCCCTTAACCCAACCACGTACGTACCTATATATTAAAAATATCCGATATATATTTATTCTCCACATACATATTTTTAGACATCGTTCTAGATCTACAACTACCTAAATACAACCCCTTACCAGCTATACCACATAATGCTATTCAAAAACCGCTTCGTTGGGGGTCCAGAGCGAAACTTCCTTGTCGGCACTGGCCAATACGTACATCCTGGGGTTAAACACGAGTGAACGGGCGAGTCCGGTGGAGGCATCGGACGCAAGCTTGTGGACTGGCAGCAAATCCACCGGCTGCTTGACTCCCTCAAGCTTGCTGATATCATAGAGGCCAATGGTAAAGTCGCCGGAACCGGCGTAGACGTACTTGGCATCGGGCGTGGTCGTGACGCTGCCACAGCCGGGGTACTTTCTTGAGCTGAACTCGCGCGTGCCGTTCAATACCGCCAAAAGGTGGCCCTCAAAGGCATCCACCACGAAGATGACTCCCTCCTCGGTGCCTACGATGATCTTCAAGCCGTCAGTTGTAAACTCGATCTTGTTCCACGCGTATGTGATGCTGCCTGTCTCAGGGTTCGCTGGGAGCGCGAGCTGGAACAAGGAGAAGGGCTTGGCATTTTCGTATGCTTTGAGATCGTACAAGCCAAGCTGGTTCGTCTCGGGATTACCCACCACGAAGAGAAGACCCTCGTTGTCGAACGCCACAAGCATCTTCGGGTTGGTGGTCTTCATCAAGCCCTGGCAAGACGGCAGCCGGAGGTCCCACAAGCGCAATGTCTTGTCCTGGGCGCAGCTGATGAACGTGTCGCTGCTAGGCAGGACTTCGAGGCTGGTGACAAACTCCGTGTGGCCTTTGAAGTAGCGGAGATACGACTTGTCGTGGAGCGAGAGGTAGCGGATGGCATGTTCTTCCGCACTACGTGTCGTAACGTAGAGACAGTTTTTCTCGTGGTGCGTGAACCGCGCCATGTGACAGCCGTACTTCTTGGAGAGGACCGACTTGACGTGTTTTCCCTTCGACACGTCGTAGAGCTGGAGTGATTCGTCTGTTCCACACGAGAGGAGAAACTGACCCGAGTCATCAAAGTCGAGCGACGTGATGGGGCTGTTTGCATCGTGGTAGTGAAACGTCTTCAGCGGCAGGAACGCCCGGAGAATGTCCGACGTGATGGGTTTTCGCGAGGTCATGGCGTTGATATATGGAAATAGGGTATGTGATAGGTATGAGTGTAAACACTAGTGGGTAGAAGCTAGGAGGTGGCACAATACGAAAACACGGGAACACACAGGCTATTGAAATGAATGTGCAGTACGGCAGTTAATACAATGCTAGACACGATATTGAGCCAATTCCTTGAAAATTACAGATTCACAGGCTAAGGATTGAGCGAAGGGATATGATACCGATACGTTTCAAGCGTATAGAATTCCTGACAATTTAAAAAGTGGTGCAAATTTTGATGTTTGCAAATGTGGTTTTCGGCGGGAAAATATCCTGCAAAGAGTATCCTAAAGAGAGCGTGGCTTACCTAGGCTAACCTTTAATCCCAAATGAAAATTACGGTAATGATAAAATCGCAGAGATTGTATTTAGGATAATACGTAAGAAATAATCATCAATAACGTGATATTGCTACAGTATAACTTTAGAATTGCGACCAGGGCGCTGCAAGTAGAGACTGGTAAGGGATATATGCCTAACCTAAGTCGACTATAAAATGGACTAATCGGTACTTGGTGCAAGCTTTGGTCGTAATCTAAGGTATTCGGGAGACCCCTGACATCAGTTACAATCCGTGATATTACCCCTACCTCTGAGCCTCTAAGAAAATATCCGAGTCGCTACCCCTACGGCTTGTGAAATCAATAATTTTTCAAGGTACCAGAAGACCTACACTAGCTTTCAATGGTTTAACAGAAAGATATGATTTCCCCAAAACAGCAGAATAAATCCTCTTTTGGATATCTTTGCAGATGCTAATGCTATCCCACTTCTACTGGCCGGTTTCGTGCAATTAAAGGCTTAAACTCGTTCCTTTGAGACAGCACGCAGAATCTCATACTATACCCAAAACTTGAAATATAGAGACATGTTAACATAAAACCCCTCCTGCTATAAAAAAAAACAAAAAAAATCTGTTTATTAACTCTGGTCTTGCCTCAACACTCCAAGAATGTGGAGTTGCGAAAACCACCGCCACTCACAAAACTGGCACTTGATGACAAAAATCGCGAAATTTTTACACCCCCATAATTCACTCGTTTAAGCCCTCCACTTTCTCAAAACACACGATGGGTATCACCAAATACATCCACTACTCCATCGACTTGGTTCTTGTGTCTATCGTGCTCGCTGGGATCCGCAGAAACACGGGGTTGACGTTTAACGCGGACGAGTTCCATTCCATGGACGCCAGAAGGTACATCTCCAAGTTCTTGGGACTTGGCGAGCGGATGTACGACTACACGGTTTCATTGGTCAGACACAGCGGGTACTTTTACCAGCGTAGCTTGAAGGACGAGTTCACCGATGAGTTGAAGAAGAACTTCAAGAAGAAGGCGAACGAGTTTGACATTCCTTCTGCCAGATTGGACTAGATGGCTTGAAGGCTGTGATTTGAAGTAAACATCCATCCGACGACCAGTGGTTCCACTAGGTACTCAACCGTATGTATTACCCTTTTCGTCTCTCGAATTTCATTCTCCCAGCTTTCATTATCCACATCTGTCGTGTGGCTGGAGGCAACGTTGCTGCTACGTGGGCCCCCCAACCAGCAGGGACAAACAGCAAGAGAATATTAGTCAGTCCCATGTTTTAGATGCATCATCCGTATTATCACGTATACCTATGTTGAAAAAAAGGACATGGACATTTATTAACGGGGAATGGAGGCACAGAGCTCCAAAAGGTGATACTAACAATGCATATAGCCAAAAATACCAAGTTTAGCTAATCCTCCTCGCTCAACGGAATGGAGGCTATCGGTTAATTCTCTCACCGTCTCTACTTCACCTTTATTATAATTTAATGATACCTATGACCACAAGGGGCATGTACCGGGTCCTGTCTCTACCTTTGATTTTTACCTTTTAACCGTCGAGATTCATTTACTGGTGGGTATTTCCGATCTTTCGTGTTTACAATACCCACCAAAAAGCTCGACGGAGATTGACGTCATGTAGGCTATACGGCTCTCTGCGGGCAGTGTTTGCGGAAAAGCCGTGTAGACTACCCCTCCTTTTAAAATGGGGTTCATTGAACCAAGCTTATGTTTCAAGCTGAGCCAACGGCGGGAGGGGACATTAGTGTAGGCTCGGAATCTTAAAGTCTCTGGTAGAACGAAAGAGTTAATTCTAGAGGCTTAGTAATGCTACTTGGAAAGACGTTTTTACTGACCAATAGATTTTATCAAGAGTACCATACCTCTGCACTAAATACTTTATTAAACCTCTTCCGATACCATACCACCAAGCAGAAAAATTTGGAGCCCATATTGATAACTTTGGTATGGCGTCAACCAGAACTCGTATCTACAAGCAAATAGCAATACCCCTACTTTGATGACTGTGAAGAGTGCTCGGCAAGGTTAATGGGAAAACCGGATATAAAACCTTACTCAGTGGATTGAGTAAGAAAGTTCCAAGGAGAAAATTCTTTCGATTATGGTCCACTTAAACCGTATCAGATATACGACCAAAACGGTACTATTAGCCCCTATTTAACAAGTATTACTGGATCAGGCCAGTGGCAGCCAAACCTCCACCGGACTGACTTAGACCGCTAACATTTACGGCCTTCCGTTCGAATAAATATTGATCAGACTATATACAGTGAGTCAGTAGCGGCGGACCTACGACCTCTTGGCTGGCTTAATGTTCTCAGCGGCCTTTGGGGCCTCTGGCTCGGTCTCTTCGGCTTCGAAGTCGACCAAAGCCTCGGACTGTTCCAACAACTCGGTCAACTCACCGCTCTGGTTCATGCTGGTGATGATGTCACAGCCGCCGATGAACTCATTGTCAACGTACAACTGTGGGATGGTTGGCCAGGATGAGTATTCCTTGATCCCCTGTCTCAACTCCTCGTCTTCCAAGACGTTGTAGGCGGCAAACTTGGCAGGATCGACACCCTGGGCACCCAAGGTCTGGATGGTGGCTCTGGAGAAGCCGCACTGTGGCGACTCCGGGGTCCCCTTCATGAAAAGAACAACCTTGGCGGAAGCAATGGCGGTCTCAATCGCGTGCTTGGTGTCGTCGGAAATGAATCTGGCGAAGGCAACGTTGGCCGGGCGCACGGTGGAGGCGAATGGGCGGATCTACACTCCGTTAGTAAGGACCTAAATGGTTGTAGAGACATCTTCTAGGCGTAAATACATACCAAGGAGGACCTGGAAAGGGTAGCTCTGAACATGGTTGTGGGTATTGCGATTTGGTGGAGAGAGAAGATGATGCTGAGTAATGACGCTGATATAGCGAAGTCTCTGTCGCGCTTAGGTAAGCCTACACGGCCACGATTTTCTAACTAAGCTACGCCACATTAGCCACAGATATCTCGTCAGGGAGGATGTGTTTATCCGAGGAGGGATGGGAAATAGGGAAATAGTGGATATCAAGTTGGCCTATTCCCAAAGACAGGCCCAAGTTATATGACTAATGGCTAATGGTAACGAACTGAGAATAGGGTATTTAGAGTTTGGTGCGGATCGAGACCATACCTGTGGGAAACCCCTATTATACAGATGACAAACTTGGCGTTTTAACAGCATCTTGATCCTCGTACCAGCTACACAGGTTAAATCATTAGAATTACATTAGTTATATAATGTACAGGCTGATATTGTACCACCCAAAGCCCCATTTCATTTTTTATCTTTGTTTAATGAGAGGTATTAGACATCATATGATTAACCAGGATAGAGAAACAGTGGGTAATGAATAGCGGATAGATTTAGATATATTTGTGTTCAACCTGCGCTTATCTGAAACTAATATTCTGGTTTCACCATTGACAATTAATATTTTGGTTTCACCATTGACAACTTGTATGCTCATCTTCGACTCGCACTTGCTAAAGCTCTACAAATTCAAGACTCTCCCCAAGACTCGCTTCCACGCCCTGCAAGTGCAGCGGCGCATCCATGCGTGGCAACATCACCTCAACCATGCGAATACGATCGTTATTCGCAAAGCCTGCATCCTCAAACATCACATCCACATCAGCGGGCGTGCTCACGCGACGCGTTTCGTAGTTCACTGCGTTAAACAAGGGAAGAAGCGCAAGATTGTCCCACGGCTGAATGTCGTTATAGCTCGCGTTTCCGTGAAGGAGCCGGTCAATCGTAGATCCGTCGTTATTCATCACAAAGAGATACGGCTTGGTGCCCCAGCGCACCATCGTGGATATCTCCTGCACTGTAAGCTGGAGCGAGCCGTCGCCCACAAAGAGGATGACTCGGCGAGTCGTATCTGTCTCCTCTGCCGCGAGTACCGCACCGAGCGTGGCGCCCACGGTAAAGCCAACAGAACCCCAGAGCACCTGCGATATCCCGAGAGTCCGATCGGGGAACCGGGTCTGGATGACCCCGAAGGCGGAGGTGCCGGTTTCAGTAATGACAATGTCGTCTTCGCGGAGCCATGAGCCGAGACGCGACCAGAGATAGTCCTGAGGAAGAGGGCCGAGGGGGTCTAGCGAGCTGACTTGTGCACCCTGCGAATCAGTCTGCAACTCGTTCCCAGTATCCGGCGCGCGCGCGTTTTCTTTTGCGCGCGCATCGAAAGGGTTCGTATTCGCACTTCGCGTTTCCGCTTCCCACGCCTTGACTAGCTCCTCCAAGCAAACCTTCATCTGGACCCCCGGATATGTCGCAGTCTTGACCTTAACATAGTCCGCATGAAACTCCACCACGTTCTTCGTGCTAAACCTATAGCTAAACGAGCTTGTACTGAAATCCGACATGAGTCCACCAATTGAAAGCACAAGATCTGCGGCATCGACGGCTGCGCGCACCGCGGGGTAGCTGAGGGTGCCAACAAACACCCCGCCGAACCGCGGGTGCTGCTCGTCGACGCCGCCCTTGCCCATCGGCGTGACAAACACCGGGAACTGTGTGGCATCGACGAGCCGCGCCGCGATACGCTTGCACCCATGGCGCGCGGCACCCGCATCCACCACCACCACCGGTGCGTGTGCCGCGCGCATGAGACGTATACACGCTGCGACGACCTCGTGCTCCGTACACGAGTCGTTGGGTGCTCGTGTCAAGTCGAGCGGTGCTGCGAGGCGGGATGCGGGCACGCGCATCGCGACGAGGTTCGCGGGGAGCCCCACGTAGACCGGTCGCTGCGCGAGGTACGCCTCACGGATGCAACGGTCGATCTCTGCGGGTGCGGTGCGGATGTCGTTGAGGAAGGCGGTGGTGTGTGCGACATTCTGCGCCATGCGGTGGAAGACGGTAAAGTCGCCGTTGCCGAGGGTATGGCGGCGGAGGAGCTGTTTCGCTTGGGCCGCAATGGAGGGCACCCCTACTACGTGGAGGAGCGCGACATGTTCCGCGTACGCGCCCGCGACGCCGTTGAGTGCGGAGAGCTCACCGGAGCCAAACGAGGTTACAAGACATGCGAGTCCCGTGACTCGCAGATACCCGTCCGCTGCATACGCGGCGTTGAGCTCGTTTGCATTGCCTACCCAGCGCGAAGTGGGGGGTAGGGTATCGAGGAGTGCGAGGGAGAAGTCTCCGGGGACGCCGAAGATGGAGTGGACGGAGAGCTGGGCGAGACGCGCAAAGAGATATTCACCAAGGGAAATGTCCATAGTGAGCTAGCAAAAGGTAAAAAAAGGGAGCTGGCAAGAGGAGAGAGATATTGTATCGGCCAATAGGTGCTTGGAAGTCTTTAGGCCGTGACAGAGGATGGACGAATAGAGTAAATGCGAGGAAATCGAGAATACAACGGACTCGCACGGAAGCGGGTATTGATCGAATGCGTAGTGTTGGAGAGTGCTAGGATGGAGACCACTGTCAAATAGGCGCTTTCTAATCAACCGGGATTTAGAGCCACAGAGGTATACAATGGAATCGCGGGAGGCTTGACCCGAGCGAAGGGAGAAACCAGGAGTCAGCCGGAAACTGAAAATTGGCCAAGATAGAACTGGCGGCGGAAATAGCCTGTGACGAAGCTAGGGGCTAAGGTGGGTGTTGAGGTTGGAATGAAGTGAAACCAAGCCGAAATGGGCTATAAACCAACGGATCAACTGGTTAGTCCAGGAATTTGCCAAGTTGGAGTTGATATGAATCGTGTTAGATCTATGAAGTGAGGCGATGCAATACCAACTAAGTATGCTGGGCTAGGCAAAGAATCAACTGGAATGAAGGAGGATTTAGCAAACTGATGCTAGGAATATGCTATGGGTAAAACTGGTGGAAATCAAGGGCGGTTCTAGTGTGGCCGTAATAGGGAATTTCGAAAAGCTGCGAGTTTTCAATGATAGATCCAAGCGAACAGAGGTTAAACAATGATTTGAGAAACATCGTGAGACCGTTATTGAAAAGTTATCTTTAGCCAGGCTCTGCGTCGGTGCAGGAGGAGGTCTTATATATTCGCACGACTTTGTTAGCGCCCGTTAAGCGCATACAAAAGCGCATACGAAATGCATAACTGCAGGATAGACAGTGCATATGCAGGATAAGGTGTCGCACCATGGGACTATTGGAACTACATTAAATGTGGCCCATCTCTACCCGAAGGGTAGAATATCTACTTTGGTAGTGTACTGGTTGACTATATAGGAGAGAGGGATCCACTCCCTTATATAGGGTATTGATCCCTACCACGTGACAGCTACACATGTACCATACTAAAGTGTTACAAGCGAGAGTAAGTCATTACAGATGATATTTTGGTTAGAAGCGAGGCAATGTGGTTATATCTTTCCACAAGGAGGATGGCGTATCAGAGCTGAGTGACTCAGAGAGAAAAACTGTGGTTAAAGATATGGATAACTCTGAGTAAGCATAAAGAAAATGAGACATTTCGAGTAGAAATAGTATCGGGCGTTGCATGTTTATTACATCTCATTTTCTGGGCTCTTTCCGGAGGTTACCAAAAAATTCTCATTTATTGGACCTTTCTATGGCAGTAAAGCTAAATGAATAAATGTATAATTTTTATTAATTATAGGTAACAATCTACATGCCAATCCCAAACTAGTTGAACGAGATAAAGCGAAATCAAATAGGTCGATGCCAATATCCATGCTACACGCTAGTTTCGTTTTAGCCTGGAGGAACCTACGACATAGTCTCTATCCCAAGACATAGTCCCTGGGGCTTTCAAGCTCACTGTGATGGGTATTTAGACAAAAAGGTGGTTAGCCATTTCCATCATCCGTGAAGCACATTTGCGATACGGATTTCGCTAAACCCTTACCGTTCTCACCCGACTTATTTATCAACCATGTCCACGTTAAACTCCGTAAAATCGTTCACTGCTAACCCCATGATCTTTGCAACATCCCTGAACTGATTCATGCCCATGCTCAACATGTATTTCCGCTGGTCCATGTCGGTGACGTGCTTGGTGTGTCGGAATTCGTCGCGGGCAAAGTGGATGAGCTCCCTGCCAGTGGTACGGTCGGGGCTTTTGAGAGCGGTACGAACGATTCGTCTATACAACTTGCGGACTTTTTTCTGGAATATAAATTCATCCAAGGAAGGAATGTTGGACGCCTTGAATGTTCGCTTCACCTTGGCGTCCGTGTTCCCCGCGTTGGATAGCGTGAACGATCTGGTGAACCTGGACACAGTGTGTTGGAGCTGTTTAGCAAAAATATTCATATTGTAGCTTTTCTAGATCCGTGATAGGTATAATAATCAAGTAGAAAGGTATAAAATAGTGAAAGAACGGCACTCAAATCATGGGTTGATCTCTTAATAGGTGGTATGTGAAAAATTCTCGGTTGCGAGCCCGGGATGGGAACTTTATACGTGCGCTCTTGGGGCATTGGGTTGTAGCGAAACACCGTTTTGTCGTTAAATTTAAGCCCTTTGAATAGTTTAGAGCAACATAGTCAGGCTTTAACCCTCTACCTGAGTTTTATCATCAAACTATCTCTATAAGCGGCTTTAGTAGAGGCTACAGGAAGGAGATTTCACACTTTCCAAAACCCAATGCGCTTAATATACATAATCAGTTTCTTAGCACCCTTAGTCTTGGGCATAAGTCAGTTACCCCCATAACCAGAGTCTCTAGTATACCACATGTACCATTCTCACTTGAATTATACAGAACAAAAGCAGATCTTTCTACAAACAGCATGGTTTTCCTAGATATACAATCTTTTTTTCAACATTAATTATGTTGATATTACTCATTACCAGTTCAAACTACTTAGGTATACGAGTTTCCACCACCACCCTTAAGAAACGTTATAGCCATTTATATCAGCCCGCCCGTGCTTAACCAACGAAAACAACTCCTCCCTAATCCGCTATCAGCCCCCCTCTACATAACTAACGAAACTGTCACCATCCTCATCGTATGATAGCCAGGTCTTAATAATCGGTACACACACGCCTGTTACGAGCCCTTCCACCTCAGCGAAATTTTCAATCCAACCGGTACAAGTTGATGATATTGGAAACTTATTCAACACCTCTTCAGCTTCCCCACGCGCCATGTCCTTGAACCTTTTGCACAAGAGAAGCTTGGCTTCCGTGGGACTTTTGGCCCGCAGCTTCTCCACCCTTTCGGTGGTAAGACAGGCGGACGAGAATACCGTGGAGGTCCGTCCGTTGATTCCACAGGCCAGCGGCGCGCCCGCGACCGACGCCATTTCGGTGCTCAGAAGAGACATTGGCGACGTTTCGGCCGCCTCGGCCTCCTCGGCGCTTGCGCCATACCCGTCCTACACAAGCATTTTCGAGAACTTGAAACCGGCGACGAGAACCAGGGGCAGAGAAAACTCAGACGTCGACGCAGAATTGGAGGCCAAGAGGGTGGTGCCAAAGTTGAACACTTTCTACGCAGCAAACCCAGAACACGAGCATAACATGGACGGCTTGACCAGTCTTTTGGCCAAGCACAGAGGCATTCCGGTGGACACCTCCAAGAGCACCAAGGAGGAGAGATTCAGATGGGTCACCATGGAGGAATACAAGCGCTTCGGGGGTGACACCAGATTGTCGCCAAAGGCGTACAAGGAGTTGACCAAGGTGTTGAACCGCCTCTTCCAGATGGACGAGCAATTGATGCCTGACGAGGTTGAGCAGAGCTTGGAGCGGTACAAGAAGCAGGTTTCGACCGTGTTCATGACCAAGGGGACTAAAAAGTTGGACGAGTTCGGCAGAGCCGAGGTGCTCGGCAAGAGAAAAACTTCCGGTGCCAAGGTCTACCTCACCAAGGGTGACGGCCAGATCATCATCAATGGCAAGTCATTGGACGAGTTTACCCCAAGATTGACCGACCGTGCCAAGCTCTTGTTCCCATTCAGAGTCACCGGCTCCGAGGGTGAGTACAATGTGTTTGCAGTCGTCACCGGTGGTGGGCCATCCGGCCAGATTGGCGCCGTTGCCCACGGTATTGCCAGAGGCTTGGTTGTGCACAACCCGTTGTTCACCCAGAGATTGTTGAAGGCCGGAGTCTTGGTCAGAGACCGTAGAAGGGCCGAGAGAAAGAAGCCGGGCAAGCTCGGTGCCAGAAAGAGCCCTACCTGGGTCAAGCGTTAAGGTGAGACCTCGTCAAGACACACCCGTGTCTCATGTATATATACAACACAAAGATGAACGAAATATGCGTAGAGAAGGGGAATATGTCAGATTAATGCTTAATTTTGGTCTCTCAAGACACTAACTACCGATTTATATCTCCAAGAATCGCCAGTTTCGACGTCCCATACACTTCCTGCTAATTAGAATTTCCGGATTGCCCCTTTCTATTATCTGGGATTTCTGGAATATATTCTGACAGTTGACCGTCAGTGAACCCTTCCCATGGTGATGTTACAGGTAGTGCACGTACCACGCTTACATAAGCACCATCAGCCAATGAAAGCTGAATTTTCGCGCGAAAGCTCGGATCTCAATCGGGCGTCGACTATACATAAAGCAAAATGAAGGATCCAGCACGTTAGACACTTGAACTTTATCACAACTATACTTCAAAATGGGTGCTGCTTACGTTATTTTCGGTAAAACTGTTCAACCACACGTTTTGGCCTTGGCCACTCTCGCCCCGGTCTTTTTCTATGCCGCGGTCCCAAACCCATTTGCGGGTAAGACAGCCTTGGGTGAGCCACCAATCAACGCCTCTTCCCCAGAAGAGGAATCCTTCATCAAGTATGTTTTGTCGATTTCTCACGCTAGTTGCATTTACTGACACTTTTAGGGAATTCATCAAGAAGCAGGAACAAAAGCACTAAATGGTTAGGGTTGAGCCTGGCACTGGTCGTAAGGCGACAGTTGCTGCTCTTGTGCATCGTGTATAGATATTATTGATTGAAGATAACATTTTAAGGAACGAACGTGGTGTAGACAAGATTGGGAGAGGGGAAGGGAGTTTGTATGGGCATCGGTGGGCCGTTTGATCTCGTTAAATGAAAATTTACGTTCAGAGGGATGTCATACTATTTTCCTGGCAATTTCGAATGCCTGAAATTAAACAAATTTCACGTATTTCATTTCAGACGTTCAGGATTTCATCTTTGGAACCCTAGAAGGTTTCAGTAAATGTTTAAAAGTTTGATTTATAAGGATTTTCGGTTTGCTAAAAGGCTCTTTGATGCGACCAAAGATAACCAGTTTAAGAATATTATCACTGGTGCGTATTCATTGTATACGACTTCTGTAATTAATAACAGTCGCCTATATTGAATCGGGGACACATCAAACAATCTATTGTGTACTAATACTTATTCCCGCTGGTTTCAGAAAGAATACTCAATTGAGTTGCTCGCTAACATTTACCTCTTTCTACCAAAATTTTCTATACCTTATTTATGTCTCAAGTTATAACTACCCTTTTGTGATGTTACAGATATAACTCTACATTCTCCGCTTAGACGCATTTTCCGTATAAAAAAAAGTCAAACTCTCCGCAGAACCCCTTTATTTCAACCTATGCTATTCAAGCTTAGCACACATCACACTGTCCTGGACACCGGACCACCACGTCACCGACGAGGGCCAAACATTTTTCATTGGACTGACTCCCACGCCCTGGTCGCCCAAATACACCGGACCAACAGTGACAATCAAACTGTCCACAACACCCTTTCCCTCACTCTGATACACCAACAAACTATTAATGACCTTGGCTCCACCCTCAACCATCACAGACCCGATGCCGTATTCAGCCAAGGCGTCCAAAAGACGGCGCCAGTCGAACTGACCACCAGCCCGCTCTAACCTCACATAGCGTCCGCCTGCGGCCTCTAAATACGCATCAGCGGCTTTTGGAACCTCAGTTGCGGCGTCAATGATGATAAATGGCGCAAGACCGTCACCAGAGGCCACCGTGCAGTCAATTCTGGATCCCTGGTACACCCACTGGCGTCGCGGATCCACCACCACGGGTCTGATTCTGTGCGCGTTGTACCGGCAATTCAACCCAGGATCATCGCTGAGGACGGTTCCCAGTCCCACCAAGATCGCATCGTGTTTGGAGCGCAAGTAGTGGGTCATGGTCTTGGTTTCCAAGTGGGAAATGACGGTCTGGAGGCCGGGCCCCGCCGCGATTTTGGCATCCAACGACTGCGCGTAGGTGAGGGTCACAAAAGGAACACCATTCCTAGGGAGGTACAGCGCTAAAAAGGGCTCAAGCGATGGAGGTAATGGGATTAGCTGGGACATAAGGTGGGGTTATTGGGGCTGATGGGGGAAGAGACTCACGATTGTGTTTATATAGTCGCCTGCATGCATAGGCGACCTGCATCATGTCGGTCGCCATCATTCAGATCAAACATACGCTTATTCAAAGGTTAATCTGATAGCAATACATTTCAATAAATCCAGTAATAATGAATTATATGCTACGAGGCAAGCCAATTTCTGCTGAGAGACAGGCCATTTGCATATCTTAAACTGCATGGCGTTACCGATTGATAGTATCAAAGAGCCCATACACAACAGAAACTACTTTCTAGAACCGATAGGAGAAAGCCATGTAATTGCCAAGGTTTTCGACTCCGATGGATTTGACCGTTGACCCAGCCAACCATAATAGACTAATTATAAAATAACCAATAGCTGGTATTGTGACTTATAACCAAGCAGAGGTTAGAGGAAGCAAAAGCTATAGCAACCATTCCAGCAATCTCAAACCTCTGGTACAGCTCACATCTTTGGATAGTCGGGTCTAACCATGAGTTCTCCCTCTTTTGTGTAGCCCACTATTTATAATCCCTATTTTTAATGATATCCTGATCCTGATAGAATGCCCCCTTGTGATACGGTCTCTTAGTCTCACCATCCACCTCCACCACCTTTTCCTTCAATATTTCCAGTGCCTCCTGCTTCGCCTCAAACTCCTTTAGCTTCTCCTCTTCTGTCATCTCACGCCGGCGTTCCAACTCTTCTCGCTCCAATTCGGCCTCCTCTAGCATCTGTCTTTCACGTTGAATACGCCCAAGCTCTCGGATCTTCCACTCAGCACGTTCCGCCTCGGGGTCCAAGTCATCGGTGTCATCCACCCCTTCTGTGACATCCTTGAGGTTTTCCCTGGCCTGTATGATGCTCTGCCTGATATCGTGTTCAATTGCCTCGAGTGTCCGCTCCTTGGCCGAGTCTGTGGTTCCGGGGTTGGCACCTGCTCGTTTGGTTTTGGAGATAAAAACTGGCCTGAGAAGTTGAGAGTCTGAACCGGAGTCGTCAGAGTCGTCCTCATCGTCGGAGTCATCCTCATCGTCCGAACCCTCTTCAGAGGATTCGCTGGGGATGACCACGGGATTAGTGGTTATGGAACCCCCCCGAGAAAAGGTATTTCTTGGAGGATTTCCAATTGTGCCATCAACTATTCCTGGAGCTTCAACAATGTTATCAGTACCTAAGCCACCAGTAGTTGTGCCGTCACCAGAATGTTCTTCCTCAGACTCTGAGCCTGATGACTCAGACCTGTCTAGATTCTTTCCTGGAAAGTAACGCGCGGGTCTGGACATTGGACAAGAATTATAGAATGAATATACCCATCTTGTCCAGATAATCCTCCCCCTTACATCCTCACTTTCGTGTCTTATTTCCCATCGCTCATAATCCGATGAGCTACTGTGCCGGATTGAAAAATCTTACGGAAAAATCTGCAAATTTTTATGCAGCTTAAGAAACTTTTCTTGACCCTTCTACTCTGCAAACCCATATATCCGTTACCATGTCTGCAATCTACAAGGCCCTTGCGGGGAAGAGCGCTACTGATGGCGAAGCCAAGAGAAAGGTCAAGCACATCAACCGCCAGAGAGTGTTGATCATTTCTTCCCGTGGTGTCACCTACAGACACCGTCACTTGATTAACGACCTCCACGCCATGTTGCCCCACGGACGCAAAGAGCCGAAGTTGGACACCAAGAAGACGTTGTACGAGTTGAACGAGGTTGCTGAGTTGTACAACTGTAACAACATCATGTTCTTCGAGGCCAGAAAACACACCGACTTGTACTTGTGGTTGTCAAAGCCACCTAATGGGCCAACTATCAAGTTTCACTTACAAAACATGCACACTACCGACGAATTGAACTTTACCGGCAACTGTTTGAAGGGCTCCAGACCAATCTTGTCGTTCGACCAGACCTTCGAGGACGCTCCCCACACCAAGTTGATCAAGGAGATGTTCATTCACACCTTCGGGGTCCCACCGAACGCCAGAAAGTCCAAGCCGTTCACCGACCACGTCATGTCCTTCAGCATTGTCGACGGCAAGATCTGGGTCAGGAACTACCAGATCAACGAGTCCGCCGCCGAGAAGGAGAACGAGGCGCAGGAGGAGATTGAGGAGATGAACTTGGTCGAAATCGGGCCAAGATTCGTCATGACTGTCATCACCATCTTAGAGGGCTCCTTTGGGGGACCAAAAATCTACGAGAACAAGGAGTACGTCTCGCCAAACTTTGCCAGAGCTCAGGCTAAGCAACAGCAGGCCGAGGAAGCCAGAGCCAGATCCGACGCCGCCATGAACTTGAAGATTAAGAAGAGAGACAACGTCATGGAGGCCGATCCGTTGAGTAACACTGTGTTGTTCGAAGACGAATAAACGGCGGAGTGACTGTGTATATTATAATGTTTCAGACAATATCCTGGGCTGTAAGCGAAGTTACCATCGTTATAAAAACTGAATGGAAGATAAAGAGATTCTTACCTTTGTAGAAAGACATTGAGAATGGAAACGGAGGATATTCTTTGTTTGGGTTTCCTGCTTGTGTGTAACTAACCGTATGGGCTTGTCAGTCTTGCCGAAATATCAGAAACCGCTCACGATTTTACTTCCGAGGGGGATGTTTTGGATGAAAGCAGGTTAATACTCAATCCAAATTTTTAGTTCACATCCCATCCCCAAATACAAGCTCAAGTTTTTATCTCATGCCTCACTGCTGGACTCTGACCAGAACTAAAGCTCTAGCTACAATACCCGCAAATCATGACATATCTATAAACGTAGCAGTGTCACCAATACACTTGAACGCACCATCCTATGTTTTTACGGCAAAATCACAATTTCAACCGGGCCACCCCTTCTACCATATAACTCGGAAACTCCACCAGCCTCGTAGTCAACGGTGGAGCCTTAAATCTCGGACAGGTGCCTCTAGCCTTACATGGCCTACGCCCACCCAATACGATGCGCTCACATTCAAATGCTATCGACACTACATCTATAGCACCAAATAATTTCTATTTGCTTATAAAATTTCTATTTGATTAAACCTTTACCCCAACATAAATCCCTGAGTGCTGCACAGTTTTGTGCGTACATTTCGTCCCGCGCGTAGCCTCCCTCCCTAACAAAAAACTTTTTTCTCGTGAAATTTTTGTACATTAGAGCTGCCAGTGAAGATAAACACGTCTGCTACGATAGCCCATCACCCATCACCCTTATCCACATCATGGAAGATACCGAGAGAAGCATTTCCCGCCTTTGGAGATCGTTCAAAACCGTCAAGGAAATGGTCAGAGACAGGGGCTACTACATCGCCCAGGAGGAGATCGACATTCCGTTGGACGAGTTCCGCTCCAAGGTGTGCGACAGCATGAACATCCCGCAGAGAAAGTTAATGTGTTTCCAGGCGCAACCGACTGCTGAGGCGTTGGCAAAGTACTCGGAATTGGGGTCCTTGTGGGTCGAGTTCTGTGACGAGGCCAACGTCGGTATTAAAACCATGAGAAACTTCTGTATCCACATCTCCGAGAAAAACTTTCTGACCGGTATTTTCATCTACCAGGATCGTATCACCCCGTCAGCGAGCAAATTAGTGCCAACCGTGGCGCCAGCCACCATTGAGACCTTCCAGGAGTCCGACTTGGTTGTCAACATCACCCACCATGAGTTAGTGCCGAAGCACGTGAGATTGTCCATCGAGGAGAAGAAGGATCTCTTGGAGAGATACAGATTGAAGGAGTCGCAGTTGCCTAGAATCCAGAGAGAAGACCCTGTCGCCCGCTACTTGGGTTTGAAGAGGGGCCAGGTTGTCAAGATCGTTAGAAGGTCTGAAACCTCCGGCAGATATGCCTCCTACAGAGTCTGTCTCTAGTGCGGAAGCTACGGCCTCGTGCCTCTTGTCTGCATTTATGTAATATAGTAATCAAAGCGTTTGCTGAATAATGTAAGGAGGGGACTACAATCGTGCGACTCTGAGCCTGGTTTCTCCATCGTGCGACTCTAAGTCTAGCTTCTCAGCCCAGGGCCTACAGATTGAAACCCCAAATATAATGCAATACAACAAAGGGTGGGGACTTTGCCCTAAAGTTTACGAACGAGGTGTGTTAATGAGGGAGTTTATATCATAAAACTAGATATAAGTTTCAGGAAATATGGAAAACTCTGGAGAGCATATTGGTAATATCCGTCAAGAGTAAACCGACCCGTTAGATGACATTCGCAGGGTTAAAGTTTCTCCAGTACACCCGACTACGCCCAATTAAAGATAATTCTAATGTATATCATTGAAACTAAAGAGCAAAATGACGGCGGATCACCATGCAATTGGGTTTGTTTTCTGAACCAATCTCACCTTCTCGGCCCAGACTCGGCCCTTACCTAGGACACTCTCCTCCAAGATCAGCTGGACATTCTTTGGATGGCAGCGTGCGAGCCAGATCATGTCACCGTTCTTCTTGTAAATCATCACGTTGGCGGTGTACTTGTGGCCACCTACGTGGTTCACGAAACTGACCTTGACACCACCAGCTCTGTCGTCACCATAGTCACGCAAAAGGTCCTTGTCTCTGAGAATGTCTTCCATCTCGCGCTTCATGATTGGTGCGGTGATACCGCATCTCTTGTCTCTTGTCTGGTGGGAGCAGAGGAAGATGTGAGACTGGAAACCACAGGCCTTGACTGCGAAGCCCTGGACTTCGCCAACCGGCAACTTGGTAGCCTCCTCAGTTTCACCAACCAGCAGCGTCGTAGTCTCCTCAGCCTCGCCGATAGCTAACTTAGTAGTTTCGCCAGCCAACTCGGCAGTATCGTCACCCGACTTATCCTCTTGGGCCTTTTGCAAGATATCCACAACTTCTGTCAACACAGAGTCGACTTTATCCACAGTCAACCCGTGCACCCAGACAAAGTACGGCAAAAGCAAAACATCGGCCTTGGTTCCGTTAATATAGGCCGGATCCATTTCATCACCCAAAGGCAAGGAAGAAGTCGACACCTTGATAGAGCCGCGCTCGCCGTCCTTACCCACCAACTTTGTGGCCGTGTTGCTTTTGCTCCACTCGGCGATCTGCTTCTTCACGGTCCCTCTCACATCGGTGGCATCTCTGATCCAATCGGTCTTCCCGGTAGGAACCACGCAGTGCAAATCGTAATTCGCGGTCGACCTCCACAACACGGTGTTTCCGTCATCCTCGTCCGAAAGCTTGAGGGAGGAGGGAAAGGAAGTGGTACAAGCGCCACAATCCATGGAGCAGGTATCATCGTCGGATTCATTCACAACTGGAATGATTTCTGCAATCTCCGCTTTGGCTTTTGCAAGATCTGCAGCTTTGCTTCCGAAGATTTTGGCAAAAAGAGCAACCATGGTGGGGTTAGTCTATGATAAATGAAGGTCCAAGTTGGGGCTGGCGTCAAGCTTTTTTTCTTGCTTTCCCAAATCTCAAGGTTAAACCGGAAGGGGCTTAGTGTAAGAAGTAGAACAGGAGAAGTTGGGGTTATATATATTTTTTGCCACAGAGCTCTGTTTATTTTTATCTCCGTGGTGGCTCCCTGCACATTAGGTAAACATTTTTTTATCTTACTAATCTCGATGCGTGTGCTAGGAATTTCCCAATGCGGTAAACGCCGATCAAATGCACCTAGCCGTACGGTGCTGGGGCCGACTTCGGACCGGCTTCTGGGAACACTTCCACAGTTTACTATGCCCACGTTCTTATTTTGATTGACCATGGTGTATCACCCTTGCGTGAAAGTATATGTCTCGGATGTATAGCATGTGAGCTGGTTTAACTGTGCTTTAAGCTGTTGGAGCTTTTGTCTGGCCTATTTTGTGGCAATTACCGAACTAGGATTGGCCATATTCCAAGTTAGGTCTTCGAAGCTTCCGGGGATTACGGTTTAGACGCGTAATTATACGAAAGTTGACGTCTTAAAACCTGAGTTTGACGGCATTCAGACTAAAAGCGTGAGTCGTGGAGAGTTGAACTAGCAGTCATAAGTGAATAACGTACGTGCGCTAGTTGTAAGCGGTACAGGCAGTTTCACTAGCCGTTGTCTACGGAGCGCTTGCTCGTTTTGTTAGGCTAATACTTTAGACCCATACAAAGTATATTAATTATGAAGGAAGGGGTGGGACAAGTTGGTAGGTGTGACTCGGTGGGTTTAAGGACGCGTTCAAACATGTTGACGGAGCAACCAGCATGAAGAGGATACACCCCAAAGAGACAAGACACTATAAAGTGGAGAGAGGGACGTAAAAGGAGGCTATATTATGGTAAATAAATCCTAATAAAGAATCAGCCGGTAAAAATAGTAGCTAGATCATTTTGGGGTGAGAGCAGGAGACGGCTTCGTAGTTTAGCCTTTCAACGGCTGTTTCCAAACATGCCATTTACGTTCAGAAACCCGCCTGATTAATAAGACATCATAAGCCATTTACGGCAAAGACCGGTTGCTAATTACACAGGGATTGTAGTGTGAACCAAATACAAAAATATACCGATCTCGGTGAGGGTCGAACTCACGATCTTGTGATTAACAGTCACACGCCTTAACCAACTTGGCCACGAAATCATTCAGTACGACCTGTCCGGTTTTAGGTGTCTTCCAAATCTGAAGATATACTCTTGTGGTGGAACTAATGGTTATATCAGCCTTATTCGGATTCCTACCCTCGCTCAAAAGCCCAAGTCTGATACGGCCAAGCAGGGTCTGATTCTTCTTCAAGGTAGGTTATAAGGGAATACGATCTCGGCGGAGATCAAGCTGATCTTTAAATTAACAGTTACATGCCCAGGCCACGAAAGACCTAGTTCAGGTCGAAGAAGGAGGCTACCTTGTGTAAGCTCTTCCAATGTATCTCACCGCAACATTGCTTCTTATAGTCAGGACAATGGGCTGGTAACATCGCTCCTCACAGCCAAGATAATTGGATGTTACCCAATAGTTCAATCCTTGTGGTATAGTTTCATATATTTAAGTAAGGCTAGTAAAAAAAGATCATTAGAGAGCACCTTCAGCCCTAACGAATTAGGGGTTAAACGGGAAGAAATATTAAAGAACGGGAAAATTATTCACGCCATAGAGCGGGTTCTGGTTGGTAATGGAAGTACCCTGATTCTAAGGTACGAATTCTGCTTGTTGGCGACACCCGCATAGGCATTGTACCAGGCGATAAACGAAGTGATGACACCAAACACACCGCCAGCTCTGGTAACCCCCACCTTACCACTAAACTCTCCGATGGCCAAGAGCAAGAAGGTAATGTCAAGGATGAAAAACAAAAGGAAGAATGCCAAGGTTGACTTCATGGTGCACAACAACATGAAGAACGTGAAAAAAAACCAACCCAATAAGAAGAATCCCACCGCGTCGGCCAACTCCTGGGGATTATCCTCGTAAGCCGCCACGATACCAAACCACGGAATGTTAATCGCTGCGTAGGACATCCAGAACCCACCGTAGGAGGAAAGAGCAACCCCACCAAAAGTGTTCTCAACCGCAATTTCCCACATACCAGCCAAGAGTTGGATGAGCCCACCGTAGAACATTGCCAAGCCCACTACAATGTTTGGGGTCTTGACCCCCATTGCCCTTGCGTTACACATAGACAACACGAACGTGGTTAAGGCGAAACCGCATAACCCAAGGGGCGCAGGGTTACCGAACTTTCTGGATGGAGCCGGCGCGTACTGTTCGGGCTGCAACGTACCACCAAAGGCTTGGGCCAAGTCCTCCTTCAAGAATTTCTGCTTTCCGATCAAGATGTACTCTTTTTCGCCATCATGGAAGTGTTGGACCTTTCCGAACTCGTCGTCAGGAGTCTCAAGAGGCTTCGGTTGGTCCTCAGAAATGTGGAGGGAGTCTGACATTGTTATTTGTTTGGGCTGTTTTGATTATGCTATATGTACGGGATGAACAAATGGGTGAAGTAGGAGCTGTCGTAAGACTTATATAGGAAAGATATTAAGGTTGCGATTTTCATCAAGGTCACGGACAATATAAGCTAGTCTACAGATCCGGAATTGAAACCATCAAGTAGTTCCTGGTGGGGTAAATCATACGGATTGAAATTATGGCAAGGGTGTGTTCTCTATGTGACCACGGCCCTTAGATAGCCAGAAACTCTGAATACAGCGAACGAGTGTGGGGTGCAAGCAGCATGAGGACCAGCTGCAAAGATGCTTAAATTCACCTGTCCTAGTTATCTAGCAAGCTAGTAGCCTGGGCGTCCTGTACTCACAAGAAATAAACTCATAGTACCGGTAATAAGCGGTGAATTGCTGTATAAGCCTTTAAGCCTGACTGGTCATTCAGGCTTGTCATGCACTTTGGGGCCTTTCTGCATGAGCCGAATGAAACAGCATATGCACGTCGTTGTAAAATCTATCCACCTTTGACCAACCTACTTTTGGTTTATCTACGCGTATGATAGCTGGCAACCGTGCTGTATGTGACTGTGTTCTGGAATCCCAGTGGAGATCAACTACGGCTGGATGGATGTAATGTCACGACAGAATAGAGGTTCCCCTGCGTGACCAGAGTTCTGCATATAGCATGCTCCATATTGCGTGCTCTTTGCTTATCGCCGCCGCATTCTTGGAGGCTACAGGTTCGATAGTATTTCCGTTATCGATTGAAAAACTATGCTCGATATTATGCATTAGGATCCCGGATCCGTGTTTACCGCTGCAAGGGAACTAGAGTATGAGACTGAAGTTAATCCTGTCCAGATGTGTTCCCGGGGCTCATGCGTTTGGCTCGGATTCACGGGTGCAACAATGTGGGCATGCAGGGATACTCTGGAGAAACTATGGGGTGACAAAAAGAGCAGGATAGTATGGGGGCTGCAATAAACCATAGATCTGATTTGGAAATCGGGTGTTTTACTCAACACGATAATTTCACACTATTCCCCCGGAGCTTGGACACATGCCTTAGTCAACTTGGTCACACCTAGGATATACGACCTGTATTCCGGGTGTGAGTATGAGAGGTGTTTTTCGTTTGGTGTCAAAGCAAAAAGATGACGTTTAATCGTTTCTTTTGCTGTATTCATTAAAAAAAACAATTCATTCAGAAACATAGTAATATCGGAGGTACGGATTATAAATTTTAGCAATGCTATCTACTCGAGATGGTCTTTGATCGCTAGTTACTAAAGAGCTTCTCACGCCAATAAGATTGGTCTAGTTAGTACAGATCCACAGGGGATAACTTTATAGCTAGGAGTTAACCGATAAGACAATCTGATATCAGAGAATAAGGATATTCCATCAAGCCATAGATCTCGTCGGAAAGGGGACAACCTTGACTCTTAAATAGGAGTTTTGGATGTTAGCAATACCCGCATAGGCATTGTACCAGGCGATAAACGAAGTGATGACACCAAACACACCGCCAGTTCTGGTAACCCCCACCTTACCACTAAACTCTCCGATGGCCAAGAGCAAGAAGGTAATGTCAAGAAAGAGAAACAACAAGAAAAACGCTACGGTAGACTTCATGGTGCACAACAACATAAAGAACGTGAAAATAAACCAACCCAACAAGAAAACTCCCACCGCGTCGGCCAACTCCTGGGGATTATCCTCGTAAGCCGCCACGATACCAAACCACGGAATGTTAATCGCTGCGTAGGACATCCAGAACCCACCGTAGGAGGAAAGAGCAACCCCACCAAAAGTGTTCTCAACCGCAATTTCCCACATACCAGCCAAGAGTTGGATGAGCCCACCGTAGAACATTGCCAAGCCCACTACAATGTTTGGAGTCTTGATCCCCATTGCCCTTGCGTTACACATGGACAACACAAACGTGGTTAAGGCAAAACCACACAAGCCTAGAGGCGCCGGGTTGGCAAAGCGTCTTGAAGGAGCTGGTGCAAACTGCTCCACCTGCATTCGACCACCGAAGGCTTGGGCCAAGTCTTCCTTCAAGAATTTCTGTTGTCCGATCATTATATACTCCTTTTCGCCATCATGGAAGTGTTGGACCTTTCCGAACTCGTCGTCAGGAGTGTCAAGAGACTTCGAATGGTTCTCAGAAATGTGAAGAGAGCTGGTCATTTGTTCTTGCTGGTGGGGTCGAATAAAAATAATAACTTCAAGCTGATGAATATATGTAGCGTACCTATAGATTTGAGTTTTGGTTTGATATTTGGAGTGCCTAACTCCGAACAAGTCTCCGGGAGGTATCGGTGAAGGTAATTCTGCGTCTTTTGTTACTCGTGCATGACAAGGGCCTGTCGTCTGTACCATTGAGTGTGGCACAAACCCACCCAGTTCCATCTGGCGACTCATGGATATCACCGAACGAAAATTTCCTGAAAGACCCAACGCTAATAGTATTGAATCACGGACTGGATGCATATGGCAAGCTCCACCGTTAATTCCGAATTATCGTCCGTATCCCCCTCCGAGATTTTCGGATAAATACTGCGTTTCTTCTGCAGATATTTCCCGCATGCAGACTTAGGCCTTGTCCTCTAAGAAACGGCAGCATCGGTCGACGCTTAACCTTATAAGCATGCACGTGCCTAAGTTTTAGTAGCAACTTATCAAAAAGCACGTGGTTCTTTGTCTAATGTGATGCCATCACCAGACGGGGGTTGGAGCAGAGTCTGGGGGGTGGAAGGAAAGATCTATTCGGTCCAGTATTATCTCACAGTAAAATATGTATGACTGATACACAGAAACTACGTTTCCGGAGTCAGCCTCTTTTTTTAGGCCGCCTGCTAAACTTGAACGCCAGATTAAAGACTCGACTAAAACCTGATGCATATCAGATATGGCACCAAATTAGAATAAAAGCTCCACCGACTGGGGCACTAGTTAGATTGGATTTGTAGGAGAAAAAAAACATTGAATAGGTGGCAACAGAACCGGCCCTAAACCTTAACAGTAAGGAATTTTGTCTCAACAATCTGATATATACAGAGATTGTCAACGACCCCTAGCCATTATCCTCATGTGAAATCAGAACCGTGAACGATTGGTTAAATTTATACTTTAGGATCACACGCAAATAATATATATATATATATATCTTTTATTAAATTAAAGCTCTAGTTGTAAAGTAAGGGTAGCAAGGGCTACTAAGAATAGCTTGGTTTTGGAACGAAAAAAGGCACCTGCGAGTGATTAGGCAAAGGAAGGCATGGCAACGGCCTTGACATGAACGTAGGTATTCTGGGGGTTGGCGATACCCGCGTACGCATTGTACCAAGCGATAAACGCGGTAATAACACCGAAAACACCACCGGCTCTGGTAACCCCAAGTTTACCAGTAAAGTCACCAATAGTTAACAAGATAAAGGTGACCAACAAGAAGGAGAACAAAGCAAAGAAAGCCCAGGTGGACTTCATAGTGCACAACCAAAGCATAAAGGTGAAGATGGTCCAGCCCAAGAGGAAGAAAGCAATAGCATTGGTGTGCTCCTTGCTGTCAGTGTAAGCGGTGCTAATACCGAACCAAGGAACGTTAAGGGCAGCCCATGACATCCAAAAACCACCGTAGGAGGAAAGTGCAACCCCACCAAAGGTGTTTTCAACCGCAATTTCCCACATACCGGCCAAAAGCTGGATGAACCCTCCGTAGAATAAGGCCAAACCAACCACGACATTGGCGTGACTGATGCCCATGGCTCTCGCATTGATCATCGACAAGACAAACGTGGTCAAGGCGAAAGCGCTTAACCCAAGAGGGGCGGGGTTGCCGAACTTTCTGGATGGAGCTGGCGCGTACTGTTCAACTTGAAAGTTCCCCCCGAAGGCTTGGGCCAAGTCTTCCTTCAAGAATTTCTGTTTGCCGATAATAACGTAGGCTCTGGTGCCGTCATTGCCGTGCTCGACCTTACCGAATTCTTCTTCTTCGTGGTAGGAGCCTTGACTGGATGAGGTGTGAGATTGGGACATTATAGAGATGCTTTATAACTGAATACTTTAAGTAAAGGACTGCCACCAAGTTTGAGCGGGGCAAAGTCTTCTTATACGTGTCACCTCCTTGCGTGTCATACTGTTAAGCAAATTCATTTGCCGGGATCGGTTCAAAACGCCCAAAACGAAATATGTAAAAGTCTGGGCAAAATTGTGGGGAAGGGCTAAGGTAGTTGCGTCGCAATTCTGTCTTCGCAAGGGCACGCATGGTTGGATCGATATCCATGACAGGACATCAAGCAAACCTGGCTGGAGTGACGTTCAGCATCACGGCTGATGGGTGGAAGGGAGAGTTTACGGATTATGTGTCCGTGCTCTTTAGGTTTGAGGTGGTTGTGCATACGAGGTGCATAACCTTCGCTACAGCAAATACACAAATCGTCTAAACTAGGGAAGCGACAACAAAGGGCCTATCCGTAACCGCCCCCAGAATAGTCCTCCTTTATGCTGCGGAATAGTGGAAAAGGCAATGGCAGATAGCTTGGCAATTGATGACGAAGCATTTCCCAACGCTCTCCCCGTTGGCACCCCAGACAAGTAGCAGAAGAAGGCAGGGATTTACAAGTTCACTCTCAAACTGCAATGAAAAATGCGCTAAAACATACCAATCTATCACAAACCAGTTAAATGTCCAAAGAGTTTTGGGAGTTTCAGCGCTAAAGTCGGATTATTTCAGAAGCGGCATAGAGCCCCCGTCACGCAGATACTCCGGTGCATTACTTTAAGGTTTGCAATCCCGGTGGCCATTGCGGAGTTCTATGCCACCCACGTTACACCAATGCACAAGATGTGTCCAGAAAAACCGAGGCGCGGAAACGCTCATCCAAAGGAGTTGAAAGAGAGTTGCCAAACATGCTGGTGAGCACGGGGCCTGGCCACCGTTCGGACAACTGCGTCACACATTGAGTGAATGCCAAGCATATCCCAAAAAAGTTTAAGCAGTCTTAGCTCTGTGGTTCGCCCTTCAAGCGAGGCGGTCAATAGCCATAAATCCGTAACCTTCGGTTCCAGATTCGAGCACTTGGAAATTTCTGCTGCTTACTTTTTGAATTCCATAGCGACGGCTCATGAAAGATTTTATCGAGTCGAGCGTGTCTAGGTAAATGATACAGGACGTCGCTGTCAGAAAACTTACCGCATGGTGCAAACGTGTGCACGATGCGGCGATTTTATCCTTAGTTGTTGGGTCGTAAATCCACGGATTGATGCACAAAATAGGCCCTGTTGTGGAATAGGTAAGGCCACCAGGACGGGAAGCCTTGGCCTCATGCCAAGATGCAGACAAACGTCGTGGTACAACCGAGCTTGTCTTTCAGTCCAGATGCCATAGTTAGAGTTCTGGCTCGGAGCCGACATTTGTTCGGTAGAATCATACGATTGCCCGTTCCTTTTTTTTTTGCACACGCTGCATCGTTCCGGTTCCCCATCACTGTATTTTTTTTTTGGTTTACCAGGCAAAAAAACCCATCACTGTATATTCAGAAAAGAGAGCGCGGCTGTAGGCTAGTTCCATGCACATTCGGTCACAGCTAGCGTTCCGGCCGTCCGAAACGCAGCCCCACCCCCACTCGTAGGCACATTGAATTTCCTAGGCGGTGCCCCACCACCCCACTATTCCATTAACGCAGAATGATCGGAAAGTTTAGAGGCAAAAGCTTGGTATATCTTTCACTTTGCTCTGAGAGGACTTTTCCAGGTAAAGCCCGACACCCATGCAAAGAGTATGACCACGAAATCCGTATCTGGCAAGGCCGTTAAAGACTTGACTGAAGGCCCAACAGAGTTGATTCTACTTCACACGTGACACTTATAGGTTAAGACTGAGGGTTTTCACGAGCTACAGGTAATGTGCAGATTCAGGATTTATTCTCGGAAGTTATTGCTCTGAGATCTAAAAGAGGCACGCTGATATGGCGCGGTTACGTAAATCCACTTTAGAGATTGGCTTTTTGCTGGCACCTTCAGCACCCTAAACTGAAATTATGGGATACCTAAGACCATGAATTAAATAGATTGTACGAGACAAATAAACTTGGATTAGGTACCTTTAAGACATCCGGTAGAAACTAGAAACACAAATGATCGAAAAACACGGCTAAACCACAAGCAACTCCTCTCAGCCCTCTCGATTGAACACGGGTGGGGTACAGGAACCGTCACTATCAGAAATAGCCTCTTCGTAGTCTGACACCACTGGACACCAGTTGCAGAACCGCATCAAAGTATTGGTCACCAACTTCTCGGTCAATGGCTGCTCGATAACAAGGTCAAAAGCACTGGATTCGGCCGCCTCGGTCGTATACCTTGTAACGCACACAAGCGGCGTCCCCGAATTGATACTAGCGGTGTGACGGATCAACTTTGCGAGATCCACGCTGGTATCCAAGTTGGGAAGCTTGAACGAGGTGAAAATCAAGTCAAACTTTACCTCGCCCGTGACTTTTCTCGCCAACGAATCACCTGTCGCCACCACGATCGCATTGCAACCAAGCTTGTGCAACAATTTCTCCGCCGCCAGACGACTCGCCGTGTTGGGCTCACAGAGCACCACGTCAAGTTTGTGGAACATGGGTCTCACCACCTCTCCGGACATGGACGAAAAGGAAGATTCCTTTCTACGGGAGCTTTCTCTCCTCTGCTTAATCCGCATCAACGCAGACGAACGGAACTCCATCTCGCTTTCGGACGTGGACGGGGACAGGTCTCCGCCAAACGATCTCTGGTGGATCGTTTTCGGGAGCGCCGAGATGGGCTTGGGCGAACTGGAGGAGGCAGAAGAGGTGGCGGTCAAGGATGGAAGGAGGGGTTTGGCAAAGGTAGCCTTGGGGGCCACAGGGGAGATATGAGCAATGGTTGGGGCGACGCCAGAGGAAGCAGATAACGAGGCCAAGCCAATGTGAGGCGAAACAGGCGTCGGCGGGTTGGAAACCTCACCATAGTAGAGGTTTTCATCGCCAGACGAGAAAGTGCTCGCAATGGAGCTCACTCTCTGGTGGTGTATATTAGGGGACATTGGTGGTTTCGCAGTCACCGGAGACGAGGTGAAGGAGTAGCCCCTAGAGCGAGACCGCTGGAGAGAGTCGGAGGAAGCGCTCGAGAGACTCTGGCGGTGCTCCATGTGCTCCGTCTTCAACCGGTTGATAACATCCTTGTTAGCCTTGTCTAGCGCGGTGTAGTTTCGGAACTGGAACGAGCCGAACTCGCCAAAGTTATCGTTCAATCGACTGCCTCGTCTTTCACGGGACGCCGGCGTAGGGGGGGTGGAGACGTTCAGCGCCAAGTTGCGCATCATCGGAGAGCCCAAGGCAGTGGTGTGGATGGCGTTGCTATTTTCTGGGAGTGCAAACTCTTCTTCATCGGACCCTTCTGTGGGGAAAACCGACGCCTCCGCGCCTCTGGAGTCAAAATAATCGGTGCTTTCCGGGCCGTCTAACGCCGGCACAAAGTCACGGTCCTCGTCCCACAACTCGTTCCAGTTGGTATTATCAAAATACGGGTGCCGCTTGATGTTATCGCTGTTATCGCTCCCCAAGCGCTGCTCCGGATCGAGCACCAAGAGCTTGAGAATGAGATCCTTGGCAGCGGGCGCACACACTTCTCCCACAACCTCGTCCTCCGGCCACTCGATCTTCCCAGACAAGATCTGCTCAAACACCTTTTCGGCGCTTTCCGCATGGAACGGAGGATAGCCGAACAAAAACTCAAAGAGAATGCATCCAATAGACCACCAGTCGGAGGCGGCGCTTTGGGTGGCGCCGGTGATGGTCTCGGGGGCAAGGTAATCGGGCGTCCCCACAAACTTCTTGTTCGACGCGGTGTCCTGGGGGTCAAACAACGCGTAGGGGTTGGTATCATCGGCACTCTGCTCGTCCTCCACCGCAAAAGAGCTCTGCGAGGCGACAGACGCGGACATGACGGGTCTCATTGTAGGCACGTCCGCGGCGCTCGAGCCGGAACAGGAACGCTTTCCCGCGGAGCTGGCCCTGTCCTGTTTCATGTACTGGTCCAAAAAGGTGGTGGTGGGAGAACTGGCGCTTGCTTTATCATACGCAATCTTTTCCACCGCCGGAGAGAGCGACAACGCCATACCCTTCGGAGCGCTCTCGCTCATCGAAAGCCCGCTGAACAAGTCGATAGGCGGTTCCATGGCGCTGTTCCTCCGCCTGGGGTCCTGTCTGCGCACAATCCCCATTTTTGACAACCCAAAGTCGGTCAACTTCAAGTGACCCTTGCTGTCGATCAAGAAGTTGTCTGGCTTCAAATCACGGTGGATGATGCCCTTATCGTGGAGGTCAGTCACCACGACAATCATTTCCGCCACGTACTTTTTTGCCCACTCGTTCGGCAACGCCACCATCGCCTTGAGCAACGCTGCACAGTCGCCACCGTTCATGTACTCCATCACCAAGAAAAGGTACTTGTTGCTCTGGAAGGTGGCGTACAACTTTGCCACGTAGGGTGAGTCAGATTGGGCCATCATAATGGCACGCTCGGACTTGATGTTCATGACCTGGTTCTTGGCAATCATGTCGGACTTTTTGAGCACCTTGATGGCGTAGAAATCGCCCGTGAGCCGTCTTTTCGCGAGGAAAACCGATCCAAACGCGCCCTTGCTGATGGGCTTCACGATCTCATAGTCTCTAATCGACGGGGTGGTGATCCGCACACTCGGGGTGGTGGAAACGAGGAGCGGCGAAAGAGGTGGCCTGGCCTTGGCATCACTAACCACACCGGGCGGAAGGTGGAGCTGGGGGACCTCGCCCGAGTTGTGACGGGTTTCGCCTGAATGGAACAGAACCTCTAAGGCTGAGAGCGCCGGCGAATCGTTTGGTGTCTCGCCGTGGCTGCCGCCTCTGGAAATTCGCTGGACCGACGTCATCGGGGAATTGGAGACGTAGTTGGGGATGGGCGAGAGGTGCCGTCTGGGGGAGTAGGAGCTGCGCGACTTGGCGCGCTCCAGGTCGAGTAGGTCGCTGGAGGTGCTTCTGGAGGAGCGCGACGGTCTCCCGCGGAGCAAAACGTCGGTGGGGGTGACGGACCGCTTCGACTGTTCTTTCGGGTCCTTTCGGAGGTTCAATGGCGACGAGAGCAAGCGCGCTTCCGACTGAGGCAGTTCTGCGTCCCCGTAGGTGTCACTGAAAAACAACTCGCTTTTGGAGCTAGTGTTGGAGTACACCGAGCGATTAAGCTTCTTCGGCTGCGGCGAATGAACCATGCGAACGGCTTCGGTGTCCGGGAGGGCGGTAGTTATGGGCTGGGCCATCGGGGTGGTGTAATTGTGGGGTGATGTCAGATACGTAGAGTCCCGGATCTTTTCCACCGTGTCGGCAACTGTTTGCAAAACCAACTTGTCGGTCTCGCGCTTGATCTTTTCCGAGTATTGGAGAGACGCGGCGTACCGCAAAATAAAGTCCACCTTGGTCTGAACCAACGCCTCGGTGTCCTCGATGAGAATGTTGATCGCGGGGTCACTGGAGTCCAACCGTTTCCAGTTCTGCGCGTGCTTAATTGCCTTTTCGGAGCCCGGGGAGTACGCCACCTCCATGGTTTCAGGTTCCAACTCGCCGGGATTGATGCTCAAGGCCTCGTCGCAGAGCTCGACCAAAATCCCCAACAGCTTCAAAGGGTACCGTTTGTACTGAACGCTGTGGCGCTTGAGCAATAAGAGGTTCGCAGCAGCCCCGGACGACGCATCGGTGGAGGAGGGAGACGGCAAGGGGATGCCTTTGTAGTCGTGGACTAGGGCCGCGGTGGGGGATACATCCAGGAAGGCAAGGGGGAGCTTCGGCGATGGGAGAGGAGAACTTGAGAGGGGCGTGCTGCCGCTGCTGCCGCTGGGGTTGGAGCTGGCGCGGGAGTTTCTGCGGTTGATGCTGTCTGAGATCACTAGGATCAAGTTCCGGTGTTCTACCAACTGGTCGTGGGCCTGCTGGACATTGTCCTGGGCCTTGTGCTCGACAAAACACAACTCGCTGTGCCGCTCGATGAACCACGCGGGCACGTGCTGCTCACAGATGCGGCAGAGAACCTGTTTCGGCGGCGGGACGTTGTTTTCGTCGATGACGCCGAGTTCGTTGAGGTTAAGAAGGTATGCCGCAAAGATATCGGCGCCGAAACCGAGATAGTCGGTGAGCTCGTACGGAAGCTCAAGCTCCACATTGGTCGGGACGAACGGCTTGAGAAGCCACATCAGGTGCGTCGGCACCTGCGTCTTTGGATCGTGGATCAACACCCCCTGGCCCTCCATTTCGATGAATTCTTCCTCCACACTCGAAGCAATGCTATTGTCGTCTCCGCTGTCTAGTGCCATGTTCCGAGGACTGGCGTCTAGCGTGGCATTAGGGGACTCTTCCCGCGACTCATCATCAGACGCTACCCTTATATCTGAGACGCGCTCTGTGCGGGTGACAAATTTCACCCGGTAGCTGGTGTCGTCCTTGGTCATGATATCGATCGCCTGGTTGAAGATCTGCTTATCGGAGGTTTCTCCGACGATCAACTCGGAGATGTGCTGGCCTACGAACGGCTTCACCTTGGTGCCCACGACACACTCCCACGTCTTCCCGAGGTATCGGATGTTCCCGTCCAAGTCGAGCTCCAAGAGGGTTGTGGGGTTTTTGGACGACGCTATCCTCAAGTCTTCCTGCTCGTCCTCAGACTCTTTGGTCCGCGTTCGCACCATCAGGCTTATAGTACGGCCAGGAGCGGTGCTGATGGGCGGGGTAACGTGGCGGAGAAATGTATCCATGTAGCGGTACGGCTCAGTTTGCATGTCGGCTGTGTGTGGCGAATACGATCCCGGGAGCATTTCACACGGCGACATGGAGTGATCGCGCGCACCGGGTTCAATCGCCTCGGAAAGCGGCGATGGTGTCGACTGGAGACTGGTGCCGTGGTCTCTGGCGATATGGCTGTATTGGGGAAACTTTGCATTGCTAAAGTACAGCGGAATTGGCGTCGCAATACCCGGCAGCTTTCCGCCTTCAGTACCGGGGGTGGGGTTGGTCTGAACTGTCAGACGGTGCTTGTGGTCTCCCATTCTAGATTCCGGGAATATAAGGAACCTTTGTTAAGGGCGATGTGATTTGAGGTAGCAGTTTCAGGTCAGGAGGAAATGGAACTGGGATGTCAAGGAAAGTTGACTTTATTCCCTCAACATCTAATATACCGTTTGATATTGCGTGCGTCAATCAACGCACAGGGGCACCTAAAGGGGGAATTTGTGGCGCGCGAATTCTTATACGGAGGTCGTACGGAAATGAGGCGGTACGGGGTTTTACGATTTAACAGAGAGGAATATGGACTTGTAGAACGATATTTGGGAGTCAGTCAGAGGATAATCAAACGAAATGAAGGCGGGGGATTTTATGCGGCAAAAAAAAAAAAAAAAAATAAAATGTATGAATTTCATGGGAGGCGATAATGGACCATTCCACGCGCTTAGTTATAGGTTCAACTGAAAATTGGTATGCCTGACAGCTACGTTACGGTAAGGTATAATATTCGAATACATCCCATTAATTCTCGAACGGAGCTTCAAATTGATCTTTGGCCAATTTATACTCACCAAAGCTTAATTTTATCAACTAAATATACAAATCTCTACTTCTCCTCGACTCTTTCGCCTTCATCCTTCCTCTCTTCTGTCTCATCAAGCTTTTCCGACACGGCCTTAACTTCTTGTGTAAGCTTGGCCTTCTTTTTATCCTCTTTATACTTCTGGATGACAGCGGTGGACTCGTCGTAGCTCTTCAAGTAGTTGTTCCAGTACCACCTGAGTTGGTCGATGCTCTCCAAGATATCGGCCTTGGCGGTATGCGCCTGGTGCTTCTTCGGGAAGCACATCATCAAGCGCGGGTTGTGTCTCCAGCCAACCTCCATGATGGACGAGACGTCGATAATTCTATAGTGCAAGTACTCGATGATCTTTGGGAACTCTCTGATCATGAAGACTCTGTCCATGTGGACACTGTTCCCGGCCAAGAGGCCTCTGCCCTTTGCGACGTACTTGGAGATGTACGCTAACAACTCATCCTCCACCTGCGTCAAGGTCTTGGTAGTGTTGATAACTTTTTCGGTGAGCCCCGACTGACCGTGGTGTTCGATGCACCACTCACCCATCTTGTCCATGGTTTGCTTCGGGCAGTGGATGACGGACTCGTAGCAGACTTCGTCGAGCACGTTCAATTGGGAGTCGGTGATGATACACGCAATTTCAATGATGTGGTCGTTGAAAACGTCCAAACCAGTCATTTCACAGTCGATCCACACGATTGGTTTGTTGTCCTTTTCCTTCTGAGCATCCGCGTCGGACAACACCGCCTGGAGAATGTTTGTAGTAGAGACGGGCGCGGCGCCCTTCTGCGCATCCTTCTTCAACACCGCCTCGAGAAAATCAGCATTGGACGCGGTCTTGGTCTTCTTGAAGTCCGGCTTTTCCGGTAAGCCAGCGGAGAGCTTTCTCTTTTCAATATTTTCGGACATCTTGTACTGCTTGACCTTTTCCTGGAGTTGCTTCTTGTGGAGGAGGGCGGAGATGTTATCGGTGGGCTTTTTCACGGTTTGTTTATGTGCTTGTCTGAACAAAAGTCGGGTGAGCTGGAACGGGGCGATTCTACGAGTGAAACGGGGGAACATTGGAGAAGCCACGGCTGATCTGGCTGAAGGGTGCCAGAAGTACGCGTATAAATTTTTCGCGTACGGTTGTGTGCCATGGGACGCGAGGCAAGTGCGATGTGGGCATTAAACACGGACATTGCGTATTTTCCTTGACACCATAAGACTCAGATAAACATGACTTTGGCAGGGTTGGACAAATTTTACGCGGCGTACTTTCTTCTTCACATCCCCATCACGGTGCTCATCGACTCCTCCTTGGTGATTCCGCCGGCGCACCGCCCGCTCTTGCAGCAGCAGATCTTGAAGTTCCACTTTGAGCAGAACAAGGATTTCCTTCTTGTGAACGTCCGCAACTGGCTCTGGTGCTTCGGGATCATCGAGATGGTGTTTCAGTTGCCATTCTTTGCGTGGGCCGCCTACAGGTTGTTAGGAAGGAAGGGCCAGATGTTGACGTTGACCATGGCTCCGGGGATGATCTTGTACGGCTTCAATGCCTCTGTGACCTCGTTGGTGTGCATTGTGGAGATTGTGTTGGAGGGTGCTAGGAATGGTTTGACCCAGAGCGAGGTCTGGGCCCTTGTGGGGGTCTACTTCCCCACTTTTGTGATTCCATTCGTGATGTTGGTTGATTACTTGAGGAGATACTTTGGAATTGTCAACTCCCAGAAGTTGAAGCTCAACTAGAAATGAGATTATAAGCGGGGGTTACTGATGTAGGTATAGTTTCCATCTCAATATTTGTAAGAATCTGATACTTTGCTGATAGGCATGTTAGCCGTACCATCCCTACCACACCTTTACTCCTATGTGTCGAAGCATACATTTATATTGGTATTAAATGGATGTCACCAATCAACCCATAACAGCGTATGCCTTTTTGCCTACCAGGCGGTGTCCCCAACGTCCCTCGCAGCTACCCCCAATATCCCCGTCTACAGACTCAGAAGCTTGACATATATTCAGCATACAGCTGGTATTTACCGTTCGGATCTAAGCCAACAATTCGTCGACCAAAGCAATGTACTGCTTTTCGGCATCTTCCTGAGAGGTACCCTTCAACTTGTTCCAAGATTCCCACTTGTACTTGCCCTTCAAGTCGAACATACCTGGCTTGGCGGTTTCGTTGTCACCGACAGTGGCCTGCTTGTACAAGCCGTACAAGGCCAACAATTGGTCGTCGGATGGGCGGGTGGTTAAGGCGTTGACGGCAGCAGCCTGCAATTGTTAGTACTGGGCTATTAGAGGGCTATAATTGCGCATATACCTTTTCAGTGAATAAAGCGGAGACCATTGTGATTGAGTTTTATAATGATGGGAAAAAACGGAAAGGGGCATGTGGCGTCTGATCTGGGTTATTTATACGCCCAGCCCAACACTGCATTTTCTGGGTTCTGGTTGGTCGTGTAGAGGATAAATATCACGTGGTGAGGCGGGGTAACCGATCTGGACGCCATCAACTGTATCACATGCAAAATAACGAAGTAGGAGAAACGGAGCCACGGAGCCACAGGTATGTTTCGCATTGGAGCGTGGGCTGTGGAGAGGTGCTAAAAGGGTGGCATCAAGGAGGATGAAAGTTATGGTGACAGCTGAAAAATATAGTAAGATTACAACAATTGAAAGCTACGGTAACGATTGAAAATTACGAAAGAATAAAAAATTAAACCAAAGAGGAATAAATACCTCGGTTCTGCAAATCACATCTGAACCAGATAGCCACCCTACTAGCACAATCGGCAAGACAACCACGTTCACAGATGCAGCCAATAAACATACTTATGATCGCTAATAAACACGCACTAATAATATTTGCCAAGCTTATCTTCCGGGTCTTTCTCAAGCAGGTGATACGCTTCTATAAATGTTGAGATTATACCAACGGATATATATCCAATAGCAACGTATTTCCAGTCAAGTTTTGGTTTTAAATACCTGAGAGGATGTTTGATGCTACGTATATAGGCGTTAACCGTAATAAGAAGCGTTGAATCAGGGTTCGAAGCCCTCTCGCATGTCTAAATCAGATTTTAAGGTGCTGCCGTTTTCGTCATTCACGCATCCAATTCTTACACGTGCGGCGCCGAAAGGTGTATACACAGGATGAAGTTGCAACATTTTGCCTTGGCCAGGATCAGCTTCTTCCATCTATCTTTACCGATCAACCCATTTCCCATGCCATTCGATGAGCTGCGAAACGTTAAGCGCCAGAAGGTGGCAATAGAAAGCCCCAGCGATTCCCTGGACGGTGGGGACTACGAGGACCCCCCACAACTCCGGCCGCTGTCGGAAATGCAGACGCTATACTTGGAGACCATCGACCGGTCCCGTCTTGACTTTGATTTTGAAAAAGTGTGCTCGGTGTCTCTTGCGAAGGTTAACGTCTATGCCTGTCTTGTGTGCTCAAAGTACTTCCAAGGGCGCAACAAGGCGTCCTACGCGTACCTACACTCCATCAATGACGACCATCACGTGTATATCAACTTGAGCACTCTCCGAATCTACATTTTGCCCGAGAACAGAGAGGTTACCGCCAAGAATCTGATACTAGAGGACATCAAGTACCTTGTGGATCCCGCCTATACCCCCGAACAGATTGCTCAGTTGTCCACCCGGGCCCAGGCCTATGATTTGAACCACAAAGCGTATCGGGCCGGTTACGTGGGGTTAAACAACATCAACGCTAACGATTACGCGAATGTGGTGCTTCAATTGTTGAGTCATGTTCCTCCGGTGCGCGACTTTTACCTCGCAAACCCGGCCCTTATCGCTGCCAACGAGCTCAACTCCAAGTTCGGGTTGCTTGTGCGGAAGATGTGGTCATCCAAGTTGTTTAAGGCACATGTTTCGCCCCATGAGCTTTTGCAGTATATCGACATTGCCTCCAAGAATACCTTCACGATCACTAACCAGAAGGAACCTAAGGACCTCTTTGTGTGGTTGCTCAACCAGCTCCACGCACCGTTGGCGAAGGTGATGCCCAAGGGAACCGTGATCGCAAGGGCATTCCAGGGAAAGATTCGCATCATGACACAGAAAGTGGTGGCATCCACTAATAAAAATACCAATACCGTGCAATTTACCACTGATACCGCTATTACTACCAGCGATACCCGGTTTTGGATCCTTACCCTCGACCTTCCCTCACAGCTGTTGTTCAAGAAAGATAACTTGCTGAATGGCCAGGCTGCGATTGCCCAATGCTCGCTTCTCCAGTTACTTGCCAAGTACAACGGCTACACGGTGACTAGTAGCCCTGGGGCCGTTCGCAAGTACAAAATTATCAAGCTTCCAAAGTATTTGATCTTGCATTTCAATCGGTTTCCGCAGGGAATGGATCATGCCGACAGAAATCAAACCGTAGTGAAGTTCCCTACCGTTTTGGACATGGCTCCGTACGTGGAGAACCAGACAGCGCCGTTGCATTACAAATTGCTTGGGAACGCCATCCACGAGGTGGTGACAGACGAGAACAACGGGGTGGAGGGCAAGGACAGGTCGTTGTGGAAGGTACAATTAGAGGATGGAAAAGGCTGGGTGAGGATTCACGATTTGAAGGTTGACGAAATTGAGAAGGAGTTGTTGTTTCTTGAAGAGAGCTATGTGCAGATCTGGGCCCGAGTGTAAAATAATGATTTTTATCGCGATTACCAAACAATTCTGAGGATTAGCGGCGACTATAGAGAATATATATTTGTTATGTCCGCAAGTACAACCTGTTTGAACATACTCTAAGCGCGAATTTTTACCACCCTACCTTCTTTCGTCCAGGTACCTTTACGCTGATTTTCTGCACTTCTAGATTATCTTTACCCATGTCCTTTGTAGTTTAAGTCTATCCCGCATCCTAATCATCATTTCCTTTGTAGTTTAGATCTATTCCGCTTCCTGGTTATCATTTCCTTTGTAGTTTAAAGCTATCCCCCTTCCTGATCACCATTTCCTTTGTATTTTAAACCTATCCCACTTCTTGGCGGATACCCCCCGAGAACAGCGCTAACATTTGAAGCGCCTCATTCGCCGAAATCCGCTCGGTAGATTGATACACCATCATTTTTGAGAACACCGCACACACCGTGTCGTCCGCCCTGGGCAAGATTTTCTTCACCTCCAACGCGGGCCTTTCAATAAAGTTCATGGCCTGGAAGGCCTCCTTTTCCTGCACTTCCCTCCAGCTTCCTAAACCCGCGGTTCCAAACACTTCAAAAATCGAAGCCATGAGCGCCAAATCACTATGACGGGCGGCATCTCTGAACACTGGCTGACAGTCCAGCGAGTACAACACCGTCAAAAGCACCCCTAGCGACCAGATATCGATTTTCTCGGTATACTCTCGCACGCTGAACAAAAGCTCCGGAGCACGGTACACCCCCGTGGAGACGTCACAGATTTTTTCTCGCGGCGGCTCCACGTCGAGCTCCGGAGCCCAGACAATTCCGAAATCACCCAAGATCGGTAATCCATCTAGAGTAGAAAACAAAATGTTGGCTGGCTTGATATCGCGGTGAATAACGCCCCGGGCGTGCAAGAAGGCCAAGCTGCTTAGAAGGGTGGTGACAATCTCAGCGGCCCGCGATTCAGTCATTTTATTCTTCCGTGTGGGAACCCCCGACTCTTCAGATGGTACCGGATGGTAGAAGCTCGGCGGCATATAGGCGCGCGAATTGTGGCTTATCACGTCCTTCAAGTCGTAGGGTAAAAGGGGGAACACCATCACGATATCATCTCCCAGGGTAAAGCTGTCGAGCAAACGGACAAGGTGGTTGGCCTCAGCATGGGGCTCGAGAGATTTGAGGATTTTAACCTCGTTTCGGCAGTTGTGCGGTAGTTGCTCAAGGTCCGGGTCAGCGATCTTGAGGGCCACCACCCCGTTTGATCTGCTGTCTTTGGCCCTGTAAACGTCCGAGAAGAGGCCACCGTTAATCCGGGTTCGATTTATATATGTCATTTAACGAGATGAAAGGGGATGGATGGCAGTAGCCACAGGCTTCTAGGTATATAATTGAGACCATGGGTTGGAAGGCTTTGTTTTGTGTCACATCTAATAAAATAAAATGCAGGATGAGTGTGCATACTGTGTAAGCCGGATTCATTCAGCACGATAGGCCCCTTATGGCTTATCCAAGTGGGTAGTTCTCTGAATATAACTCAAATAAGACAATTAAGTACCAGGGGAGAGTAATTTCTGTTGATTTTTTTATTAGATCTATGTACACGGAGTCTGACATAGTACCTGGTACCTCTGGTTATCTCCTGCGCCAGGATCCTCCGGTACTGTCGGTCCTTATCAGGAAAACAACGCCATCGAAAAATCCCCTGGTGTAAATTGGATTGCTAGTTGAAACCTACAAACTATACGCAGCTTCTTTCCACAACAGCTTACAATCTCTGATACCAAAACTGTTAAAACAGAGATATATCTCAAGACTGCTACAACAGATATCTGAGACCTCCAGACTGTTATATTGCTACTCCCCGGTGAATCAGCCCGTCGCAGGACCCTCTATTGCGCTTTGATCCGCCAAGCTGCCATATTTGCTACGAATCGCCTGTTATCAGCCATATTATCTACGGGTTAGGTATTTCAGCGTTGTCTTTCGCCAAAGCTGAATATCGCTTGCTCACCTTAAGTCGAACCCTCCCTTAGCCGCTTTTGAATACACACAGCCGCTTATATGACAGAAATATTGATGCCAGATTGGGTGTCCATGGACATTGGCGATCTAGGAAAATCTATCTATAATGACCACCCACTAGATGATGACACGCGGCCGTTGAAGAAGAAGGCGATCGTGGAGGCCCTCGTCGAAGACAACCGCGAGCTCTTGGCCGCGTTGAGCAGATCGCGCGGCGGGCTCTTGAACAGTGAGTTACGGTTCCAGGTGTGGTCCGCGTTGCTAGGAGTAAGCAGTCTAGCGGACGACGCCACGATCAGGGAGAGTGTGATGTTTAACTCGGCGTTGATGGACAGCGATTTGACCCATGTGGATGAGTTTGAAGCTGCCACCCAAAAGGAGGCGGAAGGGGCGGAAGAGCCTACCGATGAAGAAAAGTCGGACAGAGCGTCTTATGAGAAGATGCTCCCACACAAGGACGAAAACCAGGTCAAGCTTGATGTTGATCGGTCTTTCATCTTCTACCCCGCGAACCCGCTGACTGAAGACCTTCTCCACATGCGCTCGGACCTCACCCAGCTTATCACCCGGATCTTGCGGACTAACCCATTCCTCCACTACTACCAAGGCTACCACGACATTGTCTCCATCATCTATCTCGTGTTCCGGGACTACGACCCGCTGCTCTCCCAGACGTATGCAGTTTTGGAGCATCTCACACTCAACCACTTGCGTGACTTTATGATCCGCGATATCCAGCCGTCCATCGACCAGCTAATGCTCTTGCCGGAACTAGTAGCACGGATTGACCCGAAATTTGGGCAGACCATCGGACGCATCCAACCCTTCTATGCGCTTTCGTCCATCTTGACCATGTTCAGCCACGACGTCACCAAATTTGAAGACATCTGCATGATCATGGACTTTATTATGGCTACCGGAGAGGCCTCCAGCTCCATATACATTTTTGCGGCCGTTCTCTTCTACCACAAGTCCGATATCATGCGTGGCGAGGCCGAGATGGATACCCTTCACTCGGAACTATCCCGGCTCTTTGTGGGGCTAGAGACTGGCGACTTGTTTAGCGTGTTGCTACACGCAAACCTCTTGGCGGTCCAGTTCCCCCTTCTGGACTTGAGCGCCTTTCAGGACGGAATTTCCCAGTACAGCGTTTTGAAAACCACCTCAAGGGGTGGGTTTGAAGCTGAGTGCGAGAGTGAGACGGAGGACGTGGAGCAGCCTCTCCGCCGTCGCAACAATCCCTCGCTCGAGGCTTCTGATTCGGATATTGCCTCATCTTTGACGTCATCCATCAGCTCGCTCCAGACCACATCTTCCAAGTCGTCGACATCGGAGACTGGGAAAGCTCATACTCCGTACGCCACCTGGAAAGACCGCATCGAGGCCTTGACCGAGAAACTTGGTTCGGAGGTGGAGGCGAAGAAGCAAGAGCAAGAGCAGGAGAGATTGAAGCAATCGGCGGCTCTTCCGGAGAAGAAAATTGTGCGGCGCAAACTCAAACTATCATTGCTCGTCAAGCTTTCGTTAACGGTGGGGATCTTATCATTTGTGATACACTACTACAAGGATGTGTTGCCCCTGGGTGTGACTCAAACCGTGACATTTATCTCTAATCGGTTGGCTCAGTTGAGAGGACCATTGGTTTTTGAGAGAACGGGGCGCGTTGCGGGCGGCATCTTGAACAGAGTAGGACTCGGAAACTTGAAAGAATTTCGGTTCTGAGTAGAGTGTAAGCCATATCACACTCTACTTATGTCTATGTTATGCAACATGATCAAAGACAGGTTTAGATAGCGAGGGCGAATCCGTTCCAACCGTAGGTTAGCTAGCGGAGATAACTACTACCAGAGCGTCAGATTTCTAAGGGAAACAAAGGACATGGTATAACGAAGTATATATAAGATCCATAACACTTGTAGGGCGCTTTGAGGGAAGTTAATGGGCTCAACAATCACTGGGTGCGGGCCAGTGCCGCCAGAGCTGCGCCGCACGGATGACGCAGGTCTGCTTACATAAGCATACAAAAAATCCAGCCAACCACAATCGGCAAAAAAGTAATTTACAAGAAGCGTTAGATAGACAAAGTTATGTACGCGACAGACACGTATCAAAGGACGAGCTTAACGCAGCAATACATCCCAAGCACTTGCCCCAATACCCTCCGAACACAATAGAATGAGAGTCAGCGCTACCCTTTTGAGACAGAGCATCTTTGTGCCGTTCAAGAAGCAGATCCAGAAGCAGGTCGAGGAGGTTCCACAGATCATGGTCAAAGCCGGTTCTGAGTATGAGAAGACCGGTTTGACCGGTATCTACCAGCACCCTAACCCTAAGCCAGCTTTGCAGGCCCTCTACGGAATGACCTTGGACCTTTTGCAGCACAAGTTCCCAGAATACTCTATCTACAGACAATCCGTTGAGAACTTGACCAAGCAGAGATTGGCCATCATCGAAAACAACGACATCACTGAGGTAATTGAGGAGAAGATCGGCAACGGTTTGATCGAAGAGGTTATTATCCAGGCCCACGATGAATACGAATTGGCCAAGGACATGGCTGAAGCCAAGTGCTGGGAGGATTTGCAAGACAAGCCTTTGGATGACCAGTGGGTCTACTTTGGCAAGAGAGTTTAAACGTAAAAGCCATACAAAACACACAACACACGCTCGCAACCGCTAGGGCACTGTATAGTACTCATGCTCCCCCCGCTATGGTGTCCTTGAGATAGCGACGGTATTTCCGTCTCCGCGGGGCTCGCCTTTTTCATCCTTCATATTTGTTTGTAATGCATCTTTAAAGGTTGTAGGGACATTTATCTTCTCACTTCCTACAATATATTTATTCTTCGTTAGTCACGTAGCTAGGACTGGAGGGTGTGTGCTGATGGAACTCTTTACCTGTACGATGCGAGGTTAAAATTGTTGCAGCATGCCGCTGGAAGGTCTATGCCATCAAAGGCAGAGCGGAAACCACGCCCTAAAATCAAGTTTTTGTCCGAAGACTACCCAAAAAGAAAACTAGCACCTGGATATACGTTGAGGGTAGAACTGGGTCGCTTTCGGATGAAATGACAGTGCACAGGCGGCCAGGTGTATATGAAGGGAGTAAATGGTTACCCCTAAGATGTATTTTTCTTTAAATCTTGAAATTTGGCGCTTCGAGCGAGCATCAAGGAGTACCCTTTTGATACAACGTTGGTTAATCATTCCGCCCTGTCTACTCGTTGATTATAAAGATTCGGGCCTACATTCTATCAAACCTCCGCGAAATACAGCTATTTAGGGAGTTTGGATACTGACAATAACAATATTATTGGAATTGCACAATATCTGTACATGACTGTCTGGCCATTGTTTTGTATACCGAAAACATTACGGATCGGTATTCCGCTTGGGGCAGTTTCTCCCGGTTGCGGGAACGGCCAAGAATCCGCGGGTTAAGCTTCCCTAATATCCCTGAATCGCGCAGGACCAGACGTCACCGATACTCTACACACAAGGAGCAGTATAGTAAAAATGAATTGAGGTGGACTAAAATGTCTAAATATACCTTACCCCCAGCATTTGACCAAAGGCCTGTTTACATTCCGTGTTTCTGGGTCCATCCTCTTTCGGCACAATCACGTGCGGTAGATTCAATGACGTACGAGAGCCTCTAGCCCAAAATTCCAGCCAATAGACCTTCAAGATTATCCCCGCTTTACGATTGAATATGTAACATTCACTTTTTTTTTTTTTTCTCGCCTCATTATTTGCTACGCTCACCGCTCTTACTCGTTTCCTTGGGTGTGAGGCGTCTTAAGGTCCATATTGCATCTGAGCAAATAAAATCTCACGTTCCGATTACTCATCTCCGGCATCCAGCTTTTTCAGTTTTCACGCCGACGCAAAAAATTTCTATTTAAGCCCCATTGTAACACCCCTCTTCTTCCCTTTGCATACTCCCACCAACAATCATGGAAGCCCTTACCCGCCAGTCCCTCAGCGTGTGTCCCTTTGTAAAGAAGCACTCGACCGCTGCGTTCAAGAGAATGTCGCAGAGCTCCGCGCTCGTGTCGCAGGCCGCCCACTGCCCGGTTGTGGGTCCTGCGATGAAGCGCGGGCTCGCCACTTCCGCCGGCGCGACCGTCGCTGCGCCAGCCGCGTCTACCGCCTCCGCCAACACTAGCTTCGACTTTGACGCTCTCTTCCAGGGCGATCTCGCCAAGAAGCGTTCCGACAAGTCGTACCGCTTCTTCAACAACATTAACCGTTTGGCCGCCGAGTTCCCAAAGGCGCACAGAAAGAACGAGGCGGACAAGGTCACCGTGTGGTGCTCCAACGATTACTTGGGCATGGGCCGCAACCCGCAGGTGCTCGCAGCGATGAAGACGGCGCTCGAAAGATATGGCTCCGGCGCCGGCGGTACGCGTAACATCGCCGGTCACAACCGGCACGCCATCGCGTTGGAAGCAGAGCTTGCCAACTTGCATAAGCAGGACGCGGCATTGGTTTTCACGTCGTGCATGGTGGCAAACGATGCGGTGCTTTCTCTTTTGGGCCAGAAGATCAAGGACCTTGTGATTTTCTCCGACTCGCTTAACCACGCGTCGATGATCCAGGGAATCCGCAACTCCCGCGCCAAGAAGCACGTGTTCAAGCACAACGACTTGGAAGACCTTGAACGCTTGTTGAAACAGTACCCAAAGTCCACGCCTAAATTGATCGCTTTTGAGAGTGTTTACTCCATGTGTGGCTCGGTGGCGCCGATCGAAAAGATATGCGACTTGGCGCAGCAGTACGGCGCCCTCACGTTTTTGGACGAAGTTCATGCCGTCGGCATGTACGGCCCACACGGTGCCGGTGTTGCCGAGCACTTGGACTTTGAGGAACACTTGCGTTCGGGGATTGCTTCGCCGAGTCGCAAAACCATCATGGAGCGTGTGGATATGATCACCGGCACCTTAGGGAAGGCGTATGGTGCGGTCGGTGGCTACGTTGCTGGTAAGCGCGACTTAATCGACTGGTTGAGATCTTACGCCCCGGGCTTTATCTTCACCACCACTTTGCCTCCAGCCGTCATGGCTGGTGCTGCTGCGGCCATCAGATACCAGAGAGCCACCTTGAAGGACCGTGTGCTCCAGCAGCAGAACACAAGATACGTGAAGGATACCTTGCGCAGTTTGGGCATTCCGGTCATTCCGAACCCATCACACATTGTGCCGATTCTTGTTGGTAACGCTGCAGATGCCAAGAAGGCGTCTGATTTGTTGTTGGAGAAGCACAGCATCTATGTCCAGGCGATCAACTACCCAACCGTGCCGATTGGCGAAGAAAGATTGAGAATTACCCCAACCCCAGGCCACGGTAAGGAGTTGTCTGACGAGTTGATTACCGCGGTGGTGAGTGTGTTTGAGGAGTTGAACTTGAAGAAGGTTGATGCCTGGGAGAAGGAAGGTGGTCATTGTGGTGTCGGTCTCAAAGGTGTTGCGCCAATGGAGCATTTATGGACGGATGCGCAATTGGCATTGAAGGATTCGGATTTGAATAAGAATGTGGTTGAGCCGGTGATTGAGGGTTTGGAGGTTTCGTCTGGGGTTCGCATCTAGAACTGCCGTTTTTTTCCCTTTGTCTTTCTTTTTCCTGTTTTCTTTTTGGTAGTCAGCTTTTTTCCTTCTGGGGTTTTTTTTGCTTTCAACCTCTCGTTTTATCCATTTTTGTCGCTTAGTCGGCATAGGACTTTTAATATAATTTCACGATATCCTACGTATATTGACGAGTGTGGATGGAAGAATATTTATAATTTAAAGAGAATGAAAACATTTACTTCGTTTATATGCACGGCCCGACAAGTCTATTCACATATTCTAGCTTATACTCCAGTTGCCATGCACTGACTAAAGCCTTTATTTTCCAGGATCTCAAATATATTCCCTATCGGGCTTAATTTAAAACTGCGGTGAAGTACCCTTTGTCTTTCCGTATATTGACTAGGGAAGTGTAAACTCTGGAAACGTCCCCGCACAGATAAGCCGCGAAAAATCATTAATTTCGTGTACACCTCGTCTCACAAGTATACTAAATGGCAATTCCCTTATCTGGCTTGACTCTCTCGTCTATAGAGCGTACGCAACTTTGTGCAGTTTCAGGTGACCAAATTTACGCCATTAGGCCTAACGCAGTTAAATTAGGGAGATTGAATGCATGGGGTCAATTCACCTAGAAGAATGAGAGACTGCCATTATATGATTGGCAATAGGTAAAGTGTCAAGATACACATAGTGTGATCTTCGTTGGGGCCTCGTTTTGAAAACCATCACATTTCAAGTCCTCTCCGGATCACAGCGGAAGGTGTATTTGACGCTGTCGGGCAATCTGGTACAGCCGTACTTTAACCTCGCGTACATCGTTCCCCGCCATTAGGTCACGTAATCTTGTGGTGTTCTCACTCAGTGCTGACGTTGCCACCTCATACCCCCCCTGGCCTATACAATGACGAACTCTCTTACACTTTTGCCATATGTTAATGGAGAAGATAGCTTAGTCTAAAAAGACTGCCATTGCTAAATATGCCGTAGATAAAGAACACCGGGATTTCTTTATGGGTTACCAAGCAAGGGCTCCCATTCACGTCACTGCCTACAACCCCGGCAAGGGTAATTCATGCATGTTTCTCCGGTATTTATAGTGTTAGGCAGACATTGTTGACCTTTTGTGTATTCTACCTTCGAGCCGCGAGGCTGGATCGTAACAAGCACTAAATCTGTACCCCTGACAGAGCGACACATGCGACCACGGCTCGAAACGCCCCGTACCGGAAGTCAGCGGCTAAGAAGAATTAACCTCAGACGCCTCGCGCCACAACGCGTCTCGTCAGTACAGCGCAGTGATCTTGGCCAAGATGGCAAGATGCAGTGGGTAGTAGCCAAGGGTACAAGCCGTATTAACCAAGCACTGAACACCCATGTGCATCCATGGGTTTTTTTTGTTGTGGCCGAGAATGCCGTGAGGGATAGAATCGCTTTTTTTTTTTGCATGACAATAGCTATCGAGAGACTCGCAGACCGTATCTTCGAGGAGCCTTAGGTCTCTAATCGCGTTGTATTGTCATGCATGGAAGTACAGACGAACCCGGTCTAAGCTAACTACGGCCAGAAGGAAGATACGTTGGGTGGTGTAAATACACACCTCGCTAGGTAGTTCTGGAATAAATGGTTTGTGCTGGGGCTCCGTCGATAGAGACTAGGCTATTCGCGTGCCGGTTTACTAGTAGTTCTCCGACATGCATATCCCTCTTTTCTAGACGTGTAGAAAGCCCGTGCATGAAGTGTGTCTTAGCATGCGCTTGGCGGGGCTGAAACGATGGCCGTGTCGTAGCTACCGGCCTAACTCTGATCTATAAGCCCTGGTTGAGTTCGATCCAAGCCCTCTAAATCCTGTCAAAACGCTTAACGTTGAATGGGGTACACTTAGTTGTGATTGCTACACTATTGAAAATCTCTGGACATCCTCTTTTCCCAAGCACGCTTTTTGTGGTTTAATCCCACTATTCCAGAATAATCTCATTTCCGTAACCTCAAACATCATCTGTTTCTACAATGAGACACAAGAGAACGACAAGGGCTGGTACTAAAATGGTGGAAACTCCGCAGTCGACAGCCTCTTCTTCCGTTTTGCAACAGGAGTCGCCCAACCCAGAACATTTCGACCGCCTACCCCCACGGGTCATCCCCAATGCCACTCCATCTACCCCTTCCCCCTACCAGGCCGCTTCTAAACCCTCCCTGGTACTTTCCGTGGCACAACTTTCGTCCAACAATCAGGACGAAGGGGATATTATCCGCCACAGACCAACTTCCGATGCTGTAGCCCTTCAGATACAACAGGAAATCACCAAACAAGAGCAGCTACGGAATGAGAACTTGAAGCTTTCCATTGAGCTCGCCCAGCTAGCACAGTTGCTTAGGATCAGCCCGGAAATGATTCCCTCTTTGTTTGCTGAGCACCACAAGAAACAGGGAGCAGCCCAGACGGCGAACGAGAACCGTGACCCCGAAGAACCTACCAAGGCAGCTGTAGATCTCCGAAAGAAAAAATCGGTAAAGGAAGTAAAATCTTTGCTGAAACCAGTTAAACGGGAAGTCCCTAGTACTGCCTCACTGATGTCACAATCTGTCTTCAGGGTAAATTTGGCCAGTAAGCCCCCATTACCACCTCCACCCTTGCAGTTTCACCATTGGAACCCCCCTGAGGAGAACGAGGAGAAAGAAAGCCATACAGAGGCTCATACTGTCCCTCAAGGAGGTTCCCTGATACCTCAAACGCTCAAAGACAAGGTGTCCAGCGTCAGCCCTGTGCGCCATCCAGCTTCACCAAGGACTAAACGTAGCGACCCCTTTGCCAACCAAGGAGGGCATAAGCGCGCCCAATCCGATGTGGGACCCACCGTTTCCTATCCACTCAACGCCCTTATGTCCTCGCAATCGACGTATAACCCCCAGTCACAGCACCACCCAACGGCTCGTCCAACGTTTGAAACACGCCTGCAATCACCGTATCACCCAGCGGTTCCTCAAACTATCGAAACCCCTCTGCAATCGGCCATTCAAGTTCCCATGAGATACAGCTTCCCTCCCAGTTCATCACAGGAACAAATGCGCTACTATCCCCATCATACACCAGTCCCTATATACAGAGAACCAAAAAGGGACCAGCACCCTCCAACAGGGGCTTCAGTTACCCCTCAAACTCTGGCACAGAATTTGTCACGGCGCTCACACCGCCTATCCTTGTCGTCACACGAAGCTCTTCCACCAGCTAACCATAACAGTATATTCTACAAACCTGGCCATCCATCTGCTCTATATGGGAGCAATGGCTATCTAATACCCCCCACCATCCACGTTCTCTACCCACGAAGGGAGGAGCGCGCGGGAGTAGAAAGAAGAGATGGGAGACCGGCGAGGGAAAGCATCGGGGATGAAGTATCTATGGGGTTACGGTTTCCCCACCAGCGGAGCTCGAGCTAAGTAATATATTTAAGTGAGATATGGAGCCGTGAACGACTGTGACTTGTTTAATCTTGTATCGTACATGTACGCGTGTAGAAGCAAGAGGCTTTGTCAAAGCTGGTTACTGTAGCCATATATCGGGGGAGAATGAATTCTGGTTACCTATTTTTAATGACTTTAGGGTAGCGGTGTTTCTGATCACAATGCTTAGGATCTTGTTTGGGCGCACGGCAAATGTATTAAAAATTCTCCGAATTCTATTTAGGATCCTTGCTTTCAAGTACCCTGTTATTGAAAGCCCAAGTAGAATATACCCTGAAAAAATTACATAAGTTTTAGTCAAGATACCTCGTCTAGTTCTTCAGACAAAGGAATAAACCTGGCAGAGCTCCAACATACAAATCCGATAGTTTCATGACTAATTGCAAGTGGACTTTTTACAATCGACCGTAGGGTTAGAGGTACCGTGGGAGATTAGTTCTTCTGGTAATATACCTTGCTATAGTGAAGGGTCAAAAAGCCTATGTGGAGACAAAAGTATTTCGCATGTGAGTAACCCAGTGCCTTAGTAGGGCAGCTACATAATATGGTATATGGCTGACAAAGTGGAGAGGGATGAAGTTGGTTCATTAAATGGCAACGCCGTATGGGTGTAAAACCTTGCATAAAATACTAATCGAGGTAGTCACGTCGTCAATGGCCAAGGCTCACTAGAAGGACATAGTATTTTCACCTGTCGACTGACGGTCCACAAAAGGCAAGAGGAAGACCAGTTCGGTCTAGTTGCATATGCATATGCTAGCCATGCTTTTCCCCACCAAGTCCGGCAGATACAGGCTACCCTGGCTCGACTACGGCAGCTTTAGGGAGCATTGCTTCTCCACTAGCAATGTTGTACCCTGGAAGTGGTTACCAAATAGCCCTAGTCAAAAAAATCGGGCCATTAATAATCTATTATGCTACCCATGTGGTATCTGTACTAATAGTATAGCCCCCCAGGAAGGCTTTTGCGCCGCTCGATGGACCACGTTCTGGCCAACTGCTTGCCAAGGCGGAGTGTGTCAGGACAGCATCTCAAAAAATAGGGTTCTTAACGGGATATCTATTGTCTTAATCTTTCCAGCATAAATGTGATTTCAACGGGTTAGGAGTTTAACGAATCTGGATATAGTTTAAACCTAATAGCGTAAAATCACTCCTCGTATGACCAACATTAACCTGCAGCGTCAAATTAAATCTGACGTGTATGGGGTCGATAAGGGTAGGGTAGAGCATGGCTAGCTCCAGTGAGTCGACCAGCTCGGAGAATGAAGAATAGATTGCTCAGAAAAGCTGTTCGAGGCTTTTTTCAACACACTATTTGTATGGGAGAAGGACATCCCCACGCATATGCACTAGGAGCTAAGATTTGGCAAACTTTCCGTAGTCCATACCGCAGAGCTTATCGATATAGAAACCAGTTATGTGTAGGTCTAAACATATTTTACGTTGCTATACCGATACCAATAACCGGCGATCATGAAACGGTAGGTAGTGTACGTGGTGCTATAAAGTTCGTCTAACGACGCGAAATCAAACGTACTGAATCTTATGCCATTCCAAGTATGATGACGTAGATATATGGTAGTCACTAGGTGACAAGGCGTGTTAGGAAGTTTTAGATTTTCAAATAGAGAGTTTAGGGTTACGAATGGCAGGTCATACGTATGCTGCAAGAGTCTTCGTGTTAACTAGAGAGCCCGTCGATGTGGAGCGGAAGCACCAGTGAGTGCACCAGTGAAAGCACCAGTGAAAGCACCAGTGGAGGCACCAGTGAAAGCACCAGTGAAGGCTCATAGTATAGATTTAGTGGTTATGATAGGGTAGAGGTTCAACAATTATATACAGATCTTGAGGTGCGTATAATGGTAAAGCCCATGAAAATGTCAATACTAGAAATGTCCATCACGGAACCCAGAACCCTTAAAAGACCTAAAGAGTTAATCTGAGAGGGGTAGTTTGAGAAATTGCGTAAACAGCATTGACACCGAACTTTTTTTCTCTTAAATATCATGGATTTGAAATATAAAGTATTAGTGTTTATCGGAGACAAGAAGTGAATTCGAGGATACAAAGTTGGCTAAATTAGGTGAAACATGACATAGGCGAGCTCTCTATTATCATGCCCAGAGATTAAACCACACCAAGTAAAAGCTTTAAAGCTCCTTTTATCATTTAAGGTAATATGTACCATTTCTAATCTTTTACCAGTATGTTTTTTCCAGCAGCCCTTTCCGCTCAGCATCTTAGGGTATGGTGCCGCGTGCAGGATTACTTGAGAATTCTCAAGTAGAGGTTTAGCAGCCTGATCCATTACGAAGGTTTGAAGTTAATCATATAATATACATGCTCCACTCCAGGGAAGTTTATGGGCTTAACGATACCACCCATAGAGTGATGTAATAGCGAAACACGTTAGAGTGGATCTCGAAATAACAGATCGCAAGTATTATTATGGAGAAAGCTACCGAATTCCTGGTAGATAATGCTTTTATTGAACAGTGCGGGAACTACATGATCCTTAAGTGCCTGAAAGTTTTGGTTTCGGCTATTCAGCATGACTGGTCCACCATCTATGCTTACAAAGTACCTAATCTCCTGAAAACTTAAGCGCATGCCATTTAAAGCAGCTGATGCGTCTAACCGGCATCCCAATCGGACCAGCGGCTCAAAGTTGAACGGCCATGTAACGCCGAGGACAAGCCTTACAGATGTCCCTGGCAGATCCAGGCACAACGACCGTATCTCGGTTGATCAGTACTGCTTCGTAACAGCCTAGAAAATTAGCACTGCGTTATGTGACTCATTTTCACCCTGAGAAAAACATCTATACCCGACGTCGTTACCCCGGATAGGGCTTACAAAGCCCCCTAGTCATTAATATTCCTTCGTTGCATTTCTTCAATGAAAGATCTTTAGCGAGATTCTCATCCAACCCTTCCCACGATCAGTCTTCACCAATGCTCCACCCTCCTCTCGACCGATAACCTGACTGGTACCATCCAAAAAATAAAATATACCGTATGCAGTCGGTCCGCGTTGGAGGGTCAAAATAATGCAGAAGCTCTTCCGCTTATTTGTTACCGTTTATCCCGAAAGCCACTACATCACGGACCTCAGGTGGCCCTTACGCAGCCTCGGCACGTTCGAAACCCGACGCACCAGGTCCGACCTCTTGCCGCTATCGGGTGTGTGCTTACCATTCAGGCCGAGGCATCTGCCACATCACTCGTGAGAGTTCAAAGGTATAATGCTAAGATGCTCGTAATACGAATTTCTCCGTCGAATCATTGTTCCAGACTCTTCTATTTCTCATAACCGTTTAGTTTCTTGGCAAGCTGTCTTGGAATAGGAGGTGACTCCGCTCAGCTTTACGACACCAGACCGTGCTCCTTGCGCCGCACCATTCCGTCACATGCGAATACACCCCCCAACTGTCGGGATTAGGGAACGCCGTTTCTCCGCCTACGCAGGTCACGAGCGGGAAGGTGCCAACAGTATCACTCCGACGGATCTCAGCCCAGACTCGTGGGGAACATTCTCCGCGCACGGTGACGTGCCAGGTTGCAGAACCGACTTTACAAAATATAAATAGCTGCGCCCACCGAGAATTTTTCATTCCGGTTATATGCATTTATTTCAAGCTTATTTCCATCCGGTTCTTCTTTTCAACCCCCATAGACACTTATAGACGTAGTTACTCGAACGTATCCAGATTCGAATACCGCATATTTCCTCTTATCCATTGCCAACACCCCTATTGACATTATCCCTATTACCACTTACATTCCCTTTGTCATGTCCACTGAAATTGTCTCTCCAGACGTGGCTGTCGCTACGATTTCCTCAGACCTGAGCGCTATTGGGTCAGCAGCTACCACCACCGACTCGCTTCTCGTGTCCAACATCAAATCCTTTGGTTCGGGTGCGTTCGGTGGGGTCTGTGCGCTCTTGACCGGGCACCCGTTCGACCTCGTCAAGGTACAGCTCCAGACGGGCCAACACCCTTCTGCCTCGGCGGCGGTGCGTGCGACGCTCGCAGCCAGCGGCCCGCTCGGGCTCTACCGCGGGGTGATTCCGCCGCTTGTTGGGGTTACTCCTATCTTTGCCGTCTCTTTCTGGGGGTACGATGTGGGTAAGAACCTCGTGTCCTGGGCCACAAACAAGAATGCAGGTGAGGCCCTTTCCACGGCCGAGATTTCCGCGGCGGGTTTCTTTTCCGCCATTCCAACCACCGGGTTGACTGCGCCGTTTGAACGTATCAAGGTGGTTTTACAGACCTCCAAGACACAGACCCTGATGTTCGGGGCTACGCGCGAGATCTTGCGCGCGGGTGGGTTGCCTTCGCTCTTCAAGGGCTCTGTCGCGACACTCGCACGTGACGGTCCGGGGTCTGCGGTCTACTTTGCGACGTACGAGATTCTCAAGAAGAAGTGGTCGCCTGAAAATGGGGATCTCTCGCTTGTGGCGGTTATGGGTGCTGGTGGGTTCGCCGGTGTGGCCATGTGGATGACTATCTACCCGTTCGACACGATCAAGTCCAGACAGCAGGCGTCGCTGGTGAAGATGTCGATTTCGGAGGTGTCGCGCGGGATTTACAAGACCTCGGGCATCAAGGGCTTTTTCCCAGGTCTTGGCCCGGCGTTGTGCCGTTCGTTCCCGGCCAACGCCGCGTGTTTCTTAGGTGTTGAGGTGGCGAAGAGCGCCTTTAACAAGGTGTTGTAGAGACTGGTTTGAACAACCGGCGTTAGAATTGCTGGATATTGGTAGAGACTGAAGGGCTGGGGTTTCCCGATGCTTGGTGGATGCTGCTTGGCCTGCTTTTATATTTCCCAATTTGCTATACATTTTCGTGCTTGCTAATCTTTGGTAATGCCAGGCTGAGCTAAGTCCTCCGTTGCAGTGCTGCTAGAGTTAACATAATATATAATTTAGGTCGATTAGAAATGGTCAAATAATATTAGAGATATTCAAACGACGACGAGAATGTCTCCCAACCGAACTCTAAGCGATCTGGAAATTTTTAACCAATACCCTCAAACCTTTGAATATTAAATTTAGTTTGAGCCAACCTTTAGCTATCAAAAAAAAGTCAACCTGTTTAATCACCTATCTCTCCCAAGGCTTCTAGCTCCTCCATCTGCGTGCAATATTTTTCACTCTGGTGAGGACACAACCTGAACCACATTCCCTTTGAAATTTACTTCTCAGCACCTCAGCTTCATCATTAGCCAGCTCCACAAACCAACCCATTTCACATAATATACACGCTATGGTTTGGCCGTTTAGCAAATCTAAGCCCGCAGAGGCTCCAGTGGAGGCCCCAGTCCCAGAGGTTCCCCAGTTTTTGGAGGATCTCCCGCCGAAGTTCAACGATGACGCCCCGCTCAGTCGCGACTCGGTACCCAAGAAATCGACGCTCACACAGGCGGTAGCCACCATCAAGCGTGATGACTTTTCGCCCTCCAACATGATGAAGATTCCGTGCTTCCGTGAGGGAATGATGACGGGGCTTTCCGCGTTGGGGGTCCTCGGGGCTATTACCTTCATTACCTCAAAAAACGTGAGAAAGGCAACTAACTGGGGGATGGCTGGGTTCTTGCTTGGCAGCTGTGTGGGCTGGGAGCAGTGCCGTGTAGTCAGAATGAGATCGTTTGAGAACGTCCAGCAGGCCAAGGAGGTGATCCGCAACAAGGAAAAATAGCGTTGCGGATTCTTGTATATAGGTTGTCATGAATGCTACTTAAATGATCAAGGAGAGCCAATAGGCTGTGTAGGGCCTAGGCTTGGTTACAAAGTTTACACAAGTAATGAATGTCAAAGGTGGTTAAAAGGGACTTAGCAATGAATCTTATAAGCCAAGTAATCGGATAAACGTGCCCTCTAAGGGATGTATAATATATATATATGCAAGTATAGGTTCTATGAAGTTTCAGACATCTCCAATAGATGTGGGGCACATCCCTTATATAAATACACTGCCATATACTACTATAGGCTAGAGATACTCAGACACTCAACTCTATGCAGCATCAATTACATTACTTATTACGCATCGATAGACCTAAAACTATCAATGCCGGCTCCTCCAGAAATATTGGCCCAGTTCCAGCGCCATAAGTGTCTAAAAAGTTTTTCCGATTTCTATATACTCTGTAATACCTTGGAGCGTGACCAAATCCACATTCTGCATTCTACCTTAGCAAAAACTCTGGGGCCTGGGCTGGATCGACCTTGATGCTGGAAACGTCAAACGCCTCGATCAACAACTCCACCATGATGCGCCCACCCTTATCCCCGACAAAACGGCGGTACTCCTCTGACACGCTAGCCAAGTTCCAGCCCTGGAGCCGTCTCAAGCAACCAATCACGGTGCCTGTACGGTGTCTGCCCATGCCGCAGCACACAAGCAATGGGTACGACTCCTTGTTAGCGATAACTTGGAGCGCCTTTCTGATTGCTGTTTCGGAGAGCCCGTCCCAGGGGTTATTTGAGTAATCATACTCGTCGTCATCGAGCGACACAAAGTACACGTTGATGTCATTGTTTTCTGCAAACGTGAGGAACTGGTCCAGCGGATCCTCCGTCGCGAGCCACAAGATAGTCTTTAAGTTGAGTTCCGCAAGGAACGAGTGGTTCAAGCCTGCGGGCTGGCCGGAGCGGTAGAGAAACCGCTCTACGGGGCAGAAGTTGAGCGGCGGGATGATGCGGAGCTGCGGCGGTTTTGTGATGAGGCGTTTTGTGCCAACGTCGGCATCAGCCGGCGATGCTGTGGTCATATTGTGTAATTTGTATCCAAAGAACTCAAGAGCTTGTACTGGTTATTTGTGGAGCTTGGCGTGTGTTCTACTAGCCAGTTGAATGCTGCAATTTATAGGGTTGCGATGGATATGATGTCGTGCGGTGGTGAATTAGCACGTGATAGAATAGGGGGAGGGTGGGTTCCCTCTTCCATGTATTTAATTAAATTGTTATATTGTAAATGGAGAAGAGGCTGTGTGCTGGGACCTATAGTTATTATCCATACGTCATAGATACATGGGTTTATTCGAATATAGCGCTTTTGGGGGTGTTTTCACGCGTAAAGCGTGGATAGACGGACGGTATCAAGAGCAGCTCTATCACCATGTTTCTCTTCTATGGTTATGATTGAGGTGTGAACTAAGACCAAGGTTTTTATTCATACTTGCTGCCCTGGTGAAGGGGTGCTCAAAGACGTATAGAAAACATGAAAGGTGCCATATAATCCCGCATATATCCCCACCTTCGATGACCTATTCTACACCAATTGCACAACCTTTCGGTATCCACTGTTACCCATTGGATATACAATTTTCCTGGATAATATAATCCACTGTATCAGAGCAATGATACCTATGCTACAGGTGCTGGAACCCTTGCTGTAAAATCAATAGTTATGTTTAATGGCAAAGTCTAAATTAATAAGGTAAGGCTCAGCCCATTAAGTCAACATATCTTGGTAGTTATCGTTGAGGAAGCTCATCTGCTCCTTTCTGTAGTTATCCTTTCCGGTGGAAAGAAACACACGGCCGATATACATCATATTGTTGGTAAGAGCGTTAGTGTTCTGGTACTGTGGCCAATGTGTTAAGGTATGAAAGCCACCTTTGTTAGGACTTAAGGTACTGGCAAACGAAATAAACGCATTACGGTAAATCAAGGACCCAGAACCGGTGATGTGGTATTGCCAGATGATGTCATTTGAGTGAAACGTACCGATAAATGGGAGACCCCTTAATTGCTGAGAGTTAAAGGTGTATCTGGTAACGTCTGGAGTGTGGTTTAGCATAAACCTTCTCGGGGCTTGGAATACGATATCACCGAGTAAAGATGCAATTCTCTTATTTTGAGGCGACAACGTATCATTCTTACCGGTACCATACGGAGAACCCTGGGTGACATTCTGTGGGTACAACGTCAAGAACTGATCCATCAAGGAGGACGGGATTCCGGAGAGCATATTTTTAAAATACGCTGTTGCATCGGCATCAGTGGTCACGTTCAAGCTAGAGAGGGAGAAAACAGTCCCTTCATCATTTTGGTCTCCAATGATATACGGAATTCTCGCGTACTTTCCATCGGCAACCATCTGCATCGGCTGGTAGGGAATAAAACCACCGTCCAGTCTTGGAATGTAGGATAACTTCAATGACAGATAGGAAAACATTGCAGGAACAGAGTTGCTCGCAGCTTGCATGTCAGTGTAAGAAAGACCTCTCAAACATGCCAACTTGTCGGAGGCGGTACCGCAACCACCAGCATTGGCTACAGCGTCAAAGATCTGTTGTGGGTATGCCGAATCAATGTCGTCAGATGGAAGAACAGACCCAGACTGCATGATAGCGGCTCTGAATAATGGCTTGCCTTTATAGGTGTTGTCACCATTGTTTGCAACCATATGGTGGCCCACGGAAATGGACCCAGCCGATTCGCCAAATATGGTGACCTTGTCTGGATCACCACCAAACGCAGCAATGTTGTCGGCAACCCATTGTAAGGCAATTCTCTGGTCCAATAACCCAGCATTGCCACTACCCTCGGCCTTAACCTCCTTTCCTCCCAAAAACCCAAAGGCAGCGAGCCTGTAGTTGACAGAGACGTAGATAAAGTCTTGGCCTTGGCGGGCTCCCTGCGCCATCAAGTGTTGTGGGTGGTAATCTCTGGAACCACCTTGTTCAAAACCACCACCGAAAATCCAGAACATCACTGGCAACTTCGCGGTAGACGAGAGACCTCTCTTTCTGTACACATCGAGGGTTAAACAATCCTCAGACTGGGGATAGACTTCGTTGAACAACGGAGATTGCATCACCAAGCTCGCAATCTCCGATGGAATGGTATGGACGAATTCCGCCACTGGGTTCATTCGAGGACACGATGGACCGTAGGTCAGGGCATTGAAGCCGTTCAAGCTCCCGGTATATGGCTGGGGCGGCTTGAATCTCAAATCTCCGATGGGTGGAGCCGCAAAAGGAATACCCAAGTAAGATTCAAGGTTGTTATCGAGTTCGTAGCTACCGATGATGGTGTCTCCACCGGATAACTGGATTTGAGGGCCCAGAAGGCCGTGAACGGATGCCACAAAAAATTGAAGGGCAATTCCCAAGGTGGCCAAAGCTGATTTCATTCCGGGGATAATGCTTCCAACTGTATTGATATTTTTTTTTTATTTTCTGGAACCGCCTTTAAGGGGAATAGATACGCATTTTATATCTTTTACGGTGGATATGCAATTTTCGCAGATCTACTTATTACTTAATGCAGTTTCATTCATCAATGTACTTCAATGCCCTGATTCATGTATGCACGAGCCAAGGCGGTCTATGCTGCATGAAGCGTTTCGGGGTTCTCTCCACATACGGAGAATGCCTCTGGAACTATAGTCTGTATACACAAGTCAATCAGCCAGGCCTAGAAAACCTGTACCTGGCATCGTGTCCTGAATATTAAACTTTACAGCATCGTTTGGCCCGTATAGCTCCATTGAGCCTTGGAAACTTTAGCACACACAAGGAACCGATGCAGGATCGAGACATGATTATTTGATGAATATGGGGCTTTAATGGCGTCAGCTTTGGCCGATCCAGGCACCTATATAATAGATGAGGAGATACATGCGAGTGTGGCCTAAGCCACCTCCCCACTCATACACAGGTAGGATAAGCTACAGGGGCAAGCCTGGCGCCGAAGACTTCAAAGAGTAGGGTTATATGGACGATCAATACTCGTAGATTCATACGAGGCGGGTGGATATGAGTAAACAATTTTTTCCCGGCAGCTCCAATAAATTCCCTAAGTCTACAGTATGTTTTGAGCTTTTTGAGTGTAATGGTATGGCCGGAAAGAGTCTACTTTCCGGATCCATTTGTCGGTTTAGGATAGATCCGCATCGTTTACATCGAAGAGTTTCTGGCTTTCCCATATATTCCGTGTAGTACTACTCTCTTACAAGAGAGTACTCGGAGCTACGGTAATATCTAAAATAGCTATTGTAGTAAGGCAGGCTCAAATAGGACGGACGATTTCCAAATTTAGACGTATGCTTATTTAAACATGTGATACGGTTTCATGGATAACCAGCAGTCAGGGCCCGATAAGATTGCCTTTACTGAAACCGGAAGAGTTTGTATGTGTACAGGCGGTAAATCCTACGTTTCACAGCCATTCCAGCTGCGCTTCGTCTAGATCTCATTGTTATACCTGAATATACGCCTTATATCAGCGCATCGAGTAACTCCGGGCTATATCCGGAAGTTTGGGTTGAACTTACCAGTAAACCGTAACAGGGGTGAAATCATAATAAAACGTGGTAAAATTGTGGTATACCTCTATCTGGTGGGTACAATATATCCTTTAATTCACTGGTTGACCATAGAATGTATATAGGATGAGGGGAGGGATTGACCTCCTTGTATAGAGTATCGATCCTACCACGTGATCATTACACTACAAAAATCGGGGCCGTAGTATATTGTCTTGGACCACAGTTTTTAACGTAACGTCTTTATTTTTTGCACCATATTCTAAGGATGCTCTCCCAAGCCCCATTATATGATTCGATATAACAATTTGCTTTTGATAGGGAAACCGAAAGAAATGCGTATGTAAAGTTTAGATGTCTTAAATGCCGCATCGACTACGTCGTCACGTGGCATAACTCGGGTCAGGAGTGAGTGCATGCTCGAACAAAGTATTTTCGGCTTTAATTTAAATACCTATGGCCAATAACGCCATCTCCCTTGACAAGGCTTAATCGCATTCCACACACCAGTATTTGACCCGAAAATGCGCCTTCACCCCCCGAGATTCATACAATCACGTGACCGAACAGCCTGCTTTTCTCGCACTCACACGACCCAACTTGAACCACGTAATCAAACGGAACGCGATGGATGTTAAGTACACTAGTAGTCCCCCCCTTAGCCCTAACTCTACAATACGCATAATCACATCTCACAATGGCCAAGGTTAAGAAGTCTGTTAATGCTGACCCGGATCCAGTGATTAAGATCACTCCGGTAAAGACCAGTGCTGCCGCTGCTGTCACCACCACCTCGGTAGTGTCCTTCACCCAGACGTTGCAAAAAACGTTGGAGGCCTATAAATCATCGCTCACGCCTAAGTTTGCGCTTATCGACATTTTCCTTGGGTTTTTGGTGGCTCTTGGAGCTTTGCAATTTGTGTTCTGCTGCCTTGTGGGCAACTTCCCCTTCAACGCATTCCTCGGTGGGTTCATCTCCACAGTGGGTCAGTTCGTCTTGACGGTCAGCTTGAGATTGCAGTTTGACGACGAAAACAGGGTTGCGATCTGGAAGGGTCAGGGCAAGGAGATGAAGTGGAGAGCAATGGGCGATTACATATTCGCTAGTTTGGTCTTGCACTTTATTGTGTACCACTTCATCAACTAGTGGCATCCAGGCGACGACATTCCAAACGTGTATAGTATACCATGCTGAATAAACTTGTGATCATTGATAGGTGTAGACGAAAGGGGTGGAATGAGACCTCATGTATGCCGTGGGATATTCTCCAGTGAAGTTACGACGTGGATCGGATGACTGGACGAGATTTAACCATAGTCTAACCATGTATTGTAGATAAACCGCCAATAACATAGCGGTGGATTGGGAGTATGAACATGACCTCTCCAAAAGATATGCACTTGAAAAATCTACCAACTCCCTGAAAATGGTTTCACTGCGATGCAAAGGTTGGAGGGCCATTCACCAAATCAATGATCTCTAAGCCTTAAGCTTAACCGGTATAACCAAAAACTGGAGTTATGATGAGGTATTCTGTGAATGGAATGCGCACATGTCTTGATCTGTTATGAAAGGTTAGCTGCCTGACATGAGTGGAAATACTCCGCTAGCTTCATACCTTAGCTAGTTTCATCTTGAACCGCAATCTTAGTATTACAGCTCATCTATTCTACTTTTCCAATCTTGCCGTTGAATCGTGTCAAAATACCCACGTCATCGCCTACAGATACTTCGGTTCAAGCTTGAGCATTTCTTCAGATGGAAACTACAAAACGCAAGCCACTTTAAATAAAAACATCAATACAATACCTTAGCCAGCCTTCTGATCCACCTTCGAAAGGCTCGACTCCACTTTTGCTCGCTATTAGACAATAACACAACAGCCGCCACTCTTTTCGGGAGCCGGGGCGCTGGCCTGCTTCTTTCTGGCGGCCGCCGCTGGCTGTGCCGCTGCAACAGGGACACTCTCAACAGTAGGCTCAATAGCAGCCACCGGTGGCTGCTGTGCTTGTGGCTGGACTGGTTCCTGCGGTTGCTCCTGTCTGGCTTGAGGGGGTTGACCCTCATTGACCACCACTGGGTGTTCTGGGACCTTTTCGGTATTCTCCTGCTCTCTGATCTTTCTGACCAAGCCGAAAAAGGCCTCCTCCACGTTAATCCGCTGCTTGGCAGAGGTTTCCACAAAAGCAGCACCAAAGCTCTCGGCCAACTGCTTGCCCTCGCTGAAGGAGATCTGTCTCTCATTTTCCAAGTCGCATTTGTTCCCGACGAGCATGATCGGCACCTGCTCGGTGTCCTTGACACGGCAGATTTGCTGGTAATACGTGAAGAGCTCGTCGAAGGAGGTCCGCGAGTTGACGGAGTACACGAGCAAGAAGCCTTCACCGGTTCTCATGTATTGCTCTCTCATGGCGGAGTACTCCTCCTGGCCCGCTGTATCGAGCACGTCTAAAACAACCTCTTCCTCGTCGATGACTACCTGCTTGCGGTACGAGTCTTCGATGGTGGGATCGTATTCGTCCACGAAGTGCGACTGGATCAACTGGATGGTGAGGGCAGATTTACCCACACCACCGCCACCGACAACGACCAACTTGTATTCCGGGGTGTTCTGTACATTAGTAGATGTTCTGTAAATGTTAGGGAGGGGCAGGCGAAGGGCTAAAGGGTGGGAATGGCCTGTCTCCGTGAGTTGAATAGCAATTCAACGTCTCCGTTGAAGAATAGCAATGTATTGGTGCCCCCCCTTTGACTTAGGTAGTCAATGATGTCACCATTGGGCTTGGAGAACTATCCACTGGCATTACGTTTTTGCATACCAGCCGATTGCCCCACCAGTAGGGCTCTAGAATGAGTAGACAAGCACCCTATCTGAGTCCCTCCTTTCCACTTATCAATACGAATACCCCTTCCTACTCGTATTGTAAGCGTCTGGTGTCAATGAACGACACCGTCCAGCCAATGGAATTTTCATGCCAATCGGATAGACTCCCTGGAGTCCCCCTTTCTATTCTCAAATTTCAAAACTCCTATTTGCTCCATTATACATACACTGAAGGACATCTTTAGTTCACTGGTTTGTACGTAGCACAAATGTAGTTGAAATACTTAAGTGTGATGTTTTGCTTCATTTTAACGCCATAAAGTTTTTCGCGACCCTTCGTTCCCAATTGGGACGTGATAGGGCTCTAGCGGAGTGGGACACGCACGCTTCCTTAGGGATAACGCGCAAGACCGTGCCTGTGCCGGCTGCGTGGGTGGTGCGGCTACCGAAGCGCTGCTGAAGACTCTGTTATCACACAGGAGCCGGTAAAGCTCCCTTAGGATTATTTGTGGTGGAATAGATCAACATTAAAAACTAGTATAACAATTGAGATAGAAGCTTTTTCATTGTATATAGTGAGTTTTCTTGTCCCGGAATTCTGAGCATTATCGTGGTACGTACACCACGCCGCTCTGCTGGTGCATGTCCCTGGTCCATGAGCGTACGGCTCTGGCTTGGCAAAGGCGATGAAATTCGCAAACAGCCTGGTCATTAGTTTGGACTCCGTATACTATCAGCATGATAAGCATTTTCTATCCGCATAGAAACAAAATCCTCGTGGAATGTAGAGGTGGCCTGGACATTGGCGGTCATTGATCCCTTGGGAACGCTGTTTGTGGAGATTCACATATTAAAAGGTCCAGACCGCGTAACTTGGATAAAAAGGGAGAGGGGAAATAACGCCCGGACCCCTGTGACATCCTTAATAAAGCTAAGCGTTCGGGGCGCCTGCACCACTGCACCAGTAGAATAGAGCCGGTAAATTGCTTATCCGGAAAGTTTCTATCGTACACTTTTTCCATGCTACCTTAGTTAAAGATTCTAGGATCTCAACAGACATTTATGTGGCAACATCGTAGGATGAGATACAATCAAAGAAATTGAGTCATCTAATCACCATATGACGAGGGTGACCAACGCGGAAGCTTGGACACGCATCAATGGCTGAGTCAAGGACCTTATTTGCTGTGCATATTATACCCGGCAAATATATCTATAAATATCTAATTCTTTTATTCCGGTAGTATGTGGTGTGGTCTGACAGTTTTTGCTCACCCAGAATACCTCCAAATATATTTATTAACACACTAATTTGTTGGCATAAAATGCATTTAAATTTGTTAATATAAAATTCATTTAAATTCATTGATATAAAAACTGTAAAAAATCCCCTATGGGCATCAAGAATCTCTTTAGTTTCACATTTAAAACTATATTTCGAGTATTTACCTCTTGATTATGGAAAATACTTTCTAATATCCTTTACCAGTTCAAGAAATCTCCGACTCAGAGCCGTGTCTGAACTACAAATTCATGCAGTTATCATCGCATCATACCGATCGATTGATGTTCCCAAGGTCTCTGGTTTACCATCCAGTCACTACCTAGATAGCATTGACGCTAAGCGTGGGCTTGCTGGGGCTCTCCCGGATACTCTCACACCCCATGCAATTATGCAACACATCGTGCGAAAACACATCACAGTCAATGCAAAAGCTCACCTGGCAGTCCGGACAGCGGTAGCGCGAGCTGGTCAACATGTGCTTCTTCATCCCCCATTGTGCCTCCTCCTTCGCCTTGAGCACCTGGGCCTCCAGCGGCGTCACTCCCGCGGGAAACGCGATCTGGCAGCCAAAACAAAACTCTGTATCATAGTTGGTCAGAACTGGCACCTCTACGTACGTCTTGAGCGGAAAAAGATGGTGGTACGAGCGCGCGAGGTGGGTGGAGAGAATGAGCATGAGCTGACAACAGGGGCAAACAGTGGGCAAGGAGCAGATCTTTGACAGGCACTGCGGACACACATAACCTCCGTAGGTGAGCTTCGAATGACACGAGCAGAAGGAAGGTGAGGCGGTTTCGCTGATTCGCGAGGGGAAGCCCATCTCCACGAGCGAAAAACCGGGCGCGGTCTCAGCCAAACTCTGGTTACTAATAGCGAGCGGGGTTACCGCGTTCATTAGCAACTCCTTGTAATGGGTTTCGTTGAGAATCACTCCATACAACGAGGAGTCACCAAAATTGGTCTTGCGGACCATTTCGGCGCAGATCGCCACCTGGGCTGTGAGCCCAATCACCCTCACGCGGATCTTGGACACCACGAGCGACAGAATCGTTTTGTGGATGTCACCTGGGTCGGACGTCAAGAGCGATCCGAAGATGATGAGCACCTCACGTGTGCAGTGGGATGCCACATGGAGAAGTAATCCTTTGGACATTTCCAACGCGTTTTGCAATGACGGATCGCCCTTGGGCTCGAGTTTGCGGAGCGCACGGAGGTTGTCGATGTGGCTCTGCGGGTTTCCGCTGACATCACTCACAAGCGTTGCCACCCCGCTACGCATGACTACGATTCCGAGCTGCGAGATTGGGTTCTGGTCGAAAAACTCCCCCACAAAGTCAATCGCGTATGAGATCGTGATTGACGCCCGGTTCGGTCGCAAGTCCTTTTCCTGCATTGATGACGAAAGATCCACCACGAGCACCATGGTGCGGATGATCCCGCGCTGGAACGGCGTCACGTTCTTCATGAACCGTTTCTTGCGCGCCTCCACTAAACTCGTCACGATTCCTTCAAGCGAGCCCCCATCGTCCTCCTTAACGATATCCCACGACCGTTGGTACTCGTCTTCCCACGCATACCCGCCGTTGGCGCCTTTGAGCTCCTCCATAGGCCCGCCGCCGCCGCCGCGCTTCTTGCCTGCGCCCGTGTGCGTCCGCGTTCGCCGCGACACACCTTCGTCCTCTTGGTCCTTTCCGAGGGCCGCATGTGTCACGTATTCGTCGTCCGATTCGTCCATGAGTAGTATAATTGGGCTTGGGGTGGTACGAGTAGGTGGAAGAGAGTGGTTGGGTTATGTACCGAAAAATTAGCGCCGCAGGGAATGGTGATCCGGTATAGAGAAGATATGCGTCGCGCTCTAGGGAAACATACGTCCTACAGTTGATTCATGAACGGACCTAAAGGGGTATGGCAGGTTCCACTCAGAAATGATTCTCGGGTGTATTAATACCGTTTATAGCAGATAAAGTATTACTATAATAACACTGAGAAGAGACACCGCCCTGCAGTACCGCAAGCTAACACCGAGTCTGAGAGGAATGCCAACTCGAGAGATACCTCCACCAGCTAAGGTGTGCACTCAAGCTCACATCTGGATATTCAGTATACCAAGCACACCACATGTCCCCTTTACGATTTATAGACGGTATATATTCAAGATTACATGAACGACATGGTGACACCATCATGGGCGCCAATATCTTCGTCGTCAGACGCCCATGGGTCAAATGACATCAGCACGCCCTTACTAGGACCGACTTTCTCGCTTTCGTTCGCCTGGCAGAAGGAACTGTACTCATTGTTTTCCGGCTTTGGCGTCTCCTCGTCGCTTGCACCCGCCCAGGGATCGAACGACATCTGTACTGACGCCAGATCTTCCTGTTTCAGGTCGGTGAAGGGGATAGGATTCGCTTGGGTATTCTCCGAGGACAGGCGGTGACTAGAAACCCCCAGAACCTCCGTTTCAAAGGTCAGTTGAACGTAAGAAACGGAATCTGGATTTTCGTATCCTACTCTTCCAGACTCGCCCTCCAGCGGCCCAAGAGGAGTCTTCGTAGGGTCTTTTTTGACAAGGTCTTTAGCGTTAGATATAAAGGAAGTATCCTCTTCAAGCTTCGGGCTCTCGTCCCATCCAAACGATTGCTGACCATCATGTTCTGGAGAGGAATTCCTGTCGAAGGACATGTGCACTGGCTCTTCGGTATCCCCCTCAAAGGTCATCTGTACACGGTCATCTTCCCACTGGTCAAACGACATCTGCACAACCTCTGGCACCCTAGAATGATCCTCTAAAGCACCGCCCATAACATCTGACGCCGCATCTTTCATCTTGTCTGCAGATGACCGCGCTTCCCGGGAACCGGCAACCAGCAGCTCCTCCTCCTCGAGCTTTCCAGTATCATCCACATCAAAATACACATCGGCCGGCTTGATATCCAAGTCCACTTCATAGGACCCATCAGTGGGGATCTTCCCTTCTGCCTGCTTTCGGTCTACTTCTTGTCTGCCTTCTTCGTAAATCTCCCACCACTCCTTCTTTTTTGGCGTAAACCATGTCTTCCAGCCCTTCTTCTTCCTCTTCTTGGCATCAATCTCGGCGTTCATCTTATCCTTCGCCTCTTCGAATTCCAGGATTAGCTTTCTCTGTCTCTCCTGTTGTTCTGGGTCCGGGCCGTCAATTTCCACAAACTCCTCCGACAACACTTCCCAGCCCACCTTTGACATAAGCAACGGCATCACCTTTCTATAAGCCATGTGGCCCTCGACATACTCAGTGCAGTCAAAGTTTTCGATACCGTAGATGGATTCAATCGGCGACAAGCCCGCGACACTGCGCAACCCACCACCAGTGGCACGGAACAAGTAACCCAAGATCCAGTCTTTTTTGGAAAAACCGTTAACGAACCGGCCACTAACAACAGATCGCGCAAGGCTCATCTGGTCGTGCTGGACGGTCACCGGAGCACCAAAGATGTAGACGTTCTCCACCAAACCGTACGCTCCCCGTTTGGCAAGCTCTGTCAAACAGGTGTAGATAAGCTTGGCGCCAAGGGAAAAGCCGACCAAAGTAACCGGTCTCAGACCCAAGTTACGCGCCATGAGCGTATCGGCGAGAATCAACCCGGACGAGTAGGCTCGATCCAAGGAGACGTTCCAGGGGTTGTCTAGCAAGTAACCGAGCTTGGAAAGAGCCATGGGCAACTGGATGGACGCCATAAGACCAATCAAGACGGTAGAGCCGAGAATCTGCTGGATCGACTGGGTGAGAGCCTCGGTTGCGAGGATGTTGATGGTTTGGCCCATCGAGGTAAGCATCTCCGGTTCCCAGAGCAAGGAAAACAAGTCACCCATGATAGGATCTACGGTAGAGAAGGGCAATCTGACGTCATCGGACGTCGAATTCATCCACCCAGAGACGGTAATGATCAAGTTGGTGCGCTGATTGTGGTGCAAGGGCTTGAATTCAAAGGTTTTGACCGACCCCACTCGTTTAGCCATCCCCTTGCTCCCGACCCTCGCACCGGCAATCACACCGGTGGTGGTGACGATCGCCGTCCCACCCACACCGGCGAGGAAGCCAGAAGTACCGGCAATCCCAACGGTCGTGAGCCCAGCAGCGATTCCGGCCCCGATCACTGGAGCTAGTAGCCCGGCCGAGAGACCGATCACAAGACCCCCACCAATGGTCGCAAGGCCGATATACACCGCCCGCTTACGCTTGTCCAAGCGGGATCTCCGGGCCACAAGGTCTTTCTCGTCGAGCTGCTCTTCGCCCGTGGAGTTGTTGACTTCGATGGACTCGGTGACTTTCTTTTCAAAGAGGCAGACTTCAAGCTCGGAAATATCGAGGTTGGCAGCGGCCTTGAAGAGAAGCGTCCGGCAGCGGGCATCGTAGACCTGATCGGAGACGAGGAGAAGAAAGAGGTCACACATGAGGGTCCATTTGAGGTCGATGGAAAGGGTCTTTTGCATTCTGACCGGGAGCTTTTCCGGTGTTTGCGAAGCAGGGTCTGGATCGCTGAAAGGGTTCAGTATGGGTTCCTTCGAGGTTTCCTGGGTGGATGTGGTGTCTCTGAAAGGGTTTACTGGGTCAAGATCTTTTCCTGAAGTGTATGGCGAGGCCATTGTGATGCTGCTGGCTTCGTCAAAAGCCTCAGCGTTATTCTTAGAACTGGCATCATCTGAATCACGAGCTGGCCCTTGGGCCACAGCTGTATTGCTCAAAGCACTGAGAGTAGCACTAGGCTCGACATCCTTGACGTCAGTGCCTATACTTGCGTCGTCTTCCTCATAAACAGGATTTTCCACTACCTTCGGTGTCAGCGAAATCAACGCTCCGCAGATGTCCCTCGGCTGAATGCCGTGCTGGCTCAACTTCTCGATCATCAGCCGCTCCTCTGCATTCAAATCCATGTGCTCGTACACCTTTTCCATAACTCTCTGGTACAAGTTTCCAAAGTTGGCCTGTGAAATAGACAACTTCTTGGCAACCTTCAGTTTGGTGGTCAGCGTGCAGACCTTGGCCAAGTCGGTTGCCATATCAATCATTGTAAGATTCACTAGGCCAACATAGGCGATTTTCTCCACGTCCAGAAGCATTGCCTTGGTGTTCTGGAGCTGCTCCGCGGGGGTTTCATTAGCATTTAGCGAGGTGGATGGCGGCTGGAACTGCTCATCGTAGTCTAGGTCGGAATCAGAATCAGTGCCCACCTCGGTTGGCACAGCTTCTTTCAGAAACAAAAAATCCGTCTTGGAGTTGATAGCAGAATACTTTGTCGCCTGCTCCTCCGCGTCGATACGGGTATAACCGTGGAGGGCGGCTTTCTGTCTTTCCGCTTCGTCGAGGGACCGACGGTCGTTGGCAAAGGTCACAGCCCCACGATCGTCGTAAAAGTTGGCGTCGGTTACGGTTTTGATCTCCTTCCACTCACCAGACACGGCAAACCCTTCAGATTCGGTGACGGTTCCCGAGAAGAAGTCGTCATCTTCAGGATTCACGCTAGGTTTGGGGACTACCACTGGTGCGGGGCCAAGTTTCGGCTTAGCTTTTGTGGGTTCCGGTTGGGGCTGTGAGCTTTTACCGCCGAACCTCATCTCGTAGTCGTCCCTTTTGCTTGCTTTGCCAAAGTCAAACTCCACAAAACTGTCGTTAAAGTCATCCCTGGGTGGCTCTTGGCCCATCGGAGACGCAAGTGTAGACTGTGGACCCTCCAACGAGACCCGGTTGTCATACGGAAGGGAAAGATTGGTATTGGATAGCGAGACTTTGGAATCAGACAAGTGTGACTGGTAGACGTTCAGACCTAGCGAATGTAAGCTGTGGTTGAGGTTGGCATACACGCGCAGAGGGACCGAGAGGGGGGAACCATCGTGACTGGTCATCACGACTCTCAAAGCTGGGGGCTTGTTTAATCGGGCCTTAGAGCACGGGTGAGGTAGTTGATGCAACTACTCAGGGCTGGATTGACAGGGGTGGGCGGAGACAGCAGTGACTTGGTAGGGCAGAAGCGATGATAAAAGCAAGGCAGTTTTAAATCAATGGATAATCAAAGCACTGCCGTTGGGTTTAGTGGGCGAGCTCTTGGCGAGAAAGTTGTCTAGCTTATCGTTGATACTATGTGGTTCTATACGGCAAAACTGATAGCGCGATTTGCCGGTGCGCGCACAACCGGCGGAACCGCTGGTTATGGACAGAGAGGGCATTATTTCTCTGGAAAATTATCAAGTATATTGCTAGGTGTCTCCTTTTGAATATTACAATTTTTTTTATTAATCAAAGTTCCTATGGCATTAGTAATGTTTGCTAGTTATGGTGTTATATATTGGTGCTCATTGTTGTATGTTCGTGTAACCGTGACCGATTACCGGTGCACGTGATAGTCTATAACTAGAACCAATGGCTTCAAAGCTTTATCCACCGAGCGACCCATTTATTTTTCAAGGAGTTGTCAAAAGGATAACCAGTGGTATATGCCATTCAAGTGTGAGGTGTTTTAAAAATCCTCTGCGTTCGAAATGTGTCCACTTAGATGTGCCCACTTAGATCTTTGCCAAGTATTTCCAGCTCTTGGGATCTATCGGTCGCGTGCATCAAGCTTTCGCGGGGACTTTGTGCAGTATGCGGGCGGCATCTATAAATGGCTATGCAAAAGCCCGATGCTGTTTTATATACGGATAGAACCGTGGTTCAAACCGTGGCTATCAAAGGATAAATTTCCTTAATATCTGGATCATTTCCATTGGGATGAAATGAAAATTGGATTCACAAATCGTATGGTTTACCAGTACCCATGTGCTTTCTCGCCATTATTCTGTTTTCCATTTTGCGCTCCTAATCAACATCTACGCATTTTTCTGATTGCTTGCTTTGTTGAGCAAAATGTCGCATCCTCCCTTACGGATAGCTTCTACAACTCTTACAGTGTCAATACAATAAACAGCTAACGCAGCTGGTGTACACATAACCATTCTCAATATGATAAACAACTGGCGTCGCTATTTACAAGAAAACCTTGGCGTTGATCTCGACCACCGACGCGGCGTACGGAATGTCAAAGTTTTGGAGCACCTCTGGATGCAACACACCGATCTCACCGATTTTGACGGCCTTGGCACCCTCCTTAGCCCTGAACATGACCTTGGCGCCTCTGCCCTCGAAGAAGGTCTTGTTGTCGTCTTGCTCGATCCAGTAGCCTCTGACCGCGCCGGTCTCCGGCTGTGCGATCCACGGCGCCTTGATGGCCTGCATAACCTTACCCAACAAACCCTGGACGTACTCAAACCCGGAGGTCTTACCGACGTACATGGCACACCATTGGCGCTGGTTGAAGGCGCCCCTTTCGAGAGAATCGTCCTTCAACACGATGTCACCGGACTCAAAGACTTTGATCGGCAAAGAGTGCTTTCTGTTTTCCTTAACAGTTTTGAGCAAGCCCGGCAAGAGGGTGGTGCGCACAACCTGGTATTCGATCGACTTCGGGTTGGCCAACTTCACAGCCTTGGTGTTGTCGTCAACCTGCCTCAAGTGGGCAAAGTTTTCGTCGTGGGAGCACAAGGTCAACGGCATGACCTCGGCGTACCCCGACTGGGCGGATGCGATACGCAAGATGTCGGAGACCTTGTTGATTGGCAATGGGGCTGCGACCAAGGACGAAGACGGGGTCTTGGAGGCGGTCATGTTGGCGTAGCCGTAGGCGATAGCAGCATCCTCCATGATGTCACACTGGTGCAAAATGTCCGGACGAGTGCATGGAATGGAGACGTTGATCAAGTTGGCATCGGTAGGGGAGGGAACCGCTTTCAAGGCCATCTTGACCAATAGCTGGCAGATCTCCTCGGCAGACAACTCCAACCCGAGACACGAGTTGATGTAGGAAACCTCGGCGCTCATGGTCCGTGGCGCAATGTTAGGGGTCACACGGGATTCACCGTTGTGCGCAGAGATGACTCTGACTGGCTCCACCGTGAAGGGCTCGTCGCAGTAGCGTGAAAACATGGCCACAAGCGTGTTGACAACGACCTCGGCCTTGGTTTTGTCGGTCGCGGTAATGTCGATGAAAACGTTGCGAGTGTCTAAGGTGATCTTGGACAAGTCGGAGTTGATGATTGGCGGCATAGAGGCAACCTGTCTGTTGGCGTCGAGCATGACAGGGTAGACCGGCGCGTCGCGGATGATGTGCAAGTATTTGCCCAAGTTCTTGTCCTTTTCGTAAAACGCCATGAGCTGCTCACCGGTCATCTCCTTGGACTGGTTCAACGGGACGAACTTGAAGTCGGTAGGCGCCAACGCTTCGTACGTTATTGGCCCCACAAGCTTGTCCAAGTCGTGCGTCCCCATGGCAACAAGCGTTCGGTTACGGCACAAGTTCACGTGCAATTTGTCCTGCAAGGCGATGAAGGATTCGTAACTGCGCTGGGTGAAGGTGATGTTTCTCAAGATCGCACCGGCGGCGTAGGGTCTGACAGCAGCGGTGGATTCGTCCACGGTCAAGGTGAACTCGGCCTCAGCTGGCACCAACTTGAAGTCTGGGTTAGGGCTGTTGCCCAAGAATTCGTTGAGTGCCTGCGCAATACCCTCAATACACAACATATCATATCTGTTGGCCGGGATCTCAATCTTGAGCTCCGCACGGGCGCCGGTGGCAGCGGCTTCTTCGGTGGTGTCGTCGTCAAGCTCGATCCCGAACTCGAAGCAGAGATCTTCAAAATCCTGCGGCGCGTACTGCTTGCCCAAGAGCTCGAACAAGTCTAATTTGTCAACGGAAATAGTAGGCATGGTGGGTGTTGGTAGAGAAGAGGCAACGCAACGCTAGTGCCTCGATATAATAATTTTCAGCGAGTAATCGAGTCATCGAGATTTTCGCGGTTAGGGACAGCGTTTACGCGCAGGCGGGTAACGTGTAGCATGCAAGGAACATGTCAATTCCAAGGCCAAGAGAGATATAATAACGCATCGAAGGGTTTGCAATTAGTATTAAAAGCTATATACCGTGAGGCATATTTGAAATTGATGCTTCTTTTATGAGATCTATCGGTAGTATGGTAGGTGTACCGGAGTGTGGGCCAACAACCGGGGCAGCGCACGACTTATGGTACACGACCTACGACGCTCGTTGAGCCACACGTACAACATCACGAATGTGATAAGGTTGAAGAAGGATTGGAAAATAGAGATTAAAAGAGTACAGCCGTTTAATTTTATTAGAATCTAAACCCAAGTTATAATAATCTGGAAATCTCCAACCCTGAATTTAAGTATTTCTGTAATTCAGAAACGAGGAAGGAACAACTAGTGGCTAAAACGCAGCGGACACTCACATCCTACCCCCTTGGGATATGGCTCATTTCAGGTAAGATTGGCAGTCCCATGCAGCTACGATTTATTGTCCAAGCTGTCAATTGGGATTCGCACCCAAACTATATACAGTTTAACCTTCAACTGGAACATCTTAACCGAGTCTGATAGATTTGGAGTCATCGATCGAAGAGCCGCTATATCTTCAGGAAAGTGCAGAGTAAATGAATTTCGGGGGAAAAAACATATACAGGCACTGTCATACACTAATAGAACCATCGTCCAAAGTTTGAAATGTTCCTGTTAGCCAGTAGTACCCTTTGTTAAACGGGGTATCCTTCGACTCTAAAGAAATTTGTAGACGGCAATACCGCTGAACATTGACTTATGCAATCGATCGAAATATTCCGAAATAAACCGCGAACCAACTTATTGAGGTGAAATCCGTTTTGGGTTTTGGCGTACGAGTTTATTAAACAGCTATCGGGCTGTGAAAGTTGCAATCCACAAATCGAAATGGCTACACACTTAGGCCATCTAGAAACCAAGCCCATAGCCCAGAGTAATTGAACCACCACATTTATTTCCGTTCCTTTGCTTTCCATATAAAGGACGAAGGCTCTGTTGAATTGTCCGGTGGATCCAAAAATGTAGGCTTTAACCATGCTTGACCCAGGCCAACCGGCAGGGGCTGAGGGTAGTCTGTGCCTGCAGTAGTAATACTTAGTCGATCTAGTCCTGCATCAACGGAAAAATGACTCCGAATGATCCGACACTTTCAGTAAAGCAGCCCGTACTGACAAAATAGTATATATATATATATATATATATCAAGCATATCCTTGTATCATCCATCCCTCATACGTGAAGCGATATGCGTAACATAGACTCTGTCTGAAGAACCCTCTAGAGGGCTATCTGAAACGGTACAGATGCACAGAAATCCTGCACGCTTAGCTCGTTTACATCGTATGAGCCCTCTGAGACAACCTGGAGAGGAAACTTTGCGAAAACCGCCTCAACCACCATATAAAAACCGTATATTATCCGATATCCCTGAAGATAAGGTTATAAAATGTGCATAGCTTTTTTTGCCCTCATGGAACCCGACCGCAAAGCTCCCGGGGATGCTCAGACATCAGCTTTTGGTCCGCAGCAACCAAAGTCTAATCAGCCCCCAATTGAGTCGTGGCCATACCGCTGCAGATAGTAAGCGTGTCGGAACACCGAACCGCTAACGCCATCACCAAACATCCACAAAGGCTTGTGCGACAGGTCCACTCTGGCTATTAATACGCACCATACAGCCACATTTCAGTGTTCTTTCACACTGCCCAACCACCTGTTACGCACCCTAACAACCCAATATGTCTGCTAGAACCCCATCCAGATCATACGATATGATCATGAAGCTATTGCTTGTCGGTGACTCCGGTATGTATTTGGTCTCAGTGACTTTTGAGTTGAACCTCTTTGGTGGACGTCCTACTTGAATGATGCTTCTATCCTTGGGTGAGCTGCGACTTGGAGACTAGTCCGGTGCCTCATGCGTTTGAATGTGAATTCTTCGACAGCATCCATTTCGATCTCTTTTGGCGTCTCATTCTACCAGAGGCAAATCTCCTCATGGAGCATCTACCATGACCACAGGCCGTTCCATCATCAAGTTCTCCGAATTCTTCCTCTTTCTTATACTAACACCCTTAGGCGTCGGCAAATCGTGTCTCCTTCTCCGTTTCGTGGAAGACAAGTTCAATCCGTCGTTCATCACCACCATTGGGATCGACTTCAAGATCCGCACCATCGAGGTCAACGGTAAGAAGATCAAGTTGCAGGTCTGGGACACCGCTGGCCAGGAGCGTTTCCGCACCATCACCACCGCTTACTACCGTGGTGCCATGGGGATCATCATTGTCTACGACACGACTGACTCCCGCACGTTTGACAATGTTGAAAACTGGTTTGCTACCGTGAACCAGCATGCCAGCGATGAGGCGCAGTTGATGCTCGTGGGTAACAAGTGCGACGACTTGGAAAACAGACAGGTTCCGAGAGAAAAGGCGGTTGAGTTGGCCAAGAGATTGAACATTCCGTTTGTCGAGGCCAGTGCCAAGAGCAATGAGAACGTGGACCAGGTCTTCTACGAGTTGGCCAAGTTGATCCAGGAGAATGTGGGCGATGCGGTGGTTGAAACCAACAACGGTGTCAACGTTGCTTCATCCAACGATTCCACCAAGAGCAGCTGTTGTTAATCCAGATCGCATCCTAGACTAACGTCGTTTCGTTCCCCTCTCCATATTCCGTTTCTCCGTGTACCTTATACCCTATTTTATTCAAGATCTTTAGTTATATTTCGTGCGCTATGTAGGCGGAGCCAGTGGCTTACAAGAATGTCTGGTTTGAAAAGCCACGGTCTCTGACTACGTGGTGATTGCTGTTAAACTCTGAGAGGTTAGATTGGCCCTGTCATAATATTAAATAAGAGCGTCTCATAGGTATGTGTTGGCTTGCCAAAAAAATATCATTAGGGCACATCCATCATTACCGCGTGCTCTAATTCAGAGACGAAAGTTGTCGTAAAAAAAGACAGAACCCGACGCGGGGGTCGAACCCGCAACCTTGTGATCGCGTACTGCTAAGAGTCACACGCTCTACCGATTGAGCTAGCCAGGCCGTTACTGAAAACAGGGCCCTCATGAGATAAATAGATTATACCATTAGGCTATAGAGCCACCTCCGTCTTTTACTTAAAGCCTACCATCCAGTAACTCACCTCCAATTCAATCCTGTAATTTCTACATCCTCCAAGCTAAATAATCCGAGCCTGTTTCCAGTGGAAATATTAATACATATCCGTCTACTTTCGTCTGGCAGATCTCCGCGTGATTCTTTTCGCTGGGGTCTCCATGTCGCTCTCCTCCACACCCGGGGTCCCGGACCCCGCAGGGGTGTTGCGGGTGGAACGCCTGGTGCTAGGCCTCGAAGACAACGGGGTATTTACTTCAGAGCTCACACCCTTCCTGGCTGGGGTTGTAGGAACCGTCTTTTTCATCGCGGATTTGATGGCGGAGCGCGTTTGTTTAGGCCTTGGAGTGGACCTCTTTGGGGTTGAAACGTTGGATGCCACCTTCTGGCGCTTGCTCGCTGGCCTTACGACCTTTCTTCTCTTCCTATCGGTGTCCCCTTCCTCCCCACTACCACTTTCCTCGTTGGAATCGTCGGACTCAGACCCTTCGTCCGAGCGAGTGCTTTCTTCATCAGACTTTTCAGTGTGCGATTTGGACTCATCGTCCGTATCTTCTATCTCATTTCCACTCATCTCGGATTCTGGCTTATCTGAGCCACCCTTGTCCGTATCGCTTTGCCCTTCGATAGACTTGCTGGGGTGGTGTCTTGGTTTTCCGGCCTCGTCGTCCTCAACCTTTTCTGGCTGAACCTTGTCTTCCTTCACATCCTCTTCGTCTACAGACTCAATATCACTGATATCGCTGCTGTCCAACACAGAACCGCTCTCTCTAACGCGTGCTACCGAGCTCCGGGTTCGCTTTCGCGTCACGGGCTCCTTGGGCTCCTCCTCGGAGTCCTCCACGACTTCATCCACAAGCTCCTGCAACGCGGTCATGTTGTACAACTGGTGGAGCTTAGCTTTAACGTCGTGCTCGGTAAACTCTATCGTATCTTCGGGTAACGCCGTTTCATCATCGCTGGGAGTGTGGCGATGGTCATTCAACGCGCGTGTGATGGTCATGACGGCGCGCACCGCATTCGCCCCAAGCGGCTTGTTTTGGCAAATCTGCTCAAATAGCTTGAGCTCCTCTGCGGTTGTCCATGCGCGTGGGGGCGACGGCGTGGGGGATGGACTGGGGCTATTCTGCTTCATAAGGAGATGCTGACAGCTTTTAGGGGGAGCTAGACAATCAGCTAAGGTACTGATATAAAAAAAAAGATTGCGATGGCTTGATCTATAATTGGGCCCCCTGTGTATCTCTTTGGCTGCGGTGATGAGAGTGATTATTTGAACCGTCTATGATGCCGGCCTGGAATGGCTGTTAGATTGAGAAACGATAAATGGTTAGAGAATCTAAATGTTGATTGACTGAAAGTTGAGAAGTATATTCTGGATTCTGCTGACGGATAATCTAATCAAACGGCGATGAGAATTAAATGTCCCATGGAGAAATTGGGTCGAAGACTGGGTCGAAGACTCAGGCTCTGGAAAATAAACAACGTGAATGCAGGATTTTTGGGCCAGAAATAGCACCACCAGATACAGCCCTTACTTTCCGGAGCAGTGTAGCCATTTATCGCTTTGAAAGTTAATCGAGTTCATGGAAAAGGATACAGAATAAAGTAGGATTGAATAACTATGCTTAGCTTGTGCTTAATTGGGTAAGCCTGGTCTGACACAAAAGAGCTACATGCTTACACATAGGTTAAGTAAAGGGGCTTGCCTATTACCAAGGCATCCAGATGCAACTGGGAATCCCCGATAGAATATATTATACACAACCAGCGTTACCCAGCTTGTTCTTTTCATCCCAGACGTTTATCTTTAACTCTATGGATTTGATATTGCGTGCGCATACCATTTCCTTATGCGTATTTCCCAGTCCGTAGGCTTTCACAAGTGGAAAATTTCACTACTAAACAATTGGTACATCAAAACGAAATCTTCCCCAACACTATCTCCCCCCCACACCAATGCCTAGACCAGCAAAGAACTTGGACTCCTTGGTGAGAGGGCGCGTGCGTGCGTCCATGAGCAAGTACAACTTGTTCAATCTCTACAAGAAGAGAAACCCGTTCTACTCCAACAAGTCCCAGTTCCAACAGAAGTGGATGTCCAAGCAGGAGACCAGAGCATACCACGGTGAGCACTTGATCGAGTCCCGCTTCAAGAACATTTTTGACTCGCAGCTCCAGGGTGTCGCGCAGTTGGACGCCTCGTTGGGCAACGCCAAGGACGTGCAAAGAACACCGTTAAAGTTGCAGGCGTTTGCCGCGCTCGAGAGACGCTTGGATGTTGCATTGTTCAGATCCATGTTTGCCAGCAGTGTTAGACAGGCCAGACAGTTCATTTTGTCCGCAAGTGTCAAAGTCAACGACGTCAAAATCGCCCACCCGTCGTACTTGTTATCGCCAGGTGACGTGTTTTCCGTGCAGCCAGACAAGGTGATGACCGCGTTGGGCAGAACCAAGCCATCGTTGAAGAAATCGCTTGCCGTAGACACCACCCAGATCGCTATGTGGAATTCGTTTGTTAAGAAGGCGCGCGCTGACCCAAAAGCCGTATGGGACCAACAACAGAAGAAGCAGCAGGAGCGCAAGGAGTTGACCAAGCACTTGGTCGATAACAACACTGAAAGAAAACACGATTTGGCCATGGAAAAGAAACTTAAACAGGTCAAGGCCTTGCAGAAAGCCACCACCAAGCAGTCTGTATTGAGGGACGTTTTGGTTGCTGCCCAGTCTGAGCTTACCGAGGCTTCTTTCAAGAAGTTTGGTGCCGATGCCGAAAAGTGTCTCAAGATCCACGAGATGATCAAGGATCACGAAATTGCCAAGGCTTCCGACGCCCAGGAGGCCGCGGAGACGTGGTTGGGGCAGAAGAAGGAGGCCCTCTCGGAGGCCGAATTCACCACCTTAAGAAAGGTTGCCCAGTTGGCCAACGAGGTTGCGTTGGGGTACCAGAAGAAGCTCAGAACCGATTTGACCAACGAGTCCAAGGAAACCGGTGCCTACGACCCTGACTGGGCTAAGGAGCTTACTATGCACAAGAAGTTGACCAAGGAGGACGTCGTGGCCATTCTCGAGGACGAGTCGCCGTTGGAAAAGTTGAAGGAGTTTCCAGTTTCCTTGCACTTCCAGAAGAACCACTTCGGGCTTGCAGACCCGAAGAAGCCGTTCTTTACCCCGTGGGCCCCAAGACAGTTTTTGGCGCCGTTTGCCATCCACCCTCACCACATTGAGATCGACTGGACCACCTGCCATGCCGTCTATTTAAGAGACCCTGTTGCCAGACCGGGCCACTCCGAGGTCATCACTCCGTTCGGTGAGGATATTCATGAGAGAGCCTACATGTACTACGCCAGAAAGGGGTTGTAAGAGGCGGATCAACACCTGTACATATTAATACATATAGTAAAAAGAAGGTTGTAGGTTGTGCATAAACCTATGTTTAGGTATTTATCCAGGTAATTGGATATTGCCATTGAACGTTATTTTTTTGTTTATATACGTTTGTCAGCCAGCCAATTATCAACCAGTTATTTATCAACTAGTCATTTATCAATTATTTATCAATTATTTATCAACTAATCATTTATCAATTATTTATTTTAGCCCTGTTAATATTCTCATGATATCTCCTTGGCTAGCCCTAACTGAGGTATTGTTATGTACCGGCTGTGGGGGAGTTGGGCCTAATTTCAGACTGGGTTCTGCAAAAAAAAAAATACTCGCACACCTCCACCCAACCACGCACACATTGTTAACCATGGCTTTCTCGCATCTAAAGAAGTTCTTGAACCATCTTGAGACCCAGAATGAAAATCCAAACCCAAATCTGGACGAAAATCTGGTCAATTCACCCCAGCAACACTTGGCGTCTAGCGATGCTAACTACCAGAACGGTGTCTACGTCAGAGCTCCCCCTCCCCCGCCACTATCTCAGGCAGGTTTTCTCCAGAAATCCATGACCTCTGCTTCACCCGATATCTTCTCGCTGCCGATTTCGACGGCTGCTCCACCGGCAATGTTCCACCGCCAGAACCACGCAGTGACCCCCCAGGGTTGCTCGATTGGCGCTCCCATTCAAACCAACAACTTTTCCAACAACCTCACTCTCGATGACCAACTGTGCCCGGTTTGGACGCAGCCGTACTCGCTCTGGTACGCCCAGGACCCGGATCTGGATGTGGGCTTGGCATTCAACCACACGACAGCGCAGCAGCGTGTGTTCGGGCCAGACTCGGCAGCCAACCCCGTTCAGTTCTACTTCAACCCGCCGCGGATTAAGTCGTTTGTGCTCAGTGGTGAGGGTTTCCAAGGAAACGTGGCCTTGCGCCTAGAGAACCACCATAAAATGTCGGTCATGGTCAAGATTGTGCTTGGCAACGATGAAAATAAGAGCTTGCTGGCCCCGTTGGTCCAGGGAATGGGCTTTATCACCGCCATTTACAACAATATCGTGCCTGTGGTTGTTTCGCCCGTAGGCGTGGCCTCCTTCACCGAACAAGTGGCACCGCCAGGCTTGACCAAGTACAGGGTCCAGTTGTTCAACCAGGTGGTCTGGAGCATGTACGTAGTGGGATCCGTCTCATTTGCCTTGCGAGACCCGAACCACATTGTTGCTAGTGGAATAGCCCAGGGCGTCACCGTGCAGTTCTGTTCGGGCGAATCCCAGTACTACGACCAGACCGCTGGCTGCTACCCCGTGGAGTGTCACACCTCTGCAACACTCACTCACAACGACAGGTGTGTGTACAGCTTCAATTACCTCTTGCAGGGCCGGTCGGTTTCCCAAGCGTCCTTGGTGTGGGCATTCCCGCACCACGTAGAGGCCGCCACCGAGGAAACCACACGCGCCAAGGTGGCTTTGACGTTGGATTCGACCACCAAGGGCCCTATGAGTGCCTTCATCACCAGTCAGCTCTCCATGGAGGAGGCGTTGCCCGTTTCAATTGGAATGGAACCGTGGAGTGCCATTCCGGGATTTACTGGCGCAACGTACTCAGAGCAAGCCTTGGCCAAGATCAGAGCAGCGGCGGAAAAGGATGTGGCTCAGGACGTGGTGACCATGGCCAACATCGACTCGATGTACACGTCGGGTAAAATCTTGGACCGCTTCGCGTACATCTTGTATGTCTGCCACTACGTGCTTAAGGACAGCAGCCTCACGTCTCAGCTTCTCCCTAAGCTCAAGCAGGCGGCGGAGATTTTCAGCACCAACCACCAACAGTTCCCGCTCGCATACGACGAAACTTGGAAGGGGTTGGTTTCATCAGCCGAGCCGGGGGCAGACTTTGGGAACGCCAACTACAACGACCACCACTTCCACTACGGCTACCACATCCACGCGTTTGCCTTGATCGGCACCGTAGACCGTGACCTCGGCGGTGCATGGACCTCTTGCGTCAACGATTACATCACCACCATGCTCCGAGATGTAGCGAACCCATCGGAGGCCGATGTCCACTTCCCCGTCAGCCGCAGCTTTGACTTTTTCCACGGTCACTCGTTTGCGCACGGCATCTTTGCCCTGGGAGACGGCAAGGACGAGGAGTCCAGCTCCGAAGACTACCATTTTGCCTATGGAATGAAGCTCTGGGCACAGTTAGTCGGAGATGCGAACATGGAAGCGCGGGCCAACTTGATGTTGAGCATCCTGCGGCGCTCGATGAACATGCACATGTTGTTCAGCGACGACAACACCGTCCAGCCGGCCAATTTTATCAAGAACAAATGCGCCGGGATCACGTTTGAGAACAAGGTCGACTTCAGCACGTACTTCGGTCGCGGCTCCATCGAAAACGAGTGGATCCACGGGATCCACATGCTCCCCACCACACCGGTATCGTCTTATGTGCGCGGCCCAACGTTTGTGAAGGAGGAGTGGGACCAAATCTTGGGGCGGATAATCGACCGCATCGACGACGGCTGGAGAGGCATCTTGATGCTCAACTATGCGTGTTGCAATCCGCGCGCGGCCTACGCGTTTTTCGCGGGGGATAGCTTCGAGCAGCGCTGGTTGGACAACGGCCAGTCATTGACGTGGTGCTTGACGTACTGCGCTGGCGTTGGCGGGGCGTAACGAGCAGGGTACAAATTCTCTCCTAATGGTTCCCCATCTGTAGGTATAGATGTTATTCCTCAATACATACCGCGATGTTGCTGTCCAATTATACTGTACGGCATTTCTTTACCCTTAAAATTATGGCCCCCACGCTTTGGTCCCAGAACACAACTTATTCACATGGAGATCAAGAGCCTTGCCAATTTCACAAGTATGTAATATCACTACTTATTCTGTGTCATATGGGCTATTGGTATATGATCTGACTTATTGTACCCCTATGCTTAGGCTATAGGCTTACAACTTAACCTTCCTCAATTCCAGATACCGCGATGGGTTTCTGGAATCCCAAAATATCAGCCCTCTACGGCTACCTCAATACCAGATACATATATTATACAATTTAACTTGAGAGAGCTTGTAGCTCAAGCTGTCTCAAGCTGCAAGCTCCGCTCTCCACTGCGCAAAATCCTCGCTAATCACCTCGCCCCTGACTCTCGCAATCTCCTCCTCATCCTCGCTCTCAACCAACTCCAACTTTCTCGTCTCGGTGTTAAAGCTCAACACCCACAAGCCCCGTCCATCCGCCTTCACAGTGCTGGTGATAAACTCCAACGCGGCGCCATACCACTTCAACGCCTCCATACAGTTCACCTTTCTGGAAACTGTCCCATCGGCCAAGGGATTGTTCTTGATTAACAACGGAATCTCTTCAGTGGAGTACTGCTCGACCGACTTCAACACAAGACTCTCGTCCCTGAACCCGTACACAACCTTGCGCACCCCCATCAAAAAGCACTGCGCCCACGTCTTAAAAAGCTTCCTCTCGAAGTTGGCCACCTGACCCGGCGACTGGATCACCTTCAGCGTCTTCAACTCAACATAGTGCTCCAACGGATCATCCGTCTTGTAGCTACTGGCGTCCGGCTTGTAGTCCCACACGCAATCGAGCTCGCCGCCCAACACGGTTCTGATCTTGCCGATCCCGGTGCTCACGACCGCGAGATATTGTTCGTAGTTAGAGACCGGCTCCTTGTAGCGCTTCTCAATAACTGCGCGCGGCGTCGCGGCCCACGGCTGTCTCAACGTGGTGACCGCCTCGAACTTGTATCCAGAAAACTGCAATTTCCTCGTCATCTCGTCCTCCTGCTGGAGTTGGCGGCGCGCCATCTCTTTCGCGACATTGTTGACAATAAACAACTGCCCGTCAAACGGCACAACGTAGAAGTCAAGCGCGTCCCTGTCGAAATATGGCAACGTGAGTAACTTGGTCATATTGCCGCGGAAGGTGAACACCTGGCCCGCAGTCTTCTTGCGCGCGGCCCGTTCGCTGAGCATGAGCGCGTGGAGGAACGAATGAAAGTCTCCGCGCACCTGCGTCTCCTCATCAATCTTCTTGAAGTGCTTGAACCCCCCGCTGAGGTCGATGTTTGCGTCCACCTGGCTGTCGGGGAAGTAGTAGTAGCTCAAATGCTCGGCGTCCACAACGGCCTTGTCAAACACGAAATTTCCGGCACCGTCGCGCGCGTATGCGGTGAGCTCCTTTGGTTGTTTGAGAGCGGTGGTCGCAGCTCTGGCGTCGAGTGGGAGAATTTTGGACATGGTGTGTATGATTCCGGGAAGGGCGAGCAGAAAGAGAGGGAAAGTTTTATTCAAGTTGCAGAAAAATTGCATCCTGTATGCAGCATGGCAGGTGGTGATCTGAAGCATATATAGACGACGAGGGGATTTATTGAGTTATCGCGGCCATTTGGACCAGATTAGTTAATTATTTGATTGTTGCTTTCCAGTTGAGCGGAATATAACTGCGTTTATCTGCCACGGCAACATGTATCGCCGACTACTAAAGGCAATAACAGTTTAAAGCCTCGATGGCTCGTATCGCGAACCAATGGACAAAAAAAAAGGGTTTTATAATCAGAATAACAGTCATTACCGTATATTATATATTATACATAGTTCGAACTCGCTTGCAGCTCACTAAACATCAATGCCCTGGATCAACTCCTCTATCACCCCCAACCGTCTGTATCGGCTCTCCTCCATCAGCTTCGCCACCAACCGCTTCTTCGCCTCATTCTCCGCAGCCTGTTGCTCGGCCTGTTGCTGCGCCTTTTCGTTCTCCTCGGCAGCCACCTCCTGGTAGAAAATCCTTGTGTTGGTTCTCAACCGGTGGAACGGATTACTGGTCACCCCACTGGTGTTGGACTGCTGCTTTCTCTTCACGTCGTTGTTGGCAATCTCCGCACGTCTGATGAGCGACGTGTTCAATCGCCTGTTGCGCTCGTTCACAGCGTCCAACGAGTTGAGTGACAGGTGGTTAGTGGTGACCTGCTTGAGCTTCGCATCCACCTCCTGGATTTCACGCGCAAGGTCGCTCGCGAGCGCCGCATCGCTCTCCTCCAACGCAACCGCACGTCTGTCCACGAGAATCGCCTTTTCTGCGATCAACGCCTGCTTGGATTTGGAAAACGACTGTTTTGACGAGATCATCTGGTCAAACTCGCCGGCCGTCATCTTTTTCGCGGAAAACTCACGTAACTGCCTGAACTTGTCGTCCACAAAGCCCAAGTTAGGAAGTGGCTCGCCCGCCTTGTTTAACTCCCTGATGTACTTTGCGTAATCCTCCTCTGTCACCGGCGAGTCGGAGAAGTACTTCATGGAAAACTTCTTTGTCGACTTTCCCTGCGACGCCACCACGTACCTGTTCACCTTGTTTCCCTCAAGCTCGTACGCGGGCTTGGATGAGTCTTCCACGATCTCGTGGATCTGCACCAAACGGTACTCGTTCGTGCGTGTGTGCTTGTTGAAGCCGACGGTGACTTTCGCAAAGCACGACTGGAACACCTCTTTGAAGCCCGGGTGGAAACAGTACTTTGCAAAGTCCGCCCGTGTCACCGCAATCTTCTTCACGTCCAGCAACGTGGCGTCCACCTTGTACAAGTTGCGGCTGGCGTATGAGCTCTTCCCGGCCCATTCCACATCCTTATCCGCATCGTATCCACCTCTTCTTGGCTTGGCCCCGTACTCTTCGTCTTCGTAATCGTCCTGCAACCCGTCAGCGTACTCGTCTTCGGACTCTTCTTCCCCGCTGTAATCGTCATCGTTCCTCGCCTGGTCGCGTCTGGATTTTTTCTCTCTCTGCTTTCTCAACTCGTTCAACTTTGCGTTCTTGTCGGATTTCGCGCTGTCTTTGACCTTCTTGGCACGCGAGGTTCTCTCCGTCATTTCCTCGTCGCTCTCAGACGCCACCTTCTGCGCTTTTCTAGATCTGTCGAGGAGGTAGAGACGTTCCTGGTACTTTTCCATCTCGTCGGATCTCTCGAACAAGATCCGCTCGCGTTCCATCTCGTCCATTGCTTCGATCGCAGCTTTGTCTTGCCAGTCCTTGTACTTAGCCTCGAGCGGGTAAGGCGGCAAATCTTCGTGCACTCGCTTGGGCGAGGCCTGTGGGGAGTAGCTGTCGGAGTCGGAAGCACCGCCCGCTAACGCCAACAAATCGTCTTCTAAATCACTCATGGTTTGTGTATGATGGGGTGAGGTTGTTTTGCTAATGCTTTTGCTTTTTATCGCTGAAAAACGCCAAGTGCCGGGAGGGCTGGTAGGGGCACGCAAATCAAGATAAAGCGTTTGGCTCTTTTTTGACCAGTGGATAAGGGCTCGTCGAATTTGGATTATATCGAACTAATTCACTGGAGAGTAAAGTCCTTAGATTTTATGGTAACCTGGTACAATATAGATAAACGGCCAGAAAGTCCCAGCTCCCTCCCCCAGAAGTACAGCTATCGGGTATCGACCACTCACATAAGTATCACCTCGGTTATGTAGTGTTTAATCGAGCCAATTCTTCTCCGGTTCCCTCTCATTCAATACTTGGTAGTCTGAAATCTTCTTACGTGTATTTTTGTTTTCTAAAGCTTTTACCGGGTGCTTTTACACGAATTAGGGTAGTCGATGCTTGCCAAACACAACACCAAATTGGCTTGTGAAAATTCCCCGCTATCGTTTGTTTTCAAGATTTGTCCGTGATAGTTTAGTGGCTAGAATCCCCGCTTGTCGCGCGGGGGACCGGGGTTCAATTCCCCGTCGCGGAGCTCTCTTTTTTTACTCCATCAATATCAGGTGCAATACATTCTGGGATTGAATTATTGGCCAATTCAGAATAACCAAATATTCATAGACATACGAATAATGGAAAAGAGTGTGGGTAGTGCATTTTCACTTCCTGGGAATATGACGAAAATTTGCAACTATTGGAAATTTTATGTATATGTTCGTGTACTATTAGAGCCGGCCAAGATTTTCACACAAGATACAATGGATATTATCCGGATCTCCATTACACGTATATCCTGAAATAAATCTAATAAATAACCACCATTTTGGTCTTTACGAATTGAATGACACCACCAGCAATGCTGCGCGTACAGCCAAATCTTTGTAAATACTAATACCAGTGTTTGCTTCCTCGAACCGGTTACATCCACGGGAAACGCTAATAGCTGAGGGGCCACGATTAAACATAATCATTGGTTAGCTACCCTTCGGTCGCTTCACTCCCTTGGTTTGTTACTCCCTCACAACCTCGCCTTAAACTTCACAACCCCCATCGGCTCATAAACGTTGTCAAACAATGCTCCGCCAGAGCTCCCCCTCCCACCCTTCAACGCCGCAAGATCCACGTATGACTCATCCAACTGATTTAACGACGTAACTCCCAATAATCTCATACACATAACAATCTCATCCTTCAAAATCGCTACTGCCTTCTCAACTCCCTCCTGGCCATACCCCGCCATTGCATACAACAACGCACGGCCCAAACCCACGCCCCTAGCACCCAAACAGATCGCTTTCAACACATCCGACCCACGGCGCACCCCACCGTCGATAAACATCTCAAACTGCTTCCCCGCAAGAATCTCCGGGTGCTGCTTAAAGTAAGCATTGACATCCGCGAGCACCTCAATCGGCGCGCGCACCGTCTCAAGCTGTCTCCCCCCGTGGTTCGAGATCACAATCCCATCTGCGTGATGTTGCACTGCCAACACCGCATCCTGAACCGTCTGGATTCCCTTGAGCACAATCTTCATCGACGTGATTGACCGGAACCACGCCACATCCTTCCACGTCAATGCGGTATCAATCAACGCAGACGTCTTCTTGTCTCCATCCCCGTGGTTCCCGTTGTCGTCTGAGTCCGATCTTCCCGCGAGAAACTTGGAGCGCATGTCCTTCTCACGCTTCCCCACGTGTGGCGCGTCCACCGTGACAAACAAGGCCTTAACGCCACGCGTCTCAGCAGCCCGGACGATGCGCTTTACAATCTCCTTGTTGCGGTTGACATAGAGCTGAAACCAGAGCGGTTGGTCCGGCTGTGCCGCATCGACGATCTCATCGAACCCAAACAGACCCAAGTTCGGAACCATCTGGATAATTCCAGTGGTTCCGGCCGCGCGTGCAAGCGCTAATTCGCCATCCTCGTGTCCGATCTTGCCCATAGCAGTGGCAGAGATGTAGAGGGGCGTCGCGGCCGGGCTCCCGAGCATTGTTGTGGTTTGGTCGACGTCCGTAACGTCCACTAGTACGCGCGGATTGAAGTATACACGCTTGAACGCGTTGTGGTTTTCACGGAGAGTGATTTCGTCTTCGGTCCCGGAAGAGTAGTATGCGAAGCCGTTCGGGTCCATCGTCGTGCGCGCAACCGCCTCAAAGTCGTAGAGGTTGATAATTTTAGAAAGGTCTGGCTTGTGTGCGATACGGTCGAGGCGCGCCTCCTCCGCCACCCGCTCTTCTTCCGTGGAGTCGTCCACAACCTCTTCCTCCTCGGTTTGCGGTAAGTTCTCAGGGTCTTCCACTTCCCCAATACAGCACTCGGGCGCGAGGAAGTTGAGTGTGTCACGCGGGTGGAATTTGTCGAATTCGGCTGTCGCGTCGGTCCCCGCGTGTTTGAGGATGATTTTTTTTCCGCCCGGGTGTTCGTCTAGGAAGTCTGTGAGATCGTACACCTTGCCGTCGATGATGAGCCAGCATGACTCCGCGCTGTTGTGTGTCGCAATTTCTTCTACAAACATATGTGTTTAGTGGAAGATTGGTGGGAGGTTCAGAAAGAAGTGGAGGGCTTATATAAGTTGGGAGGTTCGGCTTCTTCATCAAATCTCCCCACAAAATCTGCATCGGGAGTTCTTGCACAGACTCCGGTGCAGGACATGGCACACCTGTCTGGGGAAAATCGGAAAAGAACTTTCTGAACGCGAAGCCATGAGAAAGAGTCCCCATTTGATCGTAGCCAGATTTATCAGTCACGTGATGCACGTCACTAGAAAACGAAATATGAAAGGGTTATGGGAGCAGCAACAGGCTGAGAAATTAGAATAATTAAATCACACATATAGCCTAGATGATTGACAGTTGAGTTTGTCCGTTGTTAAAACTATGCTTGAAATTGGGTGGGAAAAACGTAATAGATCATGAAACCATACCCCAGTCCAGACTAGTGAGGGGCTGAGAATGCGGCAAGTCTCGCCATACACCTTCTTTGGTAAGTGTCTTCCACTTGCAACGTTCTGGTAAGGAAAAGTATGGAGACTCCGTAAATCGGAATAATCGGTTCAATGCTTAGGTTATAGCTCTTTTCGCCCTAGCCATTGAATGTACAAAAGACGTGCACGTGGCTAACGCTTTGGCTATGCACGCCCTTTCAACCTGGCGTCCACGGAGGCAAAAAGTCAACTAAACGGAGGCGAGACTCACTACGATAAGATGCTCCAGACTCACACACGATCGTTGTATCTATAGCTCTCCCTATACCTTTTCGTCAATTACAATCACATAACACATATATACAATGAGTGGCTACGATAGTGCTTTATCCATCTTCAGGTATGTATAGTGCGACACTGCTGGCGCGTAATTTCAACGCCATCTACCCTTTCCGGTACTAACCTCTCAGTCCTGACGGTCACGTTTTCCGTAAGTATCCCTAGTTTTGCGTTTAAGAGGTATCTCGTTGGCCTTGTATTTGGTTCCAGGTGCATTGGTCTCAATTGGCCTGTAAATACCTTGATGGATTGCGGTACTGAAATCCAAGGCTCAATTACCCAAGCGCTTGAGATCAATACGTTGTGAAAGGCCCATAGGTCTACCCCTAAGAACACTCCTTCTCTTTACTCCAATACTAACCCCTTTAGAGGTTGAATACGCCGGCGAGGCCGTCAAAAGAGGGACCTGTGCCGTGGGTGTGAAGGGCCACTCGGTGGTGGTTCTTGGCTGCGAAAAGAGAACCACACTCAAGCTCCAGGATCCCCGGATCACCCCCTCCAAGATCTGTCCGATCGACAAGCACGTACTCCTTGCGTTTGCGGGGTTGAACGCGGATGCACGTATTCTCATTGACAAGGCGCGTGTGGAGGCGCAATCGCACCGTTTAACGTTGGAGGATCCTGTCAGCGTTGACTACTTGACCAGATACGTCGCGGGGGTGCAGCAGAAGTACACCCAATCCGGTGGTGTGAGACCGTTCGGGATTGCGACCCTCATTGCGGGCTTCGATCCTAACGATGCCACTCCTAAGTTGTACCAGACAGAGCCGTCTGGGATCTTCAATGCCTGGAAGGCCAACGCCATCGGGCGCTCTTCCAAGACGGTGCGTGAGTTTTTGGAAAAGAACTACGATGCTGTCATGGACGCCGAGGCTACCGAGGAGGTTAACGAGCAGGCCACCGTCAAGTTGACCGTCAAGGCTTTGTTGGAAGTTGTTCAGACCGGGGCCAAGAACATTGAGATTTGTGTGGTCAAGCCAAAAGGCCTTGTTCAGTACTTGTCCGTCGAGGAAATCCAGGTGTTTGTTGACGAATTAGAGGCTGAGAAGCAGGCTGAGGCTGAAAAGAAGAAGAAGGGGAAGAAGACCGAGGAATGAGTCTAGACTTTTTTGTATTCTCCAATATATATTTCAACATATCTGGAGCTATAAAAAGCACCATTCACGTAAGCACCATCCATTTAACCATTGTTTATTTAATCATTGTCTATTTAATCATTGTCTATTTAATCATTATCTAATTAATCATTATCTAATTAATCATCCATTGAATCATCCATTGAATCATCCATTGAATCATCCATTGAACCATCATCCATTTAACCATCCATTTGAGTGCCATCTACATAGGTTCAATTATCTTCGATTTGCATAAGTACTCTATCTATTGCCACTATTCTTCGTCAGTAACCTTGTCAATAGCCTGTAAGTATTCGTAATAAAAGGCAATGATGTGGATGTGGTTTTCCTTTTCAATCTTTTCATTCACAGAGTGGATGCCTGACTCAATAGTGCCAAGATCGCTCAAGGCTGGAACGTATCTGTAGATATTCTTGGTCAAGCCCCAGTAACACTTGGTATCAGTGTTACCAGTCAGAATACCAGGTGTAACAATAACTTTGCCGTCGACGCCCAAGACGTTCTCATAGAAGTGGCGCAAGGCACCTCCGTACGTCATCCACACCTTGGAGTCCTTATCGGTTGGTGACGCAGGTGCTGGCTCCAATGGCTCCACCACGGACAAACTAAAGTGGCCGTTGCCGTGTTCGTCCTTACGAATCTCCTCGCCCTCCTGGTAGAAGCCAACATCGTACTCTTTGGCGATCCGGTTGATCTTTTCTGTCACATGGACAAGAGTTTCGTTGACAGATGAGCCAATGTTGATTCTATAGTTGGAAATCACTGAGACGTGTTCTGGCAAGGCGTTGGACTTGGCCCCACCCTGAATAATATCAATCGCCTGGGAGGTGCGCACCAAGTAGCGGTCAGCAATAGATTTAGAAAGGTAGTCCACCACCTTGGAGTTGGCAGCCTTACTCAAGATGGCCCTGAAGATGCTGGTTTTGAGCTTCTTTGGCATTGAAGGATCGTGTTCGGCCAAACACTGCATGTAGCCCAAGGTTGGGTTTTCTTCCACTAGAGCAGCCTCAAACGGCTCGTCTTCAAGCAACTTGAGCAAACTGCTCATGATCCCGATGGAAGTGTGGTCCGGGGGAACCGACGAGTGGCCGCCAGGGGTGGTTAACTCGATGTGGGCGTTCACATGGCCCTTTTCACCGGTGGCAACCTGGGCATAAAACTGGCTGCCACCCCCAGCTTTAACCAATCCCGCGTCTCCCTCGTCGATCACAGCGTAAAAAGAGTCCCTGCCGTATCTTTTAAGTAAAAACTCGGAAATGTAACGGGCACCTTGCTCACCGGAAGCCTCCTCGTCGAACCCGAACGCCAACACAATCGATCTTTGAGGCTTGAAGTCATCGGCAAGCAACTGCTCAACCGTCTCCATTAACCCAACCAACAAATTCTTGCAGTCCAGCGCACCACGGCCAAACAAGTACTTCTTGCCAATATGACCGGAGAACGGATCGTACTTCCAGTTTTTGATGGTTTCCTTCTGCACCGGAACCACATCTTGGTGCGCAGCCAACAAGACTGGCTTCAAGTCGGTGTTTTTCCCCTTCCATGTGAAAACTAACCCCCAGGTGTTGATCTTATCAACGTCTAGGTTGGCATACACGGTAGGAAAGGTTTCCTCCAAGTAGTGATGGAACTTCCCAAACTTAGCCCAGACCTCTGGGGCATCGTCCACATCAGGTTGGCTGTCGTAAACCTCGGTCGGAACCTGGACCGCCTTGGACAACTTCTCCACCGACTGAGCGATGAACTCCTTGTCGGAGAGGAATTGCTTGGATCTGTTAGTGATTGCGGTGGAATTGGCACTAAAATAGGCTGGGACCGGACACAATGGCTCGGACGGGAAGTTATCCCCTCCAAAAGACTTGACAATGGCGGTCAAACCAACGAGGCCCACAATGGCCACAGCGCCGATGATGGCCGCTTTCTTAAGGTTATACTTGGAACGAGCTCCGAAGGTACCCTCTTCAACATCATCCGCTAATCTAGGCATTTTAAAAATAATGAAGATCGTAGAGGGGTTGATAAAAAGCACAGTCGAGGGGCTGTCCCGAAATATTTCGTGGCCATGACCTCTACTGGTGTGTATGCGGCCCCGGACGGCTTTCGAGAATGCCGGGTGGGGGTTGTGTGCAATGCAGGAAACTATACCGCATGGTTGATGCATGATTGCTACGCGGCCGGCATTAGTGCTGGATACGGCAATAGACACGGGATATGGCTTACCTAGCTGCATATGGGGAACTCCCGAAATTGGATCGATTGATGAGCATAGAATTCCACGCTTTGGTACTTGTGCTAAACTGGCCCCTTAGCTCAACTGGAATACTTTAGTGCAACAATGGTTGTGACTTTGCATTGTTCGATATTTATGGCTTGAATTGTTGGAACGGCAGCAGCAAGATTCCACAGGGATGGCTTAAGAGAAGCTACGTAGGCTAGGAATAAAAACCCTTGCAAATTAACCTACGCCTTATATACGTAACAGTGGGACAAACAGCCCACTTATGTACGATTATCATATTTATTCGTTTTCATAGGAAAATTTAAAATTTGGAAAATCGTAAACTATCGGAAAATCGGTTCGGCTATTCCTCATCAGCTTCCTTGTCAATGGCCTGCAAATACTCATAGTAGAAAGCAATCACGTGAAGATGGGACACCTTTGGCAACTTCTCGTTCACAGAGTGGATCCCCAATTCTATCAAACTGGTAACGGTGTCCGTGTACCCTGGAATGAATCTGTAAATATTTCTGGTCAAGTCCCAGTAGTATTTGGTGTCAGTGTTACCAGTCATAATGCCAGGCGTGACAATAACCTCTTCTTTAATACCCACAACATTCTTGTAGAAGTGACGCAAGGCTCCGCCGAATGCCATCCAGACCTTAGAGTCCTTGGTAGTTGGGGATAACGGAGCTGGTTCCAAAGGCGTCAAAACAGACATGTTGAAGTAGCCGTTGCTGTTGGAGATGTCGTAGACCTGCTTCCCGGATGCATCCACGTAGCCGACATTGTACTCTTGCGCGACTCTTTGGATTTTAGACGAAACGTGGTCAACCGTTTCGGCTACGTTGGATCCAATGGCAACACGGTAGTTGGAAATAATAGAAACGTGTTCCGGCAAGGCGTTGGACTTGGCCCCACCCTTGATGATATCAACGGCTTGGGAAGTGCGCACCAAGAACTTGGACAACTTAGAGGAAGAAAGGTACTCCAACACCTTCAAGTTAGCAGCCTTGTTATGGACAGCTTTCAAGATGGTGGACCTCCACTTTGTTGGGAGCGAAGTATCGTGCTCAGCCAAACACTGCAAGAAGCCCATTGTAGGGTTTTCATCCGTGAGAATCGGTTCAAACGTTTCCGTTTCAAGAAGCTTGACCAAACTGCTCATAATACCGATAGAGGTGTGGTCAGGAGGGACAGAGGAGTGTCCACCAGGCGTCGTGAGCTGGATCTCAGCGTTAAAAAAACCCTTTTCGCCGGTGGCAACCTGTGCATAGTACTGACCACTTCCGCCCTTAATCAAACCGGAACTGCCTTCATCAATCACCGCGTAGAACGAGTCCTTGCCGTACTTTTTGGTCAAGAAGTGGGAAATGTGGCGAGCACCGTGTCCACCGGAAGCCTCTTCGTCAAACCCGAACGCCAACACAATCGATCTTTGGGGCTTGAAGCCATCGGCAAGCAACTGCTCAACCGTCTCCATTAACCCAACCAACAAGTTCTTGCAGTCTGAAACCCCGCGACCGTAGATAAAGTCCTTGCCAATGTGGCCGGAAAACGGATCGTACTTCCAGTCTTTGATCGTGTCTGCCTGCACCGGAACCACGTCCTGGTGTGCAGTCAACAAGACTGGCTTCAAGTCAGCGTTTTTCCCCTTCCATGTGAAAACTAACCCCCAGGTGTTGACCTTGTCCACCTGCAAGTGCTCATACACGGTAGGGAAGGTTTTCTCCAAGTAGTGGTGGAACTTTCCAAACTTTGCCCAGACTTCAGGATGATCCTTCACCTCTGGCTGGCCGTCGTAGACTTCGGTCGGAACCTTGACGGCCTGGGAGAGCTTTTCGTAAGACTGGGCGATGAACTCCTTGTCGGAGAGGAATTGCTTGGATCTGTCGGTGATCGCGGTGGAATTGGCGGAGAAGTAAGCTGGAAGCGGACACTTTGGTTCGCCCAATTGCAAGTCATCCCCCTTGAGGGTGGTGTAGACTGCAGTCAAACCAAGGAGGCCGACAACGGCCACACCGCCGATGATGGCAATCTTCTTGAGATTGTATCTGGAGTTGAAGCGGGAAAATTGCCCTTCTTCTGGGTCGTCTGTCAATCTCGGCATGTTTAGGTTAACGGTGAGAATGTTGAGAAAGTGGATTTTCAATTGCTATTCTTCGGGGAAGCGGTTCTCTTATACGTAATTCTCGGGGGTGAGAAGTGGGGTAACGAGTGCTTTGGGCGAACCGCTGCCGTATCATATGCGGCCCCGTTAATTACGCGACGTGCATAACAGTTGGCTAAATCGGGTAAGATGAAGGATAATTGATTGGTTGCTGTTTTAGGCTTTGCCCGCAGCTCCGGTGCCACTCGGTATATCCGAAAATACTATTTAAACGGGTTTCACATGATATATTTAAATAAAATATATGTATATGAGACGTTTTAACGTTAAAATATGCTTTATCATAAATATTCCATATAATAATTAATATTTTAATTTAACATCTCAACTATGATGCAAATAATTTTTATATAAACGTTTATTCGATTTGAGGTTTCGAAAGGCAACAAACAAACTTGATGCTATTCTGACTAAAACCCAATTGTTAAACCGAGTAACAATCCCATGAAACAATAGACTTTCCAACCCAAACCCAATTTAAGACCACCGGAAATCACCCCATCCATGGTGTACTTTCTGGCGCTGAGCGGTTGTGGCATCAAATCTAACGCTACCAACCGCTTAAAGTCCCACTCAATGGTGTCCTCTGTCTTCCAGCACCAGAAGATCCAGCCAGAGGTTTGATTGTAAGCGTCGAGCTGAACCTCGACAAATTCTCGCGTATGCCTCTTCTGGTCCTTGGTCCATTTCTTCCAGTCTGTGATGTTGTCGCATGTCCCGATAACCTCATCATTCTGAAACGTGCCGTCGTAGCGAGCGCCCATGTTCACACCATTGAGCCATCTCACGCAATCAGTCAAGGCCGCAGACCATTCCCCCACCACAGCCGAATGATTCGCCAAGTGCTGGACGATAGAATTGCCAAAGCTGTTGATGTTAGAAACATGCACGCCGATGGAAGCCTTCAACTGATCGACAGTAAAAACCTCATAGTGGTGGTGATCAATCATGACGGCAGGGCTGGTCTCGTTGCTTAGGAACGAATCCCAGTACCCGATCCACTGGAAGGCATCTTGAAGCACAATGGTGTCCTGGACATGGTATTTTGCCTTTGCCGATTGGTAGCTGTTGTAGTAGATGTTCTCTACCTCTGTCATGTTCAACAGGGGTCCAAGTGGCTCGTTCACAAGTTCAATCCCAACGATCGTGTCGCTGTAATTGGCCTGGCCGTACTTCCCAAAGATATAGTCCAAGACCCCGTAGGTGGTGCTGATATATGTGCGGTTCTTCAACCAGTCAACACCGCCTCTCTTTCCAGAGTTATCAAACCCATTTTGAGACCCCGGAACGCCGTGCAAGTCAATCCACACCTTCAAGTCGTTCTGTCGGGACCACTCAATCGCTTGGTCCAAGTACTTCTCCTGTCCCTGGACGTACGGGTCGCCGCTTAACAAGGCAAAGGCCCAGTATCCCACCGGAATTCTCACCAAGTTCAACCCCATCTGCTTGATCTGCTGGAAGTCAGTCTCGTTGTAGAAGGTGGACCAATGGGTTTCGAGCCTGCTAGCACATTCGTCTTTCCCTAGCACCTGGCAGTACGTGTATTCGTCGACGGGGACGTTTTCCGTGGTGTTTGTGGCTGTCGCATTCTCAAAAACAGTGAACAATGATGGTGTGATGTATGGCTCTAATACAAGCCAACCTCCAAGGGCCACGCCTTGGATTTTCTCGCTCAGACCGCCAGGCAAGGACACTTTGAGGCTTTGTGAGAGGACACACTCGAGGAAGCCAAACAAGAGCCCCGTAACAATTAACCCTTTTGATGTCATTAGTATGTGGTATAATTCGGAGTTGTGTTTCGGATGTCGTCACTGTAGATGTATAGATCTGGCCACAGCGGAATCGTACAGAAACGTAAACGCACTTGAAACCTTCAGCTGCAGGGAACATCCCAGACAAGCTATTTATAGCCAGTTATGCATCTGTGTAGGACTTGTCTAGGAAAATACAATTAGGACACCAGGTTGATAGAAAGATGGTTGTGAGGGAAAAATAACCACTTCCATAAAAACGGGTTATAAAGATGGTGAATTATAGTTCAAAGATAATTAACTATTTCTCGAGTTGTGTAAAAGATATCACCATCGCCATCCCCAAATCCCAACGTTTCACCGTCTCTAAAAAAAAAAAAAACTCTCATCAACTTTGTTTCCACGTATACTGTCACGATAACGCTTCTCTTGTCGCAAATGGAACAGGGCATACCCTACCTTTTTTCTTTACTTCGTTTTGCACGGGGTTCTAGGGCCAGATCCCATGTCCTCTCAGCTCTTGAGACAAACTAACCGCACAGAAACGATCCGGCCAAGACAGCCACAGAGCGGAAAATAAATCCATTTATTGAACATTGAAATATTCAATACAAATGAGTCATATCTCTTCCGGTCCCCAGCACTGCTCTATGGTTTGTTCTCCATCTGTGTACGATAAAACCTCATTAGCGGCTTGGGTGCGGCGCTTCCGGTTTCAGTTTTTGCCGCCAAAGGCTTTCACCTGCACATATGACTCCTTGGCCGTCTTGTCAGATTTTTTTCAATATATTTAGACGCCGACGCTTGTTGCCGCTCTGGCCTTTTCTGATCCCAACGCTATTAAGATGTCTACTTTGCAAATTGCTGCCAAAGCGCCATTAGTCGGCTACCCAGCTTTGATCGCTGCAGCCGTTGTTAATTCCGCCTCCACCGACGCCCCAATCAAGGTCGATTTTGTCGATGACAAGGTTGCCGCCGCCGACCAGAAGTCTGCTCCGATCAAGTTAGTTACCGGTGGCACCACCGTTTACGAAACCACCGAAGCCCTCAACGTCCTTGCTGACACCTACCCAGCCGCTTTGTTGGAAAGGGAAGCCTCCCAGACATGGGTCAAGTTTGCCTTCGAAGAGCTTTCCGTCAAGGACTTCAAGAAGTTGTCGGTTTCCTTAGAAAAGCTCGACGCCCACCTCAACTTCCGCTCCTTTGTGCTCGGCAATCAGATCACCTTGGCTGATGTCGCTGTCTGGGGTGTCTTGAGGGCCAACGCCGTCATGGGCTCTGTTATCAAGAACTCTGTTTACATCAATGTCACCAGATGGTATTCGTTTGTTGAGTCCGACAAGCGTTTCGGCACTGTTGTCGAATTGATGGCCGCGTCGCTTGCCGAGTTGAGAAAGAACGCCAAGGCTGCTGCCGGTGGTAAGAAGGAGGGCCACAAGGCTTCCTTCGACATCGAATTGAAGGGCGCCAAGGACGGTGAGGTGGTCACCCGTTTCCCACCTGAACCATCGGGATACTTGCACATTGGCCATGCCAAGGCTGCTATTCTTAACAAGTACTTTGCCGACATGTACCACGGTAAGTTGATTATCCGTTTCGATGATACCAACCCGTCCAAGGAAAAGGTCGAGTTCCAGGAGTCCATCACTGAGGATTTGAAGTTGTTGGGAATCACTGGTGACGTGACCACTTTCTCTTCCGACTACTTCCAGATCATGTACGACTACGCCGTCCAGATGATCAAGGATGGCAAGGCCTACTGTGACGACACCGCCGTCGAGCAGATGCGTGACGAAAGAATGAACGGAATTGCCTCCCCAAGACGCGAACGCACCGTCGAGGAAAACTTGAAGCTCTTTACGGAAGACATGAAGAACGCTACTGAGGAAGGGTTAAAGAACTGTTTGCGTGCCAAGATCGACTACCAAGCCCTCAACAAGACTTTGCGTGATCCGGTCATCTACAGAACTAACTTGACCCCTCACCACAGAACCGGCACTGCGTGGAAAATCTACCCAACCTACGACTTCTGCTGCCCAATTGTCGACTCCTTGGAGGGTGTCACCCACGCCTTGAGAACCATCGAGTACCGCGACCGTAACGCACAGTACGACTGGATGTTGAACGCCATGAAGTTGAGAAAGGTGCACATCTGGGACTTTGCCCGTGTCAACTTTGTCAGAACCTTGCTTTCTAAGAGAAAGTTGCAATGGTTTGTCGACAAGGAGATGGTGTCTAACTGGGACGATCCTCGTTTCCCAACCGTCAGAGGTGTCAGAAGAAGAGGTATGACGGTTGAAGGCTTGAAGAACTTTGTTGTCTCCCAGGGTCCATCCAAGAACATTATCAACTTGGACTGGAACTTGATCTGGGCCGTGAACAAGAAGGTCATCGACCCTATCGCTCCTCGCCACACTGCTTTGAATGCTAAAAACTTGGTCAAGGTGCACTTGGCCAACGGCCCGGAAAAGCCATACTCCGAGAAGAAGCCAAAGCACAAGAAGAATGCAGAGGTTGGTGAGAAGGATGTCATTTTCGCCGCCGACTTGTTGTTGGAGCAGGAGGACGCCGCCACTTTGGAGGACGGTGAAGAAGCCACCTTTATGGACTGGGGTAACGTTATCATCAACAAGATTCACAAGGAAGGTGATGTCATCAAGTCTATCGACGCTACCTTGCACTTGGAAGGCGACTTCCGTAAGACCAAGCACAAGGTCAACTGGTTGGCTGACACTGCCGATACTGTCAAGGTTGACTTGGTTGATTTTGACCACTTGATTACCAAGGACAAGATCGAAGACGGCGAAAACTTCGAAGACTTCTTGACCCCAGAAACCGAGTTCCACACTGCCGCCATTGCCGACTCCAACGTTTCCCAGATGAAGGAGGGAGATATCATCCAGTTTGAGAGAAAGGGTTACTACAGATTGGACCAGGTTTCCAAGGACGGCAAGCCAGCTGTATTCTTCACCATCCCAGATGGTAAGTCGGTTAACAAGTATGGTGCCAAGAAATAATCGAGTCAGGCGAGATATCTGAGTGTTTAGGTTTCTAATTTGTCACTTTTAACAGTGTAGAATACCATGTAGATACAAAGGGAAGTGCTTTTTTTTTATATCTTGACATGCTGGTAATGGACCTCGGCCAAACAACGTACCAAACTATTTGCTCTCAAGCCACCTAGATTTCTCCGCGAACATGGACTCCACATTTTCGCGCGGCAAAAAAACAAAAACACATGCATTTAGCTCGTTCTCAGCGATTACAGTACCGTTTAAGTCCCTGCCATGCCCAAACAAGTCCGCCTGAGGTCACTTTCGACTCCTGCGGCCACCACAATATGGCGTTTGCTCAAACTCGAGATCCAGGGCAGCAGTGAGCCGGATGTGCGCGACAAGCAGCAGCGACGCGAGCGCACCGTGTCCAGCAACGAATCGTACGAATCCATTGTGAACATGCTCCGAATGCCGTTTCAGTTAGAGAAGTTTATGTGTTTCGGCCTTCTTTCGTGCTTGAACCTGTTTCTCTCGTTCTTCAGCATCTTCCCGCTCCGTTTGGCGATTAACGTGGCGGCCTTTCCGCGCGTGGCATACGCAAAGCTCGCGGGCCATGAAGCCGCCGTTCCGCTCGCGTACACCAAAAACCTCCAGAACGACTGCATCTCTACAGGACTCATCTGGGCGTCACTTCACATTCTCTTCTGCCAGCTCGACTTGTCAAAAATATATCACGGAATCCGCGGGGAGGCCGCTATCAAGCTCTACGTGATCTTTGGAGTGCTTGAAGTGGCGGACAAGTTGTGCTCCTCCCTCGGACAGGATATCTTGAGCATCTTGTTCAATTACGATCTCTGGGACATGGAGGATGCTTTCCGCGATAAGCGAAAGTTTTGCGTGCAGACGCTTAAATTCATGGGCTTTTTTGCGGGCGCCGTTGTGTACGTCGTCATCCACAGCTCCATCTTGATCTACCAGACAATCTCGCTTAATGTGGCAGTCAACTCTTACTCCAACGCGTTGCCCACGCTCCTTCTTTCGCTCCAGTTTGCGGAAATCAAGTCCACGGTGTTCAAGAAGTTTGAGCGCGAGTCGTTGTTCCAGGTTACCGTTGCGGACCTCGTGGAACGCTTCCACTTGTTCATCATGCTCACCATCATCGTTCTCCGAAACCTCTGTCAGCTCAACATTTCCAGCAGCACCAGCCTAGGGTTGATCCCCAGCTCGTGGCTCTCTGCCAACTCCCCATACCAGTGGCTCAACGTGGTGGTATCCCCAATGTTGGTCGCAATGGGCTCTGAGGTGGGTGTGGACTGGTTAAAGCACTCGTACATTACCAAATTCAACCGCATCCGTCCGCGGGTATACAAGCGCTTTTTGTACGTAATCAGCTTGGACTTTATCACCATGACGTTTAAGAATAACAAGGCTGCGGGGGACGATTATCTGGTGATCTATCTCAACAAGCGGCTAGGACTACCCCTTGTGTCGTTGTTAGTGTTGTTTTTGCGCATGACCATGCCTCTAGTGGCGTCTCTGGGCTCGTGGTATGGTTATCTTGTAGCCCCGGCTGTTATCTTTGCCCTTGTGTTGTTTGCCAAGCTTATTTTAAGCATTTGTTTACTCCGGTGGGCTAATTCGATCAACAGGGCGGCGATGGTTCTGAATTCAGCTCAAACACCATCTCAAACACCATCTCAAACACCATCTCAAACTTCATTTCAAGCTTCATCTCAAGTTCTTTTATCTCAAAGTTTGGACGAAGATTCGATCTTGCGATCTCGTCACCCTCAGACAACCCGTTCACCTATCCGGTCGCTTTTCCTTGAGGCCAGCACCCCTGCTAGAAACCTCTATGACACCTTGCACACGGTAACCCATCACCGCAGCGACGAAGATGACGTAGAGATCCTTCAAGACTTTGCCCCGGGAATCCCGAACACGCTGTTAAACGAGATTAATCCGCTGTTTCGGGCCGAGTTGTATGAGAATGAGAGAATCCCGCCTAACAAGGCGGAATTGCGCACCCAAAAAGTGGTTAACTCGGCACGGAAAGGGCGCGAAGAGCGCGGGGGGCGAAAAGAGCGTGAGGGGCGAGAGGAGAGCTCGAAACACAACACGGACGACTTGGAAAGTGTGCGGAGATACGACATGGTGGGGAAGAATATTTGGTAGAGGTGAGTTGAGAATTAGAATGTCGCCTTTATGGAGGAGAATCTCCTGAACGGGGGAACTTCCCGGTGAAGACAAGGAATACATGCGAGCCAAGCAAGCTCACCTATGACTTGTTTTAACCCGTTAGGGATTTCCTCTTGCATTACAGATGTATCCACTGGTTTAAGTCGGATATCCGTAAAGATCATAGATACACTTAGGTCGTGTGGTAGCCCCATCTGATTTCTATCACATTAATTTCAAGGGTGTAGGCTTACTGCCAGTATACCACGGAAACGAGCATTAGCCAATACTATTGCTAATCCTGGAACCTAAAAATTTTTAGGGGAAAATATCCTCAAGATTTCTGGACAGCCCACCGTTTATATCTGGTCTTTCACAAGACGTAATCCATCGGGAATTCCGCAGCAACTGGAGTTCGCGGAATGACTTGCGAAAAATTAGGGCACGCACGGACATCTGGGTATAAATGCTTGGAACCTAGACTGTCCCCCAATCATTCCATCGTCGTCCCAATTTAGCCCAAAAATCTACAAAACTTCCCCCAAACTCTCTTATGTCCGAATTAATCACCGTTGACCGGTTGCTACTGCTCATCTATCCGTACTCCGTACAATCGCGGGCCACGCGCAGCGGCACCTCATCTCTCGCGCTCACGCCGCCCCAGGCGTCGTTGATGACACTCACGCTCATTGAGGAGCTCGCGGAGAACCATGCCGCCCCTGATGTGGCCAAGCTCCTCGTGCGTTTTCTCACCCCCGAAGCGTACCAGGAAATCGTTCAAGAGCGCACCATCAACCACATCTGCGGCTACATTCTCTGCGGAAACCAGCCTAAGGACAGCAACAATTCGCCTCAGATTAACTTCCGAAGGCCGTCGATTATTTTGCCCAACACCTACTACTCTTCCTACTGCTGTAAGCTCCACTACCAGTCATCCTTGTTCTACGAAAAGCAGCTCTCGCCGGAGGCGTTGTTCGCGCGCACGCTGGAGATCTTGGAGAAGCCGTACGGCGAGTGCGCGTACGAGCGTGACTTCAAATTGCTCGACGATTTGATCAGCCGTTCGGAGGAGCTTCACAGCGGGAATGAAAAGTTGGTGGATCTCATCCAATCCATCCACGACTTGAAGATCGACGGAAAGAAAAACGACGATGAGCTGCAATTGGCAGGGTTGCTCAGAGACTTTCACATAGTGGAGAAAGAAGGCGGGTTGCAGGGCGAAATCGATGCTCATACGTACGGCGGGAAGTACGATAATAACGACGGGGTGGATGACGAAAACCACGGGATGTTTTTACCATAGAGAGTCAGAAAAGAACAGTGAAGGTGTGGCCGGGAGTGTTGGAGACCAAAAAACTCCGTCTTGTCATGTACGATAGATCTCACGAAGTTATGTATATCTTGTTACCCCTTGGGGTTGACCATTGAAAGTTGTAGATTTATTATATACCAACCCGATACTTTACCGGACTGGGTACGCATGAATATAAAACCGTTTGACGCCTATCGCCTCTCAAGATCTTTTTGTTCGAGGCTGAGAAGGGGGTATTTCAACCAGGCTCGTGCTTCTATGCATACCTTGCGCCATTCTGTAAACCTTACAAGTGGAAGCGGCTGTAGACTTCCAGGGTTTTATCGCGATGGACAAACCGACTCGACAATCGCCAAATTGTAAAGACAGCTGATCTCATAAACTGTCTCACCTGAGAAATCATACTTTGCTGTCTCGAGAGCGACCCATTCGAAAGAGCCAATAGCACCCCCAATTGGCACGGTGAAGCCAGTCTAGAGTAGTAACTCACGTGGCTTGCAAATTTGGAATTTCGACTTTGTGGCTTTTCATCAATATCGGGCTAAATTCACTGGATAGAAACCTACTACACTATCTGTGTGGAGATAGCGATGACCGTTGTCCTGCACTCGCCCCGCCCGCACCAATCGGTGGATCTGCTCATTACGCACAGCTCACTGCTGGTGGCAGGAAGAGCCACTAGACCATATACCCAGCCAACTATGCACAGCTACTACTGGTCAGCTACGGCTGCCAAGATCCCTAAACGAAACCGAGACGTAGCATTTGCTTCAAGGCTTATTATTCACCATTGCGGTATATGGTGTTCGTCTTTTTCAGCATCTCCGCCCTCGTTCGGGCCATAGCCAAATAGGGATATTCCCGTTCCTGCCGTATGTGGCAACTGCGATCGCACACCGCGCTTAATTTCTGACTCAGCGATAGGCAGCTGAAGGATTTTTCCCGCGAGCAAAACGGGGAGCATATAAAAGCTCGTCTTGCTGCTACAGTTCCTCTTCACTCGCACCTAAAGTCATTCTTTGCTTACATCTACCACAAGGTTTTTTTTTTTGCACCTGTCAACTTTGAGTCATACTTGACACCCAATGCTCAGACACCAAACAAAATTCGCCGCCAGAGCTGCCGTCAGAGCTGCCGTCAAGGCTAACGTTCCCCTCGCTACCAATGTCGTCAGAACTGCCACCTTGCCAGTCACCCAGCGTTACTACTCTACCAGATCTACCGTCGTCCAACTCTTGAACAATATCGGATCAAAGAGAGAGGTCGAACAGTACCTCAAGTACTTCACCTCCGTCTCACAGCAGCAGTTTGCCGTTATCAAGGTCGGCGGTGCAATCATTACGCAGCAGTTACCCGAGCTTGCGTCGTGTCTCGCGTTCCTATACCATGTCGGGTTGTACCCGATCGTGTTGCACGGGACCGGGCCGCAGATCAACGACATCCTCGAGAATGAGGGCGTGGAACCGCAGTACGAGGACGGAATCAGAATCACCGACGAAAAAACCATGTCGGTGGTGCGCAAGTGCTTTTTGGAGCAAAACTTGAGATTGGTGACCGCATTGGAGAAGATGGGCGTGCATGCTAGACCGATCACCGCCGGGGTCTTTGGCGCCGAGTACCTCGACAAGGACAAGTACCAGTTAGTGGGGCGGGTCAACTCCGTCAATAAAGCGCCAATCGAGGCCTCCATCGCCGCAGGTGCGCTCCCGATCTTGACCTCCTTGGCCGAGACCCCATCGGGCCAGATTTTGAACGTGAATGCGGATATTGCCGCGGGTGAGTTGGCGAGGGTTTTTGAGCCGTTGAAGATTGTTTATTTGAATGAAAAGGGCGGGATTTTCAACGGAAACACCGGTGAAAAGTTGTCTGTCATCAACCTTGACGAGGAGTACGAGGACTTGTTGAAGGAGTCGTGGGTCAAGTACGGCACCAAATTGAAGATCAAGGAAATCAGAGACTTGTTGATGCACTTGCCAAGGTCCTCCTCCGTCGCCATCATCAACGTTGACGATTTGCAGAAGGAATTGTTCACCGACTCCGGTGCTGGGACCTTGATCAGAAGGGGCTACAAGCTCGTCACCAAGCAGTCGCTCGAGGAGTTTGCCAACCCGGATTTGTTGAGATCGGCCTTATTGAGAGACCCTGCGATTCAGTCCGGTGAGGTTTCCGTTGCGTCATATTTGAAGGAGTTGGAAAACACCTCCTTTAAAGCCTTCGGTGACGAACCGTTGGAGGTTTTGGCCATTGTCAAGGATGTGAACGGGGGCAAGATTCCAAAGTTGGATAAGTTGTTGTCCTCGCACAATGGTTGGTTGAATAACGTGACTGATAACATTTTCAATTCCTTGAGAAAGGACTTCAGCAAGCTCTACTGGATTGTGAACGAAAACGACACCAATCTTCCTTGGTACTTTTCCAAGTCCCAGGGCTCCTTCGCGTCGAGAATGAACGGGGATGTGTTGTTTTGGTATGGGTTGGACTCTGCCGAGGCGTCGCAGTTGATCAAGCAGTTTGAAACAGACAACTCGTTGACCAAGGGGGCTTCCTTCAACGGAACCCAGAAGCGATCCTTCCACACGTCCACCAATGTCAGCAGAGGCTTCCTCGGTGTTCGCTCGTACTCCACCAAGTCTAGTCCTCCACCGCTCACCACCACCAACCCTAACCCCCCGTTGCGCAATACCACCAACACCAACATCTCGCGCGTGGCGTTGATTGGTGCCAGAGGGTATACCGGCCAGAACTTGATCCACATGATCGATACCCACCCGTACATGGAACTCTCCCACGTTTCCTCTCGCGAGTTGAAGGGCACCAAGTTGGAGGGCTACTCCAAGGCTGAAATCACTTATGACAACCTCCAAGTCGAGGACATCAAGAAGTTGGAGGCCGAGAATGCGGTCGACATCTGGGTCATGGCGTTGCCTAACGGTGTGTGTAAGCCATTTGTCGAGGCCATCGAGTCAGTAGCCGGCAAGTCCAAGATCATCGACTTGTCAGCTGACTACAGATTTGACACCACCGGTGACTGGGTTTACGGATTGCCAGAGTTGAACGACCGTGCAACCATTGCCAGTGCCACCAAGATCTCGAACCCGGGCTGCTACGCCACCGGTGCGCAGGTTGCGATTGCGCCGTTGAAGGAGTTCATCAGCGACAGACCAACCATCTTCGGTGTTTCCGGCTACTCTGGTGCCGGCACCAAGCCGTCCCCAAAGAACGACACCGCTCTTTTAGCCAATAACTTGATCCCATACGCCTTGACCGACCACATCCACGAGCGCGAAATCTCCTCCCAGTTGGGCCAGGAGGTTGCCTTTACCCCGCACGTTGCGCAGTGGTTCCAGGGGATCTCCCACACCATCTCCATCCCGTTAAACAAGAAGTTGACTTCCAGAGAGATCAGAAATATCTACCAGGACAGATACGAGGGCGAGCAGTTGATCACCGTCACCGGCGAGGCGCCGTTGGTCAAGGACATCTCAGGCAAGCACGGCATCGTGATCGGTGGGTTTGGTGTCAACTCCAAACAGGACAGAGTTGTCGTTATCGCCACCATTGACAACTTGTTGAAGGGTGCCTCCACCCAGTGCTTGCAGAACATGAACTTGATGTTGGGCTACGATGAGTACGCTGGTATTCCAGATGACGTCACCATTAGCGACTACTAGAGTTAAAAAGTTAAATTACGATATACTCATATTTTTGTTAGGTTGTATTGTGGTTGAGTTGTAGGCTTGAAATTGTGCAAGGGAAATTACATGGGTAAATTAATGAGAAAGAGGTATTCCCGTGTTCACGCAATAAGGCCTCCCAAGGTGACTGAACTTGCATTGGTTTTCAGGGCTCTAAGGATAAACTAATAGTGTGGACACCATTGCTTAGACTCGACGGATGCTAGACCCATGGAAAAAAAATGCTTGCTGCCTGCATTTGCACGTGACACTCATACAAACTCGGAGGCGTAAGCACAAGCGCATCAGAGGATACCAGCTTTATCTGACATACACCACTGGTCCAATGTTGGACAGCGATACCAAGCAAACTATTTATTTATCCCCCACAGAACATGTCTAAATTATCATATTTGCCAGGTATGCTAATTTCCATAACCCTTTCTCGAAGTTTTACTAACCTCCACAGCCCTTGAAGACGCCAACACGCCTTTGTCCAAGGAACAGCTCACAATTCTCCGCAACCAACTCTCAAAGGAGCAGCCAAATATCTCCATCCAGTCACAGTTCAATTACGCATGGGGCCTCATCAAATCGGCGCTGAAGGATGACAGCAAACAGGGGATTCGCTTGTTGAGTGAGATCTACAAGGAGTACCCACAACGCCGCCGCGAGTGTCTATACTACTTGTCCATCGGGTGCTACAAGGTTGGCGACTACTCCAACGCCAGACGGTATGCTGAGGCGCTTTTGGAGAACGAGCCAGAGAATACACAAGCCCAGCAGTTGAAGAACTTGATCGAAGATAAGGTGGCGAAGGAAGGTTTGATCGGGATGGCCGTCATTGGTGGGTTTCTTGCCGTTGGGGGTGCCGCTTTGACTGCAATTTTGACTTCCAAAAAGTCCAGAAGGTGAGTAGAGGAGTGGTGCCAATAAAGGTGCACATCTGCGAACCCCAGCCGGCGGTTTATCCATAGACATAAGGCAGTACGTTTCCTTTTGTTATAGCAGTATATCCTTTTAGCCTATGCATTCATGAAAGCTTGTGCATGTGTATGATTGAGTTGTATCTATTTTCCATGTATTTGTGGTTTGAAAGTGGTTTTGATCATGGAATGAGAGTGAGGTGTTAAGGTGCGCTGCTTTGCACAAGGCATGCCTTAGCGGGTACGAGACTTTGTTTAAATTTCGTTAAAGGATCTCAATACGGTGAGCCGGGATATCAGGATAACTATTTTCGGTATACTTTTAATGTTGAGGATACGATTTACATTATTAGAAGCCAACAATTCACATAACTCCAGAACCGCAAAAAAAAAAAAAAAAAAAACTATTAAATGTAACCCCTTATTTACTCTTTCCCTTCCTTTATTTTCCTTAGTAACTTCGTAAACCATTCTCAATTCACATCCATAGCAATATCAGCACGCTCACTGAATAACTCGTAGGCGGGGTTCAGGCCGACGGGGAACCGCTTCACACAGCCACAACCGACACACGTAATACACAACACCTCACTCTTTGTATTATTCTTCTTGGAAAGGTTCTCCATTTCCATAGTTGCGCTGATCCCAACCACTAGTCTTCTATGACACTTTTTGCACCCCGATCGCTTCAATAGGGGCGTGGTCTTCAACACCACCTTCTTTGCCACTAGATCCATGCTTCGTGAATACGCTCGTGACAAGATCTCGTACTTTACATGCTTCAGGGAAGGACTTTTCGGGTTAACGAGCAATGTGGATGCCTGGTGGAGAAAGTTGACTCGGCAGTAGTGGTCCTTGTGTGGTATAGCCTTGGGTGGCTTGCACGGGATGATCTTAGTATTTGGATCAATAGTTTTTCCCATTCTAAACTTGTCAGAGGTTTATGTTTGGCTATTGTATCGTGACAAGGAGGTGGAATTTAGTGTAATAGAAAGAAAAAGGTGTTACATCTTAGAAACACCCAAGCGCCTTTCTTACTGTCCTCCTGTAGGTAAGTGCAGGGCAAAAAAGTTTCATAGTCACATGACCCAACGGCTCGCGCGGCTTAAACTACCAAGCGTATCTCACTAGGACAATATCAAGTATTTGATGCATAATTCCATTTGAAAGATTTGCCAGAGAAGTTATGATCGCCATTATGCAGTTTTGGAAGTCTCACCTCTGAGAAGTCCTTTCACCGTAAAGGATAGACACGCAGGCACGTTTCCCGTGAAGGTTTGTGGAAATGCGTGCCCCCACCACTATATGGAACCGCGCACGAAACGTATCACAGCCGTGTTTTCCAAGGGCACAAAACCGGAATCGTTATACAAAACAATAACAACCGAAACCTGAACTACCCTTGTTATCCCTTTTACACAACATCCAGCGGCGGGCTCAGAGCGATTTAATCTGCATATATACATACCATTTCTATCGTCATATTGCATCCGCGTAGCCCCATGATCTACGCCCCTTCCAATGACTTCTAACCATGCCAGCTATGGTCTGAAACTGCCCTACACACGGGTCTCTGAAGCCGGATCCTACTATACGCATCAAAAACACAATCTTCATGAGGATGATGAGACGTCGTGTCTTCCGCCGCCGCTTAGCGCGTACAGCTTGGCCGTTTTACAGGACAAGGCGACATCGCCCACGCCCGACCGGGGCGTAAAGCTATCGCCAGCCCATCAGACAGCAATAACGGGGATCTACGAGCTAGATTTTCCGTCTAGAAGTAGGGTGAAGCTGTCGGTACACTTTACGGAAACATCCGTCCACCACCGATCCTCGGCTAACAACACCCAGCTAAGCTTCAACTGCGCCCCTAATACCCCTTTCACAGAAATCTCCGCCAACAATACCCACAATACAGACAAACCCCTACTGGTTCTCCCCACCCAGGATGAGTTGAGTGAGTTTTCTACCCAGAACCACTCCCAACGAACATACTACACCCCGAACCCACCCACCGTTCTGCAGACGCTCATGCGGGGCCGCAACCGGCGAATGACCCGGATCGGTCTTGGGCCGCCGAAAAGAGCACTTCGCACCAGTGACACGACCAACGAAGATCTCAAAGAGGCCAAGAAGGAGCCGTCATACTACGAGTATTTGGATCTGCGGTTGGAGAGCGCCCAGAAAAACAGTTTCGACGATTTATCCGAGCAAGCGCTCTCACGGGAGCTCGACAAGGCGCAGCAATCTAGACTCGAGAAGCTCCGACACGAAAAACTCGACCTCGAGCGGTCCAAGTTGGAGTTCCGCAAGAAGCAGTTGATGGAGCAAAAAACGGAGGCTGAATTGGCCGAGCGCATGCACAGAGACTCCCTTCTCGACGCCAAGCTCAGAGAGGAAGCATCGGCGGAGATACAAATCAAGCAAGAGTATGCCGAGAGTAAGTTGCAGTTGGAGAAACAGTATGCTAGGTTGAAGGAGTTGGAATCGGCGGGAGCGCGCCGACCGGAAAAGCTGCGCGACGTTTCGCGAGAGGTGGATGAATTCATCAAAAAGCCGCGGGTTGGCGAGGAACTAGCGCGCCTCGGCGTAAGGGCGGATGCCGCTAAGAAACACATTGAATACGTGCCACGCCAGGCCTTGAGCGAAGTGCCTCCCAACCAGCTCAGCTCTAAACCCTGTATTGACTACAAACACAAGGCCATGCTGGAAGCTCCGTTGATCCAGGTCCTTGCTGATCCCCCAGCATCGCGCGATAGGCCCAAAAAACAAATGTTCCAAATTAATGACACCCAGTTTGAGAAGTTGGAGCTCATCGGACGGGGCGGCTCGTCCAAAGTGTACAAGGCCAAATCGATGCGCAACAACCGCATCTACGCGATTAAAAAGGTCTTGTTCGATCAGTTTGACGACGCCAGTGTGCATGGCTTCAAGGGCGAGATTGACTTGCTTCTCCACTTGCGGGAAACCACTGACCGGGTCGTCAGGTTGATCGATTACTCCATGACCGATGGCTCTTTATATCTCGTGATGGAGTGTGGCGAGATCGACCTCGCACACGTGCTTAGTGACAGAATCAAGCGGCCGCTAGACATAAACTTTGTGAGGTACCACACCATTGAGCTCTTCAAGTGCGTGGAATCCGTGCACCAGGCAGGTATTGTGCACAGCGACTTGAAGCCTGCAAACTTCTTGTTCGTGCGTGGCACGCTCAAGTTAATTGACTTTGGGATCTCCAACGCGGTTCCGGAACACACGGTAAACATCTACCGCGAGTCGCAGATCGGAACGCCAAACTACATGGCCCCCGAAGCTTTGGTGGAGTCCAAGGGTTTCAACATGTATGAAGACGAGGAGAACGACGCTCCAAACACATGGAAGGTCGGGAAACCCTCGGATATCTGGTCGTGTGGGTGTATCTTGTACCAGATGGTGTACGGCCGTCCGCCGTACGGGAGCTATTCCGGCCACCAGCGACTCATGGCGATTATGAATCCGCAGGTGCAGATCCAGTACCCTGACCGCGGCCTTGGTGAGGTGTTGGTCCCCCAGTCCGCGATAGCCGCGATGAAGCAGTGCCTTGCGAGGGATCCCAACGAGCGGCTCTCGGCGTCGGAGGTGCTTGTCGGACTGTTCCTCAAGCCGAGGGTTGTTTCCGAGGAGTTTATCAAAGATTTGGTGCACAGTGCCGTGGACTACGGCCACAACAACCTGGTGGGCGATGAGGTGTACAACAGGCTTGTGGAGACGGTGATGCACAAGATTCTGGAGCTTAACTATTAGATTTTAATGATATGACGATGACTGCTTGTATTGATGTAGTAATTAGGTATTTGGGAAGAGTGAGCTAGGTGGAATGACGGATATCAAACTTCCACCAGACCTGTGGTATGGCAATGGTTTTCTAACCCCGATCGGTATTGATGTTAAATACAACGGCATCCAGACCTCACCCGCCATTCGTAAGTGACGTCGCAATCGCTTCTATTCAACTACAATCGTCTGCGTCTTTTCTACTTTTAAATTACATATAACGTTAGGTGCAGTGCTCGCTAGCGCGGCCCGAGCTTCTCCAACACCCGTGGACCCTGCTCCTCCCACTCCTGCTTGGAAATCCACATGTGGTCCTTGTCCGCCATGATGTTTGCCAACACCGCACCACCGATAAACACCATATGTCTTCTTCTTGGCGGATCCTCGATTCTAACCTTGAACTTGTCCAAACGGCTCGGGTCACCCTTCAACACGCGGGTCAACCACAACTGCTTCAACTCTTTGGTAAGACGCGACGGCAAGCCCGGGTACATTGACGACCCGCCAGAGAGCACAATCGCCTTGTACAACGTGGATCTAATGTCCACGTCGGCGGACTGGATGGTGTTGAACAAACACTCACCCACCCCCGGCTGCTCAACATCCACCAAGCCCGGCTGGAACAAGCACTCAGGGGCCTCGAATCTCTCGGAGCCCACCTTGATGATTCTGCCGTCTGGCAATTCGTAGCTCTCCACGAGGGTGGTGGTCTCTTGGGCCAACTTTGCATCCAAGCTCAAGTCGTACGACACGTAGCAGAGCTTTTCCTTGATCTGGCGCACGGTCTCAAAGTCCGCGGTACGGTTGAAGGCGTACCCGCGGCGAAGGAGGAGATTGATCAAGTTTCTGGTAACGTCTCTCCCGGCCACGTCCAATCTCTTTGTCAAGTGGTTCAATACAACCGACTCGTAAACCGGCACAATGTGCGTGACACCATCCCCCGAGTCCACCACCACCCCGGATGACAACCCCTGGGCGTACAAGGCCAACACGGCCTGGATTGCCACGTACACCCCGCCAAAGTTGTACTTCTCGAACATCACGTCGCACATCTTCTCACGGTTGCGCAACGGGTTCATTGGCGGCTCTGTGAGCAAGACCTTGCGCCCGCTAGTTTCGATTTGCATACGCTCGTAGAAAGCGTAGTCCCACAAGTGCTCCATGTCTGCCCAGTTCTTGATGATCCCGTTCTCCATCGGATACGACACCTGCAACATGGATCTCATCGCGGACGCTTCGTCACCGCACATGATGTCTTTGATTTCAATGTCACCTGTGACTGCGCGTTCCTCCGCTCTCAAGATCGGTCTCCCGACAATCGATGGAAAGGTGTGGTCTGGGAAGTTGGTGCCTGCTCTCCCGATCTTTACGAAACCAGTACCCTGGTCGAGGACTAAGCGGTTAGTACGGAAAGGGTGCGTGATGGATGGGCTTACTTACCAATTGGCTGTTCGTTCATTGTGTGTGTAATTGATGATGAGAGGAGCGAGAAGCGAAGCTGGAGCTGAGTCGTTTATGTCGTTATCGGTTGAGGCCGGGAGGTGCCGGTAAGTGCACGTCCAAGGGGCTGGGCGCACGCAGCGATGTGTCCGATAACACAACCAATAAGGCTTATTTTCTGTGTTTTATTTCTAACCTAATGGATTTCGTCATAATGTGAACGTTTGATTTATTCAAGTATTGGTTACTGTGCGGACAAACGGAAGAAATAATTCTGGGATTACCCAAGAATAGGCGATAGAGATTGGTTGCATAGCCTCGGCCAGCTGGCACGTCAATCTTTCTGCTTTTCCGCTGGCATCAGAAGTACGCTACATCGAGGTTCTGCGACAGGCGATATCTCTACATTCTATCCAGAATATGGGCCTTCTTTTCCTTTAGAAAAAGGTGAGCTTTTGCTTTTAAATTAGTGGTGCACTGAATTTCTGAGTGGTGCAAAACGTCATATTTGAGCCCAAAAATTTTGTCGATCAGACTGGTTTACCATAGGGCCCTATAGCTCCGTTGAGATAGGCAGGTTTGATTAGGTTTAACCTAAGTTTCGGACTTACCCCCCTGTTTACATAGTATATCATGTCCAACGATAATTCAAAAGCCCTAAACTGAAAGCAACAATAGAATAAGCTTAGAAAGGTGTGATACTTTAAGCGTTTATAAATACTTACCCGTCTCGTCCTCCAAGTACTTGTAAAACTCTGCACCAATCTCATTCTTAGCCGCCTCGGCAACGTCCCCTCTGACCCTGCCAAACCTGCCCCAAGGAATAATATACGCACCATTGTTGGTGGTGGTAATTTGTGGAGACAACGCGGCAAACAACAGAGCATAAGCACCATACCGTGCATCATAGACAAGGCGGTCAAGAATCCTCCCAGTAAGGCCAGTAATACTCAGCTGCATGTTTGTATTCAAATTCCCCGGATCAACAGAGATACTGACAATTTTTGCCGCTTCTTCCGGGTGATTTATGCTCCATTGGGAGGCCATGATGATATTCGCTGCCTTCGATTGGCCGTAGTTTCCCCATCCATCACGTTTAACGTCGTTCAAGTCGTTCAAATCCACACCGTGCTTAGGGGCAAACGCGTGAGCGGATGATGTCACCCATATAATTCTAGACCGGTTATTACCCTCCCCGTTCAACTGACTGGCGGTATGGTGCATCATTGGCGTCAAGAGCTTTTGCAATGCAAAGGGCCCGATGATATTCGTACCCAACTGCAACTCGTAGCCCTGCTTCGAGGTGGAGCCTATTGGCGTAAGCATTACACCGGCATTGTGAATCACAATGTCCAACCGGGATTCCTGGGCGAAAAACCTTTCGGTAGCTGGCCTGATGGTGGTCAAGTCGCTCAAATCAACTTCGATAAATTCAACAAGGGCATCATTGTGCTGCAGCTTAAGCTCCTCGATGGCCTTCAACGCGGTGGTTTTGTTTCTCGCAAAAATGTACACCTTAGCTCTAGCTTCAACCAAAAGCTTGACGCATTCAACGCCAAGACCCGCGTTTCCGCCCGTGACAATCACCACTTTCCCGGTTAAGGATGGGTAATCCTTTGGTAAGAAGGCGGGGGGTGGCGGATAGAAGTTTCTGGCCATCTGTGCCCAGTCGCGAAGTCCCATTAACGGCATAATTGAGATGGATAGTTTTGCAAATGGGAATAAGCTTCAATTGGTGGATCTATCTGAAGACGTGCCTTTATTTATGTGAAACCTATGTGGTCGTATATAACTGTGATGATAAATGATGAAATGCGTGTAAAATGGTTAATCACTCGACATATTGTCCAAAAATATGAAACAGACTTATACTGGTGTCCATTTTCCGTTAAAGTTCTATAGAGGTTGATTAGTAATCCGGTATATATATATACTAATTAACAGAGGTCGTAAGACGAGGCGAAGATCGCACAACCTTATATCCGGCACTGGATAAATGGCACATTCCGGGTATCCATAAGGTCTTTACTTATTTACACCATGCGTTTCATTAATGGTAAGCGGCTCGGGACCCTGGTTATAGTGCTTTTCAGTCTCTATCATATAAGGTGCGGATTTTGCTCCACTCAAAGACTTGCCTTACATCCTTAATGACAAAAATTCACGTCAAAAGCTAGAGTAATGTACAGATGTATTAATATATAGCCTTATGCAATGATCTCAGCCACTTCTTCGACCGGATTTACCACACGGATATTTGGATCCATGTAGGCAAAAGTCAAGTAAGAAGTATGGGACTTGATGTCAGACTCAACCTTGGAAACGTTGATCCATTCCCACTGCGGGTCACCGTCTCTGACCCGGACACCCTTCCCAAATGGATTGAACCCAGTTTCCTTGGTCTTTTCCTCAGGCTGTGGGGTCTCGCTAGCGGGCCTCTTGTCACCAATGGACGGTTCAGTACCCTCGAGTGCTTCTCGGGCGATATCGTCCTTGCGCCTCTGGATCCCGGCATCCTTTCTTCTCTTGACATCTCTCAATCTCTCAACGGCATCGTCCACTCTTCTGACCATTTGCTTTCTGGCCTCCCATCTCTTTGCACTGACCTCCACCATCTCGATGGAGGACCAGCCGTGGGCCATCAAAGCCTCCACGGTCTTTGTCACTTGCTCAATACAAGGTGAAAAACAGCAGACACCCACACGAGAGTCCTTGGAGATCACGCTGGATAAGTTTGGGATGGCGGTCCACGGTGATGGAAGGTCCAAAAACACGGCATTGGCCCGGATATCCTTACTAGCACCGTTTTCTTCAATCTCGAAGCCACCGTTACAGACGTCGCGGTGGGTGATTTCGACGTTGGTCAAGCCGTGCTCCTCCAATTCCTGCTTAGCCTCCACGTATCTTGGCTCGTGGAACTCGTAGGTGAACAATTTCCCTTCACGGCCGATGGTTCTGGCAAAGGAGTGCGAGAAAGAGGCGGAGCCGGTCCCGGCCTCAATCACTCTGGTGCCTACCGTGATCCCCAAGCGTTGTGTGATGTAGGAGGAATCAGGGGTGTAGACAATCTGGGTTCTGTGGGGCAAGGAGAGCGTCCAGAGTTCAGGTGAAGGATGTAACAAGTGGATGAATCCGTATCCCTTGGCAGAGCTGATCTGGGCCCCGTAAAGCGAGCCAATCATGTCGTCGTGGGAGAAGATCCCGAAACGGGTCCCCAAGACCTCACCCGCCTTGACATGGATAGGCTTGATAATCTCACGGGAGATCCAGCAAAAGACAAAGTCACCCTCCTCGATTGTGTCTTTATAAGCGGTGAAGGACATGGTTGGATGTAGGAAGAAGCGGTTTTGTTGAATGGTGAAAAATTTATGTAGGAAAAAAAGTGAAAATTTGGTGCGGCGCAAGGAGAAAGTGCAGGAGATATTTATAAGTGGGGGGGGAGTTAAGAATAACACTTTGACTCGATTTATTCTGATGTATATGTTATTGAAATAAAGCAAAAATATAAAGAATCAAAGGTGTGTAAAGTAAGATGGTTGGGTAAGTAGAAACAGAACATGGTTCTAAACCCAGATAAGATCTTAATTTGTTAGAGGGTAATAACGGGGCCGCACAACTTCTGTTTAAACCATAAACTGGAAATAGACCCCGTGGAGGTACAGGACTGAAACCACGTTTGTCTCAATAAGACAACAGTGTATCAAAAACTAACCCTTATTATCCTCACTATGCCGTTTGCAGCTTTTAACCTACAAGTTTGTAAACAACATAGATATTTACCAACTAAACGTAGAGTAAACTTAGTTGCTTAGTACACCTCAAGGATGTATCTACCGGCCTCCTTCATCTCCTCAACCTCATGGGCCGCATCCACCTTCTTACCGGTCTTCTGGGCATCATTTTTGACAACATCCTCCAAACAGGCAGTGATGTCTGGCACCGGCCAGGTAGGGCCACATAAATAGAAGCTACCATTCTGCTCCATGACGGCATCGGTCAACTCCTCAATGTTCTCTCTGATCCTGTCCTGAATGTAGATCTTCTCCGGTTGGTCTCTAGAGAAGGCGGCCCCGATGTGGGTGACAATCCCGGCGGCCTTGTAGGCCTCCCAGAGCTCACCGTACAAGTACTCCTCCTTCTTGTGACGGGCACCGAGGTACAAGTAGACAGCACCAATCTCCATACCCTGCTGCTTCTGCCAGATCTTTTCCTCGACAAACGCCTTGAACGGCGCCAATCCGGTCCCGAGGCCTGACATGATGATTGGCTGGGTGGACAATGGTGGCAACTTCATCACGGATGGCTTCACAGACACAACCAACTCGGTACCAACGGCAAGCTCGGCCAAGTACTTGGAGCAATGGCCAAATCTGGTTCTGCCCCTGGAGTCGACCCAGTCAACCACCACGATCAACAAGTGGACGGCGTTAGGGTGCATCTTCTGGGAAGAGGCAATAGAGTATTCTCTTCTCTTCAACGGCGCAATGATCTGGACCAAGTCGGAGAGGGCTGGGCGGGCAGACGGGAACTCGGCAAAGACGTCGGCGTAGGAGTCGGCAACGTTCTCCTCCTGGCGCTTTTTCAAGTCGGCGGCGCCTTCGGCGGAACCCAAGAGTTCCAACTGCTTGCGTTCGGCCTCTTCGGTGGCGAACGGAGCAAGCGACTCGTAGAAGCGCTTAGGCGGCTTCCCGAACAAGTCCAAGTTCTCCGAGAAGGCCTGGAACACGGTTCTGGTCTCGACGAGCTTGGCGTCGTCTCTGTTTGGCACGACAACCAAGTCGGCACCTTCCAAGCCATAGAGGTCGAGGAACTGCTGCACCAACGCGCTGTCGTTGCGGCCGTGGATCCCCAAGGCCTCACCAATGTCATAGGTGAGACCGGTGCCGGTGATGTCAAACTCAATGTGGAAAATGTTTCTGTCGTAGTCGGACGGCGTCACTCTGCGGTTTTCCTGGACCTTGACGACAAAGTTGCGCACCGAAAGGTCTGGTCTGAGGCTGGTGGTGGTACCGTAAGCCTCCTTGAACGCAAGCCTCTTGGCAGCGGAAACGTAAACGGAGTGTTCTGGTTCCCCGGCAGCCTCAGACGTACGCGGGTTACCCGAAAAGGCGGTTTCAAGTGCAAGGAAAGGAAGAGGATCCGAAGTTTCGCCCTCCTTAAGTTCCTCCACGAGCTGGGCCCACTCTGGCACAACCTCCACCGGCTTGACCGCAAGCTCATCGCACTTGGAAGCCAAGGTGGTGAGAATTGACGGCAACAACTCGATTCCGGAGCCCTGCGACTGCCACAATTTCTGCACAACGTGATCGCCAAGCTTTGGCAAGACGGTGCGCCAGAACGCAACCTGCACGACGATGGAGGCGGTGTAACCCTCGGTCTCTGGGAACTCGACCGCAGCGGTGTCGACAACGACCAACTTGTTCTTGTTGGCCGCGAGGTCACGCTTGAAGCTGATTGGGAGCTTCTCGACAAACTCGGTGAGATCAACTACGCCGGTGGAGACACCAAGCAAGACAGTGGCACCCTCACGCGCGGTAGAGATGACATCGTACGCGGAAAGGATCTGGGTGCCTTCGACAAAGACAACGTCAGCGGCATCCACCGAACCGGGAACGGAGTTCTCGGCCACGGGCACTGATGCGATCTGTGCGTGTACAGACCCCGCACCGTTGACATTGTCATACTTGGCCCTGTAGTTGACCCTGGAGGCACCGTCTAAGGACAACGCGTGGGCCAACTTGGAGGCGACTTCGACGAACTGGCCGTTGTCTGGAGACCAGAAGACGAAGCTCCCGTGCGGCGAGGCGGCGGTGGTGGCATCCTGAGAGTAAACCACCGGCTTGGCAGCCGCCTCCGGCAACACCACAAAGGAAGAAAGCACCTTGCGAAGGATAAGCGGCGACCAGATAAAGGAGGCTGGGTAGGTAAACTCGGACACGGATGGCGCGGCGATGCCAGACTCCCAGAACAACGCGGCAGCCACGTCGGCCTTCAAGGCGGAGGTTGTGGCGACACCGACGGTCTGGCCAAGAACCACCACGGACTTGGCGGAGGCCGGGATCGTGGCGGCAAACGCGGCGGTGTCGAACGGAAGCGGCACTCTGATGGCGACGGCCCCGATCTTGGCGTCCGCCGCGAGCGTCGCGACGGTCTGCAAGAGCAACTCGGACTCGACCGTCCCGTAAACGACAAAGACAGTGGTTGGCTCTGCGTGGCCAGCGTACTCGAACGGCTGGTAGGCGGTGTCAAAGATGGCGTTCAACGCGGACAAAGCCGCGGCCGGTCTCTTGGCCACCGGAAGCGATTCCCACAACGGGGTCTGTGCCGCCAACTGGGTGTAGGCGGCGGCAAGCTCTGTAGGGGAGAGCACGTTCTCGATGCGGCCGTTTTCTCTCAAGAAGGCTGGCCCGTCGTACAAGTGGAGGGATGGCTGGAGCTTGGATAACGCCAAAGAGAGGAGAGTCATGTGCTGTGCCTCGGCAGCGGAAAGGGGAGTGACGACGGAGTAACCAAGCTCACGCGCAAACTTCAACGGAGACACGTAGTCGGCAACGAGGGAGGAGGTGGCTTCGTCGTAGTCTAACGCGGCAACCTGGAACGAGAGCGGCAACTTGTCGGCAGTCAACCCGGCGAGTGTTGGCTGGATAAAGTTGAGCGCAGAGCCCGGGGTGAGGACCGGGAGCGCGGTGTGGGAGGCTCTCTGTGAGAGGTAGCCAAGGATCGCGTTAGCGGCCCCGGATCTGACCTCCAAGGCAGTGAGCGATGGCACGATCTCCTGCGGGTTGGCACGGCCAAAGGCTTCCCAGAGCTGAACGGAGGACTCAAGTGCACCCGCAGACTTGTAGGCAAACACCTTGGCGGCGGTGGAGTACACGGTTTGGGACACAAGCGTGTGGGGCGAAGTGTAGGCCACGCCGTGGAGCGAGTCTGGATCGGCTGGAAGGCCGAACGGCGCAACGGCTGAGGCAGAGATGGAGGTTTTTTCGATAGTCATAACGAGTGAAGCGTAACGACACGAGTGATTCGGAGAGAGCTAACAAAGATGAAGAATAACAGGTGTGGTATATATATATTCGGACAAGAGTCACAGAGATTGAAAAGTCGCCCGGTGAGGTTGCATAAAGTTTCATTAGCGCACGTGATATCGCGCATTTTTTCACCTCCACAGCTGCTGCACTCTGCTCGTTTAGGTAATTCTTGTGCACGTGATGTGGCGCGAGAAAAAGAAAGATAAGAGCCGGGGCGTATGTAACGGAGCGATGATCAGATAACGGCGGGAGGTGCATGCAGGAGAAGAGGGGCATCACTGGAGGGATGCTGGTATGAGTAAGTGTTTATGAATCGGAGTTACCGTGTGGCAGAGATGTTTCAGTTCTGGTAGCTTTGGGTATGTGTCCAAGTTGTTATTGGTTTGTTGTGCTGTGGCTGGATCTTGATGGGAATACCTGTACACTGTACCCCAAGACACTTACGGTGTATACTATGTGTAGGAGGTTGTACGATGGGTAAGTGTCGATATACGACAGTTCCCTGCACCGGACTATTAAATAAAATGTCAGGTCACCTCCAGAGAACTCCGATGTGGTATTGGCTCTATCATTTATAAACTGGTGCAGTACAAGCTCAGGGGTTTTCCTTGATCATGGGATATTAGAAGTTCTTTCAACCGATATAGTGTTTAAACCCTGTTACTTATATCACAGGTTCTGCATACCTAGAACGGGTCTCACAAGGAAGAGGTATGGGCCCAAACTGGGGTATTAATAGAATTGCTCCCCTTTGGGGGGTTCAGCCATTGGATGGGGTTTTTGCAGAGCCCTTGGGATTTCATGTCTTTGACTCTAATACACCTTCTGGCAGAGACCACGCAACGTCTCGTACTCTCCACCCTTAACCCAACCCACCACACATCTCACCTGGCTGTTCGAATCGTACAAAATACCACAGTCCCAGTCATTCCCTAGTAAATCCCGGGTGTATTCACACTGATGCACCTCACCCAACTCAAACACAAACCCCTGGACCCGCATTGGATTGATCCACTTCTCCACTAACGTCCTGTAAAACTCTGAATCGCCCACCAACGCAAGCTCAGGTTCGTGCTGTTTCACCGACTTTTCAAACCGTGATGCTTCAAACTGTTTTCGCGGGATATAAGGAGGGTTGGCGGTGATAAAGTCGGGTCTAAAGTCCATTTCATGCATGGAAGCCATCACTGTTTGCGGTTCAAAAACGTCACCCTGGACGAACTGCGTTGGTAGCACCGTCGTTTGGCTATTTTTTCGCGCTAGTTCCACGGCCAAGGGAGATATATCCACCCCTATCGTTCTCACGTTTTGCGGTTTACTCTGCTTGATAGTGCTTCCCAATTCGTGTTGAAGCAAGAGGGGAATGCAGCCTGTTCCTGTGCACAAGTCAAGTATTCCGTAGTTCTGTTTGCTCTCGACTATCGGTGATAGCACCCTCGCTAGTTGCAAAACCCACTCTTCGGTCTCCCATCGTGGAATAAGCACCCCCGGTTTGCACCTGATGTCTAACTCGCCGAACGGCTGGGTGCCGAGGATGTATTGTAGTGGATAGTGCTGTTTGCGTAGCCTCGCCGCATCAAGCCATTGGGTCTCAGGAAGCTCTTGCTTCACCCAGTGGAGCTCCTGTTTGGCCGCGGCAAGATTGTGACAGGCAGGGATAAAATACGGAAGGAGAGGAGAGTGTTTCGCAGCTAGGCGGTACACCGACTGGGGGATCAGTCGTGGCATGGATGTCTAGACTTGGGAGGTTTGTAGTTCAAGAATGAGCGTAAAAGTACAACGTTAGAAAGTCACGTTAGTACTTGCAAGATCAATGACAACTTTCAGACGGCCAGCCTGCTCAGTCTGGAATAACAGGCTAGAAACGTCATAAGCCGCTCATATATTCTCCTGCATGTCAGAAGAGCATCCATCACCAAATATTTTTCCGCTTTCTGCATGGGATGGACGTTCTGGAGGGCATAAAATGTAGACAGAATGGATGGTGTAATGATTGACTTGAATATTCGCCAACCTAAGGTTTTTGGTCAAAGTGTATTTTTTTTATTAGTTAACCAGATGCTAGTACTCACCGTTGTGTGTATTCACTGATATATATTTGCCACTTAGTCTATACCTGTTTCGATATCTTGAGTGTACATGCATAATTTACGCATGCCGGATTTTTCACTATGGTAAATTTCTCGGGCGCTGGTACACCTCCTTTCTATTCAGAGCTGTAATGCCTCTACCATATCACCAGCTCCTTGATCATCAAATTGCTGTGCGGGCCTTGTACCGTCAGACCCTCAGACACATCCGGCACCTCCCTCAGGTCTACCGCAACTCCACAGAAGTGGTGCCGTCGCCAAAGCTCTTGCACGATGAGCTCCGGAAGCAGTATAAGTGCTTTCAGAAGGTAAAAATGACCCATGCCTTTCACAGCCCTGCGGTAATACAGCAGCAGTTACTCCAAGGAATGGAGGTGGAGGCGAAACTCCGGGACTTGTACATACGCCCCGAGACGCTTCTGGAGTTTGTCGTGTTCGTCAGAGCATTGCTACAGTCATCTACAACCCCCATAGACCCAGAGAAACTTCAGACGGCTGAGACAGTTCAAAAGTTACACGAAGCTGACCAGGCTCGCCAGCTGAGCTCGCACTTGTTTACCCATAAATACCTCAAGAACCAACAGGACCAGTTGAAGCTTCCGCGAACTATCGACCCAAAGTATCGGGCAATCCTCCACGACGAATTCATCCACTCCCAGAGGGTGCGCACCCTCCACGACTTTCAAAAGTTTATCCAGGACAAACCCGCACAGGTCCGGAAGTTGGCGGTCACATTCCACGGTAATTCGCAGCTTTCTTTCTTGCGCTACCCCGGGGGGAAACAGTCGATTGCGGTGAACCGTCTCATCCAACACATGAAGAAGCGCTACCAGTACGTGTTAGACCACACAGCTACGATGGAGACTCAGTACAAACCGTTGTGTGAAATGGAGGCCACATGGGAAGTGGTCATGGGCGAAAGCGGAACCACGAAGGAGCGGACAGACGAATGGATGCGGCCCTATCAGGAATATATCACCAACTGCAACTCCCAGCTTCAACGCAAGCAGCGGAAGCTCGACGACCACGCGAAGAAGGTACTCACCGAAGCCAAGATTGCCGAAGCCCAGCATGAATACGACGAAAAGTTCACAAACGCCCAAGCCCGGTTTGCCGCGTTTGTCCAGGACTGCGAGCAGTTCAACAAGGACCACGGTGGGGCTTGGCGGTGTGACGATCCCCATCTGGATGTGTACCGTGGGGGTGTCCACGACTTGGACATGTTGATGAAGAAGCACTGCATTGGAAAGTGATGTGTGATAAGCGTGTATTGCCGGTTGGATTGAGAGTTCAGGTGGGGGAGAAAGCTCCAGTCGGGCATGGCCTCATCCCAGCAATTAATAAACGGATAAACACTGAAATGGAGATTGGGGTGTAAACACTGAAATGATTCAATACTTAGGTATACTCAAAGATAAGCACCAGCAATTGAGACGATAGCCATGTAAAAGGAATGAATTTCCCCTATAATCTCTTTATAGCCCATTTACACTAGATAAACCTACCCGGTTACTTTGGTATATTACCTTATACAATTCCAAGTCTCATAGACGCGGCTCGCCTCGCCCGGAGCGTTGCTGGGTCTCGCCCTGGCTTCACAACGACCACTGCTTGAACTTGTTGATCAACCCGTTGGTCGACGGATCGTGACTGGCAACCTCCTTCTTGTCTACCAATTCACCACCAATGGCCTTGGCCAAGACCTTGCCCAACTCAACACCCCACTGGTCAAACGAGTTGATGTTCCAGATGGCACCCTCGACAAAGGTGACGTGCTCGTAGTACGCAATCAAGGACCCAAGGGTGGCTGGGGTAATCTTCTGGGCCAAGATGGAGGTGGTTGGACGGTTCCCGGAGAAAACCTTGTGTGGAACCAAGCCGCCCTTGGCGCCCTCGCTTTCAACCTGGGCAGCGTTCTTACCAACCATCAAGGCCTCGGACTGGGCAAAAAAGTTGGAGGCCAACATGCGCTGGTGCAAGTTCTGCTCGATCGGGTTGTGGGACTGCGCGGCGAGGATAAAGTCAGCAGGGATCAACTTGGTGCCCTGGTGGACCAACTGGAAGAACGAGTGCTGCGAGTTGGTGGCTGGCTCACCGAAGAGAATGGTTCCAGTCTCGTAGTTGGCAAACACGTTAGCACGGGTGACGGACTTCCCGTTGGACTCCATGGACAACTGCTGGAGGTAGGCCGGGAACCGGTGAAGGTACTGGTCGAACGGCGCGATCAAGTGGGTCTGGGCCTTGTAGAAGTTGTTATACCACACAGAGAGCAACCCACCGATAACCGGAATGTTCTGCGCCAACGGAGTGGTAGTAAAGTGGGTGTCCATCGCCTGGGCACCCTGCAAGAAGTGCTCAAAGTTCTCAAACCCGATGTACAAGGCAACGGAAAGGCCAATGGCAGACCACACGGAGTACCGGCCACCGACCCAGTTCTCAAAGCCAAACATATTTGCGGTGTCGATCCCGAATTTGCCCACCTCCTCGGCGTTGGTGGACAAGGCGACGAAATGCTTCGCAATGTCATTCTGGGAGGCACTTTCGAGGAACCAGGACTTGGCGGAGTTTGCATTGGTGCAGGTTTCGGCGGTGGTGAAGGTTTTGGACGCCACGAGGAACAAGGTGGTGGCTGGGTCCAATGGCTTCAAGGTCTCAGAAATGTGGGTTCCGTCAATGTTGGACACAAAGTGGCAGTTCAAGCCCTCCTGGGCGTACTTCTTCAAGGCTTCGGTGACCATGACTGGGCCCAAGTCGGACCCACCGATCCCAATATTCACAATGTCGGTGATACGCTTGCCAGTGTACCCCTTCCATTCGCCGGAGCGCACGCTGTCGGAGAATTCCTTCATGTGCGCGAGAACCGCGGCAACTTCCGGCAAGACATCCTTACCGTCCACCTTCATCGGAGCAGCGGCATCCTTGGATGCACGGAGCGCAACGTGGTACACCGCACGGTCCTCGGTGGTGTTGACGTGGTCACCCGCGAACATGGCATCTCTGAGGCCCACAACGTCAGCCTCCTGGGCCAATTGCAAGAGCGCGGCCAAGGTTTCATCGTTCACCAAGTTCTTTGAGAAATCAAAGAAGATCTCGGATGCATCGAAGTTGGTGTAGGTGTGGGAGAGCTTCTCAAAGCGCTTGGAATCCTTCGCAAACTCCTGGATCACGGAAAAGTTGGCGTGCTGTTGGTCGTAGAGACCCTGGAGGGTCTTCCAGGCTGGCAATTCGGATGCTAAGGCGAAAGTCATAGCAATGTGTGTTTAGGGATTGAGGAGAGTGCGAAAGAGAGGGTAGAAAGAAGGGGTGGGGGGTGTTTATATAGCCTGGAAGTTGCTGCCTCGTCCGGCGCGCCCGGAGCAGACATGGCCATCACGCGTGCAGGAGTTGGATGCCGAGTGTAAAACAATCATCAACGCTTTTAGTCTCAATCCGTAGACTTTTTTTACCTAATAGACGGTCATTCCTTAGTCAATGCATACCGTACTGCGTTTACCGTGATTTTGGTGTTGTTCTTGTCTCCGCAAACGTAGGCTTGTCAGGGCTGGCAATTGCTATTAGTAATGTCGTACTAATGTGCATGCGGCTAGCCGCAGGCGAGACTAGTCATAAAGTTTACCCGAAATTGGAGACATGGGTCGGGAGGGGGGTAATCTTTTTTCACTTACAATATTAGGGAACCAACTTGGTTGTACGTTTATGAAGCAGGAGTTTTCAAGAAGATGGGTGCTTGGTGTGATTTTCTTCGAAAGGAGCTAAGAGCCCTGGACCATAGCTGGATAACGATGCATGCGACCTGGTGGACATAAGAATTTGGCAGGGAAAAATCTCTTAGCTCTATCAAACCCCTGGTGTAGTGTTTAACAGAGAGCTACCGGTTTGGGTTGATACATTTTTTCCGTAGATTTTGCATCTTTAACACAGCAATGTTCTCTTATGACCAGCTCGTGTGTTTCTTTCTATACCGGAGGAGAATTCGGGGAGAGCAGCCCCCGGAACGCTGAGCGAGGGCGGGGGATTTCTGACGAGGGTGTAGGTCGACCATCTAAGCCATTTCATTTACGCACAGTGCTCCGTCGAGGGTGTCAAGGGGGCTCCTCAATACCCAGACGCCTGATAAAAACAATCGTCTGAACCAAGATAAAAGCCAGTATTCTCCACCACATAAGGCTGTATCACATCGGACTCCAGGCATAAAAATATTAGAACCCACGGCGAGAGTCGAACTCGCAATCTTTTGATTAGAAGTCAAACGCGTTAACCATTACGCTACGCAGGCGTTCCCTGAAAGTTAAAAAGACGTTTCTTCATCAGAATATGGATAATATATGAACCTATAAAAAGCTGTTGTCTTTGAACGGTTTGTTAAGGTCAGTCCCAACACATATTTGATGTCCGTTTTAAAGGGCCTTAAAGGAACATTACATAGTGTCTCAGAAGTGTTCTAAAACATACGTGGGGCTCTTCCGCTCACAGCCTATTCAGCCGGCTCGGCTTTTAACGGATTTCACCCGTAGTCCGTTCCCGGTCTTTCCCGTCTGCGGTTTGCCCCCACTAACGGTTTTGCAATCAAAAAAGCTGCTTCGGAGCAGGACGTACTAACAGTCACCGTACAGAGAGAACCATGTTAACAGACTCGGGTGTTTTTCGTATAGGCCCCCGCATAACGTTAATCCTCATAATAATTGCGGGGCCGAAATGAGGTTGACGGATCTTTTTTCCAAAGCTTTTACCACAACGATAGCCTCTTATGATCCGACCCTGTATAAAGCGTAACAGAGCCGTTTATTATACCCGGTTTCTTCCTGGGGTTTTCTCATGTTTAGCCCAAGATCGACACATTCAACGTTGTCTCGTAATAAAGCTATAACCGTGAAGGTTAACTGGGATGCAGATCAAACCACTTCCTGTGGTCTGACTTATAACCATCTAAATCGACAGTCTCTAAATCACGTAGCTTACATATAACTTGATCGTTTTCCTACACTATTTCCAAGCCAACTGTGCAATGGTCTAGGCACCGTTACACCCAAGTCTACGCACGGCTGAGCGCACGATCACATGCGTCTTTGACGGGGCCTCGGAGCTGAGATGCTCCGCGTGTGTGCGGCCCGTCCAACGCCCATGTGGTTTCCCAGAAAGCCGGGCAAGCTAAGTCTAAATATTCCGGAGTCAGGGTGTGTTGAAAAAGAAACTTCTTGGAAGAGCTTGCCTGCTGGGGAATCGCGAGACGCTCCACCAATAACAACCCTGCTGCCCTCAATCCAACAAAACCACAGCGCTCACCTGACGATCCGTTTTTTGGGTCACCCAAAATGATGGGCGATGATGGTGGCGTGCGCGTACCACTCTCAACCGGGTATACTGGTGATATCGTGGCTCGGCTTATGTGAGGCATCGCATAATTATTCCGTGCCGGAGCTGCGGATATTTGCGGGTCGGCAATTTTCATATGCTATCGCGTGCAGTGATTTTATTTCCCATATATATCCCCACAACTTCTTCTTCTCCGTGCATTTCATCATACATGCTAAGAAAAATCATAATGTCCTCTCCACAACGTCGCTTATCCCAGCTCTCCAGCATCATGGCGCCAGCCAAAAACTCCACCAGAGCCAACCTGGTTCCAGTGGCCCCGGCCCAGCCGTACAGGGTCTGTGTGATCGGCTCAGGTAACTGGGGGACCACCATCGCCAAGGTGATTGCCGAAAACACCGCTGCAAAGCCTGAGTTGTTCCAGAACGAGGTCAAGATGTGGGTCTTTGAAGAGACCATCAACGGCGAAAAGTTGACCGACATCATCAACACCAAGCACCAGAACATCAAGTACCTCCCAGACATCACCTTACCGACCAACTTGATTGCCGACCCGCTGGTGGTGTCCACCGTGGACCAGGCCGACTTGATCGTGTTCAACATCCCGCACCAGTTTTTGGCCAACGTCTGCAAGCAGATCAAGGGCAAGGTCTTGCCAACCGCTAGAGCCGTCTCCTGTCTCAAGGGCTTGGCTGTGTCGCCGGAGGATGGGTGTCAACTCCTTACCGACTTTGTCGAGGCCCAGTTGGGAATCCACTGTGGTGCGCTCTCCGGGGCCAACATCGCGTCCGAGGTTGCCCTCGAAAAGTGGTCTGAAACCACCATCGGGTACACCCTCCCGGCCGACTTCCGCGGCCCTGGAAAGGACATTGACGCGGCCATTTTGAAGGCCACCTTCCACCGTCCGTACTTCCATGTGCGTGTGGTGGAGGATGTGCCGGGTGTGTCGATCCTGGGTGCCTTGAAGAACATTGTGGCGATCGCCGTGGGTTTCGTCGAGGGCTCCGGTTGGGGTTCCAATGCCAAGGCCGCCATCATGCGCATTGGGTTGATTGAGTCCATCAAGTTTGTGCGTTTCACCGGCTACGGTGACTGCTCGCAGACCTTCACCTCCGAATCCGCCGGTGTCGCCGATTTGATCACCACCTGCTCCGGGGGCCGTAACGTGAAGATCGGTCGCCATATGGCTGCCACCGGAAAGTCTGCCTGGGAGTGTGAGAAGGAGTTGTTGAACGGACAGTCATCCCAGGGGATCATCACCGCCCAGGAAGTCCATGAGTTCTTGCTGCACAAGGGCGCCACCGCCGAATTCCCGTTGTTCGAGGCCACCTACCAGATCATCTTTGGAACTGAGAGAATCGAGAACTTGCCACACTTGTTGGAGGAGAAATAAGCCCCTAGACATTCATTCACCCTTCATTATGCACTTGCTTTTGCCGTTTATATACTTTTGTAATGCTATCTAATATATTTTATCCGTAACAGGCATATGGGTGGACGGGATTAGTGTGTAGGGTAGGGGTTTTGGTGTATGAGCAGCACACGGCCACACTAGTGTTCCAGTACCTTTTCACGTGCTCTCGGACAAGAAACGTTCTAAACCGATTCGAATTGATACGATTTATTAATGGAATCCGACGTTCAAACACCGTAAATCGCCAGTAGGTGGCGGTTTTCGTCCGCCATATCGCGTAAGCCTTCCCAATTTAAAGATTTGTTTATTTGCAAAAGGTAAAGTCAGCGGCAAGCTTCGTTCCTCATGGCCCAATGGTCACGGCGTCTGGCTACGATTTGTAACCACTTCTGGAACCAGAAGATTCCAGGTTCGACTCCTGGTGGGGAAGCTTACCTTTTTATATTTCAGGGAGGCTGAGGTTAATGGTTTTCAGTATAGGCTCTATCTAGAACTCTTATACCCTTACAATTTGGAGGTACTTGAGCCCAATATGCTATAGCGGACGCATAAATGGTATTGGGGGTATTCAAAGTAACCGGGTTTCCCGGACTAAACCCGAATGTTTCGGATTTTCCATAGAGAGCCCACACACTGCACACTACCTCATCCAAAATATATCGCTTTCTAGGAAAACGCTGAGTTCACTAAGGGATTGCACTCATGGTGGTGGACTTACAAGGCAATAGGCCGATCAAACCTCAGGTTAAATTCCTGCGGAGGGGGCATCGGCCTAACTCGGTACCATTATACATTCTTACTCATTGGATTTCAAGTAGACACAGCCAGTGTAACACCGGCGCTCGCTATCTACATTTCAGGTCAGATACCAGTCAGCATGATACATTCAAACTCGTAAATTATCAGACACAAAGACTGTGTACTATACATTGATAATTAGCACGGATGGCCATCCCTCTTCCCCCAAGCAAAAGCTACGCTCTCACCTTTATTCTCAAACGTGCTGTCTCTCACACGTTTTAAAATATATTCGACATCGCCCCAATTGCGTCATAATTAATCTTCTTCGAAAGCTTCTTCGGCAAAATCGATCTCGCCGCGCCAGCAATGCCACCGTACTCGGTCGCATCTTCAATTGCCTTCTTCACCAAGTCTTCGTCATCCACAGACCGCTTCCGCTTGCGTCTCTGGCTCGGGGTCTGCGAGTGGCCGGCCGCCTCGTCGGACTCGGCCTTCAAGCGCTTCATCTCCTGGTCGAGTAAAAACTCCTGGTTGAGACCCGTCCACACGCGTTCCTTCAACTTCGACTCCTCCTCCGTGAGAAGAAACCCTTCGAGCTCCTCATCCTCCACGTCGTCAAAATTCTCCGGATCCGAGCGCACGAGCGCGAGCAAGTCTGCTGACTTGGGCAAGTTCTTCACGAGGTTGCGCGGGGTTTGCGCCATGATCATCTTCTCCACCTCGTCGAGGTGACCGTGCACAGCGGCGCTATAGTTAGGCTCGAGGCCTGCGCTGGCACGCTTGGTGGCACGGCGCGTGACGCGCGCCAACTGCTCCTTGATCTCCTTTTCAGACAAGTCACAGTCGTTCAAGATGTACTGCAAAATGGGGTCACTCTGGACCTGAGTTTCCAAGGGCGACGCAAGTTCGCGCACCCGCTGCTGCTGCGCCGCCAAGTCCTTTTTTCTGTTGCGCGTGAAAGACGGTGGTGCCAGAGGTTCGACCTTGTCGCTGCTGCGGAACTCCGCGATCGACAACTTCCCCGAGTTGGTCTTCTTGAACTCGTTCAAGCGGCGCTGTAATGTGTCCTCGCCAACGTGCGCAACCGCAACAATCTCTGCGTGCGTACGGCGGAAGTTGTTCATACGCGCAGCAAGCAAGACGCAAGCGCCGGCAATGCCCGCGGGACGCCTCCCTTCATGGATCCAATCGTCTGCCATGCGCCCTGCGAGCTTAACCGCGTCGCGCACAACCTTGATCTTCGCATCACCAAACTCTAGCTTCTCCGCAAAGTGCTGAATAAACAAGGAAGGATCAGCGAGCGGCAAGGAAGTGATGTGGAGCGCCTTGACCATCTTCAAGAACGTGGCCCCCACGGAGTACACCGAAATCTGCAAGCGCGACGAAAAGTCGATCAACATGTGATGGGTCTTTTCCTTACGGCATGCAACGTATAAACAGGCCGCCACCACGTTCTGTGAGCGGCGCCCCTGCACAAAGTTGTTGGTCAACGCGAGCTGGAACCAGTGGAACGCAGCCTCGTGGATATAATCAGGGATCTTGAGCGCGGCCGCGACGTTCTTGATGCGGCGGCGCCCGTTCGCTAACGTCTGTTCGCGCGACTCCATGGACGAGCCGCGCCCGCCACCGAAGTTTGCGTGCGCCTGGTCCCCGGCAACCATCGTCCCGTGTGCGACAGCAGCCCCAGAAGACGACTCTCCGTATGTCACCGCGGAGACAATCGGGTTGTCTTCGAGCACCGTCCCGCACACCACGCACGCCGTGTCTTGCGACGCAGTTTTCTGGTCCGTGCTGAATTCCGTGCCACCGCACTTTTTACAAATTCGCTTTGTCATTGTGTGTGAATGTGGTGTGTGATAAAGTTGGGTTGTCTGCCTTTTGATTTCGTGTAACCGGTAAAAAGGGTTGAGGGGGTATTTGTGCTGGTCTGCTGTTTATATTTGCTGCGGATGGCCAGATGTGTTCAGTTGCTGAGCAAATGGTGATGGCTCAGGAGAACGTAATCAGATGTAAACAAAGGGAGTAAACAAATAACGGATATACAGTGGAACAGACTGTGTGTAATAGCAATGAAGCTCAAGTTTTACCGAGGATTTGAGTTGTTTTGTGAGATGTTGACAATAAAGTAGCCGCTGGTTAAAAAAAAATTTAAAGCCAACAAGCAAAAAGTGACATGTCCGCCTCTCTTGGAATTTTTCTCTGGGGCGAATGTCGAGGCCCCTGGGAAATTGGAGCTTTTCGGCGCGCCTGAAATCGTCAAGGTGGACGAGTGTGCGGGACGGCGCATGATAGACGAAACCCTGCTCAACCATGAAATGTAGGTAGGGGGCTACGTCCGCAAAATGGGATAAAAGTGAGAAATATTGTATTAAAGTATTCTCTAGCTTGAATACAGATATTGATTGTTTTTTAGGGGTGTTTTTATGGGCAATTTGGTCACAAATAATGTATTTGGTAACGAGCGCAAGCAGGATTCGAACCCGAAACCGAACAAGCTTCGTGCCGCTCGCTGTGGAGTGCAGAGACAAGCTGCACGAACGGGTAATCCCTGTCACACGCGAGAGTCTTTACAGTAGATGGGAAAACCGTAGGAGCAACTGCTGTAGTTGCAATTATAGACCTATAGCTCTAAGCGCAAGTTGATAGAGGATATTTGTCTAATTTGACTCAATAAATATATTAATGCGTACAGGTCGCAGCTGAATCGCGTATCCCACCCGGGATAAAATTTTACCAAGCCAGCCTCGGTAAATTCGACGCTGCCTACGGCCTTCACTGCGAATCCTGTTGATCCTAAATTCTAGAAAATACGACAATATAAATCTCTGCGAATCATATAGATACCTCTATTTAGTCAATCTGATCATAACCATACGGTGGAAATCATCCCCATGCTTTACGGTTTCCGCCTGCGGGACGTACAGCTCGAATATACACGTGCCATGCACGTGGCTAGCCCTTCCCGCCTCCGGTAGACCCGAGCTGTCTTCTTCCGTGCCCCTTAGTGTCCCCCACCCCGAAAAACGCTTCCCTGGCCCCCGAAAGTTTTTCTGCTTTCGGGTCGCGCGTTCCCAATAGGCCATAAAAGTGAACTGGTTCCCCGATTTGTTTTAAATTGCCTCTTTCAGCACCATACATATCACCAGTGTTTGTTGACTGAATCCTCCAGGCACATACACCAATACCCCCTTGCTTATCAATCCAATACCCTATTAGAGTATGTATTCCCGCCTTCTGTTACAAGGCTCTAGTGCTTCACATGGATGTGTTGTTGGTGGTTGTGTAAACAACCGCAAGTCTCCAATGGGTAATTTTAGCGATACTGTTTACCCTTTTGGGACGAAGACACATGGAGCGTATAATCTTGCACGCCCACCATCAGCCCAGTGACGGCCGTCAGGGAAGGTATTTTCCATTCTGGTAACACCTGCCGTCCCGTGAATCGGCAGCCATCCCGGGCTAATCCCAACCACCTGTCTCCAGTACTAACCGCTCAGATGTCGGACCTTGACCCAGTCAAATTAGAAAGCGAAACCCACGCGGAAGCCCCAGAAGATGAGCAATTGGGCATTCCAACCACCAACGACGATGCTGGTGCTGGCGCTAAATTCGCGTCGAACGCCAGCATCATGGACGATGACGATGACGACGAAGCCGGCACCGGTGGCAAGTCCACCGCTCGCGAAAGACGCAAGATCGAGATCAGATTCATTCAGGACAAGTCCAGACGCCACATTACCTTCTCCAAGCGTAAGGCCGGGATCATGAAGAAGGCCTACGAGTTGTCAGTATTGACCGGTACGCAGGTGTTGTTGCTTGTGGTCTCCGAGACCGGTTTGGTCTACACCTTTACCACGCCAAAGTTGCAGCCTTTGGTCACCAAGCCAGAAGGTAAGAACCTCATCCAGGCCTGTTTGAACGCTCCTGAAGAGTCCAACGGCGCCGACGAGGACGAACCACAGTCCAGCGCGCCTACCCCACCGCCGCAGCAGCAGCAACAACAACAGCCACATCCAGACCAGGTGGCCTACCAGCAGCAGCAGCACCATCTCCAGCAGCAACAGCAAGCGGCCGCCGCTGCCGCTGCCGCTGCTTATGGTGCTCCCCCAGTCCCTGGTGCCCAGGGCTACGGTGGTCCAGTTCCTGGTAACGATAACACTGCTGCCTACCAGCAGTACTTCAACCAGATGCAGAACCAGGCCGGTAACCCGCAATTCTAAGGACAGTTTAGACTTTCGTGGTTGTTTTTGTGAGTGTAGTTATCATGTTCTATTGTCTTTTGTATTTTATCTTTATTTAAGTGGTGCGTACCCTTTACTGATACGTAACCTGTTATAATTTATCTGTATTTCGGGGGGAAAATGGCTCCACATCCTGACTGGGGTTTCCTCGGCGCCACTTTGGTTAGCGCTGTACACCCCTTCAATACGGGCACACATTGTGCAATGGAATGGTATCTCCGTCGCTACAAACTTTCATACAATACGCAATTACTGCCAATATTAACCATTCAAATGGTCTTTTATGATTCTATCTATAATTTACATTGTAACTAAATAGCCTCCAGCATCGTCTGCTGGTCCTAAGCTAGTGCCCACGGCAAATGACGTCACGTATTGCCCAAGCCACGTACTTTTTTCGGTCTAAATCCCGCCCGGAAAAAAAAATACCTCAACATGCAGCCACCTTCTGGACTAGTAGCCGGTAGACATCCATGCGCTATAGAAGGTTTCAGGGGTAGCGAAAAATACGGGCCTTACGGCCCACTTCCAACTAATAGGTATACGTTTATTTATACGAATATAAACAAAAGTTAAAAAATATTAAACATTAATGACCCGGAAACAACAAATAGTAAGAAAAAAAAGTTATAATTAAATTCGACCAAAAATTTAAGAATAGTAATAGTAGTAGTAAATGACAGCAAAAAAGGAAAAACGTGATAGTGGAGGAGGATGGATATAGGTTGAAAACGTCAGCAAGCTGCAAACACAGCAATACACATCTCTTCGTTCTTCGTTTGTGAGGCCTCGTTTCAAATGAGGTTTGAAGGGAAACTTCGGTACCCGGAAAGACAAGGCAGATCGAGCATTGCAAACCGAGCATGGCGAATCGAGCTTAAAAGTAGCGGCCAAGCCGCGTAAAGACACGGGCGGTGGAATTGAAAGGCTGCAATACACAGCAAATAGAGACCACAAGCCAGCCAAAACAATGAGCCCAGCCAAAAGCACACCAGCAAAAGACAAGGGGTGGAAACAACAACCACAGAAGGAGAAAGAAGAGGGAGAGCACCGCGGAGCGCACAGGCAGACCGGCGATTATCAGGGGAGATTGGTATGGAGAAAAGAAGCAATGCAAGGTGAAAGACGGGCTGCTGGCAGCACCGCAATCAACCATCTGTCTTAAACCATTTAGAAGTTACCAGAGTTGGACTTCTTCTTCTTACCGAAGATGGCCTTGTACAAACCAGTAAGGACCAAACCGGCAACGACAACCCCAACGAGGCAGATAGCTAAAATTGGACCTGGAGGCATTATGATGGTATAAAAAAGTGGATAAACAAGAAACTTGTGTAAGATAAACCTTTTTTATGAGGAAAAGAGAAAAAAATATTTCAAGCGGGTCAGTTTTTCATTTTAGCCAAGGGGGGATTCTTAGGATTTATAAGAACGAGGAGAGAGGGGAGGCCCGACGCACGCTGATTGAGTAACAATAACATAGGGCATAATGGGTCGAGCGAAAAATAAATTAAGACGGAGAACAAAAGAAATTCTACACCTAGGTGTTTATCTTTAAGCTGGCGGCCACCGGTATCCGGGCAACGCTGGCGGGATGTAGTTCGTCGGAAGCAGTACCGACCAAAAAGCTGAGACTGCTAAAATCTCTCACGTTGTATAGAAAGGCCACCACCCTCGGAAATACCCTCGGAAATTATATGCAAACTTGCCTGTTTCGGCGCCGCGCATGGACGATACTACACCTCGCACAGAAATAACTGCGCTAGTGGCCTAATTGGGAGTCGGAAGTGCATTTCCACCCTTTTATCGAGCCGCTTTGTGTGGAATTGTTTGTTTGCGCGGAGTGCAGCCACCGCCGATTGCGAGCACGGTGGCAGGTCTTGTCTCTCCGCCAGCCGCGTCATACTCACTTAAATCACTCAAACGCTATACATATCCGCAGTTACCCTCCTATCCACCGGGGCAGAGCACTAACGTCAGCTCCCTCTTGCATTATTCTCGAGGGGTTTTCTCCTCACCTGTTAACAAAAAGGCTTACAGCGCTGCTCCGAAATAGCCTCGTGTGAGCCGGTGTGTTTCGGGACTAGGTTAAGCAACCGGCATCGCTATCACTGACGATTGGGGTACCGCTGAGGTTCTCCTCCCAGAAAGGGTTACGAATATCGGATCATCCGGGAACTTTAAAAAAGGTTTGTGTATCTCGAGGGGGTACACCTTGCACCAGCTAGGTGGTTGAAGGATTGTGTTTTATGTAGGAATAATGCTTAGCCGTTTCCCATTTATTGTCTTGAGCCCACGAGGGACATATCAACGAGGGACGTACCCACGAGGGACGTACCAACGATGATAGTACTGAAACGAACGTACCTAGTCAACTACCCGGATAGTTTCCCAGTTATGCGCGAGTCTTGCAGTAATGCGCTTAGGTTCTGAGAATGGCCTGCAGCCGTTTATGCATATTCCCGACATGGCGTTCAGGCTATTTAGCCTCAAGCCTCGCATGAGGCCAGTGTACCGAAACCCCAATCCATGAGAGCTGCTGTATATAGATTAATTGGTTGCATGGTTGAAAGATGTAATTGGGAATAATATATAGCGAGTTAGGCAAAAAAGGAAATCTCCACTGCATCACGCTCACCCCGCGCATTGTTCCCCGCTAAATCTATGCATTAAAGGAAGTACTAGACAGATCGGATAATGTTGACATTCCGCGGTACGCCAAGGCCTTCTCCCTCACACCAGGTGACGTAATATCGTCATCTTTGGAGTATATAAGAATCTTCTTGCATTCCTCTTGGTTATATACACCTGGTGTGTGATCCAAGCAATAATCCTGTTCAGCCTAGCCAAGATTCACTTTAGAAATATGTCTTCGGCTTTAGCTATATATACGACTTACGTCCATACTACGGGCACTAGCGTTCGCCTCCCACTAACAGCGGCAACCCCAGTGGGAAGCTGTATTTTACTGTATTTTTAGCCATAGCTGTGTATGTTTCAGTCTTGGTGCATGGCGGTCCGTCGGAAGCAAGCAAAGAAGTTATATCCGACGAAGTTGATGTGGTTTAGTTAGACAACCAGCAATCACGAAGCTGCCAACTTGATTGGCGAGTTAGATTTCACGGTGTTCCAGGATTCCAACCGAGTGAATTTCACAGTTCTTGTTAGAGAGCGTCGTATTCCCGATAACAAACGGGTCCTTGGCAAGACGTTAGAACACGGGGAATGTTCCGTTGGATAAGCCCCATATATGCACTGGCTGTTGAAGGAAAGAGCTCCAGAACTCATCACGCCTATCGACGATGGCAATATCCCCACCGGTTATCCTGTTGGGGCCACTAGCAAAATTCAAGCCTCCGGTTTCGGTTTATTATTCTCGCAGCTCCTACAAATAAAGTAAGCCGATTTAGAGCGATTAAGAGGTCCAAAGCAAAGAGTAGAGATCAAAATAAAAGTATAGTTGGGAGAAAAATTAAAGGTTGCGGAAACCCACCCATAATTGTGGGTCTGGATGGGGGATGTGATTAACACCAGAACAGGTAGATTCGGTAGTACAAAGGAGAGTTCTTCAAGCGATTCCGCTCTTCGGCAATCTCTTGCTTCAACACCTCAATGTCGAGTTCCCTTCTACCAGTGTCAATATCCATATCCTTAGCCTTGATGTAGAAAAAGCTCCACTGCCCCTTGTAGGTCTTCATACCTGCATAAAGAACAATTACCAAAGGCAACGACAAACAGTTCTGGAAAAAGGTAGTAACGGAGGCCGAGCTGGACCCGACGGGATAGACGGAGATCCAAATTTCACCCATAATGAGTAAAAAGTTGATCAAAAGGCCGTAGTACGACCCCCAAACCCCAAGCTGGGCTTTGAACGGAACCTCTTCCAACCCTCTGTTCTGGACGTAAAGCGCACGTCTGAAGCGAATGTGGGACAAGCAAATCATACCCCAGGTAAAGAAAGAAGCAAGGGAGCAGACTGAAAAAAACCAAGTAAAGACCGTGTCACTGTTTCCGGAAGCCACAAGGAAACAGAGTAGCCCGAAAGTATCCGTAATGATAATCGCCACTAAAGGTCTCCCAGCTCTGTCAATATAGCCCACGATCTTTGGCAACTGCCCCTGCACCGCCAACGCAGCCAAGGTTCTGGAGCAACCGTACACAGAGGAGTTACCCACAGACAACACGGAGATCAAGATAACCGCATTCATGATATGTGGAAGCACCTTAATCCCACTATTGTTGATGGCAATAACAAAGGGAGAAGCGGCAATGTCTTCACTCGTGGTCCCGCTCAATAACTGATTGTCGGTGTAAGGAACCAAACAGCCAACAATAATGACGGCCACCACGTAGAAAATGGTAATTCTCCAGAAAACCTGTTTGGTGGCCTTAGGAACCGCGACACGTGGGTTGCGGGTTTCGGCAGCGGCAAGACCAGCCATCTCGGTACCACCAAAACTGAAGGCAGCACTGATGAAAGAGGAACACACACCCTTAAACCCGTGGTGAAAGGCACCGGGATTGTGCCAATACTTACCACCAATGTACCCACCCTGAGGGCCACCGCCACAGATAATGACAATCCCAACGATGATGAAGCCCACCACCGCGACCACCTTGATCATTGAGAACACAAACTCCGCCTCACCGTAGCCCCTGACACCGAAGAAGTTGATAATCACGATAGCCACAAAGAAGATGGCGACCCAGGCGACCGGATCAATCGAACTGTTCCAAAACTGAATGGTGATGGCACACGCAATGATCTCTGACGGTAAGGAAATCAACCACGACAAGGCGTAGGTGATACCAATGACGAAACCGATGGAAGGATCGATGAAACGAGAACAAAAGGCAGAGAAGGCACCAGAGACTGGGAAACAGGTGGCCATTTCACCTAACGCCTGGACCACACAGTACAAGGAAGAGCCAACAAGCGTGAAGCCAATCAACGTCCCTGCAGGGCCGGCCTGAGAAAGGGCGTAGCCCAAACCAATGAACAAACCGGTACCGATGGAACCACCGATGGCGATCATCTGCAAGTGTCTGTTCTTCAAGGACCTCTGCAAGGGGTGCTTGGCGGTAGCGTAGACGGCCTTTTCCATCTCTGACAACTCCGACAAGTCGATACCATCGTCTTCGTTGAGATTCATAGGCTTGAATGAATCCTTGAACTTCTGCCATTTCCCACGGTTATCAGGGACCGTGTCGAGTGAATCAAGGTCAGAGAACAGCTGGCTGCGGTAAGACTCCAGTCCATTTGCGGCGGTTTTTGGTCGGGAGAAGTCGTTTCCGCTGGAGCTTGAAGTGTTCCCTATGAAGGCTTCTTTGGTGGGGGAATCCTTGCGGTCTGACATTACTGAAATCGGTTCGTGCTAGTGAGTAAACTGCCGCGGTAGCGCTCTGTTCAAAGCAACGGTGGTAGTATATATACCGGGGACACAGATACAAGGGTTTGACCGAAAATTTCAGTCAACTATTTCCAGTGGTTTCAAAAATGGTTAGCGATGGAATATCGCAATCAAAGTGTGGCTTGAAGGATGTTAGGTTTGGCATATGCCCTCGACGGGCGTCGACAGCCACAGACGATCATGCATCTGCAATCTTACTGTTTTCACTCACCGTCGATCTCATTGCGTAACACGCACGGAAACGCGACATTCTCATTTGTGGTACGGACATAGGTCGTGGATCCATCCTTGATGCGATAACTTGCAGTATGGTGGCATGCAGGTGCGAAACTTGCAACACAGTTTGGAGCTGTTGACTTAGTGCCTGCTTGACCATTCTTTCGGATAAATTTTGTTCCAGTGCTGGACTATCAGGGTGTTGAAGATCACTCCAAGAGCAAGCTTCAAACTGAGGATGTGTCAGGGACTGTAAAAGCCGGCGGCCATGAGCTTCATCCCAGTAAGCATGGTGATTCGCAATATGGTGCATAATGTGCGTAAGAAAATTTTGCATGCATACGGGAGTGTTACACCCCGTTTGGCTGGGAGAAGAGCTCGTCCAAAGGAGATTTTGGAGTATAGCAACATACTTCTGGGTATTGGAAGTTCCCACTAAAGCTGCTCTTGGAAAATCCCCAGTCTTGGCGATAACGCATACGGATGTCAGGATTTAGACCGGCTAAAAAGGTGATTTTGTCGTTTAGGCTATCTATATTTTTCGTTTACGTTTGGTCTTGAGTGTTGGAGTTTCCCTTCCTGGTTACTTACCCTTTGATATTATGTCCGTATATGGTATGTCGACACCGCTGATCATAGATCATTACGAGTTGTTACCAAGAAACACCACGTGTAAATTATACATGGGATTTACCTTTGCCAGCCAATTCTCAAGAATGGCGGAAATCATTTAAGCGTTGGCTCTCCGGCAAATATCAACGGGGATTTTTATTTAGCACAAGGGCTTTAGTCATGGTATATATGTTAAACAAGAATAAATATAAAGTTTCATAGGTATCGCAGCTATTACAGGTTGATATTTTTGTATTGAGGGATGAGTTTATCTGTAGTTTATGTTAAGATTGGAATGAGTTATATAAATCTGGAGAATGTTTAATATTTTAGCACCATTGGAAATTGTAATTTATACAAAAATTGCGATAATATATATATGTAAATAATTTATAATAAATACAATGTATAATATTAAAATCGAGCACTTTTTATCTTAGCATGTACGGGAAAAGACTTATACTATATTAATAATAGTTAATATTACATGCTTCTATCCTGGTTGGTTTGTAATACCTAGGAACGAGAATCACACATTACGCCGTTCTTTTTCCATCCAGCGGCGGCTTTAGCTCAGTTGGGAGAGCGTTAGACTGAAGATCTAAAGGTCCTGTGTTCGATCCACAGAAATCGCATATGTTTTTGCAAATTATAATACCTCTTTGTTCTTATCCACCTGATTGGGACTCATATGACCGTTATATGCTCGAATCACTTATTTCTTTGCTTTGGGGTTCTGCATGATTTTCATAGGAGCAGGAGTAAACTCAAAAAAAAAAAAAAAAAAAAAAAAAAAAATTCTTGATGAGAACTTTAGATGTTAGGATCTTCCATAAAATCCATTGTAAGATAAAAATTAACTCTGATACCGGGAGCCTAACCCGGGTTGGCTCGGTGAAAGCGAACTGTGCTAGCTGTTACACTATATCGGATGATTAATAACAAAAATAAACACAGTACTCACCCGACTCCGATGGGTAGCACCCACTATTCGCTATACAGCGATAATAATGTACAGAGTTGCTGCCATGTTTGACCGAACAGCAACACCCCTCCACTTTGCCGTATCTGGTCTATACCTACATACTCCTGGGACTTGAATCCAGAGAGGCTTTTACCGGTCAGTCTTCCCTAAACCCAATGATACCGCCAAGGTTAATAGCCCAAATGAGAAGCCGGAACGAGAAGCCCGAACACGAAGCCGGAATGCGAAGCCGACTTCGGTGCAGGCCATTATCTCCCTAATTCGGAGTCAGAAACTTTTTCATTTTCGACCCCCAAATTCTGTGTCCTGTTTGGAGGAAAACCTACCCGGCGTGGCAGGGAAAATCTGGCGAAAAAGAAAAGGATTGTCGAGAACAGTGTCCAACTTTACCACCAACTTGGAAGTGTACCCTCGGCAAATAAGACGCTGCCATACTCCATCCAACATTCACCCCGACGTTTCTCCAACATTCACCCTCTGAAGTTCCGTCTTGAGCTTGCCCTACATTCCCTGTATCAACAACGATTTGAATCCGATATCCCCTGATTTTCAAACGCGGGATTTCCAGCTTTTATTTACATTCACGTTGAGCCCCTCACGTATCTCATGCTTTAGAGTATGACCTTAGACGTCCCTCTTGACCCTTCCCAGCACGACCCCGACCAGTTGATTAAGTATTTGGAGACGCATCTGGCTCCCGCTTACTATAAAAAAAACCTTTTGGACGCCTCTAACAGAACCAGCACCGCGGCCACACCCCACTCCCGCGCAAGTAGCACCAACTCACCGTTCACCAACACAAACCCCTCGTCTCCTAAGATGCCCGAAACCGGCCCTACGTCCACCATGGCGCCTGCAGCCGTCATATACAGCCCAAACAACACGCCGATATCGCTCCCGAGCGCGCCCGTGGAGCAGCCGTTCTACGTGAACGCGAAGCAGTATCACCGCATCCTCAAGAGACGGATCGCGCGCGCAAAGTTGGAGGAGAATTTAAAGATTGCCCGCTGTAGAAAGCCGTACTTACACGAGTCCAGACACAAGCACGCGATGAGAAGACCTCGTGGCCAGGGCGGCCGCTTCTTGACCGCAGCGGAGATTGCTGAGCGCGACAAGTTGGAGAAGTTGAAGGAGTTGAGTGAACAGCACCAGCAGCACCAACAGCAATTCGGTCAGAAGCCCAAGGTACCGGCGAAGGACAAACCCGAAGATGCGGATTTGATCGCCCAGGTATTGCAGGAGAACGGGATTCCGGAGGTTAAGCACAAGAAACCCGAGACCGAGATGAACCCTGTGGTGGCGACGGTGTTGGTGTCTGAGCTGCTTCCCGAGAGCAGTTCCTCGGACGATGCCAACGTCGCGGTCTCCGACACCACCACCACGACCGAGGGTACTCCGCTTGCCGCAATGGATGGCTTAGACTTGTTGCAGGGTGCCAGCGCCGTTCCACCAAAGGATTTGGATGTGGACTTTGACGTTGAGACGCTCATCAAGCAAGAAGAGGAGGCGCAGAAGTTGCGGATGAACCAGCAGACCGCCTTGACCCAGGATTTGGCGTAGCAGGCCGACGTTTATACATCTCGCCGTGTTTTGCTACCGCTAGGTTGAGGCCTAGAAGTAGTACCGTTGTACATATCCTCGCGGCGATCCCATCCTCCAAAGTCTTGAAGTTTTCAAAACCTATCCAAAATTTCCGTTTTCTTACCGCTCTTTTCCTTTCATGATCTAATGTTTTCTGACTCTTTTTATATCCCTTGACGATCCTTTTGTAATATTTTCCGCTTTTCCACTCACTGAGTAATGAATAAAAACAAAATCCAACACTGTAAGTGGCCCGTCCAGACTGAACTTCAAAGGTGTTGGGTATAGCTAGAATCTATCGTTTATAGCCTGTGTATTTTCACCCAACCACGTTGGCCGCTGATGAATTAAAGAAAAAATGGCCTCAAAAAATGAATATTTGGCTAACCAGTTTCATTGAAATGCAGGGATTGGATTTGCGCCTTCCTACTATACACATCCACCGTAAATTCCCAGCCGTGCCTCTAACCATAAAATATAGAGACCAAAATATCGCATGACAAACACAACTATAAGCTATTTCTCGACACGTTCTTCACCTTCCAACCTCAAATATCGGTGGGATTGGTTCGGCTTTATAACACATCAAACGTGATCATCCCTCTTCTGCTATCCAACATCTGTGGCGCATATTGGGCTATGCATGAAATAGGTGTATACATTAGCATGGCCCCCAACAATTGAATAATGTATATACTAAACATAAACATTGCTCAATTAAAAACCTCTTAAACCTCTTAAACCTCTTAAACCTCTTAAACCTCTTAGACCTCTTAAACCTCTAAAACCTCTTAAATCTCTAAAATTTTCTAACAAATATATCTTTCCCCCCTGGGGCTCTCCAACTTTCATATCGGACTAACATCAGTTACCGTATTAGGCAATTATAATCCTGCATCCTTCAACATACTACACAACCTAAAAATAACTCGCGATTCCGCAGAACAGTGAACGAAAAATTTCCTTTTCTCCCAGATCCGATTTGGTCCATCACAACACCCAATACATCTTGTCGATTACAGTTTAGTATAAACCTACTAGCAACATTTGGATATATTCCTTCCCCGTTCAGTAACTATATTGCCAGGTCCAAATTTACCCGTGATACATTCAGTGTACACCTGAACTAAGCCAAGAGGCCATATCCTAGTAAACCTCGATTTATTTGCACACCATGGCGTTTGGCGACTTTTACGACATCTGCAACAACGCAGCCCTCCCGCTCTGTGCGGTGATTGCCAATTCGGCCAGGTACAACAATATGACGCAGGGCGTCACGTTGCCGTTTTCTGATTCAGGCATTTTGCCGATGTGCTACGCCAGAAACGTCGACTTGGCCAACACGATCATTTTCCAGATCGGGAACGCGTTCATCCACTTCGGCGCCATCATCGTCTTGCTCATCATTATCTTCAATGTGCGGGCCAAGTATACGGCGATCGCGCGGAACGAGATGTTGTTCTTCTTCTACTCCTACATCGCCTTAACCCTAACGTCGTTGATCGTGGATTGCGGTGTTGCGGCACCCGGTTCCACCACGTTCTTGTATTTTGCGGCGGCGCAAATCGGCTTTGCGGGCTCTTGCTGCTGGTCGCTCATGTTTTCCGGCTTTCTCGGCTTTCAGTTGTGGGAGGATGGTACCAAGCGCTCTATGTGGCTGATGTGGATCTCCTCCTTCGGGATCTTTGCGCTCAACTTCATCATGGCGGTCGTCACCTTCAACCATTTTGCGGGCACCACCGTGAACAGATCCCACACCATGGGGTTGTTTATTGTGATGTACGTTTTGAACGCTGTCTTCATCTTCATCTACCTCATCTGCCAGATCTGTTTGGCTGTGTTTAGTTTGGGCAACTTGTGGGCGCTCGGCGCCATCGGCTTGGCCGCGTTCTTTCTCATTGCCGGCCAGGTGCTTGTCTACGTTTTCAACAAGACCATTTGTGAAAAGGTCGACCACTACATTGACGCCTTGTTTTTCGGCACCACCTGTAACTTGTTTGCCGTCATGATGATCTACAAGTTCTGGGACGTTATCACCAGTGAAGACACCGAGTTCTCCGTCTCTCCCGTGAAAAACCCGCAGTACACCAGTTTGGCCGGTGGCATATACGGTGGCCAGAACTCCCGAACCGCCTCCCAGTTCTTTGATGTTCCGGACGAAAAGTCTTACAACGGCTACGAACAACGCTGAGTTGTCTATGGGGACCCCGCCCCGATAGCCTCTTGCTAATATGCGTCACGGCACTGAGTTTCTAGGGCATCCTGCGCTAGCCGGGGCCCTGGATCCAACATAACTAGACCCAGAAGGAGGGCTGGAACTAAACCAGGCATTTGCTTTAGTGCCAAGTTTTATATACCCTCAAGAGTGATATGTAGGGTTACAAGGAATAAATATTGAGAATTAACCGTACGCCTGTTATCAAATAAAATACTTAGTAAGCCATCAGCCCACGATATATCGGTTTTCCCAAAAGAACTGGATACTGCCCGCCCCGCAAAATCCTCTTTCTCCATTTTCTACATAAATTCAAAATACGTTACTCATTCCCGTCTAATGGTCGACCTTTAAGGAAAAATCAATGACACCGGTGCCCTGATGGATGGACGACGTGGAGTAGATATCAATATCGTTACTCAAATAGTCGCCCAAGTTGTTAATGTTCAAGCCACCGGAGCACTCCAACAAGAAGTTAAGCCCTGACTGTTCATACTTGGTCTTCAATCTCTTCCCAACCTGCTTCAACTCTTCGGTGGAGAAGTTATCCAACATGATGATGTCAGCACCGTTCTCAATCGCCTCCTCGGCGTCAGCCTCGTTGGAAACCTCGATCTCGATCTTCACGGCGAAGCCACCGACTTCGCGGGCTTTGGAGATCGCATGGGCAATCCGCCCGTCACAGGCCCAGATGTGGTTATCCTTCAACATGATCATACTCGACAAGTCGTAGCGGTGCTGGTCAACACCCCCGACAAGCATGGAATACTTTTCCAAGATGCGGAAACCCGGGGTGGTTTTGCGGGTCCCGGCGATGATGCCCTGGTAGTTGTGTTCGAGAGAGCGGGCCTTGGAAAGGGTCTTGTAAGACTGGGTCGCAATTCCACTCGAACGTGACAAGATGTTCAACGCGGTTCTCTCGGCAATCAACAAGTTCTTCACCGGTCCGGTGACTCTGGCCACAGCCAACTTCTTCACGTCGCTGTTCGCGGTGGTCAAGTATTCACCCTCGGTGAACAACCACTCAACCTCCAAGCCGCACAATCTGAAAACCTCTGCCGCAAACGGAACCCCAGAGAGAATGCACTCGCTGCTTTTCATGAGCAAGGTGGCGCTCTTGACGGCATCTCCCACGACGTATCCGCCGTAATCAAAGGACGGCACGTCCTCCTGTAACCATTCATGAACCTGTGTGGCCCATCTGCCATTTACCGGGAGGAGGTTGGCGGCCTGGATGACGTGGTTGATGCGGGACTGGGTGCTGGACATTGCGGAACAATTGTTTGGTTGTGAAATGGTTAGAGGAAGTGTGGGGGGATCTCAGCGAAACTTTTCACTGGGAGGGGGCTACTAACGTCCAGCCTGCCGCACACCTCCGGGAGTCACGTGTTACGATGCGGCATGCACCCCGGGTACCCCGGGTTTATCGACAAGAAAAGCGAGGTGGGAGGTCTGTATGGGAGGATTGAACCTGGCTGTTTGGTTATGTTTCGGCATTCGACTATACCATGGGAAATAGAGTTGTAACAAGGAGTCTGAATGATGGACCTATAGCAGATCGATGTCACATCCCTGAGATCTAACCTAGTGTGGAATAAATGACACACGCACGACCCGCAAAGGCTAGGAAGGATACCAACAATCTTTATATACCGGATAGATGGAAATGCACGGCTGTATCGTTTGTATACAAAGTTGGGCAGATCTCCAGCCCTTCTAGCACTTTATCTATAAAATTCGACGATGCTGTCAGAACCAACGCCCAAAGAAAAGAGCATCTGGCAGTCGCTATTGGACTCCACGGATGAGGCTTCTCCAACGCGATCCTCGACCAAAAAGACATTGTTCCTTCTAGGGGGCGATGAAAGCGCCCAGGCCTTGTTTGTGGACAACTACTTGTGCAAGCTCCATATCTCCGAGAGAGCCAATACCGAGGCCTCGGTAAAGGTGAAACACCCGGGTTTCTACAACGAGCTCGGGGTGTCGTACCACTACATCCAGTACTTTCTTTCCAGTACTCCAAACTACCAATCAAAAACCGCGCTCGAACTTATGCTTCACTTGGACGTATACGCGGTGGATCAGCGTTCAATCACACGGTCACCAAGCAACATTGCTGCCATGCTACGAGAGGTGTGTTGTGGGAAGGTCCGGGATTTGTTGGTGGTTCCGCTTCTAGATTGGGCCCTGAATCCACAATCCTTCTTACAAGACCTCCGCCAGAGCATCCATGGGGTTGTGGCACCGATTTTTGCGGAGCATAATGACGTTTCCCTTCGTGCCAGAAAGCAGGAAATGGACATTTTTTTCAGCGATAGCGTCGATATGTACCTTTCAAAAGACTTGCGGGACATGAAGCTCCTGGAAGCTGCCGACTCTGATAACCAGGGACGCCGCACCGCGCTGTTTCCGTGCAATATGCTCCTTGTGGCGGTTAATGCCGAGGACACTGAGCGTGTGGAGCGCGTGTGGAGCTCCACTATTGTCGAGTATATTCAGATCGTGTTGCGAATCGCCTCCCTTGCGGTAGGTGGATCTCTTTGCTACTTGCACTCGCAGCCAACCTTGGCCCGGAATGTGACCCAATTCAACGCTTTGATGCATCATTTACTAGGAGTGAGTCTGACTTTCCGTGAGATCCAGGCGGTTAGCAAGCCAGAGCCGGTCTTGAGCGAGCTGGAATTGATCATTCCCGTCGGCTGGGACTCACTCCGAAAAATGGGCATTGCCGTCCTGGAAAGCCCTCAGCTCGACCAGATGATCGGTGAGACCAGCGAAGCGTCGCGGTTATGGGTGGATATGGTAACCCGGGGTGAGGCAAACAGTCTTTCAGAAGCATATGCCGGATTTGTTCCAGGGCTGACTGACATGGCGACACTGCCAATCGAAACGGTTCCCGACAACCAAGTTCAGCAGAGCAACCAGGAACAATACCAGAGCTTCTTACACAAGCTCTCGCTCATGGCACAGAGTTCCGCTGCCGATTTCTTACCCGCCAGCGACATAACCGAGACCGACGAACACGATATATTACGAGAAATTTCGGAGCGCCGGGTAGCCGGGTTTACCAGCACACCAGATGAGCATTCGAAGAGCGACAAGGAGTTGGCGGCGGGCTACTTTGACAAGTTGGTCACCAACAGCGAGATTTAAATGTTTAGCGTGTTGCCAGAGAGACTTGTGGCACTTTCAATGGTGGCAGGTGGAGACTCGCTCTCCCCCTAGATTTGATCGAGAGACAATAGAAACCTCGTTTATTGCTTTCCGAAAAGTCACCAAGATCTGATAAAGCATTAACCACTTGCCAAGGTGATGCAGCTACTTTTTCAATTCTCCCGTCGAAAGCCATCGGTATCCTGAGAGATATCATACAGGTGACGATCTTGAAGCAATAAATGCATAAAAATATCACATACATGCCTCTGACTTCTTAGCTAGAGGTACTAAAATTATACACCACACCCACTCCGGAGGAAAAACTCCAAACGCTTGAGAGCCGCAGACCCCAAACAGCCTCCTTACCTCGTATAGGGTAGATATCGATACATAACGTAGGCAATAAGCCAGCACCTTGATCGCAACCAATAACACACCTACAAAGTCAAAAACTTTTTTTTTCTAGAGCATCGATATTTATAATCAGGTGTTTATGCCCAACCAAATGCGGCAAAACGCGATGCTGCCTGTTTTGGACGCGAACGTGATCGAGAGATAGTCAGGACACAATGGCTTACAGGGGTCCAACCTCCCAATCTACATTATTATCTTACTCCGGAGTCATTCCCCGGATATCACTAAATCCTTCACCAATCCTTTGCCAATTCTTTGCCAATCCTTCACCAATTCTTTACCAATTCTTTACCAATCCTTTCAGCACATTGTCATACGCGTGTCCGGTATACTCACGTTTTCTTTTTCGGAAAAAAATCAAGCTTGACGCCCAGCTTTGCCGTTGAAGCGTACCACCAAAACTTGCCGCCATGTCCAATGTCGACAACTCGTGTCTATCCTCGAAAGGCACGTCTACCGAGCAGGACGTCCATACGCAGGTCGCCAGACTCAGCCTTTCCCAGCCCGACACAGACCGCCGCGAAATCGCGTCGTATCTCAGAAACATCAAGGCCGAGAAAGCGCTAAAAAGAGAAACGGTTGCCAACCCCCCCACCTCCACCAGGTCAATCACTACAATGAACGGTTCAGCCAGGTCTCCCGTTCCACATGGAGCTTCGGCTCCTGGAGGCCCCGAAACTGCCTCTGAAGCTATGACCAAACCCAAGAGAAGACGCTCGTCTGTACAATCGCTCAGCGCCACGCGCAAGAAAAAATTCTTGGTACCGCCCACGATCAAATACGATCCCAACTATGCCAGAAAAAAGATCTCGGTCAGCGACTTGCGCGACCTCATCCTTCACATGCTCTGCGAGTCGTACCTGAACATCCCACCGCCCACTTGGTGCACCGTCACCAACCGCGCGCAGATCCAACACGTGGTTTTTTTGTTCGTTCCGGGCTTGCAGCCGCGCCACTTTGGCCATACGGACTTTGTCAAGACCGTCAGCCCTCAGCGCGTCGCGCCGCCGTGCGAGCCGCGTGAGGACATGCCGTTTTTTCGCGCCACCTTCGACACCGTCTGGCCCGTGGTTGCGCCGGGCAGCAAGGAGACGCTCTTCTCCAGCATGCACGCATTGACGAACGTCCCGCTCACAAAGAAGGAAAAGGACAAGTTGAAGAGGGATCCGGCGTCTACCAAGCGCTTGGTGTTGCCTGATTTGCTCATGACCCATGGCCAGATGACCGCCAATGAGTATCCGATTCATTCGGAGATGGGCCCCGAGGGCCCCAAAGCTCATGGTTGGGTCGAAACGGTAAAGTTCTTCCATGAGGGCTCTCATACCTTTGCACTCGACTGTGAAATGTGCCTTTCCGCGTCCGGGAAGGTGTTGACGCGAATTTCGCTTGTCGACTTTAACGACAAGGTGCTCATTGACGAGTACGTCAAGCCCGCGGAGCCGATTGTGGACTATCTCACCCGGTACTCGGGGATTTCAGAAGCGATTTTGGCCAACGTCACCACCACGTTGGCCGATGTCCAACAGCTCTTGCTCAGGACCATTTCCGCGGATGACGTGCTCATCGGTCACTCGTTGGAGAGCGATTTGAACGTGTTGAAGGTGACGCATCCGAGAATCATCGACACGTCTATCGTGTACGAGCACGTGCGGGGGCCGCCGGCTAAGGCGTCCCTTAAGCATCTCGCGTCAAAGTATTTGAACCGCGAGATCCAGAACAACGGCATACACGGGCACTCGTCGGTGGAGGATTCCCAGGCGTGCATGGACCTTGTAAAGTTGAAGTTGGTCAGCGGTGACGCGTTTGGACGCAATGTCAGCGATATCTCGTTGTTCAAGAAGTTGCATTCAGATAAAAAGCGCCCGAATCGCAGCTTGGTCTTGGACGGCTCCAGTGTTCGTGCCGGCGCGCCCACTAGCGCTGAAACCCGCGTCAGAGTCGCCTGTGACGATGAGTTGGTGTCCGAGTTGCTTGCCAACATCGAGAAGTATGACTTTGTCTTGGGGAAGCTCCGTGATATTGAGTATGCCAGCAACTCTCCGGAAGGCGTTGCCTTTGACAAAGATCTTTTTCATGAGAAGATTGCGGCTTTGGACGCCCGTTTGAGCGCACTCTACGCCAGCTTGCCGAACGACACCGCGTTGCTCATCTGTTCGGGGAACGGTGACGTGACGGACTTGGTGCGGATCCAGAACCAGAAGCGCGACTTTCAGCGGGAGAACGAGCCCAAGCGCTGGGACGAGGTCAAGGATGTCTGGAACCAGCAGCACTTGGAAGCGTTAAAGCGTGCGACCGAAACCGCCAGAGACGCAGTATTTTTTATGACCATGAAAAGTGACGGATCGCTGCCTGAGAGCTCGCCGTCGCCGGTAGACTCCAGAGAATCTTCGCTTACTATGTTGATGGATAACAAGGCCGGATCGAGTTTGAGCATCGATGAAGTTGTGATTGGGGAATAAAAATGGGTATACACAAGAAAAGAAATGGGCGTACAAAGAGAAATGGATGTTCCAAAAGAGAAATAGATGTTCCAAAGGAGAAATAAACATGTTCAAGAGGACGAATGAAAAACGTATTGAGAAAGCCATATATAGCAAGTGGAATATAACCAGTGATTGCAGGTGTTAACACAAGGGGGTTTAGCAATAGATTTTAAGCACAAACTGTTTTATTTAATGGATGGCGTGGTCCCGAAGTGACCGCTAATGATGATTTCGACATTCCCCTGGAATGTACCAACTGCGCATGTTTGCTTTTATTAGATTTTTGAAAGGATATTTCGTTTTACAAGTTCTAGGAGTCGTAACAGTCGCTTTACGCAGTTCAAGCCAAATTCAAACGGGTACATTCGCATTAACCGATGTTAGTAACAGAATATGGATACCGATACAACCTACGGAGATGATTCATACCAGATTGTACCAAATGATGCACATTGAAAAACCACAAAATGAATGTTTATTCTTTACAAAACACTCAGACCCTCTAACATAATTATTGATAACCCCCTATAACACACTAACACTTACTCCATTTTGACATCACCATCCACATCAGCTTGTGGCGTGAACACGACTGGAGCGATAGGAATGTCTGCGGTTTCAGATTTCACGCCTTCAAGTTGAGCATTCGATGGCCCAGAAACCGACTCATCAACTGGTTCAGTCGGCTCGGCCAGCTCAATAACAGGCTCAGTAGTTTGCTCCGCCTCGAAAGGCTCTTGGATAATTGGTTCGGAAGTTGGCTCCACAATCGGATCAACAGTTAGCTCCGCAGCCGGTACAACAATTGGACTAGCACTCGATTCCGCAATCGACTCTGCAACTGGCTCTGCCGTCGCCTCAACCGGTTCCTGGATAGTTGGTTCAGCAAATAAAGTCTGTGCCTCTTGGGTTTCGTGGGCCACATCAGCCTCTACGACTGTTTCAGATGCAGGCAAATCCACATCCATAGCCTCTTCCTTCTGCTCAGCCGTGGCCACATCTGGTACCTCAGTGACAGCACTCAGCGCTTCAACCACAATTGGCTCTGGCTCCACCTTTTGTCCCTCTTGTGCATCTGTGGAGCTCGAGAAAATAGTGTTACTTCCGCCAACGGCGCCTCTGATATCCGCAGCAGACAAACCGTCGCCAGCCGTCTTCTCGGCGGTGTCTTCCACCACAGAACCGTACCGGTACTGGGACAAGTCGAACGTGTCGTCGAGCGGGCTGTCAAAGTTCAAAGGAACGGGGGAGTCGCTGCGGATCCAGGATTTGATCTGAAAAGGGTAGAATTCCGTAGGCGGCACGCTGCCTGGGAATTGGGAGCTGTGCTTTGCTGCCGGCTTGGCGGGATAGTTCCAGTCGCGCACCCAGTGGGTCTCGCTAGTCGGGCGGAATTCGGGTGTCTGTGTGCGCGACGTGAGGTTGCTTTTTGACAAGTTTTGAATTTTAAAGTTAGTTGCCATGGTGAATGGGTGTGTGGTTGATGGGTTATTGTGTTGGTGGGTTTGAGTTGGTGGGTTTGTGTTGGTGGGCTTGAGTATTTGAGTGGGTGAAAAATAGGCGACGCGTCTGGTTGTGGAACTACTTTCGGGCAATCGGGGGTGCATGCTTAAAATTTGTAGTGTAAGCTACTCGGTATGTTTACGAACAATTAAGCACAATAGGTAATCTGACTTTTAGCTTTATTGCATAACCCAGCCTGGGTGATAGGTAATTATAATACAAGTAAGCGCTACACTGGTAAGAATGAGGTAAAGACCTAAACCCATTAGTTTTATATCCTTAGTAAGAGAAGCCAAATACCAGAGATAGGCCGAAAGAGCGATCTCCAGTCAACGGAGAAGGATTTGAATGACACAAGCTAGTCTTCTCCCACTATCTCCAATGTGTTTGGCATTCCCCTAAACATAATGTCTATAATACAGTGGATATTGTAAAGCTACCCTGGTTCTAATCGTGCAGTATTATGTCTCTAAAACCACCTTTATATGACCACATCCCATGTTTATGTGCGTGAGACGTAAGCATGCCAGTCAACTGCGGAATACTATAAAACAAACCTGATACCATTGGGCTGCGATATTAGATATCGCTGTAAGCCCACCTCAACAACGGTCTACGTGCTTTTAAAATCGTTAACTTCATAATATTTCTAGACTTTCCCACCAGTCTCAGATTCCCACACGCGACGTTCACAATGGCTCCTGTTACATCTATGGTTCCTTCGGCTTTGCCTCTGGAATCACTATTGGGAGGATGGACCCCGGCGGCGCATCTACCGTTGGCAATACAAACACCGGAACCGGAAGCCCTGCCCGCATCCTTGGCAGCCTTGATCTCATCTCGCTTATCATACAACGGACACGACTTGTTCGTCTTGATGTGCCCTGTGGCCCCGCACGTTGCGCACTTTCGTTGCGTATTTCTCCCCTTCCCGATCCCCTTGTTCGGGTTCTCCGGCTTCTTCGACCGCTTCGCAGCCTTGGCCTTGGCCTTTTCCAACTTGGCAATCTCCTCGAGCAACCGCTTCTTCTGCTTTTCGTTGATCTCCGCATCATTTGTCGGCTTGATATCCTCCACGGCCGTGTCCGCCAATTTTTTCTCATCCAACATCTTTCTGCGCTTAACATACGCCTTGATGATTCTTGGATCGCGAACGGTCTCTGTTACACGTTGAATGACGCCGTTTTCGTCCTTCACCCGCCGACTAATACGCAAGATTTTCTGGTCAGTCAGCTCCTCTTCCTCCCGTGGCGCCTCCTCTTCCTCATCGCTCACCTCGGGGAACTGTGCGTACTGCTCGTCGAGTTCTTTCTCGTTATTAATCGACAAACTATGCTGCTGGGAGTACCACGTGCGCGCGATCTCTTCATCATACGCCTTCTGCTGCGACGCCACATTATAGCTGTGTCCGGGAAGTCTGTTTTTATCATCTTTTTCCTTCTTCTCCTTCCTCTCCTTCCGCTCCTTCTTTTCCTTCTTCTCCTTCTTGGGCGTTCCCGGATCCTCGGTGATGTCTTCCAATGATTTAAAGCCACCCTTCATCGACGTCTTGAGGAAGGAGAAAGCAACCCCAATTCTGGACGGATCCCCGTCGCCGTGGAGCTGGAGCATCGCCTTACCCTGCGTCGCGTTGATGAAGTTTCTAGTGGTGTTCCATGTGGCCAACTGCTCCTCAAGCGACTCCTCCTCCTTTTCCTTCTCCTTCGGCTCTTCCGACAGAAGATCCACCTTGGAGTAGTACCCCGAGTCCTCCAACCGCTGCTGACCCACCTGCATGTATTCAAGTAACACCACATCCTCAGGCGTCATCAACGTCCGGATCTCATCCTCCGACGGAACGTTGTTATTATCGGTGCCCTTGATCTTCCAGTAGCCCTGGTCCACCCCTGCCCTCTGGTACTCCATGAACTCCTTCAACCGTTGCCGGTTCTGCATATCGTTCTGGTCGGGAAAGTGCGTCAGAATGTCCTTCACCAAGAGACGGTTGCCCTCCGACTGGTTGAGCACGCGGAACACCACCATCTTCAAGCGGTGTTTCGCAGACGTGGTCACCCTACGCGAATGCGGACTGGGAATCTCCACCAGGGGTAACGTCTGTCCGACCGCAAACAAGTGGGGAATATTGCGGAGGTAGTAGCGCTGGGAGGAGCCGCAGCCCAGTGAGCGGATGAGCATGAAATCCGACGGCAGCACGTCTTGTTTGAACACCGGCGCGCGGGTCATCCGGTTATACAAGGTCGGAACGACGTTTCCGGGCTCGACAAACCCAAAGTTCCAGAACGGCGAGCGGTCGGCGTTGCCCAATACATGGGTCTCCCCGACGGGGAGTTTCGGTCTGGAGGTGTCATCGGCACCGGTCTTGCGGTAGTAGTTGATCACCTTGGAGCCCATACCGAACTTTGACAACAGGAGCGGAAACTCCTCGGAATACTCCATCAAAAACACGTTCGCATTGTCCCCAAGCGTCAAGTCGCCCGTGCGTGCAAAGAGCTCCTTCGTTTCCCGCCCCTTGTCCTTCTTGCGCTTGCGTAGCCGAAGCCGGTGGAAGAGCATAACCGTTCCTGGGCGCACCGCAAATTTGGGTCTGTGGAAGTGGCGCATCTTCTTTTTGTCCAAGCGGACCTGGTAGTACGGCGATTGGAGGCGCAACGCCGGCACCGCGTGGTCGAGCGAGAGGTTTCCGAGTGTCGCGCGGATCTTTTTCTGGTAGTTTTCCTTGAGCAGCTCATACGCGCGGTCATTGGAGACATCGAATTTGTGTGCGAGATGTTTGTCTGTGGAGGGGATTGCGGCCTTGGCAAAGGTGTCAGCCTTGTCTCTCTGGAACAGGTTCGGATCTTTAGTCTTTGCGGCCCCGAGACTATGGAACAACAAGTGTGGGTCGTTGAGGTCCAAGCGCAATTGTAGGTTGGTGAGACTCAAATTCCCGTCAAAGATCATATCTTCTTCATCCTCCCAATCGTTTACGCTATGAAGCTTGATCTTCTTGCTCGGTGGTTCATTAGATTGCTCGCCGGAGACAATCGATTCATCCGCATTGATAATCTTGTCATCGTCCCAGTCGGTCACACTCAACGTCAAGTCGTTGGGGAACGCCTCCGTACGCTTCTTGCGCGCAGGTGTGGGGTCTGTGCGCGCGGTCTCGTGTGCTACCGTAACTACACGTGGCGCAGGCGCCGAGAGCGCGGACATCGCCGCTTGGTGAAGCTGCTTTGCAATGTGCGGCGCAGATCCCTTGAAGAGCCGGCGGTGGTCCACGTCCAACTCGAGCGTGAGCTTGGTCGGGATGAGCGGCCGCGCGGGCCGTTTAGGCTGCTGGAACGCGTACTTCACGGGTTTTGGTCCAAAGTAGTCCGACATTCGCAAAATCGTGTTCTTTTTGAATGTGGGATAAAAGAACTTGAGCAACACCAGTGTTTTGTGGCGCGCCTTGCGCTCCAACAGTTCTTGGATTGCCTGTTTACGCGCGCGGAGTTCCATCTCCATAGCCTTCTTATCCGTTGCTTCCAGATCCTTCGGTCCTTTCTTCTCTGTAAAGGTATCTAACTCCAAGCTGCCCAAACCGGCTTCATCGGCGATGGCGCCGCCAAAAAGGTCGCCTTGGTCTGGAACGGCACCCTCCTTTGGCTCTTCATCCACCGCCGCTTCGGCCGCTAAATCCGCAAAGAAATCATCCTCGTCATCCTCGGATTCCTTCTCCCCGTCGTCAGCGGCTCTGGCCTCTGGTTCCTCGTCGTCCGCGAGTTCGTCCTCGTCTTCGAAGTCAATGGCATCTGCCGCGTGCTTCGTCCCGCTAATGTCTTTAATGATTTTGTCCACATTGAACGACCCAAGGCCGTCGTTGAGCACCGAATTGAGCGCTGCGTTGTCGTCAGCCATGGTGTGTGGTTGTGGGTATGGGTGTCTGGAATGGCAAATTTTGTTGTTAAATGCCTGACGCTGCGAAAAATGCAGGTGAGCGCGTTTCGATCGAAGGTATTAAATGTGAACAGAACCCCACCTATCGGGATTGAATGTTATCGAACCGGTTATATTTGTTATCCAGTAAATTAATTTTGAAATAATAAATCCGAGATATCGAAGGGGGCAAGTTATGGTGCAAAAATCATTGGTCGATGGGCACTGTTTTTATAGTATGGGTTGGGTAGTGGTAAAGGCACGACTGTGGTTTGAGTTGAGCCACCATAGTGTACCTATGCTTTAGCCTTGTGTTTATCGCTCTTTGCTACGTAATGCGGACCCGATCTGGGAGGCCGACTGTTTTATACAATGAGCTATGATCCTTACTCTTTAACTATGTATAATCGTGAATTTCACTATTTATAAGATCACCACTGCTGGTAGACGTAGATTAGACCCTGTACCATATGCCCATCATACCTGCGGGCAGTTTGACAACACCTGCTTACCCCAGCGGGGCAATGATTTTCTTTCTTCTGGGATGCAATCAATAACAACAACATCAGACTTCGAAGTTCTCGAGCAAACAAGACTTATCCTTAACAGCCACCCTGGCTGCTTCTAACGCCATGCGGATCTTTACCCCAAGCAGATCCGCCACGTCCCTTGAAGGGGCATAAACGCTCACCTGGCCGGGCCCCTTGCCCGCATCCTGGTGCCATTCAACAAAGACATGTTTGTACGGGGCTTGCAGTCGAAGTGCGTCTACCTTTTTCTGGAGAAGCGGGGCTTCGGTCTCAGAAAACGTAAATATTAGTTTGTTCTTTCTGTAGTTACGGAGCTCATCAATCACCCTGGACCGCAACTGCACCACTGCTTTGTGGCTCGGTCCGTTGAATAACAAGAGCTTTGACGGACTACTGGAGCCAGCACCGGCCTTCAGTGCTGCGTGTGTGTATTCAACAGAAGTATCGGTGTCCGTAAGTACTCCTTGGTCCACAAACGAAAGAATCGACCGGGAAAGGGCATCGGTCGTCGGAAGCACTAGGGAGTGCAACGGAAAAGGCTGTTTCTGCTTCTCTACGGAAGCATTTCCCGAGAGATAACAGCGTCGGGGGTTACCGAGCAACTGTGGGACTCGAGTTACATACTTCGAAATACTCGAGAACTGTCGAGACACCAAACTTTGAAGCGTGGTGCGAGCTGTCTGTGCTTTTAGCATGTTTATACAGCTGTTAAATGGGTAAAACCGGCGAGGAGCCGTTGGCGGGACTACGTCGGCAAAGGCAAGCTGAGTCAACCGATCCTAGCAAGATTGGCGAGGCCGTTAGTGCTGCAGGCGAAGGAGAAAAAAAAAGGGACAATCAGCGGATGACGAGCTTAAAGTGATTTGTGAATCCAGAAGTAGCGTCCGTAAACATAAAATTGAAAGAGATGGGAGAAAGAAGTGGATTGGACATGGGCTTGAGAAAAAAAAAAGTCAAGGCCAACCAAGGTACATGCGTGTTCTCTGCAGGTCACTTCTGGCCCCACATCTCATTTCCCCAGAAGTGAGGATATGTTAAGCGGGGAATTACACAAAGAGGTCTAAAATGCGGTTTGCTCAAAACATACGATTTGCTCACCAGAGTGTTTAAACCAAGTTAACCTGGGAAGCCAAAAAAGAGCCAGGCCCAAACTACAAGGATAATTTGAAACTTGGACTGTTAGGAAAATACCGTACTCATTTCTCGTGCGGAAGTGTTGGATGCTTATTTACACTCCGTATCTCTCCCCCGTTCTGCGCCGTTGAACCGGGCTGAGCCGCCAAGAGAAAACCTAAATCTACAATTGACGTAAACTCTGATGACCAAAAAGTTCAAGTATGGCCCGAGAGTTAACGATACGAACAGCCAAGGGTACGGATGAAATGGGTTGCGGTTTGGGTGTAACTTGCATTGCGTGTAGGCCCGGATCCGAAAACGGATGTTGAAGTTCGGCGAAAGACAGATCTTTCGGGGCAATACTAGCTCGACGGTGCGGCGAAGAAGCCGCGAAAAGCAAGAGAGCTGGTAGACAATAGAATCTAGGAAATGTTTAGGTCCTTAACGTGCATGACACTGCCTCCCAGCTTCCGATTCATACTTCATAATGACTACATACCATTCGGTCTGTCCTCTGGCACCCCCAAGTGATATATCCGCAGCATACTCAAAGGTCAGCCATCGCTACTGACAGATACGCTGCCATGCATCCCACACAGCGAATGAGAGTTTGTTCTTAGCTGGTTGCGTTCGACCAGGGCAGCCAATTGTAAGCCTTACGGAACTTCCAAGATGCATGGATAAATAGCCAGCAGCTTTTGCGACTGAATATACTTTATTTCCGACAAGTAAATACCCCGGGTAGCAGCATATATGCCAGACCTTTACGGCTCGACTGATAGCTCTCAGTAGCCCACAACACAGACTTACACGTTAATTTCAGCACACTTATCATCTTAGTTGCCGAAAAAAGAAATTACAAACTCCGATCCTCCAATAAAGCTTACGACGCTTGCCGAACGCCTTCCGCTCTCCTGTGCGCGACACGCTTTTAACCGGCACGAGGCCCTTACCCGATTACACACAGATGATTGCAGGACCCAACTAAAACAGACCTTTCCACTTCGCTTCCGCCCGAAACCGCTGAAGACACCCAAAAGCCACGCTTTTATATCTGATTAAATCGCATTTCTTGCTAGTATTTGCCACCCATATACCCTGGCTTACATCCTTTAACTTCCCAACCCCCCCTTGCCTTTTTGCTCAGTTCGCCGAACACTCCGCCGAGGCCCTACATCTAAACCACATCGTCATCTGATTGAACCACTGGTCACAAAAGCTTTACCGCTGAAGCTTCCTATATCCCCGCCTCAAACCGTGCTACAAACACTGCTGTCTCTACTCACCCCATGACTCAGGTATCACGCATCTCGTGCGTCGAATGTCGCAGACGGAAGATCAAATGCAACAAGCTCAACCCATGTAACCAGTGCATCAAGCGAGACATCATGTGCGACTACCCCAAGAAGTTCCGTCGAATTGATATCGACAGGTTGGACCACATGGTGATGGAGGAGGGTTCCGGCGACGCCGGCGAATACGACTCGGAGGACACCGGCGAGTACGCATCCTCCTCCGGCCAAAAGACGTCGCCACACTCGTTACAGGTGATGCTGTCGGGGCCAGCAGACCGTGATGAGAGGCTGGTGCTCTTACGCAAGATTAAGGACTTGGAGAAGGTGATCCACAGCTTGGACCAGAATAGTCACGACGTCAACGACCCCACGATCAACTGTTACCAGGGCAAGTATTACGGCCCCACGTCGGCAATTTCCATGTTGAGCGACTTTGCGTCGACATTGGGCCCGAAGGCGTTCATTTTTGAGAAGAATCCCAATTTCCGTGCGGGGGGCCGCAAGTTGGAGGTGCGCAACTTTGACACGCCGTCCAAGAACAATACCTCCATCTCGTCACTCAAGAAGTTGATTCCGAATTTCCACTTTGACAAGCAGGAGAATCGCCAGATCATTGGCCGGTTGGTACAGCGCTTCTTCCAGTTTGACTGCTCCATCTTCTTCGACCAGCAGCACGTGATGAACTTGGTCACGGAGCAACTGATCCGCACGGACGAAGAGTTCATGGTGGTGCTCATGATCTTGCTCACGGCGATCAACCGCGGCGGTAGCGATGCACTGGAAGACCCGTGCGGCGCCGACGAGCTCCGCGAGTACGAAAAGTTCATTCCCAGCCTCATCTCTGACTTTAACGTTCTCAAGAAGAAGTCGCTGTTGTCCGTCAGCGTTATCATGGCCGAGTTACTCCTCTTTGAGTTTTACTTCTACACGCTCCGCCTGGAGATTGCGTGGGCCACGTTGTTCAACATTATCAGTTCGTGCTACTCCTTGGGCCTCCACATCTTCACCGACGATTCGCGGCGCATGTCCGTGTGGTGGGCCGTCAATTTCTACGAGTCCTTGCTCTGTCTGATGCTTGGACGCCCCAACCCTGTCAGCGCGGAGTTGCTAGCGTATCATAGCAAACAGGTGGGTGCGTCCGACCGCTTGCGCTGGCGCGTGGACATCACCATGTTGGGCAAGGAGAGCAACGCGTTGCTTCTCCACTCGATGCAAGAGGTGGATTATGCCAAGGTCCAGGCGTTATCTGCGCGCTACGACGAGGCAATTCTGCACGTCAAGGCGTACGTAGCGGCGAAGCCCCAGGACTGGCTCCGACGCACGGACTTGGTGTTGCTCTTGACCAACCAGGCAAAGCTCCACCAGCCATTCATGCGCAAACAGACGGAATCCAAGGCGCGGATCTTTCCGCTCGTGGCTGACTGTATCGACCAGGTGAAGGCCATCTTGTCATCTAGGGCAGCGGCCTTCTCCAACAAGCACTTCCGCTCGATCTGTCCCTTCGGCGACTGCTACTTCTTCCAGTCGCTCGCGGTACTGTTTACGTATCTCTCCTACACCAAGTGCGTCACCCCGGACGTACTCCAGTTCCAGAAGGAGTTGAACTACGTGGTGCACGAGTTGGGCGAAAAGTGGATGCACAAGATTGTGTACATTGCGCTGGTGGTGAATGAGTCCATCACCAATAACCTCAACGAGGAGTATTTCTCGAAGGCCAACGAGCAGCCGCACTTGGTGCCGTGGTATAATGTGAACTATAATGACCAGTTCTTCTTGCAGTTGCCCGAGACCGCCCGGCTCTTTGGCGAGATGGATGAAAAGGTGGTCAGCTACGTGACCGATAGCATATGTGACCAGAGCGTCGGCACTTGGGCGACTCCAAGTGGGTTTGGCTCTCGGCACAGTATGAAACCTACCGCCGCCGTCCCGCCGAACCAGGCCGGTAATGACACAAGTACGTCCATACCCCCGGTGTCGTACTAATGCGCTATCCTTGGGTGTTTTCTTGTCTTGTCATAGATTGCTCTTATGGCTTGTGCTTTTTTACTGCTGCTGGACGTGTAATTTTTTCTTTGGTTAATTTATTTTTTCGAGTATTCGTGTTTTGGATAAAAAAGATTGTAGATCAGAATAGTCCATACATTGTACAGAACCCCTGTATTGGTTGCACTGTCCGTGCTTAAGCCTTCAGCAGCATTTCTAGTTCATCGGCATAACCATAAATTACCGAAACGGACAGAAGCTTTATTTGTCCAGTATATACACATATCACAGACACCATATCCTGACCCTATTCATTGCCATTTATCCCTAAGCATCTAGAACGATCCAAATTAGTTCCTCCCATTGTAGCTCGGAAATCTATCGATGCAGCTTGCGGCTTTCATCACACTTCCGATGTCGCACTTAAATGGGACGTGCAATTCCCACGCGTGACATCTACGTCTCCGCAAAAACCGCTAGATCAGATCTATCAGACACCCGCTGAGTCATTCGCCATATATCCACTGGGTCCTTCCTATATCTACCACACTACACCTATTCTAAACTTAGAACAGCTATGCTGCTCAACCTCACATACAAATTCAATCGGTTCTTTGTGATCAACGACTTTGTGGAGTTTAGTCTCACGCTAGGAATCTTGCCGGTTTCGTTTCTAGCACTCCTCCAGATCGACAACACCTTATGGGTGACACAGGCATTGACGTTGAAACGAGCGAGGCAGGAGAGACTAAGAAAAAGTCTGGGGATGAGCCGTCCGATGGACGATGACGACGAAGACAATTTCAGCCCGTTTCCCCAAGAGGAGGAATTCAGCTCTAGTGATTGGTTCGAGCCGGGGGCCATGTGCGAATTCAAGAAGTTGACAAACAAAGTCTTGCAAGATCGGTTGATGATCCGCAGTTTTGCGCTCTTCCACAGTCTCGTGGATGTAGACGGTATTCCGTTCGCCAGCATTGAATACTACCGCTCCTTCGGAAGCGCCCATATTATCGACTACCTCACGCACTCTAAGACCGACCTCTTTGACGAAGCTAGCCCCGTTTCGTTTGACTTGGTAAAGTACGAAATGGATGATCTTGTTATGAAGAAGCGGGTGATGCGAGACGATGGAGGTGGTGTCTACCCCCGGTTTTGTCCTACTTTGGAGGAAGGCAACCAGCTTCTTTCCGACGCCATGCTAATAGCGATAGACAAGGCAACGCGAAGCCAGCACCTTACGATCCAGGATATTACAGGCCTCTTGGACCGGGCCGTACGGGAGGTCCATCTGTATGCAGCGGCGCACACGCCTTTCGTGAAGGTTGTGCCCAACGCCAGCGATAGGCTCTACGCACTTACAAATTTTCAAGAGGAACTAACGCCGGAAGACTGCCCTATTACGCTCTACCAGAACATTTACGGCGAAACGCCTTGGGCGTGGGTGCGGTGGTACGAGCGCGAGGTGGGTAACTGTAGCGAAAACCATTATCAAGATCATCCTCATGGTCACAGTCATATTGGCAGGCACCGTATGCGGAGGAAAAGGGGTATGAATGGAAGCGGATAATTAAATAGCGAACGCCAAGGCCAAACTTTCCTGGTCCGTAAACAAGAATTGAAATGACTTGAAATGATTTGAAATGATTTGAAATGACTTGATATTCTCTGGAGGCGAAAGCCACGGAATAGGCTCATGAAAAATAACGGTCAATGCGGATTAAGCTTGAGAGCGGTGTTGGTTCGCATCAAAAGTACAATCCTGGTTCTGCTACATCGATACAATTATTTCATTCCCCGATACTATGACCTAGATATCTTTAGACCCTGGCATATAATCCGCAGATGACTCCAACTCCGCATTCATGGGACTGGCCCTCCTCTCTTTGATTTTACATATCTCAGAGAACCTAACCTGGATTTACAATACCTGGATTTACCTTAGCTATATCCAACCTCTTTAAACCGTCTAACAGCCCAAGAAACTTGGCCCATTATACGTGGGGGCATGCCTGCAGGGGGTAGGTGGGGGCTACTGACGTGGAGGTTTAAACCTCTGACCGCCATAGAATAAAGCGCATTATTCTATGAGGGCGGTCCCTGACGTTTTCGCACCCAAATTTAGAGTGAAATAGAAGCATGAGAAAACTAAGCGAATAGTGTCTGAGTTGAATATAGCTCTAATTCAGGATCCCATTTCGCCCTTTGTAGGTTCCTTAACCTTTGCCTTGAAGTGTATATAGGCACAACATGTCCTCTACATTTATTTGTATGAAATATGACTGCGGGAAAACATACCTAAAAAAAAAATCCCGCATAGCTTTAGTCGAACCTGAGCTGCGTCACCAAACAAACGCCGCAGACAGGCCCCTGAAGGTTACACTGTAGCGAGGGCTTAGAACCTTGAAAGCGAAAAATTCAATTACTATCCTTTGCCAGCACCGTATGGCTAATATATACTGCGGCACGTAGAGTTGTATTTGATTCGCTGCTTGAATAGCTTTTGGTTGATTTACTCTTTCGGAGATACGAGGTACGAGTCTTGAAAAATTTTCAAGCTTATGACACATTATCATGCATATATGCACGGCGCAGTGTCGCGAAATGGACAAGCACCTGCCAGCAGGATAGATCACTCCTATGCGAAAGATGCCTGGAAAGCCAATAAAGATACTTCGGAGGGAGTAGTACGATTCAATGGGTATACCCGTGATTTGCCGTCGCAGGCATGTTAGTTATATCGGAAATGGAAGCCCGACGGGCTTTTAGAACGCAGTGGGACTTTTTCAACCGCTAAAAATGCACGCTCTCCAGCGCAACTTTTTTCGGCGCAGACATACGGCATCTTCAAGTTTTCGGGCCATTTACTTGGTTGCATGCATAAATGACGTAGGAATTTAACCATTTTTGATCGTTTCAATGCACTTCTACTAACCTTGGGGTTTTACGAACCTTGTCAGACATCTCCTTCTGAATATTTCATACGGAAAACCAGCAGAAGTATCGGCAGGCCGTGGGGGTTGAAAGTTGACGGTCGGAATGCTACTACCGTTGATGCATCACGGTGGCTATCTGACGCAGCTGGAACAACATGCATCAGAGTTCGAGTTCTTGATCAACATGCGGCGATAGCCTTAACCTACCAGAATAAACACTAGACCGATTAGAAAAAGAAAACAGAGACCAGGAAAAAGGAACGAAATATTTTCTCTAGCGGTGACCCTAGGCGGTATCGCTATCTTCCTCCCCGCGATAGACTCTAATCTGTTTCCGGTAATATAAGTAGATTGGATCTCCCTTTTGATCAGGAATATCAGAGACCCACCCCGAACACACAGCCAAGGATGTCGCCTCAAAACGAGCCAAACGACAGCGAGAAGATCAACTCGGCTGAGAACAGCCATGACTACTTCACAGACCTCGATCCGGTGTTATCCAAGAGAACCGCCGAATACAACATGGAATCTATCCGTTCTAATGTGGTTCCGATTCCAGAAGACAGAAAGCTTAAGCGTGACTTGAAGGCCAGGCACATGATCATGATTGCGATTGGTGGGGCTGTCGGCCCGGGTTTATTGATCGGTTCCGGGAGCACCTTGTACCACTCCGGACCGGGCTCCGCTGTTATTGCCTACGCCTTTGTCGGTATCTTGGTCTACGCCGTCATGGCCGCCATGGGTGAAATGGCCACCTACATCCCGCTTCCAGGTGGGTTTGCCGAATACTCTGCTAGATACGCGGACCCAGCCTTGGGCTTCGCTACCGGCTGGACCTACTTGTTCTCTTACTTGATCTCGACACCAAACCAGTTGACCTCCGCCGCCTTGGTTATGCAATACTGGGTTCCCCGCGAAAAGCTCAACCCCGGTGTCTGGATTGTCATTTTCATGATTATCATCTGGACCATTAACGCTATTGGCGTGAAATGGTTCGGTGAAATTGAGTTCTGGTTGTCTGCCTTGAAAATTATCACGATTTTGGGCTTGATTATTCTTTTGATTGTCATCACCGCTGGTGGTGGTCCGACCCACGAAACCCTTGGTTTCAAGTACTGGAAACACCCTGGTGCCTTCCGTCCAATGATTGGAACTACCGGTGCCGCCGGTAAGGTGGCTGCCTGGGTCAGTGTGTTGGTCAATGCCCTTTTCGCTTTCATTGGTATTGAGTTCGTTGTGGTTACCAGTTCCGAGTGTACCACTCCACGTAAGACCATTCCAAAGGCCATCAAGTTGACTTTCTACCGAATCTTGTTTTTCTATGTCGCCTCCATGTTCCTTCTCGGGTGCACGGTTGCGTACAACGACCCAGGCTTAGAGGCGGCCCTCGATGCTACTGCCGGTGCCTCGGCCTCTCCATTCGTGCTTGCCATTGTCAATGCCAAGATCCCGTACTTGCCACACATTTTGAACGCCTGTATCTTGATCTTTGCCCTTTCTTCCGCCAACTCTGATTTCTACGTGTGCACCCGTACCTTGTACGGGTTGGCGTACAAGAACCAGGCTCCTCGGTTCTTTTCCAAAACCAACAAGCAGGGGGTGCCGATCTATTCCTTCATGTTCTGTGCTGCGTTCATGTGTATTGCGTTCATGAACGTCTCTTCCGCCTCGATGACCGTTTTCAGCTACTTTGTTAACGTTGTTGGTATCTTTGGTCTTCTCGTGTGGATTTCCATGTTATACACCCATATTTGTTTCATGAGGGCGTTGAAGGCCCAGGGTATTTCTCGCGACTCCTTGGTCTGGAAGGCTCCGTTTGCCCCATTCTTCACCTACTTTGCGTTGTTCTTCTGCATTCTCGTGGCTCTCATCAAGAACTTTGACGTATTTGTTGGTAAGTTTGACTACAAAAACTTCATCACCGGGTACATTGGGATTCCTGTTTATTTAATTTGTATCGTGGGTTACAAGTTGATCATGAAGCCAGCCAGAGTCAAGGCGGCGGAGGCGGATTTGTTCACGTACAAGGACGTTGTCGACAAGGAAGAGGGCGACTTCCTTGCTCTCCAAGCGAAGAAGAGAGAAGAGTTTGGTCTCAGCAGAGGCCAATGGTTCTACGAGACCTTTTTGGCCTGGTGCTTCTAAGCCCATACCCCTTGTAATATATCCATGAGTAATTAAGTTATAGGTTAGATGAATTTTAGATTTTATCATCTGGCCCAAAGGAGTTATGAAGTTGTAGGTTCAACGATAACGCGGTTTGAATATTTCCCTTCCACCGGACCGAAGAATGCCAGAAGTTTTACGGAACCAAACCTACATCCCGCAGGGTCATTATTAACGACCAAATGTTTAGACTATGTACAACAATTTTCATCGGCCATTATCATAAAACAGTATGGAGAGTAGGCGAATAATTCAAATCAGAGTTTGAAAAGGCCTGTAGCTTCACCTCGAAATGCTTACAAAAACCTCTTCACCTCCACCAACTCAAACGGCTTGACCACATCTCCCTCCTTGAACCCCTCAAATGCCTCAAACGCCATCCCACACTCGCTTCCCTTCTTGATCTCCGTCTCTTCGTTTTTTCCTTGTTTCAACGATGAGAGCAATCCGCTGTACACCTCCTTCTCGCCGCGGAAAATCTTTACCGCCTGGTTTCGTTTGATACTCCCGTTCGCAATCTTGCACCCCGCAATAAACGTCTTCTGTTTCTTCTTCCCGGTAACCTCAAAGATTGCCTTGATCTCGGCCTCGCCCAAGAAACGCGTCTGGACCTCCGGCGCCAAGTTGCTGGTCAAAATCTCGGTAACCTCCTCGATCAAGTGGTAGATAATGTTGTGGCTCTTGATGTCCACACCTGCGGTAAATGCCTTCCGCTCGATGTCCTTTGGCGTGTCAATGTTAAATGCAAGGATACTCGAACCCGATGTTTTAGCTCTTTCAAGATCCGTCTCAGTGGCCGGGCCGACTGCGTCATACAACACCCGCACCTTTACCTCGTCATTGCCCAAATGGGCGATGCTTTCCTTCACCGCCTCCGCAGAACCGCTCACATCGGCCTTGATTATGAACGAAATCTGCTTGCATGTATCTTCGGCCGCGGCAGCGTTCATCGCAGTCCCTTCCAACCCATACTTCTTCAACTCCTCCACCTTCTTCAAGCGGTCCACCTCGTCACGCTGCTTCTTTCTCATTTTATTAATCGCATCCACATCCTTGGCCTCATCAATCGTTTTGGCCCGATTGGCTCTGTTATCCACCACCTTTTTAGCAAGCTTTTCATCCTTTGCCTGGATCACCGAGTCCCCCGCCTCGGGAAGATCGCGCCAGCCCCACACCTCGACAGGTTTGGACGGACACGCGGCTCTAACCACCTTGCCATGCTCATCCTTCATGCTCTTCACTCTGCAGTACGTCTGCCCTGCGACGAGAATGCTCCCGGGTTTGACCGTGCCACGGGTGACCAAAACTGTCGCAACGCTACCCAACCCCTTTTTGAGGTGCGACTCGATGACCCAGCCCTCGGCCGGAACCTTTTCCACCTCGGCTTTGACGTCCATGATTTCGCTCAACGTTACGATGGCCTCCTCGAGCTTGTCCATGTTTAGCCCGGTCTTACCCGAGACGCGGATCACCTGCACGTCGCCACCATAATCCTCCACATCAACCTCGTGGCGCGACAAGTCTGCGACAACCTTATCCGGGTTGGCGCCAGGCTTATCGCATTTGTTGATTGCTACAATCATCTGGACCCCGGCCTTTTTCGCGTGCTTGATGGCTTCGATTGTTTGCGGCTTGACGGAGTCGTCTCCCGCGACAACCAATACTACAATGTCGGTTACGTTCGCGCCACGTTCGCGCATCTTCAAGAAGGCCGCGTGCCCGGGCGTATCCAAAAAGGTGATGCTCTTTTTAGAGACGGGGGTGGTTACGGAGAACGCCCCAATGTGCTGGGTGATGCCCCCATGTTCCTGGTCGACGATGGAGGAGTTTCGGAGATAGTCCAAGATGGTGGTTTTGCCATGATCGACGTGGCCCATGATCGTTACGATCGGCGCGCGCGTCTGCAAAAGCAGCTCGTTGATCGGCTCGGGGAAAATGTCGATCCCGGTCTCGTCATTAAGGACCACCTCGAAGCCATAATCGTCCGCGATGAGCGTCGCATTTTCCTGGTCCAAGATGTAGTCGTGGGTAAGGCCTTCGAAGCCGAGGGATTCGAGGTTACGGAGGAGTGCTGGGACCTTGGCGTTGATGATGGTGGCGAGGTTGGAGACAGTGCAGAAGCGGGGGATGGAAATCTTGGCGCGTTTGCGTGAAACCTTCCTGTAGAGCAAAGCTTTCTTGGAAGGCAAGGCTTTCTTGGAAGGCAAAGCTTTAAGCAGGGAAGATTTGGGCACGTGCTTAGAGGCATTCTTTGCTGGAGTCTTCTGGACCACTGCACCCTTTTCAAGCATCTCCCGCAAGTTGAGAGTGGCAGTCTTTGCGTTTGTGGGTTTGGCCGGGGTCTTGACAGTACTCTTGGCTGTAGTTTTCGAAATGGAGGCGGCTTTGGAGGTGGTTGGAGCAGATGCTGGAACGGCCGTGGCAGTAGCGGGTCCCTTCCCAAATCGGGAGATTCCGCTTCCACGCGGAAGGCTTTTCAACACGCTCGCGTATCTGACCCTAGCCAGTGTGATAGCGACAGCCCGGTGGTACATCATGCTGCGGTACCGAGGAAGAAGAGGCGTAGATAATTTTTCAGCCAGAAATATGTCCTGTACGATAGTGAGAGTGGGTGGGCGTGTGTACACCATAAATAGTGATATGAGTAAGGCAGATCCGGCACTGATGAAGGTTACTCAATTTAGAGCTATATGCTTCAGATTATTACGATTAGCTATAAATATTAGCTGAGAGCAAGCAAATTGCGTTCTAGTGATATATAGATATACACAAAGACTTTAGGTTAAAGAATGGTTGTATTGTAGGTTATTGTTTATTCATGATCATTTCGAGCGGTCCAGGTTACCAATACTGGCTTTAGACAGATATGGCATGACCATACCAAGAGAACGATTACCCCAGGCTACCAATATTCACTAGACATGGCTAACAATACAAGCTAGGACATCCGTGAATACAAACTGGTTGTCGGTAATTTTCAACCGGCCGCAAGTAGATTTCAGCTCAACAGAACTGGCGTATCCATAGAGCACCCTAAAGCACGCTGCTATTTCCAGTAGAGGGGAAATCCGTGGGAAAACAATAAGACCACCAGACGGCGTAATGCTATCACTGGAGACAGCTAGTTACAGGGTTGTACAAAGATTCAGGGTGTCCAGCTATAAGTCTCCCCATCTACCGTGACATTTCTTCTTGGATAATAGACCCCATCACGAGATTATTTCCATTATCCAACTCTTTGGGGACCCACTCCCCCCTGACACATCTTTCAAGCTGTTTCAATATTCCGGGAGTGGAACAGTTCTCCACAAACAACAATACATCCAACGCGGCAAACGCGTTGCCGATTTCGAGCTGGTGGTTACCCATCAACGTGGAGTTATTCACAACCACGAGCCGGCGCTCCGCCACGGGCGGCAACCTGAGGGTGTCTAAGATGGCGCCTGTTCCGGCGTGGGAAATCACGTATTTGGCCAGAGAAATGTCGCGGTTGATGTCGCTGGTGAAGGCAAACGCCCTGATGGTGAGCCGGTCAAACTTGTGGAGCGAAAGGTGGGAATAGATACCCTGCTTCGGGACTGTGGACTCCACAAAGGCAAATTTTGAGGTGGGCCCGAGCTGTGACACAAGCTTGCGTAGTAATTTCTCGAAAGCTTGCACCGATTTGCCGCCGGCCTCGTTACCAAACTGGATGGTGATGTGGCTAATCTGGAAGTCAAGAAGCGCATTGAGGAACTCCTGGGAAAGAATACTCTCCAAAAGCGCGTGGAAGGTGATGGTGGCACCAGTGGTTACAAGGAGCGTGGCGGGATCGGGTATTTTGTCCATGGTGGGATAGAGCCTTTGGGCTGAAATTAGCGGCACTCAGATGAGAATGGTATTCGTGAGGGTTATGCGTTGGTGGGGAACAATGTCTATCGTGTCGTCTTTGGGTAGAATGGATGGTAATCAGAGAGACACCTATTCAGGGTGAAATTTACATTACGAGTGCCAACGGAGAAATGTGGTATACTGGCCTCAGGCTTGTTTGAGCATTCTTATCCACATTTTGGTCGTGCTCCAACCAACAATTATCCGTTGTACGCGCCGATAAAATTTACAATCATATTTACCGATAACTCTTTACTGCACAAACGACCCAACATCTCAAACATTCGACGTCTCATACATTCAACATCTCATACATTTGACATCTCAGACTTCCGAGATTAGATCTACTCCTACCCCACTGGATCAATTACCGCCCAATCCAGTCATACCCGCCCTCAATCTTAAACTTGCCTAGGAGATCCTTACGCCCTACAACCACCGCTAAATCGAAAGCTGCCTACCTTAGACAACTACCCCATCCAAAAATCCCTAATGTCCTCTTTACCCCCTCGACAACGCTCGCAGCGCCTTGTGGATCGTAAGACGCAACAAGAACGGGAGCTCCTCCGGCTGCTGGAATACACGGACCAGCTGTCGGTCGACGCACGCGGCGCGCCACGTGCGCGCAAACCGCTCGCAAACCACAACAACAACACGCAGGGCGCACACCTCTATCCCGGGTTGAATGACATCACGGATGTATTTGAGGCAATCCCGCTTGATCTCATCCGCTACTTTACGTTGCTCAAGGAGATAGATGCGAAGTGCGTGGCGACGACGCCATTGATCAAGCCTTTGGTGACGCGGTTCCTCGCGCTCTCGCATGCGCCGCATGCGTACACTAACCCGGCGACGCAGCGCAAGCGCCACGAGCTCCTCGCGCAGCTCAAGGCGTTAATCAAGGACTTGTTGCCGTGCCTTGAGGAGAAGATGCACGTGGCCAGCGTCGCGTCGGACTTGATGCACAAGTACGCTCGGCGGATGAACGATGACTACGAGTTGATTCTCCTGAGCGAAGTTCCGGAAAGCGTTCGGATTGGACCGCTCCAGCATCCGGCAATGATCAACTTGGACGGCCATAAGAGTGTCGCGGAAAAGACTGCGCACACGCAACGCTCCGAACTGCGCCGCGAGGCGTTGGCTGCAAAGAAGGCGGCGCAGGGCGACGAGGAGGAGTCTCCGCTGGCACTGGTTGCCCCAACTACAGCCGTGGCTCCTGCCAAAACTGGGAAACCCAGAAAGGACAAGCAGTCGAAGGAGTCCACTCCTGTCGCCGTTGCTGCCACCAAGAAGAGACGTGTCGATGCAGACGACGGCTCACGCTCCAGCACCCCTGCGCCATCGTCGAACGGTGCGAAAAAACGCCAGACCGCGAAAAAGAAGGAGACGGGTGCAGACTACACCGCGAACCCCGCCGAGGGCGACGAGCCGGTGTACTGCTACTGTCAGCAGGTGTCATACGGAGAGATGGTGGGGTGCGATGGCGAGCAGTGTACTCGCGAGTGGTTTCATTTGTCGTGTTTGGGGTTCGACACTCCGCCCAAGGGCAAGTGGTACTGTGACGATTGTAAGCGCGAAAACATGAGCAAGAGGAGAAAGTAGAGTCAATGGAGATTAGTAGATATATTTATGAATATGCTTTTTTTAATGAGCAGATAGAGTTGGTGACTAGGCCAATAAATTTGCATATACCAAGAGAGTATCGTAGGTGGGTGTGTAGCCCGGGCCAGCGAATGGAGATTATCGCATTTACAAGAGCTAGATCTAGAGTGGGCTTTAGACGGCCAATGCATTGAGTATTGAGCTACAATTAGGAAAGTCATGGTTGAAAATCATCAGAACAACGTTGAGTACCAATGCGAGCAATAGTAAGGGCAAGAGTCAATGCTGTACATAGTGTAGCCCGTGCGCACACGGTTGACCCCACGCCAAATAGTTAGTGGCACCAGGAAGACGTGAAATAGGATAGTGAAAGACATCAAAATGAGTTACTGACATAAATATAAACACCCATACCCAACAGCTTTTCCTTATTTGTTGAAACGAGGATGCCGTATTGATTTATTGCCATCATGTATCGAGTCACTTCCGTGCCTGCAGTCTCATATGCGGTGGACAGTTGTTCAGGCTCTCTCATGGCGACTTTCGACTATGAGAGGTTGGAGCTGATGGTTCACCAACACATTTGCTCCACAGGGTATCGGTTTATATATATAGTGCATCCTCTGTAAATAGTTTGGATTATGCCCGAGCACTAGAATCCCTGCATTATATCTTACTATCAGAGACGAGCATCGGGAGCCAAACCAGAATCCACGAATGACACGGGTGCAATTCAGTGGAGCGATTTGATAACAGAGTCAGAACATCATGAAGACGATTTGGCCGGTAGTTGACTCGCTAGGCCCATGCTTGGGAGTATTCCGACCCCAGCTCATGCATTCGAGTAGTGGAAACGCGCCCAAATATTATTCCCCTATGAGTGGATCAATTACAGCCATCACCCCCGCCTTCAACCGCGACTCCAACGACTCATCCCCCTCATCCAACCCCACTAACCCCACTATATCACCGCCCATCTCGGTCAAGTTTGAGTTATCTAGCCCTGCAAGCCCCGGATCAATAGCCAGCTCGTCAATCTCATGCTTTATCTCGTCGCGTGCAAACTCCATCTCGTGCTTAAGGTCGAGCTCGTCGCGCGCAAACTCGCCGTACTGTGCCACCAACTTGCCGATGTCCACACTGTGGTTCTGCTGCAACTGGTGCTGCTGCTGTGACAAGTAGCCGTTCTGGTCGGCGGATTCCAAGGCGGCCAAGTTCTCCGCAAGCTCTGCGTTGCTGTGGGTGTAGGCGGGATAGTCGTCGATGCCCATGGGCAAGATGAACTCACCGGAGCGCAAATGGGATTCCCAGAGAATGTTTTCGCGCGAAAAGTCGCGCAAGAATGTGGCCTTCTTGATGGCCTTGATCTCTTCGGCGAGGTCGCCATACGCGAGCTGCGCGTCATTCGCGTAGGCGCGCTTTTGCAACTCGGTGAGAATATTATTCGCGGTCGAACCGTTTGCAAAATACTCGAGGATGATTGCCACGAGTTCATTCGAATAGTTTTTTGTCAAGAACGAGCTGTGCGTCTTGTGCGAGTACTTGACTACGAGCAACATAGACTGGAGGTTGTACGACACGAGCACGGAAGATTGGCACTCGGTGGTGCGCAAGCTGCGATACACCGCCTTTGGCTCATCGTCATACTCGTCACGCGCGGGCTTTGAGCGGGCATCCTGTTTGCACTTGTACAACGCCTTGACAATCGGGGCCTGTTTTCCCAGCACGTTGGAGGTTTTTCGCGAGAACTGGAAGCCGGTGACGTGGGATATCGGGTAGATGAAGCGCTGGGTGAGTTCCGCGAGAATTTCCTCGGGCGAGGCCGCGTGTACGGGGACCGCCGGCGGGATGAGGTGCTTGTAGTAGATGAGATTCGCCACGTCATCTGATTTGTTGGTCGCAAGCTTGCGCAAGTATTCAGCGTAATCGCTCTCCACGTTCAGGTTCGACGTCGGGTCAATGAGACACAGAGCACACAACTTGTAGCGGCCGTTATCGTTCGACAGCCGGTGACGGCCACAGATGTCGCAGAGCAGCGTGGCGTCCTGGAGCTCCGGGAGTCGGGAGTCGTCCTCCTGCAGCTGAATCTCCGCAAGCTCAATGGGTGTTCCGGTGTTGACCGCCTTTTTGACCCGTTTGCTTTTGCGCTCAATGATTCGGCACGGCGCACATGTCTTGTATTTGGCCACATCGGGCGTCTCATCCTCCGCACGCTTCTTTTTGCACCGGCGGCACACTCTCTTCTGGTCGTTCATAGCAATGATGGGAGGGGGTCGGCTGAGGTCAAAAGGCTCAAGCGGGGTTTACGAGGATTGATGGATGTTCTATACGTCAAGGCTAGGGTTGGGGATGGCCTGAAGAGGTTAAACAGCCCAAATGTTCATAACAACGGGGGCTCGCAACCGGATGACCGGTCGTGGGCGGATCAATCCGGTATTTGGATACAGGGCGGTACTTAAGAGTAGTGGAAGAGGGTGATATCAGTGAGGGTGAAGTTGCTATTGGTGAGGAAAGAAAAGCATGGATTGATGGGCTTTTTCCGTTATATGTTTATGAGTGAGGGGTAGAGCGCGGTAAATATACATTGATATGGGTATATTAGGAGTAAGCTGCGGTATAGAGTTTTCCTTATAGTTTAAATATAATATATAACCAGGTATAAAATATATAACCAAGTATAAGATATATTGCAATAAGTGTATAATATATATCACTATAAGTATGTAAAATTAAGTCCAACAGAAGTTTGGTTTGAGTAAATTAAATTAATAAATATGGCCGAAGCCAGCACATGCTGGAGCGACATAAACCCCGGTATGAACTCTCCCAGGCAAAACGAGGATATATATCCAGTCCAATTCCCATTTGTACGTGATTCACTGGTTTATCAAATGGTACCAATTTACATACAGGGTTAAATTATATTAGTAAATATATTACAAGGGCATTTGGGCCTATGCGTGCTGATTAAAATGGCGCAACAAAAACAAAGAACAAGGTGAATTAAAAGGGACACTTCTCAGAAGCGTAGCTGCAAGACTTATAACAACAACAAACCGGCCAAACCGAAAAGGGCAGCAGAACCGGCACCAGCAGCTTGAACAACAGCGGCGTTGGTACGGGTAGTGGTGTGAGTGGTGGTGGCATCGCTAGAAGCGGATTTGACATCGGTGATGGTTGTGGTGGAGTCATCAGAAGAGCTAGAGCCGCTAACGACATCGGTGAGGGTGGTGGTGGAGTCATCAGAAGAGCTAGGACCACTGACGACATCGGTTAGGGTGGTGGTGGAGTCATCAGAGGAGCTCGAGCCGCTAACGACATCGGTGAGGGTAGTGGTGGAATCATCAGAAGAGCTAGAGCCGCTGACAACATCGGTGAGGGTGGTGGTAGAGTCATCACTACTGCTGGCATCGGTGGTGATGGTGGTTAAAGAACCATCGGAGTTAGTGGCTACAACCACAGCCTTGGTTTCGGTAGAAACATCACCGTTAGAGTTGGTGACAACATCGGTAACGTAGGTGGTTTTACCGTTACCGTTACC